CATCTATCTCTACACCAAACCAACTCCAAGCGTATCCGAATCGAATTCTGGCCCGACCTAGAAAAGGCCTTATTTCAGTGGGTACAACAAGCAGAAGGACAGATCATTATCAGCCAGGAGGTTATACGCGAGAAAGCGCGTTTCTTTTGGGCTAAAAGTCCCAGCTATCAAGGGAAGGATATGCCTTCTTTTAGTAATGGTTGGCTTGCTGGGTTCCAATCTCGACGATCAATCAGAGCCTATAAACAGCATGGAGAGGAAGGCAGTGTCCCTGAGACTGCTTCTCAAGCAATGAGACCTATCCAACAGCTACTATCGACGTTTCAGCCAAATGATATCTACAACTGCGACGAGACGTCACTATTTTGGAAGCAGGTCCCAGATCGAAGCCTTTCAACACGCAGTATACCGGGCAAGAAGAAGGAAAAAGCAAGAATTTCAGTTTTATTTTGCTGCAATGCAGATGGTTCTGAACGCCTGCCACCATGCTTTATTGGTACAGCTAAAAAGCCTCGTGCTTTTACAGCTGCGGGAATCAATATTGAAAACTTTAATTGCCAATGGTATTCCAACCGCAAAGCCTGGATGTCAGGCCAGATTTTTGAGGGATGGCTCCGATGGTTTGATAATACTATGAGTGGACGAAAAGTGGTTCTTTTACTAGATCATTTTTCTGCTCATAAAGCTGCTTTCGAACAAATCGATGAAGGCCCTTCTCCTTTGAAAAATACCTTGGTTATTTGGCTTCCGCCTAATTCGACAAGCCATTTTCAACCTCTTGATCAGGGAATTATTCGAACTTGGAAGGCTTACTGGAAACGACGATGGGTGCGTTTTATCCTTGAAGAGTACGAAGAAGGACGAGACCCTTCAAGATCAATGCATGTCCTACATGCAGTTCGATGGGGTATTGAAGCTTGGGAATTTGATCTTTCATCCAAAACAATCCAGCGATGCTTTAATAAAGCTCTTCGTTCTGAGCAAATACAGCTCTCTGAGATCAATCCGATTATCTCTGATATTACTAGGGATTTTCAAGAGCTTCAGCATTCATCAAGGATCAGAGATCCTATGGATATTGACGACTTCATTAATCCGAACGATGAGGTTGTACAAGATAATATCCATGAGATAGATGATCTAATTCTTTCCCAATTTCAACCTGAAATTGAGCAAGAAGAGGATGAAATCATTCAAGAACTACCCTCTATCTCAATCAAGGAAGCTATTGATGCATTGGAAAGGCTTCGGTTGTACGAGGAGCAGCAACCTCAGGGTAGTTCTTCATTTTTGCGAGAGCTTTATAAACATGAAAGAGTGGTGAAAGGGAGAAAATTGGCAAACCAGGAGTAGAGGGATATTAGAAGTTATTTTAATGTCTGAATTTGATTATTGTGGTTATATATAATGGTTCTCGATATAGCGAATACTTAGATATAACGAATGAATTTAGCTGTCTGAATTGATTCGTTATAACCCGGTTTTACTGTATATCCAACGCTACCCTGAGCTCAAAACACGCTTTTCACGTCGATATGACTACAAACGCGCGTTATGTGATGATCCGAGGATTATACAAGAGTGGTTTGATCGATTCCGACAGGTCATTATTCAATATGGTATTCATGAGAATGATATCTGGAATTTTGACGAAACTGGCTTCGCAATGGGCCTAGCAAGCGCTTCACGTGTAGTCACACGTGCTGAATACTATGGCAAAAAAGAAACTTATACAGCCAGGTAATCGAGAGTGGGTTACAGCGATCGAGTGTATTAACCGATCTAATGTTCTCCCGTCGACTATTATCTTTAAAGGCAAAAACTTCAACTCAGCGTGGTTTACTACTACGCCAAGAGACTGGCGCTTTGAAGTTAGTGCAAATGGCTGGACTACGGATCAAATTATTCTTGCTTGGCTTGAAAAACACTTTATTCCGCATACTACCAACTGTCGACATGGGGTATGGCGGCTATTAGTGATGGATGGCCACGGAAGCCATGTTACACCTCGATTCGACGATATTTGCCAGCAAAACCAGATTATTCCAATCTGTATGCCTCCGCACTCTTCTCATTTACTTCAACATCTTGATATTGGCTGTTTTGCTGTTTTGAAACGGCTATACGGACAACACGTTCAGGCTAAGATGCGAAATGGCGTTAATCATATTGATAAGCTTGATTTTTCTGGCCTCATATCCTCAGGCGCGTACAGAGGCATATAAACCAGCTACGATATCAAATAGCTTCACCGCTGCAGGCCTTGTGCCATATGAGCCACAGCGAGTGCTTAATATTCTTGATATTCAGCTTCGAACACCAACCCCTCCAACCAGCCGTGGTAGTGATAGTAGCCGCGATTTCATACCTCACACGCCAATTCATCCAGTTGATATCCGACGGCAGGCCTCTTCAATCAAAGCACTACTACGGCAACGCTCATATACGCCCCCAAGTCCTGCTAAGATTGCGTTACAGCAGCTAATCAAGGGCGCTGAACAAGCAATTCATCAGATTGCTCTAGTAAGCAATGAGAATGAGCGGTTACGCGCTTAAAATGCCCACCAAATGCGAAAAAGGGCATTACCAAATCGGCGAATAGCTAATAATAGTGGGATGACCGTTGGTGAGGCTCAGGAGTGTATTGAGAAGGAGGCAAATGGTGTTGAAGCAGAGATCATGCACAATACGGCGGCGGCTGTGGTAGCGAATTTGGCCAATCAGAGAGCGCCGCCGAGGTGTTCAAATTGTTGGAATATATGGCATAAGAGAACTAGGTGCCCTAATTAGTGTGTGAACAGTGTTAATTGAATATATTGGTTGGTGGTTATTTTATATATATTTTCGTGGTAGGGTAGTTGGGTAGGTGATCCGCTGGCTTACATGATCCACTCGCTTACGGGTTACGTTATATCTAAGAATAGTCGTCTAGGTATCACTAACTTAAACAGTTAATATTAATATTTGATAATCGGATAGAAGATCAAGGTTGTTACAGTTATGTAAGATAGACTAGTGTCAAACACCTATATTGTAACGGGCCAGGTCCCGATCTATTGCCCAGGCCAGGCCTGTGCGATGTGATCTATCAACTTCCCAGGATATTTAGTCACCGCTGGCCACCCTCTATTTCTAAACTCCTCCAAGCTTCAGATAAACAGCATGTTGGCACCGCTCAATTGAAACAATTCGGCCGTAGCCCTTCACATATATATCATTTTTCTTTTTCTCCAAACTATAGACATGAAGGGCGAATGTTTTCTTTATCTGATGATTTGATATACGTATAAGATGAAAAAGCACTGCGGTTTTTCGACTAAAAAGCAGATTTTTTGGCTCGGTTGATATTGTTTAATCGTGGTAGCACGACCAAATAAGCCCCGCCCCAGATGGGCTCCGCATCATGCTCACCAAGTCATATAGAAAACTACCTGATCTTCACTGATTATCCATTCTGGCGAGATCATGCGTGAGATGCCCCTATCGGGCATAAATTGACACCAGTCACCTGGACTGTTCTAGTGGCGGATTAGAATTAGCCGCTGTGAAAAACTCGTCACAGGTACGCGCTCAGATGATGTGCCGAGTGCTCCCGCTGCGAAGTCTCTGGCGGGTGCTGATAGGCTGTCATAGTTATATATTTTCAACTCCTCTCTTTCAACAACTTGGACGATGGGCCTCACGGTTGGTTTTTGACCGGATTCCTGAACGCTGGATGAAAACATTTCGTAGATGGTATACGATACCAACGATGTAACCCATGGGGGATCACACTAGGCAATTCGGAGTGATTGGTATTTATTTCAACATTGACAACAATTGAATGTCCAACTGCTGCCTTATCAGACCGCAGCTGCCTTATCAGACCGACCACGTGCGATGTCATCATTCCTCGATTGTCTGCCTGAGGCTACCAAGACTCACACTCTCAGTTAACTAATAGTTAGTTACACTGTTCATGTGGGCCGATCGGATCCATTGTCCCCCCTCTTATTATTGCTCTTCGAGTCGGCGTGCAGCCCCCTCCCCCGTCCTCCCCTTCGCTTTCCTGCGCAATGATCCCAAGACCATCGAGTCGAGGTTTTGATTGGGTCATCGTGCAACGATGAGAAACCGGCGATAAGACCCCGTCGTGTGGCCGGGTAGCCTTGCTAGCCTCGCTAGGCTGGTTAGCTTCCCGGGAGCCGTGCACATCAGCGGGGACTCGGGCCCACCGAGGGGGTATCTGCAATCGGCCGTGACTGGCAGCGAAGATTGGGCGCGTCAAGGAGCGAGAGGAGATCCAATTCAATTGTGATGATCTCACGCCTGCTGTCAGTTGCTTTCCATCGAATAACCGGATCGACACGATCACGCTACCCACCGGACCAGCCGCATTATTGGCGGGACTGCGCCTCGAGGGACTGGAAGCGGCCTAGGGGGCCCCGCAGGCATCAGCTGCTCGTCCTCAGATGGCTTCACATTGTCCTATGAGGAGGTTGCCCGCAGGCGATGTTGTCATGCGGGCACACCGTACGGGTACCAGAACAATACTGGTAACGCCCGTACCATATTCTACGATCTGCTTTCCCGTAGGGTCGTACATACTAGTACATCAGCTGAGTATTGATTATATGGATGATCCGTACGGGGCATGTGGTTATGGGCCGCTCGAGTATTACTAGTACGAATACGGAGCGTAATTGACTCATCCTGAAATAGCCGCCTTGACTCACCCCATCGCCACTTGCCCTGACAAATCCATTGACTTCCTGCGCCTTCCCTTCCATCCTTATTTCATTCACCACATCAGCCCTCCATCTTCTTTGCCCTTTCCCTTCCCTCCCCCTTCCCCCTCTCCATCATCACACACTCACCAAACACCCCCTACTCCTCAATTCCCATCATTGAATCCAAAATCAGAACTCGGTTTTCCATTGGACTCTTGAAACACCACCTGCTCCCCTTTCTGCTGCCTGGAAATGACCGTTGGGTCGCAACCCCCAGGCAAACACCCAACAATGAACCGTCTACCGGTATCAAGCCTCATGTCTCCCCCCGAGTCGAAGCCGATCGAGAGCTTCCACTCTACATCTCCTTTTACCAAACCGGAATCTACTTCCTCGCTGGGCGACATCAAACTACCCCCCATCTCAGCTGATCGCAAGCGCACACAGTCGGAGATGGACCTGCCCTCACCACCGGTGACCCCGTACACAGGCACCAAGAAGCGTCGGTCGCATACCGCCGACCAAATCGATCGTGATGTCGGTTCCTCGCGGGACCCCGTTCTCTTTCCCCGTCATGACTCTCACTCCCAGCCTGGGGCCGACGAGCCCCTATTTGGACCCATTGCCCCGCCGGCGGCTGCGGCGCTGGTCGACCAACATATCATTTCGCACATGGCTCGCTTTGAGAATAAGCGAAATAAGCCGACTCGGGATGAGTACTTGCTGGCCTTGTCATGCGTGCCGATTGTCGCGACCCAGTATAACCGCAACCCGGCCGCCTGGGCTCGGGAAGAGCGAGAGACACTCGAACGCCAGCTGGTCATGATGAATCGCAGCCGACCCGCCGATCCAGACGCTCGTCTGAAGAAGATTGCCCCCGCCCCCGCGAAGAAAGTTGGGGGCGTCGCCCCGCCCCGTACGCCGCGGACCCGCGTGAGGCGCACTCCCAAATCTACCCCTAATCAACCACCCCTCGACTCCTTTGAGTCTCCCCCCTCGGCCAAGCCCCGTGCGCTCGGTACCAACCGGGATGACACGGATTTCCATGCCCTGCAGGACTTCTCACCTCCCATGGATTCCCTGCAGGGCAACGCGAAGGCACTCAAGGCCGACTGGAAAGGGCAAGTGCTGGATTTGAGCAATGACCCGGACCGACATCTGCTCAGTCCCGCCGAGCTCAATCTGGCCTCCACACTGCGACTTTCGTGTGCGACCTACCTCTGCAGCAAGCGACGCATCTTCGAGGCTCGCGTCCGCGCCCTGACCGTGGGCAAGGAGTTCCGCAAGACAGATGCCCAGCAGGCCTGCAAGATTGATGTCAATAAAGCTAGCAAGTTATGGACCGCCTACGACCGTGTCGGTTGGTTCCACGAAGACTTATTCCGCCAATATCTGAGATAGACTTTCGATTTGCATTGGGGGATCAACTCCCCTCGTGTTTGATGTTTCGCGGCACCCATTCTCGGCATCCTGCCACGAACCTCTCCGCTTCCCCTTTACTTCCCTCAACCCTCCTACATACAAACATACAACTTCCTCTCCCAGGCTTTTGCGTTGTTCACCAGATTCGGTGCCAAAAGACTATCGGATATCTTGATCTCGAGAAAACTGACCGCCCGCCTCCGTCGGGCCGAACGAGTATTAATCTTCATTGACTTTCAGCCCTGGTCTGCTATCTTGCTCGACTCTCGAGGCAGATTTCTGCAAGGTCCCCTTTCTATCCTTCCGAACGGCATCTGGGATTCTTCGCCTCCTTGCTATTACTTTTATCTCTTCGGTCTTGGGCTGTCCATTGTTTGTCCTTGGCTGTTCATTTCAAGTCATGCCCACAACGCATAACGACACAATCCTTTCGCGTTTCTCTATACTTTGCTCTTTGTTTTAACGTGGTCGTTTCCTCTTCGATTTTCATTTGCTTGCATATATTGTCGGCTTGCATATGGAGAGTGAGAGTGGCTGATGCATGGCCTATCCTCTTTGTGCTACTTTGATACTGGATATGGCGTTTTGGTTGAACCCGTTTGCTTTTTTCATCTTTCATGATTCCTGTCCTTGATTTTTCGTTATCCCCCATCTAGAATGGCAGGTCTGGGATGATATGCGGTGTTTCGTTTTTTGCCTTCTTGTTGGATTCCCTCCCTTCTTAAGGGATTTTTATGGCAGCACACGGGATGATATGATACCCTGACCAGATACGATTCTTTTTCCCCCTTTAATGAGATTCAGCATTCATATACAAATTTGCAGCAAACATTGTAGATATGAATGCTCATCCCAGTGGTAGTTCCCATCCGATCGCGCCCACAGTAGGGCTGGCCGTTCTAAAAATAATGCTACGTCATCCAGGCGTACATCGGGCCAGTATAAATCAGACTGTGGCGTGAGGCGGTTCGCGTGTGGGGCTCAACTGCCAATCCGCGCTATCCCATCCAGCACCGCCCGGCAGCCGCCTTTTCCTGACGTCTCCCTCGTTTGCGTCTCTCCTCCCGCCATCCCTCCTCACATCCACTTTCGCGAACGTCGTCGCCATGTCGCAGGCAGATGTGACTCGCGCCGAGTCCATCGATGAACAGGAGCGCGCCCGCGCTGCCGAAGCCGACAAGAAGCCCAAGTCTCGGAGACCAGCCAGTGCGCATCACCCACACCCTCCCCCTACTCCGATTCCCGATTCCCGATCCCGATCCTACTTTTTTTGTCTTCTTAGACTAACTCAACGCGCCAGACACCGCTTTTCGACAGCAGCGATTGAAGGCCTGGCAGTAAGCTTGTCGTTCCGAGAGTTCCTTTGCTCCCCCTGGATGTGCTGACATCTTTCCGTCTAGACCGATTTTGACCCCTAAAAGCGTTCTGCCTTTGTTCTTCATTGTGGGCGTTCTTTTTGCCCCCATTGGAGGTGTCTTGATTTGGGCAAGCTCCCAAGTACGTTGCGCTTGGATTACTTCAACCCGCATGTGTGTCACTGACATAGCCCTCCGTTCAGGTCCAAGAGCTAGTCATCGATTATACCGACTGCGCCAAGAATGCACCCACCGAGACATGGGAAGGAATCCCGGCCCAAGTGTCGGCTACTTTCTCATCTAAAAACCAAGTACACACACCCTCATGGAGACGATATAACGAGTCCGGCGACACCATCTGCTCTCTTCAGTTTGAACTCCCGAACACGATCGGACCACCGGTGTTCCTCTACTATCGCCTCACCAATTTCTACCAAAACCACCGCCGATATGTTCAGTCCCTTAACTTAGAGCAGTTGAAGGGTACTGCTGTTAAAAACAATTCGGTCACGGGTGGCACGTGTTCTCCTTTGGCCTACTCCGAAGAGCACCAAAAGGCCATTTATCCTTGTGGTTTGATCGCAAACTCCATGTTCAATGACAGTATTCCCAATCCCCAATTCCTCTCAGCTGACGCTGGTCCGGAAGGGGTAACATATAACATGACGAACAAAGGGATTGCGTGGTCAAGTGACAAGAATTTGATCAAGAAGACAGCATACAGCCAATACGATGTAGTACCCCCACCTAACTGGGTGCGTTACAACTACTCAGAAAACGGTATTCCGGATCTGCACGAAAACGAGGAGTTCATGGTTTGGATGCGTACTGCTGGACTGCCATCCTTCAGCAAGTTGGCCCGCCGAAATGACGACGAACCCATGGCCAAGGGTACCTACCAGCTCAATATCACTGATTGTAAGACGCCCTGTTGATCTCTTCTTGAAGCCCGTTGCTAATGCGACTTCCACTGGTTTTAGTCTTCGATGTTTCCCAATTCTCTGGAACAAAGGCGATTCTCATCTCGACCCGCACCGTTGTTGGCGGGAAAAACCCCTTCATGGGAATTGCTTATGTCGTTGTAGGAGGTGTTTGCGTGCTCCTAGGGGCTTTATTCACCATTGCCTACTTAGTACGGCCCAGGTATGACATTGACTTACTCCATGTGTGCAGTATGATATTGGCTAATTTTATTGTCTTTTCCTCTTCTAGAAAACTGGGTGATCACACCTATTTGACCTGGGATTCTACCAACCAGCCTACTACAGCAATGGCTACAGGGCGAGATGATCGGATGCGACCCAGCGCTCCCTAGAACAATTTGACGCCGCAAAGATCTGAAAAGTAAAGAAACAAAAAAAAAAGAGAAAAAAAAAAAAAAAACCCAAAAGAAAAAGCTGGGGGAAAAAAGGCATTTTGCCCGCTTCTTTTTGGTTCTTTTTTGTGTTTCAGTATGCAAATCGGCCTCGGTGAATAAGTGGACCGTTCCGGATTGGGGGTTTACAAGGAGTTCTCATGTATCTATCCAACATTGTCACAACAACAAGCATTCTTTCTTCTTTTCCATCCTTGAATGACCTCATCGTGTCAACTGAAGAATTGACCGGCGCCTCGGATCGCCAATGAAATTCCCAGTCTGTCTCCGCTGTGCTTGTTTTTCCCGCGTCGATCCCCGTCCCCCTTGCCTGGAGCATGCATTCCAACATGACGCCGCATTCTCCGAGCTCATGGTATCGGGACAGCACATTGCGGATTGGAAGGTGGCAATTCGGTCATATAGCGAATGGCTCGCGGATCAAAGGGATATTTCCATCTAGTTCTCTCTCGGGTGTGACGGGGGACATCGCGACACTCGGGCGCTCCAACACCAAACACCATGGTCTGTCACTCATTTGCTCCGCTCGTGGTTCTTGTCGCAGTCCTATTCTTCCTGCAGGCCCAAGGAAGCCCTGTGGTGTTCCAAAAACGCGGCATCTGCGCCACCACGGATCCAGATCCTTCCTTTCTCGACGCCCTTCAAAATGTCCGATCTGATGAGACCCGGCCAGACGAAGTTGGCTCCGAAGCCCGTCACGCACCCATCGAGATCGGAACATGGTTCCATGTTGTGAGCAGCAAGGCACAATCCTCAGAGGTCTCTGATGACATGATCAATTCCCAGGTTAGCAGCCCCGCAGCCTAAACCAGTGCCAGAGGATTGGCTGGGACTTCGTAGAGCTAAAGAAGTTCCACAGCTTTCCATTCTTAAAGACGCCTACCGAGATGCTGGCATCACATATCGATTGCAGGGCGTGACACGCAGCGTGAACGATGCCTGGTCTCGCGATGAAGATGATATTGGAATGAAGACCGCTCTTCGCAAGGGCAGCTATCGCACTCTCAATGTCTACTTTCAAACCAATTTGCAAGCAGCACCTGGGCAGTCTGGACGTGCCCATGTCGACGCGCGAGCCGCAGGTCTTGCAGATGATCTATCAGCGAGCGTATTGGGATTCTGCACCCTTCCTGACCCCAAGGTGAACGCAAGCAGTCCGCGTGGCGACTATATCAAAGATGGTTGCAATGTTTTGGCCAAGACACTCCCCGGGGGTTCTCTGGACCTCTATAATCGAGGCGGTACCACTATCCACGAAATTGGACACTGGAATGGCCTCCTGCACACTTTCCAGGGAGAGTCCTGTGATCCCAGCAATCCTGGCGACTATATTAGTGATACGCCGCAGCAATCTTCACCCACCTCCGGGTGCCCTGCTCGCAGGAATTCTTGCCCTGACTTACCTGGAGACGATTTAGTGCACGATTTCATGGACTACTCATCTGATGTCTGTTACGATAGCTTCACGCCTGGCCAGATCAAACGTATGAGAAATATGTGGGCGAGCATGAGAGAAGGTAAATGAGTTGGATCTAGTCACCCTCATTTCGCGTCAGTTGCTGTACCATTTGCATGTCATCTACACTGCTTTCACACTTTACGTGCCTAGTGCATGTCTTTCAATTCGGATCATATAAAAACAAATTCCATAGAGAGGCACTCCATTTTTACCTTTGAAAATACAAAGCTTGGCTCTTCAACCAGCAAAATAGTAAACACGCAGGTCTCATAAGAAAGCCCCATTCGTGAAGGAGAAGAACAAATACAAAATGGGCATATCCAGGTGTCGTGGCCAAGCTGGCTTGACCGTGATCAGACAGCCTTTCAACGCTTCCGCTTCTTGCCACGGTCATCATCCTCCATGTGCGCCTCCTTGTCCTGACGCTTGGCCTTCTTCTCGAGTTCATCCCAATCCTCGCCACTCTCCTCACCGCTGAAGTCTCCCTCATCTTCACTAGCGTCGGCACTAGCATCGTCATCATACTCCTCACTGTCTTCCTCGGAGCTCTCATCACCCATCTCGTCCTCGGATAGTTCAAAGGCAGACTCTTCTTCCTCCTCCGAGCCTTCGGAGTCTGACTCGGCAGCCAAGAATGACCAACCACCATCTGCGAAGAAGCCATACGGATCACTGACGACTGTCTTCATGATGGTAGTCCAGTTCAAATTAAGCGGACCCTCAGTGTAAGCGATATCGACAGAGTCAAGCCAATCCTTCACACCCTCCAAGGCCTCGACGGGAATAGTGTTAACATGCACCGGAGGACGGTGGAAGTCCTTGAAGACAAAGACCATATCAAAGTTTTTAAGACCGAACTGTATCTCAGCGTTAGCAACTGACAATAAAAATAAAAATATAATAGAAAATTAATAATATCGTACCTGAACCCGTTCCAGATGAGCAATTTCAATTTCATTCAAGGTGATAACCATGAAAGGAGGCTCGGTGAGCTGGACGAGAGTATCCGTTGTCGGCTGGATGAGGACGTTGGAGCGGTTGGGAACACCGGTGAAACCAATCTCTCGGAAAGGAATGTCGACATCGACGCCCTCATCCTTCCCAGCATCCGCGACCTTTTCCGCAAATGTCTTGAATTCACGGTTCAAGGCGGTTCTGCGGCGTCTTTCTTCCTGCTCAGCCTCAAATTCCTCGTCGTCGCCGTAGCGATGTTTGCGGCGACGGTTGCCTGTTTCATCGAACTGCATTTCGGTGGCCTCGCGATAGAACTGCACGTCTCTTGTTTTTCTCTTGCCGATCATGATGGGCGTCTTGAGGTGCACGTGAATCAATACAATTAATTCATGGTCACAAGGCTGGAAGAATAGATGCTTGACGTTGCTGAACAGCACGTCGACGTGTTCGTTGCGGAAAGGCGAAAGGTAACGAAGACCATTCTGGTGAATCTCCACCTCTCCAGGAACACGCTTTCCATCGAGGGGAGGACGAAGGTAAACGTCGGGAAGCTTGACAGGGCGACGGTCTGGTGAAGATTAGCAATTGTGGGTAATTTCTCCCTGAGAGAGGAGGCGACTTACTTCTAATCTCAATGAGCTTATCTTGCTCGACGACATCCTCCATTTCTTTCTTCTCTTGTTCCCGTCGCAGGGCGGTCTTTCGAAGTTCAGTAATGTCCTGTGCAACCGCTGCCAGCCGTTCATTATTCTTGGACCGCAAAGTAAGGTTGCGGACGAAGTGAGCTGACGGGTCTTCGAACGGCTGGTCATCCTTTCGGCCTACACCCTGGCCTGGGGACAGGAAGTTGATACGCAAATAAGCATATTCACCTTCATCGCTCTTGCTAGCGTTCTTGATGGTGTTGATATGGAAAGGCACCGGGCGTCCCATGACTGGCACAATGACAGTTGAGGCCTTGTGGTCGACGTACACCGTCAAGTCTTTGACCTTGGTGGGCAATTGATTATCACGTTTGTAAGACTCGAAACGCTTGAACTTCTTTTGAGCCACACCATTGTCGTCCCCAGTAGTACCGGTAAACCTGTCGAGGCCCTCCTTGGTCTTCTTCGCAGCCAGCTCTTTTTGATGCTCACGACGGCGGGCCTCGGCACCTTCGTTAACCTGGGTCGGACGCTCGGCACGAAGCTTCGTTCGGGTCACATTTCGACTGGTCAAAGCACTCGACTTGGGCTCCTTCTCTTTTACTGGCTTCTCTGGTTCTTCTTCATCTCCGAAGTAGAAGGAGACCGAGTCCATGTCGACGCCAGCATCTTTGGTGAAGATGTGAGGTCCGCTCTCCCCGACTCGAACCGTATCGGTGATGACCATGGAGTAGACACCGTTGCCCTTTGCTTCAGTGTCCTTGAGATCAGTGAAACCGACGCTGATAGAAAGGGTCATGCCATTCTTCAGAACACGGTTGTTCTTAGCATTGAGGACCATGTTCGAATCGCGCAATTCGATGCCAATTCCTGCTCCAACATTCTTGGTCAAGTGGTTTTCAAGCTCAGGCTTCTTCGATTTCACCAGGCTAAGTGCCTTGTTGTAAAGCTCCTTAGCGACCACGCCATCACGGATCTCCTTCATCACAGCATCGTGAACGTTGAGCAGGAGGGAGTAATTCGCTTCTTGCGATTTGCTCGGATCCACCAAATAAGTACGTCCAATAAGCGAGTTGTACGTCTTGTACCGGATACCAAAGCTAGAAAGAATGATTCCCGGCTTGAGATTGTTCCCATCAGGTGTCGCCGTGAGCTTCAAATCATAGGCCCCACCGCTTTGGACCACAGGACCGTAAGCCCAGTCGATCTGCTCAGCATCGAACTCGGCGGGCATGCGAGCCAATTTATTAAAAAACTTGGCATCATCGATCTTGCCATCGACCTTGGCAGCAAGAGCCTTGTGGGTCATTTGCTTTTCCTCGTCCAGAAGTCGAGACATTTCATCAACAAAGTACTCCGACATCAGACCACTGCATGTCCTGGAAGCATTGCGAATAGAAACCTGTATTGAATTAGCAGCCACATCGAATTAGTCACACGGCGACACACAACTGACCAATTCTTCGGGATCCTTGATTGCAAAAGCAGCTGAAAGGGCAGGTGTGATATCGACTTCATCCACCTCCTTGTTGTTGTCCTTGAAATTCTTGTATGCGCCTTTCCACTCATCGGCGAAAGGACCGGTCGTTGTGTCTTTCGGGAGGGTGCCAACTTTGTTCTAATACATTATAATCAGTCCAGAGCACTCTTAATCGGGCGGAGACTTCAAAGAGAAAGAACATACTCCTGCTTCTTTGATGACCTTCAAGCACTTATCGAAAGCCTTCGTCTTAGTTTCAGGATCCTTGGTAGTCACCAAAAGTTCAACCGGAATCTTGCCACCCTTCAAGGGTTCCAGAAGTTCAGCTGTAGAAATCCAATATCAGCACTGTCCAATCGCGGCGAGGTAGTTTGGAGTACCTTTCTTGGATGTGGTGACAACATAGACGGCTTCCATGGTCAGGACAAAAAGGGTAGCTGGGAATTCGTATCCAAGAAGCCAGAACTGAAGAATTTGTGCGTTAGCAACAGGATACACCACTCGATTGAGGACGGTAAAATATCAAATGAGGAGAGAGGCAGTTGACATACGTGCATGGCGTTATTTTTCTGAAAGGAGCTCTCATCGGAGTTGGTCTTGCCCATCAGAATGATGATTGATTCGGCGCCACCAAAGAGGGTGTTGCCTGATCGCTTGTCCGTCTTCCATGACGCATAGAAACTGGACAGGTGGTTGAAAAAGTTCTTCTTGTCAATCGCAACCTTCTCGGCCATGTTGGCGATCTGGTGCAAGGCAAAGCTTGCCGGCAGCAGCGAGAGTCTGACGGGGGGAGGTTGGAAACTAGACGGAGAATCGAAGTCGCATACAATGGAGGTAGTCGGTGGTGGGGGTAACGATGAGCAATAAGTGAGGGTGGATGAAGGGAAGGAAGGTGTCGGCAGCCTAAGGAACGCGAAAAGCGCGTTTTGGCGGAGTCGGTCCCAGCGGGCTCCCGTGCTCAGTTTTGCCTCTTCAGGACTAGCGTGGGTTTTGGCGTGCTGGCTCGGACAGCATTCAAGCAAGAACTACTAGACCATACTTCCAAGAATAACTTTGAGACTTTGGTTTAGGTGGCTGTCCACCCTTATGAAACCTGATTTTCTTTTCAGTTCAACCATGGAAACAAATATATATACATAACTCAACAACAGACAGTTTATTTTGTATTGCCTGAATGAATCAGGATCAAGGATCAATTTGTATCTCGCTCAGTGCCTTTGTCCTACGTTCAGAGTGCTTGAAAGTGAAGAGAGAAGGTTCAATTGCGGGGTTGGAGTAGGCAGCGAATTTAGTAGCAATTACCATCCAAAAGCAAGGCAGCGAAAGACAACCAGCAGGAACGATTATGATTACGATACGAAGTCTAGGACAGCCAGGGAAACCTGCGAACGTTGCAAATTGCTTCGTAATTGTGCGGCCCTGTCCAAACCTGACAGCTTAGAGGAACCATTTGGTTCCAAACTAGTGTTGCAAAAAATGCCATACATGTCGTGAACTTTTTTGTTTTCCTATGATCAGAAGACAATGAATGCCATATTTGACCAGTAATTGACATCTCAAAAGAAACACCACCCTAAAAGTGTCTCGCCATTTAAACGGTCTCCAGAACCTGCTCCTTGAACTCCCGCTCAACCTTCTGGCCCTTGTCGTCAGTGGCCGACTCACCGTGGAGGGAGAGAAGGGCACCGAGGTCGAACTTGGGCTGCTTCAGCAGCTTGACCTTGCGGATGTGGACCTTAAAAAAAAATCAGCATTTTGTACAAACATGGACCGATGGTAAGGATAATGCCACATACGTTCTGCAGGGGGTAGATGCCCTGGGTGGACTTCTCGATCTCGCGGCCAATAACCTCGGGGATGAGCTTGTGGGTGAGCTGAGACAGAGTGCAGCTAGCGGCCTCGCGCTGAATGATCTCGGTCATCTTCTTGCGGATGGCACGGATTTGAGAAGAGCGGGCGTAGGTGGTCTTCTTGATCTGGTTGGGGCGACGCTTGGTGAAAGCAATGGCGAACAGGCGAAGGAGGTAGTCGTCAGTGGTCTTCACGGTGACGTTGGCCTCAATGAGAGTCTGCCACTTGCGGACCAGGGAGCGCAGCTTATCGGTGGTGAAGTCCAGGCCGTGGAAGTTGGTCAAGCAGTTCTTGCCCTGAATCTCGTCGACGCGGAGCTTGACCTTGCGGAAGGAGTGGTCCTCATCGTTCTGAAGGTCAGCGAGGGAGACCTCGAAGATACGGCCCTTCAGGGAGTCGTTGGCGTTCTTCAGACCGCTGGTGCGGTTGACAAGGGTCTTGCCGACACTTGGGGTTCCGTTAGCACAAGTTGTTTCACGTCCGTTGATCGGTTGTCAAAATGGAGGGGGCTCCTACTCGCGAGTCTGGAAGGTGGAGGGGGCCTGGTTAAGACTGTTAGCAAAACTGCCAGAATTGAACGATTAGACGGTGCGAAAAAAAGTTGTGCTACTCACCTTCACGGAGTACTCATCCTTGCGGGAGAAGGGGTCGACTGTGCGCTTCTTGATACCCTTCTTACCCTTCGAAAGGCGCTTGTTCCTAAATATCGGTAGATTAGCCGATTGTTTCGAGGCGAGGATTAAGACGGGCGTGGCTAGCAGGGGCCGAGATAGAGGATGGCGACGTACTTGCCAACAGCCATTGCGAATCGGGTCTATCTGTTAGTTAGTTGAAGACAGACAAAGGTATCGCACCACGGCGCTCGGAGGGATTCGAGATTCACGCTGCACGGCGACGGGAGGGTTGGAAATCAAAAACCCACAGAAAACTCGGCTAAGCGAGGCCCTACTGCTGAAGTAAGCGACCCGCACGTGACACACACTCACAAATTTACCACTCGGGAGGTGCGCCAATGAGAGCTGGCAGGGGTGATGGGGTGCCCTGGGGCTGTTGTTCGTACGTCAGTCGCCACTCGTCAACTAAGTATGCTGTTGCCGTTCTATTTGCTTCTTGGCTACCTGCAGGAGTAAAAAGCCCTAGTTTAGTGTAGGCTAGTCTTTTTTTACTCTTTTGATTCAGTTTTTCTCAGTGAAAGACAAATTGTAATGTTTTCGTAGGTTTGGCTACATATAACTGAAATAAGGTCAGTGTCAAAGCTAGAATGTCCTGAACCTAGCTATATCGATGCTGTTCTTAATGTTGAAGACTGGCTACTTTGGCTAAGGTAGCCTTGGCCTGCAATCAGAATGGAGACGGCGCGGAAGACCCGTTCTTCCGGCTCCCGTACTCCGCACGCGCCAACCCCTCACAACTTCCACCTCTCCGCGGTCTCGAGCATTCACTATATCCTGAGATGGTACGTCTCATTATTGCACCATTCTTCACAGAATGAAGCTTGGCTAACCAGAACGCGCTACAGGGAAAGCGCAAGAAGTCCAGCCGAACTCCCCAAGGGCCGCGCAAGGTGCGACACACTCCCCCATTTCACTATCCAATCTCGACTAACGCAAATCAGCGGGAACCCCTTGCGACCACTTTCTCCTGTCTCTTTTGCAACCACGAGAACTCCGTGGTCGTCAAGCTAGACAAGAAATCCGGCGTTGGCGACTTGTCATGCAAAGTCTGCGGACAGAAGTACCAGACAGGCATCAATTGTAGGTGCATCCCGAGCTATGTGCCGACTGCGCCTTCGAGCTAACTCACAACCTGTCAGATTTGTCGGCCGCCGTGGATGTTTACTCAGACTGGGTCGACGCGTGCGATTCCGTGGCCAAGGGAACCGCCAATGACTACGATGGGACCGTGGGTTCGCAGCCGGCAAGCAACAGGCAGGATGCGCCGGGTGCAGGAGAAACCTATGAAGATGAGGACTTTTGATTAGTTTATGAAAGGGGGCGAACGGCGCATGCTCATATCACATAGGTATTAATTCGAGGAAGGTTACTTGCGGCGCATCTGAAAAAATCGATCTGTTTCTTTCGCCCGTGGACGCGGTCTTCTCGACAATTAGACGGAATTGATCCTTCTTATCATGCACTAATATTACATGGTATGTAATGGGCTACCTGGGAGTATTTCGACGTGGTCAAATGAAATATCCATCGCTATGTTGGGGCTACCCATAATACTATAAGCCTGAGGAACTGGGCAACTTGTGCGTCAGGTCTCAATTTACTGTGACACATCCTATCGGGGCTACAGTGTGTAATATCGGTCACCAAAATCCCCCAGTCCTGGGACAATGTACCTGCAACCCTGTTAGTTCTGTGAGATCTACCGAAGGGGTTGTGGCCGAGTGTGTACTTCTTGTCATCCAGCCCTTGGTCGATGAATGCAGTGACGACCCTCAGTTTAGGGAATCTCTCTGCAAACTCGGCAACACCGGAGGGGCTCGCAATGAGATTCAGGAACAGAATCCGATGTTCAGGAACTCCTTTCTCCTTGAGAACCTCGACCGCCAGGGTTGCGGATCCGCCTTTTTGTATAGTTAGAAGGGCTATAAGAGAAGGGACGTTGGGACTCACCAGTTGCAAACATAGGGTCAAGCAGAAGTACCCATCGGTCGGCAATATCAGCAGGAAGCTTGTCATAGAATAGTTTGGGCATGCAAGTCTCCTCGTCTCTTTGGATCAGGATCTTGCCGATGCGGACTGACCGGCAGCAGTCCCTCAGCCCCTGCTCCATAGCCTCTCCTGCTCTCATAATGGACACTCCGCAGATCTTCCCCTCAAACTTGACCCCCAGATAAGCCCTACCAACGGGGGTAGTGACCGATTGCTCTACCACTGGGAGGTGGTTCAGCCCCTCTTCCACCAGCAGTCGAATGATACGGTTGGAATAGAAGATAAAATCTGCACGAGTGGTGCGCCCGTCTCGGATCATGCTGTTGAAGTATTAGACATCATACTCAAGTCACCGGCACTTGATAGTAATTCTCACGTCAAAAGAGCGATCAGTTGAGGCGTTTGGGGGAGCACGTGGACATTCTCGTAGGAGACCTCCTTGGAGACAGTCGCAGTAGGCTTCTCGCCGTCGGGACGATAGATGGGGCCAACGCCCTGTGCGGGAGAGGGGAACCTGTTCCTTGCTATCCATGGTGTCGAGTAAGTCAAGTATAAAAGAGCAAGGGTCCCGAGAAGAAGTAGTCGTAAAGCGGGGAGGGTTTTTTCTCTTATCGCGTATCTCATGGTCCGAGTGGACTCCGCACTCTTGCGCCTCCGACCTCCGCCCGTCGCATTCCAACTTCTCCCAAATCCGCATTAGTGGCACCGCAATTGCAGAAGGCGCCAGCTCAATACCCCTGGTGTGGTCGCTGGGACATCTCAACGAACTTGCGACTCGGCTTCTCAGAGTTGTATCTCATTCCTGTCTCTCGAGCCTATATGAACTGACCCACAGCACGGTCCCTTGACATCTTACCATCTCCGCTGGTGAACTCATGCTGCATCCGGCATGTCTCTAGTGCCACCAAAATACCTGCAATCGATTCTATATGATCCTAGGAACCGCAGTATTTGACCGAAGACTACCATTGCGAGTACTTTCGTCCCGAATGAAATGCGCCGCGCTTTGACGTCAAACGTGAATCGCGACAATGAATCATTCACTTCCCCGACACCGCAAACCGGTGACCTACGAATCTTCTTCCAGAAAACAGTCCACAACAAAGACCATTCCTCCACGTGAATCCCGAACTCCTTCAAATAGACCCCGACCGTCTGAAAACTCCACCGAGATGCCCAAAGTCGCAAAAACAAACAAACGCTCAAGAGCCCCTACCTTAAATATGGCAGCCGCTTCTGCGGGACCACCACAAGCTACAGATGATAGTATCTACGACATCCCGTCCACCGACGAGGAAGACACTAATCGCTTCCTGCGACGGAAGCGACGAAGAGGCGGCCTTGATGGCGTGACTGCATCGCATCAAGGCTCTCTGGTTTCCAGCAAGCCAAATGCTGGGGAAAATGGCAAGCATCAAAGAGACACGAAAGTAACTCGAGCCAACCCTGAGATAACACCCCAACGGGCGAGGAAAAGCCCGCAAGACCGAAGGAGGCCACAGGCCCAAAAGCAAGATAGCGGATCTTCACAGCCCAGTCCTAGGAGATTGAGAGTAACACCGCCATCAATCCGTACCAAGAGACAACAGCAAGGGGAACTCTCTTCGGATGATGAATTGCAAGGGCCGGTGACACAGAAGAGATCACTGCAGACTGTGAAAGAGCCTAAGCTTAGCGTTCAACCGCCATCGTCTCTGAGCTCTCGAAAGCATACAGAAAGCATTGCGGGGAACACAACACCCGGCCGAAGGAGACTGATTGACTCACTTGGGGTCAGAGAACAGTCAGTTAGCGGGTCATCACTAAAGGACCCTGGTGACAGTCAATTATCTTCACCAATCGCCACCCAGAGTCCAATCCGACCAAGGGAGGTCGAACCCCCCAATACCCCGATCGATAATCAGTTTGGGGGGCCCAAAATAGAACCCAATGCCGCGCCGTCGCCCCATCTTCAAGGCTCGAAGGTCACATATGCTCGCCAACGCTCTTTCCTGGATGATCTTTCTATGGCAGGGGGCCCTCCGGCAGGAATGGAAGAGACAGGCTTGTTAAGTCCTCAAGGACCAACTGCAGCAATCCCTCGGGCTCGGCTCTTTGCTATAGAAGATGTCGCAAACGATGATGGGTCTGTTCGAAGCATTCATGAGCTCAGACAGGCCGGAGGAAACGCCCGATATCGAAGTGCTGTGGAGTCTATTTTCGAAGACATCGAAGACAAACACATTTCTGTATCAGGTCGATGCAGTGCATTGACTCAGATATGCGACAAACTACTCGATCCAAAGCAAGCCAGGCAATTTGTCGATTGCGGATTCGATAAGAGACTCGTGGACTTTTTGTCCAGGGATATGGATGCAGTCACTGCAACTCTTACCCTTTGCGCATTTGGCTTAAGCTCCATGGGTAGGTCTATGCCATATATCCTCGCGACCGGCGCGTGGCCGAAACTTTTGGATACGGCTTCTCAGCTCCTGGATGATAAAAAAGACATGTCCGCCATGATTCGTGCGCGGGAAAACAATTTGTCCAAGGCCACACAAGCAATGATTCAAGATATCCTACCGCGGGTCAAATCAGTGTTATTTGAGGGAGACACTATGTCGAAACTTTCGCCTTGTCTGTTGACGCTTCTCTGCTTGCAGATGGCCATTTCAGCATTCCAGGCGAAGGGTGAGAGTCCCAGCGGTCTTCCTACATCCTTACTGGGACAATTGGTCAACCTCTTGCTTTCTGAAAGCCTCAATGGGGCCCAAAAAAGCCCGGAGAGATCGCAAGTGCTCATTTTGGGGCTGACGGTCCTGGAGGCACACACAACGTCGAGCGATCTTTTCTGGGAAGACCATCGTGATATCTTGAAATTACTGCCTCAAACCTATGGCTTGCTTAGGGTCCTCGACGAGTCAGATGAGACCAGCCAGGAGCTTCAGACTCTCTACATTCGTGTAATTTTGAACATCACCAACAGCAACGGCGGTCTATGTGATGATTATGCGACACCAGCGATGATCGACGGGCTATCTGAGATCGTCATGAGCAGATTCAATGATATGACCAAGGAGACACTCTCTCAGCCTGAAGGCAAGACTTCCCTTGATACGGTGATCCTAGCGCTGGGAGCTCTTATCAACATGACGGAACAAAGTGAAACATCTCGTAGCATGTTTCTCAATCTTTCTCGGGGCACGCAGTCCCTTCTTGATCGACTCCTGGATTTATTTTTGGCACATGTGGAATCGACTGCCCAGGTATGTACAACTCACTTCACCCTCCAGCCAGACTGTTGCTTACGAAAATTCCAGGCCGATTCCGTCCCTGAGGTCCATCATAACGTGGCGGTGGGGTATTTGGCTGTTCTCCTGCTATCACTCTGCCTCGATCGCGACGTACGCCTGCATGTTAAGGAAGTTCTACACCCCAAAGGCCTGTCAGTGGTCGTGTCAACTGTGGACGAGTTCATGCAATATCACCGAAAGATTGAACAGGAGCTATATCCCATGCAGGAAAAGAGAGAGGCAGGGGGCTTTCTCGGGCGGCTTCAAGATCTTGTTGGCCAGATCCAACTTACTGGGGGGTAATTGTCGACGCGATAGTGGCACATTTCCCCGAACCTCCCTCTGTACGTTTTTGCTTATTGAGACTTGAGCACTGATTCCTGGAATAGAGTGGCGTTAGGTGATATTGGTGATCACAATATTATACCCCTTTTTTCTTGTGGCTAAGTGGCACAACAGACTAGCGAGAATCTATATACTTTTTGGAAGAAACCAAGGACTTGAAGTGAATAAAGGAATCAATACAACCAGGACACATCTACGTCGAAGTACACAATATTCTAGAATTCCAGGCTAGTTCAAATAGGGTAGATACAACCGTAGGCGTGGAAGTCCGATCGATCGATCGAGCCCGGGTATCTAATCGGCTGTTTGCAGTGTTTGCACGTTGAGCTCCGTCGCCTCATTGGAACTTTGCCACCCGTCGAGAACACGCTGTTTCACCTACACCAATCAACCGGTCATCTCTTCGACCTTTTCAATTCATCGAGTCTGTGCATCCGACCGCTTCTCTCTCTAATTTGTTCTTGTGCTCGCGCTCGTTACGTTCATCCCCTACAAGATGCCTGCCGCACCGAAGCAGAGGAAGATCGCCATTGTCGGTAGTCGGTCCGTGGGTATGAAGACCTCTTCTCTGTACATTTTCGAGCCGCATGGCAAGAGAAAACCGCTCTTCCTAACATTGAATATTTTGTGTTACAGGAAAATCTTCGCTCACAGTTCGCTTCGTCGAGCACCACTTCGTCGAGAGCTATTACCCCACAATCGAGAACACATTCAGCCGGATCATCAAATACAATGGACAAGATTATGCAACCGAAATCGTCGATACTGCCGGACAGGTATGTCCCACCTGTCTCCGAGGGGTCGCGAGCCTGCTGACATGCGGCCAGGATGAATACAGTATCCTCAATTCGAAGCACTTCATTGGCATCCATGGCTATATCATAGTTTACTCTGTCACTTCGCGACAGTCCTTCGAGATGGTGCGAACAATCCGGGACAAGATCTTGAATCATTTGGTAAGATCTCTCATATGATAATCCTGTTTCAATTGCTTGGTAGAGGGAAAGGAAGACAGACTAACATCTGCGTTTTGGAATAGGGGGCGGACGAAGTTCCTCTGGTGGTTGTGGGTAACAAAAGTGATCTTAAACCAGAACAGCGACAGGTCTCTACTGAAGAGGGCCGTCAACTGGCAGAAGAGGTGAACTGTGCTTTCACCGAGGCTAGTGCCTTTCTCGATTTCAATGTCTCTAAGGCATTTGAGTTGATGATTGGCGAGATCGAGAAGTCCCAGAACCCAGGACAGCCAGCTGGAAACAACAAGTGTGCTGTGATGTGATTGGGATGCGCTCTTTGCCTATTTTCACGAAAATGCTTATTATCTCTTTCCGTATGGTAAGTGATACACCCGAGTCAATGGCCACCAGGACGGGGCTAGACCTGGCCTTCTCTACTACCCCAGCCCCTATATCCCATATTTATATCTCACTTCTACGATCCTCGGTAATGCTGTCTTGATTTGCTTTTATACTAATGTGGGGTTAGTTCTCCAGGAATTGTTCGCAAACGTGCTAATCGACCTCTTGGCTTTCTCTCTGTCTCTCTTGAGGGTCTTAGCTTGTACTTGCTATTGATATTTCTCTCTTCTTGTCCTTCTTGCGCTGGATTTGGTGGAAACACTGGGATAGGCTTGCATGAATCATGAGGGGTTTTTTTTCTTTCTTTTGGTCTGGCTAGGGATTCTGTATTTGGTATCGCAGCGTGCATAGAATAATGAAACAGGGCCATCCAGGCCCCTTCGATGGTCAAGGCTCTACCTTACCCTGTAGTTCAGAAGGATATGATCTCTCTCATATTTGAAACCACCTCCAGAGGACTCTCCCCGGAAGCGCAGATGAAACATCGGACGCTCCCCCGGCGGCTTAAGTAATGCCCCGCCGCGCACTTTTCCATTTTACCCCTCCACAACTGGCGCCTCCGACCTTTGACTCACCAGTTCACTTCTACTCTTTTCGCATTCGCCATGCTCGACCTCAATGATTTTATTACCGAACGCGGTGGCGATCCTAAGAAGATCAAGGAGAGCCAGCGCCGGCGCGGCGCCCCAGAGGAGGTGGTCGACGAAGTGATTGCGCTGTACGAGGAAGCTCGCAAGAGTATGTCGGAAAAATGCAGATCGATGACCAGTGCTAACTTCGGCCAGCACGCTATGGTGTCACCCAAATTGGATCCCAACTGAATGCCCTACTCAAGCAGATTGGAATGAAGAAGAAGGTATCCCATCCTCTATGACTCTCATTTCAAATACAGACTGACTCATACCACACATCGAATAGAACAAGGAAGATGCTAGTGAGCTGATTGCCGAGAAAGCTGAGCTGGACAAGAAAAAGAAGGAGGCCGAGGATAAGGCCATTCAGGTCGAGAATGAGCGTGACCGCAAGATCCGTACCATTGGAAACTACGTCCACGAGTCCGTGCCCGTGAGCCAGACTGAGGTAAGACACATGTACGGATCGCTGAAAGTCAAAGAAACAAAAGCTAAATTCTTGTGCCATTGCAGGATGATAACCAGATCATCAAGAACTGGAAGCCTGAGGACGCTGCCATGGACCGACCGGGCTGTCTCTCTCACCACGAAGTTCTGACTCGACTGGACGGCTACGACCCGGAGCGTGGAGTGAAAATTGTTGGACACCGCGGATATTGCTTGACTGGCTACGGTCTCTTCCTCAACCTCGCTCTGATCAACTACGGTCTGGAGTTTTTGTTCAACAAGGGCTACAAGCCTAACCAGCCTCCGCAATTCATGCTGAAGGATTTGATGGCCAAAACTGCGCAACTGGAGCAATTCGATGAGGAATTGTATAAGGTTACCGAGAGCGAGGACAAGTCCACTGATAAGTACCTCATTGCAACCTCTGAGCAACCGCTGTCCGCTCTGCACGATAGCGAGTGGCTGCAGGAGAAGGACCTGCCTATCAAGTAAAATCTTCCCTGAAGCCGCGCAGTTGCTGGTACCACCATACTAATATGGATTCTTCTTTTCAAAGGTACGCTGGTTACAGCACATGCTACCGCAAGGAAGCCGGTGCCCACGGCAAGGACGCCTGGGGTATCTTCCGTGTCCACCAGTTCGAGAAGGTAAACAAACACCCATCGACACCACCGATTTTCCAATCACAAGAGGCTGACACCCTACAGATCGAGCAATTCGTCCTGACCAAGCCTGACGAGTCGTGGAAAGCCTTTGAGGAGATGATGAACACCTCAGAGGAGTTCTATCAGTCCCTGGGTCTCCCGTACCAGATTGTTGCCATTGTCTCTGGCGCTTTGAACAATGCCGCCGCCAAGAAGTACGATCTGGAGGCCTGGTTCCCCTTCCAGAAGGAGTATAAGGAGCTTGTTTCCTGCTCCAACTGCCTAGACTACCAGTCCCGTGCTCTGGAGATCCGATTTGGCCAGAAGAAGGCCACCGACCTGAAGAAGACCTACGTGCATGCGTTAAACGCTACCCTGTGCGCCACCGAGCGTACTCTTTGCTGTGTCCTGGAGAACTACCAGAGGGAAGATGTGAGTGCCTACTCTTCCCTTCCTATATAATGTTTGCCCGGGCTCCTGCTAACCACTCTACTTTATTCACAGGGTATTGTGGTCCCCGAGCCACTGCGCAAGTTCATTCCCGGATCCCCCGAATTCCTCCCATACACCAAGGAGTTGCCCAAGGATACTACGTCGCAGAAGGTCAAGGCTAAGCAAGAGGCCAAGCAGGCAAAGGGCGCTGACGATGCGGCCAAGAAGATGCAGGGACTGCAGGTGTAGATGGAGACGAGAAAAACAATACCAAAACAAGCGAACTTAACATACCATATAATGCGAGCATCGATGCCGTGAATGCGGATTTTTGCGGTATCCAACCTGATTTACACATTTCATATCATCGACTCTGATTTAAACGTATCTAAACATAAACATCGTCGATCGGGACTGCTCCACAGTCCGGCTTGCCGAGTCGGGGCGCTGATTGGCGCTGCCCGACGCGGCAAAGAAAAAAAAAAAAAATGCCCCGCGATGCCCCTCCAAGTGAGTCACTTGGGGACCGTGGTGACTCAATAATGAGGAGGAGCTCAATCCATAGACGGAATATAAATATTTAAATAGCCTGCAAATCAAAGTAGGCCAAAGGGAAAAGGGGAAAAAGTTAGCTTAACCTGCTGCTTGCGTGCTTTTTTTGGCGCCGATTCCGGAGATCTGACCATCGAGGCTTATCTAATTGCCTGTGAATCATAACTCCCACTCTCCCTCCAAAAGTCTCTCGTTCGCAATTGAACCCTCCCAGACAATCTCGTGCGACCACCATGGCAACTGCTCAAGATATCCGTCCTCGTATGGACGACCTGGCTGCTCAGGCCCAGTACTTCTCGACCTCCCCCAACGCCTCTTTCCACTCCCCCTCCAGTCACGGCTCAGCACTCACCCGGACAATTCCTCTGCCCAATGCGAAGCATTTGAAGCCCTTCGCCACCGAGGACATCAAGGTTCTGCTCCTCGAGAATGTCAACCAGACCGGCCGGGAAATCCTGAAGCAGCAGGGCTATCAGGTCGAGTTCCTGAAGTCCTCGCTTCCCGAGGATCAGCTCATTGAGAAGATCCGGTATGCGCCCTGTTGATTCTCCAGAGAATGTCCAAAAGACCACTTGGAGCTAACTGGATTTTGCCTCCGACAGGGACGTGCATGTCATCGGTATCCGTTCGAAAACCAAGCTCTCCGCCCGCATCCTCAAGGAGGCTAAGAACCTCATCGTCATCGGTTGCTTCTGCATCGGAACCAACCAGGTGGATCTTCAGTATGCTGCTGACCACGGTATTGCTGTCTTCAACTCTCCTTTCAGCAACTCCCGCAGTGTTGCCGAGTTGGTCATCGGTGAAATCATCTGTCTGGCGCGCCAGCTGGGCGATCGCTCAAATGAGATGCACAACGGTACCTGGAATAAGGTTAGCAATGGATGCTGGGAAATCCGCGGCAAGACCCTTGGTAAGAAGACACATAGGCCCCAGAAAGCGCTATCGACTCAATTGAGTGGGAACTGATGGATTCGCTTGGTCAGGTATTATTGGATACGGTCACATTGGTGCTCAGCTCTCCGTTCTGGCCGAGTCGATGGGTATGTCAGTGATCTTCTTTGATGTGATCAACTTGATGGCCCTGGGTACGGCCCGCCAGGTTGAGACAATGGAAGAACTTCTGGGTCAGTCCGATTTCGTGACTTGCCATGTTCCCGAGCTTGCCGAGACCAAGGGCATGATTGGCACAAAGCAATTCGAGCAGATGAAGAAGGGCAGCTACCTGATCAACGCCAGCCGTGGAACTGTTGTCGATATCCCCGCTCTGATCGACGCCATGCGCAGCGGTAAGGTTGCCGGTGCCGCTCTGGACGTGTACCCGAACGAGCCAGCTGGAAATGGTGACTACTTCAACAACGACCTGAACACCTGGGGTGCAGATCTGCGCTCGCTGAAGAACCTGATTCTCACCCCTCACATCGGCGGAAGTACCGAGGAGGCTCAGAGCGCTATTGGTGTCGAGGTCGCTCAGGCTCTGACTCGATATGTCAACGAGGGTACCACTCTTGGTGCCGTTAACCTGCCCGAGGTTGCTCTCCGTTCATTGACCATGGAAGAGCCCAACCACGCTCGTGTTGTCTTCATTCACAAGAACATTCCCGGTGTGCTGCGCAAGGGTAAGTTCTCATACTTCTTTCAGACGCCAAGACTCAGAAGAAAAGTGCTAACGAGTACACAGTCAATGAGATTATCGGAGACCACAACGTCGACAAGCAGATGACTGATAGCAGAGGTGATGTAAGGACTCCCGTCTGAAGTAGAACATGAGAAGAGAGCGCATCAATGACCCATGAAACACTAGGTTGCCTACCTGATGGCAGATATCAGCAACGTCGACACGACCACTATCAAAGAATTGTACACCAGCCTCGAAAGCCTTCCTTGTAAGTGACAGTTCCCCAACACATTCAAAAGCCCTCTCTTCTACTATGGTTACACAAATACTGATCTGGACACAAATAGCCCGCATCATGACTCGCATCTTGTACTAGATATCTAGAGCCACGATGCTCCACTGTAATCAACTACACCAGTAACCGCCAAGAACAAGCGGTTCATTCTAACGAACGAATTGGACCCTTTCAACGAGGTCCTAAAAGAAAGTCTAGTTCAGTACAAAATGTTTCTGTACCCTGCATATTGAACTAGAGAAAAGTCATGACATGAACGTTTTGAATTATCTTCGTTCTCTCGTAGAAGCAGGTTCAAGATTAGTTATCAGATGTATATGGGATGGCTGCCCATGACATATCACTTTATATCCCGCGTCTAGTCAAGTACTCATCTAAGACCGTTTTATCGGAGAAAACTACTTACCGGGCATCATGACCAATTACCGTATGAACAGCCCAATGAAAAAGCATGAAAAGACTAACCAGCCCTAAGAAATTCACAGGTGACAACTTATGTAGACCAGCGTCAGTAGGATACAATGCCAAGCTCAGAGCCGATTGGATATAAAACAGCTGATATGAAGGAGACAGATACAAGACAACACCCAGGAAGAGAAGAAGTCACCACGAAGCAGGCAAAATGAAAAAATTCGAGAGAAAAAAAAGCCGTACAAAGTATTTCACAACCAGCTTTGTCAAAGGCAAAGAGAAAAAAAACATGAATAGCGCTATATGAAGTTCACTGTATTCGATTCAATGCTCGTCACCTTCATCCTGACCAACCTGTCGGTATTGGCTCCGACTGCTTGTACTGGCGCCTCGGTTCCGACCAACCATATTCGAAATCCAACCTCCAAAGCCCTCACCCCGGCTACTACTGCCAAGCCGGTGGGAACCTGGACGGCCAGATTTACCAGCGGCGTCAGGGCTGGCAAAAGAAGGCGGGTCAATGTCGAGTCCCGGGATAGCACTCTCCGACCCGAATTGACCGGGTGGTCTTCGATTGTTGTTGATATCAAGAGAAGGAACGGGCGATCCAGCGCCCATGAGGGATCCTCGTTCGCCTTCAGTTGCGGGTGTGGGCATTGCAGTTGACGCATCTCCAAACAGGAGGTTCATGTCTTCCAGGCGGACACCGCTGGTTTCTGGGTAGAGGAAGTAGACTGTTATTGTTATGGTTAGTGGCCCTCTTTCTTTTTCCCTCCGAAGAAGAGTGGCGATGGAAGAACTAACCAAGGACGAAACTGCATGCGCAGAAAAAGGCGTGCACTAGGTAAAGTCGCCATTTGATGGCCCCCTGAAGGACAGGAGTGACTTCTCCAACGAGCCAGTTGAAAGCCCAGTTGCTGGCTGTACTGAGACTGGCACCCTTGGCGCGAATGCTTAAGGGCAGAATTTCCGGGGGATACAACCAAGGAATGGGACCCCAAGACGCCCCAAAGGCAGCGTTGTAAACCATGACAAAGATGACAGTTAAAAGAGGAGTGGCGGAAATCTCGATGTAGATGAAATATGAGATCAACGAGAGCGAGATAATCATTGCGACCGCACCTGAAAGAAGAATGGGCCGGCGGCCCCAGCCATCTACCAGATACCACGGTGGAATGGTGGAAAGTAGATAGCTGATACCGTTGATGCCGGTCATTAGGATCGCAGAACGACCGGCCCAGCCGGCTGACTCGAAAACCAGAGGGGCGTAATAGGAGATCACATTAATTCCGTTCAGCTGAGCCATTGCCTGTGCGGACATGGCGATCAAAACTCGCTTCCAATATCGCTTGAACATATCGGCATAGGATCGTTCACCCTCTTGCCGTTGGATCAAGACATTCATTTTGATCTCACGATATTCCTGGCGTGCCTTGTCGTTGTGGAGATCTCCTTCGCCATATAGATTGGCGATGACAACCATGCCTTCCTCATCGTGGTCGTTATCCAAGAGCCATCTTGTAAGGGTGTCGGTGTTAGCCAAAGATATTGACAGAGCTGTTTTAGTATTGAGAATCAGCTTACCGGGGGGATTCGCAGATGACCAAACTTCCGATTCCGAGCAGAGCACCCATAATGCACTGGACAAGAAGTGGCAAACGCCAGGAGTAGTCGGATTCAATGAAACTGCAGAAGTAGTCGACCCACACACTGGTTGCGTAGCCGGCAATATTCCCAGTGAATTCGATGCAGGCGAGTTTTCCACGGTTATGCGGGGGCTTCAGCAGGGTCAGTACACGAGGGCCCTGTCTCTATACTGGGAAAGAGAGTGAAAGAGAAAGTGCATACCGAGATCTCAGACTGGTAGACAGGTACGATCGTCGACAAAGCACCGACACCTAAACCGGCAATTATTCGACCGACCATCATCATTGCCATACTGGTAGCGAATGTCTGGATGGCGCCGCCCACGAAAAAGACCATCGATCCATAGAGGATAGTCCTCCTACGACCGATCAGATCACCGACGCGTCCGACCATGAGAGAAGATATCAAAGCACCGATTTCGAGGATTGCCACGGCGGTACCGATCGTAGCTCGGGAGGGCTGATCGAAGTAATCACGAAAGTACGATCCTCTATGTAAGCGTCAGTCCACCTGAATATACGAAGCCGCGTTGCGGGGAAAGAGGCGCATCGGGGGAACACAATACGGACGTGATAATGCCACTCATAACACCTTGATCATAGCCGAATAGACTGCGGAGGTAGTTAGCACGGAATGTATCCTGGACAAAGAGAAGGCTTCTAGACGAGATGGAACACACAAGACGCCGAGAGATACGAAAACACTGGTGAAATAACTACGAGATTGTCAGTCTATCCTGCAGCGTCGATCAGGAACCCCCTCAACATCGAACAACTCACAGCAACGGCTTGCCGACCAAACCGTGGATCTGGGCGGTCCGCCCGTTGCGGGGGACATGATGGCGGCGAGGGCACGTTCAGCACGAGAGATGCGTCGCGGTGAAGGATTTGGAATGGGGATCTTCTCGACGTCGAGGTCGTCGAGTTCGTCGTCGTCGAGCTCCTGTGGGTAGTGGACCCGCTTCGGTTGACTCCGCCTATCTCGATGACCCAGGAGCTGGCGATCGAGAGACTGGCGTAGGCGGATCTGAAGCGGATCCTCGTCAGTGAGTTGCTCGGCGAGATCACCGGTATTTGACCCGACGGAGATATCAGAGGACGAACGGCTGCTGGCGGAGTGGCGGGGGGAATCGAGTGGGTGGAGGAGAATGGCGCGCGGGGAGGTTGGAGAAGGAATGTTGGCGGTTGCGAAGGGCCGGTGGCCGCTTTTTGGGTGCTGATGCTACCAAACCCAAACCCCCAAAATGGCGGGGAAATTTGCACAAAAATGCCCAAAATGCGAGGGCGATCCTGAGTTTGGCTCAGCAGGGGAGAAGTGGCCACAGCCTCCCTTCGAGTCGGTCGTCTGTACTAGCGAACGCCACGCAGGCGGAGTAGCCGCCGCGGTACCCCGTTGGAGAGCGTCACACGCGATCGACGCAGGATGATATTGGGGGGGGGACAACCCGGGTCAGGTGGGAAGTCGAAGGGGAGAGACCGAGCGACAACACGTATAGGAGCACCCGCGAGGCCACGAAGAGAAGGGGACAATGCAGCCGATGCAGATGATGCGATGATACGATGAGTCGATGTGCAGGTGATAAATGCGAGACAGGATGTACCCAGAAGTTGTATGGAGAGTCAGAATGGCCAAGTGGAAAGGGAGGAGAGAAGAAGGCCAAGCGGACCAGGCCCCCAACTGGGCAGGAAGGAATACGGGGGCACTGCACGGTTCCGGCGATCCACTTGCCTTGTGGGGGACTCCACTTGACAGTTCGACTGGCAGATTGAGTGACTCGGGCGAACTACTGCAAAGTAGATCGATCGACTACAACGACTACGATCTACTGGGTTTCTACACAACGGTAGCTGCCTCGGGGGCTCCTCGAATGTGATGATCGTATCTCTATAGGGTATCTTCAATGCAGGCCATGTCTACTCCCATCCTCTATATCTGAGGCACAGGGGGTGGGAAATGCAAATGCAAACGAACGCAAAGACAAAATATGAAAGGACCTCACAAGATCCAGTCCATCTAGGTCAGGAGAATGTCATACCCATCGCTCTGAATATGCACCGCATCTGCCAAACTGGCGTACCGTCGACGCACCAGCTCAAAGATGATCAATCCGGCGCTGGTGCTCGGAACCTGGCGAATCGCGGTTGAAAAGAATCCCCGGAAGAGCCAGGGTCGCCACCCGCCCGCACGAGCAACCTTACGTCGACAGCGCTTCCACGTTTCCTGGTAGGCGTGGTAGTAGAGCCGCATCATCTGCCGCCGAGAAGGATCCAGACTGGCCTGGTGATCCAGATACTCCAAGCGACCCAGATGCAGGTCCTGGATTACTCCGAGCGGATGCTGGATGACCTGCTGTGCCACCGAAGCCGCCACGCCGGCCAACAGGAGGAATCCCGGTTCTAGCGCATAGTGTGGTTTGATCAGGGGCACGCCCCGGTCACTAGAGCCTGCGGATGGGATCCGCTCCAGGTGTTCGGCGTGGAGAGCGCCGTAGTACCACGTAATGAAGGAATAGTAGGACTGCGACTTGACGTATTCAAAGGTAGAGAAGAAAACAGCGTAGCCGAACGAGTCTCGCAAGAAGGACAGACTCCATCCCGCAAAGATTCCCCGCAGTCCAATCTGTTTCAACTTATGATGTCCGTAGTGCCACATGCTGCGGTATTGACCTTCCAGCAGATCGCTGGTTTGCATGCGCACCTGTAGTGCATCGAGAGGCGCGGCCACAATGGACTGGATGGTCCCCGCGGTAAACCCGGCAGCAAAGGTTGCGGATGGAGGAGCCGGCGGCCAGACGCGCTTGGCACCTTGAGAGACCGGATCGTGTAGACTGCCGAGGACTTGAAGGTAGGATGTATAGAGAACTGCGCCGACACTATTCGCATTTAATCTAGTCAGAGATGCGTCTGCGCAGCAAGAGGGACCGCCAACTTACCCAGCATTTGCCATCAACGGAGGTAAGACTTGGTTAGGAATAAACTGCCAACCATACGTCCGCACCGCATGAAGCAACAATCCCGGCGTCGTAGTATGAATCGACCATTTCCCTTCCGCAACACGAGGATTTACAGCCCTTGCCAGTGCCATATAATCCACGCGGGCCCGAAAGAAAGCCTTGATGGGGGCTCGAAAGTAAAATGCGACAAATTGAGCACTGAGAGCTCGAACACCGGCCGCCGAAACACCGGTAGCGGCATCGTTGCGCGGTTTCCTCGGTTGTTTCCTTGGGATGGAGATTAGGTCATCTCCAAGAATGGGCGAGTACTGATTTGGGCCCTGTAGAAGAGAAAGCGGCGTTAGCTCTGGAATAACGGGAGTTCGGGAACGGTTTGACCGCATGTCGACGTACTTGACGTTTCCCGGTGGCAGCACCAGTACGGGGTTCAGAATCAACGGTGGTATCCTGCCATGGGCCCGTACTGTGCGCATCCGCAACTTGGGAGTTTTGTCCGTGCGGAAGGACCATTTGCTTCCTCGTTGAGCGAGTCGAAGAAGGCCGAAGCCCCCGACCCGCTGAGATTATTTAAGGTCACGGGACCCGGTAACCAAACGTACCCGGGAACTATAACTCAGCGCCTCCAGTCGAAAAGACGGGGATAACGGAGAAAAGTTTACTGAGCTATGGCAGACATCCAATATATTTCGCTGGGCTTCCTTTAGGGGGATGGTCAGTTCCGGTAAGAGGGCAGAAAATCTGCCATGTGGACTCAAAACGCCCAACTTGAGTCACAAGGCCTTTTGCTAGTAGTACTAATGGCACTCTTCACTAACGGCGATGGCTTGATTTAGAATAAATTATTCTTTTCAGATTTCGTTTTCGCTACATAAAGGGGGAAAACCAAGACCGGCTAGGCTGATCATGTAAAAGTACATCGTCATGGGCATGGCGCCCGGCATCATATTCGATCTCTCAGACAATCCAATCATCGGCTCAAGTCCCGATAATTTGGACTTCGACTTCGTCGGCGCGAATGCTCACGGGGATAATCACGCCTGTCATCTCGTGGGCGGCGGTCTGGAGGGTTACCGTAGTTAGGCACATAGGAGTCAACATTGTTAGCTGGGTATCGTCCAGCTTGGCGGTCTCCTTGGTTTGGATTATTGAACCGATCCCGTCGCTGATCATCGCGTCCGTCATATGGACGATTAGACGACATAGGTGGTCTTGGAGGAAGGCCGTTGTTCCTCTGTGAATGTGAGAAAGGCGGACCCCTTCGCTGCGGTCCCAGGCCACCACCACCACCGCCGCCGCCGCCGGATCCGCCAGGTCGGCCCCGGCCTGCGCCTGGCACTCGAGGATTCTGGGAGTTGGGTCGAGATCCAGAACTAGCCCAACCTCCACTAGATGAAAGATCAGCGGAGCCAACGGGCGGGGCCGGTGGCCCTGGTGCGCGTTGCGCTCGGAATCGCTTTCGGTCCAGTTCATGGGAGTCAGCAAAGGAAGGGATCTCGCCGGGTTTCAACGGTAATGGATCGGTCGTAAAGTAAGGATGCTTCAAGGCATCCATGGCGTTGATTCTCTTCCGCCAGTCGAGCTTGAGTAGCTCCGAGAGCAGAGAAATAGCGACAGGATTAAGCCTATTTGATATTAGCCAATTTCATGCATTCCATAGGGCTGGGTATTCATACTCCTTGAATGATTCGGCAAGATTCCCGCGTTTGGTACCCCAGTTTTTCACCCCCTCACAGCCCGGCAGTGAGCTCCATCCCGGCATGTTTTCTTCGGTGGGAGCTCCCACTAGACTGAAGATAAGATGGGCTTGGTTGAGGTCACTGTTGCCGGAAAGAATGGGCTTTCCCTTGAACATTTCACCGAAAACACACCTGCAGACGTTAGCTTTGAACAGTAAAGGTCACAAAAGCTGGCGCAACTTACCCAACACCCCACATGTCGATAGCAGTGGTGTACTGCCGCAATTGAAGGAGTAGCTCAGGAGGCCGGTACCACCTTGTGACAACGAGAGCTGTGTATTTGTTTCTAGCCTCTCCACCACCCTTTCCAGGTTGAGGGGGAGGTTCGTCATATGGCCGAGCCAATCCGAAATCGGCAATCTGAAGGATGCCTCCGTTACTGATCAGGAGATTGGCAGCTTTGAAGCTCTGTTAGCAAAGATACAGTGATCAAAATCCAATCATTACATACCTTTCATATCACGATGTAGAATTAAATTCTGTAGAGGAGATTAGCTAGCAATCTTTTGACGAGAAAGTTGAGAATTACTTACCGCATGCAGATATCGTAGTCCTTCAAGGAGTTGCATCAGATAGCATTTGATCTGGGCCTCGGTGAAGGTGACGGCAGGGTTTTCCAGGAGTCCGGAGAGGTCGTGTTCCATATACGGCATGACCATGTACATGGCAGGCTTCTTTCGTCCTTCACCTATTGTAGCGGTCAGCAGAGATTCGGCGAATATGAAATGCAGTCGAACATGCTAACCTCGGCTCCGCTCGATCGCCATTTCATTGAGTCGCAAGATGTTTTTGTGGGAAAGCGCTTTCAGCAGCTTGATCTCTCGGATCGCGGTTATGGGAAACTTTGAAGAGTAAGAAGTCAGTGGCAGGATTAAGAAGCTTGGATGAAAGAAACTTACCCCTTCTTTCTCATTGTGCATGAGAATCTTCTTAAGAGCAACGAGCGAGTTGTCTTTCTTCGATCGTGCTTTGTAAACCTCACTGGCCACGGGTAAGTACTCGTAAAGTCACAGGGCTGGGCGCGCACTTACCCAAAGGTTCCTTCACCAAGCTTGTCGATGAACTCGAAATCCTTGATGTTGGAGCAGCCGGGGAACCGAGGCTGTCCGTTTATATTCTTCTCCAGCGTCGAGACAGCCATTTTGTGTGCGACGTAGGTTCTCGTTTTGTTGCAAGAAAGTTCCTTGCTCGTGGTAGAACTGTCCTTTGTCTTTCGTGAAGAGTATCGAATGGGATTTCGCAGAAACGCGATGCGCGCGCAGGTGTCTCAGAGTTGTGGTGGAATCGGTGCGCGGATCGATTTGGAAGGAACTGAAGAATCTAAGTAGGCGCGAAATGCGAAGAAGCGCGGTTTAGTGAATAAAGTAGCATCCGGCGCGCTTTCGCATCGCCGGGTGCCGTAGCTATAATGCTAAGGCACGGCCACTCAGGGGCCGCTCTTTGCGTCGCGGCAGTGAATAATTAAAAATCACGGTTAATGATATAGTCAATTCAAGCATAAGCAGTGAAGACACCCAAGTTGCCTTCGAGAGTAAAAGAAACTGGCAAGGGCGCCAGCAAATGGAAAAAGCGGCGGGCCGTCACCGGTCACGTGGGTCACCCGGGAACTTCGCCCGTCGCCGCCCTCCCGAATCCAGTTCCGATTCCAGCATCTGCCTTCAGTGAAGCGAGCACCGCCCTGCATCACAAGACAGTGAGTGCCGCTCGACCCGCCTCTGTATTTTGTACCAAGTGACTGACTCAATTTCCGATCTAGCCATGGCAGGCAACACTCACCACCCGATCCACATTCATCCGGTGCGACCGCTGTATCGCTTCACTGCCACGGCATTGGGCGCCAGCATGTGGTTCTTCGTACGACTCACTGTCCCTCCTCGCCTTTTCCGGACTTTACTAATATGATATTGCTTGTCTAGCTGATGTACCGCGCCAAGAAGGACGGCCCTGCTCTGCTGGGCTGGAAGCACCCTTGGGATCACTAGACGATCTGTCTTGTGTGCCTCGACCCCGGAATCAAAACCACGGCTACTACAATTGTACGCAACAATTGGAATCGATCCAAGCCGCTGGGCTGCTTCATACCACCTCTTTTTGATTTGAAAGTCCTATGCCATCAGCGGGGCTTTGAACCGAGCAGTTCGAAATGTATTATACCATTTCTTAGATGAACAATGCGACTGCGTCAGCGCAAGAAAAGAAAAGAAACTTCTATCACGAACTTTTTGTACAAAGTCTCATCTAAATACATGTGCGTTCTTCTCGGACGCTGTGCTCTACAGCCGCATCTCCTCCATGAGAACCTTGTACTGGCGGCGTTTCTTTCGGAAGGTAGGCTGCAGACGTGCGCGGACATGACCGAGTATGTGAGCGAGGCGGGGAAAAATGATGCTTTCCGCCATCCAGGCCACTGAGAACATGCCGAGCGCAAGCACCACCACCCAGCTGCGGAAACCATCGGACATAAAAGTCAATTGCATGATGTCTGCCACCCACTTCGATGGCCGGAAGAGCATGTAACAGGCGACCAGGATATCAATGATAATTGTACACAAGTAAGGGGCTGTTGAGCGTAAGATTTTAGTGCTGTTTATCTCCGAAGTAGAAGAGGGGTAGTCCTTACCATTCTGCGTCATGGGTCGCCGGAAGGGCGGGCCAACGCTCAGGACGATGCTGGTCAGAATGTACTGGAAGCAAGAAAACAAGAACAGGGATGTGTTCTGCGAATTCACGATATTGCTCTTCTCCAAATCTAAATGGGGAGGCAGATACCACGGTTGCTTCTGAACAGTTTCAAAGATGACAAGCTGAGACAACACCACAAGGGAGATTTGCCCAAGCAAAGGAGTCAAGACCTTTCGTGATACGAGATCAGCAGTCGGTCGCTTCCGAGAGAGCGTAGGATAAGGACCGGTCCAGCCCACTGTTTCAGTGTCAGTCAATCTGAATACACGAAATGGTGAGATAATACTAATACTTACTGAACACAGCAATCGGCATGATGAGAGCCAGGTCAATGAACAAGAACTGCGTGATTTTGGTTAGTTATGTTCTCACTGGCGCATACTGGTTGATCTTGATTGTACACTTACCTGGAAGTCGCCAAGGTTAGACCCCGAAGTATAGAGGAAGCTGACGGTTGAGAATTGGATAGCCGAATAGAGACTCATGAACTTGAAGCAGCAGAAGCTCGTCACCAACGCAGCTCGGCCCTCCCTGTTAGAATGAATCAGCAAATTCCCCATACTAACGAAAGATATAACACTTACCGAATCAATTTGGGTACACATGATATATCAAATTGCCGGCTGGTGAAGGGAGCAGCAACAGACGCTTCAGCGTCAGACAGCGAGATACCCACATCTGCAGCCTTCAAAGCACCACAGTCATTGGCGCCGTCTCCGCAGAACCCACAGCAGTAATCAATTGATTGAAGTTTCTCAACAAGTTCGTGTTTTTCATCTGGTGACATACGTGCAAAAACCTTGCCGGTTACCAGAATCTGAAGAACACATATCGTAAGCCATCATGCGATCAATAGAAAGAAGGTCGACTTACTCTTTTCAAGACATCCTCATTCCCATAATCAACCATCCACCGGAATGCATCGCCTGTCACGGCAACGCAGTAGTTGCGATTCTGCAAGCCATTCCCTGGCACAGACACATCGGTTTCGGTGGTGTTTTCCATCGGCTAGTATTGGTCAGTGCTGACTTATGTACTGGACAGACACGGAATCTTACCAAAAGGGTCCTAGGATCTAGTCGAATATCCGGGTTATCCACACTCTCCCAAATGAGAGATGTTTTGGTCACAAGTCCGGGTTCTTTGAATGTCGATTAGCATGCTTTACCACAGCAAGGGGGTTGGAAAGCTTACCTTCGACAAAGTGCGGAATGAAACACTCTTCATAATGACGGATCATCTTGCATTCCCGAGCCACACTGATCGCCGTCAAGATATTGTCGCCTGTGCACATGACATTGCGAATCCCAGCTTGATTCAGCTCCGAAATCACTTGAGATGTAGTAGGTTTTAGCTTATTCTCAAAGACAATGAAGCCCACAAACTCAAGATTGCTTTCAGCATCGGACCGGGTCAACTTCTGGACCTTCATCCAGCTCAATTTGCGCTCGTATTTCGTAGCACATGCAATCACTCGGTATCCCTTATGGGTGTAGTAGCTGAGGAATTCATCGTAGTCGGACGGGACTGGATAGACGGTTAAAACGGGAGAAAATTAATCGTGGAGGGTTCACTGACGAGATTCGGGCACACAGATATCCCTAATGCTCTCTGGTGCACCTTTCACGAAGAAGCTTGCTCCGTTGTCACCAAACTGTCTGACAACCACGCTTGCACGACGAAGGTGAGAGACAAATTCGAAGTTTCTCAGAACTCCAAGCTCGACGGGAATCTGCGAGGGGTTTGTAAGTAGTGTGGTCAAACCAGGAATCATAGAGTCTTACGTTCGGTCCGTGGTGCTGACTCTCGCCCACATGTGTGGCAGGAGGTCTCGCAACAGATGGGCTGATTGTCTCAAATTGAGAACCCGCCGGCTCTGAGGAATTGTTGCCTCCTTCTTCATAAGACCAGCCGGTGAACTGAAACATTTTGACATCAAGCGGATCTCCTAAAAGCTCGTCATCCACCACACGAAGTGAATGACATGTTGCCATCGTATAGATCATCTTTCGTTGCTTTTCGAGGTCTAATGGAGATTTCGCCGTTGGCGAGGGAATAAAGAGACCGGCAGATGTTTCAGACAGTAGCTCGGAGAATCTTTAACTTTGTCAGTTTGAGATACCATGATGATTGCTTTGGGATAAACAAACCTGTGGTCCCCGCTGACAGTGCGTCCTCCAAGAACATCAAGACCATCTTCTGTGAGCGTACCAGTCTTGTCAAAACAAACCACATCAAGCTTTCCTCCGACATTGACCCTGTCGAAATCGGTTAGCACCGAATTTAGCCTCGGGGTGGGAGATTGACTCACTTTTGAGGGCTGATACAAAAGATACTTTGCTTCTTCAACCGGGACAGCGCGAAATTAGTACCAATAGTAAGGGTCGCAGGGAGCGCCGGTGGCACGACAATGGTAATTAAGTCAAGCGCTCTGACGATGATGAGGTGCCAAGCAAGCTGTCTGCGATTAGTAGTGGAAAATTTTTCGGAATTCCTTACGACCACTTACACCCAGTCGAACGAAATTGATGAACGAGGCAATGAAACCAAGAAATGCAACAATTCCCATTACAGCAATATACCGGAAAGAATCGCGGTAGAATTTGAAGCCTGAAGGTTTAGGGAAAAGCATCGAACGAACCAAGGCTCCTTTCGTTGTTGAAAATCCAGTCCTTGCAACGACAGCCAGCGCAACGGCTTCATCATCGTGCGCGTTCTGGGGTCGCCTAGCTCGTATGATCTTAGTTCCACTAAACAGGAAGTGCTTGGCCACATGGGGATCCACAGAGGGGGCACTGAGATCGAGGTAGTCAAGGGCTTCATCGGTGAACGGTATCTTGGATACGGGAACAGATTCGCCTACTCGATGTTAGTATAGTACATGATCGGCGGGGAAACACTGGGTAGACAAACCAGTCAACATGCTTTCGTTCACAATGCAGTCTCCAGACAACAGAATACAATCACATGGAACCAGGCTGAGGGATGGATCAGAAAATTCGAAAACATCTCCAGGTGCAAGATCCTGGGAAGAGACCGATCGCCCTGTGATGGTTAGTAAATTACTTTGCTGCTGGGTGAGACGTTTGCTAATAGCTTACAAAATCCGTTCCTCAACACGCGCACATCACATTCAAATAGCGATATCTCTCTCAGGCGCTTCATGGTCTATTTCAAATTAGTAACTGTTTCAAATTTGGGTGATGACGAAGACGTACCGATCTGGTTTCCAATACAGTTGTTGCAATACTGAACACCGAGATGAGGAAAATGCAAACAGCATAATAATAGTATTCGTCCATGGACCAAAGGAGCAAACTGGCCACTTGGAACATGTAGAATGGATGAAAAGCCTGTGACGGTCAGAAGGAAAGGTTTTTTCAATAAGAATCACGAGAGCTTACTTCGTCCATAAGAAGCTGGGGGATGCTTTTCTGCTCGATATTTATATTGTTCTTTCCAAATATCTGTTCCCGGCTGTCACGTTCATCGGCATCTAGACCCCCACGCATAGCCTTTGCGTTGGTCCAAGAGTGATCTTTCCACCCATTGATCAAGGAGAACTTGTCTTCAATCGGATGGTAGAAGAAGCGGAGATAGCGGTAATCCAGGTATCGCAAAGACACAATTGTTGGATCAAGATCCTCGTCATAAACATGACCCGAATTGTCCATGAACACTGTGGAGAGCGGTCGTCCATATGATTGACTTTCTACGTCGTGGATGGTGAATTGGTTCCATTGATCCTGTTCAGTGTGAGTTAGTCCGGCCTCGGGGGTTCGAGTGATGGATCCATAGTTTCTCACTTCGATAGCAATCCAGTGGCATTTTCCCAGGGGAGTAGCCTTTCCAATCAGTCTGACTCGCCAGCGTGGGAGCCAACGTAGCAGAAGATAGCCAATTCCTCCAGTCAGTATGCATATAGCGAGGTACAGAACAAAGCCTGTTGTGCTGGTAGAGAAGCCCGCGAAGACGGTTGTCAAGTCTTCAGACGAGATATAAATCTTCTGGTTCAGCCGACTGCCGGATCGCCGATCACGTCCATATGAGCTCGCGGAGAGAATCCGCGACAAAAGAGGATGCTCGGCTGAGTCTCGTGACAATCTTTTGGAGATGAAAGATCCGCGGTGCGACTCAAGATCCGGCTCCTCGATACCATTCATGTATGACTCTTCGATGTCACTACTCACGTCGACAGCATCTTCATTGGAGTATTCGGCGAAATCCTCTTCGTCTTGGAAGTATGTGAAGCTAACGTTCGAGTCTGCGCGGTTCCGACGATGCATGAATGATACGACACTGGACGGGATGCTCTCCGAGATAGGGCCGTCGAATACCTGTTTCATTGCAACCGTGAGTCAGTTACGCCTGGCGATTTTCCAAGTTCCATTGCCATGACATACCTCGTCCCGAGCCATTTCGACGTCGGAAACTCCAGTGGCCACGCTCACGCTATAAAGTAGGTTAGTGAGCTAGTTCTAGCTCGAATGATTGGGGTAGTGAACTACCTGCTCCGCAAAGAGTCGCGCCGCAGGCTGGGTCGCGGCATTGAGAGATCCATGGGGCTTTTGCCCGAGGGCGACTGCGATCGGCTCCCCATAGTGCGGGACCTTAGGAAGGGTTCGAGCTCTTTACTCCGTTTTGATGAAGGCGTATGAGGACAGTCGACCGGGTTTTCACGACTGAGAGGGTGTTAAAATTCAACTAAAAGATGCAGGGCCCCATCGAACGCATGATCATAACGGCAGAAGCAATATGCGAGGCATCCAAGGCCGCGGGGAGTTCGCACACTCGAGATGCCCGGGTTGTCCGTCTATCCAATCCCGGTTATCTCCACGTGATCGGGTGATAACCCGCTTAGGTAAGTGGACGCGCCTCGAATGGCCTCAGGCGAGAAAAATAAGCAGTCGAGTGGGATGTCAGACACGTCGATCGATCTGCCAAGCTGCTCCAGATTGCCGCTGGATCTCCAGGGTCTATTTACTGTTCAGTGAAAATGCAGGCAATAAACATGACTCTCTTTACTGAGACATATATTGATTTACACGTCTATTGTCCACTTTGACCCTATTGATGGTGTACATATATTGTATCTGATCTACTTCCCCTCCCCTCAGATGAGGGGGTTCTCAACTAGGATATATTATCCAGCAATGCCTGCGATCTGGCCCTCCCTGGGTCCCTGGCGATTCATACGGCGTTGACCTCATATGAATATCAAATAGACCATGAGAATGTTATTTTTTTCCATTGCTACGCGGGTGTTTCTAAAATTAACACCTTGGTGACGAGTATTTTGGCCACTCGTGCAAATCGCTGGAACCCGGCTCAGGCTCAGCCTACGATCGGGACCGGCACGACTCCACCGGAATGGAGTGAAAAAAGAAGGGGGTTTCAGGGGTTTCCGGGTCGACGCGGATCTGAGCACATTTCGATCGGTCGTCGAACGCTTGCGAAAAAGTGAAGTTTGAAAGGGGGGGGGGAATCTTGTTGGGAGCGTTTTGCAGCCGCTCAACCAGAACCGCGTCCCGCCAAGCCCCTCCGGCGACCGGCGCTAAGGATCCCACCATCTTCCAGACTCTCCTCCCCCAAAACTCCAAAGGGCCAAACTCTTCCCCTCTCCACCCCTTTTCCCTTCTCCCTCCCATACCATCGCCCACCATGTCTGAGCCCATCAGGAATAAGAAGGCGGATTTCCCGGTCGCACCGTAAGGATTTTCCCTCCATCGACCCTTGACCGCTTATCATCCCAGGAAAACACTGACCCGAAGAAAAAAATTAGGACCCCGCAAAACACGCCGGCCAGCAATGCCCCCATTTCCTCGCACGCCCAGCAGCCCGGCGTCTCCAGCATCAAGGAAGGTATGTACCAGTCATCTCTGCTATCGTCCCCCGTCACTTTTCTGACCGCTGGATTCTACAGAATCCCTGGACAATGCCGCTGCCGCTTCTCTCCTTGCCCGTAACCCGGCTCTAGTTTCGATGATCCAAGGCAAGCTGGGCCAACTCGTCGGTCGCTCATCCGGCTACATCGAATCTCTTCCCCCCGTTGTCCGCCGCCGCGTTGCCGGTCTGAAGGGCATCCAAAAGGAGCACGCCAAGCTTGAGGCGCAGTTCCAGGAGGAGGTCCTCGAGCTCGAGAAAAAGTATTTCGCCAAGTTCACTCCGCTGTACGAGCGCCGTTCGACAATTGTGAACGGAGGCGTTGAGCCCACTGAGACCGAGATTGAGGCCGGCAAGGAGGACGAGGAGGAGGACGAGAACGAGACCAAGGAAACCGAAGAGAAGAAGGAGGACCAGGGCGAGTCCACAGCCGGTATCCCCGAGTTCTGGCTGTCCGCCATGAAGAACCAGATCTCGCTGGCCGAAATGATCACCGACCGTGACGAGGAGGCTCTCAAGCACCTCACCGACATTCGCATGGAGTATCTGGACCGCCCTGGATTCCGCTTGATTTTTGAGTTCTCCGAGAACGAGTTCTTCACCAACAAGACCATTTCTAAGGCCTACTACTACAAGGATGAGAACGGATACGGTGGTGACTTCATTTACGACCACGCCGAGGGCTCCAAGATCGACTGGAAGGAGGAGAAGGACCTGACTCTCCGCCTCGAGAGCAAGAAGCAGCGCAACAAGAGTGAGTCATCCGGAAAATTCTGCGAATACACGTGCTGGGAACAGCTCTTGTATCCCGGATCATCACTAACCATTTCCGCAGACACTAAGCAGACCCGTGTTGTCAAGATCAGCGTGCCCACCGAGTCCTTCTTCAACTTCTTCTCCCCCCCCACAGCCTCCCACCGACGACGACGACTCCGTCGCCAGTGACATCGAAGAGCGTCTCGAGCTGGACTACCAACTGGGTGAGGATATCAAGGAGAAGCTGATCCCCCGTGCCATCGACTGGTTCACCGGCGAGGCTCTTCAGTTCGAGGAACTTGGTGACGACATGGACCCCGAGGACTTTGATGACGAGGATGACGAAGATGAGGACGATGAGGAGGACGACTCCGATGAGCACGGATCAGCTGACGCGGAGGACGATTCGGATGAGGAGGTATGTGTTTCCAAGTCTCCCCCGAGAAAAGATTGTTCTGGTCGTTGCTAACTCTGATTTAGGATGGCACTTCCAAGCCCAAGAAGGAGGCTGCTGAGTGCAAGCAAAACTAGAAACGACAAAAAGAAAAGCACCCCCAAGGCGATGCTGAATGCTTGATGGACTTCCGTGATTGATGCTATTGCTATGTTTCTTTCTCTCTCCTCACTGATGTCTTTGTCTCCCTTGCACTGCAATCTGTTCCCTGTCTACCTAATATCTCAATCAACCGACATAATCAGTGTGTAACACGTCTGCAGCCGTCCACAGGAATGGTTGGTCTGCCGCTACTCCTGTAGTACATAGTCAATAGGTTTCAGCCCAGTAAACCGATCCCAACAGCGGCCTCCAGTGCAGCCAATACCGCAGGTATTCGTGTTGGGCACTCGCACATTTGAAGCAGAAGTGAAGCAGACCAACTGATCATCCGTGCGCTTTTGGGTACTCTACACTGTGATTATTTCCGTGTACTCTGTTCTATATACGTCGGTACTTGTCCACACTCCATACTCTCCAGTCAGGTGTTGTCCGTGTAAGGCGGTGACACTTGTGGGGGTGTGGCGCGGCAACCCCCAGTTAGTCCCGAAGCTCCCTTCAGGGGCTCTCGCTAAATGGCCAGCTGTTACAAGGGCGAATTTCCCACCTCCCCTCCAAAGAACACGCCTCTCCTCGTCCTTTCTCTATTTTCTATTTCCGGACCATGAGCCGATGAGGGGTTCCAGTGAGACCCCTTGTCTTTTTGGACTGCTTAATTGATTTATTTCTGGTGGCCCGATTCCACCGACATTCATCCCGATTTCTTAGACCCTTTCGCATCTTCCCGAGCCAACCTCCCCCCTGCTTGACTGTTTCTTTCACGAGTTGTCGACCTTCCACCCCCCCGGAAAGATGGCGCATGTCTACGAGGTCGGAACGAGGGCCTGGCAGCCCGATCCCACGGAGGGATGGGTTGCATCCGAGGTCAAGGAGAAACTGGTGGACGGAGACAAAGTACAACTGGTTTTCGAGCTGGAAAATGGCGAGGTGAGTGTTGACACCAATGGAACAAGCGTTCAAGACTGGTTTTGGTAAGAAAAGTAACTGACTTTTTGGGGATGAAACAGACAAAAACAGTCGACACAACACAGGCTGAACTGCAGCTCGACAACAACACGAACCTTCCTCCGCTGATGAACCCGGCGATGCTTGAAGCGAGTGAAGATCTGACAAACCTATCACACTTGAATGAGCCTGCTGGTTCGTCTCCGTTGCCCCGTCTCCTTGTATCACCAGAAAAACTGACGCCCCCCGCAGTCCTACAGGCAATCAAGCTCCGGTATGCACAGAAGGAAATCTATACATACAGTGGTATCGTTTTGATTGCGACGAACCCGTTCGCTCGAGTGGATTCGCTTTATGTACCTCAGATGGTGCAGGTGTATGCCGGGAAACAACGTGCCTCGCAAGCACCTCATCTGTTCGCTATCGCCGAGGAGGCTTTTGCGTAAGGAAATTTCCGTGAAGAAACAATTGGAATGACTGCTAACATGGAACCGTAGGGACATGCTTCGCGATGGAAAGAACCAAACGATTGTGGTTTCCGGCGAGTCAGGTGCCGGTAAGACCGTCAGTGCCAAGTACATTATGCGTTACTTTGCGACTCGCGAGTCTGCCGAAAAACCTGGCAAATATACCACCAGCCGCGCTGATGCCATCAGTGAGACGGAAGAGCAGATTCTGGCCACCAACCCGGTCATGGAAGCGTTCGGTAATGCGAAAACGACCCGTAACGACAACTCCTCTCGATTCGGTAAATACATTGAGATCATGTTTGATGAGAAGACGAACATTATCGGCGCGAAGATCCGGACCTATCTGCTGGAGAGATCGCGGTTGGTTTTCCAGCCGTTGAAGGAGCGCAACTATCACATTTTCTATCAACTCGTGGCAGGTGCCTCCGATGAGGTGAAACAGGAGCTGGGTCTCTTGCCCGTGGAGGAATTTGAGTATCTCAACCAAGGTGGTACACCGGCCATTGACGGTGTCGACGACAAGGCCGAATTCGAAGCCACCAGGAAATCTCTGACCACCATTGGCGTTACGACAGAGAACCAAACCGAGATTTTCCGCATCCTGGCGGCTCTGTTGCATCTGGGCAATGTTAAAATCACGGCCACCCGAACGGACTCAACGCTTTCACCATCCGAGCCTTCTCTTGTGCGTGCTTGCGAGATGCTTGGAATCGATGTCAATGAGTTCGCCAAGTGGATTGTTAAGAAGCAACTGATTACTCGCGGTGAGAAGATCACGTCCAATCTCACACAACAACAGGCGCTTGTTGTCCGGGACTCCGTTGCCAAATTCATTTACTCCAGTCTCTTCGATTGGCTGGTGGACAAGATCAACCGCGGTCTTGCAACTGACGAGGTTCTCAACCGAGTTGTGACTTTCATTGGCGTGTTGGATATTTATGGTTTCGAGCACTTTGCGAAGAACTCCTTCGAACAGTTCTGTATCAACTACGCCAACGAAAAGCTCCAGCAGGAGTTCAACCAGCACGTATTCAAACTTGAACAGGAGGAGTACGTTCGGGAAGAGATTGACTGGACATTCATTGATTTCTCGGACAACCAGCCCTGTATCAACCTGATTGAAGCAAAGCTTGGTATCCTGGCCCTTTTGGACGAAGAATCCCGCCTTCCCATGGGCTCTGATGAGCAGTTTGTCACTAAGCTTCACCACAACTTTGCAGCCGACAAGGAAAAGTTCTACAAGAAGCCTCGATTCGGCAAATCTGCGTTCACTGTGTGCCATTATGCAGTTGACGTGACCTATGAGTCTGATGGTTTTATCGAGAAAAACCGCGATACCGTCCCTGATGAGCACCTGGAAGTGCTGCGTAACTCAGCGAACGAGTTTATCAAGGAGATTATAGACACAGCTTCCGCGGTCCGAGAGAAGGACTCAGCGTCTCAATCTTCTAAGCCTGTTGCGGCCCCCGGCCGCCGCATCGGTGTTGCAGTCAACCGAAAACCTACACTGGGTGGTATTTTCAAGTCCTCGCTGATTGAATTGATGAACACCATCAACTCTACTGAAGTACACTACATCCGTTGTATCAAACCCAACGAGGCTAAAGAGGCCTGGAAGTTCGAAGGTCCCATGGTCTTGAGTCAGCTGAGAGCCTGTGGTGTCTTGGAAACCGTCCGAATTAGTACAGCTGGATATCCTACTCGCTGGACATATGAGGAGTTTGCCATCCGCTACTACATGCTTTGCCATTCTTCACAGTGGACATCTGAGATTCGTGACATGTGTCATGCCATTTTGCAAAAGGCACTCGGAGACTCTACCACTAAGAAGGAGGACAAGTACCAGTTGGGTCTGACCAAGATTTTCTTCCGCGCAGGAATGCTGGCTTTCCTGGAAAACCTGCGTACATCCCGACTGAATGAGTGTGCGATCATGATCCAGAAGAATTTGCGATGCAAGTACTATCGCCGCCGCTATCTGGAGGCTCGCGAATCCATCCTCACCACCCAGGCCATCATTCGGGGATTCCTGGCAAGACAGCGGGCCCAAGAAATTCGCCAGACCAAGGCTGCGACCACGATCCAGAGGGTCTGGCGTGGCTCCAAGGATCGGAAGTGGTACAACGAGATTCGGAACAATTTCATCCTGTTCCAGGCCGTCGCCAAAGGTTTCCTATGCCGTCGCAACATCATGGACTCGATCAACGGCAATGCGGCCAAGGTTATTCAACGCGCTTTCCGGTCTTGGCGCCAACTGCGTTCGTGGCGCCAGTATCGTCGTAGGGTGGTTGTTGTCCAAGCCCTTTGGCGTGGTAAGCAGGCCAGAAAGGGCTACAAGACCCTGCGTGAGGAATCCCGTGACCTTAAGCAGATTTCCTACAAACTGGAAAACAAGGTTGTGGAATTGACTCAATACCTTCAATCACTGAAGCTAGAGAACAAGTCTCTGGTCTCGCAGCTGGAGAACTACGAGACTCAGCTGAAATCCTGGAGAAGCCGACACAACACCCTAGAGGCTCGCGCCAAGGAACTCCAAGCTGAAGCTAACCAGGCTGGTATCACCGCTGCCCGCCTGGAAGTTGTCGAGGAGGAAATGAGCAAGTTGCAGCAGAGCCATACGGAAGCGCAGGCTACCATTAAGCGTCTCCAAGAGGAGGAGAAGGCCTCTCAGGAGGCACTCCGTGCCACCACCGAGGAGCTCGAACGCCTCAAGCAACTCAACGGGGACAGCGAGCAAGAGAAGTCCGTTCTTCGCCAGCGCGTTTCTGAGTTGGAGGAAGAGCTGGAGGTTGCCAAGCGATCGGTGCCGATCAATGGCATCAATGGCGATGCGCCAAATGGTGGTGCGGTCCCGGCTCCTGCCACTGGTTTGATCAACCTGGTTTCGTCGAAGAAGCCCAAGCCGCAAAGACGGAGTGCTGGCGCAGAGAAGGTTGGTACGGACCGATTCAGCGGAGCGTATAACCCGCGACCTGTCTCGATGGCCATCCCTGGTCCTGGCGCAGCTCGCACCACTGCTGCTACCTCACCTGGTCTGGATTCGGTTGAGGTGGAACTCGAGAACTTGCTGTCCGAGGAGGATGATCTGAACGAGGAGGTTACCATGGGTCTGATCCGCAACCTCAAGATTCCTCTCCCCAGCTCGAACCCGCCCCCAACAGAGAAGGAGGTGCTTTTCCCTGCCTATTTGATCAACCTGGTTACTTCGGAAATGTGGAACAACGGGTTCGTCAAGGAATCTGAGCGCTTCCTTGCCAATGTGATGCAGTCCATCCAGCAGGAAGTCATGCAGCACGATGGAGATGATGCGGTTAATCCTGGTGCTTTCTGGCTCTCGAACGTCCACGAGATGCTGTCCTTCGTCTTCCTGGCTGAAGACTGGTACGAAGCCCAGAAGACCGATAACTACGAGTATGATCGTCTGCTGGAAATTGTCAAGCATGATCTGGAAAGCTTGGAGTTCAACATTTATCACACCTGGATGAAGGTGTTGAAGAAGAAGCTGTACAAGATGATTGTTCCAGCCATCATTGAGTCGCAGTCCCTCCCTGGCTTCGTTACCAGCGAGACAAACCGCTTCCTCGGCAAACTGCTGCCCTCGAACAGCAACCCCGCTTACAGCATGGACAACCTTCTCAGTCTCCTCAACGGTGTTTACCGGGCCATGAGGGCATTCTATCTGGAAGACACCATCATCACGCAGACCATGACCGAGTTGTTGCGCCTGGTTGGCGTAACTGCGTTCAACGATCTGCTTATGCGTCGTAACTTCCTGTCATGGAAGCGTGGTCTGCAGATCAATTACAACATCACCCGCATTGAGGAGTGGTGTAAGAGCCACGATATGCCACTGGGAACGTTGCAGCTGGAGCATTTGATGGTATGGCATCAGCATCCGATAATGATTGTTTGAGTATTTTGCTAACCTTTGCAATAGCAAGCCACCAAGCTTCTTCAGTTGAAGAAGGCCACCTTGAATGACATTGAGATTATCCAGGATATCTGCTGGATGTGAGTTACCGAACCCCTGTATCAGTTGAAAAAGAAGGCAGTGTATTAATCATATCTCTGCAGGCTCTCTCCCAACCAGATCCAGAAGCTGCTGAACCAGTATCTCGTCGCGGATTACGAACAGCCCATTAATGGCGAGATCATGAAGGCGGTTGCTTCCCGTGTCACAGAGAAGAGCGACGTGCTCCTGTTGACCCCCGTCGACATGGAGGACAGTGGCCCGTACGAGATTGCCGAGCCCAGAGTCATCACGGCCCTGGAGACTTACACTCCATCCTGTATGTTTCCCCCAAAACTCGCCCCAGCACGGGCAACCCAAAATTGAAGCATTGCTAACTGTTGTCCATAGGGCTCCAAACACCGAGGTTGAAGCGACTGGCTGAAATCGTCTCTGCACAAGCAATGGCGCAGCAAGAGAAGCTGGAAATAGAGAACGGAGTGCTCGAAGAGTAGTTGTAAATTAGATGTGATGGATTCGAATTTTTCCTTTGAGCTACGGATTACGACCAGTGAACATCTCACCACGACTTACACCTGGGTAGACCCGGGGTTGAAATACAGTGATGCATATGATTCTAGAAATTTTTCTGTTCACATGTCATTTCTATACCAGTAACTAACTGTATTCATAACTAAAGAACTTCTGCGGGGGTCCACGACAATGCCCACCCGAGTCGAGCGGTGTCGGCCGCGGGGGGGTCATCGCCGACAGTGGAACCCACCTAACTCTTCACCCATCCCCCTACGCAGACACAAAACATAAGCACAAACTGCCCATCATGACCCTCACCAAGATCAACTTCATCACCGGAAACAAAAACAAGTTGACCGAAGTCCGTGCGATCCTCGGCAGTGTGATCGAAGTCGACAATCAAGCCGTGGAGGTACCGGAAATCCAAGGCACAATTGAAGAAATTGCCAAAGAGAAAGCACGACGGGCTGCTGAAGCAGTGAATATACCCTTTTTATCCCTATTGACGATTCAATAAAGATGCTAATTCCATTAGATCAATGGCCCAGCTTTGACTGAGGATACGGCATTGGAATTCACTGCTCTCAAGGGATTGCCGGGTCCGTACATGTAAGTCCAGGATCATTTTCCTCTTTAACTGAGTATTAGCAAACGGTGTTAACTCATTGTTATAGTAAATCCTTCATGGAGTCTCTTGGACACGAAGGACTGAATAAGATGCTTGATGGCTTCGATGACCGTGGTGCCGAAGCTGTTTGCACTTTCGCTTTCTGTCGTGGACCTGGCTCCGAGCCAATTTTGTTCCAGGGCCGTACTGCAGTGAGTGCTATTCATTCTTCCCAGTTGGTCTCTGCTTTGAATGTGAAGTTAATGCATTCGCACAGGGTTCAATTGTTCGTCCTCGAGGCCCGACCAACTTCGGTCCGTGTATCCTACATATATCTTTAAAGATATCAACCTGCAGACTAACAGAAACCAACCAGGCTGGGATCCTATCTTCGAATACGAAGGCCAGACATACGCCGAAATGGAGAAAGAGGCCAAGGTAAGATATCAAATTCTATCCTTTGATATTGATATTTTTGAAATATTGTCATGTTGAAACTGAAATTGCGGTATCAGAACAAAATCTCGCACCGGTACAAGGCTCTGATCAAGTTCCAGCAGTGGTTGGCAGAGGGCCAGCAGTAATAGGGAGTATGTGGGTATATGTAGAATAAAAAAAGACCGAGTGAACAAAACAATATTTCGTAAAAAAAAAAAAAGGAACCTCATCGTCCTTCCACCGCACAGATCAAGCAAAAAGTTTCATTCTTCGTCATCATCGTCTGCATCCTCAGCATTCTGCTTCCACCACGCATTGACCCAGGCGGCGATTCGGTCGCAATTGCTCTCAACGTCACTATCCTTCTCACTGTTCAACTCTACAACAATTTCCTCGTCGAAAGCTTCGCGGGCTTCGTCCATGAGAACACCAAAGATTTCGGCATCTATGTTCTCCTCAAGCTTATTTGGGGCATAGCCACTGCACAACAAAACCTCGTTAGCATTTATAGTCCCCCCAAACACACATGCAGACGGTATATGTGCTGATCTGGTTCCGGGGATTTCATATTCACGTACCGAGAGGCAAGACGATCGTAGAGGGTTGTCGTCTCTGGGCAACGTAGAACAACGACAAGATCGATCCAAGATTTCGGGAACAGGTCGCAAGCGTGCCAGTCGATCAGATAGCCGCCCAAGAGGACCTCGTGTTCGATAGCGTCGAGTAGCTATAATAGTCGAAATAGAGAATTAGCCCAAGTAAAAAACACAGTTCCTCGTAAAAATTCCACGAAATCGCAACCAACCCCACCAGATTAAGGCGGGGTGCCGGAAAAGAAAAGAGATCGCAACACCAGCAAAAACCCGGCAGAGAAACCCCATGTGAACAAGAAAAACGCACCTTATCTTCATCAACGATATCACTCCCTCGCTTCTTATCCTTGCCGTCAAAGCAGTTTCGCTCCTTAGCAACCTGGTTGACGGAGAGGTGCTTCAGGCCTAGATCCTCCGCCAACTTTTCGCAGTGCACTGTCTTGCCCACGCCGGGGGTTCCGGTGACGATAATGTTCGGATTGGCGCGCTTCCCCATCGCGACGGATATTTTCCTGCGGTATGCGGTCGGGAGACTGATGTGGAATGGACTGTCGAAATGGGAGGATGGTTCTCCCCAGATTGTGAAATTATTTCGGGTTATCATTTTTCCGATATCTTATCTGAGCTCCGGGATTTTCGATCTACTCCAAATGGATCCAGGTGGAAATTAAGATCAAACTTGGGCTAGAATTTAATCATTAAATGCAGATTGAATTGGCATAATGCAGATCCCTATGGCTGGTCTTCTAGTTATGTGCTATGTTCAGGGTTCGACGAGGAATGGGGTAATCTATCGCGCATTAGCACCAGCCTTGTCACATGGAAATCCGGCAGGAGAAAACATACTTGAGGAGTTCGAACATCTTATACTTTTGAAGATATGAAGAGCCCCGACGATACGCCTTAAGTAGGCGAGCAGGGTGATCTGATCTTGCAGATGACCCAATGAGGCGATACATGACCGGGGAAGTCTTGAACATGGGATCGAAAACTAGCAGGTTGGCGCTGCCATTGTCGCGAATCTCGAAGCCGATAATACTCATAGAGTGACCTGACGCGAGTCAGTGTTGGATTCAGGTAGGTGTGTGAGAGGACAATGTCTGCAAATATTCTCACCTTGATGCTGGAAATATATCGGGGGGAGATCGGTCATGAAAACTTTCCTAGGGTCGTCTAGTGAACACACTGAATGGTAGTAGGCCGCTACGTCCATATATAGTGCATCATAGGCTCTCCTATCTCTCGCCTCGGTGATACTGCTGGCATCGCACCTGGAAAGTCATGTTAGCCTTTGGCTCAACGATGTATTATATGAGGCGCGATCGTACGGGATATCAAGACTCATAAATAGCGCTTGTGCCTGTTCCAGTGTTAGCAAGTCATCAAAAAGAAGGTTTTTTGTACAAACCTCTGGAGTACCGATGAACTTCCGTGTTCCTCTGATACCACCCGTCTCAGTTCGCCCAGAGCTATTAAAACCCCTGTCCCAAGCAAGCTCAATCATGTCCTGCAGCTGGAGAATTGTGGGCAACCCCTCCGGAAAATGCTCATGCCCAATGGCCTTGGCTTTGGTGATATATGAGACAAGCATCTGAATATTTCGATACCCGCAGAATCCACCTTCTCGAGGCATCTTGCAAATATGGCGGACCTTGGAGCTGCACAAGAAAACGCGACGAGAGGACGGGTCCTGCTCGCAAAGCTTGGCAATAACAGGTATGAGGTTCTCTGTTTCATTCTCCACCGTAGTACGTCGAGCGAGTCGACCGTCTGCTGTGATCTGAGTTTGTTTGGAAGTGCGGCCTCCCTTTTCGAGCATTTTCCTCAACCACGAAGGCATTTTCTTTTCATGGGCATGAGGCCCCAACTCTGAGCGCTGAATGATACATTAGTATGAAAATATAGAAAAAAGAATGATGTATGGTATCAACTTACTCCAAGCCGTTTTGCACCGTTCGAACCGACTTTCCCCACGGGACTGCGCGCTCGTGCCGGCTTAGAAGTATTTGTGCGAGTAAAGTCTCGATCTGCGCCTTTTTTGCCGCCTTTCCGTGATTCGTTGAAATCCACAGAGTCTTCCAAATCAGAAGATATGTCAGGCTCACTAGAAACGTCTCTAGCGAAGTCGCTTTGGGATACCCCGCTATCATCCAGCGCGATGTTCTCGGCGACATGTAAATCAAGGTGTATGGACAATTCCGCCGTCGTGACAACCTCACCACACTCATGCGGACAGTCGACATATTTATCCGTGGACTCCTCGTCCACTGGGGAGGATTCTGGTACCGGACTGGCGTTTCCGATTGCATGAGTGTCGCGAGAGAACGATGGCTGACCCCCGCCCTCTGGGTGACAGTATTCGATGTGCTGTGCCACAAAGGTTGCATCTCGGTCCGCGAAGGGACAGAATGGACACGCCGGAGTGCTGTGGTCATCCATGATAGGGTGTGCTTCCAGCTGAAGATTGGGCACGGAAGGGAAAAGCAAGGCGGTTCTGCGCGCCCGTTGTAGCCCGCGCAACTACAGACCAAGAGTCTGGAAAAGACAGATAATCTGAGATAGCCACTGACCTATCTGGTTGCGCGATACTGATCATCTGAAATGCAGATGAGGATCTCGAGGTGAAATCAAATGGTGCAGATGTTGGCTGCGGGTAAGACCCACAGCCTCGCCTGATGGTGAGTTTCGATATATGTACAAACAAGCCACCACATGCTCGAAAGACCCCCATGGCAGGAAAGAACACTTAAAGAATGCCCCAAAAAAGAAATAAAATTATGATTTACATGCTCTCAAGGTTGCCATTGCTTTACCCAATTTTTGACATTTGTGGATGCCCTCAAAAAGACACCTCTTGCTCAGAGAGCTTTCTTGATCGGTTCGATTCATCCATTAGTACGTTCTCGAAGTGGAAAAAAATACAGAAGATAAAGAAGCTCGAGTCAATGGATACACCAAGTGCAAAAAGAAGTTGCTCACGTCCAGATTTGAACTGAAGACCTCGGCATTACTAGTGCCGCGCTCTACCAACTGAGCTACGCGAGCTAATTGGTGGATACCGTTTCAGATTTTTGCTCCATGAAATTTCAACCAGCGCGGGTCCCTGGCGCATTGTCTCATTATCTGTTGGATTTGGCGAAGGGTCATTTTGGCAACTACGTATATGCATTTCTGCTTTCTTTCTTGTCCGGAATAAGGTGTATCTAAGGTACAAAATCCCACACACTCAATCTGATAGGCACCGGTACCTATATAATTCCTTCTAGTCAATTGCCCTGCCGCCTACTTGGTACTCCAGGATGAACCTCCCGGCCCGCAATGCTCTCCACGACAAGAAGCCGGGTGCCATCTCTGATATCTTGACCTACTAAGCAAATACCCGAGAGCCGAAGTAACACTCCCTCTCCCGACTACTCAATCGTCGTAGTTGGACGTCTCCCAGTGCCTATTAAAATTTTTCTTAAACCCCTTTTCACCCTTCCCTTGTGCATAGCCCAAGCGGCCTCGTGCTCTTGATGGAGGAACCCTCGTAAAATGACTCAGAACTAGGTCTTGGGATACGTACCACGTAACAGTCTCGTGAAGACCGGAGCACTGTCACCTGGCTCAAAGAAGAAATTCACTTGAGATCCAAGCTGGCGATTAGCAAGACCGAATTGATATCAATGAAACGTGGACATATCAAGACATGGTAATTGTCCGAGAGACTCTAGGCGATGAATAAGGAAAGTATATTTCCGTAGTGAGCTTGATCTCAAAGGGAAAGAAGATAGGAACAAGAATTTTCTGTAAATTAGTGATTCTATTCATCATCCATGCTTGAAAGTAAATTCTTTTCTAATTTTTTATTTAATTTTTTTTCGCCATGTTTTTCCCTTTCTCGTGGACGGGTGAGTTTCATAGCACGGCTCAAGAGAGGACGGGCTTAAGATCTTGTCGAGGTTGACAGAATCTTAAAGTGAAACAGACCAGTTATTTGAAGATATTTGAGTAATTAGTAACATGAAAAATTATACCTTATTTGTGGAAATTTCTAAAATTGGTTGTTACTGTGGGTGGCGTTCATCTCGGGCAGTTTGTATAGACTCAGGCCAGGAACGGGCGTCGCAGGGCGTTCGGTCGGCTGGGTATGTACATCTACCGAGGGCGGCAAGATGTCCATTCCCGGCGATCATTCCGCAGCAATGTGCCAATCCGTAAAAACGGAAAACGCCTCTGGCAAAATTATGACAATAGATCATTGTGTCCTAAGATAGATCTGGCTGGTGCGTATATGTATATCCTCTATGTATACTCAAACGTGGATGAATAAAGAAACAATGGCTCTGTTATAGTTTGCCCGTGTACGTCATTGGATATCGCGGGGCAACATCGGCGATGGCGTGATTGGCGGGGCTGCTCCGACATCGCGTGCCTGGAGGGGAAGGCGGAAAAACTCAATTGACTGACTCACCCAAAAAAAATCGAGGAACATGGCCGCTGCCGGCCCACTCCTCCGCTTTCCTTGTTCACATCTCTTCATATCCTGGTGACTTGGTCATGGCTTCCCTCAAGGCAGACCGACCGTTGGCCCCCTCGGCCTTGCATAGCAATTGGGTCGTCCAAAAGTTTGGCGGCACCAGCGTCGGCAAGTTCGCTTTGAACATTATTGAGCAGGTGGTCCAGTATGATCATACCCCGGTGCCCCTCCCATGTGTGACTCTTGAAGTCCATGGTCCATCACCACCATAAACGTTACAAACTAACCTCCGCGACCCCAGACCGAGTCTCGTGGATCACCGTGTGGCCGTTGTCTGCTCGGCCAGAAGCAGCTCGACCAAGGCCGAAGGCACCACGAACCGGTGAGTCATGACCCCCGAAAGCCATGTGCAGACCAGATCGAATCTTGCCCCAAGAGGCTCCTGCGACCAACGACTCTAACGCTCTGCCTCACAGGCTACTGCGGGCAGCCCGGGATGCAGAAAACTCCGGCTCAAGGCAGTATGAATCGTTCGTCGACGCCGTTCGTCAGGAACACGTCCAAGTCGCCCAGGAACAGTTGAAGACCGTGGATCTGAGGGACCAAGTGGTGGCAGACATCAATGAGGAGTGTGAACGAGTCCTCAAGGTCCTCGAAGCGGCACAGACACTCGGGGAGATTAGCGCTCGCTGCGTGGACAAGGTCATTAGCACGGGCGAGAAGCTCAGCTGTCGACTCATGGCTGCCTTCCTGCAAGATCGTGAGGTGGACTCGCAGTATGTGGATCTCTCCGAGATAATCGATTTCCCTATCGGCAACAACGGTCTGGACCAGGACTTCTATAACTCCCTCGCTGCGGCGCTCGGCAAGAAGGTTGAGGAGTGCGGGCATCGGGTGCCCGTGATTACCGGGTACTTCGGTACCATCCCGGGTGGCCTCTTGGACCAGGTCGGTCGTGGTTACACCGATCTATGTGCCGCCCTGGTCGCTGTTGGAATACATGCGAAGGAGCTGCAGGTGTGGAAGGAAGTTGACGGTATCTTCACGGCTGATCCGCGAAAGGTGCCTACGGCTCGGCTTTTGCCTGCCATCACCCCGGCTGAGGCAGCCGAGTTGACATTCTATGGGTCTGAGGTGATTCACCCTTTCACCATGGAGCAAGTCATCCGTGCCAAGATCCCCATTCGCATCAAGAACGTCATGAACCCCCGCAACAAGGGCACTGTCATCTTCCCCGATTCAACTGCCGAACTGGAGCGAACCACCCCCGGTCACGATCCACGTCTCTTCCGTACCCGAAGCCCCAGTCTCATGCAGAAGCCGAAGCGACCCACTGCCGTCACGATCAAGCACAAGATCCTGGTGATCAACGTTCACTCCAACAAGCGATCCCTGTCTCACGGCTTCTTTGCTGGTATTTTCTCTGTCTTGGACAAGTGGCGCCTATCCATTGACTTGATCTCGACCTCCGAGGTCCATGTATCGATGGCCCTACATTCGGAAATCCCTTTGGTGAATGGAAATGGCAGGGATGAATACCAGGTTGTCGATGATGACCTGAAGGGAGCCCTGGGTGACCTGAGCAAATTTGGTACCGTGGACATGATCCCGGAGATGGCCATCCTGAGTCTCGTCGGCAAGCAGATGAAGAATATGATCGGTGTGGCGGGGCGAATGTTCACCACACTCGGGGAGAACAATGTGAATATTGAAATGATTTCGCAAGGTGAGTCAATGGTGGTGGATCGGCAGTGCCCCTCACTTTTTTCCCCCAGACCCCTGAATGAAAATGGCTGACCAACGTCTCTTTTGCCCCCCTGCAGGTGCAAGCGAAATCAACATCTCCTGCGTCATCGAAGAGCGCGACGCCGACCGCGCTCTCAATATCATCCACACCAGCATGTTCACCTTCTTGGATTAGTCGTCCAGGGGGGTTGGAGCAACTAATCATTGTCGTTTGAGATATCCCCTAGGCCGGTTCTGCCTTTTTGCTGTTTTTTATCTTTTATTTTATTTTATTTTATTTTTTTGATAGAGAGAAAAGTTTGCATGCATTCATCCTGGCGGCTCTCATGGGACCAGGCCTCGGAGGACATTCAGCATCGTGTACTTTTCTTCTTTGCGATGCATGGGCTTGGCGTTTCGTGTATTCTGTGCAGATAGAGGCGAGGGTCCCTGTTTCATGATGGAAGGGATGAACTCTTGATTTACTCGCATCTGATTCAATGGTGTATCTATACATTGGTAATTAATTGCGGATTGCAGCTTTGCCCCAACCTCTGCGGAGGCGGTACGTGGTACAATTTTAGGACAGTAGGAAGTTGGGTATTTTGGTGCTGCAAGGACGGCTATCGTACTTGGCACGAAGCAGGTACTATGTCGGCCACTGGGAGGCCCTGGCAGTATTTTACACTAGACTAGGCTACCCTCAGGTAATAGAGAGGTACCTCGCATAAGTAGTGCAGATAGTGCGCCGCGGTGTACCCCACGGTACCATTTAAAGTGCCTTTTGGCTCATGCAGCCCCCAATCCTCCGCACATGCGTGACAGGCACCTCGAGGGACCCGTTGGCTACTGATGGACTACTGACGGGTGAATGGATATCGATGTGAGTCAAGGGTCCTGCACGAAAGGGATCCTCGTCGATCAGCCCCAATGGCTGGCGAGAGCAAGGGATGATTCGACGCAACCGCTGTCTCAGAGTTACATCCGCATTCTTTGACGTGTACCAATGGGGAGGGGGAAAGGGGGTGGGACAATTATAGCAAAGGAGAACGACCAAGCAGATATGGGCTGATGGTACTTGTGTACGGTGGTTTGGGGTCGTGGGAGAAGCAGATCAGCAAAAGCCGATAGGCGGATGTGGGTGAGAGGGGGGCATACGGAGTACGCCGTAAGACAGTGAAGACCGTCAAAGTCTGGACCACTGGAGCAGGCGGGAATCGAGACTAGGCAGAGAAATGATCTCACGGTGGAGTCGCCAAAGGGCCACATACTTTTAGCAATTCGATCCGCGCATCGCATGCCAGCAAGGATGCGATCCCTTCGTACGCCCGGGAAACCCACGTATTGCCACCCAGTACCATACTGTATCAGCCAAGCCCCATACTAAAACGCGCGACGCGTACGCGTGAGTACCATACCTGACGTGTATCGTCATCCTGCAGTACGATCAAAGGGCCCTCACCGTCTGCGCCCATCTATCATCACTCCTCCCCCACCTCCAAAGGACTTGTCCGCGAACTTCCACCGTATTGCGCACGTTGAAAGAAAGGGACTTGGGAAAAGAGGGGAAAGACAGAAGACAAAAGGGACGCGACGTCCAGACCTCCTTCCCACCTGCCGGCTGCCTCCTCCAAGTTTCCCCTCTCGTGCTTTCATCCGATCCTCCCTTCGATCTGATTCTCATCAGAACTGGAAGCAAAAAGACCAAAGAACCAAAAGCAAATCCAACCTGCCAACTTGAAGAGGTCGGAGATTTTGCCAACTTGACCGTCAACGCCTGCTCGTGGTGATTTCCAGAAAGTGAAATCCCCATCACCGCTGATTCGCCTTGTCCGTCTTGGACGTGTCGGCCGGTCTTAGCGTCCTATCTTGTGGCCCAACGCCTTACGATCACGACTAGTCTTGCTGCACGACGGCCTGAGGCTGCTGACTATCACATCCTTTCGCGTCCCCCATTGGCCCGACGTGAATTCTCTTCACGCTCATCGCCCGTCGGGACTTGGCTTTGCTGAACCTGGTTGCTGCACCTGTCCACGCTCGTCACGCCCCCAAACTGTTGACCTCGACGCGTCATATGGTCCCAATTGGCGACTGGTGACGCTGCTGCCTCGTTCCCTGTCCATCAGATTATGGGATCGACGCGTCCAGCGCTCGGCGCGCACTTTTCCCCGGCATTCGCCCCATCCGCACAAGAACCCATCAAGTCGCAGACCCATCTTCAACCCTCACCGCTACCACTGCAGCCCATTGAAAACTCATACCATCCCTCCGTGGGCGGCCCGCACAGGCCATCGCCGACAAAAGGACTGCCTACCCAGGGCTCGCATCCCGGCGCTCGAAAACTCGGTTTCGTGCCCATCTCCGCGCCCGCTCCTCCAATGTTTACCACCGACTCCCCGGCCAAGAAACCGCCCTTCCCCATCTACCATCACCCCTCAATGCCGCAATCGGCTCTCTTCACCACCTTCTCCAGTGTCAATCCCGAGGCGACCAAGGAGAACCAGCGAACCGAGGATCCGTCCAACGGCAGCTTCGCCGACTTCCCCGAACCCTCTTATGAATCGAAGCATGAGAACAAGCTTCCGATGAAGCGCACACTGATGGAGGCTGCCCCGCTCAAAGAGCGCTCTGTGAAGAAGCAAAAGCGCGAAGACGCGCCGATGCACACCCTACCTGAACCGCACGACATGCCGCCTATCGAAGATGACGGCACCAAGCCACCATACAGTTATGCGACATTGATTGGGATGTCGATTCTGCGCGCACCTAACCGTCGCTTGACGCTCGCCCAGATCTACAAATGGATCTCCGACACATTCTCCTATTACAAGCACAGCGACCCGGGATGGCAGAACAGCATTCGACACAACCTGAGCCTCAACAAGGCATTCATCAAGCAAGAACGGCCCAAGGATGATCCCGGCAAGGGCAACTATTGGGCCATCGAGCCTGGTATGGAGATGCAATTCTTGAAGGACAAGCAGGTTCGCCGGGCCACGATGTCAAGTCTCCCCCTTCCCGCTGTCCCGCAACGAGATCTCGCGCCACAACCGCAAAGTGCAAGCACAACGACCTGGATGGTTCCACCACCCCCGGCGCGACAACTTCCACCACCTCCGAAGATCTCGCACAATGATGATCTATCATCTGATGCTACATTGCCTGCGTCTGATCCCGCCTTGCAGGAAGATGCAAATGATGAGGTTCCTCCTGCACCTGCCCACCAGACCGCCCCCTGCGTTCCTCCCCTCCGCAAGCCATCCGATCCTCTCCCCCTATCGCTCCTCCTCGATTCTCTCGCCAGGGAACTCCTCCCACACCCACCCACCACGCCGAACCTACTCCTGCTCCTCGCCCGCGGAAACGCAAGTCTATCACCATGAATGACAGTGGTTACTTCTCATCCCTTGAGTCTTCCGCCATGCGACCTAACAAGGCTGGCCACATTTTGACCTCCGACCTTGATATCGAACCTCCACGTATCAAGCGTGGCCGTGCAGAGGAGGAGATCGCCAGAATCCGAAGCTCGTCTCATGATATTAGCCCTGGCCAACCGCCTGCCCGCAAGGACGCCAGTGCCATCGTTGGGTCCTCTCCCCTCCGCGGAGAGTATGTGAGCATGTTGCCTCCGCCCTTGACACCGGTGATCAAGTTCAAGAAGCCAGCCAAACCTCCGCCATCCGTCTCCCCCAATACGAATCTGCGCAACCACCGTCGCAAGATTCAGCAAATGGTCAATTCGCCTATCAAGCACCTTGGCCTTGCAGACGATGACCTGCCGTGGAGTCCGGCTTTCAATCTTCACGATGAGACCTACACTCCTCATGATCACTTCCACACCAGCTTCGACGTCTTCGCCGATTCCACCGCCAATGTCTCTCCCACGGCGTGTGGCTCGCCTGAAAAGCGTTCCGCTAAGCGACAACGTCTTGACAAGGGGGCCACGGCTCTCACGGATATCAGTTCCGTTAGTGTCAACCGGCTCGCCCCTGCACTCTCTCGATCCAAGTCGGCTGTCTTCCCCGAGTCTCCGTCAAAGCTGCCTGATACAGGCCGGCTCGGTGATCATAGCCAAGATGACTTCTTTTCGTTCCACCTCTTTGACGAAAACAACAGTAGTCCCGACGAGGTTGACGGTGTCGATCTTCTCCAAGGCTTCCAGAAAATTGGCGGCCATAACAAAGACGATGCCCTTAAGCCCAAGGCTATTCACGCTCGGCCACATCTCACCAGCCGCAGCAACACCACTTTGTTCTAAAAAGCTTGCGCGTTCTGTTTGATACTCAGTTTTTCTGCATTCCTAGACCGCCGCGATTCCCCTCCGATACGGTCTCATCTCCGCCGGTGCAAATCACCGATTCTACACTCTACTCTCCACCTTCTGCGGTCGTGTTTATTTATTGCCTGCGTTTCCCACCCCAATGATTTATTGGTTTTTTTTTTTTTTTTTTCATGCGTTCGGGAAATCTGAAAGGAGTTAGACATGGGCTGTGTGTTACCAGGTTTTCGATTGGGCGGTGCTGTTCTGCTTTTGGAGTTTCTTGGGGCCACAGTGTGTTCTTGCGAGGGCGCCTGGTTCTGACATTCTGATCCTTTCCACCAAGCCCGGGATGGCCTTGGTTACACGAACATTAATGACGATGCTAAGATGTACATGAGCAAAGCGATGCTTTTGATGATTTTGGGATTTGGGTTAGGATATTTCTCTCTTTTTCACATGAATGGGTACGGGGTCTGGTACTGGGATTACTTAGGGCGGATATGGATATGGCCTGGATACATGGTGGCGCTATTGTTTATGTAGCAATTTGACATTGATGGATACGTCTGTTTCTCTAAATCTTTATCTACGTTGTAGCTTGAGTCTAATCCTAGTCCTTCGATCCTGTATATCCCGAAATTCTTCGATTTAAGTTTTGAGTTTACTGCGTGCGAGTTAAATTAAGGGTATCGATTCCTAGTCACCATATCTCAAACAACCAAGCCTATTAAATGCAACCTAAACGCCAAACATGAATTTGAATTGTGCCCAACTCGAACCCAATTTGTAATCCCTGCCAGCACAAAAACGATCGTAGTGGCAGTAAGATAGAAAAAGCAGGAATTGAACCAAATCAATCGCTACTCGCGCAACCCCGGCACCCACAACTAACACACTGAATCGACTGTTCCTCTTTAAGTTGAGCCTTGGGTACGCGGCAGATGCAGGTGGCGTTGAAATTCGTTTCCTTGGACTGGACGCAGCGGAGACAGCAGAGCTGGTGGAAAGTTAGCAAGGTCATCCTACTATTAGTTAGACCTGCATGGTCATGGGCGGGTTTGGAATGGCGGTCCCTTTCGATGCTGACGCAGAGGAGGGGATGCGCGTACCTTCTCATAACCCTGTTTCTTCCATTTGGCAATAAGATTTGCGTCGGCGTAGTTGTTCTTCAAGAGCCAGTCGTAGAGTTGCTTGGAGATGGCTTCTTTTTCGTAGTAGAGGTCGTAGATGTATCGTGAGCCTGCCAGGATGCAAATGTTAGCTGATTTTCGTATTATAGGACGGAGGTGATCATCTGTTTCAAGAAGTGCCTAACAGCTGTGCTGTAAAGACAAGTAGACATGTCAAGACGAGGACTTCACTCCACTTACGCTGGTGGCTAATTTGAAAGATCGGCCATAGAGTCTCGTACTTCTTCTTTCCCTCGTGGTCGGCATTCTCCGCGTCCTTCATTTTATTGCTGAATTCCAAAAGGGTATCTTCAATATCGTCAAAGCCCGCAGGTGGCGGTTTGCGATTGCGGGAGGTGCGGATTGGAGGCATTTTGTGCGGATTAAGAGGCAGCTGATGAACTCAGATGTCGGTCAATGAGGGACAGAACCAGGCGATGTAAAGCGAGCGAGGAAACTGCGAAACGAGAGTAGCGAATACCTCAGTTGGAAGGTGTGAGATGACAATTTGGAGCGTTCCGCGGCGGAAATCAAATCGCCCGCGTCATTTTTGTGCCGGGAGTTACCGCCTTCGATTTTGCGGCGAGCTCAGTTGCTTCCCGGCTGAAGTTGAACAGCTTCATTTGCAACGAACGAACGAACAACGAATACCTTACCCGACGCACATAAATCCTCAATCTCCTACTATCCTTCACAATGGATCCTCAGACTCAGATGGACATTTCCAACCTCAGCGACGCTGATAAGCAGGATCTCAGCAAGATTCTGCAGAACGAGGCGCAGAAGACCAACATCCAGCAGAGTACGTTACAGCATCCGCCCAATCCGCTATGCGGAACGTCGCGGGAAAAGCTAATGTATTTATCTTTAACTTGTAAAGACGTCCACCAGCTCAACGACATCTGCTTCAAGAAATGCGTCACCTCCCGTCCCATCTCCGGCACTCTTGATCGCAGCGAGGAGGCCTGCGCTCAGAACTGTGTTGAGCGCTGGATGGATACCCAGTTCTCCGTCCTGAAGAAGCTCGAGTCTATGCAAAAATAAATTCGTCTCTTCTGTCCGGCGCGGTTTCTTTTCGGAATTGAATGGATCCTAGCTTGTGTTCGGTTGGGATCTCGATGAGCGAACGGAGTCAATGTTTCGATGGATGATGGCTATATTACTCGGATTTGTGATGGATTTCTGCTGACTATGGACTGGAAATCTGACGAGTGAACAATAGCGAAGTTGTCGGCTCGATTGGTTGCGATATTCTTGTCCCCGTAGGACTTTGCGACTTACGGGTCGCTTGTATACTAGAGTCAATGTGAATGATCTCCCTTGTACAACAGATTTCCTTTCATTGGAGTCATTGGAGTTTCATAGTAGCATATTATGTAGCACCAGTCAATATGGGGAAGAAATAGTTGGGATTGGATAGGTTGGCTGATAATAGCGGTCTCGTCTCAGGTAACTGGAGTGGACCTGGGAGAAGATTAGATATCCAAGCAAATGGGACGGTTGCCTGCATGATGAGGAAACCAAACTCTAAATCGGCCCTAAAGAAAGCCGGAAGCATCTGTACGTGCTACGTCTACAAGGGATCCATTTTGAATCGTGTCAAGAAATGTTTCTTTTTTAATCATTCAGTCCTTGATGCCGCTTATGCAGCCAAGGAAACTGGCTGGTATTGAGAATCACCGCGGTGGAAAACAACTTTCGCCCAAACCCAAAGAAATCCATTTCCTACCCTTTTTAGACGATGGCCAGCTTGGTGGCGGCGATGTCCAGAGCATCAACGTCGGGGGTCAAGCGAGCGAAGGCCTTCTTGGAGCCGTCGGGGCTGGATAAAAGAGTTAGTCGTGTCTCTTTCAAATTATAACCCAGTACCGTAGTAGACCGGGGGAGATCTTTAAACGCGAAAACATACCGGACCAGGGTGTTGACCTTGACGGTGTCAACGTCGTAGAGCTTCTTCAGAGCAGCCTTGATCTGGCGCTTGTTGGACTTGACATCAACGATGAAGACAAGGGTGTTGTTCTCCTCGATCTTCTTCATGGCGCTCTCGGTGTTCAGAGGGTACAGGATAATCTTCTGAGCATCGAGCTGGGGAGCGCGGGGGATGGAGACGCGGGGGTACTTGGGGGACCGCGACAGCTGCAGGGTCTTGGGGCGGTGGAAGGTGGTCGAGGTGCGGACCTTGCGGGACTTGTGAAGCTGTTGATGTCTGCGTTAGTTTGTGGACTTGTGTCGGGTGACTATCTCCAACTGGATTGTAGAATCAAGTCAAATTGGAGAGACAAAACGTACGGAGGAGCCCTTCACAACTGCCTTAGCGGCAGCATTGGCCTTGGCGGCGGGGCGGGTGCCTATAGCAGAGCTTGTTAGTCGTTATTCTTTTGGTGGTTTCTTGACGATGTAAATGTGGTGGGTTTGCGAGAAATTGCGAATTGTCGATGTGCGATCGGAAATGTGCCCCGGAAATTTCAATTCAGAAGAGAAAAGAGTCGGGAGAAAATTCGGATGTCGTTGTGTCGTCGATAGCGAGTCCTTTCCAGTGTATTTGTCGTTGTTCCTTGCTCATTCGCCTGTCGTTTTCACATTGTGGAATTTTGAATGTCGAATTCCCATCCTCCCTCATCCATCCTCCGGAGCACATTCGCACATTTCGCAATTTGCAGGGGAAACATTGTCAAGTATTCGAAGCATGCCAACATACCTTGCTTGGTGGTAGGGGCCATGGCTGTCGTCCGCTGTCGTGATGATTGTCGTCGCAGTGTCGGGAGTCGAACAATTTGGAGTGGCTTCGTTAAGCGAAAACCCTAGCGTCTGTGGGTCAGGTGATCTCGGGCTATCCGTCTTAGTCATTCCCGTTGATGACTCAGCACTCTATCAGCATCTTTTTTGATGTAGCCAAGACGACCACCATTGTCTTGCCGCTGGGTTTTGCTCTCTCGCCTGTCAATTTAGGCAGAGAGATTGGGGGAAATCTCTCATCGGAAGTGATATTGTACTGGTGGAGATCACCTAACAATCCCGCCGTTGGGGTATACCGCTCATCTGATTCGGCAAGACCAGTACATCTGAGCCATTAAACAACAACCAGAATGGCTCCCAACAAACGAAATAAACGACTAGGCTCTTTGTCAAACACACGACCACCAACGGTCAAGTCGAACCATGCAAAGTTGTCAGCCAAAGCTACTCGCACACTGATCCGATCTCATCACCAACTCCTCAAAGCGCGTGCGCAGGCTGAAAAAGCCGGTGATGAGGCCCGAGTGAGCAGTATCGACGCACAAATCAACGCTAATGGGGGTTTGGAAAGTTATCAGACTGCCAGTAAGCTTGGTCAATCGCTTGAACGTGGCGGAGATTCAAGCAAGCTTCTTATCGACTGGATCAAGCCGCAGCTGAACGAATGGGACACGGCCCTGCCCAAGCTTCGTGTACTAGAGGTTGGGGCACTAAGTACGAAGAATGCGTGCTCGAGAACTCCATCTTTGGATGTGACTCGGATCGATCTGAACTCTCAAGAGTCGGGAATTCTTAAACAGGATTTCATGGAGCGGCCTTTGCCGTCTACAGATGCAGAGCGATTCAATTTGATCAGTCTGTCGCTGGTTCTAAACTATGTTCCTGACGCGACAGGACGGGGAGAAATGCTCAAACGCTGCGTGAAATTCTTGACTTCCGAATGTCCTTTCTCGTTTCCTCCGACTCTCTTTCTCGTTCTACCAGTCGCATGCGTTGACAACTCGCGCTATCTCACTGAAAACCGACTTCTCGAAATCCTAGCTTGTTTGGGCTTTGTGATGGTACAGAGCAAGCGAACTTCCAAACTCATCTATCAGTTGTGGAATCATACAGGCGCCGTGTCGCCAAAACCATTCAAGAAAGAAATGCTCAACCCTGGCCACAAGAGGAACAATTTCGCAATCATTCTGAATAAAGGATGAGCAGGAGGCTCCAACTTAGCCACCCCTCACAATTTCTGCTTTGAGATGTCCGGCTCTAGTCTCCAGAAATCAACTCGCGGGGCAAAAAGGCCCACACAGTACCCACGGCCGCCAAAATCGTGGATGTGATCAGCAAAAACCAATCGAGAATGCGCTCCCGTTGACTGATCTCCTTGCCGAAGATCTTCAAATAAAATGCAAGAGGGAATATAATGCAGATCGTGAAGCACAAAAAGGATCCCAAAAACGCCATGATTCTGTCAAATGATGGAAAGACAACGGCCAGAAAAACGATGAGAGCCACGGTGAATATGCGCACTGCCACCCGCAGAGTCTGCTGGGTGGGTTCTCCTGAGTGTCCGTGGCCACTGACAGGTCCCACGCCACACAGGACTTCGAACGTGGCTACCAAAGGTCGAGCACTATGTTTGTTAGCGGTATCCCCAAACGGGCTCAGGATTTTCAACTCACTTGAGAGGCACTTTGGTGAGCGGGATGATGGCAATGAAGATAATAATACAAACGGACACTGCCTGGGGGTAGGTACCCAGTCCGAGGATGTTGGCTGTGACTTCGTCACGCACAATGTCTCCAAACATAAGCCAACCAATGATGGCCATAGAGCAGTCAAGAGAGAACTATTCCATGCTGTTAGCAATGAAAATCAAGATGATCTCCAATTTGGCAATTCTTACTGTAAATATGTAGGTCGCCCACAAGCTCTTCCCGTACTTTCGTGGATGTCGCATATCGCGGTAGATATTAGGAAAGACACCGTGTCCACCCCAAGGAGCTAGCATCTGATTAGTCTTTGGAATCTTCTTTCCGGGGTATCAGGGACATACACATGATGAGACCGAAGCTCAGCGGTAAAGTAGCCCAGTTTTCTGGGAGGAGATAAGTATTAGCCGGTTGGCGGAGCGAGCCCGGGGAGTCTGGCTTGAGCAACCCATCAACGCAGATGAGAAGCACAACTTATAAATGGTTAATTTCCAGTCCAAAAATATGAGTACTCGGTAAGCAGATGGTGCTACTCACTAGATGTGCAAGAAATAATTCCCATAATGCTGGTTACGCTGAGAAACCGCAGTGGCAGGAAATTCAGTGGAATCAGGACAAGCCCACAAACCATCTTCCATTGCAGAATACTCAGTCCCGGAATGAGGGCATATAAGCTGTCCGCAAATAGCACGACCAGAGCCACACACGCTCCTAGCAATTCCAGACAAAAGAGAAAGCTAGTCACCAAACGAGCATGCTGCCCAAAGCTGATATACGCCAGGTCGGCGTAGGTGACGAGACTACGGTCGACATCGAGGCACTTCGCCAGGATCTTTGCCGTGTATGATGTAGTAATGGCGGAGTATACGAGGAAGGATAGCCCCAGCAGCCACCCGGCGTGCTTCATCGCCAACGGAAGACTCAGCAGTCCAATACCGATCAAGACGTTGACAGAATTGAAAATCGTCTGTGGTAAAGTTGATTTGCCAACCACCACATCTTCCTGTGTCCCGTCTTCGTGCTGAACATGTTTCAGAAGCAGAGGCTCACGGTCCGGATCTCCAAGACCGTCACCCGTCTGCTGCTCGCGATGGAATAGGATCGCATTTCGTCGAGCCGACTCACTCACTCGAGAGGAGATTGTACCATATGAAGCAGCAAAACTTTGATCAAGTGAAGAGCCAAGAAGTCTCGCAATCGGCATTCCTCTCTTGTGTCTGTCAGATCCGTCAACCTGGTCGTCACCGTCCGAATCTTCGGATAGTAAGGGACGCTCTATATCGGAATGCCGGCCAATCGAGTTGGACCTCCCGGACGCGTAGTCCTGACCTGTCGCCACAGCAAACTCATCGTCCGAGTCCGCGTCGATAAACGACGAGCGATGCGGCAGGACCTCGGGAAAACAGGCGGCTCGCTGCCAAGAGCGAGCAAAGTTATCGATGCTGTTGGGGCCACCCGCCTGCCGGAACCGAGAGAACGAGGACGACCTGGATTGGGTGTTAGGAGGATGCTCTTTCATCTCAACTGATGAAGAATCCAGGAGAAAGCCTACCGTTGTCGGCCTCCGGTCTCAACCTCCGCCACGGGGTCTCGACTGAGGTGGCCGTAATCGTACGAGCTCGGGATTCTCAGCGGGCCAAAAGTGGCCTCGCCTTCGTCTGCATTCCTGGAAGCCATTTCTTCCAGGCTACGGAAGGAATCACGGGTACTGACGGGCCTTTTATAGGGTCACGGGGTCAGGCCTGCTCGGTGTTCGAGATAAGAAGCGGACTCGGAGCTTGAGAAGCTTTACCTAACCACGCCGAAGTGTGGGGTGATAGGCGTTGCGCTGATAAGCGGCGCCCGCCAAACAGGATTCGACCCTTGCACGCGATTTCTTCCTGCATTGGAGGATGAAATGATATTTATATTAAGAACGTTCAGAGTGACCTCGGTTGGGGATACTTTTTTGAAACGAAGGTGTGGCAGCAACCTCCACTTTCAGGTACATATCACTTCTTCCATATTCAATCGACAGTGTATACCATGAGATTGGGCCTATGAGACAGCCCATGCGGAGACCACTACGCAAAATCTGCCCAACGGGACGCTGCACGTCAGTCTGGAGGCAAAAACACCCACTGAATCGCCGTGGATCGGCAGCGGCTTGCAGTGGAGGGTCGATAGGTACTGGGTACACCTACCACTGCGGACAGATGCACTGTGCGGGAGGTACCTGGTACTTGGGGACCGGACAGGGCTCAGCTTACCTCAGCCCACCACCCCTCGACCCCACGGTGCCTGAGGATTTTTGCTTGTCGGACTCTACGTCAGGCAAAGGTGCAAAGAAGGTGTGTCCACAAACCTCCACCCTAAATTCTCCCGGACCTCCCAACTCACACTTCTTTCCCCCTTTCAGGTGTTAGCCAAGACCCCCGATCTTCGTTGTTGCGGGTTTCTCATTTTGACCCGGTCCGGCGTCCAACAGGCAAGGCCTCTGATACTCGTTCGATTGATTGCGGATCGCCTGCGCTTCGCCCCAAGATGAGCTCCCAGCAGCAGCAGCCGGGAGAGGCGGAGAAGAACATTGAGATCTGGAAGGTCAAGAAGCTGATCAAGCGTCTTGAATCCGCTCGTGGCAATGGAACTTCCATGATCTCCCTCATTATCCGTACGTTGATCCCGCGCATCCCTCTTGATCTCACAGGGGGTCAAAAATGGAGAAACTCTGGCATTGATTATTGACTCTCAAATACAGCTCCCAAGTCTCAGATCTCCCAAGCGGCGCGCATGTTGGCCGAAGAATACGTACGCTTCTTCCCCCCACTTTCGAGCCCTTTATGTTCCGAATGTCGAAACGCTAACCATCAATGTCTTTGAACAGGGTACTGCCTCCAACATCAAGTCCCGCGTTAACCGTCTCTCCGTCCTGTCGGCCATTACCTCCACCCAGCAGCGTCTCAAGCTGTACAACAAGGTTCCCCCCAATGGACTGGTCGTGTACTGTGGTGAAATTATCACCTCCGAAGGAAAGGAGCGAAAGATTAACATCGACTTCGAGCCCTTCAAGCCCATCAACACGTCTCTCTACCTTTGTGACAACAAGTTCCACACCGAGGCTCTGAGTGAGTTGCTTGAGTCCGACCAGAAGTTCGGTTTCATTATTATGGATGGTAACGGTGCCCTGTTCGGTACTCTGAGTGGAAACACCCGTGAGATCCTCCAGCGTCTGCAAGTCGATCTTCCCAAGAAGCACGTAAGTTTCTCGGCTCTCCATCGTCAGCTTTTAATACGTTGGTTCTAACAACATTTGTCTTCAGGGCCGTGGTGGTCAATCCGCTCTGCGTTTCGCCCGTCTTCGTGAGGAAAAGCGACACAACTACGTCCGCAAGATCGCCGAATTGGCTGTTCAGAACTATATCACCAACGACAAGGTTAACGTCGCCGGTTTGGTCTTGGCTGGTTCTGCCGATTTCAAGAACGACCTGAACCAGTCCGACATGTTCGACCAGCGTCTGCAGGCCAAGGTCATCAAGGTTGTTGACGTGTCTTACGGTGGTGAGAACGGTTTCAACCAGGCCATTGAACTGGCTGCCGAGACTCTGAGCAGCGTCAAGTTCATCCAGGAGAAGAAGCTTATCGGCAACTACTTTGAGCAGATCAGTCAGGATACTGGCAAGGTCTGCTACGGTGTTGAGGATACTCTCAAGGCCATGGAGCTTGGTGCCGCTGAGATTCTGATCGTGTATGAGAACTTGGAGATCACTCGCTGGGTCTTGAAGAACTCCGCTGGTGAGGAGGTTATTCTCCACACTACCAAGGCCCAAGAAGACAATCGGGAACTCTTCCAAGATAAGGAGACTGGTCTCGAGATGGAGACGGTCGACAGCGGCACCTTCCTCGAGTGGCTGGCCGAGAGCTACAAGGACTTCGGTGCCAACCTGGAGTTCGTCTCGGACCGATCCAGTGAGGGTAACCAGTTCGTCAAGGGCTTTGGTGGTATCGGTGCCATTCTCCGATACAAGGTCAACTTTGAACAGCTTGCTGATTATAGCGATGACGACGAATTCTACGACGGTATGTTCCATCGCTTCTTTTTGACTTGTGGTCTGTACATTTGACTGACTTGCTGCTGTTTAGATTGACGGTTTAGCGACCTCGCAGAGAGCGAGGATGAACGGCCAGAAGCTCCCCCGGCAAGCCTTCTGACGGCTTGCCGAGTGGGACACCAAGGCGGCTCCGAGAATGGAACCCAGGAATCCGTAAAGGATACCATCACCAGGCCTGTTCCAAACTCCGTGCAGCTGCTCAGAGGTTAGTTATGATATTGTGTCAGTTTCCCCTCGTGCGGTGTCTAACAACTTGAACTTAATAGGGTCATCCAAGCTCTAAATGATGCCTAATTCACTGAGGCCGTCTCAGTGTCTTAGATGAACATGTGTAGTTTGCAATTTCGAAAGGTTGGATGCGATTCCCTGCAACATTTGTCCTCCCAGTCCCGCCTGCCGGTGCCTAGCAATAGTGTGCCGGCAAGCCAGATGTCGGGAGAGGCTGCTTTCTTGCTCGGCCAATTTCGCCTCCACTACTTCCAGATGGACGATGTCGGGATTTATTTATGTTTGTTTGATATTTTCGCTCTCGTTTCGCGGGGGACCACAGCTGGAAGCAGATCGTTCCGCTGCCTCTGTATACAATGTTCGCCCAGGACGATAAAATTCAGCCTTTGTTTTATTTCCTTTTTTTTTCCGTCCGTAGTATCAGATTAGCTTTTTCTCCCGAAAATGGGGTCTTAATTTTATTCGTAAAATGCATGGACTAGTAGTAATGCTGAAGTAGTAGTATCTCAGCCAAGCTGCTCATAGATATCTTCATAAACCCGCCGCAAAATGAAGTGAAATAAACCAAACCTCAAACATCTTGGAGAGTTTCAGCGCCTAACTGGTCTCTCCACGTCCCCAAGTCCCGACACGACTCGGCCACCATTCGCAGGTCATTCAAAGCCTTCAGCACGGCGTCTTTATTTTCGTTAGATGGCTGGCGCCCACACTCGACGAAGAAGATATATTGCCACGCCCGTTTCAAACTGGGTCGTGTGTTGATACTGGTAAGGTTCAATCCCTGCGCCTTGAATATCAACAGCGCACTTGCCAAAGCACCAGGAGAAGAATGGTTGATCGAGAACGAGATCAAGGTCTTGTGTGTTGTTTCAGACTGAGGCTGGCCTGGAGCAGGATCGGAAGCAGGAGCAGGAGCAGGAGCAGACAGATAGGGAGGAATGCTCAGACTTTGATGATACCCTTCGCCAGTGCGCAGCGACTGGATATTCCTCAGAATCAAGAATCGGGTGGTATTATCCGATCGATCCTCGATATTCTCCGCCAAAATGCCATTGCCGTGATACTCGGCCGCAAATCGACTAGCGATGGCGCCGCCCTGCTCAGCCGTATCCTTCGCGACAATCTCCGCGCCCTTGGATGTGGACGAGACATCTTGTCTTTCCACGCCCTTAAAATAACGCGAGAGAAACATGTCGCATTGGCCCCAGGCTTGCGGGTGTGTATACAACTTTGTGATTGAACCGTCGTAGCTCGGTAATCCGCCGGGGTATGAGCCTTTTCGAACGACAAGACAGTGGTGCACGGTCAGGTAATATTCTCCGCAGACTTTGACGTCCTTATAGAGGTCATTCCGGTCGGCGAGGAGGTCAAGCGTTTGTACGACGGAGCCATTGGTCGAGTTCTCGAAGGGAATAACGGCGTAGTCGGCATCTCCACGCTGGACGGCGGCAAAGGCGTCCGCGAAAGAGACATGAGGAACCAAATCTGCGGTGGCTCGACGGAAGGACTCGGCAGCAGCCTATCGTACCAACCCCAAGCAGAAAAGGCATAAGCAACGGAAATACCGGGCACCTACAGCAAATTGCGGGGGAGTCAGAAGTACCGAAGTACCATCATGCGTACCTGGTGGGAGAAGGACGCCGGCGGGCCCAGAAAGGCCACCTGGAGACTCGACAGCGGCATTGCGAAGAACCTGCGTTCAAATCTGGAGCTTCGAGAGAATTGTCCGGAATCCCAGGCTTCTCCAGGGCCACGACAATCCCATTGTAAACTCCACCGAGCGGTGTGTGCTTGCGCGGCAGTATCCTCTTCAAACAAGACAAACCCCGGGATCGGCGTCGTTCGATACCAGCTGCGACATGCGCGTCATGTCAGACCAAATTTGATCTCCTCCACTCAGATGGATTTTTGCGCGAGCGATGCGTCTTTTGCGACTACAACCCTTGCTCTCGCGAGGAGGCGCAACAATCTCCCAGTCTCATTGCGCCTACTCTTCGCTCGCCGGACTACACCATCAGCTCACAGCGCGCAAGCTCCCATTAACCTACGACTACCTCCACCCCCAGCCTTCACATCTGCTCAATTTGACGCTCAATGACCTACTTCCGCCATCACCAACCTCCAAGAATCTCTCGACACCCCTCCCTTCAATCCGAAACCCCTCGCCACTCCCAATCTCCCATCATCTGATCTACTTCCCGCCCCAAGTAACCCTGTCGCAATTGCTCCCAGACGGCACAGACACCCTCCACACCCCTGGCCCACCCTTCAACCGACGGCTATGGGCAGGCGGTAATATCCGATTTCCCGGTCGCAGTCCCCTTCTCGACGGGAGCCGGGCCGTCTGTATTGAATCAATCCGCAACGTGACCGTGAAGGGACGCGAGGGGGAGGAGAAAGTCATAGTGACTATTGAGCGGCGCGTGGGCACGGTTCCCGAGGAAGAAAGCGAACCAGAGACATGGCGACGACTTTGGACGGAGAATGAGGCGGCGGATGGGGAGGCGAGCGTGGTTGAGAATCGGGACTTGATCTTCATGCGGGCCAAGAGTGCGGAGCAGATCCGGGTAGACAAGGATGGATTTGAGCTGCCTCGTCGGATTATCAAGTGTGAGTATACATTTTGAAAGCCTCATCTGCGCGAGAAAGAATACGGGCACACGAAAGAGGCGAGAAAAAGGAAATATCGATTGCTAATCTAATTATTATAAACACAGCTCCACCTAATGCGACATTCCGCCACCCAATCTTACCAACCAAGGCCCTCCTTTTCCGATTCTCCGCTTTAACATTCAACGCACACTCCATCCATCTTGACAAGAGATATACTCAAAATGAAGAAGGCTACCGAGATTGCCTAGTACACGGCCCATTGACCTTAACCTTGCTTCTAAGCGTCTTGCAAAGCTATCTCAGAGGAATCAATCTCCAGGTCAGCAAATTCGAGTACAGGAACTTGGCGCCTCTTTTTGTTGGGGAGCAACTGACAATCTGCGGCAAGCCCAAGAATGGGGATGGGACTTGGGATGTGTGGATTGAAGGTCCGGATGGAGGCCTGGCAGTTCGTGGGACGGCCTGGGCTTCTACTTTGGCATAAATTGAATACCCAGTATATATCTATGTCTGTGTGTACTATGTGCATTTTTTGGATGATGTTTTGAATACCAGCATAGCGAGCTTATGAGTAGTATCAGGAACTCATATCAATGTCAATAACCGGAGATAGCTCAGAATCAGAGAAACGAATGGAAATTGGACTTGATTTCGAGTCAATTCTAATCTAAGGAGTACATTGTAGCTACACTTTCCTGTCTCCTGTCACGCCGACAGGAGCTTCCTCCGGTCCAAGCAAAGATAAACCCAGCTCAAACATCGAAATAACAAACAGCACTCAGATCAAACGCGAAAGGCTTGAATCCCGAAAGATGACCACACTTCGACTCGCCCTTCTCTGTATCATAATCATAGCCGTTATACTTAAAGCTCAATTGACATCCCCTTTGACCACCAGGCGGGTTCCAGCATCCAGTCACATTGGTAGGCGAGCTAAGACCACCACCAGAGAAGAGACAGTTACTGCAGGTGGATCCGTCAGAGGTACAAGCTTCAGGCTCAATCTTTGCACCCTGCGCATTGAAAAGCAGGTTCTTGTCGAAGTAGCTGGATCCTCCTTCTCCTTCTCCACTTGCGCCACCGGGGGCAGGAAGGGTTTCTCCTTCGCATTGGAGGACGAATTGAGAGTTGCCGGATTCGTCCGAGGGGTCTCGACGGGTCAGGGTGTTGTCTACCTCGGTACCAGTCTCTGGTTCGGAGACGGGGATGGCGGTTGCAAGGGCCAGGGTGACGAAGGCCGAGAAAACGGTAGAGGGTTTCATTTTGATGGTGTTTTTGGTAGCTCCGGTTGGAGTGACAAATCAGTTTTGCGTGTTTGGAAGTGAGAAGTGGTTCTGTTTAGAGAATTGAGACTTGATATATGATTTCCTGGATGTATGCCCTGAGATCTCTTGGCTTTATATCTGTATCTGGAGATTGGAGTCTGTAGAAATCCCTCTTATCCACTGGAAATATCCAGTATCATATGGTATGATTTGAAGATCTTGGGGCCAGGAACAGGGCTGCAATATGGAGAACTTGGGGGCTGTTGGATATTCCTTCGTCATTCTGTAGACAAAATTCCCTCGAATACTACATCATATAAACAAATATAGGACAACAGACGTCATATAGCCTTCCTCTAGGAGGTCAATCAAGTGCCTGGATAAGAATTATCTCCTACGTAGTAGGTATATCTTGAATGTTCTTGTGACCCTCTTTTGGAAGAACAATAAATCGAAATTAACCAATAATTTCTTGTGTCAATGATAAGAGAAAGAATAGCTTGTATGTGTCTGTCAAGGCGTATATTTAATTATTGTCCGCCATTTATATCCCTAGTCAATAAAATGTTCTGCTCAGAGCCCAACCGAACGTGTGTATCATTACCATGTAACTATGCCTCTACTCCAATCCTCCCCCTGAACCAGGCAATCTCCGGTCCGATGGCGTACTGTTTGGCCCCCTGTGGATCCTTGGGATGCATATCAGGCTCTGAAGCGCTGCCTGGGCGTGGGGGCCTAGTTTGCATCATGTGGCTTTAGCAAGTGCTACGAAATACGGTCCTGGTATCTATTTGGAAAGATCTACAGGGTTAAGTGTAATTCCGTAGTCCACAGTTGTGGGCTGTTGTTGGTGGTTGTATCATGAGGGATAATATGTCTAATCATAATTTTCAAAGCCAATTTGGTCTGAAGATCACTGAATTAAACAGATTCAATCCGGGCTCTTTATTAGTCCGTAATCATACTGACCTTTTTCGGCTAGCCTCAAACGAAGATTTCCGGCGTGCCGAGTATCAATCCATCTTTGAACGGCAAAAGCCGCACGGGCTACCCTCGTAGGGCATCACCAACGATGACTAGGCTATTTTTGGCTGCGAGGTGGTGATCAGCCCTTGATACGCAATCGTTGGTTACCATAAATAGTAAGTACGATGGTGGGTGAACGTGGGGGCCGATCCCGAAAACATGGAATGAGGTCATAGTCAACCGGGGGTTCCCAGGAGACCACGGCCGTGTTGTGGAGGCAGCCTGCAGGGACCTCACAAAGGCGGCGGAAGGCTGATGTCGATCGTTGGGGGCGACGTATAAAACGCCTGGTCAGTCCGTAAACTCCAAGACGGCAAGAATTAATCTCTCATGACGATTCCCACCATTCTCTCATGCCTTACACGCAGTTTCACGTCAGCACCGAGAAGCTGGGACACCACTACCCGGTAGTCTGCTCGGATAATGCGGGCGGAAAACACCGTTTCTACATAGAAAATGCCCCAGCAGCCTCAAAAAAGCCAGATCTGACCTTCTGCGAGGGAGGCAACAACAGCGGTCGGGTCGTCGGCCTTGCCAGGTTTCCCCGCTTCTCGTCGAACTGTGAAGTCCTGATAGTAAACGATGAATGTCCGAAGAATGAAGACTGGAAAACAGTGTCAAAGAGGGGCTTTGTGACGATGCAGTACAGCTTCCACACCCCCGTTTCTGGAGAGATGCGAAGCCTTGTTTGGAAGAAGACACGATCGATGGGTGGGGGGAGCAGTCCATACCCAAATATGAAGCTCGTCGATGAACAAAGCGGGGATGTTCTTGGGGTTTTCTCGACCGATCATTCGTCGCTGGTTGCGGGTGATCTCGATATGCGTGTGAATTATGGCGAATCGTTTGATCGATGGGCTTTTGTTACTGGTGTTGCTGTGCGAGAGGCGCAAAGGCGGAAGAATAATAGTTCTGTCAGGGCTCTTGATAATAGGGCTACTGCCGGTGCTGCCATTGGAGGTATGGGAGCAGGTGGAGGTGCCTAGTCGCAGCGTGATCTCGCTTATATTTGTCATTTAAGAGCCAACCTAACCCAAATTCAGTTGACATTCGTCGAGTCGATGGGGAGATGCATAGCTTGGTGCGTCTTAGTAGATATCTCGCGGTAAGTGTGGCAGTGTCGGTTGTAATTGTTGGAAGCGCCAGATCGACGATTGTTCTAGTAGAGGGGAGTTGAGATAAGAGGAATTCACATTACTTTTTCTTGGCGGGACTCTACAAGTGTTCTTGAGCCTTGGTGTTTGCTTGAATCCCCAAAATATATACAGTTTCGTTGTCAAACCACATTATGCCCACTTGACTCATTTATTGGGGTTGAGGGGAAGATCCAAGAAAGAAACTGAGATCATCCACATAAATTTATCTGTCAATGAAGGACACACTGAATTATTCTGTCATTCTGTACTCGATCGCATTGCTACGCTTTATACGTAGTTCGGCTTCGTGGGAGAGCCGCGCCAAGACCCGTCGGAACGGAGAAACCAGTCCCGACTGCACACGTATATTTTCTTTCCGCTTCTCTCAAGCTCTTCCGCTTCTTCTCTTCTTCCCTCACTTTCCCGTGCTTTGCAGCTTCCGGGTACAATGAGATGCTCTGAGATTTACTAACCACCCAGCCTCTTTTTCATTCCTCTCTCAATCTGCCGAGATGGAAACATTCTGGGCGGCACCTCCGGTGTCTCGGTATGTGGTCTCTTGCGATACGCTCAATTCCGCAGCGACTAACGTGTTTTCTTCCAGGACAATCACGGCCCTGACATTCATTCAATCCACTGCGTTATATGGCGGCGTACTAAGTGGCTATTGGGTGATCTGGGTGCCTCGTTTGATCTTCCAAGTACCTCCCCAGATTTGGCGGTTGGCTTTACCATTCTTCATAACCGGCCCGAAACTCTCGTTCATCTTTGATCTATACCACAGTATGGGACTTCGGTGCCGCATTGGTGTCTATTGACCCAAGTGCTAACCTTGCCGGCAGTGTACACCTACGGTAGTGCCCTGGAGACCAGCTCGGTTCGATTCTCCCGGCCAGGAGATTTCGTTACTTACCTGGTTTTTGTAGCCCTTGTGATCATGGTAAGTGGCTCGCTTGATCTGAGATATCTCTCTCGGTAGAGTCGTTTTTTCTTTTTATTTTCTTGCCTTGCGTTTTTCAATCATACCACCTCGCATATCTGCCCGCCCAGCCATATTCTAGCTGAAGCGGTTCCTGGAAGTGAGGAAGATTACCCCTGCATCCCGTGCAGTACCGCATTCGCAAAATCCAAAATGGTGCTGCATGCGGTGTGGGATTGGTGGGATTACCTCTGAGATAGCCGTCGTGATCCTATAAGTTCACGCCGGTGGTTAAGGTGCCCTACATTCTACATACTCTTCTATCTATTTATTCATTCCCAATACCATTCAATTCCTTTTCTATCTCCTGCTGCGGTAGCCACTCTCACATCTATAAACAACATGCTAACTTTTCCCAAAGCTCACAGCAGGCTACATTCTGGGTGGCGTGGTTTTCACTTCCGGTAAGCTTGACTTGACACCGCTAGTTTTACCTCCACTTGATGTTAAGATTGTGCATTCTAGCATTGATCCTGGCCATGGTCTACACCTACGCACAGGATAACCGCGGCCGCAAAGTCTACTTCTTCTTCGTCCAGATGCCCGTGCAATATCTGCCTTATGCAATGCTTTTTATCACCTTGCTCCAGCAGGGATGGCCATCTGCGTTGAGTGAAAGTATGGGTATTGTGGCCGCTCATGCCTACGACTTCGTCACTCACATCTATCCAACCTACGGGGGTGGTCGAAACTGGCTCGTCACCCCGGGCTTTGTGCACCGATTCTTCAGTAATACCTCCTCGCGTTCATATGGTACCGCCTCCCGCCAGCCCGAGCCGCGGTCAACCGGGCCTTCGACATCCAGGGGCTGGACCTCGTCATTCCAGAACCCCTGGAGCAACCGTGGCGCTGGACGGAGACTCGGTGGGAACTAATGTACATGCCATGAATTATTTTGTGGCTTTTGAAATGGTGGTCACTCGTATGAATCTTCATTATGGCGTTTTACATAAATGCCTTTGCCTATGCAATACTGCTAGTATGGGGTGAACTACTACTCCGCACATCATGTAAAATACATGGCTTAGAATAGCCTATCGTGAACCACTACTAAAGAAATAGGTCGAAGAAGACCATTCATATCAATCTTGATAATTCTTGTCTACACACGAATAAGTTAAAAATTCTATACGGTGCAGACCCGAACTCGTAAAATGTACATTGGATGCCACTCACGTGATCATCGACGGGAGCTAACCCGATCGGGCGCTGGAGCTGCCGCACTCGCAAAATTTCCTTCGAACAAATTTTTGGTCTGCATCGACAACCAACACCAACGATGGCCGCCGTCAACAACCAGGAGATGGACTATGCCATCAAGCCCGAGGCGGTCACCCCGACCGTCTCCACGGAAGACTGGCCTCTTCTGCTGAAGAACTACGAGAAGTGTACGTTTTTTGTCTTCGATTCGCGATCTTCTCATCCTTCGAAGGCCCATGGACTGACATGACTTCTCCGCGCAGTGCTCGTCCGCACCGGCCACTTCACTCCGATCCCTGCGGGTTCTTCGCCTCTGAAACGTGACCTCAAGTCCTACATCAGCTCCGGTGTTATTAACCTGGACAAGCCCTCCAACCCGTCCAGCCACGAGGTTGTGGCTTGGATGAAGCGGATCCTCAGGTAATACTGACCCTCCCCCTCCCCCTGAGTCCTATTCTCGCACACTCAAGTCTCAAGTCAATTGGAATCGGAAGTCGCTAACTCTTTTGCTCACAGATCCGAAAAGACTGGTCACTCCGGAACCCTTGATCCCAAGGTCACTGGCTGTCTGATTGTCTGCATTGACCGTGCCACCCGTCTGGTCAAGTCTCAGCAGGGTGCCGGTAAGGAGTACGTTTGTGTTATCCGCCTTCACGACAAGATCCCTGGTGGCGAGGCCCAGTTCGCTCGCGCCCTGGAGACCCTCACTGGTGCTCTCTTCCAGCGCCCTCCCCTGATCTCCGCCGTCAAGCGTCAGCTCCGTATCCGTACCATCCACGAGAGCAAGCTCTACGAGTTTGACAATGACCGCCACCTCGGTGTATTCTGGGTCAGCTGTGAGGCTGGTACCTACATTCGTACTCTCTGTGTTCACCTGGGTCTACTCCTGGGTGTTGGTGCTCACATGCAGGAGCTGCGCCGTGTTCGTTCCGGAGCCATGAACGAGGAGAGCGGCATGGTCACCCTCCACGATGTTATGGATGCCCAGTGGGTGTACGACAACACTCGCGACGAGTCTTACCTGCGCAAGGTCATCCGTCCCCTTGAGAGCCTGCTCACTACCTACAAGCGTGTCGTTGTTAAGGACAGTGCCGTCAACGCCATTACCTACGGTGCTAAGCTGATGATTCCTGGTCTTCTCCGCTACGGTTCGTTATCTTCCCTGTTTCAATTTACCGAATGATTTATTGACATCGTCTTACAGAGGCCGGTATTGAGGTTGGCGAGGAGGTTGTCATGATGACCACCAAGGGTGAGGCCATTGCCATTGGTATCGCCCAGATGTCCACCGTCGAGCTCACCACCTGCGACCACGGTGTCGTCGCCAAGGTCAAGCGTTGCATCATGGAACGCGACCTCTACCCCCGCCGCTGGGGCCTGGGCCCCGTCGCTCTTGAGAAGAAGAAGCTCAAGTCCGCCGGCAAGCTTGACAAGTTCGGCCGCACCAACGAGGCCACCCCCGCCAAGTGGAAGTCTGAGTACAAGGACTACGACGCCGTCGAGGAGGAGGAAGACAAGTCCGCTGCTGTTCCCGAGGCTACCCCCGCCCAGAAGGAGGAGGAGCCTGTCAAGGCCGAGGAGGCCGACGAGGGCGACAAGAAGAAGCGCAAGCACGACGATGAGACTGCCGAAGAGCGTGCCGAGCGCAAGAAGAAGAAGAAGGAAAAGAAGGAGAAGAAGGAGCGCCGGAAGTCCAAGCAGGCTGAGGAGAGTGATGACAGCGACTAGAGGCGCCCAGGAAGACCACTCGTGGTCCATTTCCTGTACCATATTTTCTGAATTTGTTTTCTCAAGGAGTCAAAGGGTCAAAAGGGATTCTGCCGGTTTTGAAGATTTTTCTTAGTTGCTTGAATCGACATGTTTATAACATGATGAAGCTTTTCAATCAATCATGGTCTATTCATAACAATTGCTCATATTAGTCGAATTATCAGTAAACCGTGCCGGGCTTGAAGACTGGTGTATATAACTGACTTGTCGAAAAGTAAGTCTGGACAAACGAGATCCACCAACTTCTTGCGCAAAGACATTGCATTTTCAGTGCAATGCCATTTCCTAGAGTGACAAGCAGATATTATTCTGATGTGACCTCTCTTTGCTTCGCGGACACAAGCCGTTGGCACAATCACATCTATAAAAATCCACAGTAGATCGTACAACGCTTGTTGAAAGACCTTTAAGGCCACATTTTTCACCTGGGTCTGTAGATTTATGAGGCGAACAATTATCAAGAGAACAGCAGAATATATGATATTCTGTTTCAAATACCATTGCCTATTCAAAGTCAGCGCTTGAGACAATGATGTTCTCGTACAGATGTTCTGGGTTTACATGACCCAGTAGCTAGTACTTAGGACAAGGTGGGCAGATACCAAATAAAAACAAAGATATACTTCCATGTGGCATTATATTAAAATCTAATAAATCTGGCAACCATATTTCTTATCATGCTTGACCAAAGAACGGGCGTTGCATCGACGATCTCGTGACGTGGGAGGAATCTCATTTTGGAAGTGCTGCCTTAAGGCGCCAACAGATTTGCATGCACTTGAGCCGTTCTCCACTCTCCGCATTTCCCCTCTGTCATCACCATCACTTCTCCTCACAGCACGGCACCACGCGACAACATCCACGAGCATCGCTCGTCCATACCCAATATGGCTGCCGAGCTAACATCAACCAACCTAAACCCTGAAAGCCACATCATCCTCGTATGACAGCCCCAGACAAACCACCAGAAACGGGAAAGCTGACCCGCCGCCCACGGGGCAAACAGGACCAACCGCTTCTTCGCGTTCCAAATGAACTTGCTCGACGAAACCTCAAAGCTACTCAACGACTTGTCGAACGGGAGAAAGATTATCTCTTACCTGCCCTCAAAGATGCGACCAACGCCGCCATTGCTAAGACCAAGACACCCGACCAGACCTTAGCTGACCTCGATGCCATGATCGCGCGCATGAAGGGATTCAAACAGAAGATGGAAAATCTGAAGGAAGAAGAAACGAAAATACAGACACAGACGCGCAAGCGCATCGAGCACCTCGAGGCCTTGAACCATATTCCGAGCCTGGCCGACGTCAAGTACGAGCAGTGGTCGCGTGTGCGCCTGGATCGCTTGCTGGTGGACCATATGCTGCGTTCGGGATTTGTGGAGAGCGCGGAAGCGCTGGCAAAGGAGAATGGAATCGAGGATCTCGTTGATCTCGATGTTTTCAAACAATGCCAGCGAATCTTTGAATCTCTTCGGAAAGGCGAGACGAAGAGTGCTCTGCAGTGGTGTGCCGAAAACAAGGCAGCGCTAAAGAAAAGCGAGGTACGTTAGGAACGCAGCTTCACTGATTTCTGGCGCGCGTATTATCTGGATGGTTCTGACATAATGGCCCAATATCGGCCTGGACAGCTGAACCTGGAGTTTGAATTGCGACTGCAGCAGTACATCGAGCTTGTTCGATCACCGGATCCGGAGAAGAAGATTGAAGCGATTGCTTACGCCAGAAAATGGCTCGTCTCTACCCAGAGTGAACAAAACAAGGACATTCTGCGAGCTGCTGGAATGCTTGTTCTGACCCAGGACACAAAGGTGGAGCCTTACAAGGTATGTCTTCCATTCTAGAAGCCAAGCGATATTGGTACTAACGGTTTCTAGACACTCTTTTCGGACGAGCGCTGGGAATTCTTGGCTCATCTCTTCCTCAAGACGCATCATGATCTGCTTTCCCTGCCCGTTGAACCGCTCTTGAACATTGCCCTGTCCGCTGGACTGTCAGCCTTGAAGACACCCTTGTGCCATTCCGCCTACGCCTCCTCAAGCACGAACTCTGCTTCTACCGCGACTTCTGTGTGCCCGATTTGCTCGACCGAGCTGAATGAGCTCGCGCGTGACCTGCCGTACGCGCACCACTCGAAGAGTTATGTTGCAGGTGATGCGATTGTGCTTCCGAATGGCCGAGTTTACAGCAAGGCCAAATTGATGGACATCAGCCGACAGGCCGGGCTTGCTGAGAATGGCAAGGTGAAGGATCCGACTACGGGAGAGATTTTCGACGAGGACGAGATGAAGAAGGTTTACATCATGTGAAGGGCCAGTCGCGGGATCACTGCAACGAATGTAATGTGTGCCATTACTTCGTATCAACTCGAATTATGCAAACAAACAGTTACCACATGTGATGTGCTATCTGTTCTTTTTCCAACGCGCACGAGATGGAGGTGGACATCATGCAAATGGCTTTTCGCGGGATCACTGCAGCGAAAAACATGTCATTACCTTCATATCAACTCGTTAGGATAGGAAAGTAGCCAGTCATTACATCCGATCTGCAATCTATTTTATCGTAGATCTGTATACAAGTAAATAACCACACTATTCACTATCACTCGACTCATCCCTCGCCCTCTTCTTCCTCTTCGGCTTGGGAATCTCCTTCTTAACCTCAAAAACATACATCCTTGCATCCCGATCCTCCCCCCTCCACCCACCCCTCCCCCCATCCTTCCCTTCAACCTCACCCAGCGTCCTCGCATGCGAATACCCCTCATATGAAGCCCACGGAAACCGAAAAGAAGTAACAACCTGCAATCCCGCATGACGAGCCAAATCCTTTATATTCCAAAGGGTATATGGCTCGCCCTCGAATAGCGAGACAAGAATCTGCCCCGGTCCTTCACGGGTTGATTTGCCAGTTGTCTGTGCATCCCCATCCTCGTCCTCAACCTCATCAGACTCGGATAAATCCTCATCATAGTCCCACTCCTCATCCTCATTAATCTTCTCCGGCGCCGCAGAGAGGAGAGGGAGACAACTCTTAAAGAACGAAACAAGCAATTCCTGATTCGCCCTCACCTGCCGATTAACATCCGTCGAAAGACCGCCCACATGCGGGAAATTGAAGCAGATCACATCCCACGGTCCACTAGGCGGTTTCGGCTTGGTTTCTTCCCCTTTCCCTGACCCCTGCTGCTGCTGCTGATGGAGCTTCCAGGCGGGGATTTTGCGTTCGCGACGTGTGAAGCCTTGTCTAATCTCTTTGCCTCCGCCGCCTTGGGCGCCGAGTTTGCGGGCGTCTATGGAGAAGAGGACCCTTGGAGCGGATTGCGCCTTTGGTGCTGATTCTTTGGAGTCTTCCTCTTCCTCGTCTTGATTTTCGTCCTCGTTTTCTGCTGCAGAGGACTTGGACTTTGATGAGGTGATATCCTGGATATTCTGCTCTGCTTGCGGATACTTTTCGTACAGCGTTTCCTTGGAGTCGTAGCAAGTAGCGCAAATTTTCCGGCATTTGTACTGTGTCGCTAGCGAGCGAGCAAAGGAGAAATCACCTATCGAAAAATCAGCCACACACTCCTATCAGATCAACGCCAAAGAAAAAGAACGAAAACAGCTTACCCTCCCCAATCAACAAAATCCGATCTCCCCTCAAGAAAGGCACAATAGGCCTCTGATTCTGCTGCAGCGGCTGCAATTTCTGCGGTCCATTGCCTGCATTTGCATTCTTTCCAGCTTTCTGCTGGCCCTGGCCTTGCCCCTGTCCTTGAGGCTTCGGCCCGGGACGGTTCGAGCGCGGAGGCTGACCTTTTTGCTTCTTGCGGGGCATTATCTCCGATCACTTATTTTTTGGAAGCGCAGGTGAGGATTGAATTATGTATTCGTTGGTGTTGGGTGGTAGATTAATCGCTGGTGGATATGAGGTGAGGTTGAAAATGTCGGCCAATCAAAGTTCCGGCGGCGGTCTGGTCTGTCCTTCTGCGACCATTTTTCAAGTAGGGATTGATCACGTTGGGAATATTGCTGGATAATATGAAGAGAGATTCATATCTCTAGGATACTAACAGAACTCTCATTTGATGATACATCAGTCTATATAAAAGACAGACGAAAGAGAAAAAAACATCAGATGAAGCACGTTCTATTGCTCAACATAGCTATATACATCGAACCAAGAGAATTGAAACTAGGCTATGCCCCAGAACAAGAAGAGGGGTAGAAAAAACAAGAATTATTAAATCGTACTGCAAACCAATATGGCAAGCCCTTTTCCCAAGTGAAGGAAGACAAGAAAGTAGAAGCCACCAACACCGATAAAAACAAGTGGGCAAAAGGAACAAGGGATACAGGATCGAATCGCACGCCGAAAAGGGCTGCAATGAAAACGTGAGTCATACACATGCAAAATACCTACCGAATTGCATCCAGGAATAACAAGCGATGCGTGATGCTTTTGATTTCAAAACGAATATCAAATGCGAAGAAGTCATTCAGTCTTTTGGGGAATTAAGAGCGCAGGGAGTCACGCATGCTCTGGCTGCTGGCGCTGACGAGCGGGTTGGAGGTGGGGAGGACGCCGGTCCGGGGCGCGGCGTTTTGCTTGATCTTGGCCACGGCGTAGACGAGGCCGGACACGAAACCGACCACGATGGCGGAGACGGAGGGGAAGGTGACGGGGGCGTCGAAGAAGACGAGGCCGGAAACAGCGATGGGGAGTTTGTTCAGGGCGCCGACCATGGAGTAGGTGGTGGAGGAGGTGACACGCACGCACCAGGCGGAGGTGTAGGAGATGAAGACGGAAGAGAGACCGGAGAGGATCATGGCGACCGCGATACCGTTGCGGTTAGCCTCGGGGAAGTTGCGAGCCAGGTTGGCAGAGGACCAGTCCTCGACGAGGAGGGTGAGGACGATGAGAACGGGGATGGAGAGAAGGTTGTTGTAGAACATCGCTGTCATGGTGTTAAAGAGGTTATTGCGGCTAGACCAGCCGGAGACGGGTTTGTAAAACGTACTATCAAAGTCCTTGAAGTTGGTCAACTTGATGCGCTTGCGCATGCCCAGGACGTAGGAAGAAGTGCAGAGGCAGTTGATCAGCATCCAGACGTAGCCGGCGTTGAGCGTCGAGACCTTGCTGGAGGTGTCGCCGCTGCTCTCGACGGCGTGCTTGATATCTGCCCAGGCGGCAATGAGGGAGCTGAAAACCATCAGGCCGAAGGAGAACAGGGTAAGACCGGTCACGGAGCCACCGAACCAGAGGACCTCGCCGTAGGCGATCAGGATGATGGTCAGGTTCTTGAAAATCGTGTAGACGGGGATAGAGAGGAACTGCAGGGCCTTGGAGCCGGTGTAAATCATGCCGATCAGGAGAAGAGTGATAGGAAACCCTGGTCAGAGCGGTGTCTGTCAGCGATTGCCTCTTGAAAATAAAGTCGCGGATGTCTCGAAATGCTTACACTTTCTAGCCTCGTCGGCGCTGAAGTCACGGTAGGTGATCAGACCCATGGACTTGCAAGTCTGGATAGCAGCAATGCACACAAGAGACTAGACGCAGCATTAGCATGACTTATTCATCAATAAATCTTCTATGATGTATATTCCCAACATACCTGAACCATGAGGAGCAAGAAGTTCAAATTGAAGTCCAAGCCGGACAGAACATACTTGTTCATGACCGTCATCATAATGGAAGAACCACAGTAGGCCAGAACAGGCAGGGCAGGGTGTCCAGCAACCGGCGCCGGAGGCGCAGCGCGAGGTTGTGGTGGCGGCGCGGCCTCGAATTCCTTGTTGCCCTGGTCCAGTTTGTCCATTTGGACGGTGTAGTCGTCCGACTTCTTATCGTCGGCCATGACGGAGGCGAGAGGGTGTACAGGACGAAATATAAAGAGCAGAAACGGAGTAACGAGGATCGACGAGTGAACCTGGGGAGTGCCGAACTGGACAGGCTGGAAGTGGCCGGGGGAGCGAAGACGCGCAGGAGAAACTGAGAACTTTTGGATGAGTCAGCAACACAGGGGGCTGAGTAAGCTGCCCTATAAATAATTAACTGAACGCCCTAATTAAACGTGCAGCGAGGAGATAGCGATTGGCAAGTAAAAGATACCAGAGATAATAAGGAGGCCTCTAAATCGGCACGTATTAACCCGTTCACCATGTAGGGCTGTCTATCGCAATTTCTGGCCTGGCCAAGTGGATACCTGAAGACAGTACGGAGTATACACGAGGCGCCGCAGCCCACCGAGCCCTCCTCCACCTCCCCTCCACCCCTCATCTGAGACCCAAAAAAACCTCCCTCACGCGGCAGGAGCACTAATTGAGCAAATCCAAGCTCAGATATCCTTCGTGGCCAACCACGACTATAACCTCCGCAAAATAACAGGAGGGTACCAAACCTAACCGCCCACAATGACCGAATCGGACGACGAGCTCTTCGCCTCCCTCGAAAACGAAGAAGCAGACACAAGCTACCGCGACCACCGCATCCAACAACTAAACGCGGAATTCGCCTCCTCAAAAACCAACCGCTCAACAAAAACAAACAACACCAACTCCACCAGCACAACCACCTACCCATCCCTCTCAGGCGACCAATCCGTGCTAGACTTCACAACACGCAGCACCCGATGCATCGTACACTTTGCGCACAGCGACTTCGCCCGCTGCGACGTGATGGACGCGCGACTTTCCGAACTCGCGACCCGTCACTTCGAGGTCTCGTTTGCGCGGGTGGATGTGCAGAGCACACCGTTTCTGGTCGAGAAGCTGGGGATCCGCGTGCTGCCTTGCGTGATTGGGTTTAAGGATGGAGTTGGGATGGCGCGGGTGGTTGGATTTGAAGGGTTGGGTGCTGGTGGCTCGGATGGAGGAGAGAACTTTAGCGTCAAGGTTCTTGAGAAGAGGTTGCTTGGGAAGGGGTGCTGCTGCAGGCGAAGTTCTCGGAGGATGATCATGATGACTCGGAGGGGAGTGAGGATGAGGATGATAACGAGTTTAGGAGGGGCCCGAAGGTTCGGAAGGCGAAGACGCTGAGGAGTGGGAAGATTAGGAATGATGACGACGATGATGATTGGGATTAGATTTGGTTTTGAGAGTTGGGTTTGGGTTGGGTTATGATGTGATGATATACCACTGGTTGAGGGAAGAGAAGCATATTTGTATCCTTTACTGGTCTTCATTTTGATTGTACATGATACCAAACTGATCTGATATACGGATCTCGAAGACACATACAAGTAGACAGATAATCACCCAAACCAGAATGAATTGTAGAGCCAAAAAACTAAACTGCATCATCATAAAATTACAGACAAATAATGGAGACCGTGTGCGAACCAGAACAGGCAGAACACAAAGAAAAGCTCCCTAGAGTTACAACAAATGCCACGAAACCATGACAACAGAACCAAGGCCAAAAGGAACAAGAAGAATTCTATACACGGAAGCAGAAGCAAAAGCAAAGCAGAGCAGTTGTCACATAGATCCGAATTCGTCATCGACGCCTGAGTGCCCTAGAGGATGCAAGGGAAAAGAAGAATAAAAAAATGAGAAAGAGAGAGAAGAAGCAGATTTGAAATCCAGTTCGAGGGAAACGTTAGATGGCCACGTTCTTCATTTCCCCGAGGACCTCCGAGTCAATCACATTCGAGGATCCGGATGCTGCCTCTTCACCTTCCTTCTTTTCTGCCTTGTCCGCATCAGGATTCTGCTCCGCCTTACTGGGGAACCCCTCATTCTCCTTGTTGGAGATTTGCGGAGTCGAAACCTCCATTAGATCCTCTGTCTGCTGCTCCTCCTTGCCATGTTCACTGGGATCTTCCGAGATAGTTGGTCCAGCGGTGTTGATAGGGCTAGAGGTTTCCTCTGTCACGCGGGCAAGAGGGCTGGATACACCGAAGGGAGTCTTGGGGCTCTGGGCGGGACCGCGGTTGGGGAAGCGGTGCGGCGAACGACCACGTTCCTCGGCGCGAGTTGGGCTTCCGTATGGCGAGTCCTTGGAGTTGGATCCCTTGCCAGATGCATTCACGCCCAGACCGTTGGGACCACGACGGCGGGGAGGGCGACGGCCGTACTTCTGGTCAGTCCTCCACCGCAGAATCTCCAGGTATGGAGGCTCGACATTTTGCGACTTGAACTCCTTCAACTTCAGCTCGTTCGTCTCCTCGTCCACCATGGTTTTGCCGCTGCACAGATCGTCGGCAAAGGTAGCGAGGAAAGCAGCCCAAGAACGGGCAACCACATATTTGCAGTCGTAGTCGCGACCGAAGATAATGACTTGTCCCCATTTGCCGGCGGGACCGGGTGCCAGATCAATGGCAAGGTGGTTGCCACCCCAGTCGCGGGCCAAGGGAATCCAGGCGGGATGGGCATAGGCCTTTTGCACGGCGCCGGGCGGCTGTGAGTCCTGGCGATCGAGAAGATCATTCCGCCACATGCCCGGAGTTTGCTGGGCAGGAGCGGTCGATGAACTGGCGGCGGATGAGGACACAGGGGGCTGGTTGACCATGGCGGAACTGAGGAACTCCTCGTTGACGGTCTTCCAATTCTTTCGCTCTTGCACAATTTCCTCGCAGTCCAGCAGCATGGAGCTGAACAGGAGACCGGTGGGCAACCCAGGCCGCTCCTGACCATCGTGGAGCATCAGGGACTCGCGCACTTCCAGGGGGAGACTGCAGTCGAGTTCATGTTCTAATTCGTTAATGTCGTTCTGGGTGCACCCCTCGCCGAGCTGATCCAGCAATTCCTCGTAGTTGTGCTCGAGCCAGCGCTCAATCTTCCGCCAGGAGTGAGCGACGGGTGGAGGCGGCGGCGCGCCATCGTGGAAACTCTGCATCTGAATCTCGCCGGCGCCGTCGGGCTGGTCGTTGGATCTCCGTTTTTGCGATGCCAATGATCGCATGCCGGGCGAGTAAGGGCGGGTCGGGGACCCCATGTCGGTCGGGGAGCCATTCAGCTCGGTTGATTGTGCGCCAGAGAAGCCCTTGACGGGTTCATCGTCGTAGGGGTTGGAGAGATCGGGGCGGGACTCGATCGCGCTGGTGGCAATGGATGTGAGAGGTTCATGGCGGCTTTGACTGAGGGGGACGTGACGACCGGTGCGGTAGGGAGAATCGTGGGAGGCATGACGGTCATACGAGGTCATGGTATGCCAAAAGGAACGCCATGCCGAGCCGAAACTGGGAGAACAGGGTGAGTCAGAGGAAACCGGGGGAGTTAGAGAGCGAGGGCTGGCAGCTGGGCCTGCAGGCGTTGGCCGACGGCGAGCGAGCGACTGGGGAGAGAGTGGGACAGGGAGGAGAGGGCAGAATAGGAAGAACGTACGCATTCGCCATGGTGACAGTAGTTGATGAAGCAGAAACACTCAGGCTACCATGACCAAAAGCCGGGACGATATGCAGGGAGAGATGACAGTGTAGGAGTGGAGATGGAAGGAGCCGAAAAATATGAAGGTTGTACTTCCCCGTGATTTCGACCGCCCCTGGCTGCATCCAGCTCGGGCATGCAGATCATGACGGCGCCGCATACCTTCGATCGAATTCGATAGCATCATGACGCAGGCACTGCTGAGCTGGCAGCGTCGCGATGCTTGCCAGTGTCTTCAGAGCCTCCAGTGGCAATTGTTACGTTGGTGATTACAACGCCGGATTCAGGCCGACATATACAAACTACTCTACGAGGAACCATGCCAGGACACAAGCCCCAGACTCCAGACACCAAGAGCCCATCCGCCGAGACAGGCTCGCACAGATATTCTCAGCCACGCCGTGGCGTACAGGCATCACTGTCCAATTAAGCTTCATCAAGACCGAGACAGATCGACGAGACGATCTCCAGCAGTGTAGGAGGGCAGTTCAATGTGGGCAGGAAACAGCCGAGAAATCGAACGCAGAACATCAACCACCAGAATAATAGGGGAGAGCAACCAGTGAACAAATGCATTTTACCTAGGTAACATGTAATCAAAGTAGGGCAGACAACGCAAAAACCAACAGAGCAGAACAGGGAATGCCAACGACCCGTTCTCGACTTGAAGATAAAATTAGCCCAAGTGGAGCAGCGCAGTGGCGTCGCAACCAAATTAAGGGGTGACGTGCTGGGAGTTACGCGGACAGCGTCACTACGCATACTGTACATACCAAAATATGATATCCATATGTCCTAAGTGTAGAAAATAATAGCGAGGATTCATCTACAATTAACATCGATTAGAGTGATCGAAGGCTCAATGGACCCTTCTTGTGTAATTAAGATCGACAACGCCTACCACGTCCCGGGCATGGCCACGCCCCGGCGTGGCTAGCACGGTGGCTAGTACCTCGCCGAGGTGCCAATGCCAGGCACGCCGCGAGGGCCGGTAATAGGTTCCTGGGCCGGTGTGGCTTTTAGTGTAACTTTCAACGGCCAGCCCCATCGTGGTGAGCCCCGTGTGGTTAGACTGGGGAGCTAGAACGGGCTAACTGGCGATGCGAAATTACGGTAGGGGAGAGGGAGGGCAATTGGAGGATAGCTTGGCATAGTGAGGCTACTATAATTGTAGTACCTAGGGTAACTCATGCCCGCCGCCGATATGGATAAAGAGCGTCCCAGTTGGAATATCCGGACAAAATACAACGCACCTCAAGATAAGGGAACATGAAGCAAAGAATGCAGATTCAAACGAATGACAAAACACAAAGCACAAAAGTAATCAAACAAGAAAAAAAGCAAAAGAATGTATCGACCGACCAGATCAACCAGACAAGCACTTGGAAAGATGCAAAATCCAATCCAATGAATCCCGACTCCAAACGATGCGAAGCTCTAGACCACACGGTGGCAGATAAACCCATCAAGCGATCGGATCGCAATCGCAATCCCGATCAAGAGCATCATAAACATAACGGATTGGAAACAAAAACTCGGAATGAAACCCGGGTATCTCAAAACACCAAACCAAGTACCAGTACCATCGTAAACAAGAAAGCAGCGAAGCTCCAAAGGAGGGGCAGAACGACACCAGACCCAGTCCAGCGTGTTCGACCCGACCAGCTCGTGAGTTGAAACGTGAGACGATCATGATAACGACATGGAATAGAAGGGGAGGTAGACACAAGGAATACGGCAAATACAGCGTAGAAGATAAGGCGTGAAGATTGTTGTAGATCTTACCTCAAATCAAGAAAGGAAACGACCCTGATGGCCAAATCATCACTGCCCAGGTGCAGGGCAGTGAAGAAAAATCAAAAAAGCAAAAACAAAAGGCAATGCGGCTCATTGCTCCAAGGTGGCAAATGAGCATGGAATGCCCAAAAGACCGTGAAATCCAAAATCCAAGAACTAGGAACCAGTAGCTCACCAAGAGTAGTTCAACAAATCAGAATGTAACTCCAATCCATCCCTACCACACCGGGCAAACACAAAAGTCAACCAATCCAATCAAGCAGCAAACGGACTCTGCATACCCGGCAAGCTGGTTCCACCGATCTTCAACACCCGGCGCAGATCGTCCTCCATTTGCTTGGTCTCAACAACCTTGGAAGGCGAAGGCGAATGCGTAGGCATGGAGAAAGCAGTATGAGTGTATTGCGGCTGAGGCGAGATGTATCCGTTCTGCATCTGGTCCGACGTGGGAGGTGGCGTATTGTAGTACTGACTGTAGCCAGGAGCCGGAGCCGGCGAAGCGCCAGCCGAGTGGTGTGGGACCTCACGGCGCAAAGGCGAGTTCATGCTGCGGAAGTTCAAGTTCTGCGAGTTGTTCGTGTAGCCGTACGGGTGGTTGACGTTGTTACCGGAGTAATTGTTTCCAGCGTAGCTGTTGCCGGCAGAAGTAGGCATAGCCGACATGGGCGGGGGATGAGAGGGACCGTGAGCAGAGGGTGGACCGGAGTTGGCCCGCATCGGAGTCGCGTAGTGGGGGATATTCCCGTTGATGGGAGGAGCATACGGTCCGTACTGGTTCCCATGAGGGGGAGAGATTGAGGACGGTGGCTTCTGCGGACGCGGGTTCAAGAGAAGGTGCTTCAGTTCGGCAGTCTTGAGACGGCGTTGCTCTTCAGTTTCGTGAAGAGAAGGCTGCGACTGGGACTGCAAAGGCTGCTGAGGAGAACCGTGCGTACGCAAGGCATTCATGCGGTCCTGGTAGGAGGTTGCAAAAGAGGGGCCGATCTGTGCACGCTCGGGAGTCTCCATTTCGAATGCGAACATGCCGCCGCCCGGGGTGTTGTTCGAATGCATAGCCTTGGAGTCGGTTTGCGGGGAACGAATACGAGATGCAGGCTCAGGACTACCCATCGGATTGGACTCCGGACCGCGCGCCCGTTTAGCAGCTTCGAACAGGAAATCAATAGGCGAAGGCTTGTGCTCGACCGCCGGCTGCGACTGAGACTGCGGCTGGGGTTGAGGCTGGGCCTGAGGACGAGCTGCGCGCGGCTTCGAGGGAGTCATGTCAAGGCCGGTCTCATTGTCTGCAGTATCGCTGTCGGTTTCAAGATGAGTTGGGAGATCCGATTCGGGATACGACTTGGAGAAGAAGCTTGGCATTGGCAGGGCCGACGGGGCAGGCGAAGCATGGAAGGTTGGACCAGCGTAGGCAGGGTCTTTTGCAGGCGTGTTGTTGGGCTGAGACTTCTGTCGTTGGTGTCCATTTCCACCGTTGGGAGCAGCGGGCGATGCACGATAACCGTTGGCCGGCTTCTTGCCTGAGCGTGGCGGCTTCTTCTTGTTCACGGACGAGTCGGTCGCGACACCCGGGCTCATGTTGCGGGGCGGGGAGGAGGGTGGCGTGCTCAACATGGCGACTTTCTGAAGCTTTGGAGTAGAGTTGTTGTTGTTGTTATTCTTCTTGGAGCGTCTGTTGTTGTTGTTGTTCTGGTTGTTGCCGTTGCGTGCGCCCTTGGGCGTGGGAGGATGAGAAGATTGGGTCGACATGGCGACGGTGGCTTAAAAAATAGACAGCCGTTGAGAACAGGTGGAAGGAAAAAGGAAGAAAGCAAGCGCTAAGCTGAAGGTAGAGGTGTTTGAGAAGATTGAGGGAACCAGTCCAAGATCACTGCTCAGCAGCTGTTGGCAATATTAAGATATTGAGAACGCCGGAAGCAGAGACGAGAACGGGTATGCGCGAAGTGGAGAGCTGCGAAACGAACGCACAACAAAATGCGTAAGGGGAGAAGTTATGAGGAGTCGCGTGCCATGGCTACAAACGCCAGCCAAAGAGGAGGAAAGGTGAAGGGTGAAGGTGAATGGGAGTGTCGAGTGGTGAGCGAGGGAGAGTCATAGGAAGGTGACGGAAGGGCTGGCGGGGAGAAATGACTAAGGACGCCGCCACCAGCAAACAACCAGTGGGGGTCAGAGCTTCTGGTGAGGCTCCGAGACGACAGGCACCACTCTCAGTTCGATTCACACCTCGACCTTTTCTCAGCTCCAGACATCGGTCTCGTGCCCGTCGCCAAGGTTCCTCCGCACTTCTCGACCTTTCCTCACTTCCCCCAAAGGTCCCCTCCAACCTTCGTCACCACACCTTTGGCCAAACACATCCACCTCCAAATACACAACACACCACCGACATCATGGCCGATGTCGAGATGAAGGATTCTTCGGCCAGTTCCTCCAAGGGCAAGGCCGCTGCCAAGAGCTCTGACAATGATGGAAAGAAAAAGTTTGAGGTGAAGAAGGTACACGCGACCGGAGCTCTAGCTTGATCGAGCAATGCTAATCGTTATTCTCAGTGGAACGCCGTTGCCCTCTGGGCCTGGGACATCGTAGTTGACAACTGCGCTATCTGCCGTAACCACATCATGGATCTGTGTACGTGGGCGGCGCCCCCCCCCCCCCCGGCCCAAATGGTTTTATTGAGGTAGCTAACCCGGATTCACATAACAGGCATCGAATGTCAGGCTAACCAGGGCTCCTCCACCACCGAGGAGTGCACCGTTGCCTGGGGTATCTGCAATGTAAGTAAAGAACATCCCAAGCTTATTTGCTGGACGAAGGCTCTCCGAAAAAACGCGATTGGCTCACCAATACAGCACGCATTCCACTTCCACTGCATCTCACGATGGTTGAAGACCCGCCAAGTCTGCCCCCTCGATAACCGCGATTGGGAGTTCCAAAAATACGGACGTTAAGAAGTGTTGACGCTGGTTTATCGAGGAAACGGGAAGATACATGGCAGTGCATTTGGAAGTTACAGTGCGAATGGAAAGAGAAAGGAGCCGCGATTCGACATAAGCATTGGTTACGTGACAAGGATTTACTTCGCTTTTTTATGGTTTTGGCGTTCGGAGACCTATAGCAATTGAAATGCAGCCCCTGCATGGCTCATGCTCAATTCCATTCGTAGCAGTGATACTTGAATATGATTGTAGATAGATGCTCGTTCCTTTCCTTCCAACTGTCCCTTTCGTAGTGTCCAATTCAATCCACCTTCACACCATCAACAAGAACTGACGGCCCCGCCTTCCGCGAAGGCAACCACATCTCCGGGTTCATGTTATAGAAAGGCCACGGAGGGATAACCACGAGACCTGTGAAGAGTGTTCCGCCGAGACCGACCCAAAGCGTAAGGTGGATGTCTTTGTAGAGGTATCCGATGACGAAGCTGATGGCCTAGTCGTAGAGAAGCATGAATTAGCAAAACAAGAAGAGGAAGAAGGAAGAGCTCAGTTGTGCTACTCACTCCGAATATAATCAGTAGCGCTGTGCTGAGGAGCTCAGCGAGGCGCTGGCCGTGGAAGTCCTGCGGTTGGTTAGCGAGGACTCGTAGAGGAGGACAGGATGTTTAGCGCGGGCAAAGGACGTACAATCTGGCCTTCAAAGGCATCTTGGAGAGGAGCCAGGATGTCGTCCATTGTTTTGATGTTATGTGGTGGTGTTGCGCAGATCGCAGCTCAAGCTCAATGGCGGATGGCTTATCGCTATGTTGTCATCTAATCTGCCCACCGCCTCCGACTGCCTTAAAACATCGGCCCTCTTTTTCTACTTCGAGTTCGTGTGGGAATTACATTCTTGAAATGAGCAGAAATAATACTCAAGGAAAATATGAGTTGGACGGAAAAAATGGGAGACTCGGAAAATTCTATGAATGCAATGCTGGGAACTGTGATATGCGTAAATACTCGTGATTCATCTATGTATGTCTATTCTATATGCCAATGCCAGTGCCGCCCATGGAGCCCTGCTCCAATGAACCGACCAGGGTAGAATCCATGCATCAACCACTGTCCGGTCCATGTGCGCCACCTGCTGCATCAAGAAAGCCTCCCGTGTCTCAGGCGCATGCACCCTGCAATGCGCTCGTAGGAGAAAAGAAAAAGCAGCGGTGAGGATCTTACTTCCGCACTGGCCGAGAAAACGAGGGAGTCAACCCTGTTTTTTCGATTCGCAGAGCAGAGCGCGAACAGAGTCTCTCCATTCAGGCTGGAAGCGGTTGGTGCGCTTAAGAGTTCGCGCGTCATGGTTGACCCGACTCCAAACTCACATCCAAGCATGGCGAGTTTGAAGCTGGCGCATGACGTACTGAACAGGAAAGGCCGATTTAGTTAGGGCTGACTGTCGTACCCGCCTGCGCGGGCTCCAGTAACTTCCATTGGCAGCTGATATTATCAGCGGCGAACCGTGCGATGATGCGGTCTGCGATCTCGGTGAAGCGGTCCGTTGCCAGAGCCAGAATGGTTGGTCCGGCGCCAGACAGACAGATGCCCAGAAGACCGGGCTGGGTGGCCGGAGTCATGGACTGAAGGATATCCGGCAGACCGGGAATGAGACCTTTACGGTATGGTTGGTGGACTTTATCCTGCATGGCCAAGAAGATCATTTCAGGGTCCGGCGGAGAAGTCCCCAATGCCGCGGGGAGCAGGGCCGCGCGTTGGAGGTTGAAGACCTGAGATGTATCAGAAACGAAAAGTCCAACGAAAAGTCCCTCGGAAGACGACGATGAGTCAAGGGGGACATACCACATCGGCTCGGGTGTACGTTTGAGGCAGGACGTTGCGGGCGTCGGCGGTGGGCACAACAAAGTCCGGGATGATGGCAATGGCCTTGATCTCAGGGGCCCAATCAAACTTTCTATAATGACCAATTCCCAGAGGGGGCTCTGGCGGCTTCATGCCGGTATCGACGCCACCCGCGGGAGCGGGCAAGACCTCACTGAGAGGGATCTCTTTCCGGGCAACATCCTCGGGCTTCAGCTCGTTGAGATAGGTACCCACAAATCCGCCGAATAGCGAGGCGGCCACGTTATCCGGGTGCCGTTCTGCAGATAGACACATTAGATTCATGCATGAATAAGTTACAGCCAAAAAAAAGGAAGAAATGCGCGGGCTCTGAAAAAAGATTGGACCCCGCGGAGGGGCACGCGGGAGACGGAGGGGCATTGGCCTTTCTCAATTGACCGGGAATTGTTAACTTTGCGTACCAATCATCAAGCAGTAGTCCAGCAGACGCTCCTTGGTCAAGCCTAGCTTGCCAACTTCATTGCCCAGCATGACACCGGCGACGACCGCAGTGCCCGACGATCCCAAGCCGCGACTCAGCGGAATGGGGTTGACAATGTGGACCTTGGTCTCAACGGGGAAGGCGCGCTGGTTGTGGCATCGCAGGACATAGAGGGCGACACGGGTGATCAGATTAACTTCGGGGTCGAGGGGGATCTTCTCGACGCTGTTGCTCTGGTCGTCGTAGGTGATCGCGCAGTTCAAGGGCAGTTCGGAGGTCGACTTGCTCGTATCGACGGAGACGTGCAGCTCGAGGTGGAGGGAGAGGGCCAGGCCGATGACATCGAAGCCGGGGCCGATGTTGGCGGATGAGCAAGGGACTCGAATGACGAAGAACATGGCGACAGGTCGAGCTCAATCGTGCTGAACTGCAGAGCGCAAGAGCACAAATGAATGTACAGCGGGTGACTAATGCGGAAATCTACTCTGCCCGCCTTCGCTGCCTTCCGCCTTCCGACACCGGGGAATCCGCATCTTTGTGCATTTGAGTCAGAGTGGAGCAGATCGGCCACTCAAGACGCAGGCATTCGAGTTAGCCGGGCTGGTCTGGTTGGTCTGCGCGAGGCCGATTGGGTTCAAGCTCTCGATCGCACATGCATGTCAAACCACCAGAAGAAATGGAGGTCACCGGATGTTGACGAGGGACCTGGCCTGCCCTCCTAGGCCTAGCACGGACAGCCCGCTCGACTAATGTGTGGTGAGTAGACTAGGATGTGCCAATGAGACTCGGCAACGAATGCCTCATGGCTGTCTTTGCGTTTGTGCCTAAACTATCGCTGAAAGAGGTCAAACCCAGCGGCGCCGCTGTCAAAGGCTGAGACCCGCCGACAAAATTTTCACGCTTAATGTACGGATACTACTTTGATATCAAGGCCCTCGTCGGCAAGGTTGGGGAATATCGAGTCATTATCCTTTTTTAAGAAATTAGACATACGCTGTGAGTTTTTGGCACCATCATAAATACACTTTTTTAAACCGATTTCCCTGCTCGTCGCGATATCCACCGGCGTTTTCACCTCCGGGTGGATCAGCGTGTAGTGCGAAAAAGAGCGGGACGCAAGCATCTCTGCTAGCGCAACTTGCATCTCGCCACAACCTCAGCAGCCCACCACTTTTCACTCCTCTCTCTTCCACTTTTGATTCTCTGACATCAACCCCCCTACGTCGAAATTCCGTTGATTTTTGACTGTGTACCCCTATTCCATCCGGTATCTCGCAGATCGCAGATTCTGCGAGGCCTCTCGACCAGCTCGCCCAACTCAGCAGCCCTGGAGCAGCCGCGCTCCTTTTCGTCACATCTATTCAAGTTGGCGGGACTTCGCTACTCCCAGTCCTCCCTTTTCAACCCTCTTGCAGGCCCCAAGTTCCGGGTCTTCTGCGGGGGCGACACCAGACCCCCCTAACTGGGCTTACTCCCACTCCTACAACTGTGGCAGCCAGACGTACGTCGGTAACGTCAGACCCTCGCGAAGGGTCTGGCTTATGGATGGAGGGCCGTCGACCATAATCCGATCCCTCTACTCCGGCTTGCGTCTGCAGATGTCGTGCTGCCCGTAAACGCATTCACCTTGACTCCCACTTTTCCACGGGGAATTTTTCCTCGCTTCCACCCGCCCAAAAAAACCATACTCACCAGCCCATTCTGGCGCTGCCAATCGGCTTGATCGATCCTAAACAAGAAAAACAAAGAATTCAATACCATACAAAATGTCCGACACGCTGCGTTCCGAGAAGGAGCTGTGCCTCACCCGGTACAGCACCCCGGTGCCGGAATTGGACGACCACCGTCACCAAATGAACACCCCGCCGCGCATCGAGCGTGAAGCCCCGACAGAGGAACCGCTCAGTCGACAGGAAACTGCACACCAAGGACCAAAAGGAGAGATACTGGGTCGACCGGATCTACTCCAGGCACAAGATGCGTTGCGGGATGCGGGTCCTGTCTTCCGAGACTTTGAACAAGCGCTGGTCGACGACGATAGATCGATCAATGAAATGAATGGAATGGGTCGTCGCTTCTCAGTTGACCCCAATGCCAATTTCCACACTCCTCGTCGCATCAGCTGCACCCAGCAGGATCTCGCCAATGTTTCCCGCTCGTCCTCAGTATCTGCCCGCTCCTCGTCCCCTCCGAATTCCGTCGAGGCTTTTGCCGATCCGCGCCGTCGTGAGCGTGCCAATACCCTCGATAGCCATGGTCCTCCCGATCTCGAGGCCATGCTCCAGCGCACTGTCTCGGGAGGTACTGTGCCTCGCCGTCCGACGTTTAGCAATGCCAGCGCAATTCGCCCGCAACTCGGTGATGTCCCACTCGATTCATCAGAGGAGGCTGCCGTACACACTTATGACGAGCCGGGTCGGATCCCTGTCATCGACTACGAGGAGCTGGAGGAGTTTGTGGCTCTTAACCAGCAAAGCAAGGCCGCCGCCGGCAACCGTCGCAAACACAGCCTGAGCTCGCAAAGCAAGAAACCCCGAATCTTCTATGATCTGCGGGGTGGCAAGGGTGCTGAGGTAGGGGAGCTCAAAAAATCTGACTCGAGCGACTCATCGGATACCAGCGATGTGACCGAGGACCCGCTGAAGCGCGTGGGCACGATCATGGATGAGAAGGAGCTCGTAGAGACTCTTCCCAATATTAACGAGCCCACTCGCTTTGGCTTCTTCTCTTCCGAGTCTCAGAGCACTGTGCACGCTGCCGAACTGGGAGATCTGGTGCTTCCAGGTGACAGCTTCCGGGACCTGTTCCAGCTTGGTCCCGATGGCGGAGTATGGTGGTTGGATGTGGTCAACCCGACTGAAGAGGAATTGGGCGCTATCTCCCGGGCTTTCTCGATTCACCCTTTGACGACCGAGGATATTTTGACTCAGGAAGCCCGTGAGAAAGTTGAGCTCTTCAAGCAGTACTACTTTGTCTGTTTCCGTACCTTCTATCAGGTGGACAAGACTAGCGAGGAGTTTTTGGACCCCGTCAACTTCTATATGGTGGTTTTTCGGGACGGAGTTTTGACGTTCTCTTTCGTGGAGAATCCTCATGCTTCGAACGTCCGCAAGCGTATTGGAAAACTGCGCGACTATGTCTCGCTTTCAAGCGACTGGATCTGTTACGCGATGATGTAAGTTCTCCTACTTGACATAATATCCCAGGAAATTTTCTAACAATGAAAAAGTGACGACATCGTCGACAGCTTCGGCCCCGTCATCCGCGACGTCGAGCTTGAATCCGAAGCAATCGAAGACCACGTCTTCATCGCCCGAGTCGACGATTTCGAATCTTTCCTCCCGCGAATCGGCGGCCTCCGAAAGAAGGTCATGTCCCTCATGCGTCTCCTGGGCGGTAAAGCAGACGTTATTCGAGGTTTCTCGAAACGCTGCAACGAGCAATACTCCGTAACCCCCCGCGGCGACATCGGACTCTACCTGGGTGATATCCAAGATCACGTCGTGACCATGATGTCTAACCTGTCGCATTTCGAAAAGATGTTGTCCCGCTCGCACACGAACTACCTCGCTCAGCTGAACGTGACGAACTTGGTCCTTGGCAATCACGTCAACAAGGTCCTGAGCAAGGTTACGCTCATCGCGACGATTCTCGTGCCTATGAACTTGATTTGTGGTCTTTTCGGAATGAACATTGAAGTCCCCGGGCAGCATGTTGAAGGCTTGCACTGGTTCTTTGGAGTTCTGGGTGTGATGGGAGCCATTGTTGTGTTGAGTATTGCTCTCGCGAGATGGCAGAAGTTGGTTTGATTCTGTCATCAGATGTTGGAAGCGGAAAGTTGCTATGAGATATTTGCTATCTTTGATTTTTGTCGCTTTGATACTCCTATCTTGGCTGAGTTCTTGTTGTAGTTTTGGATTTATCTTCTATCTTGTGACTTATTTACTACTTGTGTTGATACGTCTCGTCTTTAGGTGAGGTCTTATGAGCGTTGCTTGAGTACAGTATTGGATATCCCGAATATATTATCCATTCTATTTCGCGGGCTTAATGATAAAGTAGTGTAGATTCTCCCAAACCCCCGAGCTGTTCTCAGTAAAACCCCAAACTGTCCCTCATATCCGTAAAACCACACGCTATAGCTGACGCGCCCTTGAATCCAGATTCTTCGGAGTACACTTTCTTGTATTCAAGAAGCCTTTCTACAGGAGAAAAGCAGGACATCTCTTTGCCATCGACGAGAATGCACAACTTCCCAATGCATGTATAGAACAATGTTTCGAAGGAGCGTTCACGATAAGCCCCAATTGCTACTTGACGCATCTTATCGTCCAGAAGGCCATCGAATTTCTTTGCCAGATTTCCAGGGTCGCCACAAGCGTATTCGCTTTCCGGAAGACGTGAAGCTCAGTAAGATTCTTGGCCGGGGTTCTCCAATCCCGGCCAGGCGATTACGCCAGAGGGCCAAAGGGATAAACAGCCTGTTTCACTTGTGCTTTGTCTGGAACCTGTCCCTTGTAGACGGGGCCAAAGAGAAAAATTCGCTATAGAACCAAGAGGAATTGGTTTAGCTCTCAGTAACCATAATCATCAAATCAGCGTCGGACATGATCTCTGACCTCGCGGCAGATTTCCACGGTCAGGGATTCGATTCCATTTGTTGATGGGATGAAATTCCAGGTTGGACAAGGTTCTTAAGTGCATGCGGCCACAATGTCCCATGCGTTTTAGAACGTATATTATCACATCTGGGATTTACCAGCATGTCAAGAGGAGTCGAGTCATGTAGTCTTGGGGCGCTTTTCGTAATAGATTTGGTTAATACCGTGAATGTTTTTTTTTCCGGGTAGATTGTCGCTGAACTTGACTCTTCTAGGCTTGCACGGCTTGGGCGTTGGGCCAATGCAACTGAGGAAAATGTATCCGACGATGATCTCGAGGATCTCTGGGGAGAGGGTAGTAAATGAAGCCACGTTCACGGTTGAGTGGGAAGTTAGAAGTGATACTGTGTTTGTGTATGTGTTGCTGGAAAGCGAAGTTCTTGAAGGTGACAGATACAGCTTATATATTATTTCCGAATCCATATCAGCCTCAATCCCAATTAAAGAGACTCGAAAGATGTGGACGTGGATGGTGGGAAACAAAACAACGTATTTTCAGAGGATCGGGAGCACTTCTTTGAATTAGCTAAGAGGTGCCCTCACCAGCAGCCTCGGGAAAAAGCCCTAGTTCCGAGTATTTTAAGTCTCAAAATCCGGACACCATTGCTCGATTGTATGACTACCTAGATGCGTTTTCACCTGGTTCCCAAGTGAAAAGACCACCGCCTATCCTGAAGTTTCGCCACAACATCTAAACCCAGCCTCCAACTCACCATTGACAAGGATCTGGATACTTCCAATGCTTACGAGAATGCCTATTTTCCGACTCTCCACTTGTTCGTTGACGGGATCTAGTAGCAATCAATTTCCCGAGCGAAAGCTTTTGCCGCCCATTCGGGGTGGAGGGCATAGCCCAATCCTCTACCAGCGACGACATTCCGCTCTAATTCAAGTACTGATGCCAGTTGTCTTACTCGCCGATGTCGAAAATCGTCCAGAGAAAACGAGAGTTCTTCTTCGGCAGATGCGAAATTCACAATGAGAGTCGGGATTTTGACAGATGAGGGATTTTGAAGAGTGGTAAGAGTCTCATCGAATGAACTCTTAACAATCCGAAAGATCCCCTCTCGCTATCTTTGATTGACTTCCAGCGGGATTTCATAATCAACACGACGAGTGCCTTGGCCGTTGCTCGAGAAGCGACAAAGGGATTTGAGCAGATCCCAGAATCGGCATCGAAGACGTTCATTCATGCTGGGAATATCCTTAACACTACAACAATGCCTCCATTTCTCAGCCTGGGTCTTGGAAAGTCGGCAGCAGCGTATTTCATTCAGCATGCTGCTGTTGCCTACTCAGATCGAGGATTCAAGTACGTACGGATGTCAATATAAAGAACAAAGCTAATCATTTGCAGGTTCTATTATGCTGATGAAAGAAATCCTGATGGCTCAAATGCATCGCGAGGAATCAGCGGAGAAGCTCATGCGAAGTTCTATCTTCAGCTCTCCGAGACCAAGTCGCAGGGCTCTTGGCATCAGACATTTGTCAAGGACATAGGATATAAACAGTTTTCCTAGTCAGGAACTCATTGTGTCGCTTTTGGGAATTGATAGTCTGGGGTAGAAATCGATGGATCGATGCTTCTATTTTTTAATCACAAGGCGGCAGAGATAAGTCTCTTGTACCCCTGAACCGCCTCTTCCAGCTCACCGACTGTAATTGCCTCATCATCTCCATGTGCCACATGAATACTACCTGGCCCATAAAGATACCGGCGGACCTTTCGATCCTCGCGGTCATGAATCTTCAAAGAAGCAGCATCTGTACCATAGTTCACGGTAATGACATTGAACCCACCAACATCAGTATCAAATAGTTGAGGTGAAGATCCTCTTTCAAAAACGACAGAAACTCCAGAGTCGGTAGTAAAGTTCTTGACTGCCTTTTTCACAATATCCTCAGTATTACTCGGATTTCCCGCCGCAAGTCGAACCTTGACAGAAGCCTCAACATGTGCGGGAACAACATTCCCGGCAACGCCGCCATTTACAACTCCGATGTTCAAAGTTGAGTTGCCGAGCACATCACTCCTAAGAAGGCCACCCTGCTCTGGAGGAACATCCTCAAGTGTGTCAAGAAGAGACAAGACCGGCAGGATCGACGAGATCGCACTCTTCCCGAGCCAGGGGTATCCCGAATGCGCAGCTTTGCCTTCAGCGATGACCTTGAATCCGAAAGTCCCCTTATGACCGGCCACAAGACTAAGCTCGGTTGGTTCGCCGAAGATGATAGTGTGGAATGAAGCTGGCGAAGGATTCAGGTCCGAATCAGAGAAGTGTTTCATTCCAGCGCCAGAATTTTCCTCTCCAACGTCGAATAAAAGGCCGATTGAGGCATCAGGGGCCTCATTGAGAGTCTCCAGTGCGGCAAATACTATCGCCGCGACGCTTCCTTTCGCGTCAACCGTGCCTCGACCGGCGATGAGGAGATCTGCTCGGTGGAATTTTGACCCCTTTCCTGCCGGTGCATGCAGGGAATACGGGATGAATGGAGGAACGGTATCAATGTGGCTAGTAAGTAGGATGTCGGGATGCCTGTTCTCTCCGATATAGGCGTAAATGTTGAATCTTTCGTCTTGACTTTCCGATTCAGATTGGACGATTTGCTTCTCAACGGTAAAGTTGTGTGCGGAGAGAAAATCCAGCACGAATTCCCCTACATTTCTCTCATGGTCGCTGATAGAGGAAATTCTCACGATATCTCTGTGAAATGAAAGAAGGGGCGAGGAGACAATAATCCGATCCAAGCTTGTTTTTGTTGAGTCTGTTTCCGCGGAAAGTTCCCCGCTCAAAGGCTGTTGGAGCACGGAGGGGAGAGCCACTCTTGCCAAAGACGCAAGGCTAAATATTAAATAGATCTTCATGATGAGATAGGTTGGTTCCTGCGATGTGACACTTGTGTACCCAGACAGGGATATCTCCTTGTTGGGGCTTTGCTGCCAGTGATGTTGCCGCTTTAAGTATGGGGACGCTCAGGCTTGTTCATGAGGGGAAGAGAGAGGGACCCACTGGAACGACGCGTCGGGGCGTTCCAAGCACGAATACGGATCGCTATATCAACGATTCTCCATCCTGACGCGGTACGTCGATATTGTCTGAATTAACTCGTCCGAACCATGGATCACGTGTCGTTTAAGGTTTTAGAGTTTGCGGGGTGAAATCAAGACGCTACTCGAGTGTATACACTTGGGAAGCCCGAGATCTGCAGACGGGATTTCAAAATAAATTCAGATGCAGTGTCTAGGTTAATGTAGCTTCGCTGGATTGAAAGGCACCTTCAAAATACAGACGCAAATCAAACTTCATTGAGCTGAAAATACAGATTATCTCCCAAAGGTCATGTTCATAGGCGCATTATTCACACCAACCTGACTACCATAGTTTTGGTCTCCAAATGTGATAGCTGATGGCTTTGTGGGGTAAGGCTCCGCCGAAGCACTGCTAACAGACTCCCCTGAGACACTGCCAATAGTTGCCTCTTGGTTTACCTTCTCGGGGCGGATGTGACGCAAGAGATCTTTGGCGTACGCGGCGGCGGTCATTGCAGCATACCCTTGCCATCCCTTGTTTTTATGTGAGTCTGAATAGTCGCAGATTCCTCGAATAACAAGGCATGGAAAGTGATTCATCATTCCAGCTGCTTCCATTTCAAAGCACAGAACGTCCTTTTCCGCGACTAATCTGTCTCGAATCAAGGCATCTTTCATCACTTGGTTTGCCGATGCAATCAGGCCATAGTGAATAGCAGGGTTATCTTCATCCTCAGTACGTGGAGGCCTTGAAACTAAACAGGATGGATCGTCGCCACATTTCATAGCGCAAGGGAGACCCTCATTTTCATCGCGATGGGCAATCTGACTTTGATATAGCTGATCACTTTCCAAATCTGGGCGTTGGTAGCCTTTCCGTAGTCGCGGCGCCTTTTTAAGGATACTGTCGATATCTTCGTTGATTTTGTGCCCCTTGCGCGTATATTGTGTGTCGAGGCCGTTGACTGCCTCACGTAGCGAGGTAGGTGGCTGGTTGAGAAACCGCGTGTTCTGGAAGCTTTTGTTTTGGATGGTTTTTCCAAAGTCGTATTGAAAGACACCAGCAGACCCATTTTCAGGAATGCTAACGACAATATCTCCGAGGCGAATGTCGTGTTTCTTGCTCGGTGCGCCGCCAGCGATACCGACCATCAGGCCGACGCGAATGTTCGGAAAGCTGCGCCGCATTCCTTCTGCCACCATAGCGGCCGCGGCGGTGCCATATTCACCCTTGGGTAGAATGGTGATAACTACGTTATGCTTGCCCATTTTACCCAATGTGTAGTGGTTATTGTCAAGCTGTAGACCTTCGGGGGGATCATGCTCTTCGTCGAGGAATTCTTGTGCAGCAACATATTCGGGTTTGACGGCGCAGATCCAGCCGACGGTGTAGTCGTCCGGATTAGACATCACGAGCATAAGATGTAAGCAAAATATTCAGTTGAGCAGAATGAACATCGAATCGCAGTGGCCCGAGTATGGCGGGGCAGGGGGTTTAAAGGCCTAGGGAGGGAGGGGCCAGAAGGATCGACTCTCAGCCTCATATGCTACCCAATAGACCTCGCCTAACACGTACATAGCCACGCCTATAATAAGATCACGTAACACGCATCTGATTGTGACCATTCTGCATAAGCGTGGCCAATGAAAGTGCCACGACAAGGTGGGGGTTTGCGTCCCGACATTGACTTGCTGGATCTATCCGGCGCTTAGCGCCCAACCGTCACCTCGGCGAGGCTGAGGATCGATTTCGAGAATTTGGGGCGCTCAGCCCCTTCCCTCGACTCGAAATTCCCCAGACCGTGACTGTGTCGTGTTAACCATGGCTTCCATATCGTTCAACAACGCAGACTGGGGGTCCCAGATCGGATCAACAACGGGTCAATAAACTATCTGCCACGTGCGGAGGACCTGCCCGAGCCTTTGTTTACCGTGCCCGTTCCCGCACCATTCACACTTCATCAGCCGCACTGGACTCCTCGACCAGATTCGCGAAAAGCCTCGGCGCCGGGCTCTAGAGTGGTGCTCGTCGGCCTTGGCGGCGTTAGGTGAGTGAAGCTAGAATCTGAGAGCGGCCGCAATAATACTGATTCTGCAACAGGAAGACACGCCATCGAATACATGCTGAAAGCGAAAAGACAGCTGCAAGCACTGCAGTTCTGGCAAGAGTTTTTCGGCATGAGAGGCTATGGGATATTGCGGAAAACTTTGAGGAACAAATTCTTGAATTAAGGAAGATAGAGCTCGGCAAGGACCACCCTCTAACCTTAGTGAGCATGCCCAATATCGCATGGACAAGCTCCAAACAGGGTCGATATAGGGAAGCAGAAATGCTTCAAACCCAGGTCCTGGAAACTCGCAAGAAAATATTAGGCGAACAAAGTCTCGACACACTCTACAGTACACATGAACCCACGCTCTCTAGGTAGTGAGGTTATAAGGAGGCGGAGCAGCTTCAGGTACAAGTTATAGGAGCATGCAAAGAAAAGCTTGGACCTTGCCATCCTATCACGCTAGGATGATATATGACCTCACTCAAAATACCTTAATAATTTGGGCCAACATGAAGAGGCAGAGCAACTTGGGATGCAAGTCATGGAAATGAGCAAGAAAAAATTGGAGCAGGCCATCCTCGAACATCGATGATCATGGGCTACCTTGCCTCAGCAATCCGGAGCCAAGGGTGGTACACCGAGGCAGAGCAACTTATGAAGCAGGTTACGGAAAAGAGCGAGCAAGGCAAATTTTGGGGCAGATGATCCCCGGACACTGATGACGATGGGCAATTTCGCAGCCTTGTTCAAGAAACAGGGTAAATACGAGGATGCAGAGCAGCTTGTGATGCAAGCTCTCGAGGCTCGCAAGGTAAGGCTCGGAGAGGACCATCCCGACACCTTGGGTAGTATGGAAAGACTTTCGCGGACTTGGAATTCAATGGTTCGACATGCACAAACAATCCAAAACATGCGTTACAAAGAAGGTGCAGGTCTTAGGACCCTCGCACCCATCGAATCTTGTCAGCTCTGAACTCCTATTGAAATGGGAGACCGATTCCTTCAATATGGAGGCATGATAAATTGGCTCCTAGTTCGTTTCCATGTACTCTAAGTCTCCATTTTCTCCCCAGCATGAATATCAACATCATCCAAAACCGCCTGATTTAGCTTCGCAGCCGCAAGCCTGATCTTCTTCAGTTTTCGAGTATCGACATCCGCCTTCCACGTGAAACCCCAAGTGATCAAATTCATGATGATGGCCATCCCCACAAATCCCATTGCAATACTAAAGGATATCGTATATCGCGGTGCATATCGAGTGTTAAACAATTAGGATCCTACCACACCTCCAATTTGACCATAGCTATTCGCAAAGGCAATTGCGAATGCTGATCCTGTGGCGCCTTCGGTTGTTTGGACGCGCCAGGGCCACGTCATTGCATACCTATCACTTTTAGCAAAAGCTCTTCCAGCTGGTCAGCAAAGAGTGACTAGCGAGGACCCACCATGCAGTAGAAAACCCTCCCGCAATAACACTCGCAGCATAAACCCCGCCGTTATTAGGGAAAGCATAAAGTACTCCATAGCAGGTTTCGATGACCATCATGAAGGCTAGCGGGATAGCAGATTGAGGAATTCGTCCCGAGTCTGCGAAAATACCGAAAGCCACTGTCAAGATAACTGCGAAGACCGCAGAGGGAATATTCAAAAGTTGCGTCTCGCCCATTGATCTTCACGCTGCTTTAAAATAGAATTTCGACAATACAGACTCGGATTACTCACGTGAATCCAAGATTGGCAATGACTGCTGGCTGATAGAAGGAGAGCCCTGTGGTGCCAACGATGAAGCAGGCCCAGCAAAGAAGAAACAGCCAGATTCGCTTGTTCTTGAGTGTTGTGATGAGCTCTTTGAGATCGAAGTTGGCCTCGGCTGCTCGTGGGGAATTACTGGGAAGACGGGCTTGAATGAAAGCTTGTTCTTTATTAGAAAGCCAGGAAGATGTAGATGGAACTGTTTTGGGTTAGCTTTTCTTTTGTCATTGCAGTGGGAGGAGTGCTCACAATCTGGCAGGAAAAAATATGCAAAGGCCCCCAAGAGAATGGTGAAGATGCCCTCGGTCAGTATCAACCTTGTCACACTATTAGCAAGATTTTTCTCATCCGGAGCCGCATTCGAAGTACCATTTCCACCCAGATAACCCGCTGGCGACAACTCCGTTAAAAGCAAACGCAAGTACACCACTAATAACCGTGCTGAGATTCCCGAGGATTGTCACGAGGACAATGCGAGGGGGAATTTTATCTGGGCGGTACCAATAGCATAGCTGGACGAGCATTCCCGGCCACAGACCTGCCTCGAACAGACCTAGGAAGAATCGGACGACATACAGACCCTGTCTGTTTGTTACAGATGCATGGCAGCAAAGGACTATCCCCAAAAAACCTGCAATCATCAGCCAGAAAAAATATTTTGAGGCAATGAAAAGCGAATCTCACCATTATTCTCGCCTGCCAGACTGATGGCCGTACACCTTTCAGTAGAAGGTTAGATGGCGCTTCGGGAATGTAAGGAATCTTTAGAAGTCAGCCAAGACAAGTGAGTCTCTTCAGTACGGGTGGAACTAACATAATACATTGTCGTGACCAAATTGTATTGGTCCGAAGTCATTTTCTGTTCAGTCAGTATATTATGCGACGTTCCTTTGTCCATTATTCGAGCGTAGGAGACCTTGTGGTCGATTATCAGTCAGTACTCTAGCTAGACAAAGCTCTAGCAGTGGCTTACATTGGTAAAGTCAACACTCTTAAGCAGGTACATGATAGCCAACAATGGAATGAGATGCCAGTCGATTCTGCGAAGGAGCTTTTTCTCGTCGGCGCTGCTAAGCATTGCCCGCGCTCGCATGAGATTGGAATCATATCCTGGAATGATATCGTCTTCGTATTCTGTAAAAAAGAGTGTCTCGTTTCGATTCACATAGTGCACGTTTTTCTCCCCAGGGAGTGAATATTCACTCGTGAGGACGTTAGAAGCATTTTTATTCGAGGCTTTTATCGAAGGGGAAGCACCCTTTTCGGAAATTTCAGATGCCATAGCGCCAGAAAATTATCTGGGGTTGATAAATAGCATAGAACTTACTCCGAGGTTCTCAGCAGACCTTTCACCTGATTTATAAAGAACCACTAGAATGATGGCCCTAATAATTTGCTACAAGCGATATGGATTGCGCAAGGAGGGCTGCATTCCTCACCGTGGCATCTGTACAAGGGAGGCATAGCGTCATGCCAACCCCTCATTTGTAAATCCAGTTTGCCGACATAATAGCTTATAATGGAAGCCATTGTTCTCTTTTATCGAGTGAGCTTGCGCTTCTAGTTTAGACATTACTCTCTGAATTTCACTCTTAAGTTTCACTCGTACCTGAAATATTCATCTTTGCGGGAAAGTTTTGTTTAAGAGATCTTGAAAGAATTGAAGCTTGGAATAGTGTATCGACTAAATGGTCCGGTTTAATTTCGGCAATCGTCCCATGCTGCGTTGAGACGAATCGATGGTGACAGAGTACGCGATAGTTAGGCCATGCCTTTGTGACCAAACCTATTCCAATTCACGAACGATTCTAGTCTCGGATGGTTTCGGCCAAGTCAACCTTTGAAATTGCCGATGGACATTCGGGATTTGATTATAGACGTAATTGTTCCAAGCGGACCTTATTAAAACTCTCCGGATACGCTAGAGCAGCCATGCCCTATCGGAAAGATGTTCAAGGTGAGCTACGGAATAGATTGCGGCGAAAATGCAAGTCCTTGTAAGACCCTAGAATATAATGCTCAATATTGTTTTCCACGATCGAAATCACTCTGAATATCCTGGCGCAGCTCTAAGTGCATAACTCATCGCTGACTGGCTGGTTGACGCGTCGCCGAGGCACCAAGGCAGCAACTTTCGATAAGGCTGAGTTTCCGCGATAGCCCCAGCTCCTCCTCCAAACATCCCTCTGGCCGACTACATGCCGTCGATTCCTTTGCACCCTTTAGGAAAAGGTCTCCAGCAGGTGTGTCATACCACCGCTTGTCCTTGATCCTGTCTCGTGGCCGTGTCGCCCTCCGAATCCCACCCCCCATGACCCTTGGCGCGATTGCCCCCGAAATCGACCTTCCATGCGACGCCAATACACATTCGTGCAGTACTATCTGACTGCAGCGGTCACCACCGCCGTTTTACTTCTTGCGCTCGCTAGCGCACCCGCTGCCCATGCAGCAGACGTCGAAACACAGGCCTCCGATGTGGAGAGCCGACCGAAACTAGGCGAACAGGCCATTGGCGAAGGAACAGGGTTTCCGATCGCGCTGGGCTCCTTCAATGGGCTTGAGATTCGAGTTGATGCGGATGAGGATGGAGAACTGGACTTGGTCCGACGGAAATATCCCAGCAATGCGAAGTCTCTAGGGAACAACGAGTTCTGGCGGGATAATATCACAGTGGGAACGACCAAGTACTTTTTTATCACCAAGGAGACTGTGAATATGAAGTCGACCTTCACGCACTCGGATCTACCTGCGAACCTCACCTCCCGAGGCGAGGTTGTGTCTTCCGGGACGTCACACCAGGACCTTCGGAAACGAGCAACAAACCCGATCTACTTGTCTCTCACAACCTGCGACAAGCCTGATTCAAATCATTCCAGCCCTGGATCATTCCCGCAGCTGGAATTCTACTACTCGACATCAGAAAAACTGACAGAGCCTGGTCCAGGGAAAGACTCGAATTACCAGAATGTCGCCACTGCCGTCGGGGGCTACGTGAGCCTGCAATTAGACACAGAAAATGATATCTTCATTGGAATCGCAGCACCTAATTCATCGGTCTGGACTGGGAAGTACGGTTTCGAGATCGCAGCTTCCGTGGACGATTACTTCCATTCCGTTGATTTTAACGACCCAATGCTTTGGTTTATCGACGCTGATCAGTCCACCGCGCTGCTGGTGACGAATAACATGACGCAATCTGCTAGAGGCTCGGAGAACTATCAGCAGTGGATGAATGTCACTCCGCCTTACACAATGTTTGCCCACGATATCAACAACACGGCGCTGGTCGGCCTGGAACGATCGTACTGTGCACTGAACGACTTGTCACAAGTCGGTCGCATCAGCAATTCGACCGAAGTTGGTATGACAAGCCGAGGCTTGGGCAATAAGCCCAAGGAACAATTCTATCTCACGGGCCTGTCGGCTAAATCCACATATAACGGCATTTTAGCCATGGATGGCAACGGGACCAAATCAGGCAATGGCATCGTCAACGGTGGTGGGAAGGTCTATAAGTCGATGAATTTCACGACCAAGGCTGGTAAGCATTTTCCATGACGCATTGCCAACAGTCCACGACTGACGTATCCAGATGACAATTGCGCTGTTTTGTTCAACCTCACATTCTGCTCGGAGGTCGCCTACGCCGTTCCGTCTCACCCAGGCATGAACGTCAGCACACTGAGAGATATCTACGACGACTATGCTCAGAAGTACATGCGAAACTTCGACAAGTCCCTTCAACAAGTCCAATGCAATACCTCGAAGGAATCGATGTTCTCCCTCGCGGTCAACTGCGAAGACTGCGAAAAAGCATACAGACAATGGCTGTGCAGTGTGACCATCCCCCGCTGCGCAGATTTCAGCAACAATGCCCCTTATCTGCAGGTCCGCAACGCAGGACAGGATTTCATCAATGGCAGCTCTTTGCCCGCGAATAGTTCATACCGAAAACACAAAGCAACGAATAACTCGCGCAACCACCTGATCGACGAAAAGATCAAACCTGGACCTTATAAAGAGATTCTTCCGTGCAAGGACATCTGCTATGATCTTGTGAAGAAATGTCCCTCGTCTTTGGGTTTTGGATGTCCGGAAGGCAAATGGATGAATAGCTCCTATGGATATCGTGATCCTAATGGTGATATCACCTGCAGTTACCTGGGAGCTGCGTACTATCTGAATGTGGCTGCGAAGATGGGAGTCTGGGCTAGTGTGTACATGCTGATGGCCATGTGGGGGTTTTGGTGGGCCATTTGGTAGATTACATTGTTGTACATTTTTGTACATTTATGAACGAGATCATGTCTTGCATTTAGCCAATTTGAATTGAATCTGTCGATGCTTTAAGTTAATTTATGTAGCGCTGATGCTCGTGAAGCTTTCATGGCTTATCATAAAATGGAGATCAGGCTAAACCCCCTTCCGACCGCTTAGACAAGCGTTTTTAATCGAAATAAAGTACACAGCAACATTTACAAAGAATGAACCCTGTATCCACATTAATTGCCGATCAATCAACCCAAGAATCCATCTCAGAAGCTGATTGGCGTTCCGCCTTTTCATCGGGAACGAATACGCCAAAATATCCCAAAACGGCAATTTTATCGTAATCGTACCAGCAATCCCTGAATATCGATGTTCAAGTTTCTATTCTTAAAGATAAATCTTTTCACATCAATCCCTAAATTCTGGTCATTGCCTTACTTGTAATAAACACAAGCCTCGCCTAACGCTCCAACCCTCTCCAACTCCACCATCTTAACCTCAACCTACAACCACACCTCATCCACCATGAGCAACGAAACCCCATCCAAAGAAACACCCCAAGAAATCCTCCAATACTGGCACAAACCCGGACCCTACGGAATAATCACCCGCGCAACCCTCCGCACCCTCCAATTCACCCTCGCCATAATCATCGCAGCCCTCTACGGCGTCGACCTCTCCCACGCAAGCAAGCACAACCTCCACGGCCCAACAGAATGGGTCTACGCTGAACTCGTTGCAGCACTATCCGCAATAACCTGCCTCATTCACATCTCCGTGAGGGTGGTGCACGTGGCATGGTCAACCTGGGACGGAGTCCTCTTCGTGCTGTGGTTAGCGCAAACAGGCGTTTTCGGATGTATCTATATCACGAATGATATCCAGGATCCTTATCGCGAATCCACCCGCTCGATTTCGCGCATGCGTGCTGCTGTCTGGATTGATTTTGTGAATATACTTCTTTGGCTTTTGACGACTGTTCTTGGTATTGCGTGGTGTGTGAGGACGAGAAAGATTACGAGGAGATTGGATCTTGCCAGTCCTGGGAAGCGGGATGTGGAGGTTTGGGCGGATGGGGAGTGTGAGATTGGGCTTGTTTTTTCGGAGTCCAGCCCGTCCGATGCGAAGGGAGATGTGAAGGATTGTAATGTGAAGGATCGAGATGTGGAGGAGTCGAAGGCGGCGTGGGAAGATGAGAAGAAAGACTTGGCCAAATATTGATGCACATGAGGGACATACAATTGTATACTTAGGTGCTGGTATGATCTATGAAGATGGGAGACAAGCTCTCACTGCCACTGGCTTCTCCTACATTGATACATCTATGGATACTCTCAGTATCAAGTATATATGTTGTTCTAGACTCTTAGCAGGCACAAAATGACTCGCAACATGAAATCAAAGTATATAGAGGCTTCAATGCAATGTACACTTCAGCTTTCTCTATATGAACAACCCTCTATGCCATAAGCAACCATACCAACACCATATATATGCAAAAGCACAAAATAATGTAAAATTACCACTCAAGCTCCTTCCTCTTCCCATCCCCGTCCTTCTCAACCGCCCGATCTCCCCACCTCTCCCTCCACACACCCCTCTCCTCCCTCCACAAATCATTCACACAAGGATCACACGAGCTCCCACAACACGTCCCCAGTTCCGGCGGCGGCGGAGGATCATCATGAGCCCGTGACGCAGCACGAAGAAGCTGCTTCGTCCGCGTCCCCGTCAACCGCTTCTTCTGCAGCTTCTTGAAGAGCGGAACCTCGTTGGGCGTGTAATATGCCTCTGGCGACGCCTGATTTTCTTTTCCTTCGAGAGCGGTCTGGGCCGGTTTCGTCGACTTTAGGCTTTCAGATGCAGATACTGCAACTGCGGTATCTTCACCAGCCTTTCCACCCGACAATTTCTGGTCCTTGCCAAGATTTGGAATCGCAGTTTTGCTCTGGCCTGACGCCCTTCCAAGAAACGAGCTGGAAAGAGACCATATTGTCCCGAGTAATGAACCAGTTTGAGCCGAATTATTTGTCATCCCCTCGGGAGCAGAGGCATTGTCCTGCACGCCTGTGCATTTTTCCGAAGTGCTTTCGGCTGCAGATGACACGTCTTGCGAGCCCTTGGGAGTGAACTCTTTATCTCCACTCATCTTGATTCGAACTATTAAGATACTCAGGACAAGTTGGAAATGCGTCTGGAGGTTGACTGATTTGATCGCAGGTCATCAGACAAGATGACATGACGTCGTAGCACGAATGGCTTAGCGCTGCAGGAACGGATTAGCGATGGATGAAACGGTATTTTCATTGTATGTAATCTGCATACCGGTGTGTTTATGTTGAGTTCTGAATAGTATTTGGGGTGTGGTTTGAGGTTGAGGTAAATGGGAGGTTCAAGCACCTAATGCGGGAGTGTTCGGGCCGGGTGGGCGATCGGGTGGCGTTCCTGTTCTCCCCGATTTCCACTTTGTGTTCTTCCGCGTGGTCCAGTAAATTGGTTGGGTTTAGCTAACTACTTACTTCTACTTGGCCCAGAAAAAAATCCAATTCTGTCTGAGTAATAGAGTTGTCAGTTCAGTGGACTGCAGATATTGTCTACATAGTGATGAAATTGAAGACTTTCGCAGGGAAGTCACTTTACTAGTGTGATGTTGAGCAGAAATAGTATAAAATCAGATGAATAAGGTTTGGTTCGCTAGCTACATGTCTCATCATACGTAAAATCACTACAAAAATATTCAGAATATGAACCATATAGCAATTGCCGCGACAGACTTACAATTAGTAGTCTCGCAGTGTCGATCCCACTCATCCTCTTTAGACAATCATACCCCATATTAACTTGAAGTATTGATACTACCATCTCTGCAGATACACTCTACTTTAGTTGCCTCTACAACAAACGCACTTAATCCCATCGAGTCGAGGTATACATACCCCATCTCAAGATTAACCTTCAAGCACCCACAAGCCATCACGTGACACCCCTCGCATCAACTCCACCAAATTCCCGATACCAATCACCAAATATGAACCAATAATACCAACGAGCACTGAGGCCTCAGCCTCAAAAGCACAGTTCAAAATGAGCGCAGCGAACGACCCAGCAACCATCGCCAGTGCCCTCCTCTCCACCCATGACCTAGATCTAATATCCTACACCACACTGCAAAGACTCTGGGCGGGATACGGGCAAATATGCGCGATAACAGCGCGGGCGAGGACAGACAGTGCTGCTGCGTATGTCCGGAACTGTCAGTATCTTGGGAAGGTTCCGGGGGAGGGAAAAGCGAAGGCGGGAGATACATTCCCTCTTATATTGAAACTTATATCGCCTCCGCCTGCGAAAGCCACCTCCTCTTCTTCTGGGAAAATGGTAGACGAGGGCCATTTGCGAAAGATATACAGCTACGAAGTGGAGCAATTTTTCTACAGCAAGATTGTTCCTTTGCTTGGTGATTTGGGGGTTGCGAGGTGTCTTGCTTCCACATATACCAGCGAAAATGAGGAGGAGGAGTCTGGTCTGACAGCAACGATAATAACCGACCTCCGACCACTATACCCCGTCTCCGGCGAGAAGCGAAGCGCACTTTCTCCAGCTCAGGTCCACGGCGCGTTATCCTGGCTTTCGAAGTTCCACGCGTCAACCTTCACCTTCACCCATCGGGCGTTGGGAGAGTACATCCTCCCCCCACTGGAAGAGCACGACCTCCGCATTTTCACTTCCAATTCCAATTCCACCTGGCCCAGAAACGGCGTCTGGTTGAATGGCGGGTACACGTACCTCTCAACGCGAAGAAATGAATACGCCTCTCTTCGAGAGGACGGAGGTTCAGAATGGAGCGAAGCATTCTGCACTCCAACTCCAACAGCTGATGGTGGCGGCGGCGAAAGTATCGCAGAGCTAGCCGCGAAAGTCCTAACCCCCCGCTCAAGGGAAATAGAATCTCTAATCCACGGCGATGTGAAATCCGAGAATCTATTCACGACGTCTGACGGGGACGTCGCATTCTTCGATTTCCAGTATACCGGTCTTGGGCTTGGTGTTTGTGATCTTGCGAAGTTGTTTACTTGTTCTGTGCCGTTGCCCATGCTTCTTCAGGGTGGGGGCCAGGAGGATAAGTATGATGAATACAACCTCTCATCCGAACTAGCCATGTGCGCGGGCGAAAAGGACCTTCTTCAGCGATATCGTGCTGGTCTCTTGGAGGCCAGTGGTAACAAGGAGGAGTTTTATCCGTGGGATGTGTTTATTCGGCATTGGGAGACGGCGCTGGTGGATTGGTGTCGGTTTCAGGCTTCTTGGGGATTTTGGGGGGAATACGGAGTGGCTTGAGGGGAGGGTTAGGTTTATTCTTAATGATGGGGGGTGGAAAGGGTGGGTGGAAAGTGATTTGAGTTGAGGTATTCGCTTCAGCTTGATGGATTATATACCGATGATAAATGTTGTCTGTTTATGGATACTATTTAGAGAATACACTATACATTTAAAACAGGATCAAAGGAGACATGTGAAAAGAAACTCATATAACCTTTCTAGATTTAACGACTCAAAAAAAGATAAGCGAATGGTATTGCATCCGTCCAGTTTAAACGAACCAAGTCAATATCCGATCCAATCCACATTCCTTTTTCATTCCATTCCATCCAGACACCAACCATTCGCTGAGAAATGCATCGAGAGATTGAACTGATCCAAGAAGCGCAGAAAACATGCAGACATAGTAAAGACACTGACACTGACACTGAAACTGGCATAGGTGATAAAAGAAACAGGGGGTCATGACTCATATAGAACAAACAGAGAGAGAAAAAAAATCTATCAGCGAAAGACACCAAAGAGAAGATCATATGCAACACACATATTTTGTCTTTCCTGAAAGTGCGGTAAGGAAAGAGGGTAAACGGGTGGAGGTAGGTAGGTAGGTATGTAGGTGCGTATGAGTCTGCTGGTGTTCACGCAGCAGTAGGGAAGAGAGAGTAAGATGGGTTCCGGGATTTCTTCCGGTTAGGGTTCATAGGTGGGAGGGGAGGGAGAGGGGGTTCGGTCTTGTGGCGCGGATCAACTTCAGAGGTCGATTTTGCGCGGTCGTGGATAGGAGAGGGGGAAGTGACGTCCACATTAGGCAAGCTGGTACTACTGGCACCGGCCTGCAGCATGAGATGCGACTCGGCCAGACTCTTCGTCTGGCGATGATGGGAGGAAGAAGGGGGTCGACTTATTGAGCCGGCGGCAAGAGCCTCTGCGGCTGTCAGACGGTCTGTCGGCATCAGCTCGCGACTGTTCGACAGGCTGTGGATCAATTCGGGGACGCTGGTCGTCGAGATGGAGGAGCGGTGTTTGCGGACGATGGACGCAGCCCGGGATAGCATCAGACTCTCTTGCGAATTGCACTTGCTGATGGGCGAGAAGCTGCTGCGCGGGGAGACGGGGTGATTCTCCATACCCTGCGCAACGAAGGGGAAATGGCGATCGGATTCCGCATCCGTGGACAGGTATTCCTCGTACAGCGTTTCCTGATTAATCTGCTTTCCCAGCGTGGATGGCAGCATCGGCGAACTGACAGGCTGGAAGTAATCACCCGCGGTGCGCGCCATAAAATCGCGCTCGTATTCGCCCGTGGACGGGGTGGCGGCGGAGTGCGGCGCTGTGGAGCGGACTGAGGCGCTCGGGTCCAGGTCTGGCGTGGGAAGGGTGGAGGTGCTAAGCGGACTGGGCTGCAGATGCCGGGACTTTGGGGTCGTTTTCTCGAGGCCCCAGCCCTCGTCGGTGCAGGCAATGCCGATTTGGGGCCGTTGCTCTTCGAGGGAGGTGCGAGACCAGTCGAAATTAGAGGTGGATTCGGCGGCGTGCTCGTAGCAGTAGTCAATATCCGCGTCCCAGGAGTCGTACAGTTCGTCCTCGTAGGAGAATTGGTGCATGCCTGGTGCGGAAGGTGGAGTCGCGTCCATCTCCTCTGCTTTGAGAGAGGGCGAGGAGGCATTGGGGAGGTTCTGTGGCAGGGTTGGCGAGCCCAACGCCTCGGAAAACTTGCGCGAGAGCTCTTCCGCCACGAAAATGGAGAGGCCGTTGGGGGTTCCTCGGGGGATGGCCACTCCCGTTGGCTCCTCCACCGTACCGGGGCTGACTTGCGAGGTGGACCGCGAGTGGGCATACCCGATGCTGGGGCCGGGGCTATCCCACAGACGCGTTGCCTCTTCTTCTTCGGGTACATCTTCCAGATCATAGTGACTGTGACTGCTCATGGACGAAGTACCAGTGCGAATCGTCATGTTATCAGCCGGGTCGGGGCTGAACCGCAGCTGGGTAGCCGAGGGCGACTCGATGTACTCAGGGTATGTCTTTGGAGAAGACAAGCCCAGAATCTCATCAATTGCCCGCGGGGCCGGCTCTGCCTCCAGCGGCATCTCGGAACCTGCTGGAGGCGGCGGGGTGGTGGGACAGGAACGAGGATATCTCGAGGCCGGACGAGAGAAGTTCTCATGAGCGCGAGATTCGCGACGAACATGGCCTTTGGGACTGACTGACCCCGAAGCGGCGGGTGAACCTGGTGGACTGGGCGCGAGAACCGGCTCGTCGACCGTGGCAGCAGTGCCGAGAGCCGGCAGGTCATCAGCGGAGAAATTGTGGAAATGGATATCGTCCGCGCGGATACCCTTTAGGACCGCCTCGGGCCGTTGCGAGGCCCGAATGACGGAGAATTCAGTGACCAAGTCATTTTCGCGGGTCTGGTCCAGGGATTGGAATTGAGAGGGGCTCGTATGGGTGAGATGGTGAAAGTCGAACGGATCCGAGATGATACTCTTCAAGCGTTCGTCTGGAATGTACAAGTCAGTGTTTTGCACATATTGATTGCGATTTCAGGCCGCATTCTTTCTCCCATGTGGGGGTCTGAATGACTCAATTGCACTCACGATTCTCGGAATGTCTGGCTCTCCGGCCAAACATGCCGCCATTCTCGAGCTTCTCAGACCGAGGCTTCTCCCGATCTTGCTCGTCTTCCTCGTCCAGCGTGGCGACGATGTTGATCTTGCTCCCCTGACGACGCAAGATGCGGCTCCCGCGGGCCAGGAAGGAGCGAGAAGGGCGGTCCGACTTGTCAGCGCGCATGCCCAGCGACGACGCGGTGCGCTCGTCGGGCTGGCCGACGCCGCTGTCTATAGAAGTCATTGAGGAACCTGGAGAGCGGCGAGACGAGGTTGAAGTGGTGGTATTGCTTCTGGAGCGGCCACTGAAGACAGAGAGACGCTTGGGAGATTGAGCGTGGGCCGTTGAACGGGAACGCAGGTGAGCCATGTGCTCTGGCGGATCGTTGGAGGAGCGAGTAGAAGGAGGGTCGCTGTGGCCATCGTCGTCCCAAGCCGGCGCGGCCTGGGGATACATTTGAGGAGGCCCAAATATGAGCTTAGAAGGAGCGGCAAGGGTGTTTCATGGTAGACTGGGGAAGATAACCGCGACGGCGAGGGTTAGAGACGGGGGTCCATATATTTGACGGGATGCTGTGAGACGGGGAGATACGGTACGCGGTATTACCGGTGGGCTCAGGGGTTGCACGCCGTAAGAGTAATACTGTCCACAGCAGACATCAAAATCAATACTTACCCTACTTACTGTAGATGCAATCTGGTCTCTTGATGAGATGATATTACATTCTCTACTATGATTCCTGCTCTATTATATTCATTCACTCTTGAATAGCCATTTTTACTCTATTCCCCCCTCTGTCTTTCATACTCGTACCCTAAAATACTGACTCTCCCGTCCAACCCAGCAACGCGGAGCCGAAACCACGGATGGCCGCCCCTGCATGTGGGGTGCTCTAGTCGCATCGGGCGTAGCGAATTTCCATACCATCCAGTATTATCATCCTATTCCATTTTGTTGCCATTTTGTGGTTTGCTTTCTTTTCTTTGCTGCATGTTTGCACAAACATGAGCACTACACACGTATCACCCCTAGACATCATGGGATGCATACGGATGCATCCGAGGTCGAACGTGTAGCTGCACGAGGCCCTGCGCATGTGCAGGTCTCAGACCTCCGCGATTCGCAGGCAATGGAAACAGGATGAAATTCCCCGCGTCGCTAGCGCAGCCTCGGGCTTAACGGTTCCTCAAAATGGGTATTACCCTCGAGTACATTTTTTTACACTGTACAGAACTACCTTAGGGTAATGTAGAGGCTAATGGGTTCGAAAGTGCCGAGGATACATACTCGTCTGGGTAGGGCTTCGATCGCAGTGGAGCGGATCGCACTATACTCCGTAATTAATTAACGATGGAGTCGACTGTTAGGCTAGGCACTGGCACATCGACTACGCTGGATTTGGGCATGCGACACTCTACACCTAATTCCTTCATGTATACATTCAAGTTTACATCCCAATTGTAATTTTTGGAATATCATTCTCGGAGGCCGCCGTTCCTCCCGGGTTGACCCCGGCTCGATCTGCTTTGCGCAGGAACCATTGCATCCTCCACCGGAAGCCACCGGTCGCTAGGGTTCAATGGCAGGGGATTCTGTTTCGTTCCACGGTCACAGCCCGTCCGGACAGTGCTGGGCGTGTCTGTCACATTCCAATACTGCAGTGTGTACATACAGTCGTCCGTCCCTCAAGCGAGGGGCTTACCCTCGCGGGCGCTCGGCGTGGCTGCTCTTGACGATACAATGCGTACACGAGTGGATAAGCCCTACGGCCGACTCCCGAAGAAGCTGCTCCAAGCAGCTTCCTCGTAGAGAAGGGTATAACGGTAGTGGAGCGCAGCTGCAGTGAGGCGTCGAAACAAGGGAGAAGGCTGAGCGAAAAAGTTAAGCGGGCGCCAGCGTCTCAGCCAAACCTTCTTCTCTCACTTCCACTTCCTACGCACTCACGTACTAACCACGTGCTGACTATAGTCCTATTGGGAGAACACGAGGGATCATCGCTTGTGCCCAACCCAACTCTCGTGCGGCATCACTCCGTTATCCACCGCAATCTGCACAATGGTGGACTCCTGACGATCGCTCCGGCCGCAGTGAACCTGGGAGTGGACGCCTTGGATGATCGTGGTTCTGGATCGCAGAGGACCTGATCCATTTGAGAAGGTCCGTAACTGCTCCACCGGCATATCGTCATGTTTGGCCTGGTCCTCGAGCAACTGGGTCCCTCTGAGGTCGTTGTCTCTGCCGTGGAGACTGCCGTTATCCTCTCCCCGGTCCCAAGAGGGGTGGGAGCGTGCTGCACCGGAGGACAGCCTCGCTCCCTCGCCCCCATAGCTATCGGAGCGAAGAGGAAAGGATTCGTTGCATCCTGCCGTCCTACTTCCTCCACTGTCCGGTTTTCTATCTGTGATGACATCCCCATGGGACCAGCCAGCCACTTGAGTAATGTGGCCAGAATTGCGGCCCCCGGGCGGATTCCGCCATACTCCTCCATCCAGGGCTATAATCCAATTTCCACTTCTGTGATAACAGCAGCAGCATTGACTACTGCTGACTCCAACAACCAAGAACAGACCCATGTTCCATCGGTGCCCCATCTTCGGGCCTATCCTATCCTACAGGGCCATGCGAACGGGGCGCGGGACGCGTCTCCGTTCTCCATACGATACTGCTGTCTGTACAGTAACTCCGAGTGTATGAGCACAGGCACCCATACTGTACCTAGGGTACCAAAACAAATACTCGAACCACTGGGAAAATGCGGCGCCTCGAACCACTCGAACCGAACCGTTCCAGGGGGATCGGCCGCGGTCACGAATTGGCCCAGGCACGCCCCCATCGATCGCAATATCGCAATTTCCATCCTACCTCAGTAGACAGTGTGCTATGTTTAGACGACTCCACGAGCTTTGATCCCCACGGATATGATGGTTTGTTTTTGGCTGTTTTTCCGTGCTCTGGCGTCATGTTGTGCGGATGGGAACGGCGTGACGAGTGCAACCCTAGACCGTTGGACCCGGTGGGACTGACAGCCCCTTTCCGTGCCTATAGCCTACGTTTCTCGATAGGGGGTGTAAGACATGACAGAAAAAGAGGCTGGAGAATTAATGACGGGCAGCAACAGGAGCCGTCGCTAGTCGGTCACACTATCACTGCGATTTGCGAGGCAGCCGCCGCATCCTCGGGCACAGGCTCGCCCCGCAAAAGCAATGAGAGGCAATAGCTCGCGATGGGCGCGACTAGTTTTGTGTTTAAGTGGGAAAAGAGGCAATCTGGCAATCTGGCAATCTGGCAATCTGGCAATCTGGCAATCTGGCAATCTGGCAATCATCGGGGTCTAACGGTGACTAGTCTGTCCTCGACTCCATCGTGTAGCTGTAGGTGTGTACCCTTAGAGATTAGCCAAGACATCGTCCCGGCGGCGTGGGCGATCGGCACCGCCGGCTGGGTCGCACCTGGTCATGTGCTCACTTACTACTCACTTACTATAGAGTACCTGAGATGCATCATCTACGAGAATATTTTGTAGTAAAATCAATCCATTATGATTATCGTATTACAATTTCCCCAATACCAACAAAAGGAGGAATTCCTCGTTACACTTCCCAACATTAGCATCTATCCATCACATTGCGGTCAGATCAATCACGGGATCATAGGGAAACCTACATCACACTTTATATCTCCTCTCAACCTCACACAGACGCAGCAGCAACAATGGGAGTCGCAATCTCAGTCACATACACAACACCGCCACCATTAATAAGATTCAGCTCATCAACTCTCAGGTCCTGCGAGCGTACGTATTGACAAGATCTCGCCATTGCTCAGCAGCTCGACGCCGAGGTCGATGTCGCCCAGCACAGAGTCAGATTTGTTGCCCTTGACGCCGGTCGCGGTACCCCGGCCCAAAATTTCGAGGTCGAGGCCGATATCACCGATCAGGTTCTTCTCCTTCTCCTTCTCCTTCTCCTTCTCCTTCTCCTTCTCCTTCTCCTTCTTCTTCTTCTTCTTGTCGGCATCCTCGGCCTTCTGGGTGTCTTCGGTCTTCTCGTCTTCGGGCTGAGCGGGCTCAGCGGCCTTGGAGGCTTCTTCGGCGTCTTTTCCGGCGTCGGAGATATTTTCGGCGGGCTCGTCATCACCCCCACCAGCGGCATTCTGACGCTTAGTGTTCTTCACACCAGTGGCATCGCCATTGCTGGCAACGACGGCAGCAACACCGACGTCTCCGACGAGACCGTCCTCAGTGCGCTTGGCGTTCTTGACTCCAGTAGCGTCACCGTTGCCAGCGATGACGGCGGCGACACCAACGTATCCAATGAGGCCATCTTCGGAGCGCTTAGCGTTCTGCACACCAACGGCATCGAGGTTCTCGTGCATAACGTAGTTCTGGCCGATCTTGCTCTTAGCGTTCTTAACACCGGTGGCATCACCGCCACCAGCAACGACGGCAGCGACACCGGCTTCGCCAACAAGACCGTCCTCAGATTGCTTGGCGTTCTTAACTCAGTGGCATCACCATTTCCGAGAGCAACGACACCAACGCCGACATCGCCGACGAGGCCGTCCTCTGCGTGCTTAGCGTTCTTCACGCCGGTAGCATCACCATCTCCGAGAGCAATAACACACCGACTCCGATGTCTCCAATAAGGCCGCCAGTCTTCTTGCCTCCGGAACCGCCGTCACCACCGTCGACGGAGCCAGAGTCATCACAGCCGGAGCCGCAGTCAATGTCGCGTTTAGCGTTTTTCACACCGGTAGCATCGCCGTCTCCGAGAATGACGGCGGCGACACCGACGTTGCTGACGAGGGCATTTGAGCCATCACTGCACTTGGCATTTTTTAACGCCGGTGGCATCATCGTTACCAGTAACAACGGCAGCAACACCAATGTCACCGACAAGGCCGTCCTCAGAGCGGGGAACGATAATTTCACCCGAGCCAGCAGGAGCGACGCCGGGAGCAGCGACGTCGAGGATGTTCTCCTGAGGCACGGGGGCAGCAACGACCGCGGCCGCAAAGAGGGCGGGAAATGTGTATGCGTAACGCATGATGAGGATGGATTCTGGAAGAATCCAGACTAGAGAAGTCAGTTGACTGCACTATGTACCTGCACCTTGTTCACCTACCGAGGAGGAGAAGAGGAGGAGGAGGGAGGGGGGTATGACTGGACCAGGGACGGAAAAAAAAGAACGAGAAGAGATTGACTCTAGGGGAAAGCTCCGTCCTTTAAGTACCTGGCATCTCGTTCAAACCGTTCCATCTGTGATATTCCCATCGCAGCGTTGCGAGCATGGCATCGGCATTGGCATTGGCGTGCTCCACAAGTCATGGACACTGTCACCATTGGACAAACCGGGACGAGAACCAGCGAAGAAGTTTCTAAATCCATCTAGGCCAAGCTTTTACACTAGGGTCTGGAGTGGTAAAGTCTAGTCAGTACCTCGAGTCAAGCGCAAGCAGCCATTCTCTTCTGCACCGGGTAAAGTGTTGTGTGTGGTTCCATCCAAGGTCAATGACATATGAAGCAGAGCTGCAGCAACCAGCACGCTATGTCCCAGCAACCAGCACGCTATGTCCAATCAGGTTTTATCCTCGTGGGAGCTCGGTGGTGCGGTGGTGTGCTCGCGCTTGTGTGGAGAGCTGCCCTGGCCCGGACCGAGATCAGCGGTTTGGGAGCGTTTGCAGAACAGGGTACGAGGTGTCATGGAAGTGTGAGTAGGGGTTTTATTGACGATTATCGATCGAACATCCCGACGATGCCGTCGGTGATATCATCCTTTTTAGTCGGAGTGCCGATGGGACGTTGCCAGGTTTGTTACGATCGGCGAGTCAAGTCCACTGCAGGGGTTCTGGGGTAAGAGTGTAGTAGTGAAGACGTAGTCATTTCATTTCTCTAAAGAACACCCTTAAAATAACCACCATAATCCAATATCAAATGGACAGCAACCGTCATTTTTTTTCTTACCTAAATATACATCTATCGGAACGCCACCCGCCGCTGCCCGCCGCCATCGCCGCAAAGCCATCCTGGAAGAACAAGCCTCAACCGCGCCCCACCGCCAACGCCGCCAACCTTAACGCGGATAACTTACAACCTCATCCTTCAACCGTATGGTTACACTCTGCGACAATTTTCCTCGACCTCACTAAGGCACCGCTGATGCTCAATGGTCCTGCCCATCCCGACTGTGGGTTCATATGGTAATATTTGGTGGCTGCGTTTCCTTGGGCGGGTAAAGCCTAAAGGTGTTGATCTCGACTTGTTCAGACTACCTACTGGAGCTTCCTAGCTACAGTCAAAGCGGTGGCATCGGTAGAACTTGAAGGAAAAAGGTACGAACACCGACTGACTCGCACCCGATGCTGCGATCGATTGATAAATCGATCATATCACTACTTTTTCCAGTAAGAGGTACAGTCGTACCTTAACTAGGACTCGAATACTCATTCACTCTGTGAGGTCCTCGGCTGCGGGGGGAGCAGGAGCGGACGCCACGTTCTGAGCTCTGTCGATCACCCTTGGGGATGGGAATTGACTTCCGTGTGCGGTGACCTCAGCACAACGAGATTTATTGCGCGGCTGCGTGAAAAATTTGTCGTTGGACTTTGTACTTTGTACAGAAAACTATTAGCGATCAGAGCTTGGAAGTTCCTTGCTTTGGCTGGGCTGTACTTTGCAAGGTGTTGGGGGTCGCCGCGCCCAAATCCCTGGCTGCCAGCGGGCTTGGGCTCACATTCCGCAGTGGGACATGCAGTACTTACTGAACTGTGGTTGCTGGTAACGTGATTTGAGGTGGATGTTATGCCTTACCTAAGTACCCTAGGGTAAAAGATAACAGTATTGAGGTTAGGCGTTTCTGGGTATGGAATTGTGTTTGATTGTAGTACGGAGTATGTGAACATGAATTGAATGAATTGAATATGTCATTTTCACGCGACTGCATTTGAGTACCATACCCGCCGATCTAAATTTGATGGTGCTATAGATATTCCGTACACTAGTGTAGCTCCAGTCCCTCCCTGAGGATGGAACTGGCAGAGCAAATGGGGCAACTTGTTTGCTGGGAGCAGGGCCTACTACCAGTCACGAGCTTCAGGTCAGCGTCTTATATATAGCTGCATATTTTCGTCAACATAGTTCGTCTGTCGCTCTCTCGCGCCATTATCACCGATATCTCTCTCATTAGCAAAGCCGGTGAACTTCAGATCATCTTCTCTCCAGATGCCTCACAGAGGTCTCTCTATACACACCAGAGACCGCTGCAGTTCAGAGAGAGATGCGAATTCAACGGCCGTATTAAGTGGGAACTAATAGCACGATTTCATTACCGTGATTGTGAGAAGCATCAATTATGGCGCCAAGTCCCACCGCCAAGTCCCCGAAGCCCGCGGATTATGTTACCTTTGTGGGAATTGTTCTGGGACATGGATGAGCATGAACAAATCGAACGGTACTTTGACTCAATGCGGCAGCCGTGGAAAACGAACCGTATATGCGCTTGCCTATCTTCCTTTGGCAAGTCTCCGTTTTTCGGCAACCATTTTTTCGAATTCATTCATCTACACCTCGCAATGCAAACCTTTTTCCACGGACCCGAATTTGAAATCCTGTTGGAGCATTATCCTACATCGAGGTCAGGCATTTCATATCCCAGTAACCATCTCGCATGGAAACAGTCAAATCGTTCGAAGCTCGAACTTGTACCAATCCACCGAGACTTTGTCTCTGAATTGAAGAAATGACACCTGTACGGTGAATACAAACAAATCAGATCTTTCAGTTTCCAAAGGTTCGAAGGATTCGCATCTGTCGTCACATCGATACCAAAGCCAAAAAAGCATTCGCCTCGAAGAACCAGACCTGAACAAATTCTTTGCTGATTGTTGCAAGATGTCTCAGCAAACAAGTGAGTACAATGAAGGCCAACGGTGTGAGTTTAGTAATACATTGTGGAAGCTGGAGATGTATCAGGTGAGGAGAGGCAAGACACGTTTCGTTTTGACGAGATGGGTAGATCTAGGCCCAGTTCTGATCCCAACGGACAAGCGATGGAGGGTACATCAGGATTACCAGGGCCTTAGTCGTTCATCATTTAATGAGGAAGAGCTAAAGTTGGGAAATGATTTACTCGTCGAGGTCCCTCGAAGATTCGAGGTGGAATCGATTCAAGCCGGATCGCCTGGCTCATTGTCTGAGAAGGACCTGTACAAACGGAATTTGGATATTCTGCTTCACAATCGACATCTGACGATGCTTCGAGCCGATCGGAAGACCTTACAGTGGTTTGTCCTCTCTCCAGAGGGAAATGAAATGATGAAAGCCGGCGCAGAGTCTAGCCTAGGAAAGAGACTCAGCGTGCATTTGTCTCTTCGCGACTTAGATTTCTACCTAGGTACAGTACCAGCTTGATGGAATCCAATCGTACTACACAACTGACCTCAGTCACCCCAAAATATCATACACCTCAAATCTTGTCCCCACCAAGAACACCCTCAATCCTAACCTCGAAAGTTACCAAATTTCATATTTCAGCAACCCAGTGAAAAACCCAAATACAAAAAACCAAATACCATAATCAAACATACACAGCCCCAATTGCCCCCAAATCCTTCATACGATACGCCTACTGCAATGCACGATCGGACGCGACCTTGCATAAGACCTAGCCTAGGTCCCAGGCATGTGGTCTTACCTGCGAGCCTAGGCTAGGCACGATGCAGCGGTGGCACAGGTGCATGCGGCTATTCCCCCGGGGATGTCTTCGCAATGTAACCATCCACCATCAGGACGCAAGGCCGATTATGAAGAAACACAGCCTATAGGAGAATATTGGTGCTTACAACTTACTTGGACTCGGCATTTAATGTACGACGTTGTGTACCTAGGTACGCACATGCGGGCGGAACGGCTATTTCTGTCGCAAAAGTTCTCTGGTCGGAAATTAATTTAGATTAATGTGCCACCTTTTTTAGTTGCATGCTAGCGGGGAATGGTTGAAGCGAATCGAATCGAATCTAACCTGTTTAGGTGCTAGTAGTGCTCTCGGATTCCGATTGCACTATTGCGACGTTTAGTGTCGCGTGTTGCTAACGGCTTTTTATTTCTGTATGTATCTTACTGGGTATTGTATAGATGGATGTGCGTACACCAATCTGTGTGTATTGGATAGATCATACCTTGTAGAGTGTGGCCTGTTGTTCACGGGGGGGTTGTTTTGGCCATATTGGTGGTGGCTTGGGGTTGTCTAGACCCTGAGGTGAGGGGTTGTTTCGGAAGGGATTTCGTACTTTTGTCGATAAAATCCAAATCGACTCAATTGAGGCTCAATGCTGTGAGAAGAATAATTGAATTGCTCTGATTGATGCATCATATAAGGAGATATCTAGTGGATTCTCTCGGGTTTTGCAAAGGAGAAAATCCGTATAGCTCTTATCACCATGCTGGAATCTATCTGATATTTTTTGCTGAGTGGGATGAATGAGACCTTTAAAGTACATAGCGCAGGAATTGGCTGTAGGCATTGTAGAATATTTAAGACTATGGCTCACATTGAAGATATATCTTAGAATGAAGATGCGTATAGACCACTACATAGATCCAGCCGAACGAAGTCCGAGGGCCAAGACCACGAAGAAGCGTCAGAATAAAGCAACTGAATGAAGCCCAAAGGAGATTGCGACGAGAATACTAGGTAGCTGTGAAAGTATAAGCTTGCGTCGATCGCTGAGTCTTAAGATCCCCTGGGTCGTAGAAAGACGCGACAGTGAATATAGTAAGGATCACGAATATAGTGCTGAGAGACATTGGTTGGTGTTGGCTATTCCACTCAAGCAAGGTCCTTTAGTTAGGCTGACCTACAATATACCATCTGCTGTAAAAAAAATATTTATTTATTGAAAAGTATCTTCTGGGTGAAAGTGTCCAAGTCCATGCAACGCCGAACAAAGATAGCAAGCACAAAAATCGAAGAAAAATATAAGTAATACAATGCTTACTCCTCCATCTGGTCAGGGTTTTCGTCCCCAAAAAGATCATCATCTTCCCCGGCAGGCTTCTCAGCCTCCTCATCCTCGTCATCGTCGTCGGCAATCCGACGAGATGCCTTGTTCCTCCGGCGAGGAGCACTCTGCTCCTCATCCACGTCCTCGTCCTCCTTCTCCGGGCTACTAACGCGCTCCTCATTGTCATCGTCATCAGAATCCTCGACGCGCTCCGAGCTCTTGAACTTAGAAGAGCTCTTGCCCACAGGCGCAGACTTCCCACCAGACCGCCGCTCCAACCGACGCCGCTTCTTCGGCGCAGCCTCAGTCTCACTCCCACCCTCAACCTCACTACCCTCCTCACGCGTCTCGCCAACTTCCTCATCACCAGCAATGAAATCATCCTCAGTACCCTTCTTCTTCCGCTTCGAAGATTTCTTCTTGCGCTTAACCCTCTCACCCTGCGAATCATCCGTGTACTCCGCCTCCTCACGCGCACGCTCAGCCTCCGCACGCTCAGCAGCAATACGCATCGTCTCCTCAACCATCTGGGCACGCTCTTCAGCGATCTTTCGCTTGCGCTCCATTTCCACTTCCTGCGCCTTGCGCAGCTCCTCTTCGCGCTTCTTGATGGCCGCTTCGCGAAGCTCGCGGGCTTGCTGGAGTTTCGCGGCGTTCTGCTCCTCGAACTCCTTTTGGGTTTGCATGGCGCGGTCGAGCTGTTTGCTGATTGTGCGGCCCATGTTGGCGCGTTGTTCGAGGGCTTGGCTGGGGTAGGGCGGGTTTTTCTCCTTTGAGAGTCGTTCGAAAGTCTCGATGGCTTCCTTAAGGCCCTCGATGGCTTCCTGGATGTCTTGGAGAGTCTTTTGGGTGGTGCCCAGACCATAGGCCAATGAGGCGATTTGGTTCTGGACGAAGGCCACGTTGAATTGGAGATGGAGTTGGTCGGGGGAGACGTCTCGTGCGCGCTGGGCATAGTCCAGCGCTGTCTTCATGGCGACCATGTTGGTCTCTTGCTTGCCCTTTAGACACCAGACTCGGCCCAGGCAGGCGAGGATCTGCACGTCGCGGGCACGATCCTTGGAGAGGGCGGTTTCGTAGTTCTCGATTGAGCGGGTGTATTGTCGGAGCTCGGCGAACACGTGGCCTAGGTTGAGGTAGACGCTAGGGTCCTTGACGGTCTCGCGGACCTTAGAGAAGATCTGGACGGCGGAACTGTGGTCCTTCCTGTCGTCCACGAGGGCGATGGCAATACCCTGTGCGGCGTATGCGTTCTTGGGATCCAGCCGCAGGGCCTTATCGAAGAATTCCACGGCACGCTGATACATCCTGCGGCGTTTCTCCTTTTCTGAGTCGGAGTCACGGCGCATGTCACGGGCCGCAAGGAGATGCACATTGCCCATTCCAGTCAGGGCGTAGCAGTCATGGTTTTCATAATACTGGAGGGTGTGCTTGAAGTGGCGCAGTTCAGAGTCCTCATTGACGTTAGACACCCGCTTCTTCGACTTGCTCAGGTACCAGCCGAACAAGGCCCGGACCTCCAGGTTGGAGTTGTCCATTTCGTAAAGCTTGGCCATCTTTTTGGGTCCTTCGTCCGTGGGACTTTGGCGCAGGGCGATGTACGTTAGACGGGCACTAGCTTCGGTGTAGTCACTGTGTCGCTCGAGAAGACCCTCGTAGACCTTCTTGGCCTCGTCCCACATGTCCGCCGATTCGTAAGTGCGGCCCAAGTTGTAGCTGATACTCGTGATGAGGGCATCTTTGTCGAAGCCTTCTTGGGTTTCTGCGACATTGACACAGGCATTGAGCGCGGATTGGAACATGCCACGTGCCAAGGCAATCTTCTCGTGCTGGTAAAGGAAACATCCCATGTTGTTCAGAAGTTGCGGGGGCAGACGCTCACGGAGAGCAGCCTTCAAGTCGTCCGCATTGTCGATATCCGGTCGGTCACTCTCAGAAATGGCTGAAATCTGCAGGTCCTCCAGTTGGGTCAGGCACTGCATGCACTTCTCCGGGGCCGAGGTCTCGTAAAGACGAGCGAGGTACACCAGGACCGATTCGTCGGGAGAGAGCCGTAGCTTCTCATCCTTCCACATCGACCGCACAGACTCGAGCAGTTGTATTGCTCGCTTTGTTTCATTCGACTTGTCTTCCTTGCTGCCGGCCTTTTGCGCGGCGAAGACGTCCTCCGCGTGTAGTGTTGCCAGGAGGGTCATGGCCTCGGCATTCTTAGATTGCTGAACAATCTTCTCAAGACGGAACTTGGCATCGTCAAAGTTCTTGTTGATGACAGACATCTGCACAGCGCCGAACTTGGCTGGCAAGTAACCCTTGTCACCGCCACCACGAGCCTGGTCGGAACGGTTGTAGAACTCCGCCGCACGCGCGTAATCACCTTCGTAGTGGGCCTTGCGACCAAGAAGGTACCAGCCATCACTAGCAATGGGCATCACGTCCGTCCGCTCAATAGCCTTGCGGGAAAGAGTTTCGGCGGTCGGGTATTGGTTGCGGAGAATGAAGAAGTTTGCGAACAAGCCGCAGGTCATGGGGTAATCCTTGTCCAGCTTAAATGCCTTTTGGGTGTAATGGGTCATGGCCATTTTGTACAGGTCGCCGAACTTGGGATCATCGGCCGAGCGTCGAGAGCTATCGTAGAGGTAATACACGGCAAGGAGGATGTTGGCGACTTTAGAATCGGGGTTCTGCAAGACATGTTAGCTGCTGCCAGAAAGCCGAGAGAACTGTAACTTACCAAGGCGAGGGATCGTTCCCATGCAGCCTTCGCTTGGTCCTTGAAGCCCAGCTGCCACAGACAGCATCCCAGACCAATACGAGGGTCAGGGTCGGTGAGGTTGGGCACCTTGATCAGGACCTTCTGGTAGCTATCAAGAGCCTCGGGGTATCGTCCCAGCATGTAGAGTGCACGAGCACGTCCCAGAAGAGCCATCACATTGCGGCCACCGAAGGCCTTGGAGGATTCGTCAAAGCATTTCAGAGCTTGTCGCAGGGATTCCACACGCTCGGATGTGTCGATAGCACCGGGACGGACAGCACGAGGTGGGTGCAATGATGCACGGAGAAGACAGAGGACACCGCGCGCCAGGAAAAGAGGAGGGTAGGCCGGGTTCAGGCGCGATGCTTCATTGAGGGTCGAGGTCGCCAGCTGCAGGTAGTGATCCTTGGTCTTTGCCTCAGAGTAGAGCTCTCCTTCCGGTGCAACACGGGGAGCCTGTCGGCTCTTCAACAGTAGCAACCAGCAAACCCAGCCCAGAAGACCGAGTTTCTCTTTGGTAGCACCGTGGGCGACCGAGGCCAGACCCTTGTTCAGGATGTCGATGGCATGGTCGATCTGCTTGCGTTTGGCATAGGCCAATGCAATGATCACCCAAAAGTTCTTAGCCGCCCGTTCATTCTCCAGCAGGGTGCAGAGCTCGGTCGGGTCTTCGGGGAGGTCGAGGAGGCTGACTTCGACTTCACTGTCGAAACTCGAAGCCGGAATATCGATGGCGTCGGGGATATCGGAGAAGCGCAAGTTCGCCAAAGAGCTTGTGGCGGGCAAAGAATCTTCGGTCAAGCCATTGGCATGGCCGTTTTCGAGGGGCGCCATGGTTGCGACTGCGACGGGGATGGCGTCGGGGTCGGGCGACGGTGGATGGTCGGGATGCGACTGGATGGAGGAATGGATGGTAGGACTTCAGCTCATGATCTAGCCAGGCTGTCCATCCGAGAGTGTCGAAAGGAAAGAGCTTGCGTCAATCGCTGAGTCTTGAGAACCCCTGGGTCGTAGAAAGACGCGCCAGTAAATCGGAGGAGCAAGTCGCGAGTGCTGGCCGGTTGAGATTGGAGGTGTGGCTGGTGCACCGCCACACGCCACACCCGTCCCTTGGTTACAGGTTCACATCTACAGTTCACTGCAAAGTCGCAATTATGTCAATTCATTTCTAATGATAGGAGTATCTCTAGTCTTGTCATCATGTCTCATCCAAACCAAGCACAAACACAAATCACACAAAAGACACGCTTAATGATCAACCGATCCAGCTGCCAATAGACCGGCACAGAAGGGCCACACCCGCCAACACCATGAAGATCTGACCAAGCTCAGCCCAGTGGTGCAGACGGACATTGCATTCTACAAAACCAGCTTCCAGAGCCACCTTTTGCTCCTCGGTCGGATTTTTAGACTCAATACTCCCGGCCAACTCAGAGGGGAATCTACCAGTCTCAAAGTAATGGTCCATGAGCTCATCCTTCTCGGCCCATCGAGCTCGAAGCCAGGCATCAAATTCTTGCTGGTCGTCCAGTGGGATGTCGGCCATGGCAAATCGTCGCCAGTGTACATTGACCGAGGTAGGGGGTCGGCCTTGGAGGTATGTAGAGCGGAGAGTGAAATATTTGTCGGGGTAGCTGCCCTTACTATAGAACGAGTCAGAAAAGTTTAAGGTCGGCTGGGGAATATGTAACTTACGGTGGACCCTCATAGGCAATGGTACTGTCGTACACCCAATCTACGGTCCCTCGCAGCTGTTGCAGACAGAAGAACAGGCCAGTCGACCGGGGCAGAATCTGATGCTTGAAGGAGGGATACCCTTGCTTGAGGCCGAACGCATCACTCTTCCGCTTGGTGTTGATCGAGAGGTTGGTACCTTCGGGGAACATGAGCAGCCACATGGGGTCATATTTGGGCTGACCCGAGTGTGAGCCCGAATGTTGTGTCTTGAGTTTCTCCAGACGATGCTGCAGCCGCGGCTTGTCCGAAATCCATTTTCGGGCCATGAAGATGAAGCCGTAGAACATCATGCCCTGACCCACCACAGGAATATACTTGAGCGACTCCTTCAAAATGATGAACACACGTCCGTGCATCACATTGGTGTAGGCGAACCACCACAGATAAATCCAGTCGGTGTAGACCTGGTGGTTGGCAATTAGAACCAGTCGTTCTGGGAATGTCGTGCGCAGCAGCCCATCATCCGATAGATGGAGCTGGCCGCGCACGCTGGCATCTCCGCTAACTCTAAAGAGAGTGGGAGCTGCCCACTGCGTGAGAGCCGTGATTGCCAGTCCGAAACATTGTTTTGTGAACGCCATGTACGAGTAGTAGTAGTCTTTGTGGATCAGGTAGAGCGGGGAGCCGATCAGTTGGGTCGCGAAGATGACGATGCAGCAGCAGTCGAACCAGGTCGACAGCAGTAGCGAGCGAACGATCTGCATGGATATGCCATATTTGAGGCGAGGTTCGGTGGGCGGTTTACTCGAGTGTTCCTGGAGCTCCGCGGTGGTGGGCTCTGCGGCGGTGGGCTTGCGCTGACGAACCTCGGCTGAATCCATTATGGAATGCCTCGGGCGGCTTTGTCGAGGACGTCAACCTGGAGAGTTGCTCTATAAGTCAGGTCGGAGGCGACTGGAGTCAACTGCTAGCCCGTCCTTGCTGCGAATGAAGAGGTGTTCGCCCGCCACTTGGGAGTTTGTGGCGGGAGATGGCGGATGGGGGATCGACAAGAGGGCTCGGCTGCCTGAGCTGCAGCTGCTTTCACAAGCGCCGGTGACGGGCAACGGGCAACAAAGGAAAGTCGGCGCAGGAATAATAATAGGTGATGTCAAGAGAAGAAGAGGAGGAGCGAGAGGGGGGCCAAACTGTAATCACACGCCCAAAGTATGCAGCACGAGTCGTGTGTCTGCGGAGTTGGCAGCTCGCAGAGGGAACAACGTCAGAGCTCAGGCGGTGGGGCGCATTTCAGCTTCAGCAATTGTTCGAGTCAACTCGGCTCGATCTCGCCGCCCGCGCTCCTTGTCCAGTACTTCGATTCCGGCCCGGATGTGACAAGTGCTTTTTGCTGCGACACATGACTGAGGTCATTTCGGCCCTCCCACCATGGCTATGCAGTGTGCTCGCGCCCGACTCCCCGGCCGGTTCCTGCGGCGCTGCTTCTCCTCCTCTGCACCCTGTCACGAGATCCGCGATATTGCGGGCCTGTCGCAGCGGCTGATTCCCAAATACCAAGGTGCGTACGCTGAGTGGTCGACGGAGAGCAGACGAGGCTGACTCCCGCCGAAGAATCCCAGGGCGAACTACTGTCTTTGCAATGGCCGGCGCCTCCGCGCAACATTCTGTTGGTGCGCAAAGACTGTGCGCCAGCCGTGACTGAATCCCTGATTGAATTTTCCAAGTACGAACCACTGTATCTCTGTTTGGGGTTTTGGCTGTTGGCTGTGCTCTGACTCACTCTTCTTAGCCATATCACCTCGACATATCCCTCCATCTCGGTGGTCCTTGAATCACGAACAGCCGCCGACGTCCATTCTTCACTTCCCTATCCCGTCTACTCCGCATCTTTAGACGATAAGCCAACCGCATTTCATGACAAGATAGACCTCACGGTCACGCTCGGTGGAGACGGTACTATTCTACATGCATCCTCGCTGTTTGCGACATGTTCCAATGTGCCCCCGGTTCTCTCGTTTAGCATGGGCACTCTGGGCTTTTTGAGCGAATGGAAATTCTCCGAGTTTAAACGAGCCTTTCGCGAGGTCTACATGTCCGGGGCTGGAGCCGGGGATCGCACCCCGGTTCTCGAAGAACCCCAACCCCAACCCCCGTCTACATCTACATCTACAGTTATGTCCGTGGCCGACGACGAAGCAGAACCACCATCGGGCCCGACTGGCTGGTCCTCAGTCCGGGGCAAGTCCATGGGCTGCACCAGGGGCGCCCCAATTCTGATGCGCAACCGTCTCAAGGTCGGACTATTCACCGGCGACGGGGAGGAGACCACACCGATCCGCGGCAAGTCGGACCAGGGCCAGGGGGTGTACGTGATGAACGAGCTGCTCATTCATCGCGGTAAAGAACCACACCTGGCGGTGGTGGACATTTTCGTTGGCGGACGGTTCCTGACAGAAGCCGTGGTGGACGGTATCATTATTTCGACGCCGACGGGTAGTACGGCGTACAGCCTCAGTAGCGGCGGCAGTATTGTGCACCCGCTCGTCCCTTCGATCCTGCTGACTCCGATCTGTGCGCGCAGTCTGAGCTTCCGGCCCTTGGTTCTCCCTTTGAGTACGCCGATCACGCTCCGGTTGAGTGAGAAGAACCGCGGGCGCGAGCTGGAGGTCAGTCTGGACGGGGTGAATCTTGGCCAAGGGATGGCAGTCGGCATGGAGGTCCGCGTGTGGAATGAGGAGATGCGGCATGGCAAGAATGAATGGCAGGGCGGCGTACCTAGTGTGATGCGGAGAAGTATGGGCGGCGAGGCACACGAGGGATGGGTTGGGGGGTTGAACGGGCTGCTCAAGTTCAACCATCCGTTTGGCGAGTAAACTGCGTTGAATATACCCAATGTGTTATTTGTACTTGTACAATTATCGATACTTCTCGAAATACACTCTCCATGTGAGGCTGTAAGTACCGCTCGGCGTATTTACTATGGGCGGTACCTTCCGCGCTACCAGCACTGTTTAGTATAGTACTATGTCTGGTATGCCCCATCGCCCACCCGTGATTGGCAGCCGAGTGTTTTCCCTAGATTGCCTCTGTTGGCTCGAGTTCCTGGCTCGACCCTGGAACGGCCTAGCTGGTCCCCTTAGTGTGCCTAGGTTCCTGAGACTTAGTCGTGATGGTCGATACACCTTGGCGATGCGCTGTTAAACATCACCGGTGATCATCCCGCCCAACCCCCTTTATCTTTTCCTCCTCTCATCCCACCCCCGCCATTCTTCCCCCCCCCCCTCCTCCATCACCTGTTTTTCTGTGTTGAGCCACCCTCGCAGTGCGAGGTCCGCTCTAAATCTCTACGTGAGTCTCAGCAATTCTATCCACCTCTGTCTGCATTGGCCCCGCCCGCGGTCCGCGTTGCGAAGCCCCGTGTTGTGCTGGTGCCCGTGCTTCCTCCCCTGAACGTGCGAAAAAAAAAGTCCAAAGGGACTGACCCCGTCCAAGTCTAGCCTCGAGGGGCCTCAGGAGGTTTCGGCGCACTTTCGCTTCTTCGCCTTCGCGACTCCCTGGCAACGATGGGTTCCTACGCAAAGTGAGTGATGCCCCCTCCCTTCAAACCCTCCGCTTCCCTGTGGATGCTACACCCCGCGATCGCGTTCTGCCCCTGGATGTGCCCTTGCTAATCTCCCCACCACAACAGCCCCATGTACACGCCGGATCAGTTTATGAATCCGGGGCCGGCTCCCCGGCCCCCGACCGATCGTCCCAAATTGACACTTCCCACCAACAACGTCAATGCGGCTGCTACCAGTTTCAACCAGATGAGTTTGAACTCGCCCAGCACGCCGGGCACCGGCAATCTCTCGCTATTCCCCAACACCAGTCAACCGTCTCTTGCCCGGAGCCAGACCGGCGGCCAGGGTGGAGTGGCTATCGTGAAAGAAGGATTCGTGCGGTGCAAGGAAGACAAGTTTCTCGCGACATGGAACCAGCGCTATCTCATCCTCCGCGAGTCTCGAATCGAGTTTATGAAGAATGAATCCGGCAAGATCGCTCTGACCTTCCCACTGACCACGGTGGTGTCAGTCTCCCGTTCGGAGGAATCGAAGATGGCCTTTGAGATTATTCGTCTGGCCAACCCCAAGGATGCGAACAGCAAGGCAACGCTGCTGAACCGAGACGTGGCCACCAAAACAATCACCTGTGAGGTGCGATCGGACGATGAGATCTACGAATGGATCGACAAAATCTACGAACGTTGCCCCGGCATGGGCGGCGTCAGCAACCCTACCAATTTCAGTCACCGCGTTCACGTCGGCTTCGACCCGCAAACCGGCGCCTTCGTAGGCTTGCCTCCCGAGTGGGAGAAGCTTCTGACGGCCTCCGCCATTACCAAGGAGGACTACAAGAAGAACCCCCAGGCCGTGATCGAGGTTCTCGAATTCTACTCCGATATCAAGATGCGCGAACAGAATCCGCAGTACTATGGCGGTATGAGTGGTCCGTCCGGCGGGCAGCCCAAGCCCCTTGGCAGCAACACTGTAGGAAATTCCATTGCGCCTCCTCGTCCTCCGCCTCCGGGCCCTATGCAACGTCTGGACAGCGGCCAATCCAAGTCTTCGGGTGATGGCTCCATACGCTCGGTGTCCTCGCCTGGACAGTCGCAGGGCGGCCAGACGGACCGTGCGATGGAACAACAGCAGCAATTGGAACGCATGAAGGAGATGGCCGATCAGGAGCGTCGTCGCGTGGAGGAGGAACAACGTCGCAAAGAAGACGAAGCTTACAACGCATCTCTACCCAAGTCTCGACCGCCTCTGGCCAAACAAGAGCTTGGTGGCTATGGCGGAGAGGCCTCTCCTATGAACAACCGCTATCAACCCTCTCGTCCCGCTCCGCAGGCTCCTGGATCTGCTGGTGCTCGGGCTCCGGGACAGGATCCTCGTCAGCTTACCGCACAGCGTCCGGCTCCGGCTCCTCCTTCCCAGAGCCCCTATGGCCAGAACCAGGGCCAGGGACACCCTCGCACCCCGGGTGGTTCCCGCAGTGAGGACCAGCAAGGTTCTCCGGGCCGTTACGCTCCCAATGATCCTCGTGCTCAGGCGGCCAACCGTCCTCAGAACAATGGCAACAAGGCCCAGCAGGCCCAGGGCCCTCCCCCTACTCGTCTCCCCGCTCCGGTTCAGGCCGTGAAGCCCCTCAACATTGCGAATAAGCAGACCGGTAACAAGCAGGCTGTCCCGGATGGCGTCCGCCAGGCGGAAGCTGCGCTCACCAAGAAGCCCGAGCCCCGTCAGAAGGAGGTGCGCATGTCGGCTATGAACGAGAACGAGGTGATGGATCGACTGCGGTCTGTCGTGTCTAAGGATAACCCGAACGACTCGTACAGCAAGCAGCGCAAGATTGGTCAGGGTGCATCCGGTTCCGTGTATGTTGCACGAGTTAAGGAGCAGGCCACATCGCCTGTAGCTCGCGAGCTGTACCGCCAGTATGGCCCGCGGTGCCAGGTGGCTATCAAGCAGATGGATCTGCGTAGCCAGCCCCGAAAGGAGCTTATTGTCAACGAAATTATTGTTATGAAAGACAGCCAACACGCCAACATTGTCAATTTCTTGGATTCGTTCTTGCAAGAGTCCAGCAATGAACTTTGGGTGGTGATGGAATTTATGGAGGGTGGTGCTTTGACGGATGTGATTGACAACAACCAAGTGATTGCGGAAAACCAGATTGCTACCATTTGCGCCGAGGTTTGTTTTTTTTTTTTTTTTTTTTTAACCCCCCATCATTTCCGGCGTTTATTTATGGCCACTGACTCATGATATACAGACGTGCAAGGGGCTGGCCCACCTGCACAGCCAGAACATTATCCACCGTGATATCAAGAGTGACAACGTGCTGCTCGACCGTGTCGGCCACGTGAAGATCAGTATGTCTCCCTGTCGACCAGACACATGACGCCATACAGTGCTAACCGACTCAACCCTACAGCTGATTTCGGCTTCTGCGCCAAGCTCACCGAGTCCAAGAGCAAGCGCGCTACCATGGTGGGAACCCCGTACTGGATGGCACCAGAGGTTGTGAAGCAGAAGGAATACGGGCCAAAGGTTGACTGCTGGTCTCTCGGTATTATGGCTATTGAGATGATCGAGTCCGAACCCCCGTACCTGAACGAAGAACCCCTGAAAGCACTATACCTGATCGCCACCAACGGCACCCCCCGCCTGAAGAAACCCGAGAAACTGAGCAAGGAGCTGAAGGCATTCCTAAGCGTGTGTCTCTGCGTGGACGTCCGCAGCCGCGCCACCGCCGACGAACTCCTCGCCCACGAATTCCTACAAACCGGCTGCAGCTTGGCGAGCCTAGCAGAACTTCTTCGCTGGAAGAAGACCAGCAACGGGCAGTAATGCCATAATTCCAGTAATCTGTCTCGAACGAGATGAAAAATCTGGCCATCAGCTATCTGGTGTTATTTACGCCGACGGTTAGACATTCCTTTTTTTTACTGCACATTCACGAACGACCTGCATGGACAACCATACATACCCCCGCGAATCCGTCGTCCCGGATTTAACCCGCCAACGATCCTATCACCATTGCCTATCTTGTTGAATTCAAATGCTTTACATAAACCTTGGGCGTGGGTAATCCGGCGTTTTGTCTTTTTTCTGTCGTGACAACCTTTTTCACGAGCTTGCTGGTCTTGTTAATTCGAGCTACTTCTTGTCCTTTTCTTGTCTGCGTTCGCCCCCCTCCGACCCCCACCGACCTATGGAGGGTTACGATGAAGTATGGATGAGGAACAAGATCATCATGATTGTGATACTGAGCTAGCGTTCCTTACTTTGTTCTGGGAATGAGCCCAAAGACCGTTACTGCTTTCAGTACGCTGGCGCTTGCGTGCGCTGTTTGTTTTTGTTTTCGAAATGACGTTGACGAATTGTTGTACCATGCCTAAAAGCGATAGTGAATCGAGGTTTTGAGCTCTGCTAGTATTGTTATGATTGCTTTGTTTTGTATTGAAGGGTGGTGGGGGTTGTAGTGTACTTGGGATGTGGGGTAAGTACACTTAGTCGTGTTTGCGAGGGTTCTATTTCTATTTCTATGCGAGCTCGGGGGCTTTGTATTTTTTGTGGGTAGTGGATGGGTGCAGTGTACTTGAAAGGTAAGTACACCAAAGTCGTGCTTCTGCGAGGATTACGTTCTTTTACTTCCAGATGCGAAAGTCTATGGGTTTGTTTTTTTGCCGATTTATATTTTTATTATTTTATTTTATTTTTTGTCTTAAGTATGTTCGGGTACGAGACGTATTGTTAGTGCTATGAGCGGCTGCTGGAATCAATCAATTTTCGATGATATCTACTCATACTTCGTTTGGCTGGTATGTAATTGCTGGGTTGGGTTGGGCTATAGTGTTGTACAGTCGTTGGTTTAAACCGTTCAATTCGTCTACCCTGCAAATCTACAATCTACATAGTGGTGATGATTTATGGTTCATGGTTTCGTAGATAATACTAGATTGTAGTATGTTGGGCCGTGGTAAAATAGAGTTTAACGCGCAAATCAATTTAGATTGAACAGAAAGTTCTTGCTCTGCTTATGCTGATTGAGCGAATGGATTGTAGCGTTGTCATGTTACGTGGTATGTAGGCCATGGCCCTGTATGAATTTACCCTCATATCCTCTTCCCACAATCAATTTGAACATACTAGAATCAGTCATATATCATGTAAATATTGCAAGACACCACATCAGAATTTGTGGAAATAGGTGCTACTTGCCAGGACATATACTAAAGGCCTGTTTCTTCACACCCCTGATACCTAGGTACTAGATTACTCTTGAAAGCGGAAATTTAAACCCTTGTTGTTTCTTCGCGGCCTTTACCCATTGAATCCTTGCTCTTGGCTTGCGCACAAGGTGGCTGTTGGTTTGGCGTGGTACCCTTACACCTTATCTGTGCAAGGATGCTTGTCCTGTCGGTAGTAGTACACTGTGTTTGTTCGGTTTAACATATCAATAGGTTGAGACCACTCGGGTGGGTCCGGGATTTTCCATCAATGGCATTAACATAACTAGCGTCCAAACAGACCCGACTAGCTACTAGAAGTGGCCGGCTCTTTAACTAGTACTTGGCAATGTTAGCAGCCAACGACATAGACCAGTCTCGTTATTAGAATGCACACAAAAACGGTATGCAGAAGCGAACATCTTAGTGATTTGATGTGGCGCAACATCTCACATCTAAACTGTCGACTACTTGTTCATTGTGCAATCAAGATCCCTGTCTAATCTTTACGGAACGATATCTTAAGTACTTCCGTCTTCAGGTCTCGACTTCCTTTCTCCGGATGTTCTGTCCACATTTTCTCTCCGAGCTGTGCGATCACAGGGAGTGGGAATGATGCCGATGAGAGCGTTACATTGCGCCAGAAACAACAGCTAGATGTGAATATCCAGCCAGCGTTCGATTTGATTTGCCAAAGTCTTCCAGACTCTAATTATCAACAGAGATATCTCAAGTTCTTCTCATCAGTCGTATTTTCCGCTTGCCTGCTTGCCACATGGGAATCGGCCGGTGGCAGTTTGCTCTCGGGGCTGTACAACGGCGGTCCTGGGGCGATAGCTTATGGGATTATCTTAAGCACTGTGGGTAGTCTGAGTCTGGCCATCGAATGCTCTTTAACTGAGCTGGCTTCTCTGTACGTGTTTGACACAAAATAATTGCAATGTGCGTGCTGACGAGTCAGACACCCCACTGTAGGTGCTCAATATCACTGGAGCTATTTCCTCGCGCCTCGGGGTCGCCGATTTATCAGTTTCTTCCAGGCGGAGCGCATGCCTTTCCCTTTGCTTATAGCTGTATATTGAACATCTGATATCAGGTATGGTCACTGTCTTCTCCTGGTCCGCCCTCGTCTGCATCGCGTTCTACTTCATCGGCATCCAAATCCAGGGCATGCGCGTGCTGGTGCACCCTGACTATGAAGTTGTACGGTTGCCCGGGACGCTGCTCATGTAGGAAGGTGTATTCATCCCGATAATTATCAATATCTTTGCGCTTCGCGTTCTGGGAGCTATCGAGCTTGTGGCGGGGATCATGCATGTCGTTTCCCTCTCCTCGTCACCATCGCAGTCTTCGTTATACTCGCCCCTCGAAACCCCGACTCATTCGTCTGGAATACCTCTGTCGGCAGCTTGAATGGATGGAAGGATTCCGGGGTTGGTCTGTTCTGATAGTCTTCTTGGTGTCATTAAGCCCCTGGCTGGTACTTCCACACTATCAACTATCAGATCAATCTAATCCCAACTTGTGAACAGGCGTCGACGGCGTAATCCATATGGCCGAAGAAGTACAAAACGCCCAAGTCGTCATCCCCCGCTCCATAATCTACGGCACTCTCATCAACGGCACTCTCGCATTCTCCTACCTAATCGCCGTCCTCTACTGCATGGGCGACTGCACCGAAGCGGTCACCAGCCCAACAGGCTACCCCATCATCACAATCGCCTACCAAGCAACCGGCTCCAAAACAGCGACTTTCGTCCTCATGGCAATGGGAATGCTACCAGGCTGGATTGCCCTCTTCAACGGCCTCGCTTCCGTAACCCGTCGCACCTGGGCCTTCGCTCGAGACAACGGCCTCCCCTTCAGCGACTTCGTCGCACTCGTCGACCCAACCTACAAGATCCTCCTCCGAGCTCTACTCCTCGTGTTATCATTCATATTCATGCTGTTGTTCATCCAGATTGGGCCCACGGCTGCGTTCAATGCGATTCTTTCGCTCAGCACGCTCGGTCTGTACATTTCTTATCTTATTCCTCTCGTCCTCCTTGTCGTCAAGCGTGTAACGGCGCCCCAGGATATCCCGCGGGGAAGCTTTAGTCTAGGGAAACTTGGGCTCCCTGTGAATCTTCTGGCTATTCTTTTCACTACTTATTTTGTTGTTCTCCTTCCGTTCCCCGCGAAGGTGCCGGTTACTGCGGAGAATATGAATTATGCTGGGCCTGTGCTTGGGTTTGTCATGCTTTTTGGTTGTGGGGATTGGATTGCTCGAGGACGGTATAAGTGGGAAGGCCCGACGATGAGGGCTGACATAAGTGCTAGGAATGGGTGATGTTTGGAAGGTTGGATTGAACTGGAAGAGGGAGTGAATGTAACTGATACAAATTTATGCGGATGCCCAAGGCAGGAAACGCGTAAATAACTAGTTAAATAACTAGTTAGTTAGCAAACCACTGAATTACATAATTTTAATTTATACCTTAGGTACATAGTAGGCGATAATGCACAGACACGTAGACTCATGGAAATCCCGCCGTGGTGGCTGTGGCTGTTGCTCTCACACTTGTGGATAGGCCTGAAGTTGCTATCAGACGTGGTCTGGTGCTGTTGAGGGAATACCTGGAAGACAAAAACATGTGAATAGAGTTGTTCGGTAGAAAGCTCTGGCAGAACTCTTTAGATGCCACTACCACGCTGAGTACTCTTTTAGACGGAATGATGAGAATTCATACTTTAGGTGTTCAGAGCACGGCCCACAGCGTCAATCCGTCCACGTAGTTATACTAAGCCTGCTTACTTGTGACAGTACCCAATGTTTCATGTTGTGACTTAAGGCTGTAGTCTACCGAACACGAGAAGAAGTAAGTATACAATCAGTTCAATATACCAGAATCAATCATCGATCATGTAAATCATACAAGAAAGCAATCCAAATAGCCAATATTCCAGACAAGTTAAATCAAACCACACCTTGGAGAAGGTCAGAGCTAAGGCAACTCCTCCCGAACAACCCTTCCAACACCCCCACAAATCTCCCCAAAAAGAACACCCTTGAGCACATTCTCGCCATGCTCAACAGTCCACCGCCCCGCATCTGTAAGTTTTTGTCTCCACGCAACGCGATCAGACTCGCTCATCTCCTTCCACGCAACCAGCTTCTCCTTCTCAGCAACCTTCTCTGCGTGCGTCGACATCGCCGTCTCGATTAGCACGCTTGTCTCAGCGTCGTTGTGTTCGCTGCAGCGGACGATGATGGAGATATCATGTGGTTGCACTGTTTCGAGGTCTGCGGGTGCGGCGCCGGATTGGTGAACTTTGTCGAGGATTTCTTTTAGGCTGCGTAGTTCTGTGTCCAGATTCATTTGCGTCTCGGACACAGAGGATTCAGGCGCAGGTTCAACGGCGAAATAATGATCCAGGAACGAGCGGTGTTCCGGTGCTGGGAGAATGTACTCGTTGGCAATGGCATCGCGCCAGCTAACTGGCAGCCAATTCTTCGCGCCTAGGACTTCCGGTGTCCCGCCTCGGATCTCCGCGTAGGCGTACAGGGCCGTCATGATGGTCACCAGGGAGATGAGGCACATCGTGGTGAAGTACATTAGTTCCCAGAATTCCGCGGGGCCGGGCAGGACCAGGACGTAGCGGGGGGTTCGGGAGGAGGGCGGGAAGGGGGAGAGAGGGAGGGTGTGGACGACGACGGTATTGCCCATGCTGATTGAGGCGAGTTTGACGCGTTGCGGACGGACGTCTGGTGTGACGGGGTGAGAGGGAGGGGTGAAGGTTGAGAAGACCAGCTTGGTCATTGAGAAGGGGTGGACGTCGCGGAGGGTGGTGTAGGGACGTAATCGGGAGTAACCTTTTCGGGGCCCGCTTTCGATTGTCCAGATGTTGATCGAGTTATCGTTGCCGCTGGCTGCGACGATGGTTTGTTGTTGGCCGGCTGGGTTCTTGCCTAGTTGGCAGACGTCTAGACCGAGGCCTATCTTTACAGTTCGTGGGAGTTTGCGGCGGCGTAGTACGGTGGACATTTGTTCCTTGTCCGCCGGCACGCTGATCAGGACGAGTTCACTGCCGCTGCGATCTGGGGCATTCTGAAGGAGGAGGATTGTGTTTCTTCCCACAAAGCGGAGAGATCGAATCTTGGGTCGTGCAGCTCTGGCGCCGCTGCTGGGAAGCGGGATTGTATAGATGCTGCGGACATCGGGACTGCCATTTGAGCGGGTGGAAGAGGAGATCTCGCCAATCATCACGTCCACACCGTTCGTATATGCCACGCGGTACTTCCTTGCAGCATCTTTGGTATTGGAGTCGGATTCCAGATCGGCAAAGTCTACGTCCTCAGCTTCTTCATTCGACGCAAGACGAATACGGCCAATAACATCCGAGTCACTGGGCGAACCAGTAGCACGGAAGAAGACAACTTCACCGGAAGACGCCATGCCTGTAGCAATGGCACCTACACGAGTATCCTTGCTCTTTTTATCCGAGTCCTCGACATGCCTCTTCCACGGCGACAACCGCATAATGCGCTGATATGTATCATCCGATCCTGGGCCCTTAGTTCGGAAAATTGAAGCGCGCGAGAGAGCTTCTGATTTTCCAGGAATAATCTTCACCTCAGTCTGTTTGTCGGCCTGTTTCTTGTCGTCGCTGCGCGCCGCACTCACAGCCTCCTGGACCTTCCGCGGCGCCTCGAATCGAAACGCACGCATGTGCTGGTTATTACCCTTCTTCTGCTCCGCGATCGAGCTATTGATTCCAGCAAGCGCAACGAGCGAATGATCATCATCGTCGATCTGCGGCGCGGCGGCCAGCGACGTCACCGAGTCCTCGTCGCGCGATAGGTTCAATTCGACCACTTCGGAAATCTCGTCTCGACGCGACGTGTCGAGCAATGACTATATTAAACTTGTCAGCATCATCTTCACGTACATCTTCAAGGTAAGCCAAGACAGAAGCTAGAAAGCGCCACTTACGATCTTATTCCCGACTCCGCTGCGGCCTTCGCCGCCCCCGCCGCCGACGAACAGACGGGTGTTGTCGCGCGGATCGAAGTCGGCTGCGAAGAGCGGACACGAGAGCGTGATTTTCGCGGCGTGGATTGTGGGCGCCATGTTGGGGATTGCGTCCTGAGAAAGAGGACAGGTTGGCGGAGGTCAGGTTGAGGTTGCCCCGGATTCTTGGCGCGGTTGGCCGGATTGGGGATGCCGTAGGCTACAACAACACTTTGGGGCATTTTATTTACTAAGAAAATGATGTGATGGGGCAAATCCGAGTCTAGAAAAAGGAAATGGATATTTTTAAATGCGATCATCTACTCTATTCGACCTCCTGGCCGGTAAATTCGGGCAGCCGCTTAGCAATATCCGCCCAGGTCTCGTCGCCATCAGTCAGCGACTTGATAGCCTGCAGGATCTCGTCCTCGCTGGCACGGACCTGCTTGGTGGTGTCACGGTCACGCAAGGTGACGGTGTTGTCCTTGACGGACTGGAAGTCGACGGTGATACCGAAGGGAGTACCCAGCTCGTCGTTACGAGCGTAGCGCTTGCCGATACTGGCAGAAGAATCATCCACACGGGTGGATACGCCCAGACGACGCAGCTTGGAGGTAAGACGCTGGGTCAGGGGCTTGAAGGAGGGGTTGGTGGAGAGGGGAACCAGTAGCACCTTGGTAGGAGCGATGGCGGGAGGGAAGGAGAGGACCTATTTAGAGTCAGTATACAGTAGAGTAAAAGAATGGTGGGAAATACGTACTCCGCGGGCTTCGTCGCCGGCACGAGACCAGTAGACGTGCTCGATCATGCTGTACATGATACGGCCGATACCGAAGGACGGCTCAATAACATTGGGAGTGTACTCGCGAACGTTCTCAACTCGGGTACGCTTCTCAATCTTTATGAGGTCCTTGTCCAGCTCGACCTTGCCGGATCCAACTCCCTCAACATCGATCTCGATTTTGCCCTGGGACTCCAGGTCGAGAGATAGCTTCTCGCGCAGGTCTTGGGACAGAGCCTCAACGGCTGCCTCGACGGTCTTGCTGTCCTTCTTGAAGCGGGGACCGAACTTCTTCTTCTCGAGGTCGATCTGCCACTCCTCAATACGCAGAGGCTCCGGGCGAGTCTCGCGAACCACGAGTGGGGCACCGGTCTTGTTCTTGTGCACGGTCAAATCGTAGGCACTGCGGTCAGCACAGCCGACACACTCAATCCAGCCGTAGCTGGTCTCCAGCTCGGCGTCCCAGCAGTCAGCGGCGTAGTGGGCCATCTCGTTGGCCATATGCTGACGGAAACGCAGCTTGGTGTAGTCGACACCGATCTTCAGCAGGAAGAGCTGGATACGGGCCAGGAAATAACCCAGGGTCTCGTTGTCAACCAGACCGGTCTCAACGGCCTGACCGATGGTCATCTTGGTGGTCTTGGTGCTACCGGACAGCTGAACGTTACGGTCCAGCAGGGACATCTCGGTGTCCTTGACCTCGACGAAGCGGGGGTGCTTCTTACCACCCTCGGGGTCGACGAAGTGTTCGATTTCCGCCATGAGGAACTCACGCACACGCAGCAGACCGGCGCGGGGAGAGATCTCGTTACGGAAGGACTTGCCAATTGAGGCAGAAGCAAAAGGCATGGACTGCTGGTTGTACTCGAGCAGCTTCTGGAAGTTCAGGAACTGACCCTGGGCAGTCTCGGGCCGCAGGTAACCAGGCATGTTGCTGCTAGGGCCGATGGAGGTTTGGAACATGAGGTTGAAGGCAACAGGAGGCTGAACCTCGCCGTCGGTAGTGGGGTTGCGAATATCATACTTCTTGATGATGCGCTCGAGATCGGGGCCGTCGAAGTTGTCAATCTGAGCCAGAGTCTCCTCGTACTCTTTGACAACAGCGTCGTCCAGCTTGACAGCCTTGGCCTCGCCCTTGGACTTCTTCTTCTTCTTGGCCTCCTTCTCTGCATCGACCTCGACCTTCTGGCCGCGCGCCTCCTTGTCACCCTTCAGACGGTTCTCCAACACCTCCTCGACCAGATGGTCAGCACGGAAGATCTCGCCGGTCTTGGGATCCTTGCACATCCAGTCGGCAAACTTGTCGACGTGACCACTGGTCTTCAAAATCTCGTGCGGGGTGAGCATGGTGCAATCGACCTCGAGCATATCCTCCTCCAGCACAAAGTGCTTGCGCCACAAGTCGGTCATGTTGGCGACGAGAGCAGTTCCGGGAGGGCCATAGTCATAGAGACCAGACACACCACCATAAATTTCGAAGGAGGGAGTGTAGAACATGCGACGGCGAAGCATTGAGTCGAGGGTCAGGCGGTCGACCGCCTGGCCGGTCTTGGTCGTGACGGTGGCCATCTTGGGGTTCCGGGTGGCTTTCTTCTGGAGCGCGGTCGAGCAGGTGAAAGTCCTGGACTGGAAGAGTCGCGGTGGAGGGGTTAAGAGAAAAGAGCGGGGGAAAATGCGCGGCAGCAATTGAGTCATCCACGAAACCAGCCCGGCGTAACACCAGGCAACACAACCAGAAGAATTAGTGCGAGGGAAACAATTGGAACGAAGTGGACACGCGGGCCCTTATACTCGTTTTTTTGAAACTTGAAATTTCCCCTTGAAGCACGGCCGATCCTCGAATTGAAGTTCAATCGCGCGCCAGCCCGGCGAAACATTTCTCCGAGATAATTTATTTCTCGGCGATCATCTTGCGTCTTGTGAAGTTGCTAACTGCCAGTTTTTTGCATCACATTTCTTGCAAAAAATGGGTCTGAAAGGTCATGGGAGGCCTCCGCCAGGTGCGGGGGACCAGAAGCCCGCCAACAAGATGCGACGCAAGTTCCAGCACATCAAGCGCAAGCGAGCGAAGGATTCGGAGCGCCGAGCGGAGCGCTATGCTTTCAAGAAAGAAGAAGCCAAGAACCCCAAGTTGAAGGAGGAACGTCTTCGTCGCAATATTCCTTTGACTCTGGACCGGAAACGAGTGTGGGACGAGGCCGACAACGACGCCGAAGAGACTGGGTTGGGATTGAGCGTGGACGTTGAGCGAATCAAGCGAGCCAAGAAGGAAGAAGAGGACGAACTGAACCGACCACTGGAGGAGGGCGAGGATGACAGCGACGAGGCCGAGTCCGATAACGAGTCGATCGACAGTATGATTGCGTCGAGCGACGGTGAAGGCTCGGATGAGGACGACGAAGACGAGAACCGCGGACGAAAGAAAAACGCTCTGCCTACAGCCACCGAACGAGCCACCAGTCCTTCCCAGTCCACCCGCAGTACCAACCTGAGCCTGGCACCTGAAGCGCTGGCCGAGAAATTCCCATCGCTCTTTTCTTCGGAGACAAAGACGCCGAAAATTCTTATCACTACCGGGTTGAACTCGACTCTGCACGACCAGGCCGAGACCCTGACGGACCTTTTCCCCAACAGTGTGTACATTCGACGCAAGGCACACCGTCATTCGCACAATTTTTCTATCAGGGAGATTTCCAAGTTCGCCTCGAACCGCAACTTCACGGCTCTTGTCGTATTGAATGAGGACCAGAAGAAGCCGTGCGGTTTGACCATGGTGCACCTGCCTGTTGGACCGACGTTCCACTTTACAATCAGCAACTGGATTGACGCGAAGCGTCTGCCTGGCCACGGCCGTGCAACGGACCACTGGCCCGAGCTGATCTTGAATAACTTCCGCACGCCGCTGGGTATGCTGACGGCGCATCTCTTCCGGAAGTTATTCCCGCCGCAACCCGATTTTGAGGGCCGGCAGGTTGTCACGCTGCATAACCAGCGTGATTACATCTTCGTCCGTCGTCATCGATATGTTTTCCGCGAGAAGCGGGAGACGGAGAAGGCGGTGCAGGGTGCGGATGGCAAGGAGATGCAGGGAGCGGAGGGAATCCGGACCGGTCTGCAGGAATTGGGACCGCGGTTTACGCTCAAGCTGCGCCGTGTGGATAAGGGGATTCAGCGGGCGAGTGGACAGGAGTGGGAATGGAAGGGAGGAATGGAGAAGAAAAGGACCTTGTTCCAGCTTTAGTTTTTGTCTTTTATTGGGTGCATGGGGTTGGGAGTATAAAAGCAGTCATCATGTATTAATTTTTACCACTTTACATATGGTCATGAATATAGTTTCATAAAAGTGTCATCATTCTAAACCCTGCAAAAACAAAACTGAAATAAAACTGCAAGATGGGATATAAGATAAAAACACGCTCGACAACCGGAAACCAGCTGCATGCATATGATACAAAAACAAAGCCAAACTCCAACCAACCTAAGAATCCTCATCAACACCCTTACCCTTCCCTTCCTCTTTTTCTCCAGGAAAATCCCAATCCTCTTTCCCCCTCCCGCCCCAGGAAATCCATCCTTCTCCTTAATAACCTTCGCCTTCGCCATAGCCCTCGCCAGCACATCCTGCCTCTTCTGCGCATAAGAAGCAGGTCTCCGGCCAGTAACAATCTTAACCGTAATCCTCAACCCCGAACTGCCCAGCACTTCCTCCTGCACCCTCTCACAAAGCTGTCTCGCTTCATCAGACGTATACCTTCCGGACGCGGTTAAGGGTCGCAATGCATACGCCTCCAACCCCTCCAGCAGCGCAATCAGCGCCATCTTTCCCAGTGTCTTTTCTTGGTCATCTTCCGGCCAGAGACCGATCGGAATCGTGCGCTCGAGCACGCGCACATCGACGAAGCCGGCCGCTGACAATGCGGATGTTTGCAGGTGCTCCAGGTCTCGCGGGTACCCTGCTTCTTTTGCAATTTCGCGGAGGGTGGACGTATACTCCTTTAAACAAGAATTTTCAGAATGGGTGTTCTCGCCAAACGAAATAGTCTCCCCCGCCGGATCCGAATCCGCAACCTCAATATAACCCCCCGGCTTCAAATGAGCAAACGCCTGTCGATAGATACGTCCCCAATCCAAAAACGCACCCGATAAACCCCGTATATGAACAAGATCAAAAGGACTATGGTACGTCCACTCAGACTGTGCATCCGCAAGTTGAAAATCAACATTCGGCAGCGAGAGATGGCCCAGACCAGAGTCGAAGACCCCAATATCCGACGCGATGATCTCGGCGTTCGGAAACTCGGCGCTCATCTCGATGGCCCAGTCGCCTGGTCCCGTGCCGACATCTAAAATCCGCGGTGTCGATTTCGGGTTGAAGGGTACTGTTGTTAGGCACCCGTCTAGCAGGATTAGGTAGATTTGGTGTGTTATGTTTAGGCGGGTTAGTTCGGTTTCGTCGTTTGGCATGAAGTAGACAGTTGAGCAGTAGCGGCGGCCGTTTTCGTGGATTTGCGGGAGGGTGGTGGAGGCGCAGGAGCGGGTTGATTTTCTATTTCATACATCAGTATAGGTTGTGTCTTGTTTGCTTTTGTGCTACTCACATTGATGCGCCATCTGAATCCTCGTCAGAGTCGCGGGCGCCGGGGACCTCCGGTTGTAGGTATTTGTCTTCCATGACATGACGATTGTATGAAAGCAAACGCGGAAAGTGACGAACTGTATTTCCTACAGCGAGATGCGTCGACGCCCAGGAGGAGGTGGGCGGGGATATTCTCCAGATGGTACAGTTTCTATGGGCGTGGGTTCACTGGTCTGTATGTGATGTAGATACCGGTAGATGGATGCGATGCGATACGATGCGATGCAATGAGATGGGCGATGGGAAGGAAAAGAATTTTGATAAGGAGAGGACAATTTCGGAGGAAAAGGAGTTCAGTTCAGCTCGGAGCCACGATGAAGCAACCGAGCGCTGGCGAAAGTTTCTTAACGGGATACTAGTGGGACCAGACAGCTCGGACGATACGTCACGTCGATGCAGGAAAAGAAATGCAGAACGGTCGAGTAGAGTAAAGCCAGCGCGGCCCGGGGAACTGGAATCGCAAAAGCAAATATTCCCAGGAGAGCAGGATTTGAGCTCCAGTTGATATATTAATCCTGTAGAGTATGTACTGAGTAGAACCCGGCTGGATGGGAGGGTGGAGCCGGGGACAGGGGTTCGACAGTGAACACTTTGCGCGGCGGGGAAGAGTGGAGCGCGGTCTGTGTTTAATTTGATTATTTCTTGCTTAGCCTAGGTAGATACTGTTGCCTGTTTGGGAGGGCCCGTGTAGATCGCTTGTTCAAATTACGGGTTTCCCGCTGTCATCCGGCCATACCCTGCCTGTATGCAAAGGAGATAATAGTTGTGTATACCAAGGTATCCTAGGGTAGTCGTGTATTTTAATATGGAGATATGGGATGATGATCCTACCTTACTGAAGTATAGGACTAGCCAGGAGACTACGCTTGGACACCGAAGAGTCATATGATAACATACCATCGGCTGTTTTACATGATTCAAGAGACTCTCCACGTTTAGTACTTTTGCTGTTGCCTTCTCCATTCCTTCCTAAGTAGAGTACCGACCCTACTTTTAAGCATGGGAGATACGGGGCGTTCGATCCAGACACTCGGGAACGCCGTAAACACCAACCAACCATCCTTCCCTTGGTAATTAACACTGTCTACTACTGTACAACTAATAGCAAAATAGACTAATATTACTAAATATTCGACCCATTTCCATGCAAACCTTGACAAATACTAGTAAATACTAATAAAACCTGAAACAGACCCGGCACAGCGGTAGTCCAAGACCCGTCGTCACGAGGCGATCTCCCGTTCCTGAGCCGCCCGCCTGGAGATTCTGTCATCCAGCCCGACGGTCGTGTCCCGACAACCTGGTTCTTACCAGAAGGACAGAAATTTCTTTCGGGATACCTTCCACTACCTCAGCACTCTCTGTGCCCGTGTACACATTCCCTTTACTAGGGTGGACGGCTACCCTCGCACCCAACCTCCGAAGACACGAAAGAAAAAAAAAATGTGCCTCCAAACCACCGCGGGAGTCGCAACAACTGTCGCAACAACACCCCGCCGCCTCCTCTTCATCGCCTCAATAGGCAACCAAAAACCCTACCGAAACACCCGGCACAGCGCAGGCCACCTCCTCCTCGACAATCTCACGCCCCTCCTCCGCACCCTGCCCACGCCCGCGCCCTTCTACACAACATGGTACAGCCCGAGTTACATGAACGAGAGCGGACCGAAGCTCGTCCGGCAGTTGCAGAGGTGGTTTGAGAAGGTTGATCATGCAGGCAGTGTCGGGGGGTGGATTTCGACTTCTGGTGTTGCGGTGCCCATATCGACACCCTCAGCTGGCGCTGGCGCTGGCGCAGCTGTGCCTCCCGATATGCCAGCAACACTGGTCATCCTCCACGACGAGCTGGAGTCGCCACTAGGCAAGATCCGTGTGAGGCGGGGCGGGCCGGAGGCGTTTAGTTTGCGCGGGCATCGGGGGTTGATTAGTGTTTGTGAGAGTTTGAGGGGGAAGGGGATGTATCCGTCCAGTCCCCGGCAGGAGAAGGGCACCCCGAAGGGGCAGGGGAAGAAGCAGGCTGCGGTGCGAGAATTGTCAATTCTGCGCGTCGGCGTGGGCATTGGGAGGCCTGAGAGTCGGGGGAAGAATGCGGTGGCGGATTATGTTCTTACGGAGATGGATGAGAGGGAGTTAGAGGCGGTGCGTAGGGCGGCGGCGCCCGTGGCGGATGTTATTGGGGAGGAGTTTTTCTTTGAGGGGAAGGGGGATGAGTGATATACCTCCTACATATATTGCTGGTGTGTTTCTAGGGTTGGGGACGGACTGTTTATAGAGATAGATAATGTACGATAGCGCTATATTGATACCCATGAATTGAACTCCCGCAGAGGTCCCCATGTACAAGAAATAAAAAAACGTAGTCTTCATGAAGTGAGCGGCGGCCAACCTTTCTTTTGCTGAGGTTACCTTGCCCAATTATGCATCACCAAATGAAAAAAAGCCAAACCCTTAAGGGCAGGAAAATCAGACTGTCCCCGCAATACTCAAATCCCGAATCTCTTGCAAAACCTCCTCAACCCGATTATCCAAATCACCGCGCGCATACTGATCCCTCGTCTCCGCATCAAGATACTGCTGCACCTGCGCCATACGCGAGTAGGCCTCGGCGCAGAACCGCAGCTGGATTTTGACGAGGGCTTCAAAGCTAGGATCGAGGTAGGGGACACGCAGGTCGATGAGTTGCGGCAGTTCGTTGAATAGTTGTTCGTTGAGTTGTTCGTAGGCTTGCTTGGAGATTTCGCACTCGCGTTCGGTGCGCGGAAGTTTTGTGGCGTCTTTGTCGGGCTTTTCGACAAGTCGCTTTACCTTGGCTCGCATGGCGTCGTAGTCGAGGAGTTTGTGGTTGCGCTTTTTGATGCATTCATTTACGTCCGGAAAGTAGGCGCAGAAGCGGGAGATTGGGTCTAGGACTGTTGCTCTTTTGTTCTGTGTTAGTTTTTGGTTTAGTGGACGGTGGAGGGAGAAGTACCGGTATGGCCCGTCCAATGCCTTGATTGTTTCCGCGTCCAGGTCCTCGACGGCTTGTTTGTAGCTTCTGCTCACACCGTCTTTTGTGCCTGCGTCGCCGTAGAAGGCGTCGATGGTCTCGGCGATGCGCATCTGCGAGGCCGTCATGGCTGTAAAGAAGTCAGCATTGCTCAGCACTTCACGTCAGACACTCCACTTCCACAAACCACCCACCTCGCAACGAATCCAGGTATCCCTTCGCCTCCTTCTGCAGCCGATTGGCAGCCGCTTCCATAGTCCGGTATCGTCTGCAACGCAATTAGCACTGTCCAGCACCGTCCACCCGCCGGCGAGAAATCACCAGAAAGATAACCTACCGCTCTTCAATCTCATAATCCCGATCATTCGTCCGTTCAACATGACCTGCACCACATTAGCACAATTCCCACCCCCACAGCCCGCCAGAGTTGTTGGTTGTTGCGGGGTACCCGGAACGCACCGGTCTTCATCATAACCTGCGTCGTCGCGCGGTTGACATTCTTCTTGAAGCCTGCAGCCACATCCGTTAGCAAGAATTCCTATGAGAACCAGTGGCTCCGCCAGTTCAGGTCCGCCCTGCGTGCCTGACGGTCGGCTGCAAGGCGGTTCCATTCCACTCGCTCTGGCTGGATGAACGTACCGGCCCACGACATGATGGCGACTGTGGTGGAGTGAGTTGAAACTACTCGCAGTGACTCGCAGTGAGAGTCTTTTGGAGGTTCGTTGATGGTGAGGACACTGGCAGACTGGGCAGGCAGGTCCCAACCTTGGAAGTTGCAGTCCAATCATGGTAGTTTGCACCGCCACGGCCACTGCCACGAGTCAGCCTTGTGTGATGACTAATTTCCGGATGCGGCTACGTCAGGACACTGGCACTGTTGCATTTTCATCAGTACTGAAGTTTTCTTCACTCTACTGAAGAAATTTAAGTCGTTTTGTTATTACGCTGTGAGTATTATCTGCTGTCTGGAGTAATACGGTCACAACTTGACCGTGGTAATACCGAGGGTGGAATGTCGAGTGGCTGCAGTCCCAGCATCCCAAGTGTAGGTATGTTTGTAGACCGACGAAACTTCTCACATGAATATCGGGGTTCCGTGTACTGTACATTACCGCTGCTAATTAGTGTAAAGGCCACCCTCAGATATTTGTCCTAGTGTGTCTAGGCAGAGGTCGGTATGAGATACCCACCGACGAAGCAGAATGCAGGTGCCTAGCTGCAGTTTGATGCCAAGACCAGCGCGGTGGGATTGGGATTCCGGTGATTGTTGCCTTGGATTTGAATCTGTGTTTTGCTGTTGAGTAACCATTCAGGATAAGTGGGACTTTACCTAAGGTGTACTAGAGTAGTACATGCCTAGCATCGGAGGTGCGCTGTTTGTTGCAGTGGGACATTGCGGGTGGCTAGTTGTGGCTGGTTATGTACTACGCTACTGTATTCCCAGGTATGGATGGGCTGGGATTAATACCCAACTACTACTGTAAGAAGTCCTCGTGCCTAGTAGTGGTTGCACCGGGTTTACTTGGGTAAGTATGTATTTATGGGGAAATGCTGTTGAATACACCGAGTGTCTAATCTCAAATCATATTGTCTGACCTCGGTCTGCTTAGTCGATAACTACAATAAAAACACAGCATTATATCCGTATTTTCCTAAAAAATAGGTGTTCCGCCGAACCTCCTGCCACGCACTATCTGTAGTAGCCTTGGTATTACAAATCAAACTCCAACTCCGACCACTTCTACGCACAAAGCTACAACCTCTACACCAGTTCCCTAGTAGATCGTGTGACAACCACTCATCCACATGGATAACGGTACACCCGAGCCGGTGGACCATCGGGAGCATTCGGCATGGATCCTGCACCAGCTGCAAAAATGATCTGCCTCGTGCAGGAGGTTGATGTCATGGGCTTGAGCGGGCGGGGTATCTACTATCTCCAAATGTGATGCAATATCAATGTGAAGAGATACTATAGTTACTACCTAGTGGAGATAGGTGGTTGAAGGGTTAAGTGAAGACATTTGAAGTGTTGAAGCTATGTACAGCTAACGTGCAATATATACGGAACCGAGAAACTGCTAAAAAAATAAAGGGAACTACTCATAAGTCGTGATGTACAAGCGCCGTCATCGTTTCAATCCGTGGATGTCAGTCAAAGCAGATTGTGAGGTGATTCGAAATCAGCATAGAAAACCCTGCTAGTAAACCTGGAATGCGAAAGGAACGAAAGGGCAAAGCTTTGCCATGGTGATGGCAGACAAGCGCGGCGCGCCCAAAAAAAAAAAAAAAAAAAAAAGGCATGATTCGTTGCATTGACGTGAAATCCACAAGCTAGGGCTGGAAAGGATAATAATGCGCCGGGAAAAAAATTTTCAACAAAAAGGGACCTCCAGACTGATGGGAAGCGGATTTGGAAATATCAGATAGACCTCCTGTTCTAAAACACCATGAGGCAAACCGCCGAGTCTGTACAGGAAAGATCCACCAGACTACCTAGGGAGCCAGATACACTCTGAGAGAGTCCTGGCTTTTGCGAGAGATTAAAAACCCTCCTCGCCAGCCTTGCAAGTCTTGATCTGTCGGACCCATTCAGACTTCAAGACCTGGGAGGCGTTGATACGGCGGGAGGGATTCGGGTCCAGGATGGAGTAAATCACGTTGCGGCAGCGTGCCTGAGGCTCGGAGTATTAGTTTCTGCTTGACCAAAATGCAGTAGCTGGCATGCTTACCCGATGCAGCGTCTCGATCGGCGCATATCCATCCTCATGCTTGCGGCCCTGGAGATACCGCTGATAAAACTCGTCTTCGTCCTTGCGCGCGACGCGCCAGAGGTGGCGGCCTGTACGCATGGCCATGTAGATCACGCCGGTAGCCCACAGATCTACCGCGCGAGGGTCGAATTCTTTTTCCGTGTACTCTTCTGGCGCGATGTATGGCGCTGAGCCGCACAATCCTGCTGTCATATGCGCTTCCTTTTCCCAAGCCATGCGGAAACACTCGCCATTGCCAAAATCCGTAATTTTCAAGGCACCGTGCGTAGTGAGGAGCAAGTTCTCGGGCTTCAGGTCGCGGTGGGCTACGCCCATTTCGTGCATGTATTCCACGCCCCGCATCAACTGCTTGAAGAAGCAGTCGGCTTCGGCGACTTCGAGTTTACCGGCTGCCAAGACCAGAGTGTAGAGATCACCTCCGGCACAGTACTCCATTACTTCGCAATAATCGCCCTTGGCATCTTGGAGGAGGTCGAGGGTGTGGATGACGTTCGGGTGGCGGAGGGATGAAGAAATGCAAAACTCCGAGGTCAACCGCTTCTGGTACTTTTTGGCAGTCTCGGAGGGTCGGCGGCGGAATTCCTTGACGGCATAGAGCTGCTCGCTTCTGGAATCTTGGGGGTCGACTTTGTGAGAGATGCGGACAATGCCAAACGCACCGCGGCCGACGATCTCCTGGCATTTGCCATATTTATCGACCAGTGATGCGGTGGCGTTGGGACCACCCTTCTTATCGGCGGCCAGCTTATCGCGCTCGTTCTTGAACTGGTCGATCCAGGTGGACATGAGCGAGAGTTGAGTCTCGTCGACCTGGTCGTCGCCCTTTTCCTGCCGGCGCCCAGCATATCACGAAGTAAATCGGTGAGTTTCTCCTGTCGGCGGGCGCTGCGGAGGTGGTGCGAATGGGAGGCAGAGTGAACACCCTCGGCGGGGATCACTTCGAAGCGCTTGTGAGGCGGGATGCCATCTCTCTGTTCTTTGTTGCCGGACTTCTTCTTGTTCTCTTTTTCGATGGGCTCGCCCTTCAAGGATGGCTGGCGGGAGGGAGTGCGGGAGGGGGGTCGGGAGTTGGCTCGAGATGAGGGTTTGGACGACGGCTTGTCTTTGCCGTTCACTCCAGTGTTAGGAGCGTGGGCATGAGAAGTAGTGGAGTTGGCCTGGACACTATCCAGGCTGCTATCCGACAGATCGCGGTGCATCTCATGTTCTTTTGTGGGGGTCTGTTTCCCATTGCCGATGAACATGCGGGTCAAACGGGAGGTGATGTTGGGGCGCTGCTTCGGGGCCGGGGAGGCCGGGGGAGGGAGGACATCCCCGTTGGGAGCATGGGCGGACAGATTCATGCCCGCGAGGGCGCGTGTTACCGAAGGGTCTCCATCCCGAGGGTCATGCGAATGTTGAGAGTTGGCGGCGGAGGAGAGTGCGGACGGGGCAGGTGAGGGAGAAAGCGGAGTCATGTGCGATAGATTGGGGAAGAAGACAAAAAATATGCAGGATCACACGTCGTCCCCGGGGGTGGATGGGAGACGAGCGAAGCTCGCGAGAAGCTCAGAGCTGCGGAACTGCAACCGGGGCGATCACGGTGCGAGGATGATTTGAGGCAGAGAGGAGCGTCGGCGGCGAAAAAAAAGTGGTGTGCTGCCTGGTTGTGTGCCTGAGGCAGAGACCTAGGATGTGTGACGCGGTCGATTCGGGGTGCTCGTAGAGACGCAGGGAAACAAACGAAGTGCGACAGGAGCCGAACGCACAGAGCAAAGAGCGCTCACAGCCCGGGGTATGGCACGAAACTAAAGACGGGAGGAAAAGAGAAAAGAAACGGACAAAATTGGCGATGTCGAGGGGGCACAGGGGATGGCTGAAATACCACGGGGGGCTTACGCTACACTGACAGAGCAAACTTACGGTAATACCAGGCGAGGCATGCACTTACTACGGCGAGGGTGGCAGTGGCCGCCTAGAACCGGGTCGGTACCAGAATGCGGTATTCCTGCTGACTGAGCATTGTAGGAAATTCTGCATTCATCTAAGCAGTGTACCCTAAGGTAGTGTACTTAGCTAGAAGTAGGCACGAGTTTAAAGGTGCTGGCTAAATTTTCACTTTTACTTTTATTCTTTTGATTCAATTTCTTGATTGTATTCTGCTGCTGTATTTTGGCACGACGGTGGGGTGAGAGATTTAATCGGAAGATCCCTGGAACCGGCGCTGGATCTTCCCTCTTCCGTGTTCGCAGCTAAGAAACATTAAGCAATTCCAGTCCACCCGCGAAATTACAGGACACCGATGACGTTCCTTTGTGCTTTCCGTACCCTCGAGTCTGACGTCGTCCTTCCACCTTGGTCCATGACTGCAGCTCTCCAAGTAATGACAAATGCACTGGACCCTAGTATATCCTTAGCTGTCGTGCATAGTTCCGCCACGGACGAGGCTGTGCTGGAGCACCCGCTGATTCGTGTGGCGTGGACAGCCGACGTCGAGTCCCCGTGGGACAAAGCGGTCGTCCGCGGGCCCGCTCGACCGTGCTTCGTTACTCTTTACAGTAAGGAGGGGAGGGGCAGCCCACTTGCCCGTCCAGTGTACTGATGACTGTGAGTGATGGTACGTGAGATAGCCGGTATCTTACCTTCCTACAGATAGACGCGGGATGGTATACCAGCCGTTGGTACCGTGACCATCTCGGAATTCCCCCTTCAACTTGCTTCATATATTCACACGACCTGACCTCTCCTCCACAGACACACCAGATACTGACAACTAATATTTCCTCTACACTCTGATCCCTGCCTCGGCTGTTCGTATCTCGATCGGATCCCCGTCCCTCCGCGATCGCCGCGAAACACTCCCTGCACACCACCCCATTAGGACCGTGGAGCCCGGCGTGGGGTCATCCGCGAGCTCTAGCTTCGGATGACGTCCATCTCCTTCGCGGGTCACAAGAGTCCAAAGCAGTGCTACCAGTGCTACCAGTGAGGTCGTGGAGGATGGTGGTCGACGAGTCTTGGTATTGAGTGATTAACTATGGCCTATCATTTGTACACGATGCGATCACGGCGAAGCGGTGATTCGATGGAGCTCACCGTCTTTCACGCACGCATGGCGTAGGCGAAGGCGTGTCTTCGGGTGAGGACGCAATGCTAGTGGCTGGTGCCGTAACCTAGTGTGGTGTACCTAAGGTAGGTAGGTACTCATGGTACTCTACCACTAGTACATATCATTTAGTGTATACTAGTAGTAGTAGTGAGTGGTGAGTACGAAACAGGCAAGAGAGACAACGACTGAAAGTACACCGGGTTGAGGGTCGGCAAGCAGCCTACTCCAGTGTTATATAGTAGGCTAGTACGAGGCGGGAGTAGTTCAAATACACTGTGTACGCTGTAGGCTGCGCTCGCCGAGTTACCCCGGATTGCGCAGAGTTCATCTCTGAACGTGATTTTACTCTTACGCTCTGACGAATACGCAATGGCGGGGTGGCTTCTGTAAGATGTATGGCGTAAAGTAAAGGTAAACTGGCTCGACCTCGGCTGGCCACATGCGGCCCGAAAGGGTTAACCAGGGGAGATGGAGATGGAGAGCCCACAGAAGATAGGTACCACGTATGTAGAGGGCTGAAGTCAGTGGATACGAATTGAACAATACTCGAGAAATACTTATTTATTGTGTGCTAGTGAAGTGGTGCAGTGTGAGGGAGGAATTTCTTAGCAATCGAAATGCTGCCCATAACTGCGAAGTTCACTACGAGGCATTTTCCACTCGCCAATCATAGCCGCGCAATCGTGATGGGGGGCTATGCGATATTTCTGCACCACGTTTGTGCGGACAAGGGATTATCCCGTTCAGCAAAAGCAAATATTTGTCGAAACGATTCGCTTGAATTACTGTTTCATGTCGGAATCATCTCATCTATATCTATACTACGAGGTGGCATATCACCTACCTAGTATCTACCTACTTTAGGTAACTACTATATGGCGTATGGTATGTATGAGTATGGTAGTACATCACCCCACAAGTGCGGGTGACACGCGCCGAAGATCAAATAAAGCTTCGACCGACTGTGTCCATCATTCAGTATTATTGGCGTTTGACCATGCGACCGAGCTCTGATTCGAGCCGTGCTGACCGCCGTTTTGCGTGCATGGCTTGGTGGAGACGGCCAATCGTGCCCCCCATAACCAGCGCAGGACCGTAGAGCAGGAGCTCGTTGCTAAAGGATGGCGTTGATATGGGTAGGGGATGTAAAGCGATGATTCGGCGCTGCCCCGTGCAGTCCTGCACCTGCACTTCAGGTGGAGCTCGAGCTCTCGCATGCATACGGGCTCGGGCGGAAATTAGGTTCCTGATGCCCAAGATCGACTTGTACATCACTGCAATGTTAGGGTTGGAGAGGGGAGGGGGTGCGAGGTTGATCCGTCGGGCGGAGGAGTGTGGGGGATTGCATCGTGTGTAGGGCCGAGGTTTACTGCCGGTGGTAAGTATGTACTGTGCTTGGCTACTTCCACGCGCGAGATAAGCGTGGCACCGCCAAGACTCAGCCCGACGTGCAGAAGAAGCTCGGACTGTGGTCTTGGCTACATCCCCGTGGCTATACTGCAGGAAGGTAGGGTCTCGCTGTGACTCATTCCTCGGTGTATGCTTGATCTTTACCCTAATGTAATGATTGAAGGATGAGCCAGGTCGGGTGAGGTGCGGCTAGATCTAGCTTCACGCGTCTTGCTTCTTTAGGTCTCCGACCACTTAGTACAATTTCCTAGTAGGAGTGAGGATAATCCTTAGTAGACTGGGTTTCATGGATCTCGGACACGTCAGATGTGCAGGGTAGGACTTTTGCGTTTGTCTCACTGATTCCGCCTCTTACAGTACTTACTGCGTGGAAATGATTTCCTTACCCTCTGGACTGTTTTGATTTTTCTGGCTTATAGTAACTCGAGGCTGCGAGGCTGAGATGGGGTTTGTCTTATTTTCCTTTTGCTGAGACAATCAGTGTAATTGAGACAGCATCAGCCTCAGACTTGAGAGATTGTATTTGCATTCTGCTGATTTTTTAATCAGGTCATACTCATCGTATGAAAATATCCTGCCGATTCTCAGCTAGGCAACTAGATCCCAGTATATTCACTTGAATATACCGACCTACCTAAAACAACAAGTACCGCTTCCGGTAGGTGGATTGCCCTATCTGACAGCCAAAATAGACTTCGACCACCGAATCCATGCACCTAGTCCCATTAAGCAGTGCAATAGAATCGAAATTCACCCGACCTAGGTATTGTAGTAGAGTACCCGACTTCGCATGGAGAAGTGCAAAAACTTGATGTAGATGTATTCCTATAGGGTCTACGCGTCGAGACTGAGTGGAGATTTGATTTCAATCGAGACTATCGTACATGAATGTGCAGCCGAAAAAGCAAATATCTCAGCCCTGCTGCACGATCCCGTTGATGAGGTGCTGATGTGATTGGTTGTTTATTGTTGGTTCAGAATGGGTTGATGCTTACCGCTGGAGCGATACTTGGGCTCGGGTTAGTCATAGTATGTACTGTGTTACTGTCGATGGAAGGGACGATTCTAAATAGAAATAAAATGGATAGGTACTAGTGATTGACGCAAAGCAATAACTTTTCCATTTACTCTACCCAGGGAAACTAAAGTAGCTGGCTAGGGTAAGGGTAGAGCAGATAAGCCATGATGCAATACTGCAGCTATACACCCGGCAAAGGCCCGACCCGTTCGCGGAGGATTCAACCAAGATAACAAGGAAGCTAATGTCATGGATCAGGTCGATTTCGCCATTCTCTCCCGATTTTTCCCGTGCATTTATTCGGTAGGAAGCACTGACAATCTGGTCCTGGTCGGTTGACATCATCTCAGTCTTAGCTTAGAGCATTCCAGTTCTTCTCTATTGTAGGGCCGGTCCTTATCGAGCGCCTGCACCACGTGGGAAGTCGGCCCCGTTGAGTGGCAGCCGCAGAAAAGGCGGCATAAGAACCCCCGGGGCCGGTGTGCCGCCCGTGCAGCTACCCTGGCGCCACAAGTCGGGTGTTTTGCGGTGTGATGGCTTTTTAATTTCCTCTTGCTCTCGACCGTGGGTGCCGTCGGGGTATCGTATCTCTGTATCGGATGTGAGGTCAAGTACGTTCTTGTCTTAGTATTACGTGACGGGCTGAGTTATTGAGGTATCATGCGAGAACTCGAGTCTGCTATCGGATCAGATACGGTCAACAAAGAGAGGGCGAGTCTATCCTTGAAAGAGACATACCACGAACTGTTCCAGCGACTCTTCGAAGAGCTCGTTGTTTACGCCCACGCCGCCTGGATGCTCGACTGGGGAGAGGGGGTTCTTGACAACTAGAATATAATTAGAGATGGATATGCGACCGTGGGAAGGATACCGACCGTATTCGACGAAGAGGTTGATATAGATCTGTTGCAGGGCGATCCGCATACTGGGACTCTTCAGGTCGGTCAACATGACGAATTTGATGTTTGTCGGCGTCTCGTAATAGTGAAGCTTGTACTGGCTGGTGGTGAAGGACACGAAGCTGGGATTGCCAGTGCTGTTAGATGCTGATGCTGATGCTGATGCTGCTGCTACTGCTGCTGCTGCTGACGCGGAGCGGCTCACTTGTCCTCTTCACCCCCCAACTTGCGCACCATGTTCCGCAGCGAAAAGACTGTCCCAAAAACCAGCTTCGCGTCATCATCGCCCGCTTTGACAGTCTGTCCCAATCCTGTTGAACCCGCTTGGGCGTCCGTGGCGCGCGACGGTTTCCCGGCGATGGAGGTCGGGCGTGGGAGCCAGCGACGTTTGTAGATGCATTCCGCTGAATTGGGTCAGTTGAGTGGGTCTGACTGTTGTAGAGGGATGCTTACCGTGGCGGTCAAAAATGTAGAAGGAGTAGACGGGCATGGCGAGACGACAGCGTGAGGGCGTAACAGTATGAGGTGTTGATGTTCCCCGGCTTCCTCAGGAGGTGCGACGGGCGGTGAAAGACAATCGATAAGGACGAAGAATAGATCTGCCTAAGAGCAGTCCGAAAAGGGTACCTGAGAGACAACGCTTGTCCCAGTTGGATCTCCCTTGCAGGGAGAAGCTTCCTCGTAAGGCTGACAGCTTGCATTCTGATCGTTTTCCCCCCGCTCCTCCGTCCTCTCGCAACCCCTCTACCCCACACACGCCCACCACCAGCACTCAAACCGCGGAGACTCGACACTCGACACTCGACTCTTTGTGCGACCCAATGGACGACAGAGTCGAGACTCCTCTCTCAGAGGCATCGGTCGACTCGCTGCTCGAAAGCGCGGGTTTGCCGAGACCGCAGGTCGCGTAAGACTTTCTGTCGTATTAGGCCATTGCAGATAGCTGACACATGCTCTGCCCTCTCAGTTCGTCTGGGTCTTTTGATAATCCGCAGCGACACCGAAGACGGAATCCCCGATCACGGCGTCCGGTGAAGGTAGCATTCCTCCGCCATCGTCATGGAATTCGGACTGATCATCTTTCATGCTGCGGTAGGAAACGCTGGACGCCCGCTCCGAATACACCACCAGTCAAGACGATGGCACCGCCGAACACCGTATCAACCAGTATATTATTCGACAGGAGATTGGGCGGGGGTCTTTTGGCGCCGTTCATCTTGCCGCGGACCAATTTGGGAATGAATACGTATGTCTGTCGGTCCGAATGACAGATGTGAGGCTGACACGAGAACAGGCAGTGAAAGAGTTTTCCAAGTCGCGATTGAGAAAACGCGCCCAATCGCATCTTTTGCGCCGACCTCGTGGACCGCGTCGACCCGGTACGGAATTCAACTCGCCGCTTCATCGCCATCCGTCGCAGGACGACAGTGAGAATGCAAAGAATCCGCTCTACCTGATCAAGGAGGAAATTGCGATTATGAAGAAACTCAATCACAATAACCTGGTTTCACTGGTCGAGGTATTGGATGACCCGACAGAGGATTCGCTGTATATGGTCATGGAGATGTGTAAAAAAGGCGTGGTCATGAAGGTGGGCCTGGAAGAGCGAGCCGATCCATACGATGATGAGCACTGTCGCTGCTGGTTCCGTGATTTGATGCTCGGTATTGAATATCTGCATGCGCAGGGCATCGTTCATCGCGATATCAAGCCGGATAACTGCTTGGTGACTAGCGATGATATTCTGAAAGTTGTTGACTTTGGTGTGTCGGAAATGTTCGCGAAGGACTCGGATATGTTCACGGCTAAATCGGCCGGGTCGCCTGCTTTTCTTCCCCGGAGCTTTGCGTCGTGAAACATGGCGATGTCTCGGGTAAGGCGGCGGATATTTGGTCTATGGGAGTTACTCTGTATTGTCTTCGGTATGGAAAATTGCCATTCGAGAAGCAGAGTATCTTTGAGCTTTACGAGAGTATTCGGAGTGATTCAGTGGTGTATGAGGACGAGCAGGATGAACAGTTCAAGGACCTCATGTCCCGAATTTTGGAGAAAGATCCTGCGAAACGGATCAAGATGCGAGAGCTACGGGTGAGTTATTAGCTTTGATTTATTTGCAGTCAGTGCTAATCAATGTAGGATCATCCCTGGGTGACTATGAACGGGACCAACCCTCTGCTCTCAAAGGAAGAGAACACGGCACAGATGATCGAGCCTCCGACAGAAGAGGAGATGAACCAGGCTATTACGGGGAACTTTGGTCGGCTCATGACAGTGGTAAGTCGAGCAAGATTTGATACAGAGCAGCAACTAACTAATGCCGCTTAGATGAAAGCCGTCAAGAACTTCAAACGGCTTGTCGATCCAACCAAGACAGCTCCAGCCATGCAGAGTATTTTAGGCGGAGATGCACAGTTCGTTGCGCCGCCGATGGAAATGGACGAGAGCGAAGACTTTCCCTCTGTCGGACTCGACCCCAATGCACACAGCCATAGCAGCCACGGCCTAAATGCAGGCGTTCGGAAGTTTTGGGGGAGACACCGAGAAGACTCTGGAGCAACGGGGACCAGCGATTCAGCAAGCTTCTCCTTTCGGCCAGAGCACAGCCCAGCAAGCAGCCGTCTACCCAGCGGTGTCTTCGAACCAGAGCGAAAAGACTCCGGCTCCGTGCGAAGCGGGCGATCCCCCGGAAAAGTAGACGAAAGACCACACTCTCAATCCGGATCAATCCCCCTCTCACGCGCCAGCTCCGCAACCACCAAGCGCAGTATAGAAGGGACAAGAGGACACGCCCGGGATCCCCTGGAAGAAGACTGGCCATACCTCTTCATTGGACCCTCAACGTACACAGGGACGTCGCCACAGACAGAAACCAACACCAAGGAGAGCTTACTCATCTTCGCCGAACCAGAAACCACAGAAGACGACCCTACGCAAGTCTCGGAGCCAATGCCCATTGTCAGCGAATCCCCCGGCGCAGCAGACTTCGACATCTACGAAACAGCCTACAGCCAGGAACTCGAGCGCATCAAATCCAATCTCTTGACGCAAACGGCCCCCGGCGCCGGTCCAAAGGTCTACCTTACCCGTCGCGTGGAGGGTAAAGACGAAGTGATGAAATTCGTCAAAGACAAGACACTCAATCTGCAGGTGGGACAGAAGAAGGTCTCTAGTCCATCGCCTGTGCGCGGGCCTTCGACGGCGTTCGGGGCGGCGGTTAGTATGTTGCGAAATCAGATTCAACAGCAGAAGGAGCAGGCTGAACGGGAGGAGTTGTCTGAGGCTGAGGTGGAACAACCCCAGCAAAGGTCCGAGGATTGTGGTGAGAGACGTCCTGCGCAGCCGCTCTCGTCGCAGCCTATTACCGCAGAACCGTCTTCGCTTGAGGCTACGGGGGTTCCTGCTTCGGAAGGGGCGGGAAATTCGACGGCGCAGCTTAGGAGGTTGCTTGGGATGGTGAAGGAGAAGGGGGGATGAGCACGTCACCACCGTATGTATACTGGGTGACTCGGTTGTTAAGTTGAAGATTTTTGAATACCCGATTGCATTGGGCGTGCGTCGCATGGTTGGCTGCAGGAGGTTTTGCGTCTCTCCTCCAGGGCCAGCGTGGATATCGCCCACTTCGCTTCCTTTATATATTCCTTCCAGACTGTTATTTAGTTAGTTTCTTCTCTGTCTATATGGGATTATTATTTTCTTATGAATGCATTTCTTAATTAGTTTTTGATTAGGGTACTGAGGCTGTATATTCTGGTGATGGTAGGATAATAACCACCTGGCAATGGAAACAAACACTGGACTATTTTGGAACATAACCCTAAATTGGGGTCAGAATAAGACCATGATTATAAAAGTCGCTTTCAACGTACTATGCAGCCCGCACTTTGCTTGACGCCCATCCACTCATCCAAAACAAAATCAAGGGGGCTCCAATAGAACATCAAGTTAAATCGATTTACTTTTTGGACTTTATTTGCTGCGATTCAATATCAATATACTACTAGCGACCTGATACTGTAGTAACCTTCAGTTTGATTTAAAATAGGGCAGCGTAGTGCCTTTTGTCCAGAGGAGACCCATTTTCAAACCCGGTCAATACCTTACATACCTTACATCTCCACTTCTCTTCTTAAACAACCCTAGCCCCAAAAATGGAGTGCGGAGTATCTCTATAATCAGGTGTGGTGCAGTGGTCCCATGGGTTGCCGGAAGCCGAACCGCGGTACACCACGCCAAGCTCTCTGTTCTAGGTTAAGCTTTACCATTATCTCGGGGGGCAGTCCCAGGTACTCGGGGTTTCATATAGATCGCACTAGGTGTGGACAAATACTCGCCGTACCTAGGGATGTATTGTAAGGGAGACCCCTTGGTCTTGTTTCCGGATCTACACTAACAAGGAGTGAAATGGCCGGGGTTTGGAGTTTATGGGTTTCAATCTGTATTTGGGGTTTACGAGACCGGACATCGTGGTAAGGATGCCCGTATGGGATACGAATCAGGGGAAGGAGTTGGTCTACCATACTTCATCCATGGATTAGTGTAGGTGCAGTCGGTGACCTTTTTGAAAGGTGAATCTCAAGGGCTGTACATTATATACCAATCCTAATCGTACATCATAGCAACGACGCAAGGAAGTGAAGAAGTAAAATCAGCATGATCTCGGTCATAATAGAGAAATTATCAGGGATAAACTGGGAATATCCCGAAGAAAACAAAGTGCCAATCAGAAATTGCGAACTTCGAACAAATCGTAAGGCGTTGATACCATTGCAGCACGGCTCCCGGAAGAAAGGGGCCTGGCTGGGGCGGTATTGATTGAATGAGAGATTAAATAGTACATGCGTGCCGATCAGTCGTGTACCGCGTTTGGTAGGAATTTAAGTTGGTATAGCAGAGAAGTGAATGAAAGTGAATCGCTGTCATGCATGTCATGATAACGGGTCGAATTATGCGCGTAAGGAGTGCGCAGGATTTGAGGTAGGTGGATTGAGATGCTGTGCATTAAATGGCCATCTTGGAATGATTGGGAGTTGTGGAGACTGTGGGGATTCGCAGTTCAAAGAAAGTGGTTCCGTCGAGGTCGCGTGCAAAGTAATGTCGGACGGATTCATTGACAAATGTGAAACGGTCGAGGTTGACCAAGAGACAATAAACTCAGAACGCTGTCTATTGTTCATCATAGAGTCATGTAGATCATCATCGAGGCTGAAAAGCTGCAAAGCACCAAAGAAAAAGCGGTGCAAATCATTTCAAAAAGCAGGTCGGATCATATGAGTTCTTTTTTTCGTGATGGTTTCTTGTTTCTGCATGTAACTGCCCGTAATGCCGGCAGGGCAGCACTGTACCACGGCTTACCGCGGCGGTTCACCAGGCGTCGAACTCGCCCTCGGGTCCGTAAATGGCCCATGTTCTCCTCGAGAAGCCACCGAGTCCCGTCGTCCACTATCTGGCGGCGAGAACCGGTCTAGCGGGATCGATCCATACGACATTCGATCACCGATACTGTTGAGTCGAGGCTGCAATATATCCGGAGGACCCAGACCAATCTGTAGCGCTCGCGGTGGCGGCAAAGGCTGCCCCATCTCTGCTGGATTCGGCAGTTCGCGCGGATTGGGGCCTGTTGAGCGCGTAGGGATCTCGCGCGGTTCTGGCGGAATGTTCGCCACGATGGCTTGGTGATATGGGTGATTGTATGGAACCGAGGCGGGCGCTAGACCGGGCGGTGGGGCGCTGGATGGTGTATAGGGTGTGTTGGACGTCATGGACATTGCTGATGGACTGGTTGGTGAGGGTGGGATACGCTGTCTGTTGGAGTTGGAGCGCCGGGGTGGTGGGTATGTTTCGCCTCGGGCTTGTGCGGCAGCTCGACGCCGTTCGGTCTCGGCTTTGCTTGGTCGGCCGCGTTTACGGGGCGGCTCGCCGCCTGGACCAATACTTGACCAACGCGGGGAGAGTGGCGCGGGGCTTTCGCTGCTATAAGAAGCGTTGCTGGCAGGTGGTTTGGGTTGGATTGCGCGCGGGACGGGTGGTTTTTCAGTTGGATGGTGGAGGGGTCGTTTGCGGAGATTGGGATCTATTGGCATGGCGCTTGGATTCATGGGCGGTTCGGGACGATGTACTGTTGATCCTGGTACTGAGGGGAGAATTGGTGCTGGTCCAGCCCCTGGACCTGGACCCGGACCCGGGCCTGCTACTGGACCTGCTACTGGACCTGCTACTGAACTTGGTCCCGGAGCTGCTGGAACAGTAGTGGCTGGATGTGCTGGCGGGTGCATCATGTTATAAAAAGCCATTCTGCAGGAACTGAGCGTGCGACCTGTAAACTTTCAGCCAGGATGCTCTCAACATATTCAAGTCTTGGTTGGAGATATACCGTGCGGTAGAGGAATATGCTCCCAATTGGGGTTGATACGAAAGTCATTGATGAGTCGAACGAGATAGGTGGACGAAATGCCAGCTTTTTTGAGGATTTCGGTGAGTAGGGCATACTACAGTGTGGTCAGTCAGTGTGGTCAGTATTTGTGGCAAAAGTGCAGCACTGGTGATCATACCTTCTCGTCCTCGGACCATGGCCTCTCGGATTGATTCGACATATCCACACCATGGAAACGATTCCGCCAAACACAGAAGCGAGAAACGAGAAAACCTCCCAAGCGTTAAGAGTCGGAAAGAATGGGACTCGGCGGAAAAATTATACAAAAACAAAAGAAAAAATCGAAAGAGAGGAGAGAAGAAAAAGAACACGCGCCTTTCGTGAAACTTATGTGGCCATCCTCCCACGCGGCCGAACCAACGAAACAACGAGATAGCAAAGAACAATGCACGTCAGAACCAGAGCCGAGCGACGGATGCAGACGCAAAAGCACGAGCGAAGAAAGTCTAAACGAGGGACTGGAGAATTGAAAGCCTTTCAGCCACCGGAAAGTCGACAACAGAAGTGCAGGACGCGGTCCATCAAGTCCCGGCTGGAAAAGATTGGCCAAACGGACTTGATCAGCCGGGATCGCGCAGGTGGGCGCGTTGGACAGGACAGCTGCAGGCTCAGCAGAGGGAAAGGGGATGAAATAATACAATCATAACAATACAGCGAACGACGGGGGTGGAGGGGAATCGGAAGGAGGGAGGGGAAGGGAAAAGGGAAAGGAAAAGGGAAAGAGAACGGCTTCTGGAAGACGAAACCGACCTTCTTCTTTACCCCCCCAAAATCGCAAAAATACGGGAGGGGCAAACTGCAGCGCGGTACACGACCTGCAGGATATTTACCTGCAGGAGTTAGGCCAAGGCTAGGAGGATTTTCTTCCTGGAAGGCCGTGAGAGCAGCTAAAGCAGGCCGGGTGGGTCAGGGGCGTCAGAGAAGGTGTCGTCCAGTTCGGAAACGGTTGGCCCTGGCAGTTCCAGCGCCAGGGACGAGAGCGGGTAAAGACGATACAGAGCCAGGCCGTTGGGTCTGTTTGAAGCTAGATCCACTTGCATCAGGAGTGAGTTCATCGCCCCGCTGGGGTGAAGCACCGGTGGCTGGTTAGCCCGGGCTAATGCAGACTAAGTACGGTGTACTTTCGTTCGACCGGGAAGTAGTCTCGAGTACTTTGTAGGACAGTCCTACAATTTTGGCGGAGAAGAATACTGTAGAGTATTTGTATATAGTTTAAATAGGATAAGTCGATGGAGTGAACCCTAACCAAACCTTAGGGCAGTCTCATCGGTACGTACAAAGTAATCGTACCGGTACGATCTACATACGATGACCTGCTTACAAGGTACATCATGTAACTATGTACTTGCACAAATCAGTCATCGAAGAAAAGAACTTTCTCTCCCCGCCAATCGATCCACCCCGATTCCCGCCCAAATCGCAACGCAGTCATAACATCATCCCCTTTGGACGTGGCCCTGCATGGCATCTTGCGATTCGACCTGCAGGTGATTTCGGGCTGGAGTGGCCGAATATTCTCGACCTATGGTTTATTCCGAATTCATGGACAGAAAGGGTCCAAGTCGACGTGGGAGTCCTCATACGGTGCTGCACTGCTGTTTCTGCCTGAGGCCGTAACTCTTGAACCTCTCTGCCTGAGGCAGAATATGAGGTTCGAGGCTGAACTTTACCGGTGCTTTGGGATATCTCCGAATGACTCTTGAAACAAAGACTTTGCTGCCGTCGCAGGCAGTCATTGAGAAAACTGCACGTGCCGGTCGCTCTTTGGCCTTTCTTCTCCATTCTCGAATCGCTGATCCAAGACACGATGAAGAGATTCCAGCCAGTGAAAATGTCAAGAACACGCCACTCAAGGACTCGAAGACTGATTAAAATTTTCCTCTCCCCCATCGTATTGTGCGATGCTGTGTAGGGTGAAATGGCCTCCGAGTAAACATGCAGCCACCAATCGGGTAAGTAATAGAGAAGGACTCGAAGAGGAACAGGAAGTTCGATTGTCTTTGTTCGGGCTTGGTCACATGATCCTATCTCTACGATAGCAGCCTCCGCCCTAAGGCAGACATTTTGATCGAACATTACTCCTACCATTTGTATACCCGTCCCATTGCAGCCTCGAACGGGGCAATCAATGTCAAAAGCGAAACCAGAACAATACTTTCGAGCCTAATACAAACCATCTTTGTTTTCGAGTCTCTATTTGATTGTCTCAGTATAGATCGCGCCAGTCAGTGCGGGCGGTGAGCGCGCGCCGGTCTCCGTTCGGCCTCGCCTTCTCCGCGAGATTCATTCACTCCTCCACGTCTCGTCCGTGTCGTCATGTCTGCCCATGGCAACGCGGACTCACATTCACTCGATGCCGCAGACATGGCTGCGCCCAATGGCGATCTCGGGAACGGTACGCCGTCACCCAAAGAGGAAAGTGCGCAAGGGCAAGTGAATGAGGCCGTGAGAGTGAATGAAGACGCGCCGACGATGGGCGTAAATGGTGTCAAGCCCACGCCAAAATCCTCTACTTCTGCGACCCCCTTCAGTCCTCCCGACTTTCCCTCTCCCACCCTCCGCTCTCCCAACGACCCCATCACCACACCTCATTCGAAGGATCCCGAAAACATTCCCTCGTCACCGTCCAGCATGGCGCTCAGCCACCTTTCTGACCCCTCGGACGGAGACAAGTCGGACGGAGACAAGAAGTCGCCTCCGCAGGAACCAACTCCGACCAAACCCTCGCGCACCCCTTCGCAAAAGGACGTCCAGCGTCAAATCTTCGATCACCTCCCCGATAGCACTCAAGATGCTCTCGCTACGTTTGAACAAATCGACACCTCGTGGTACGCCAACAAGTACATGGGACAGACGGAGCATGCGATGGAGTGTGACTGCGCCGAGGAGTGGGGTAAGTTTGGCACCTTCCCCGTTTTCTATACTCAACTAACATCCACAGATCCTGAGTCCCAGAAGAACCTTGCCTGTGGTGAAGACTCCGATTGTATCAACCGAGCCACCAAGATCGAGTGCGTTGGCGACTGCGCCTGTGGCCCTGACTGCCAGAACCAGCGATTTCAAAAGAAACAGTACGCCAAGGTGTCCGTGATCAAAACCGAGAAGAAAGGCTTCGGCCTGCGCACTGAGACCGACCTCGATCCCCACCAACTCATTTACGAATATGTCGGCGAAGTGGTCGGCGAGGCCCAGTTCCGGCGTCGCATGGTCAAATATGACGAAGAAGGCATCAAGCACTTCTACTTCATGTCCCTGAACAAGGGTGAATTCGTCGACGCCACCAAGCGCGGCAATCTGGGCCGCTTCTGCAACCACTCGTGCAACCCCAACTGCTATGTGGACAAGTGGGTAGTTGGTGAGAAACTCCGCATGGGTATCTTCGCGGAGCGATCCATCCAAGCCGGCGAAGAGCTGGTATTCAACTACAACGTCGATCGGTACGGCGCCGACCCCCAGGTGTGCCACTGCGACGAACCAAACTGTGTTGGCTTCATCGGCGGACGAACTCAGACAGAGCGTGCCACCAAGCTGTCGCATGCCACGATCGAGGCCCTCGGTATCGACGATGACTTTGACAGCTGGGACACTGCCGTGGCTCGCCGTCCTAAGAAGAGAAAGACTGGAGAGAACGACGAAGAATACGTCGACAGTGTCGGGGCCAAGAATCTCGACGAGAATGGTGTCACCAAGGTCATGGCCGCCCTCATGCAGTGCCAGGAGAAGTGGATTGCCGTCAAGCTTCTCAGCCGTATCCAGCGCTGCGAAGACGAGCGGACCCGCAACCGAGTCGTCAAAATGCACGGCTACCAAATTCTGAACTCCCAGCTTTCCCACTGGAAGGATGACCACAATGTGGTACTTCAAATCCTGGACATTCTGGATCAATTCCCCCGTTTGACACGGAACAAGATCATCGATTCAAATATTGAGTCGAATGTCCAGCCTCTGACCACCTGTGGCGAGGAGCGCGTGGAGAAGAAAGCGGCAGATTTGCTTGCTACCTGGGCCACCCTAGAAGTGGCATACAGGATCCCACGCATGAAGAAGGGCGACCAAGCCAAACAGGCCGTTAGCCACTTCGAACGCCGCGAATCCGGTCGCGAACGTCCTCAGCGCTCTGTCACTCGCTCCCCCTCCCCCGTCGAACCTCAAGTCCCCAAGCCTCAAAAGCCCAAGGGCCGCTTCCAGGGCCGGTGGGGTCCATACAAGACCGCTTCACCTCATGAGCCTCAAAAGGCCGACGAGAAGAACAAGAAGAAGTCCAAGTACCTCGTTGGGGCCCGGCGCGAACCTGGAACCAACCTGCCTCGTGGATTCTGGGAAGATGACCCAACGTACCAAGCCCCCAAGGGCTGGTATACCTCATTCCACCCTGATGGACGGGTGGAGTGGTTCACCCAATCGGGCCTCTTCACCTTTGAACGCCCGACCGAGCCGCCGCCTTCCCATGCGGAGCGGGATGCCATCGTCGCCGAGGCCATTCAAGAGGCCATTGATAAGGAAGAGAAGCGACTTGCGGAGAAGCGAAAGACGACTTCTCCTGCGACCCCTCAGGTCACAGAGGGGAAGCCCAAGAAGACGGAGCCGTGGGAGAAACTGCCTCTGGAGAAGCAGAAGAAGGTGTATCAAAACACCGTAGGCTCCCCTTTCCTTCACGTCAATTGATCATGGCTAACGATTATCATTAGATCCACCCCATCATCAAGCCGATCGTAGATCGGTTCCATCACCGGATCCCAAAGGATCACTTGAAGCGCTTCGCCAAGGAGGTATGTTGTTCCAGTTCAATGTCTATTTCAACACAAGCTAATAATCTGCAGATCTCCTTGAAGGTAGTCGACAGCGACTACAAGAACGATCGGGTCACTGACCCGACCAAGGTCTCGGCCAAGCAGCAGGCCAAGATCAAGTCCTACTGCGAGGCCTACTTTGCCAAAGCTGCGGCAAAGTTCAAGGAGAAGGAGGAAGGTGATGGCACGCTTAAGCGGAAGCGTGAGGGGGAGGTTTGATCTTGTCGGTGGTTTTGATTTTTTATTTTTTATTTTTTTTTTATTATTATTATTTCATTTTTTATTCACATTCAACAGATCATAAGACGGCGTACGGGAAGAATTTGTTTTTGTTTTCTTTTTTACTTTTTCTTCACTTTTTTTTGTTTCTTTTATTTTATTCTTGTTTTATTTTTACCTTTTTTTACTTTGGCGTTTTTTTTCTTGTGGGGGTTCAAAATGGGTAGGAAGGAATCCGATTTTTTTTTTCAGTCTTTCCAAATGTAAATGATAATAGCATTATTAAGATAAACTTTCCCTGCGGCTAGTTCTTTTCTGCAAGAGCTCCATACTTCCCTATAAATAACAGTTTTCGCCATTCCCACTTAGTATTTAGATCTCATCTCAGCGATTCGTCAGATTTATTTCCCTCATGCTACTGTCTCTCGCCAGGGAATATAAACGGATAATCTACAAATTGCTTTGAAAGTAGTTGACAATGACTACTAAATGATCAGAACAGCGGCAAAGCAGAAGACCAAGGCAGTAGTGTATACTTCATCAAGGCCGCTGCCAAGTACAAGGGGGCTTTGAAGGGGACTCGGGACTACCCTTACGCATAGATGATGGATGGCTCTATTATTTTCATGTGTGAAGAGTATGGTAGCAGGTATTCTTCACTAAATACGGCATATGAATCCCACATTGCATTGATTCAGAGGTATTTAATCGTTTAAATTCTTACATTGTAAGACCCTGTCAAGTCTGAATGTCGGTAGGAACCGAAAGGAGCACCACATTCTTGAAAATATATATAAGAAAGATACAAAACTAAGCTTCTGTAACACATAGTCCACCATATAGCTCCAGTATCCCTCTCTGGATCTTCAGTTCTTTAATGCGGATGGAGGACCCTGGATGGCAGTACCCAGGGTGAAGGTCAATCCTGTTGCATCTATTCATGTCCAACACGTGACCTCCACCGGAATGCTAGAAACAAAAGGCCCACTACAGTAGTAGCTTAACCTAGGAGTAAGTTAAGCGTTGATTTAGTTGCGGTAGGGTGGTCGCTGCTAAAAAGTTGCGCCTATAAGTGTTCCACGAAGCAGTGTGGGGCTCGAGATGCGAGCTCTGTGCCGTGATTGGATTTTTAATGCAAGATGACGCGAACACCGGGGTGGAAACACATGGTTCGCAGAGGCAACCACTCTGGCAGTTACATGATTTGACCTGGCCGAAATGCGGCTCAGAATACGGCGGCTCGGGATCGTATAACATAGAAGGGCCATTTCTCTTTTGCTCGTGTACCTCTGATAGCCTCAATAGTCTCAACAGCCTCATGGTCATGTACACCCTACGAGGGGCAAAAGGCAGCATCCATATTTCTGAGGGGTCGCATATAAAGAGCCGATCTCATCTCGAAAGATGACAATGATCACTAGCTCAGTATTCAACAATAACTTACTCGTCTCATCTGATCTCAACTCAAATCTTCGCCATGGCCTGGCCTCTATACAACGACAACACTTGGATGCCTCAGAACCAGAGCCAAAGTGAATTCTTCCCAACAACCCACAACAACCTATCTCAAAACACGATCTTCGCCACTTTATTCGAGGATGTTCCTCTACTTCCTGTGGACCAGTATTTAGATTTAGGCCAGTTCTCTTTCAACACAGATACTGGAACTATACCAACTCGAGCTTCGTCTACCTATAATACACCTACACCCACACCTACAAACCCGGACGACACTGTCGACGATCATCCAATCTGCTCGCAGCAGATTGACTACCAACCCTGTCAGGGAAAAAGCAAAGGCAAGGATAAGCCCAGGTCGGTACATCCATTTCATCACACACAATCTATTGATCCACTGACACCCTATCACCCAACAAAAGCCAAGGCAAAAGCCTCTCTCCTCTAAAATGCCGCTGGGAAGGCTGTAAAAGACGCGGCTCATTCTCAAACAGAGCTTCTCTGAAACGACACGTCGAAACCCAACATCTCAATCCACAATCTTTTAGATGTTCACATAATGGGTGGGGTATGGTTTTTAATCGGATGGATAATCTTAGACAGCATTTTCGGGCTGTTCATTAATTCATTTCAGTCTTCAATGGGTTTGTGCTTAGGGATAGTTGGTTTCGGTTTTGGCTTGGTTCAAGAGAAATAATGTTCCCCGATAGTGTATAAGATGTATGATAATATCACGTGATGTGCCATTGAGGACCGACGTGCAGACAGCGCTTTGGGCTGTTCATTAGTTTTTCAGCCAATGGGTTGTGTTTAGAGTTAGTTGGTTATTTTTGCGCTTGGTCCAATAGAAATACACTGGCGAAGTATCCTAATAGATGTATAATGTATCACGTGATATCTGATTTGAGCCCGCATGCAGACAGAACTTGTAACTACTTTACTTATATTATATTACGTCTACTTACTTGGTACGAGGCACCAACTACATCTTCAGAAGAACGAATCACGGTCATAAATCATTATTGCGGACATCCACAACACGACATGCAGCTGAACCCGCGTAAAAAATTTATCAAGATCATATCACCTATTCGCCAAAACCAAGAAAGAGAATCGCATCGCATCAGAGTCTTAAGGCACCCAAGACCACGGGTACTTCGCAGTCCATCCCAGGTAAGGGGGGTTGGGGTTCTAGTAAAAACTCTCAACAATACTCTCCTTCTGCGGCCCACCACCAGCACCAGGCGCCGCCATCTCACCGAGGCGGAAAACACTCTCAATAACACTCAGTTCAGTGGCGGTGGTATCAAGACCCGTAACCGCAAGCCAGTCGTTCACAACCATACCCGCACCCACAACCGGCGAACCGCGATTCACGGAGCCCGCCACGAGCGGGACTTGCAGCAGCGAGGAAAGCTCGTCTTGGTCCCGGATTGAGGTCTTCGGATGCACGATGCCGCCTGCGTTGCTGAGGGCCATGTAGGAGCCTGTCAACACGTTGTCGGCGACTGTTTGGCGGAAAACTTCTACGCCGAGGGTGTCGGCGATGCTGGACAGGGAATTAGCTTGAATTAAGAAATGAGGGGGAAGGGGGGAAAGGCGAACATCTCCTCAGTCTCCCGCTCCAAATCAGGATGAACGATCGCGACGTGGTCGTTGCAGCAGATTACGTTGCCCAGGGCGCTGAGACGCTCTTCTATGCGTTGGATTTTGACGGTGTCGGGCAGCGTGTTGCGGAGGTGTTGGAGTTCTTGGTCGGTTGTTGTTGTGGGGACGAGGAGGCCGTTTTTGTTACTATCCCCTCGTTAGCACCTTATCCTTTACCCTCCATCTTATATTGCTCTTTCTTGTGGTGCAGCCACTCACCCAACAGTTAACCGACCAACAATTCGAGTTCCGGCAATGGTAGCATGGCAAATGGGGATGATGTCCTGCAATTCGGCTTCGAAGACACTACCAACACTATCAGTATGTATTCCTTCTGACTTGCGTTTCTTTTCGAGGTGAAAATTGAGGGAGGGGGCGGGGTCACCTGTAAAAGTTCTCCGAAGCACCGACCGCAACGACAGCGTAGGAGTTTGTCAGGCGGGCGAAGACGCCGACCCTACAGCAATTAGCATCAGTTTCAAATAACTGCAGAAATGGGAACTGGATGGGTGGTGCTGGACTTACTCATTGGAGTTTTCGAATTGCGCGCGCACAGCCATGGTGGGGTCTCTGCGAAAACTTGAAGGTGAAGTCGAACTTGGAGGTGAAGCGGAGGGCGAGAAGCTCAAACTGAGCAGATAATTACAGGTGTATTTGAGGCTGACGTCCTCAGGATGCGAGCAGAGCAGAGCTTTAAAGCCGCAGTCGGATGAAGTGAAAAAGACAAAAGCTCGCGCCAATCATCGGCTTGGCGTTTTGCCCCGCCGGTGGAGCCGAACTTCACCAGTCAAGTACCAGTACTTCAGACACACACAAATTTGGGAGGGGGAAGGTACCAGTACTTACTGAGTCATCTTAAGCGGTGATTCATTTGGAGTCACCTAGACTACTACTTACTACTGGGATTGGTATTGGTGGAGTGCTGTGACTAGTTATGAGGCTGTGCTGACTACCCGACTGTAGGTACCAGGAATGAACGAAATGGAAAAGAATATGATGAATTCAACGACTTGGGTGACTCCATAAGATAAACGAATCCAAGGTGAAAATGAAGAAAAAAATGAAAGATAAAAACCAAAAAAAAAATAGAATCAAACTCGCGAATGTGCAGCGCCACGCTAAGTGAAAAAGATAAAAATAAAAATAAAGTACAAACCGGTGGAAACTCAGAAAAGGCAAAAAATTAACAAAAGGGGAATCGTGATGGTACATCTGCCCTTCGTTTCGGTGGCAGGTGGTGGTGGTACAATTTTTTGTAGATTCCCTGAAGGGATGGATCTACTGTGCCGTGCTGTGCACTGTGCAGAGCTGGTTTCTACCAGCTAGTCGCGCTTAGTAGCGACGGGGTGGAGGTGGAGGTGGCTGCCCATGGGGGGAGTGGCCATGGGGTGACTGAAAGTAGATTTGGGCGGGACCGGGAGGTGCTGGGTGTCCTGGAGGAGGCGGGGCGCCTGCAGGGGGCCCGGGGAAATAGTTCGGGAGTGGTGGCAGACGCTGGAAGTTTGAGCCTGGGGGAGGTGGCAGTTGAGGCGGGCCAGTCATGCTGAAGGGGTCGGGCAGACCCAATTGGCCACGAGCAGGCAGGAGACGACGCGGTTGCTGGGTAGGTGTGGGACGAGGAAGAATGAAGGAGCGCGGATCGGTAGGTCCATGGGCCAGACTCGGCGGAGGCTGTGACTGAAGGAGTTGGCGGCTGGCGGGAGACATGGTGGGATCGCTTATTCGGGGTAAGAGGGTTTGGCTTTGATTTTGGGTCGGTTCGGACAGAGCTGTGTCCGCGAGCATCGAGAGGGCCTTGGGGGAGATGTCAAAGGCACTGTCGCCGCCCCAGGGCATGGGTTTTTCGTCGGCGACTGCTTCCGCCGCGTTCAGGAGGCTTGCGATGGTCTGACGGGCTTCGTGGCCTCCGGGGGAAACGGCCGAGTTCAATGCCTGCATTTGCGGGTTGAGGTCCTCGCCCATTTGTGCCTTAATCAGGAAGTCCTCCCAGGAGTTCATGCCGCGGTCATACGCGTTGGCACCGTCGGGGTCCCGCACAGCTTCAGCGAAGAAGCCGCGCTCGACTTCCTGGGTACCGAGTTTGCCGATTCGGAAGAGGTAGTTCGGTTCTTCGGCGTCTGGGTCCGATCCATCGGTCTGTCACGAGAATGTTAGTTGTGATATCAAAATGAAAGATAAACTGCTAGTATGTACCTCGGTATGCTCATCGTCTTCTGCGGCTCGACGGCCTGTGACGAGCTCCATGTATTTGCCGCGAACGGCATGGAACATCTCTTCTTGGATGTTCTCCAGTTGCTCCTATAGAATATCAGTATAGCTCCGAGTCAGTGTAGAGGAGAAAAAAAAAAAAAAAAAAAACCACATACATTTGCCTTGGCCTCAACCACATGGATCTGCCCGGCATACACCCGGTTCTCCGAGTCGACCTTCAGGTCGTACTCATCCCGGAATCGAGTCAGCGCCTTGGTCTGGTACTCGGCCAGTTCGCGCTGGACTTGGGCGAATTCGGGACAGTCCTTGTGCGCATTCTTGTCGCGCATCAACTTGGTCATGGTGTGATCGGCCAGCACATTCAGTGCGACCTGCTGGGCATTTCCGACTTTCTTGAAGAGCATCGCGAGCTCTTCCTGCCGACTCTTGATGGGCTGCGTGTCGGGAATGGGTGATGGGGTGCGGCGTCGACACTCGCTGTCCCAGATCTCATCTTCGATCCGCTTGCCGCCGCGACCCCGGGAAGCTGCCGATGCGCGAGCACGGCCACGGCCTCGTCCGCGGGCTCGGGCTACTGTTGCTCGAACTGGGCCCAATGCGCCGCCGCGACTGCCTCGTCCCCCACGACCCCGGCCTCGGCCTCGACCACGATACCCGCCTCGGCTGCCACGGCCGCCGCGACCTCTAGTCGTGGCGGGCGGAGCTTCGGTGGCATCGTCGTCTTCGGCTGAGGCCATGGGCTCGTCGGGGGAGGTGACGGGCTGAGACTGAGACGTGGGTTCGTTCCCACTTCCATTCACCGCGCTTTGATCGGCATCGGCAGTCGGCTCGTCCTCTTCAATCTTGGGCTTCTTGGAAGCCGGCTCGGAGTGCGCCCGGGTCTCGGGACCTTCACTCTCGTCTTTCATCTCGGTGGACTTGCGCTTGCGCGAGAGACGCGGAGATGACATACGTCGAGAAGGTTGAGGTTTCGGAGACTCCACTTCTTGGGAGTAGGTGGGTGCAGAGGCGGAGTAAGTCGAGTCACCTTGTTCTTCAGTAGTAGTGAGATCTGCCCGGGTTTCCTGTTCGGGCGATGTAGCTTGCGTCTGCGGCCCTGGAGAACGGGCCTTTTTGAGTTGCGGGCCGGGCTCAAAGTCTTCGTCGTATTCTTCCTTGTGCGACGAACCGTCTGCGAATTCTTCATCGTCATCTTCATCATCATGGTCGGTCTGCTCGGGCTCACCCGCTTTGGTGGGAGTTTCATAATCTCGAGTCAAATCCGCCTTCAATCGAGACGATTGGCGACCGGACTGGCGTGCAGACTGGCGCGTAGTACGTGAAGATTCAGGGACTGCCATCGCACGCTTTGAGCGACGGCGCATGGGAGTTTCCGGGTTTGCTGAACCCGTGGGGGTGCTTGACTGCGCAGTCGATGCCTCGAGCTCTTGCTCTTCAGATGGGCTGTGGAGTTCACGCAGGGTGGCTTTTGGCACCTTGAATCGAACAATCAAGCGCTTGCGCTTTTCGGGCGGGGGCGACTCGACATTGTCTTCTTCTTCCTCATCAGAAGACGAGGACGACGAGGACTCAGACTCCACACGAGCAGCACGCGCAGCCTGGCCCCTGGTAGCCCATCGGCCGCCTCGACCACCGCGGCTACCGCTACGGCTGCCCCGGCCAGTGCCTGGTTTGAGTGTCAATAATTTTGCTAGAAAAACAAAGAAAAATAAAGGAAGAAAAATACACTTACCTCGCCCGCGAGGCGATGGCGCAGGAGCGACCATTCGTGAAGTGGCGCGGTTCTTGCGTCTGCCAACCATTGCGATCTGAGGGTTGTCAGTAATTGTGAAGGGCGGGAGACCGGAAGGAGTGGAGCAGGGGGCAGTCCGTGGAGAATAGCGTCAGACTTTGAAAATCAACAACAAAACGAGTAGACGCCGCCCAGGACAGAACGAGGTCAGAAAAAAAAAAGTAGAAATCACATACAGCGAGCAGTAGAATGAGAATTTGCGAAGAAAGAGTTGCAAAGTACCGCAGGAATGGGGCGGCCGGGGGGATTTTATCCACGCAGCCGCATTCACTGGCGATGGCGAAGAATCGAGCAGCGCAATGAATGGAGACAGTGAATGGGAAAAACCAGACAGGCAGGAATAAGGAAACGATGTACTGAAACGGAAAATAGAGACAGGCAGAGTGAATGCAACGGGCATTCGATCTGTGGAGGGAATGGGAATGGTAATGGAAAAAAGGGACGCGACAGTAGCCGACACAGCAAGTAAAGAAACAGCGGAGAAAAGAAGAAAGAATGCAAAGATTTGAACATTCAAACTCGAAACACGGGCTTGGACTGGAAACAGGGCAAGGCGTGGGGGATGCGAACGCGACTAGCACTTACGGCAGAGGGACAGACGAACTACTCGGGTCGCAGGGTTTGACGGGGCGCACCAGCAACCAGCATGTAATAAAGAAAGTCTGCAGGTGTAAAAGAGACAGACCGAGAAAGAATAAGACTTAAAAAGGGACAGAAAAGGCAGAAGCAGCTCTGGACTGTACGCGGCGAGGCGGATGGAGTGGAGGCGGGAGAGAGAAAGAGAGATTCGGAGGAGAAATTCGAAAGTAGGGATTCGGTGGTTTTTCCCGCGCGTGTCGACGGCTCGGCCCAGCCACACGAGAATCAGTGGTGAGTATACAGTAGTAGGAGCTTATAGAATACATTAAAAGAATCTGGATGTTTAGTCGATTGTCTCCAATCGCTATTCTTCTTCTTCTTGGAGCTGTTCTGCCTTCGCCGGACGCGGCTGAATGCCACCTAAGAGGGGGCTCCGCTGTCGGGTGCTCCCACTACTAATTTAGTGTAGTATGCTACACACATACTATGAGTAGCAGCCACTCGACTACACTACATTGATGAGGATGGTGTTTGTTGCAATCGGGATAAGAGCAATAAATAGATAAATATATTAGAAAAAACGCCTAACTCCGTCATATCTCATAATGTCCATTATCATCAGATCAATCGTCCCCTCCCATCCCATTACTCCCATTATTCCTCCCCAACTAACATAGACCCTACTTCTCCTCAGGCGACTCACTGAGCTCAAATCGCCTCTCAGATGAAGGCGACGGCAACGGCGAACGATTCTCCCGCAACGACCGCGCAGACCGCATCCGCGTCAGCGTCTGCTGCGTAATCATCTGCCCAGCAGACGGCGACGCCATCACACAACTCCCTGGTCCAGGCGTCGGCGATGGACAGGGACTATTTGATCGGAAGAGCGGGTGGATATTCTCCTGTCCCTCGAAGGTGGTGATGGATGCCGCGGGCGAGGCCGGGGCGTCGAGGTAGCTGCATGTTGATGTGGTTGAGGGTTGGCGGATGAGGGTGTTGAGTGAGGCGGTTGGTGCGCGGAGGCTGGGTGTGCTGCGAGTGCTGCCCCCGTGGAGGAAGGGTCGAGTGTCTGGGTATGGGAGGGTGGGACTGGGTTCAGGTTTGGTTGGGGAGTCGCCGGAGGAAGTGGTGAAGATTGAGTGCCGGTCTTTGTCAAGGTCGAGGGTGCAGCCTGAGAATCGGGTTGCATTTAAGTGCCGTGGGAATTTGCGCAGAGAAGAGCGTCTTGTGTCAAATTTGGGCGAGTCCGGGTCTGTGACTGCGCGGGAGGGTGGTGTGATTGTTGTTCGTGAGTCGAGGGTTTTGAGCTCCGAGTTGTATGTCTGTGGCCAGGCGGGGCTGGGTGTTTGTTTGAGGGAGACAAGTATGTATCCGTAGTATGCACCCTGCGTCAAGAGGGAAAAGGCCCAGAAGATGGAGCGGGCGATGAAGAGAGATTGTTGGTTCGTGGTGGAGAGGAGCTCGTCTTTGGTCACTGTGCCGGTGACCGAGGCCGCGGCGATGAGGAGGTAGGTGCCGGCGAAGTAAAAGACTCCCTGCTTCCATTTGGACCATTGCGTATTGCTTTGGATGTCTTTGTGGAGGATCACGGCGAGACTGGTGAGAGTGGTGCAGGTGAGGACGCTCAGGGCCACCGGGGCCAGGCCGGCTGCTGCGGTGTGGGCGGGTGTGGATTGTAATGCGGCGTAGGCGAGGCCATTGAGGATTGTCACAAGCAGAGCTGTGAAGAGAGTGGTTCCGGTGAGGATGTAGAAGAGCATTGTGGACTACAAAGATTGTGTTGTATGGATGAAGGAAAGAATGATCAGATCAATAGAAAGAATGGAGTGATATGATCTGATCTGGTCTGCCTCGAAATTCTAAGGAAAGAAGAAACGAGTTCAGCAGCACAAGGGCATGCAAGCAGAGGCATGGGATATTTATGATGGATGCTCGCGTGGAACAGACGGGACGGCCCAGCGGCGTGGCTCGAAGCATATCGGGATGCGGATCGGTAGACCTGAGGGGAGTCAACATGTCGAATTGACCTGAGTGATCCAAATGACCCATCAACCCAGGAACATGGTTAAGGTCTGATCTGCACTACTTTGATGTATGTCAGTATGTCGGACGGGACGGGGAGAGACAGTGAAGCCCCGTCGATACTACACTACAGTAATACCCAATCAATCATCCTTCGATGCAGAATCATTGCATTTGTCTGAGCCAATAAACGAGCGCGGTGGACATCTCCCGCTGCTACGCTGTCCGGGGAAGAAGTCCAGACCCTGCGAGCCACTTCATAGTGCGGTCCATCAGACCGCTAGTCAGGAACTATCCATCTGACAGATCGCACCCGCGAACCGAGCGAGAATCCATCGTCTGCCCGGGTTGTCGGGATTAGCGTGGATCCCCGCTGATGTGATGTGTCGTTTCGCAAGAATTTTCCGCTTATACGACTGTAGGCACAGGTTCAGCATTGCGGAATTGAATGAAAGAGGATTGAGATTAAGATTGAAAATGACGAGGTTCTGCTGGATTGGTTCTTCCATGGAGGCCAATGCTGCCAGTGTAGTCAATAATCCTGGGGAATGTCTCCATGGTTCCGAGCGGTCGGTTGGCGTGTCACTTGCGGCAGAAGGCTGGGGGGATCGGCCATTGTTATTTGTCAATCAGGTCAGCCGAGGATTCGGCCCTCAATGGTGTTTGTTTCCCCGTTGTGGTTCGCTTGATCGCGAGGCTCAGTGGAGCGAGTGCCTAGGTATGGCTGCGCCGGGAGGGTACCTGCGTGTATCCATTGCTCCAGACTACAGTATTGAGCCACCATGGTATCGACGGAGTGAGATGGACAGCTGTGAGGGGCCAATCAGGAAGTTCGTTGGTTATTTCAAATCGCATGCTCCTTTCCCTCGGGGTATATGCCAGAGCACCGGGTACTGAGTATGCAGATCAGCCTCATCAAGGACCTTGGAGACGAGAATGGAGACAGCCAAAATCATTCGTGTGCATCAGAACATGTCCAATTGATACTGTATGGTAAGGCAATGTTTTCATGCATTGCCCTGACTGACAGTAGTGATGACAACATTGTGTAGATTCCAGGGTCTTCCAAGTGGGGCGGTGTGGCTGCCGCCTGAGGCATCTCAGTTTCTCCATCGTCGTCACTTCTTCAGCGCCCCTCTTGTCGACTCGGGAACTGCTACCCACTTCCACATTTTCTCCCTCTCCATCCCTCTCTCCCGACAAGATGAAGCTCACTTTCAAGGTCCGTCTCTCCCCCCATCTTCTATGAATCATTCTTGCTTCGTCTACGACCGCGCCTCTTTGACGCCTGCTGACCTGCCTTGCTGCCGTACAGGATCTGAAGCAAGAGAAGTTCGTAATCGAGGTCGAGCCCTCCGAGACCGTATGTCCACCCATCGTGTCTGCGGTGCCCGCTGTGTTGAATCCATGGATGCGGGGCTAATGCTGTTACAATAGGTTCGTGAAGTCAAGCAGAAGATCGCTCAAGAGAAAGGCGAATATGAGGCGGAACGTATGAAGGTGATCTATTCGGGTATGTCAGATTCTGCAGCAGATGTGAAGGTCAGGCAAGCTGACAAGTTACAGGCAAGATTCTCCAGGATGACAAGACCGTCGAATCTTACAACATCCAAGAGAAGGATTTCCTAGTCTGCCTGCCCTCGAAGGTATTTCTTCCCCACCCTCTCTTACTGTGTATGGAGCTAATCTTGGATCCTATGACAGGGCCCCAAGCCTGCTGCTTCTGCTTCCTCTGCTGTTTCTGCTTCCTCTGCTGCGCCCGCCACCCCAGCTCCCCGAACTCCTGCTGCGACCCCGGCTGCTCCTGCGCCCGCCGCTCCGGCTCCTGCTAGCTCGACTCCCGTTGTCCCTGCGACTCCTACTCCTGCTGGTGCCCAGGCCCAGCCCGCCGCCTTTGGCGATCCTTCTGCGTTGGCCATGGGCTCTGCGGCCGAGGGTGCTGTGACGGAGATGGAGGCGATGGGTTTTGCCCGCAGCGACATTGACCGCGCCATGCGGGCGGCTTTCTACAACCCGGACCGTGCTATTGATTATCTTTTGAACGTACGGACCATCATCAACACGGAAACTCAAAAATGAATGGCACTGATTTCTTCCAGGGTATCCCCGAAAACATCCAACGCGAGCAGCAACAGGCCCAACAACAACAGCAGCAAGACCGCACCCCTGCCCCTGCTCCCGCCCCCTCCGCCGAAGACGCCGCCGCCGCTGCCGCTCTGGGCGGTGACGAGGGTTTCAACATGTTCGAGGCGGCCGCACAGGCCGGTGAGGGCGGTGGTCGTGGAAACCGGTCCGGCGGTGGCGAATCCCTCGCCAATCTGGACTTCCTCCGTCAAAACCCCCATTTCCAGCAGTTGCGGCAGCTCGTCCAGCAGCAGCCGCACATGCTCGAACCAATTTTGCAACAGGTTGCCGCCGGTAACCCCCAAATTGCCCAGATCATCGGCCAAAACTCCGATCAGTTCCTGCAACTTCTGAGTGAGGACCTTGAGGATGATGAGGCTGCGCTGCCGCCGGGTACACAGGCTATTTCTGTAACGGAGGAGGAGCGGGATGCTATTGAGCGGGTGAGTGTCCCAAGCAGATTTTGTCTCTTTCTGAGAATGCTATTGCTAACGACTTCTCTTCATCAGCTCTGCCGACTCGGCTTCCCCCGCGATTCCGTCATCCAGGCCTACTTCGCCTGCGACAAAAACGAGGAACTAGCCGCCAACTTTCTCTTCGACCAGCCGGATGACGATGAGGAGTAATTTATTTTTCTGTCTCTGACTCTCCTACCCTCTCGCTTTTACGTTCTGATGAATACCAAGCATGCTGTTCATTTTACCCTTCCCCTTTTCCCTGCACAGCAGCACCGCGATGACCCGTCTGCGGGCTTGCTGACGATATGCGCGGGTCTCTGACCCTTTTCGACGAAACGACTTTCATGTACTTAACCACCTAATGGGCAAAATGGGACGTTTTCGCTAATATTGTATGAGTGTAGGTGTAGATGTAGATGAGTACAGTAGGAGAGGGGAGTGAGTTTTTTGTGGATGGTGTTTTAGGGTTGGATGGCTTTTAGATCTTTTGGAATGTTCACAAGGGTGGTGCTGTGGTCTACCTGTGATGTGATGGCAACACTCCTACTGTAGGATTAAGGTGTATAGACCGTATGTATGCTTGAATGATTGGTAAATGATACGGAATCCGTAGGTTGGATCTGAGCAGGCTGCTTTTGGTTAGGAACGCTAGGTGGATACCTCCTCCAAGTGCTCCGTCGCGAGAGTATCTATGGTTCAGTCTACTCTCGATTTGCAATGTACTCAGAGTTGTAACATCCAGGATTGTCGCTAGATATTTCACATTAGATCACATCGTATTTTACGTGTATGAGTTATGTGTAACTAGCTACCGTGACTGTAGATCACATCCGTTATATATCGCGGAAGGAAGTCAGCTGGCCCCACCACATGAACACTGCAGTAACACTTCACATGGACAATGTCATCAGACAACCACAATGTGAGAATATTTTTGATGAGTATTGATCCACACGAATCAAAATCACACTTGAGTAAGTGAGCCGTGCTGAATACATCTATGGTCGGTCCGAGTAAATCCAATCACACATTTTTTGAGTATGAGTATGAGTATATCAAAGTCCCCTATGGGTAGTATTCATCCATCCAATTCCAGTACCGGGTATCTAAATCCACCCATGCAATATCTCCATTCGAACAAAACAAAAATAAAAAATATAAAAATATTTTTTCAAGCCCGAAAGCATTAAGAAATCATTTCCAGACATCAGCTATTTGCAACTCCTCCTAACAGACCAAACCCCCAACCCCCGTCTCCCAACAACCCGCTTAACTGTCTCAAGAACACCATCATCGACAAAATCTAGATCATCCAGATTGATATGGTTTCGATAAGACCAGAGGCGGTAAAGGCGGAGGTCCTGACTGGACGTTTCAGAAGCAGATTCCGCGACGTAGGAATCCAAGAATGTAGCAGATGTAGGCGCGACGAGGTAAATATGTGAAGAAAGCGGACAGGGCGGGACGGTATTCTCGAGGGTGGAGAGCATTTCCAATCCCGGGACGCCCATTAGGTCGATCGTGTTGATGCTGGTGGTATCGTCTGCGCCGAGAAGCCACTGAGGCGGGGAGTATGTTTTCCACCAAAAGACGCTTGATTCCCGGGTGGTGATCCCCTGCGCGGCGGTGTTGGTGTTTATTATACCGCGCATCGCGAGTTGTGTTGGGACTACGCCGCCTTGGTGGTAGACGCCCATTAGGAAGCCCATGGCCGCGTTGAAGAGGATCCAGACGGCTAAAAAGAGGCGGGAGCGGTGCATGCGCACGCAGCTGAGGAGGAGCGGGACGGCGGGGAGGAGGAAGCGTGGTTCTTGGTGGGGGAAGATTGAGAGGAGGAGGGTAGCGGAGAGGGCGGAGAGGGCGCGGACGTTCCGGATCCAGCGGAGGTTTAAGGGGAAGGTGCAGAGGGAGAGGAGCATTGCTATGTAGGCTGGGCCGAGGAGTTGGAGGAGGTTGGCTGTGAAGTGTTGGTGGTGTGGGTGGAGGCCGTGGGTTGCGAGGTTGCTTGTGTTGGTGTTGTAGAGGATGTTGTTTAAGGGGGTTATTATGGGGGCGTGGAGGGTTTGGAGGAGAGAGTTGTTTTCTCGGTAGAAGGTTGTGTCGATGTGGATTGCAATGAGGGAGAAGAGGAGGGCGAAGGTGAGGATTGCTGCGAATGCGGAGGGTCTGTGACTGGCATCAGTATAGCGCAGGACTTCGCGCATTGGGACTAGACTGACTTGCGCTGGAAATAAGGCAGCAATTGTAGACCCGGGAAGAGAAGAAAGGCAGGGAAGGTAATCCGGTTAAAGACGCCGACGACCGCGATGAAGGCGAAGACGGCGTAGGAGAAGAAGGACGAGCGTTCCTGTAAGTAAAAAGTCAGAACACCAAGAAGATGCGAAGGAGAGCTGCAGCGGGACAAACCTTATTCTCGACAATACGCCGAATCAAAACCAAACCCCAAGCCACCAACAAGGTCTCGAGGGCGTTGGAAAAGGTGTGCGTCTGATATGTCCAGGTGACATACGACGAGGCGACCAGCACGACCGTCGCGCGCCGGTGCCGCGGCGACGGCACCAGTTCATACACGGCCCAGTCCTCTAGTACAAAGCTCAGCAGGAACATGCCCGCGCGCAGGGCGTAGTAGACTAGCTGTGGCGGCGGGTTGCCGGACCCGATCTCCGTGTAGAACCATTTTAGTAGGCTCATCGGGACGTCGTAGATTGGCCATAGTGGGAAGACGCTGCGGATGGGCTGGGTGGTTGTGAATTCCCAGGGGAGTTTTGAGGGGTAGGAGAAGATGCGACCTGTAGTTTTGGTGTCAGTATGCTTAGTGTTGAGTGGAGAGCGTGGATGCGATGTGTCAATAGGAAGCGCGCGATCGCGACGTCGCGACAACGAGACCGCGACAACGAGTACCTTTGTTAACGCGGAGTAACACGTGTCGCGATCGCGTCCGATTGCATCGCATCAGCTGAAAGACAAAAAGAATGGGACATACCGGCAAAGAGTTCGGGGCCCTGGAAATTCTCATCGGGGTGGAGGTAGCTGGGCGAGAGCGCAAAGTAAACACGGATGAGCAGCAAGAGCAGGTAGGTTCGTCTCCACATGGTTTGAGGGCGCGCAGGACATGCTGTGAAAAAGCGCGAGAGTGAAAGGCAGGGACAAAGAGAAAAGTCTGGGAAGGTGAAAGAAGGAGATGCAGGAGACGCGACGGGATGGATGATATCAGCGACACTAGTCACCTCCGACTAGTCACCACAGAACATATAGTGTAAACTAGTTGGCCATCTTACCTGTCAACTTTTCTTAGCCCTATTCCCTATTGCCAGATGTTGAATTTATCTGTCACTTTTGCGTTGATGATCGCGATAATTTTTTTCCTTTTTTTTTTGCTGGTAGAAAAAGTAGTTTTGGATAGCTCTATTAATTCTTAGTGTACTCGACCTGGCCTGGCTTTTTAGTACTACCGCCTATGGTAGGTACTAAGACAATGAAACTAGAATCCCAGATCAAGTCCATTCTTTCACGAGTCATTAAACAATAATCTTCGTCAGTGGCTACTACTACTAGTACTATTCCTTTTCAGTCCCCGATACTTTTCTTAGCTATTCCAGGCTACTCTGAATGAAAGCAGAATAGGCCTAGTCGCCGGCTGCCTAACAAAGACATGGGGCCGAGCAAGTGCTGCACGCAGAGCCTCGTTGACTAACCACCGAAAACAAAACTCCCATCCCTCCTCACTTGCCACTTTTGCACCTTCCACCTCTGCTCTTCTCCCACACAACGTCTTGTATTCACCTGTTCACGCAGTTCACAGCAGTTTCTGTCGCCGTCATCGTTCTCAAAGTGTGTCCGCCTCATTCTGCCGTTCGCGGTACCCCGCCCGGCGTACCCCAACTCAGCTGTCCGCGACTCTAACCTCTCTTCACAGATTCACACCTCCACCATGGCTACCCCCCAGATCATCCTCACCAGCTCCGATGGAGTCGATGTCGCTGTTGGTAAGTCTGACCCTTCCTCTCCGAACAAAGAAGCCCAAGAACCACCCTCTGACTGAACCCGCAACAGAGCGCACCGTCGCTGAGCGCTCCGTCCTCATCAAGAATATGCTTGAGGATCTCGGCGATTCTGGCGAAGCGATCCCCATTCCCAATGTACGTGTGTTTCCAACCGGCAGCTACTCCGATATTCCCGGTTGTGGCAGATTGCTAATAGCTTTGTGAACAGGTCAACGAGGCCGTCCTCCGCAAAGTGATCGAGTGGTGCGAACATCACAAGAATGACCCCCCCTCTACCGGTGAAGACGAGGACAATCGTCGCAAGACGACCGATATCGAAGAGTGGGACCAGAAGTTTATGCAGGTTGATCAGGAGATGTTGTTTGAGATTATTCTGGTGAGTCCCGCCCGTTCTGCTCAGACAAAGACATGCTAACCCTGATGATTGCAGGCTGCCAACTATCTCGACATCAAGGCCCTCCTCGACGTCGGCTGCAAGACCGTCGCCAACATGATCAAGGGCAAGTCACCGGAGGAGATTCGCAAGACCTTCAATATCCAGAACGACTTTACCCCCGAGGAAGAGGATCAGATCCGTCGCGAGAATGAGTGGGCCGAAGAGTAAGTCCCCTGTCCAGACCTCTGCCGTGCCAAGGAGGCTCGTAAAGAATGCTTTGAGTAGTTAACATGTTCACTTCAATCTAGTCGCTAAACCGAGTCCCTGAATTGAATTGAATCCCTTGCTTACGACTCCTAATGTTCTGATACAAAATTTCCCTTATAGTACCCCTAAGGTATACTTGAATTGACCTCCCTTTGGACGTGTGCAGAGCTTGGATTTGGTCCCGCTGTTTGCTCAGACTGGGAGGTCCAGAGATTGAACAAATTTTGTCATTTCAATGCTATACATTTAAGATTGCTAGAGTAAGGTTTACTATCGTAAGATAGTAGGGTACGTTTGATGCTTGTAAAAGGTAGTTTTTGTCGTAGTTCTGCGATCGACAAAGAATCACCTCGAGCTAGCTTAGCAACTACCAAGGTTCATAGATAAAAGGAAACGGCAGATCTAAGCAGCTTGATTACACTAATTACGTACTCACCGGTCCTCAACGCTCCAAAAAAAAAGCATCAATGATCACGCCAACTAAAAGTCCCCTAAATAGCCATCCGTCAATCTGTCATCTACGCAGCTCACAATTACACGACTGACTCGTACCCCAACCATCATTATACATCAACAGATCAACATCAGAAAGCAGGGTTAGGGCTGAATATGCAGTACCACACCACCACCACCACCACCATCCCCTCCTGCTTCGAGCATTGGATAGATTGGGAGATCTTGTCCTGCTGAGACCCCTTCACAGCGTTTCATGATCGGGCTTTTTAATTTCATCCAGTGTTCACCCTGAAGGGAGAACGGACGGGTTTAGATTGGTTTCCTTCGCGCAACGCTTTCGAGGTTTAGATCCTCCACTTCTGCGTTGAATCGTGATTTCGAGGGTTGGTTGGTTGGTTGGCGGGTTGAAGTGAGAATGTTACTCTCACTTACCTTATCCGTCCGTGGGATATCTGATGAGACGCCAGATGGATGGGGCTTTCATTGACCGTGCGGAATGTGGAAGTGAGAATCCCGATGATTCGATCAGACCTTGACCAGTTGGGCTTTCATCGAGGAGTCTCGTCGATGAGTGAGGTGTCTTCGCATCGTATACGAGTTAATATTCATCTACCTCGCGCGCAGCTGTCGCCGCGAGGTTCGGGTCGGGTTGGGTTGGTGGTTCTGGGATCGAGGGAGTGAATAAAGAAAGTAAACTTACCTTTCGATGCCGCTCTAAGATTTGGTGTATGCGTCTGGCGACACATCGGTGAGATGGTGATGTAAAGATGGTAGAAAGCGTAAAGATCACAGAACGTCTGTCTACTCTACACATTGATGGATGGTTCGTCTTTAAGATGCCGGTATGCTACTCCGTCATCTACCCGAGTTCTGTGATGATTTGATTTTGATAGGCCTAATTTCTCAATTTGTAGGACTTCTGTCGCTTGTAAAAGTTATGAAGTTTCAGTGCAACTGACAGGACTATCTACAACGGCTCGTTCATACTGCGAGGTTGCTCAGGTACTCTTGAGTATGTAGCGTCATGCTGTCCAAGTTCCATTCATGGTTGCATATCAGAGATATTTTTAGGGGAAAAAGAATGCAGGATTATCCAAGCACGCAACCTTTTGAATAGAAATGCCAGATCGATGGAAATGACTTTCTATCCCGCCGATAGTATCTGTATCTGAATCGTACTCCGTAGTGAGGGGACAAATTGTGGGGACCAGTATGATTCAAGTAAGACAAGGGACACGGCGGTACATATGCCTTTTAAGAAAGTCCAGGCAGTCTCGAAAACTACCTCCAGATTGCCTGACCTGCCACACCCTACTGTACCCTGGGATTCCAGTTTAAACAGAGGCAGATCATCCTACGAACGCCTACAACCATACACACACTGCACACGCAGACAAACCATGCAGACAAAAGGGACGTCAATTGATTCCATCATTTTTGAAAAAAAGAAAACCCCGCCAAAACGGACAACCGGGTACCCAGTCTCCTTCATTCCATCCATCCACCATCTGTCCATTCGTGAAAACGTGATCGGCGGGATCGATCCCGGGGAATCGACAAAAGCGAAATATTGTACCGATTGATATGGATCTTGAGGAATAAAATGTACCTAGTAGGTACTTGATGTAGTTCTCCAGACTAGCGCGATCAAGAGGAGAGTACGGGGCAGGTTCGTCGATCGACTTTGAAATCTCGAAACATCGTCTCGGAGGGGGTAAGTCCGGACCTGAACTTAGACGTTCAGGCGGGACTTGCGCCAGTGCCGCCGCTTGGCGTTGTATCTGTGCATGTCAGTCTCATCCTTTTTTCCCATTCGAGTGCTGTCCGTCCGTCTCTCGGTAGTCCTGCGCTGACGGACTCGTTGCTTCGGAGGCTGTCGCATACCTGATGGTGTTGCCAGTGCGCAGACGAATCCACTGGGGGATGGGGCGGTTCTGGCGCTGAGCCTTAGCAAGCTTTTGCTTGGTGCGGAAGGTCTTGTGGCTCTGTTGGCGAAAATGGTGTTAGTCTCTGTCGAAATAAAAAATTCTGTGTCGGCGGCGGGGAAAACGTGTGGGCGATATCGATTCTGTCGGATTTTTGGGGTGGGATTTACTGACCGGCATCTTGAAGGTTGGACGCGACAGCGAGCTGGATGGATGGGGAAGTGTCGTCGTTCGGGAGGCGGGTGGTTTGTGTGCGGCAGGGCTTGGCTTCGCTTGTGTGTCAGGTGATTTACGCCTGAGGCAGATAATGAGTGATTATGTCATTCAGGCAGAAATATTCATGCCTGGGGGAGGTGGCGCCAGCCGTCGGCGCCAAGCACCAAGGATTGGCCACCATGATACTAATCAAGTAGGCGGTGAGTCGATCGGGAATGACTCAATTCCGACCGACCGAGTTGGTCGCCCGAATGTTCGTCCGGTTTTGCGCCCGGGATTCTTCCACGCCCCCGCGGCCCCGTGAACGCGATGCTACCAGGCCCAATTTTGTGCATGATGCAATTTTGCGTCCGATCCAGGTTTTTACCTTAGATACTCAAAATAAGTACACCCTTTTTTTTTGTCTTGCACATGGCGACCATCCCTGATGTACACGAGTATACTGTAGTAGTTATGGTTGGAGGGTGCTCATCTGCGATGTAGTGAATCCTGAATAGGAAAAAAAACATTGTCCAAGCCCCACCAAACCCACCATTAAAAAACAAGCCGACAGTATCGAATTTGCGCCGCGCTGATTGGCGGATCTCGGTTTGACCCGAGTCGCGTGTGGAGCCTGCAGCTCGCGCTCTGCTACCGAATGTTCTAGTGTACATAAGATGTAATATTTACCCCTGTAGCATAGAGGGTGGTCCTCTCGGATGGTTACGTGTACACCAAATGTAGTTACGCCTGGTCGTATTGCGGGATCCAAGGTTCAGGCAATAATATCTTGATAAGCTCGTAATTACCTTAGGTGCACGTCAGATCGGATGCTCCTTGGGCACTGCTCCATAGTACTTGGAGGGTGGATGCATGCATAAACCCGCCGGAGACTTCAGACTCCGGCCCACCGACCACCGAAGCAGGTCCCCGTTTTCCATCTTGACTCGGAATACGAATCGCCTAACTTGTTTAAGTATTTGACAGTCTAGTCATCCAGATTTAAGCCGACGAATCTGCTCTTCGTGGGTTGCGCGCTGTTCAACCTTGGTTCACATATAGTGCTACTTCCGTCGCTGTCACTACCACTTTTGACGTCCACTCGCTTTCTTCCACCTCTCCCCTATCAACTTCACCTTCACACTTGAGGCTTAGAATTCTCCGGTGCATTCTTGAACCTCGTGCTTCTGCTCCTTGCGCATTGCGCATTCGAGTGAGCTCGGCAAGGGGAAAAGTGGACCCGCAATGCAACAACCCGAAGAAGGCGCCGCCGCCGTCGAAAAGGTGCCAGACGAAGTCGCGACAGACCCTGCCACAGAGAAACACGACGACACCAACTCAAGCAATTTTTCGAAACCTCAAAATGCTGCCAAAGCCCTCGACATCAGCGACGACGCGCTCTTCGCCCACCTCCCCGACCACGAAAAGACAATCCTAAAACTCCAGCTCGATGCACCCGCCGCCAAAATCTCCTTCTTCGGCCTCTACCGCTATGCCTCGCGAATGGATATGCTCATCCTGTTCGTCAGCGCTATCTGCGCCATTGCGGCCGGTGCCGCCTTGCCTCTCTTTACGATTCTCTTTGGGTCCCTCACGACGGCCTTTAAGAATATTTCACAGGGCATGATGGATTATGACAGCTTCTACCATGAGCTCTGCAAGAATGTGCTGTATTTTGTGTACCTGGGTATCGCGGAGTTTGTGACTGTCTACGTCAGTACCATCGGCTTCATTTATACCGGTGAACACGTTACGCAGAAAATCCGCGAGCATTACCTTGAGGCTATCCTGCGACAGAATATTGCGTATTTTGATAAATTGGGCGCTGGTGAGGTTACGACGCGCATCACGGCTGATACCAATCTTATTCAGGATGGGATTTCCGAGAAGGTGGGATTGACCCTCACGGCTATCGCTACATTTGTCACGGCTTTTATTGTCGCATATGTCAAGTATGCGCGGCTGGCTGGTATTTGTACCTCGACCATTGTTGCGCTTGTCCTGGTCATGGGCGGTGGATCTAGGTTCATTATCAAGTATAGCAAACTCTCGCTCGAGAGTTATGGTGCTGGTGGGACTGTCGCCGAAGAGGTGATCAGTTCCATCCGCAATGCGACGGCATTCGGGACGCAGGATAAACTGGCCAAGCAGTATGAAACGCACCTCAAGCTGGCTGAGCGCTGGGGAATGCGTCTGCAGATGGCGCTGGGTGTGATGGTCGGTGCGATGTTCGGCGTCATGTTCCTCAACTATGGTCTGGGATTCTGGATGGGATCCCGGTATCTTGTGGCCGGCGATGTCAATGTCGGCCAGGTCCTGACTATTCTCATGGCTATCTTGATTGGATCGTTCAGTCTGGGTAATGTCAGCCCGAACGGTCAGGCATTTACGAATGCCGTTGCGGCCGCTGCGAAGATTTTTGGGACGATTGATCGCGTTTCGCCGGTTGATCCTACCGTCGACGACGGAAAGACTCTCGACCATGTCGATGGTGACATTGAATTCCGCAATGTCAAGCATATCTACCCCTCCCGTCCTGAGGTAACGGTTATGCAGGATGTCTCGTTGAAGATCCCCGCTGGCAAGACAACTGCCCTTGTTGGACCTTCTGGGTCTGGTAAGAGTACTGTTGTCGGACTGGTTGAGCGGTTTTATCTGCCTGTCGGCGGTAATGTCTACCTGGATGGCCACGATATCCAAGATCTCAACCTGCGCTGGCTGCGGCAGCAGATTTCGCTTGTGAGTCAAGAGCCTGTGCTTTTCGGTACGACCATCTACGAGAATATCCGACACGGTCTGATCGGAACCCGATTCGAGAGCGAATCGACCGAAAAGATTCGTCAATTGATCGAGGACGCGGCCAAGATGGCGAATGCGCACGACTTCATCATGGCGTTGCCAGAGGCGTACGAGACGAATGTTGGTCAGCGCGGCTTCTTGCTCTCTGGTGGCCAGAAGCAGCGTATTGCCATTGCGCGTGCGGTTGTGTCAGACCCCAAAATCTTGCTTCTGGACGAGGCGACTTCAGCTTTGGACACCAAGTCTGAGGGCGTTGTGCAGGCTGCTCTGGACCGTGCTGCTGAAGGTCGGACTACCATTGTCATTGCGCATCGTTTGTCGACTATCAAGACGGCACATAACATCGTTGTCTTTGTTAATGGTCAGATTGTGGAACAGGGGACTCACGATAACCTGCTCGAACGCGATGGTCCCTACTCCAAGCTCGTCGAGGCGCAGCGTATCAATGAGGAGAAGGAGGCTGATGCGCTGGCTGATGCAGACGAGGACTCGGACGAGGCGTTCGAGAAAGAGCAGATTGCCCGCGTCAAGTCGTATGCCAGTGGCGCGTCCAGCCGCAGGATCAAAGACGAGGAGGCTCTCGTCGGCGCAGGCGACGACCTGATCCAACGCGCGGATACCCGCAAATCTGTATCGAGCATGGTACTCTCCAAGCGCACGACCGAAGGAACCCGCAAATACTCCCTCTGGACCCTGATCAAATTCATCGCCGGCTTCAATAAGACCGAGTGGAAGTGGCTTGTGCTAGGTCTAATCTTCTCCATCCTCGGCGGCGGCGGCCAACCCACCCAAGCCTTCCTCTACGCCAAAGCCATCACCGCCCTCTCCCGTCCAGAAAGCCAGTACGCCCAGCTTCGCTCCGACGCCAATTTTTGGTCCCTCATGTTTTTGGTAGTTGGAATAGCGCAATTCATCACCCTCTCCACCCACGGCATCGCCTTCGCCTACTGCTCCGAGCGTCTGGTCTGCAAAGCCCGTGCAAAAGCCTTCCGCATCATGCTCCGCCAGGACATCAACTTTTTCGATAAAGAAGAAAACAGCACCGGTGCCCTGACTTCTTTCCTCTCCACCGAGACAAAACACCTCTCCGGCGTCAGCGGCCAAACCCTCGGCACGATCCTCATGACCTCCACCACCCTCATCGCGGCCATCGTCATCTCCCTCTCTTTCGGCTGGAAACTGGCTCTTGTCTGCATCTCTGTTGTCCCCGTCTTGCTGGGCTGCGGTTTCTACCGCTTCTACATGCTCGCCGCCTTCCAGCGCCGCTCAAAGGCTGCATACGAAGGCTCCGCCAGCTACGCCTGTGAAGCTACCTCCGCCATCCGCACCGTCGCCTCGCTGACCCGCGAACAAGACGTCTGGGACGTGTATCATGGGCAATTGGAAACGCAGGGCCGCGCTAGTTTGATTTCGGTTTTCAAGTCCTCGCTTCTGTACGCCATGTCGCAGGCCCTGGTGTTCTTCTGCGTCGCTCTGGGCTTCTGGTACGGCGGTACGTTGCTCGGCAAAGGCGAATACAACACCTTCCAATTCTTCGTCTGCTTCAGCGAGATCCTATTCGGCGCTCAGTCTGCCGGAACAGTCTTCTCTTTCTCGCCGGATATGGGGAAGGCGAAGAACGCGGCTTCGGAATTCCGAAAGCTTTTCGACCGTCGTCCGACGATCGATACCTGGTCTGAGGATGGAAAGACTCTCGAACAATGCGACGGCACGATCGAGTTCCGCGACGTCCACTTTAGATACCCCACCCGTCCTGAACAGCCTGTTCTGCGCGGTCTGAATTTGAGTGTTCAGCCGGGTCAGTATATTGCGCTTGTTGGGCCTAGTGGGTGCGGCAAGAGTACGACGATTGCATTGCTGGAACGCTTCTATGATGCCCTGGACGGGGGGTGTACGTTGACGGCCAGAATATTGCGGATCTTAACGTCAATTCTTATCGCAGTCATCTTGCGCTGGTTAGTCAGGAGCCGACTCTTTATCAGGGAACCATTAAGGATAATATCTTGCTCGGCATTGAGGCGGATGATGTTGAGGAAGAGGCGCTTATTAAGGCTTGCCGCGATGCGAATATTTATGACTTTATCATGTCTCTCCCGTGCGTTTCCTTCCCCTTCCCCCTCCCCTTCCTCCTTCCAGTCCTTACTAACTCGTGTTTGTGCAGTGACGGCTTCAACACAATAGTCGGCAGCAAAGGCGGCATGCTATCCGGCGGCCAAAAACAACGCGTCGCAATCGCCCGCGCCCTCCTCCGCAACCCCAAAATCCTGCTACTGGACGAAGCGACCTCGGCGCTGGACTCGGAATCTGAAAAGGTTGTCCAGGCGGCACTTGATGCGGCGGCACGTGGGAGAACGACTATTGCCGTCGCTCATCGGCTGAGTACGATCCAGAAGGCGGATATTATTTATGTCTTTGATCAGGGGCGGATTGTCGAGAGTGGTACGCATGCTGAGTTGTTGAGGAATAAGGGGAGGTATTTTGAGTTGGTTAATTTGCAGAGTCTTGGGAAGACGCATTAGCCGCGTACCTCTGGTGTTGGTGAGTGCACACGGCTGTTACTATTTACTCTAATATGTATTTAATTATTTTTTTCTTTTCTGGCGAGCCTTTGATTTCCCCTCCCCTCTACCATCTGATCTCATCTCTTAGCACTCCTCTCAGCATAAATTTGGAGTTTGGCAGCGTGAATAGAAGATTTTTGTTTTTGATGTGATATCCGTCGTAACGATAAATTGTCATAACCCCATAAGTCATCAATCATAATCCAATCATACCATCATAAAATACATCACATAGAATACTCAACTGGAAGGAATTAGTCCTCCCTGATGATAAACCCGCAGTACTCCCGTTCATACGTGTAATGAATGCACTGGTGTAGTGTAATCAATCTCCCTCCCCAACCCCAAACTCCCCCTAACCTCAATAACACGAACCCCACGCGCCTCAGCGATCAGCCCCATCAACCCAAGACCTACATCCTTGATTTCGTTGTACGCGTGTAGCAGGTCGATGTGTTTTTTCACTGTTGTCGATGGGTTGTTTCTATCCCGTGTAAAGGGTCAGTTGGTCAGGTCGGGGTTGGGGTAGGGTGGTTGACGTACTGCAGTTTGGAGGTGACCTCTGCAAGCATGGACTCGGTTGAGGCTATTTGCGTTGTGAGCGTTTCTAACATGGTGGTGAGGGTTTTCTGCGAGTATTAGTATTCGTGATAGGACCGAGCTGAGGTGCTGGAGTTTGTATGGGGGTGTACCAGGCGTGCTTCGCGTTTTGGATCGGTGGTAGATTCGTCCTTCTCGAACTCTTGTGGTTTCATGGATTCATCTGCCTCGCTTTCTTTGGTGTCCATCTTGTCTTGTCGTGTACTACTTACTTGTAGTGGAGTACTTGTGGTGAGGTTGATCCCAGCCAATCACACCCACCGCTGAATAATCGCGGTGTGCCAAGACTGCCACTGGGTTGACTGAGGCTGTGGGGACAAAAGAAAGGAGAGGTGGCAGTGTAGAGTGAGAATAATTAAGAGGGAGGGAGGAAGCGGAAGAGAATTGCCAAATACTAACTGAATTTAAGCTAAGGTTCAAGTTAGTAACGAGTATCGTACCACTGTACCAAAAGTAGGGCGGGCACTGTACAAAGCATTGTTGCTGTCGTAATCGGAAACACCGGATTGGGGAACTTTTGAGGACCTCCTTCCCCGTCGCCATCTCCCCCTCTCTCTCACAACCACCACAACCACCATGGCTTCTCGTGCGCTAGCGGCCATCATCTTCGCGGCTTCCGCGCTTGCCCATGGAGGCCACGAGCATGTCCCCGAGGGCTCGGCTGTCTCGGAGGATCCGATCGTATGTTCCTGCCTTGCTATCGCCGACCCCGTTCCTGTCCCTGTCAAGGTCGGGTCGGCGATGTCTGATCACGACTAATCTGATGTGAAGGACTCCACGCTATGGATTCACATGATCTTGATGGGCTTTGCATTCGGTGCTATCTTTCCGTTTGGCATGGTCCTGGGCGTAAGTGCCTCATCCTCCGCTGGCCGCCGGCCGCAACAATACTCAGGGTACTAATGCTGATGCTTGCTGTACAGATCGTCCGCTCCCGCTGGCACGTCCCCGTTCAAATAGTCGGCACCGTCATCGCCGTCCTAGCCTACTTCCTCGGCCACGCGCACAAAGGCCGCCAGTTCGGCAAAAACGCCCACGCCTCCTTCGCCAACTGGCTCATGCTCCTACTCGTCATCCAAGTCGTGCTGGGCTTCTACCTGAAACTACACCTCGTGAAAGCAGGCCAAGCGCGCATCCGATGGATCTTCGTGCTGGCGCACGGGGTCGTCGGCAAGATCATGCCCGTCGTCTCCTGGGCACAGATGCTCTTCGGCGGTATTGCCGCGCTGGGATTCTGTCAGGATGATCATATGGGACAGTGTCTTGCGCATTTTATTATGGGGTCTGCATTTATTGGGTATGGTATTTGTCTGACCATCCTCTTGCTTGTGGGTCAGTTCTGGTTGCGACGCACTGGGCGCAGTCAGGAGTTTTTTGACTCGCTCATCATTGCGGCTTGGGGGTGTGTTAATACTTTCACTGAGCATCGGTGGGGTCAGCCGTGGGCGCATAATGATCTTCAGCATACGACTATGGGCATTGTTTGGTGGTGTGCTGGGTTGTTGGGCATGTGGCTTAGTCGAAATCGCTATGGACGGCCGAAGCGCAACCTTATCCCTGCCATTGTTATTCTTATGACGGGTTATGCCATGTCGGCTCATCCGCAGACTCTCATGATCTCCACTATGATCCATTCGATTTTCGGGTATACCCTCATGGCCGCCGGTTTTACTCGGATCATTGAGATCTCCTTTGTCCTCCGCGACAAGAGCGCGCTGAGCATGAATGGGGCGGAGCCGAATAGCTTCCAGTACTTGCCTCCATTCGTGCGTCCCCTATCTCGAAATCTAATTGATTCAGAATATAACTAACGAACTGAGTAGCTCCTCTATGCCTCCGGCTTCCTCTTCATGGGCGCAACAGAAGAACAAATGAAACTCCTCAGCGACGCAGGCATCACACACGTCTCCTACGTGCTGATCTTGTACAGCATCGCCTTTATCCTCTTCCTTTGTACGTCCATTCTCCCATCTTCACCCCACCATAGCACACTACTAACAAATTCCGAAAGTCGTCAACGTCCTTCTCCACATCTACGCGATCCACGCCTGGCCAGAAGAAGACTCCGCCGAAGAAGAGTCCGACCCCGAATCCCGCGGTAAATACACCAGTGCAAACGGCTTGAATGGTCGTGCCCGCTCGCAATCTGAGGCGCAGCGTATCCAGGATGCGGAGACGTTTGAACTGCAGGGTCTTATTAGTGATGAGGAGGAGGAGGGGTCTTCGATGGGGCCGAGGAAGAGGGGGGAGGAGATGGGGAAGGAGCATTGAATAAAAAAAAGAGTTTCTTTTGCTTGCTACGCTTGGTATAGTACTTGAGGTACCTTGGGGTGGTGTTTGTATCAACTTCGAAGCTTGTTGGGTTGCGGTTAGATTGGTGCTGTCTTGATATCATGGTGCATTTCTCTTGGGCGTTGGTGGTCTTAGTATATGGTAGATAATGTGGACATACTTTTTGTTTCTAGGTTGTTTTGGGAACTAGTGTACTATGTCTGGTAGATGGTACCAGCTAAGTGGTACAATTACGCATTCTGTTAACTACGATCATCTACTACGAGCTCAGCACGTATGGACCAGTCAAGTGTCATTCAATATCCTACACACCCCCTATTCAAATACTGACTGATCGAATTTCAGAAATCACTTAGAAACCACCCTATGCCTCTACTCTAGGCCTCACATCAGTTATAAGGAAACAATCATGGAATCCGGTCCATTCGTAAATCGTGAAAAATCATGTCGTCATCAGATCACTGCGAGGCCACAAGAATGCAGGGCATTCTGACCAGTGCGTTGAAAAGCACCTAGCGCAGGTCGTTGGAGGGAAGGAAGCGAGGCCCGGCGTATCCATGCGCAATGATGCTTTCAAGGTTCACGCTGCCCTCGCGGCGGGGACCCCAGAGTTTGATCAGGATGAAGCGGCCAGAACTGTTGCTGCGTCAGATATGGACATGTTGGAGTGGAGGGAGAAACGTACACCGCAGGCTCAAACCTGATGGTCACCATGCCATCGTTTTGACGGATCGTGAAACGAGCATGGGGCTTCAAGGGATCTGAGACTGGATTAGTCTCGCCACTCGGGTTCTCCTCGCTTTCTCCGTTAGGCTGCGCCCGGATGGGGTTGATAAGGCTCGGGGTTGCATTTTCGGTCGAGTCGGAGTGACGGGGAGATTGCGATCCAGTCAAGGTGCGTCGAATGGTCCCAATGCGTCGCTGGAGTTCGTTGCGACGACGATTGAGGCTGTGCGTTCCGCGCTCGCTGGGGCCAGTGCCGGCACCACTATCCTCATCTTCGTCATCGTCGTTGAGTTCTTCGTCCTCATCATGTGCGCTGTCATCGGTTTCATGACCGAGAATCCATGCTTCAGCTAGTCTTTGTTGGGCATTAGCGGCGTCATCCGGGAATTCGGGTTCAATGGTATTTCTATGATACACTTGATAGTTCGCGGTAACCCGGAACTCAGGCTGCATGTCAGGCACGTTCGAGTGGGCATTTGCACTGTCACTACTGGTTCGCGAGTCTGGGCTGACCACAACCGTCGGAGCAAGGAAGCGTGAAGGAGTTCGGGAAGGGTTGAGATATTCTTGGGAGGGACGCGAACGACGAAGTTCACGAACACGAGAGTTCGGATAGGAGATCTGGTAACGGTTGGTGCGCGACAGAAGCTCGTCTTTTGTCATCGAGACAAAGACCATACCCTCTTGAGTGCTAGCTGTTGTTAGGAAGGTCCCCTGGTCAGGGAGGCGATAAAATACGTACCTCGAATCAAAGCCATGACGGGGCGCTTTGATTACGAGCTTTTGCAAGGCGAAGGGTGCCTCGTCTCGGTGCTGCAGGATCAAGTTGCAGTGGTTCAACTGGCTGCAGTACTCCGCCATGTCGTCCTTGAGGATATTCTCCGGGTGAGAATTCTCTCCAAGAACAGTAGAAATACCCCCATCGCAGCTTGCGATCTCCATCTGCAAAGGTCCAGGTACAACCTGGCCATAGTGTCCATAGTTGAAACCTCCCATGCCTTCGCGCTGGTCGTCGGTATCCAGCTTGCGACGCTTCAACCGATCCTCTTCACCTTCAGCCCCGTTGCGAGGGGACTGCGACATTGCGGGAAGATATTCTCTTCTCAGAGAACTACTAGGTCCTTGAAAATTGGGTCGAGACGACTGACGTTGGAGTCGTCGATCTGAAGCTGAAGAAGCGGGGCTCAAAGTTGACCGCGATGGCGGAGAGTCTCTGCGTCTTCTGGAATGAAAATCTTGGTGTCGCAAAAGAGTTTCGACAGTGGTTTCGGATCCTTCCTGCTGGGTCTGTGTTCGGTTTCGTGACCGGTTCGACTCCGCGGCTTGGTCGTTCCGCTGTTCTTCGATCTCTCGGTTCAGTGCTTCCAGTGCCCGTCTCGTGGCAGCTGGGTTGCGCGATTGTTCTGAATCTGCTCGAACCAGGTTGCGAAGATAGACAAGCTGGTTTCGGGAGGGACTGGGATCGTGTGGCGTAGTTTCGGAATTTTGTTGCGATGGGTAGAACTCGAGAGGAGTAAGTAAGTCGAAAGGTCGGTCGAAAGTGTTTGGAAGTTCACCGTTGTACGTGACACTCCCGTTCTCAATCCTCCAGGCCGGTCTGAGGGCCGCCCCGTCGATGAGTCGTTGTACTCGATCAGGAAGTGTGTCGGCGGAGGGTGGAGGCGGTTCAGAGTTACTCGCAGCTGGTCGGCGGAGAGAGGAAGAAGCTGGGGGGTGATCGTAGTTGTCCGACTGTTTCACGGTGAGCACTTGGAGTGCTCGGGGGGTAACGAAAGGCTGAATGATTTAACTTACCATCCTGGTTATCAGTTAGTCGGGCGATCCTGGATGAGCGACCGGGAGGCCCGCAAACGAAGCACGGGCAGATTTGTGCGTCGAGAGGGGAAATCATGGGGGAACAACCAGTTGGGGAACGGCCCAGATGGGCCAGCAGTGGGAAAGGAAGAGGTTGTGGAGGGGAAGTTGGGTGGTGCGCGACTGCCTACCTTAACGTGCGCTTGTTGGTGGGCGGTGCACGTGATAAGCGATTAGATCATCGTTGTGGGGAGAGCTTGAGCTTCTTCTTTCCACCGTCAACCCTCTCCCAAACAAAAATGGTGGATTCTGAGAATGGCCAGCAAATTAGCGCCGGTATATCTCTCTCTTATTTATTTTCTGGTGCATTTCGCTAACTTCTCTAGACGAGATCGCGCTCTATGATCGACAGATCCGTCTCTGGGGTGTCCAGGCACAGGAAAAGTATTCCTCCCTCCCAAGCCAGCAATCTAGAATGGGACCTAATCATATACTCAAAGGATTCGATCTGCCAAAATTCTTCTAATTACTGTGAAAGCGCTGTCGAATGAAGTCGCCAAAAACCTTGTCCTTGCGGGAATCGGCTCGCTCACGATTCTAGACCATGAACCGGTGACGGATGCCGATTTGGATGCGCAGTTCTTCCTGGAAGAAGCGCATAAGGATGAGAGTATTATCAAGGATGGAAAAAAGGTATTAATAATACTCGCAGTGATTTTTTCCGGCTTAGGACTGACACGCAGAAACCCAGCGAGCCGAAGTTGCAGGTCCCCAGATCCATCGCATGAACCCCCGAGTGGAGCTGAACATCGACACGGACGACGTTCGAACAAAACAGCCGGAGTTTTTCGCACAATTCGATGTCACGATTGCTACCGAGCTGGACTTTTCAACAAACACAACCATCAACGCCGCGTGCCGTCTCGCTAATCGTCCGTTCTACGCTGCCGGTCTACACGGATTCTACGGCTATATCTTTGCCGACCTTATCTCGCATGATTTCGTGATCGAACGCGCTAAGTCAAACGTCCCCTCTCAGCAGCAAGAAACTCCTACCCGGAGTATTGTGGATGTGACAACCAAGAAGGACAACGACAAGATCATTGAGCTTGTCACCAAGCGCGAAAAATACAGCCCTTTCCTTCTCGCGAATAGCTCTCCTCTGCCCGACGACTTTACCCGTCTACCCCGCCGGCGCAAGCAGATCACTCCGTTGCTGAGCTGTCTCCGCGCCCTTTGGGAGTTTGAGAAAAACTCCGGCGGCCGTCGCCCCACCTTCCAGCATACAGACCTAGAGTTGTTCACCAAGATGTCAAGAGAAAGGCACCAAGAGCTCAAGCTGGACCTCGCTACGCTGGACTCTACATTCTTGCGCTCGTTCTTGCAGAATCTGGGCTGTGAATTGAGTCCCGTGGCTGCTTTCCTGGGTGGCGCCCTTGCACAGGACGTAATTAATGTTCTTTCGGCGAGGGAACAGCCGTTGCAGAACATGCTTCTGTTTGACGGCGAGAAATCTCAGGGTCCAATTTACCCGCTTCATCCATTCTTCCCTGCTGAATTGGGTATGGAATCCCTTGCTGCTGTTCCGCCGGTTAGCAATGCTATTCCAAGTCATCCTGCTCCACCGACAACCACGTCGTAGGAGGTTTTAGCCGGTCAAATTGATTCGGCGTCTCAGGATATAAGTGTAGGGTTCATGCAATGTTTAACGAATTTCTTTGGTGCCTGCTTATAGGTAAGAGAGTGGCATATACCATAGCAACAGCAAGATTTGAATGAATTGATTTGTGATAACTGGACATTGTGGCGGATGATAAACTGTGCTCATCTACTTGTCCCAACTAAGGGATATATCCTAATTATGGGTAGATATAATGTAAGCGGTGGATTTTTATCAAATGTGGTCATGGCAGGCACCACCTAGGCAGTTACGAATGTCGATACAGGTTGCTTTACCATAAATCTTTGTTATCGTGGTATCGTCTGATGCACTGTTCTTGCGGGGATATATATTCGACCCGTCGGCGACGAATTTTTCAAAATGGCCAGAGAATTACCGAAAAGTGTCCCAAACCAACAAAAAGGACTAGAGCAAGAAATTCGGCACCCAAGTGTATTTTGTTCTCAAATTATGTCATGCTTCTAGACCAAAGTGTCCTCGCTTTAGCACCAGTGCCAATGCCAAGACATCAGATCAAAGAGACAAATTAAAGCTTTCAGTGGCATAATTGCACTACCCCGTCCAAAAGTCGGATATTAACTTAAGAGGTCAAAAAAACAGTCACACGATTGATTTCCATTCTGACCGAAAACAGAATAAGGATGCAAAAGAAAGTCCTCAGCGAAGGTGAGGTTGAACAAAAAGCAAAAAAGAAGTGCTCACGTCCAGATTCGAACTGAAGACCTCGGCATTACTAGTGCCGCGCTCTACCAACTGAGCTACGCGAGCTGATTGGATATACCGTGAATATACTTATGCTTTATAAATGCTGCAAATATGTGGAAGATTTTTATAAAAAAGGAGAAAAGTAGAATGCCCCCATCCAGGATCGAACTGGAGACCTCAGGATTGCAACTCTGTTACCAGAGTCGTCATATGACAAGATATGAGACCTGCGTCATAGCCAACTAGACCATAGAGGCGATTCATGTCAAAGAATTCGGAAAAGAGATTTATCTCGGCTCCTAAACCAGAAGTAGGTGAGCTCTTTTGCTGCGCCTAACTGTTTGTAGGCTGGTTCACCACCCTGGCAGAAACCGCGCTCACGAAGACATTCAGCAATATAGTCGAAGACCCGGTTCAGCCTCGACCATAATGATTCTATGCCCGATTGGAGCTAATGCCAGGACTTTATCGATTGGGAGACTCTTGTACACATGGCAGCACGGGCCCGGTTATCCCGAAGAGGGCTTAGCAATCTCCAAGGCCCGAGAAGGGCTGATACGACCAAGCCCGGTGGGCCGGGAACATGAGAGCCCCATCTCCGAGCCCGAGTATATAATCGTTCCAACACCCTCTCCTCACTATCTACTAGTGCTAGGGCCCTGCTCTTGACCGGATCTTCTGACAGCCTACCCCATTTGTCTCTAAACATTCTCCTCCCCTTCCCTCACATCCATATCTACACATCCACTCCCACCATGCATCGCTCCTACGAAGCCCGCTCGGGTTCGGGCTCTCCCGACCACAGCAACAGCAGTGCCTTCAGCCCTAACGCAAACCCCAACGAGGACTGGACCAAGCTTCCACAGGAGAGAACATTTGCATCGAGCGTCTCTTTGCTCGACAACCTTCCCACAAGCTACCATTTCTACGGCATACCTCAATGCTCGGCGAACACAGACAATGCGCTGTTTGAAACAACTACGCAGCTCGATATGGATCAGACCGCTTGGAGGAGCCAGCCGGGCATCGCGGAAGATGATCTGATCAATATGGAAACTTCTGAGGCCCATCAATGGCTTTCAAGTGACACTGCTGCAGGAAGCGATGCCACATCCCACGATTTTCCAATAGCTTCAGCAGAGAAGCAAATGCCCGAAGGCATGGAGAACAAGAAACAAAAGATCAACCGATCTGGCCGTGACTATTCTTGTGGTACTCTGACATTGTAAGTCCCCCTTTATCATGCATTGGGATACATTTTTGATCTTATTATGACAGCCAACCTCGTCCCGGACCATTCGAGTGCGGCTGGCATAACTGCAAACACGTTGGCAGCTTTTCACGCCAGGCAACCCTATGGCGTCATATCAAGAGTAAACATCTTGACCCTGAATCTTATACTTGTATGATTTGCAGTTACAAAACCGGCCGCAAAGACAAGTTCCAGGATCACGTTCGCTTTGCGCATAGTCGTAATTGTACCTGTCATGTGGGTTGATTAGAGTTTGGGTTTTCATGGAGCTTAATGGGTCTATGCTTCAATTGGGTTCGGAAATACAGAGCTCTATTTTGTCTTCATATTACCGGAGGATGACTTGGAATGTTTCCAAAATATCATTTGCTGCGTTGTTTTTGTATGGGCTTATTAGTGAAGACGTAAAATTAAGATGCAGGATCTGGATTTCAAGGACATGAAGAGAATTGAGGAGCAGATATGAGGCGATTCATGTTATAAGGCCCAGAAAATAAATTTATGAATCTAAATAGTCTGTTTCTGTACTCACCGTCCCCGAGTCCTTGCAACATTAGCGACCACGCCGTCCATCCTTTGCATCTCGCAGGACTGACATAACATAGAGCAGTGGAATGTAAGCTACTATGTTTTGAAATTCAAATACTGGTATACAACCATGTACGTCCCTATGCAGTACGCTACTGACAGCAGTAACTACTAGCCTGGCTTATGTTAAAGGAATATGCGCATCATCCATTGCAGAGGGCGGCATACCCCGATCCCTCTATACTGTGGAACCTTATACATCAAAAACATTCTGTCGTCATTATTGAAGCAGATAGTCATGATGGCTATTGACTGCATGCCGTTCCTCGCCACGTGAGGTTTCGAACCCGGGAAGGGAACTTGTATGATTACCTCACCGAGTTGATTTTGCTGCCACACTCGTGACATACTCATCAAATATAAAGGTGTGATTCGTACACAATAGCGAATAGAATGATACAGGCTAGAAAACGAACGTTTTGAGTTTGAGACAAGTAATGCATGCTTACAAAGGGGAGGTGAATTTAATGAAGGCGCGTTGAGGCTCAGACCGTCAATACATTTCCCTTGCCGCCTTGATTTCATGTGTATGCATGCTGGGTATTCGGCGCACATAAAATGCGAGGCGGCTGACGGAAAGATACTATCACGGTTCACGCAGATAGCACGTACACCAACCGTACCATAAAATTGTAGCCCCTAAAGTAGCAACCCAGGAACCCCACTTATCGACAGCTGCGAAGTACTTTTGAAATCACTCGAGCACCCGAAGGGCCCTATCCCTCTCAAGTGATGATCTTTTTGATCTCAAATTATTTCAAACATTGCATACTATCCCAATTTGCTCACTTACAATTTTCTTCCAAGGCATGCTTCAATATGGGACCTCACATTCAAAGTACTTCAGTTACACGTCTGCCGAGTTATTCGGTTAAAGAAGAACGTCAATGGAGCCGTGGTGGCTTCTTATTTATCTACTGTGATCTTTACAGAAAATTGATTAAAAAGCGAGAGTCTCCGGCTTGGCAGGACATGCCAGCACAGTCACGACCTTGGTAAGGGTGGAATGAACAATGTGCACTGGGGGGTGCTCAGGATTCACAGTCGCAATATCGGTCACCTGGGGTGCAGAGGCAGAAACATTGCCGCCGACATGCTCGACGGGAGAAGGAGTCTCAACAGCACCCGCACCCGCACCTGTACCGGCACTGGCGCTGGCGCTTGTAGTCTGGATGGGAACAATGGGAGCAGCAGCGGTGGGAGTCACTTCGTACACAGTAGTTCGAGCAACGAGAGTCTCAGTTGTAACAGAGGTAGTCTTCTCGCGAGAAGGGCAGTCGGTCACAGTTGAGGGGCAGGCAGTCACAGTAACGGTGCGAGTTGACAAGATTGTCTCAGTGGTGTAGTGAGGACCACCAGCATTACTGGGTAAAGGAGAAACAGGGTATTCGGTGATGACAGCGCCACCGGGAGCAGTGGTAGTGGTAGCTTCAACAGGGCAGACAGTAGTCGAGACGAGAATGGTTTCGGTAGTCACGTATGTGCTGCGGGCAGGGCAGTTGGTCACAGTCTTTGCGCACGCGGTAATGGTCGAGGTGCGAGTCGTTAAAACGGTGGAGGTGGTGAGAGGAACATCCGACGAGGAAGAACCGTTCCCGGAGCTTCCAGTGCCTGGAGAACCATTTCCAGAAGATCCGTTGCCAGACGAGCTACTGCCTGAAGAGCTGTTGCCAGAAGAACCGTTCCCAGAAGGTCCAGAACCTGAAGAGCCGTTACCAGAAGAGCCATTACCTGAAGCACCATTCCCAGAAGAGCCATTGCCCGAAGGTCTGTTACCCGAAGATCCGTTTTCCGAAGATCCGTTGCCAGACGAGCCGCTTCCCGGAGTGTTGTTGCCAGTAGAACCGTTGCCAGAAGAGCTATCCCCAGAAGAACCGTTGCCAGTACCCTCGTTGCCCGAAGAGCCACCGCCCGAAGAGTCGTTGCCACCAGCTCCGTTGTCAGAAGAGCCACCTCCAGAAGAATTGTTGCCATTACTTCCATTGCCTGTAGAGCCGCTGCCAGGAGAGCCGCTTCCACTGCCGGACCCGTTTCCAGATCCATTAGAGCCAGGAGTGCTGCCATTAGAAGATCCGCCAGCTCCATCGCTAGGGAGAGGGAATTGTCCGCCGGTTTGAGAGGGAGATGTCACATCACCAGAGGGAGTTTGGGTGGCAGAGATGGAAGCCGAAGGGGAGGCGATGGGAACAGAGCTCGATTCGACGGGGCGGAGTGTAGGGCGCGACGAGGGATGCGAGTGCGAGGTCCAGGTTACGTGAATGAGGGATGACGAGGGTGCGGTAATGCTGGACTGGGAGCTCTGGCCAGAAGAAGCGGCCTGACTGGAAGAAACAGGTGGGATGCTGCTAGCTAGATGAGTGGTGGTAGCGAAAGAGCTGGAGGGGTCCAGTGGGGTCGAGGATGGGTGAGCAGAAACGTGCGAGGACGAGGCGTGTTGAGATGAAGCGACTGCGCTGCTAGAGAGGGGAATGCTGGAGGGCAGGCTGGTGGAAGAAGCCGGAGGAGTGGAAGCTGGGGCGGTCGAGATGGTGGTGCAGGAAGTAGTTGTCTCTCCGTTTGAGATTTTGAAGTTGTCCACGGCAACACTTGTTTCTGGGTTTTCGGGGCAGATAATATCAAGCCGCAGAGATCCACTGGTAGTCGAGGCCATAAACTCGCCTGAGAGAGTCGCCCAAGTGTTCGCCGAATACACGGGTCCCATTCCATCAATATAAGTTGTCGAGTTCTCTACCATCCACAACACCAAATCGCAGTTGGCTGCAGAACCCGCGGCCTGCATCCGATATTCGACTGAAGCTGTGTACGTGGTCCCAGCAGTCAGGCCAGAAACCGTCTGTTCAAGTCCAAAAGCCACAGGAATATCCTCAGGGCTAATGTTGATGTTGCTCACTTCCCTATATTTAATTAGAGATCGGTTGGGAATTAGGACAACAAGAAGACTTACGCATAGTAGTTACCGTCCGGTCCATCGGAGTCAGCGACTACAGCCATAGTAAAGGTGGAGTCGACATTGATCCATCCATTCAACGAGCCTGATTCAAAAGAAGGGTTCGAAACCAGATTGCCTGGGATCGTGGTGCAAGAAACGGTGTTTTTCGCCGCAGCCGAGCTGGCAAGCAGCAAAGGCAAGGATGCCTGCCGCACAAATTGCTTGTCTGAGGTATGATCAATAACAAGCACAGGAAGCTGGCCATAATTCAGTAGACTTACAAGTCATTGCAGAAAACAATCAGAGTCGACTGGAACAATTGAAGTAGATATTAAAGAGTGAAAGACTGATATAACTATACCGATGAAAAAAGAGTGAACCCAGTAATAACTGGAATAACGAACGAACGGCACCACACAACCGAGAATCTTTGCCTTTCGACAAGATAGCTTGCCACTATGTTATATACTGCCGTGACCATGAACGGAGGCTGAAACCATCCAAGATTAGAGATCCACCTGTCGGCCAAAATTGCCTGGGTGGATCGTCAGCGGCGCCATTGAACTTGGCCACCACGCGAGCTCCGTCCACTTAGATCGGGGAATCGCACTTTCGATAACGGATTGCGGTTAAAATATCTACATTGCCCAGGGTTTCAGTCCCCGAGCCCCAAGCCCCGAATCAATAGTTCCTCGGAGGCGTCACGCTAGTACGGGTGTTCCTGAACGGTCGCGGGGCATTCAAGAGAGGTATGCAATGACAAATTCGGCGACGGATATGACCGATACCATCCAATCAGATAACTGGTTTTATTTTCGGAGGGGTTCTGTTTCAGAGGTGGGCCGATTAATTCATCGTGGACGTTGAGCGCACGTTTGCGAGCGGTCTCGCGATGTGGGCTTCGCCGATTCAACCATGTGTGCTGTCAGCGTGGCGGTTGTCAGGAAACTTGGCAAGAGCTCGGATTTCATAAAGCAGGGGGAGCCATGGCCACCAAAGGGTCGAAGAGGCACAGAAGGAAATTATGCGTGGATTCCTTAGAGAGTTATGCGGCGCCGAAAACTTCCCAACGTTGTAGTTGACAATTGAGTGGCATCTTGAAGCCTCAGGCAGACATAGGCAGACACAGCCCTTTCGGCCTTGCCGCCGATGCTACTCACTACACTAGCACTGAAAATGTCAGTGCGTGTGATAGGAAAGAAAGAGAACGATGGAGATTGTCCGTTGAACATTTATCAAGGGTTATCCACACCCTGGTGCGCTCCTGACGTCTTTGTTTGTCCATTTGTGGAGGAGTCGCAAGTGTGCGAGTTCCATTGCTAATACACTTTGGCAGAATGCGTGGTTCTCGACATTCAGCAGAAGGAGATTCCTAATTAGATGTGATGGCCAACTCGTGGTGACTTTCCCCGCGCAGAGCTGCTTCTAAACACAACTCCCCACCTTGAATTTGGCCCCCAATATTCGGAATACCCACGGTGCCGTTGAAGACGATGCAGGCTTACACCCCACACTCGACTGCAATACCATAATTCTGCGCCCAGTGACATGTCAGATACTTATACTTGCAATATGTCGATGAAATCATTCATGATCACACGACTCATAGTGACGGACTCGTGGACGTGCATCGGGGATTAGCATCGGCCCGAAGGATCTGACCGGAAGAGACATACAGGTACCTGAAACACAACTAGGCTAGGACAGAAAAAAGTCGTCACCTCGAACCTAATCCTCCTTGCATCCTTCAGGACGACAATCCTTCACCATGCAGATCTCAACGTCCCGTCTTTTGCAACCGTTGCCAATAGCAGCCGCTCCTTTACAATCTGCGACCGGGCCCTAAACTCCCCAGGGAAAGTGCTGCGTTGGTTTCGGCCCAATGCCATGCCTTCTGTGCAGTATTATGGGGCCGCAGGATCAACCTATGATGGGAAAGGTGTCAGGCATACCATAAAACTGGATTGTTCCCATGGACATGGACCCAGGGCGGCCTGGTCTTGTCGCTCGCAGGACGAAATCCTTCGCCTTTGCATTATACTGTCAAGACTGCCCCCACAGATTATTCAAGGAGAAACTTGTGATGCGTGGTAAGTGACCTCACGGACTCATCATGGAGAATCAGTCTGTTGAGGATGTTCTTGGTCCGCTGCCGGTCGGTATGGACTTGTCGGAGAACAGAGCTCACAAGGACAATGCGGTTGTTATTACTTTGTGTGTCGTGACTGTGGTTATGGTGATATTGCGCTTTGTTGTGAGGACACGAGGGCAAAAACCTAGACCTGAGCTCGATGACTGGCTGATTGCAGCTGCTGTTGTGAGTTGCATCCCTAAAGTGTTGCCGAGCAGAAAGGCTTTGCTAACCACTCTCAAAATAGATCCCGCTAATGGCGCTTCTTGCTGCGTCAATACTAGCTGGGCATTGGGGTATGGGGAAGCACATCTGGGCAACAACATTGCAAAAGGTTGTGGAGATGAAGAGGGTAAGACAATGAATCATTTCGCTATGAGATATTCAATACTGACATCCTTTGCTAGATTCTATTTGCCTGGATATTCGTCTACATCTTCGAACTCTTCGTCATCAAAGTCTCAATCCTAATGTTCTACCGCCGCATCTTCGGAATGAACTCGATGATCTGGACTTGCCTTGCCCTTTCAACAGCCTGGGTTACTGGCAGCATGATAGCCCTTCTAGCATGCCCCGATCCAATCCCATACTTCTGGAATCAAACAGTCGATCCCTTGGGCGGACGTTTCCGATATAATTTTTACAACTACTACATCGGGAATGCCGCGGGAAATGTCGTGAGCGATGTATTCATCCTGCTCGTGCCATTCCCTATTGTGTGGAGACTGAAGATGCGGGTGACGCAGAAGCTCATGGTCTCTGGTGTTCTTCTTCTGGGCGTATTGTAAGTTATCCTCCGAGGTTTCTTACATCGTCGCTAATACTTCTAGTGTCTGTGCTGCGAGTATTATCCGCCTACATTATGTCCATTACCTGAATTCACCGGATCTGACGTGGGTTATGAGTGATGTGTATGTTTGGTCTGCTGTTGAACCATGCCTCGGGATCATCTGTGGTAGCCTCCCGGCTATGCAGCCACTTGTTCGGTCTGTCATGAAAATGGAAACTCTATTCCAAATACGCCCGCAGTTTCGTCGCGGTAAGCCCTCGTCAGCTGCGCACGTGGGTGATACGGGCAGACTTCAACAGTGCAGCAGCAATAATGGTAGCATGGCTAGCAAGTTGACACCTGTTAATAGCTTTGAGGCAAAGCCTGAGATAGGCTTGCAGCAGTATGATGATGAAACGAGATTAACGACTGTTGTCACTCATATCGAGTCGCAGCGGTCCAACGGGTTGAATAGAAATTTGGAGGAGCTGCTGGGACCGCCTGGTTTTATTCGTGTTCGGCATGAGGTCGAATTGAGCGTGGCTTAGTCATTTACTTGAAAATGCCGACTACAATGACGTGCGCTTTTCACTATTCCGATACTCTTTTATGACTTCGAATTCTAAGCTACAGCGCTTAAAATTCTACTAGTGGTTGATGAACTGCAGATACGAGAATAAAGATGCCTTCGCATTTGCATAACAGCATGAAAAAAAACCTAGTATAACTGGGAGAAAACCCAGGCCAATGCCGAGAGTATGCTCGTCTCGACACTCCGAAGAGAGTCATCTCCAAACTCTCGGACTCCCATACAGACTGCGTGTGTCCCCTAAAGACCGTATCTAGCATTGAATCAATAACCGACCTAACGAGGCAAGGTTGGATGATTGCTGAGCTCACATCTGAGATATAGCACGAGATCTGTAGACCGAAAATTGGAGTGTCGATTAGTGTTCTACTTGTGATGAAAGAGTTCATCCCTGGGTGCTCAGGAAATTTTGAATTGGGGTTTTAGATCATCTTGGCCACTTACACAATGTGGAAGAGTGAGGCTTGAGCGTGTTTAGCTTTCTTAAGTTGACGTCAAGAAACTCATCAACTATTTTTGACGCTTGTTAGTAGCGCGCCATTTAGTAATAGCTAGATACTCACGCCTATTCATGTCGATGTTGGATCAGAATTGTGTGAATTAACTCATATTTTGAATGTGATTCATATACTCACGTCCTGCTCTCGCCGTTACTTGGTCAGCTCGTCTCATCCTCTTTTGGTTTCACTGCTTCATTGATGTAGGAAAGTCACACGCTGTTAAATTCTTAGCTCAGTAGCTGTATCCTTGTTGTTATCCCTTAGAAGTAGTCGAGTGACTTACCAGCTAAATAAGAAGTGATTTGCTAGTTTTATCCGAGTTCTCAATCTTAATACAAGATCAGATGACTCACCACCTATTCGTGGAAGCTTTTAGCTGGATTTTCTATAGTTAATCAAAGTTGTATAATTGTTCAACCTACCACCTTGTTTGTATCCTGTTAGCGGCATGTTATCTGGCCTTTTATCAGCACAAAATTTACTTACAGCCTATTGCATGGATTTTAGCCAGTTTCTCGTGAGATTGATGTTGTCAATGGACTCACTCTTGCCTATGTCATAATGTTTTAATAAGATGCGAAAGTGTAGGGTAGCGGAGCCAATATACTTACCGACTGCGCCAAAAATTTTGATGAGCTATCCTGGTAGCTTTGATGTTCTCTGGATTCCGTTTAATTGATTGAATTACTGGAAGTGAAATTTTGTTTCAAATGGCTCTTACTCGTGTTTGATTGTTGACCTGGTGTCATGGAATGCGAAAAGCTCATGCGAGGGACTAGGAAGAGTCCAGAATATGCAAATAATGCCTGCCCCCCTCCTTGCATCGCCAAAAATGGCGCTATAGGTGGTATATGATAGCCTCATCTACTGATTAGAGTAAAATCCCAAATTGATGAGCAAGACGTGGAAAACACGCCCGAATGAGAAGTAATGTGAGAGCACTGGATGAATTTGGAGTAGACGCGAAGAAGCGATTTAGCATCAAAATTTAGCCTGCCTGGATAATTCAATTGATGATGGCACAAAGTTAAACATGCCATGGAATTAAAATTGGTACATCAGCTTTAAGGTAGATCTTTCTATTCCGCTTCTGGATTGTCTAGCTCCATTTCGCCAACATGGAAACTCGGAGGAGGCCCGAGATAGCATTCTTTGACACCACCAAGATCGACAACAATCTTCTCGAGCAGCAAGTTCGAATGCTTCAAGCGAACGCGAAGCAGGTGCTCCCCGCTTTCTAGACAATCGATCTTGTGAGTTCTCTTCCAAACACAATCCTTGACAGCTTCAAGCCAGCCTTCGGCTGGCACCTTGCTTTCTTTATCCGGTAAGGCAAGGAGGTAGTGTGACGTGGTGGGCTGATTGTCAACGCCGATATCATATGAAATCCGATGAGTCGGGTCAATCTCAAGCGTCAAGTTAAAGTAAAGAGTAACAGTGGCTGGTGCGGTGCGCGAAAATATGTAAATCGGATACTTGAGAAAGGGTACAGTTTCATCATTCGAGACTGAGGCTCTGAGAGTCACGGATCCATTAGGACCACGTCCAAGCTCTGGATGATGTTTGTATGGCTCCTCAATCCCCATTCCGACTGCAGGGATGGAGACATAGCCTTGTTTCTCGATGAATCCGGAGAACGACTTGGGAACACGATGTCCTTTGATAGGAAGATGGACTTGTTCGAAGTCTCCTTCTTTGGAAAGAATATTGATCGTAACCGTCTGGTCGAAGTCAGTTGGCACGTCCTGCCAAAGGACACTAACGCGAATAGATGCATCGTAGTCGTCTGGACCGAGAACACCGTACGATGGCCGTAGCAAAATCCACGGATAGGATGTTGAGCACTTCCAGTGAATTCTTTTTGTTCCACGGTTGAAGATTTCAATCCGCGAGTCGTGATTGTTGTATAAACTCAACGGAGGCAAAGTCAAACCTGCGACGAGATCCCGTCGACTGGGATGAGTTCGCTCACTTTCTTCGTTGATTCTACCTGCACGGATGCCTTCGTGGCCTTCAACAGCTACTCCCATGTGACCCATGATAGCATTGCTTTCCTGGCCTCGCTGCACGTAGGCGAGACCAAAGATCGCGTCGCGAGATGGGGCATGCCAGGTATCACCGTAGCCCATGTGCGGCTGACACATTATGTGATTCCATTTACCATCCAAAAGTGTATGAAATTCTTGTGAGAGTTTGAAATCCGCATCAAAAAGATCGAGCACATCGCGAAGGAGCTTATTTGCTGAGTTGCGTCGCTGCCGAGCGTATAGCTGGTTTCGGGCTTGGGCGATTCGAAGACGTGTGAAGATTGAGCTGGCCTTGACAGGATGGACCACAAGCTGCCAAAAAGCCGGCTTTTGATGTCCAGGAATGGCCTCGTAGATTTCTTCTGTCAATGTTTCAAGCATCTGCCATTCAGATTCGACGCCGTCTGCTTCACCGTAATGAAGTAGTGAGAATGTATCCGGCTCAATGTGCTCGTGCCTGCGCATACGAACAAGACGATCATATTCCTGCCATATCCTAGCTATCTCCCAACCATCTGTTTGAGGAAAACATTCCGTGGAGAGCGTGAAAAGAAACTTGGAAATACTGTCGCATTGAACAGAGTCGATGTTCCAAGCCATAGACATAGCGAACGTTAGAGGAACTTCCATCGGCTTGATGTCACCCACGTTGAAAACCCATATTTTCTTGGCATTTCGCTCGTGTGCCTGGTGAAGTTGGTGGTAGATCTTACCCTTCAAGTGAGATATAGTTAACAGCTGAGTGAGAGCTGGGATCACGGAATATACATACCAAAGAATTCGGGTTGATCCACTTATAACTACGAGGTGCACCGACGTACTCGAAATGGTAATAGATCTAGAGAAGGTCTGTAAAAAGAGAAGCAAGCGTTGAGGGATGTTGAACTTACTCCAGCACCCCCAGCTCTTGTCTTCTCTAAACCAGACGGCAGACGGCGTAGAGCACCGAAATTGTCGTCCGCAAACAGAAGCGTCACATCATCCGGAACGGTGAATTCACCTGCTTGATAGAGATCCTGGACTTCTTTGTACAGGGCTAGCACCTGAGGCACAGCATCCTCGCGCCCATGTATCTCTTTGAACAGAGCGCGCTGCTGTTGCAGAACATCGCGGACCACAGCACCAGGATCACTTGTTGTCATGCCTTTGTCGTACTCGCCTCGAATCCCCATAGTAAAAAACGATTCCAGCCCAATTGCACGCTGAACACCTTTTCTGAAAAAATCGATGATCTGGTCTCGATGCGTCGTCCAGTCCCATGAGCCATCTTCATGACCTTCATGAAACCACTCTGTCGTAGCCCGCTGCATTGGCTCATGGTGCGAAGTCGACACACAGATCCCATACTCATCGGCGAGTCGTTGATTTTCAGGGTCGTCAACGAAGAAAATGGCGCCTGGGTTCGGGTATCCAGGCCACATGGCGGGCCACATAAAGTTCGCCTTAAGCCGAAGTAACAGCTCGTAGACCTTCTTGTAGAAATTGGAATTGTATCCGCCAAATTTCTCCAAAACCCAGCCGGTCAGTGCAGGGGCCTCGTCATTGATGAAAATGCCGCGATATTGAATACTCGGCTCGCCTTGGGTGGTCTGAATGGGGTGTGCAAAGATTTCTTCGTAGAATTGGGGAGGAACATCTGCCCACCAGTACCATCTTCACCGCTGTTAGCAGTTGGCCATTGCTGGATATGAGGGAACTACTCACGGAGAAACGCCGATCTGGCGGGAGAGTGTGTATGCGCCAAAGATGGCACCGCGTTTATCGCTTCCGGCAATTACTAAGGCTTTCTCGCAGCCATTCAGTGGGTTGTCAACCACTCTTGTGGTGAAAGACTCCCATTTCCCACAGATCGCGCCTGTATCGATTCGTCCCGATTCTTCCAGCTGCTTGATCATCCAGCACGATTCGATGCAGCCGATGATGATTGCATTGGAGCTCTCAAGCTCTAGAGGATCGGCTTGCTGCTTGACCACAGTCTGGAAAGGGCTGACAGGACCCTTCGTGACCCTAGAGAAGTCCTCCGCAAGATTTCGTGCTGCATGGTGGATTCCCTTGAAGTCGTCCTCGTCGACCAAGATGGTCGCACCCACAAGACTGAAAAGTTCCGATGAGCCGTCGCTATGGAAAGTGACAATCTGTTCCTCAGGCATGATGTCCGCTGCTCGTGGCGACAAGCACAGTCCCTCGGTGACAAGAACAGACGCGTTGGTGGTGTCGAGCGCCACCCCCCGCCTTTCCGCAGTTAGGCGACTCGGAGAAGCTGCAGGTGGAACTGCGGCGCACGGAAAGACCCGCTTGATGGCTGGTGGCCAGCAGTAGTACAGTAGTAACACTCTCGGGTTGTTGCTGTCCCGAGCTGCGGCCAAGTGGACCCCGAACTAGAGTTGATGCGGCTACCTCCGCTGACGATCGGCTCTCAGTGCCGAGCCGGGCCTGGTTTTCAACTCGTTAGTAGCTCGCTTAACGAGTCTCGCGGTGTTGAGAGCCCGACGGGAGATTCTCGGCGGACTTCCGGGCGTGGGGGTGTATCCCCATGGGGGACGAGGTGGATGAAGTCCTCCCGAGCCCACAACGGAGGGCCGCTCCACCCCCGCATCTCCAGACACTTTCCTGCACTTATACAACAAGGGGGTTTCCTGCGTTTTGTTTATCCTACAAAGAGCCATCATGCCTGACAAAACAGATAATCAGGAAATCGAAAATGCCGTCGGCGTCGGTATCCACGATGAAGTCCCGCAGAAAAACCACACGAACTATAACTTGGTCGACAAGGAGGTTGCCAAGTACGCCACCGATACGGCGATCGAGATCGATGAAGCCACAAATAAGCGCCTGAAGAAAATGATCGATAAGCGGATTCTGGTCGTGATGATGATTACGTATTTGATCCAGACAATCGATAAGGGGGCGTTGTCATTTGCGTCGATTATGGGAATAATGGAGGATGCTCATTTAGGGGACAACCAGGTCAACTCCTCCTCTACCAGAACGTGTTGAGAGAGAAAGTTACTAACCGCTAGCAGTATCAATGGCTGACAACCGTTGTTTATCTTGTTATCCTCTGCGTCGAATACCCGGTATGCATACACATGGAAATCAAGGGGGCAAGGGGAAATGTATTGACGGCGACCAGGAAAACTGGATCATCCAGCGTGTGCCTATTGCCAAATGGCTGTCCCTCAATATATTCCTGTGGGGAGTCTGCATTGCGCTTATCTCAGCGATGAGAAACTTCACCGGCCTGGTCATCCTGCGTGCTTTCATGGGTGCCTTCGAAGCCGCATGCCAGCCGACCTTTGTAATTCTCAGCTCAACCTGGTATAAGCGTGAGGAGCAAGGAAGCATCATCAACCTTTGGTTCGTACCTCATGCCCTAAGAGAAAACATCTGTGGCTGACAGTCCCCCAGGTACATGATGAATGGCATTCAAAATATTGTCGGAGGTCTTTTAGCCTTCGGATTCTCCTTTATACCGTCTACCTCACCAGTCAAGTCCTGGGAAGGCCTCTTTATGATGTACGGTATCCTGACCGTGATTTGGGCGGTTTTCGTGTACTGCTGGATGCCTGACTCGCCTATGCGCGCAAAGTGCTGGACAGAGGAAGACAAGCAGTTGATGGTTGAGCGTGTCCGACAGAACCAGACCGGTCTGCAGAACCGGAACTTTAGGAAGGAACAAGTCTGGGATGCAATCACAGACCCTCAGCGTGTGTACCTTGCCCTATAGCAAGACGAATCATTTTGCTGACGGTTGCAAGTATACGCATTTGCGCTCATACAGATCTTGACATCGATCCCCAGCGGCGGAATTGGCGCCTACGCAAATATCATCATCAACTCGTTCGGCTACAGTACTTGGGAGAGCCAACTTCTGACCATGGTAGTCGGCGCCGTCACTGCGCTCACGATGATCATCTCAGCCTACCTTGATCGATCATTCGGACATACGATATTCATCATGATCGGATCTGTTGTTCCCTCCATCATCGGCACGTCGATCCTTATCGGAATTCCCTTCTCTGCTGATAAACGGGTCGGGATGTTGATTGCATACTGGATCTTCTACTCCTTCTTTGCAGTTTCGTCCCTCTCACTGGCTCTTCTGTCTCGGAATGTCGCTGGTCAAACCAAAAAGACGATCGTCATTGCGTCGAACTTTGTGTTCTGGGCAGCTGGTAACTCTATCGGGCCGCAGGTCTTTCGCGATAAGGATGCACCTCGGTATTACCTTGCTTTCTCGATTCTCCTGGGTTGTTTTGTTCTTGTTGTGATTACTTTGACTCTGCTACGACTGTGGTACTCGATCCAGAACCGCAAGCGTGATGCCAAGATTGCTTCGGGGGAGGTTGTCCCTGACGTCAACTTCACGCATGGATTTGAGGATATCACTGATCGGGAGAATCCGCATTTCAGATATTCTTACTAGAGACGTTCATCATAGGTTATGCGTCAAATTCGGGCTGACGAATAAAGTATCTTGGGATACGTTTGCTGATACGTGACCAATTGAGATTTTGTATAATCATTGTAAGAATGATGTGCCGAGTACCAGACAAAGCTGGCTGTAAACATAAATAAGATAATGACCAGTAGCCAGACAGCAGGAAGCTTGTAGGCGTGATAGCGCTTACCCCTCGCACCATCCTAACCATCCATTCATCGTGTTCGTAAATAAGGTACAAGATCAGGATGAGTAAAGATGATTTCCCGGCCATCCATAAACGCGAATTTCGAGTACCATCGTATCATGTATGAAGCCGGTCGGCGAAGATACTCGAGAATGAAGTTGTGGACTTGATTCTCCAAGTCAAATGGTCCGTGTTAACCCACAAAGGGTCTCGTATTAGAGCCTCGTAAATCGTGATGGCGGCCTTCTCACGATCGACTGCCCCGACATAGTCGCCTTCAACTCGCGAAGCTGATTAATGTAGGAGTGAAGCTCGTCGGCAATGGTAAGTTACCGATTCGTGTCTAGACTATCCCATGCCTCCTTAAGTCGCTTGCTAGGCATGTAGTTCATTAGGATAGTCGTCACTTTGCCGTCTTCCCATTGCACATTATGGGCTTTGAAAACTGAAATCGTCGTGTTTGCAGCATTGAAATGCAGACTTGGTGCTTCGTGTGCGTAGAGAATCTTGTCCAATTTTACGACGAGCCATATCGGACGACTTTGCGGGTGTCGAGTGAATGGAGAGTTGTACCTTCCTGGTCTTTGATTTTGTCCATGTTTTCACACTGTAGGGTTGCTACATCTGTTGCGTTTCAATGGTTAATGATTGAATAGTGAACAGATTTGGGCGGAGAAAGAAGTTTGAGGAAAAGAAGGGTTGGAGAATGGGCCGTAGGCGCTTAATGTGTTGGCATGCGTGTTCAAGTTCCTATCACATTCGAGAAGCGCGCCTGGGGTAGTGCCCAGCTAATCAAGCGTTTGTCATATGAAAGGTCATGCGACAAGCCACAACCAGGTCGTTTTTGAATCACCAAACAAAGACAATTATTCTGCTGCTATCTTTAGGTGCCTTGCAGCCTTCAGGCTTAATGTTTCTCTTCGCACCCCAACTACACCCAGCTTACACGAGAAGGCTTGCGCGATCCATTTCTTGCAAGAAACGAGGATAAAAAGCCGGAAAACACGAAGCTTACCAGCAGCTCAATGATGGAAGGTGAAAACAGCGACGATGAAGTGGGGCTAAACAATCTTGGCTTCAATGCGATATCATAACCTAAGGCAACTGTCACACATTGCCCCATTCGGGATCTTGAGTCCAACTTTAAAAACAGTTGTAACTGCCTAATACAGATTGCCGGGAATTGAATAAGAAGGCACACACAGGAAGCTCGTTCTACCGATTCTAGACTCGACCATTTCTTCACCTTCCACTCTCACGAAAATATGTCTGACGACTGGGGGCTGCCTCCTTGGGAGGAACCGATTGTGATCATGGCTGCGAGTGGGCAACTGGAAAAGGTCAAATAGCAAGTGCAGAAAGGCAGAGACATCAACTTTGGCGATATGGAACACAGACAAACTTGTTTTATTCCGGGCCATCGAGAAGGGCCCCGAAGACGTCGCGCAGCTGCTTTTCAAGGAATACGCCGAAGTCGATGCACTTGATGGCCATGGACGCACGCTCTTGCTACAAGCTATCGCAAGCAAAAACCAAGCTCTGACAGAGCAGTTGTTGAAGACCGGGGTCCCTGTTGACTTATTCGACTTCCATGGTCATACGTCGTTGATACTGGTTGCTCAAAATGGGTCTGCTCCCATCGTCAGCTGTCTACTGAATACCGGTGCCAATCCAAATGCCAGAGACTGGCACTATGGTCGCACAGGATTGTCAAGGGTAGCGGAAAAGGGGAATGAAGATATCGTGGTCATATCTGCTGCCCAGACTTGCTCAGTCCCTTTTGCAACACCTTCGACGGACGCAATGCAAACCTGAGAAAATGATCACAGAAATCCCGGTCGATATGAATTGCTTGAAATATAAGTAGTGCTTATTAAGCTACATACATCAACTCGAAATCATTCATTATCTTTATGATTCGGTCGTTGCGATTTCCAAGCAACTGAATGAGGCAGGTCGGCTCCTATTGATGATTTCAAGGAGTCATTTGACAGTGAACCAGCTCGACTTGAGCCATTCTATAAGTTCCTTTGCACCCAGCACGCGGAGCATCCATATCAGCACCGTGGATCCTGAAATGGCGGAACGGACGATGTATTAGGCCGCAACTGAAGGTCATCTCCGATATACTATGACTGGTACACAGCCTCTTTCTGCGAACGAATGGAACAATCGGAATTGCCACATCTGCCATATTTCTATATTGCCTCTGCTTTGCAAGATTAGGCTGATTTGAAATCCGGACGTGAGCTGTCGAAAACCCGGCAGGGCATAACTCCAAAGATGAGTTACCCTAGGGTACTTTTCGTTTATACTTCCTCTAATAAACTGAGTTGGCGGTGGCTATGTATAAATAGACTTAGAAAGCTCGCACCAGGCTCTTGGCTTTTAAAGAATGTCTTTGATCGAACAGAGCCTGGATGCATGACAAAGTGATAGCAGCCTCGATCGCCCTATCAAACGGACCGGCTCCGAGCTCGGGCCCCCGAGCCGCAACGCGCTAATCTCTGGAGGCGCCAAGCTCTCCGCGATTGCGCCAACGACGGCCCGAGATGTCCCCACGTGCAGCATCAGGGTTCGGCACCCGCACCATGTGGCATGCACGAGTGTCCGCGTACTTCCAGAAACGCCTCGCCCCGTGTTTCTCCCGATTCCCCGAGTACGTATCATGCCGCTGGCGGAGAGGAACAAAGTCAGCTTACTCTCCGCGTCGAGGAGAGGTTGACTGTTTCCCAAAAGATATCCAACTCACGATCCTGCAAAGAGCATGAATGGAGCTGCCCAATTCTACAGATCGCCGTTTCAATAATCCTGGAATTTCGATAACCCCGGAATATACGCCACAAGGCAGCCATCGCAATGCCTGCTTCCGTACCAATTACCGCCAGGCAGGCAGACATGACGGACGTACCCTCCTCATCCCTGCCGTTGTATTCACCAGCCGGAAGAAGCCATCGCGCATCGACTACCAGTTCAGGAAGCCAAATGAACTCTATCGTGGCAACGAGCAGCGGAGGTTCCCGTCGACCTCATACAAATGCTGTGATAGAGGCCGGAAAGGCTCGAGCCCGGGATGAGCAAGAGATCCAAAGCCTCCTTCAAACAGCGCAGAGGTTATGCCGCATCTACAACCCCGAGATAGAGCCTGAGCATGAAACGACAATGCTATGCGATTGTGCAGTGCACAAGTACTGGGAGAAGAAGGTCGACCGACTCGAAATCCAGGATATGTGGTCGAAGGCTGTGATCTACCCAGGCGAAAAGCCGTACCATGACTGCACACGCCTGCGATTCAAGAATACCAACCCCTACTCATTCAAAATTACCTCTCCGTTCAACCTCGTGTGTTTTCCATTAACCGGAATGGCCAAGCCAGACCCGCATTATCATCTCCAGTTCATCCAGGAAACATTGTCGATGGACTCTACTCTCAACCGAGACTCAGAAGCGGCCATTCAAGCACAAGAGCCAGCTTTCAACATTTGGGAGTTAGAACAGCTCGAGTCTTTGGTATCAAACATGTCCGTTAATCGTTGGTCTTCTTCCAACAGCGACACCATCGACAAGTCTTCCAAGCGCACGGGATTCAGGAAAGCCTTCTCTATAAAATCCTCCGACGAGCGAACTGCAGGAAAGATACAAAAGAAATTTTCGGTTACTTTCGAACTACGAAATGAAATCCTCGCAGAAGAGCAAGGGCGGTGGCAAAGCAGCAACGACATTCAAATCGTGAAAACCTACCAGGAAAATCTCGGAATAGCTCAGACGGTCGCAGAACTCCGAGCGCATAAGCCTCGGCACTACCTTCACCTCCTACGAGCCGGATACTTCGAGCCAATCATAACATCTTCACAAGGCCAAATTCCAAACCTGCTCAGATTCTCCATTGATGCTGCTGCGGGATGGAGAGGATTCACAACCGAATGGAGAGGGTACAAAGACATCGCAGAAGAGCGTCTTTACTGGATTCTGAGTCATAGGCCTACGGATAAAGAAGTCTCAAAGCCTGATTTGGTGTCTGAACTCGACACAGCCCGCGCCCGAATGGCTACCGCACGCCCACCGATAGACGCCTACGATTCCCCTGATGACATTTGCGACATAAGCTCGGGCTCGCAGCGCTATTCAAGTCAAGTGCCAACACCTCCCCCGAAATGGAAAACTCCTATATCACGTGATGACGAGACAATGGTTTTACTTGATACCACTAGCTCCATGGACAACTATCCGATGCGTCCGGAGTACAGACACTACCTCATCACGTCACATACAAGGGTCAAGCAGCCCAAGAGTAAAGGTGGGCTCCTCACGGGTATGCGTTTAAGATAGCCCTCGTTAATTGTGAGCAGAAGTCACAAAGTCTGTTATTCGGCGTTTTATCAATGCAATGGGGAATCATGACAACAATCCTCGAGGCTACCCGCTTGCGGTCTTCTCCCAAGAAGCCGAATATATCGGAAAGATCCACAGATGGGATCTCGATGAAGTATGGAGAGGAATAAGATTCGCGGGCAAAGCTCGCGTTATGGCCGGATGGCAAAAGATCAAAGAATTACACTTGCAAAAGCATTCTGGCACAGCGTCTTATCATCCTCTCTACGGCTGGATGGCCGGGCCACTAACGCCTCGACTCAAATTGCTACTGGTCCTCAATGAAGAGGCCAGCGATATGAATGAGTTTGAGTTGGAGCTTCTAAGTCTTCCTTGGGCATATATCACGATCTTCCTAATTGGAGTTGAAGGAAGTCTCAATCATCATCGACACGCCAACAGACTAAGTCGCATGAGTGAAGTCAATCACCGAATATCCTTTGTCGAAGCCCAAGGAAATATACCAGAACGCTTCATTACGCACGAACTATTGAAACGGCATCTGGGGTATGAGATTTCCATGTCTCGCTTCAAAGATTTGGAGCGCGAATTACCAGAAGAACTACCATCACCTGTACAGCGCCGACATGAGCGAACTTTCTCAGACCAGTCTCTTACTGACGACATGTTGGTGGAGCTGCCGTCACCGGAAGAGACGAGGGCTTGGCAATCACAGCAGCAATATTCACCCTCGAGGGCAATACCGCAAGGGCTTGCTGAGCTTCCAGGGGAGCGAGAGCCTACTGAGTTACCTGCAACTGAGTCACGAAGATCTATGCAGACTTTCTATCGGAGCTTTCCTGGCCAGAATATGCCTCAGAACCACCATCTCCGTACTTAGACAAACAATAGGAAATTAAGACCTAGGCCTATTTCTGTCATAATATCTGCCATAATTTTCTTACTGAGCCGATTGAACTTGAATTGGCCCTACCATGTTCTTGATATTCTGAATAGGCTCTATTAAGTTCTATCCTACGGACGACTAAGGAAGGACTCGAAAGCCAGAGGTCAGATAAAGCCAATATACAGATAAAATTGGACTCTCAAAATGAACGAGGAGATCTGATAAGTTTTAAGATTAAAGATCGGGCCAGTTCAAGATCAGACCACTCACCGAGATACACATCGGACACTGATGTACTCTAGCGCGTTTTCATCAGACTCTAATCATTGGGAATCATGACAATGGCCTGCTTGGTTGCTTTGTTGATGACAGGAGGACCAAGGGTTGAAGGATGATCCAGTCCGCCATTTGCTCTTCCGTCAAGACAAGATCGGTGGGAACGTTGAGAGACCAACCGACATGTAGCCGCGCTTGGACGCCTCCTACTTCGCTCCTCCTGCTCCTCTGTCAAGAACTCAATAGGCTTGCAGAAGGTATCTTGACTTAATTAGCGTCGTTGTATAAATTAAGCGGCCCTCGAATCCCAGAGAATAACGTCGCCAGGGTCCATGCTAGGCTTCAATAATTCGCAACCTCTCTCTTTGAACCATTCCAACTCCTTATCTGTCCAGAGGAACTGGTCCTTTTTGATCCAACCACCCTCGGGCTATGACTATTTTTGACCTCAGTGCATTCTCTACATTATGATTTGTCAATTTGCCCCAATCCTGCCCTGGGCAGTGCATGGCTATTATCCAGATCTCCCAGTCTAAATCCTAAAATTCCTCTTATGAATACTAGAATCTCTACGGAAGATGAGAAAGAAGTGACTCGGTAGGTCCCAGACAACCAGGGGCCTAGGCACCCCCGGGACCCCTGCCTGTTGGGTCGCCTAAACAACTTGCAGAGCGAAGCTAAGCCCTGTTCTATTCCTGCTGTTGTACGTTGCCGTTTTGTTTAATTTCTTATTTTTCCTTTCGGTCTAATCCCTTTCATCTCATCACTTTTGTCTGATCTTATATTTCTATCTCTACGTCTTTTTCAATTCATGTTTATATACGCCGGACTCCGAGATTAACGTTCGTAGTGGAGACACTCTTTCTGAGTGTATACAACTGGGCCGACATAATCTATCTACTGTAGTGGGGAGACCCCCTCCACTACTACATGGATGCCATCCATGTTATGTGACATAGCCGGCAGTATACGGTGGCCGGATAGTTAGTTCTAGAATACACCTCCTTACACCTCCCCGACCTGACCCCTACACTTGGAGTTCTCACTATTTCCTGATTGCTACGCGTGTGTTTTGTGGTGGTTTTTCTGCTGAATCGACCCGCACGTCTCAGCGCGTGCTGCCATCAAGCGTTCCCCTCTTCACTACATAATGAGGAAAGCACGATTTGCGGTTCGAATGATCATTCACATAAATGTAGCTTGAGTTTACGACAGTTCCTATGCACCGGCTATGGGAATTGCATTGTGGGATACTCAATATCCTGCAGAGTTTTATTGCATATTGCACTTTGCTAAAACATATAGTCTCAACGACATTCCAATTCGGCTCAATTATTTACAACCAACTCCCACTCCAACTCATTCGGCTCCTTCCAATAATCAGTACCACTAGCCACAAAACCAAGCTTCTGCAAAAGCCGAGCACTGCGCACATTATCGCGTTCCGTCTCTGCGATGAACCTCCTCACGCCTCGTTTCTCAATCGCCCACTTCATAACGGCCTCGGCCGCTTCCTTCGCCATTCCTTTACCCCAAACCTTCGGCGAGACACCATAACGTAATTCGACCATTTCCTGCCATGGCGGAAGAGGCGGGTCCCCTGCTTCACGAGGCGGAAGGGATGTTGTTCTTGCATCGCGGATACCGGCATAGCCGACCCAATTGATATCGGAGAAGTATTGGAGATCTTCGCCTGCGAGTTCTTCGAATCCTTTCCCTTCGAGCATGGAACTTCCAGAGATACCCTGTTTAGACCCGGAGTGCAAGCCAACGGCGAAGTCGCCGATTGCGTACTTTTCCCACGACCGTCCAATGTCACGCGCCGCGATAACTTCATAGGTTTCTTCATCGGTCCAGTTCTTCACGGGGAAGTCTGGCCCAAAACCCATTTCACAGAAACCTACATCCGCGTGCAATGCTGCGTATAGTGCTCGGTAGGATTCGAGAGAAATTGCAATGGGAGTCGGTACGATGACCAGTCTGCGTGTTGTGATTGCAAAGGGCTTGGACAGCCATTGAGTCTGTCGATTTGAGTTCATTTTTTTTCAATTTCTTCACTTATTTTCTTTTCTCGAGGGATTGACGCCATTGGGAGGTGTTCAATTGCGAAATTTTCTTGTTGCACTCAGGCTCTTTGGGCGGGGTCTGGAAACGGTTTAGTGTAGTGTAATTTTCGTCTCAGAGCACGTGGCCGAACTGTAAAATTACCAGCACCAAGAAACGCGTTTTTGCAATTGTTTAGCACTCGTCTTTTCGTGGTTTGAACAATGTTTCTCGCTCTTGTTGAACCAGTGCATGAGAAATTGTAAGTTCAATTGCCATTTGGTTAAGTCCAAAAATGTCTGGCTCTGCAGTGGAGAAATATATACAAAGTCAACTCGGCTGAGCTGCAAGGAACAAACATTAGTATGTGACAAAATCTGAAAGAAGCATAAAAGGCCAACGACGAGGTGTTCACGCCGCATTGGCAATAATAACCTCCGCTGCCTTCTCACTAATCATGTAAATAGGCAGGGCTATATAGTAACCGGGAATCTTAGGGAAGATAGAAGCATCAACAACACGCAGGCCATCAACGCCACGAACCCGAAAGTCAGAATCCAACACAGCCTCGGAGTCACCATCCTCTCCAATAGCTGCTGTACAGCAGGCGTGATGTCCCCAGGCCTCCCTTTTGATGAAGTCCTTCATATCAGCCTCGCTGGTCACATTGGGGCCGGGCCAGACTTCGTCGAAACCGCCATCGAGTGGGATCAAGTCATCGAAGATCGTGCGGGAGAACTGCATCGCTTCGTAAACGGCTTGCAGATCCTTTTCGTCGGCGTCGTTTGCGGTCACTCCAGAATCGAAGGAGTTGAAATTGATGATTGGCGTGTCACGGGGGTCGGTCGAGCGCAGCTGCACGGTGCCGGCGTTGTTTCGGCTCTTGGATTTCAAGGTAATCCAGGTCCAGTGCTGGGCGTCTTTGAGGCCCTCGTAGGAGTAGTTGGGGTAGTAGCCGGGGAAGTTCACAGGCGCACCGGAGATCAACAGATCAGGTTCGTCTTCGGCTGTGGAGGACTTGCGGATGATGGCGATGGCGATTCCGTTGGTCGAGTATGTGCCCTTGAACAGTGGATCGTTCTCCCATTGTTCTAGACAGGGGTCGGGCATGGAGTACATAAATGTGCACTTCTCGGTGAGGACGAAGTCGGTTGGGGACTTGCCGACGACACCCATCTCGTACCTGTCCTGCAGGTTGGAGCCTACTCCGGGCAGGTCGACAAGTGTGGGAATGTTGAACTTGTTCAGTTCCTCCTGTGGGCCGATTCCACTGAGCTTCAGCAACTGGGGCGTGTTGAATGAGCCGGCGGACAGGATGACTTCACGAGTAGCATTGACGCTGCCGAGCTTGCCGTTGGATGCTGTTTGAGAGGCGCGAGGATCCGCACGATAGAGACTCTGACCGAGGAGATATTCAACTCCAGTGGCTCGGGGCTTGTCTCCATCTGTGTCGAAGAGGACCTTGGTCACTAGGGTGTTGAGTTGAATATCGAGGTGGTACTTGCGCGAGCCATCATCGTTGACCGCATTAACAGTGGTCATGAGGAACTCCCGAGGGCCAGTTCGCTTATACTGGGGGACATCCACCGCTAGAGGAACTTGGTATGGGCCTTCGTCATAATCACGGGTTGGAAGAGGGTTGTTCAAATCGCGCAGCAGAACTCCGGCAAGGCCAGTGACCGTGGTGATCAGCTTGCCCAGCAGAGACTGACCAGCAGCGGTCGCACCAGCAAGAATGAGAGACAGGAGCTTCTGGTCTTCAATCACAAGACGCAAATCAGTAAGACTAGTTGTAAGCCATCCGTCGAATCCGTGGCCAACGAGGCTACTGGGAAGGTATCGGTTTCGCTCGAGCCTTTCGAAGTACTGACGCATGTTCTTGGCGGACCAGGAATTATTGCTTGTCAGAGCAGCAATTTGCTCCCAGTCATTCTCGTACGGGTAGATTGTGCTATGAAGAAGTCCTTTAGTAAATGTTTTCCGATATGCGCTGCGAGAAGCAATGGGAATACTCACATCATGGCGTTGTGGGCAGAGCAGCCTCCCAAAGTTCCCGCTCGAGGATACAGAATACCAAGAGGGTCTGATCCAGCAGGCGGGTTCCTACCGACATGGAGATTACCAGAGGGGGTCCGGTAGGTCATCTTGGAATCCTGTTCCTGGCGGGTCATGTTCGGGTGGTGGTTGACGAAGTAGTCCCATCTCATCGGCTCGTACTCGGTAGATTGGAGCTGAAGGGCAGGAACCATCTGCCGGGTAGCATTTCCTTGATCGTCTCCTGCATCCAAGAGAAGAACTTTGAAACCAGCAATAGCCAGACGTGCCGCAAGTGGCCCGCCTCCTGGGCCGGAACCAACAATCACGTAGTCATATTCGGTGGCACTCTCTGTGACTGTCTCGCTGCCTGAAGATCGCCTGTGGGCATCGTGATATCGATGGTCCGGTCTGTGTGTTCTGTTTGGCCGTTAGAATTAGCAGGTATGCTCCAAGATAGAGTGACGGAAGAGGCAGAACGGTCTCGCACGTACGTAGCTTGCACAACTGAGAGGACGGACAGCAGTCCAACCACGGCGGTGAGACGCATGACAGAGAAGAGCGCAAAAGGTAATCGACAAGAACAGAAAGAAAGAACAGCAAGACGAGAAAGAGCGACTTGAACGAATGAATGGAATGTACCGAGTGTCTTCACCTCTCGGGTCTCGATTATAAACACATGAAGCCACTCCCTACAAGCCTTTCACGGGGCCTCCCTAACGGCCTTACTATATCCGTTCCGTGCTCACGGTGTTGATCGACACGAGAGACTTCTCCTTCCGAGTCGGCTTGCCTCCCTCCACAATGCGTTTCGCAACGACACTTCCCCTAAAAGGACTCCCCTCCTCTCCGAGAGCCATCATAACTCAGGAGCTCGGCCCAATCGAACGTTTTTGCATCGTACTAACCTATAGCTGCATGTCTTGTATATACTGGGGAATTAACTATACACAACGGCAGTTCAGGTCGATGGTCCGCAGCCAATTGGAAAACCCTCATTCAAGCCCCAGTAGTGCGAACCTTTGCCGACGACGGACCCCCGGGATCCTGAGCCAGACCACGCCCCAGTCCGTTTGACAGCCGTTGACATGTCGATCACACGGCATCTTCGGCGCCACCAATTTAACGGCGTATTCGACTGTCTCGGGAGATACTTTACCTTGTGTCGATCTAGGCTCATTCAGGGTCCCGTCATAACGGTGGACTGATGCATTTCTGGTATAGCTATTTTTGTTAGCGGCAGCATTTCTCTGTTTTCGTATGGGTGGATATTTGTGGGGCGTTGGGCCAAGCCTGGCCAAGGCCCTTGCCATCGGCTGTGGATATCCCAGCCACGGGCTAAAAATCCTTCGAGTGTATGGGTTCCACTTTTGTTGTGTCCACGGGCTCAAAGTAGAAAAGTTTTCGAGGGAAAGTAGAGGTAAGTCAATCGCCGGTTGCCGAAGCCCCTGAATTTGATGCTACAAGGACAGAGTCTACCTTGCCCGGGCCAATGGGTTGGGAATTCAGGTACTTCTGTTATCTATGAATTTTGTCCTATTATCCCCAGGCGCTGAAGACTCTAGGCTGATTTGAGAAAAAGAAACCCTTTCGCAAGGAAGAAAATAAGATGTGATGTAAAGTATATACAAAATTATATGTGGCACTTTCAAAACTTCTAGAAAATCATTTCAATTCCATCGAAAATGCTGGAAGTGGAATAGAACCTTAAGACAACAATGAAATAGAGGTAAATGAGAGGATTTCGTTCTTTCAATTAAAAGACAAGCATCAGAGCTTTTGTGCCAGTAAATTATTCTTGACGGTGGTGCAATCGAGCCTCGCTAGAATTCTCCAGATCGCCAAGCGGATAAAACTGGTGAGAATCGCTCTTGCTCTGAACCTGAAAGCTATTCTGAACATGGATCGATCTTTCGAATTGCGACCCTCCTCCATGAGATTGAGAATTTATACCATATGACTTGGCATGCTCGGTATCGCCGAAGAGTCCTGGCGAGACACGGCGAAGTAAAGATCGAATTGCGGGTAGGCATGCGCAGATAACGCCGACGTCACATTCGATCGTACTCCAGTATCCGATGGCGACGTAATCCCCTGTCAATCATCAGCCAGCTGCCCTAGTATAAAGAGGAACAAGCGGAACTTACAGGTCAAGTTGTCGGTAGAGGCAAAGTGAATGAGGGAGTTCAACCGCAAGATGCTGACGAGGGTAACACTTGGAGAGGCTGTCAGCTTCTGGTAACGACTGGTAGGATCTGAAAATACTCACAAGATACCCAGACTAAACATGCACATCACATATGCCTTTTTTCTCATCGAAAGGTTTAAATGCCAGAGTTGCTTCAGTGGAAGGGCCATCACAAGGATATCAAAGACCATGTTTATCGCGGCCGCCGACCAGCCCTGCGCGTTGATGGCATTGCATTTATAGTTTCCTTCGCCATCCCAATGGAGCCAAGCACCAGGGAGTGGTCGACATTGGAAAACAGAGATGAGAACGAAAGCGATGAGGTAGGCGACGTTGAGTCCGATGACGACGTATGTCGCGGTTCGGAATTGTCGGTCGGGGAAAATGCGGAGGTAGAAGCAGCAGATAGATATTTTTGTCAGTGGGAGAATACTCAGGTAAAGCAATTCATCCCAGAAGTATACCTAAGAGAGGAAATCTATTAGCTTTCTGACGTTCACCCGAGCATTTGCTGATTCATGAACTCACATAAAGAATGTGGGTGATGTTCGCAAAAGGCAGTGTCCACATATCCCGCCCGAGTCCGGTATCAGCCACTATAGGTGATCAGTCATGAAGACGAAGCAAAATTCACAAGGTCAATACTTACGGACAGCTGAAAGCGCCGAAAGAGGGATCAGAAGAGCCTGGTGTTTCAGTTAGATGACATCGTTCGAACTGGAGGGGATACGGCATGTACCATCGTCAGGGTCATAGTCCAATCATCCCAGCCAAAAGTACCACCGCAGCACCTGAGACGCGCTGTCATACGGAGAATATAGGCAACGAGAGCGATGATGCCGCCGGCAACTCCTGCATAAGAGACGGTTTTCGTCCGATCCCGAACCGGGGCATGGCATGCCATTGATGTGACATTTTTCGTAGCTGATGGTCAGAAGAGGAAATTGAAGAGTGATGTTGTTCACTTACTCAAAGACTGTCGGATTGTGCAGCTGGCGACAACACAACTCTCTAGTGCGGCAGTGTACTTTTCGTCTGTACACAGGCACACTTGGTCAGTGGGCTCACACGAGGCTTCTGGCAATGACTTTTTCATGCAAAGCAGCTGTAAAGTGTCAGCATATTCGACTTTTGAGTTTGGTCTGAGACGAGAACTGATTCAGTACCGCACATGGTGGCAGGGTGGCTTCGAGCTGTGCTGCTTGTGCAGCAGTCGACTGCGCGGATGTACCAGCTAGTGCAGTGGCCGGCATAAACGCCGCGACCAGGAGAAACACATCTGACAGACGCATCATGGCACACCCAAGGGGATTTGCATTCGGGAGAGGGAAACCGACTCGGAGGACCAGGCTCAAAACAAGCACGAAAGTTGAAGATAAAACAATCTAAGCTCGTTAGGCCCCGATCCTCCCTTAGTCAGTTCAAGGGGCTTGATTCAAGCGGAGCGTTGATTTTCGCTGACGGATCGATCTATTAATACATGATTGACTTTGTTGGCGAAACTGCTATGGTTCGTCCAACAGGAGATTAATTCTCCCACTGCAGAAACTAGGCGCGTTCTCGCCAGCGGTTCTCTGCAGGGGACTGCGTTGATGGCTCCTCTCTGCCGATCATCTTAGATTGCGGCAGTTGAGAAACCACTTTCTACGTTCAGGAGTTCTTGGATCTAGCCATCAACACAACCACACAGACCTAATGTATGTGGACAGCAGTCCAAATGATCACAAGCTAAACCGTCTTCCGAGTAGCCAGGTGAGTGTGAATTAGGATCTGCACGCGATACGACCAACATTCTTTCCCGAGTCTGCTTTCCTCCCCAGCAGCCCCTAGGACTTGCGGAGACCGGACCCAAGTTGCGAAACTAGGTAAGCCCAGCCTTAGCTGTGGCTCCACGAAACAGCCCAAAGTTAAATAAGCCGCGATCTGCACTCGGGATTGTTTACAATTTTGCCCCGCTGCGTATTACGTATTTCCCGCCAGCCCAGACCCGGATCACCCATCTCATTTGCAAAATGATCTTAGCTGTCCCCAGTTAAAAGGCCACCGTAGTGAGACAGGCCCAATCGTCGCGCAAGACGTTGTAGCTCGAACCCCAACAATCCGCCAATCTTCCCCACAAACCGGAACCCCAAGCATCCTCCTTCCTTTTCCGGGCACGATCGCCTCTGTCAGGGCTCTTCCCCTGGTGTACCAGAAAACAACCCTGATCGACGCTGTCATACCGTTAAACTTCCCCGGCGAAAACTTGCCCCAGGGCTTTCCCAACAGGGTCTGATCTGCGATAATTTCAGGTCATTAGGGCCCATATTTTCGCTGTGGCGAGCTACACTGACTGCTGGACTGAGAGGGGGTCTGTGGGCTGTCGACGGCGTCGCTAAGGATATTTGAGAGATGTGTCGAGACGTTTTTCCTTGCGGAAACCTGGTAGATGCAAGCGAGTCAATAAGGTTTTTAGGGAGTTTCTGCCATGTGCCGACAATAAGTGGGGCATCTAAATAAGAGACGTGCCTGTGCAAAACATCAACAGCCCTTCTCAGGGGGATTGCCGGTTATTTATGCGCATTGTTCCTGTTATGCGTTTGACATGTGCAGTAATAGCTTGGCGTATCGATTCCATTCAGGGGGTAGCGATTATTCAGCTTGGCGATGATTTGGAACCACTCATATCAGATTCGCTATCTAAGCAATCCATCCCACTTTTTCTAGATCATCTTCGTAGTCTTTCTGAACACCGCCGAGTCTTTAGACCACGTTATTGGTCATCCACTCATTCAACATGCGTATCTTTTCCCCGGGGCAATTGCTCTGGCAGTCGTCGCTCATTGCTACAGTGTCGGGATTTCCTGACCTGCACGGCTCTGCGTCTCACAAGGGTCTGCATAAGCGATGCCCTTTTGCCGATATTCCAGAGTCGGCTATGTCAGGACATGGACATGACAAGAGGTTTCTGTTCAGTTTGATGAACAAGCCTGTCGATGGTATGTGGTGATGACTCTACAAATCAGGTGCGAGGTTGTAACACGGCAGAAACAGTCTATGGAGAGCACGAGTTTCAACCTCCCAGCTTTGAAAATGGCGACCAGCGTGGTCCTTGTCCTGGACTCAACGCCCTCGCTAACCACGCGTACATTCCTCGAAGTGGAGTCGTTTCAGTAAGTCAGATCTTCTACGCCTGGAATAGCCATATGCTAATCAGAATGAAGTTTGGAAATGTGATCACAGCAATCAATGAAGGCTAGTTTGTTCGGGTAGTGCGAAAAGCGCGACTCATACTGACCGCTATCCAGTCTATGGCATGGGCGTCGATCTAGCCACCATTCTCGCGATCATGGGCACCGTCTGGACCGGCGACCCACTGTCTCTGGACCCCAGCTTCTCAATCGGAGGTCGTGATACCGGCGTCAACAACCTGCTGAACAACCTCGGCGGACTTCTTGGTGAGCACCCCATCTCACACGCCTGAATTTCTCACTGACATTCACAGGCGACCCCCAGGGCCTCATCGGCTCTCATAACTTCATCGAAGCCGACTCCTCCAACACGCGCGACGACCTCTACGTCACCGGCAACAACCACAAACTCAACATGGACAAGTTCATGGAGTGGTATAACATGTCTACAGACGGAACCTTTGACATGGACCTTATGGCCAAGCGTGCGAAGATCCGGTTCGATCAATCGGTTCAGACGAATCCTAATTTCTACTACGGTCCCGTCACCGGTTTGATTGCGCGCAACGCAGGGTATATTTTTTCCGGTCGTCTTTTCCGAAATCATTCGCATGAGAATCCGGAAGGAGTTTTGAGTGAGTTGAAAAGTTGGTTGATCTTGCGATGAGAGTTATGCTAACAGCATTCCAGCCAAGACCATCGTCCGCAACTTCTACGCGATCTATGGCGAGGAGGGTAATTTGACATACCGTGAAGGATGGGAAAGAATCCCGGAGAATTGGTACAAGACACCCGTCGACTGGGGTTTAATTCAGTTGAATTTGGATACTATTGACTGGATCGCTCAATACCCTGAGCTTGGAAGGTAGAACGAATCATCTTCTTCTCAACTCTGGTTTCATGATATTGACTCTTACCACAGCATCGGCGGCAATCTGGGCAAGGTGAACAGCTTTGCCGGTCTTGACCCGGGTGACTTGACAGGTGGGGTCTTCAACCTGACCAACCTGCTGGAGGGCAACAACCTGCTCTGCTTCGTATTCGAAGTGTTGAAATTTGCCAGCCCGAATGCTCTTTCGGGGATCTACAAGACGTTGGCTGAGCCGTTGGAGTTTGTCACCAATGTTCTCGCTGAGCCTCTGCTCAATGTGACGTGTCCCGCCTTCGAGGATCTTCAGATGGGTGGGAAGCCGATCTGGGAGGCGCTGCAAAATGACTTTCCTGGCGCGCTGAAGAGTGGTCGGGCGTTTTAGACGCTTTTAGTTCGAGTATTCTTTTTCGTTTATTCTAGCTCTTCCTGCTCTTTTTTAGGATCTACTATGTGTTACGAGAGCATTGATCTGCTTTAAAGAAGAGAAAAAGAAGAAATGTTCATGGGCCACCGATTTATTGAATCAATCCAATTAAAAAACTTTCGTGGAGAAAAATTGTAGTTAATTGAAGCTATATTCCCAGCAGCTTGCGTCCCACGCATCAACCGAGTATGCGATAGCATTACCATGTATATTGTAGACACCAGGGTCAGGATCCTAACAGCATTATCCCGTTGAACATGTTCTCTCAAGGCGCATATGCTCGATATATCTAAACAACCCGTCTGCGACGCAGGGGAGTAGGAGTTCCACTGTAGGGAGTCGAAGTAGGCGTCGGACCCGCGCTAGCAGACGAAGAAGGCGCATTGTCCCCAACATTGAAATAGCAAACATCCGTCAGCGAGCTTCCGAACGCCTCAAAGCCACCATCACTCCAACCACACGAGCTAGTAGGATCTCCATCCTGGTTGTTGACAGAGTAATCCTGGCCCCGGTAGCTGAAATTCATCGAGCACTCGCCGGCGATATCCTCGTAAAAAGCGTGGATGATGATGTGCCCAGCTTCCAGAGCGGGGTTATTCAAGGTGCAGACTTGCAGGTAGGATGCAACTCCTTCGTCCGAGTCTTGCTGGCAGTCGCCGTCGCCGGGGGTGAGGACTGTGCCGTCGGGGAGGTGGACTTCAAGGGAGGAAGTGCTGATTCCTGTGCCACCCTCTCCTTGGCCGTTGGCGCCACCTGGGTTTTGTTAGTGGGCTGGATTTTCTTTTGTAGATGGGATTTGGCTATGTACCTGGGTTGGGGTAGGTGTGCGTGTCGCAGGAGAAGTACACCTGTGCGTTGCCACTCTGGTCTTCAGGGTTCCAGCCGCCTCCACGCTTGATGTTGCGAGTGGATGCGACGGACTTGCCGGGGACGGCGGCTGCGACAGAGCCCAGGAGGCCGAAGGAGAAAGCAGTGGTGAAGCGCATGATTAGTAAATGCGCGAGAAGGTCTTATCAAGGATTTGTTATTTGTATTAAGATATTGATGATTCGAATGTCGGACGAGGACACCGCTTAAGTAGCTTCGTTCTTGGCTTCTGCAGCTGAAGGATTCCCAGGATTCGGGCGAAGTTCAGGGTTCACGCTATTGCCCTGCTTGTCGGCAAACTTCAGCAGGGCGTAGAATGTCGATCAGAGGCAGAAGGAAGAATGGTTGCCTCATGAAGTAAATGGTGACTTTGGATATGCCCTCCATGCAGGTCCATGTGAACATCCGTTTTTTGCTCCCTGGTACCTGCAGCCAATTATGTAAGCTTGCTTCAGCTTGAGGCTTCATGATTGATGTTGGTTGGCGGGTATGCCCGTCTTCACTGACGATTGGATGTAGGGGAACTGGAACATGTGGGTATTCTTCACGGTATATTCGTCGATCCGTTGCATGTCAGATTCGTTGACGGGCGACGATGCTGGACTCATATCGGTCTGCCAAAGCGCCCGATTCTCGAAAATATTTGCAAATGATAGCAGGCGATCTCTAAAGTTGATTCAACATGCTGCATGATTGCGTCGTCGATTCCTAGGGCAAGCGCATGCCGAATCAGATCAACTCACAACCGAAAGCTGGAGTGGGTCAGAGACGGTTAGTGCAATATACTCATTAGGAAGGCGCGCCTGTCAGTCTGTTGGAGACATGCTTGGAGCAAAATGCTTAAAAGGCAATATCGAATTCGCCCCCAGAATCCCGCGATCTCCGCACTTTGAAACGGTCCCGAGATTCGTCTTCGAGGCCAGGATTTACTTTGGCCCCCACAACCCCTATGACGATTCTTAACTTTTCTGGGCCAAAGCGTGTTCCAGTTGCCTTATATACAGCGGATCCCAGGATGCCCTGCATGCACTGTAGAAAGCTGACATATCCCACGTAGGCGTAGACTGATCGACACTTTCGACAGGTGGAATGGGTTCAGACGGATGCGAGAATTGGTGTCCGAGGTCGTTCGGGATGATCTGTCTTCGATCGCAATGCGCGGGCGCTTGAGATGGCAGCGACTGACAAATGGTAGATTATGAAAAGAAGAAATAAGGGAGATGGTTGGCAGGTCCAGTGAGAGAAGAAAGCTTTCTCATTTGGGTAAATCGCTGCTTCAGGATTTTCCTACAAACACGTCGAAACATTCAGCTCTACTAACTGAGGGGAAACTTACTGAGGGGAAACGTGTTATTCCGTATCTTGCGATGGTAAATAGGAAAATTAAGATTTAGAAGTCAGAGAAGGGGTGTTGCAGGGTACAAAGTAGTCTTGATGAAAGCCGGCCAGAAATGGCAAGAGCCTCAGCCTGGCAGCCGCACCACATGACATCGTACCTTGCATGCCTCACTCACCCACTTCACCCCTTCCAATACCTCATCCTGCCTCAACAATACCAGAAGATGGGCAGTAGTTTTTGTCGCGTTGTACGGTGGGGGTGATTTCCGAGACTCAGCGGAGCTGTTTAGTGGGATCACAATTTCCTCGAACGAAGAAGATATCCGTCTGCAACGCACATAAAATACCCTACCCCGCAGAGACGTCATCGGGTTCTTCTGCTGTCCGGATATTACCGTTTGATGTCTGAGGGATGCTGTTGGTGGGCTTTTGGTCTTTTTGATGCACCAGACTGGTGCGTGTCGCGGTTGACTGGTGTATCATAGATATCTCTACATATGCTTCAAGGATTGGAAGCCTTTCAAAATGTGTTAGAAATCGACACATATGACATAATAAACGGCAAAAATTCCTCAATGTAACTTCCTCAATCAAACCAAATCCCCGTGTGATTGCTCTACCCCCTCATCCTAACATAAACCCAAGTAAAATACCCCAACGTCCCAACAGCCCCAATCAACGAAACAAGCGTCAGCGAAACACCAGTAATAATCCCTTGCTCAAAGAATCCAATCTTGAAACCCGGCCGCTGCTTCGTTTCCGGGAGCGGAGCAATCGCCTTACGCCAGAGGGTATCGGCCTTGAGCTTGTCGGTGTTTTCCAGGATTGTTTGGGCGATGTAGCTGCTTTGTGGAGGGGCTATGAGTTGTGGGCGGGGTCTTTGAAAGGTTGTTGCGCTGTAGCGGGTTTGTGAGTTGTAGGGGGTATTTCGTGGAAGGGCGGGGCCGACTGGTGGAAGTTAGTGGTGTGCATTTTGTTGGATAGAGGGGACGGGATACGTACTCAGCATGTGGCTTGGGACGTGGTTGACCCATGATATGTCCGCGTCGATGAATTGGGTCAGGTACTTTGCTGATGATGGGGCGGCGAAGGCGTAGGTTGCAGCGAGGGTTGAGCTGCTTTATAAAAGTGTTAGTTTCGTCGAGACGCACGGGATGGAGATCTTACAAATTGATATCGATGGCGTCGTCGAGGCTGGTGACGGTGTGTACCAGGAGGACTTTTTCGTCAATCTTTTTTTTCAATAGAGGCGATTTTCTACAGAGTTAGTCTCTGGATTACCGGTTCGTCGTTGCAAACCTACCGATCCTGAACCTCAACCACACCCCAATCACTACCAGACACGAGAACGCGCGCAGATCGATCTTTCTGAATAGTTTCCAAGATTCCAGACCGTCGCGGCGACCATTGCTTATTCCTCGCCTCGCCGTTCTCCCCAGCCAAGTACCGCGAAGCATGCTGGATAACGGCCTCCGCAAAGCCCTTCATGGCGAACTCGTTCACGAGTACCAAATCCGGAGCATAGACCGAGCGTCCGCCCAGCGCGAACCGCGCGGCCACGAGTGCTTGCGCCGCTTCATTGATATTCGCTGTCCGGTCGACGACAGCGACTGTTCTCGCCGATGCAGGCGAGAGCAGCCCAGTAGGTGCATCGGAAGCTACCTGCGAAACGAGCAGAACCTTGCTCATAAATGAGGCATCTGGTCTTTGCGATGTAATCATGAATGTATCATGGTCCAATGCATCACGTAAGACCTTGCGCAGCAGATCAGGAAGCGCCATTGTAGTTTGAGGGAGCTGTATCAATGACCATAAGTATCACGCTGTATTCTTCACAAGCAGTCGTCAAGACTCACCTCAACAACAACACAGTTCCCCGCCGCAACCGCAGCCGTCAACGCAGAAATAAGTGAGAAAAAAAGCGTATGCCCGGTCGGAACAATATAGGCGATCCCCACACCGACCGAAGCATCGGGGCTATCCTTCCCACGTGCAATGCGATACTCAACTTCCAGATCCTTGCTTAGACTCAGCGAGGCGTAGTGCGTTCGCAGCTCCTGTAGCGCAAGGATAATTTCCGCGCGCACTTCTCGTGTCGTGTGCCCTGAGTCTGTTCGGATTGCATCTTGAAATTCTGGGAGGTGGGTTACTAGTGTTGATTGGAGGCTTTGGAGTTGGGATTGTCGGTAGCGTGTGTTTTGGGTGCGGCCGTCGATGTTGGCGGCGAGGATGCGTTGGAGGTCCATTTTTTAACTTCCCTTAAGAATTCGCAAGTTTAGAAGGAAGAACTGAGTAGAGAAATGGGTCTGTAAAGAGTCTTGCGGAGGTAGATACCCCGATGGGATCTACAATTGTAGTAGGTAAGTCCGCCCACCTCCGCGTGGCAGGCGCTCGGGATGTGGGGGATATGCGGACGTGGCGGCGACTTCCTTCTACAACTCCCCCTTACGCCCGAGGGTGGGTGAGACCATCTAGGAGGCATTCTTGATATTCTCCTTCCCAGATTTCTGATCTGATATTCTCAGGCTGTTCAATATGTCCACTACAACCACCACCACCACAATAACAAGCTCGCTCTCCGTCCTCGCGGACTACGAAGTCCACCACAGCGGTACCCAGCAAAGCACTCAACAAACTCCACCGGCTGCTCTGTCTCAGCCAGTCGACTGGCCGTCGGACCATCGTCGCGTTCCTGAATACCGACCTGCACAGCCGAATTTGAGTTATGTCGACCGTCCTGCAGGGAATGGACATCCGGCGGAGTATGCTTTCATTCAGATTATGTTGCATGGTTGTTGGTTGAATGCAGTATGTACCAACATTTGAAAACACAGTTAATGTTTATCGGGTTGACTGACTGTTCAGTCTGTCTCTCGCCTTTGGCGCTTTACGGGGGGTCGAATCAATGATAAGATATTCCACTATGAAGTGGGTGGGGAGTGGTAACTGCCAGTATTTTCTATAAGTCAATACAAATCTACTAGAGAAATCTACACTTTCAACCATTTCATGAGCATACACATCAAATTCCATACTCATCTATAACACTGCAAATCTAATCTACACAGCCAGTAACTCAAGTACTAGCCCGAACCCCAATCCCATCAACGACCTCCCCAAGCTCCCTCCCACCAACACTCATAGGCCTCGCCGGCGAAAGAACATACAACATCCTCGCCCACTGCGGCGCACTCACCCCATCAACCACAACATTAGGCGTAACATTCCTCCAAGCATGATTCGTCCCGCGCTGCACGGCAACATCTCCGCGCTTGAGCAAGCGCTTCTCCCCCGAATCAAGCAGAAGCTCCACCTCGCCCTCCAGCACGACGCCATAATCCAGCGAGACGGTCCGGTGCATGGGTGACGTAGCCCCGGGCTGCATGTCCACGATCCGGCACACGTTGCCGGTAGAGATTGTAATCCCCGGTGGACTGGCGAGGTACGCGTTGTACTCGCTGATGTCGGTGTCCTCGTTCAGCTCTGCTGGGAAGTGGCTTGATGTATAGGCTAGGCTAAAGTCTGCGCCGTCGCCAACGCGTTGGAGGGGCATTTCTTCTGGGAGAGTGGTTGAGAAGATTGCTTTGCCGGTGCTGTCGTGGGTTGTTATGAAGCGGTTGAGAGGGCGGATGTTCTTTGGTGTTTGGTCGGGCATTTTGGTGGGATTTGATTGCAATTGGTTTGGATGAGAGATTCAGTGGTGTAGAGACAGATTTGCGAGTCGACTGTGATGTTGTTGAGGACAGCTATATCCCGTCTCCCCTCATCGGGACCACTTTTGGCCACATCGGCTGAGGGGTCGGACGGAGTTGAGCGGCATTTTTGGACCTCGGAGTTATCATGCAGGGTCGGATGAGCTATTCTTGCGCAGCTTATGCGGGGTTCAGCCGAGTGGACAGATGTGATATACTCGAGATATGCATTCAGCGTGGTGTGACACCAAGGTCACATAAGTTGTACATTTCCTAATCCGTTGTAGTTGACTAGATCTATGTCCGGGCTTATAGTATACTAGAGTTTTGCTTGAAAGAGATCAAGTGTATGGAACATGACTTGCATTAAATCTATAGACATTCTAACCCATTTCCCACTCTACCCCCTCGCTCCTATCAACCTCTCACGGGATAATGGGGAGCGTAACATAGTTATCCCCAAGCCCAAAATGAATATGATTCTGACCCTGGAAGCGCTCCACAGACCTAAACCATCAAAATTAGCACCATTTTCACCTCCCCAACAACACTCACTACAAACACGAAGGATAACATACCGATCAGCAGGCGAATTATGCTGAAAAACGCCAGAACCCTGCGTATCGCCACTAGCAACCTCGAGCACAATCCGTCCCCCTCCCTCAACAACCACATTCGTCGGCCAAACCTCCACATCCACGCCATAGACCTCACCTGGAATAACAGGCAGCACATCCGTGGAATAATAATCCCGATGCGGCAACCACGCCCGATTCCTCGGATGCGCCTCATTCACCTTCCGCATACTCACCCGCAACCAACCCTTGCACAGCGGAACGGGGTCACCCGCCGTACCGGTGTAATGCACCTCCTTTCCAGCCGCCGAAATATGCCGCAGCGTCACGAAGAGGTCGATATCGTGCGGTGTTGGGGCGCCGGCGTTCGCGCTCATGGATACATTTAGGTGCGCCACGATGTGGCCTGTTATTTCGATTTCTTTGTCAAAGGGGGGCGACGTGAATTGGATTAGGGAGGGGTTGTCTAGTGTGCCCAGAGCTTGGTAGCTGATTTTGCGCGGTTTTTCGAGCGGGGCGTGTGTGATTAGTTCCCGTGTTGAGGTGAGGTAGAACTTTGTATATTGTGTTCGGGCAATGGGCCATTCGTGCTCGATGCGTCGGGGAAAGCCCTTCTCTGCGACAGCGTTATTGAAGCCGACGTCGCCCTTTCGAAGCAGAAGATCGACCTTCGGTGCTTTGCCTGTTGACCAGCCGGCGCGGTCGTCGCCTTTCAAGAATGCGTCTAGGAAGCTGCGCTGTAGCTCGACTTCCTCGGCGTAGTAGAAGGGGAGATCGTGGCGGCCTGCGATGAAGCGGAGGTATTTCAGTTCTGAGCCAGCTTGCGTCCAGCCCTCGATGTTCCCACGGAGGTGGAGGAGAATCCCGCCCCAATTTGCGACGGAGAGGAGCGGGACCTGGATGTCCGACATGCTGTACTCCTTCGAGGCGTAGTAGAGGTCATCACGGAACTTATTCTCCACATTATCGATCGTTTGGTCCTGGCGGTTCTGAACAAGTTCGTCTTCTGACAGATCACCCTCGATCGTGTCAGGTCCCCAGTTTCGCGCGGCACGCCCAGGTCGTCCGTACTGGTTGCTGACGACTTGACGGTCCCACCAGAACTTGATGAAGGCATTCGATAAAATCCCGCCGTGCCGGCAGCGGTCGCGGTAGTAATCGGACATTCCCTCCCAGGGAATCATACACGCCAGTCCCTTTGGTTGCCGTGCTGCGACGCGCCACTGGCTGCCGGCGAAGTAACTGATGCCCAGCAGTCCGACCTTTCCAGAGGACCAGGGTTGCTCAGCGGCCCATTCAACCACGTCAAAAAAGGCCTCGCTTGTCCCCCGGGACATGGTATCGAGTTTCCCGACCGATTGGCCTGTTCCGCGCTCGTCTGCCCGGACGACTGCATAGCCCTGGCTGGTCCAATACTTCGGGTCTGGCGTTTCCCATGCAGAGTGCTCGCTGCGTTGCTCGGGGTTCACCTCGCTGAAGCTTTGCGGGTGGAAGTCCTTGTACGGAATGTCTTTGCCATATGGTCCGTAGGTAACTAGGACAGGAACCTTTTCGGTGCCCTTGGGACGGTAGACGTTTGCGCGGACTAAGCCCGAGTTGTCTTTCAGGGTGATGGAGACATTTTGCTCGAAGATGTAGGGGAATGACGAGTCGTCGCGGGTGCTGATGTCTTTGATTTCGTTGGGCATGATGCACTTGGGGGCTCGTGCAAACTAAAAGAAATAAAAATAAAGTATTTGCGTAGTGTAGAGGAAATACCTGCGCGTGTGTTGATATACAATCTCCGCGTCCCCCGCTCGCCGAACGGCCTCCTTCCGACGTGGAGCCGAAATCGCTCCCGAACACCTTCAAACTGCGACTCGGCCGCGAAGCCGACGATGGAGGGGGCGATGAGGGGCGTATATGAAGGACTTAAAAATGATGAATTTGTTCCAGGGAGAGGAAAGAGCGTATTCGGCTGACAGTTGTATATCTTCAAAATGGCTGACACTAAAGACTCCGAGTCGGGCCTGCGTGTGCTGATCGTCGGTGCTGGCATCGGTGGATTAACAGCTGCAATTGCATTGCGACAGCAGGGTCATCGCGTCGAGGTTTGTGCTGCGCCCTTATAACGGTGTTCTGTTCTAATGTATTCTAGCTATTCGAGCGCTCCCGCTTCGCCAACGAAATCGGCGCTGCGATTCATCTCTCTCCGAATGCAAATGGCGTTCTCTTGCGGCTTGGAATCGACGCTACGAAATTCGGTGCTGTGGAAGCTGAGCTGGTAAGTTTTCTCGAGTGAGTGTCCTGTATTCAAGGCTGACGGTATAGTTGCGCGAGTATACGCCCGCCGGCGAACCCGTGCATATCACGGCTGTGAAAGAGCAGGCGGGCATGTGGAGACACGTAAGTTAGCATATCGACCCAAATTCAGTCATGACAGTCAAGCTGATCTCGTAGCGATGGCTCCTCGTCCACCGCGCTCATTTCCACGAAGGCCTCAAGAACGCCGCCCAAGCACCCGGCCGCGGCCACCCAGCCGTTCTCCACACAGCCAGCAAAGTCATCGACGTCGACCCACACCAGGCGACAGTGACACTAGAAAACGACGAAGTGTACACAGGCGACGTCCTCATCGGCGCAGACGGCGCCCACTCACTCACGCGAACCAAGCTGCCCCAAGGAAAGGAGATCCACCCACGAAGCTCAGGCAAGAATGCATTCCGCTTCCTGATGACCCGTCAACAAGCCCTCGACGACCCAGAAACAAACAGTATTGCCCGGGACTTTGGGGCGGTGGATATGTGGGACTCATCTGAGCGGCGGGTTGTCATTTACCCCTGTGCAAATAACGAGTTACTCAATTTCGTCTGTATCCATCCTGACTCGCTGACGACTATCGATGTTGGTGGTGATGAGTATAATCAGCAGATTGGCAAGGATACCCTCTTGCAGGTGTATAAAGAATTTAATCCGCAGGTGCGCAGATTGCTGGAGAAGGCTGATCCCGCGACGTTGAAGTTGTGGCCTTTACTTGATATGCAGACGCTTCCGTCGTGGGTGGAGGGGAGGTTGGCTGTGCTGGGTGATGCTGTGCATCCTTTCTTGCCCTATAGAGCGTCGGGTGGGGCGATGGCTATTGAGGATGCGGTCTCCATCGCTGTTATGCTGCCCCGTGGTATTTCTGTTGATGAAGTGCCTGAGAGGTTGAAGGTGTATGAGAAGGCTCGTCATACCCGCGCGACTACTATTCAGGAAATGACGCGCGAGTCGGTCCAGCTGCTCGCTCCGGAAAGAAGTATGTCCCAGACACTCAAATGAGGATGACAGATATTGACTGGTGTAGCGATGGCAATGGTCGCCTATATCTACGGCCACGACGAGTTCGACCACTCCACCCAGGTCCTCCGAAAGTACCTCTGGTCCAAGAATCCACGCATGTATTGGCGCCAGCCGATCGTCTTCGGCCCCATGCCCGGGCCCCGACAGGACTGGTACGGTAACGACCGTACACTGAAATCTCTCGAGTCGACCTTCCAAACAACCTCGATCAAGTTCAAGACCAGTCGCACGCTGCTCCAAAACCTGTTCCCGAATGGTCGATACAGCTTCATCTCGCCGAGCACGGTTGCGCGAGCTAGCTTCTCGCAGACCATGCTGAACGGCATGGACTGGCTGGGTGGTGGTGGATACCGGCATATCGGGTTATATATCCACGGGGTGCAGTACACGAAGCAGAACGGCGAGTTACTCAAGGGCACGTATATGCCGATCCTGTTCGAGAGTCTTGCGGACCCCATCGTGTCGGGTCGTGAGGAACTCGGCATGCCGAAGCTATACACGGCCATCGATATCCATGAGCGGACTAGCTCGTTCCGGCTGCAGACCAGTTGGCAAGGCGCGGTGTGGGGTCATTTCGAGCTGGAGGATCTGGAGGACCAGGATCCTGGTGCGGATAAGGGCACGATCGGCGGTGAGGATGATGATGGGATCTTAGTGTATCGCTACATGCCCAAGGTTGGACGCGATTGTAAGGGCGACCCCGCGGAGGAATACCCCGTTTTTGTGCCGCATGCGCAAGAGTCCAAGGTTGTGCCGTCAAAGGTGACGCGCGTGCGGAGGACCAAGAATGCCAAGGTTAATATCGATGGACTGGGCTGGGATGCGCTGCCTACGCTGCACCATGTGGTGTCTCGTTTGGCTGAGATTCCGATTGACGAGGTCATCGACGCGAAGATTACCGAGGGACGGGGGGTGCCGGATGTTTCGAGTGCGCAGCGGATTGAGTAGATGTCTGTGTCTTACCCTAAGATATAGTGCGGATATATCGGCTAGTAGATTAACTTGGTTATGGCGAATGTACTGAATGATATAATAGCGCCTTGTCGCACTGCTGTCCGGTCTTCATTGGTGAAAATATCTCAGACTATTTCCCATTCTTCTGCCCTGCCCACGCTCGTGATTGGCGTGGAGCCGCCTGGAGCAGCCTCTGACAGGAACGTTCAACGGCGAGGCAAACTGCATTGGGTGGACTGCAGATTATCCTTGTCGAGTTTCAGCAAGCAGATTCCTTTGTAGTTAGTCGGCGGCCAGCCGTCGTACGGTGGATTTTCATATGATTTGACCATGACCTGACGAATGCAAAATTCCGGCTGGCCTGTAGGTGCAAGCGGAGGTCCCACTCTTCAGTGTGCTATGAGTAGCTGTATGTACCATGCACATCCAACGGTCGCCTCCGTGCAGGAACGATTTGCCTTGTTGATCCCGGAAGAATTACCCGCGCCTGCCACGTCTGTCACGCTGTGCCTCAAAAGGGCGATGGAGGGGTCTCAGCCACGCCTCCACGTTTGCAGCCACGGAGGGGGCCGTTATGAGGCTGTCCATGCAGCATCCGTCGATCCGTGTGGGAATGGCCGTGGACGAGCCGATCCACCGTCAGCTGCTGCTGCCCTGAGGCTGTGCGGGGCTGTTGCGGCATGTATCAGTCTAGTGTATCAGAGTTGCAACATCTCACAGCTTCCCACAGTTTGTTTCCTGGGGTTCCATTGTGATAGTCGTCTAGTCGTAAAGCTCTCGGTAGACCCGAGATCCTGAGATCCCGCATGGAGCTTGGGAACACGCACCCATGGGCGAGTGGAGGGGGTCAGCCGGCGTTGAGCTGGATCTGCGTAATGCATGAAGCCTACAACGGAGGGTGGAGCAAGTCTAGAACTGGCAGTGGTGGACGGACTAGCAGGAGTGGTGGGGGGAGAAGAGGAGATGCAAGGAGGAGGTAGCTAGTCCGCCCGCTCTTCCATCGCCTTCAATTCTCTTCGGCCTGTTATTAAGCCGCGCCGAGGTCCTCCAACTGTGACACATACTCTCTCTCTCTCCTCTTCCTCCTCCAGGTCGAGCTCACTTTTCACGTCTCGGAGGATTCTATTCCTTCAACCCGCTCAGCACCATGTAAGTCCACCCGGCGATCCCATGAGGCTCTCCGCAACGCCGGTGATGGCAGTGATGCCAGCCCACCACCATGCACAAGCTAACCATCAAATGACAGGCGGATTACCGTCAGCGTCATTCGCCCGGAGCAGGCCGACTCAGACATTATCACGCTCGAAGTTGGCGGCGACATGTCCATCGAGCTCCTCAAAGCCATCGTCCAGAGCGAAACCGCCATTCCCCCCGAAGCCCAGCAACTCGTCTACAACAACCAGCTCCTCCAAACCCCCTCACAAACCCTCGACCAGATCGGCATCGGCGAGGGCGACATGCTCGGCGTCCATGTCAACCTCCGTCCCGCCGGTGCTGGCCCCGGTGCTAGACCCTCTGCGCCCCCCGCGACAGCCCCCGGCCCCAGCGCCGCCCCGCGCCAGATGCCCCCTCGCCCTGGCATGCCCGACCCCGAGACCATCCGCCTGCACATCCTCGGCGACCCGCGCGTGCGCGATGCGGTGCGCAGACAGAACCCCGATCTCGCGGCGGCGGCAGATGATGCGCAGCGGTTTCGCGAGGTGTTGCTCTCGCAGCAGCAGCTGGAGGCGCGGCGGGAGGCGGAGAAAGAGGCCCGTATCGCGATGCTGAACTCCGATCCGTTTAACCCGGAGAACCAGCGGGAGATTGAGGAGATTATTCGACAGAATGCCGTTACGGAGAACTTGCATAATGCCATGGAGCATCATCCAGAGTGTAGGTTGTCTGATGTCCTGATTACGGTGTAAGTACTAACGGGTCCTCCGATGGCTTGAAGCGTTCGGCCGCGTCACAATGCTCTACATTCCCGTCGAAGTCAACGGCCACCGCCTTAACGCCTTCGTCGACTCCGGCGCCCAGGTTACTATCATGTCGCCCGAGTGCGCGGTCGCCTGCAACATCATGCGGCTCGTCGACACCCGCTACGGCGGCATCGCCAAGGGGGTCGGGACGGCTCCCATTCTGGGCCGGGTACACTCCGCCCAGATCAAGATCGGCGAGATGTTCCTGCCCTGCTCCTTCACCGTCATGGAGGGGAAGCAAATCGACCTGTTGCTGGGACTGGACATGCTGCGCCGCCACCAGGCCTGCATCGACCTCAAGCGCGGCGCACTCGTCATCCAGGACCAGGCCGTGCCCTTCCTCGGCGAGGCCGACATTCCCAAGCACCTAACCGAAGAATTTGAGGATGAGCCGACGGTCAAGGGCTCAGATGGGGCGGAGGTCGGCGCGCGCACTGGTGCCGTGACGCATCAGGCGGGGCCAAGCGGGTCGTCGTCGGCGCCTGCGTCTGCAGGTGCAGGTGCGTCTGCTTCTGCTTCTGCTTCTGCGCCTGCGCCTGCGCCGCGAATCAATATCCGGCCGTCACCGGCATCGCGCTGGCCAGCCGACTCGATTGCGAAGATTACAGAGTTGGGATTCACACGGGAGCAGGCGATCCGGGCGCTGGACGCGGCGAATGGGGACCTTGATGGTGCGATTGGATTTTTGATCTAGTCCATTCTCTTATCTCTCCTATGAGGTGATTCCCCTACTATCTTTTCTGAGTTTCGCGGCAGTGCGACAGCCAGATTAGATCGTAGAGGATCTGGATCTGGATCTGACGAGCATTTCACTCTTTGGCGTTGGTGGACGGATTTCATTTAGCGATTCCATTGACCACTGCACGTAACCCGGTGTACGATAGTGGTGTGTCTATTTCTTATTATCATGAATTATCTTTCCCTTATACCTAGGTAATTATTCGCGCTTGCTCTTGGGTAGGAGTTGTTTGCGTAGGCGGAGGAACATGTCGAGGGCCATGTAGGCGCCTGTAGATTCAAAGTCAGCACTGCCCTTTCTCCTTGTGTAGATGGTGATTGGTGACATACCCAGCGCCACATACGGCCCGTACAGCGAGGTGATATTCCACTTCTCGGCCCGAATGCGATCCTCCCAGCTCCAGACGTCCACGAGGCAGGTGAGAGACGTGATAAACGCCTGGATACCGAATACGAGAAGGTGGACCGGGACGAGGGGGTGTTCTATTCAGCATGAGTTTAGTAACTATCCCATATTCAAATGCATCCGTCCTTATGCTTGCGTCTGGTATGCATTCATCCCATTTGCAGGTCGTATCTCAGGGGTCTCACCCTTCAACAACCCCCACACCGCCCAGATACTAGCCGGCACGTGGTACAGCAGCTCCATCCAGATAAACGTGTTAAACCAGACCGGTGGGGCTTCGAAGAACTTGTCGCGGTAGGTCGCGACGTAGAAGGCGCGCAGGTTTGCCGAGAGTGTTGTGCGGGCCCATTCTGGTTGCAGCGGGACGGTGTCGATTAGGAAGATTATGGGCAGGTGGGTGATGAAGAAGAGGAGGTAGGCGAGGTCTCGTTTGCGGAGGGGCATTTTGTCTTGGTGTGCTCTTGCCTTGTGTAGAGCTTGTGGTGTAGCTGAGCTTAGCTCGGGAGTTGGGTAGGTGGTGTTTGTGCCTGAGGCTACTCTCTGTTTGTGCCCTCCTGTGCCTGAGGCTCCAGTGGGGCACCCGGCGATCCGGGCATGTTTGCTTTTTCAATCGATAGCTTAATTTAGTAGATCGCTAGTTCGATCGGTACATTCCTGGGCCATCTATGACGATGACGCCGAGCCTCGTTCGGGAGTACCATCTCCTCATTCAGCAATTCCAGGGAAGCAAAACTCGGTGTGCCCTCGGTGATGTTGCTGCCCAACCCAAAAGGGGAACCCGGAGACGGGCCGGTCCTCGGGCGACCCAAGATTGCTTCACCGCGAGTACCTTGCGACTGGCGGTCCCCAGTCTCCCGCAACCTGCCCTAGCCACCTTAGGGTAGCTAAGAACTAGGGTTGGGAGGCTCATATGGACCAAATTTCTCGCAATCAGCAAAGGCGGCACGGCCAGAATTGTCTCATTACATCATGGCATGCTTCGTACGATGCATCGCCGTCGGCTTCCTGCACAGCCGGCTTTCCGTGCGACGTGTCGAGCTCGAAGGATCAGCCCCAAGACCCAGCAGACCGCATCTTTGACGTCGGGCCAATGGCGATCGGTCCCTGCTTTTGGTAATAAACGTTCCGGGTCCATCCTGGATCCGTTTTCCTTCCCGCTCTCGTCATCGTCCCTCCCTGAGGGAACGGTACTAGGTCGTGGAACGGCAGCGATCCCTTGGGCCGAGCGAGACTGGCGCATCGGTTCTTCGCTCGCTCTTCGCCTGCGCCATGCATACCTTAGCCCGACTAGTTGGCCTGCTAGTCTAGGGAGCTGCACGCTGCTGCTGTATCGCCCCCTGCACTTCCTGGGAAGCGCGTCCGATTCGCCTGCTGTCCCCACGATCACGGCAGATAATGCACTTGCCATTTCGCCCGCATTGGCCTTATCGAACGCCCACGGAGAATTCAAGGCCGAGGCACGTACAAGGTGCGAGAAGCACGAGTCCGCGAGGAGCGGTGTGTTCACTCTGCCCATTCAAGTGCGACGCGGCCGCAAAATCAATACCCCTGAATACCTTCCAGGGGGTTCCTTCGTAATGCCTCGCCAGACCACCCCCAGCTCAGAATCACTGACGGTAGATCCCTCCAAAGAAATGACTAGCCCACATGCACTGAATCCACCCCTCCACAGGACGGAACGCCCCGGGATGCCAGTGGTATGCCCGCTGCTCACTAAGTGGATTGGCCCGCGGCCTTGATTTTGCGCTTGCTTGACCGCTGTTCTAGCGAACCATCCCCCCCCCCCCCCCCCCTCCCTTCTCTCGAACTGCCGGATACTCGGAAATGAAGGGCACGAGCTAGTGTTTGGGCGATGCAGGGCGGGCCCAACGAATGCGTGAGTGAGTGTCGACAATCTGTCGAATCCTGCCTGCATGAGGGAGGACTTCGATATCGGCCTGTCGCTCCACCACGGGTTCCACGCGAACTGCTCTAAGACATATATATAAGTGAACTGCTCGGATCAGATAACTCAGTCTCCATCTTTTTTTTTGCTTTTTCGCTCCACTCTACTCTACAATCTTATACCCCAATCGCTACGAGTACGAGCTGCACTTGGTAACAGAATGCCCTCCTCCGCCCCCCTCATCCCCCATCGCTCCAAGGCAAACACCCACAAGCCCGAAATCCCAATCAGCTATGACATCAACATCCCCTATGTCGATGTCGACAAGCAATCTAAAATCAACACCCCCTACCCGCAATACCTGCCAACCTGGGATCCAATCTGGTTCGATCCACTCCCACCCTTCGACTACCATGACCCAGCGCTCCGCGCCAACAAAACCAAATCAGCCCTGCTGAACGACAATGTCAAACTAAACCACATCCAACCAAACATCGGCACCGTCGTCGAAGGCCTCCAACTCAACCAACTGACCGACACCCAAAAAGACGAACTCGCCCTCCTAATCTCGGAGCGCAAAGTCCTCGCTTTCCCAAACCAAGACCTAATCGACGACGGTCCCGACGCGCAAGAATCATTCATGCGCTACTTCGGTAAACCAAATTACCAGCCCGTTTCGGGGACAATCAGAAACCACCCCGCCTTCCACGTCATCCATCGTGACGGCAACCGCGACGAAATCGCCCGCTTCCTCGAAGCTCGCACGACAACCACCCTCTGGCACCAGGACGTCAGCTATGAGATCCAGCCGCCAGGCTACGTAATGCTGGGCCTTCTGCAAGGCCCAGATGTGGGCGGCGACACCGTCTTCTCCGCCACCGATATGGCGTATAAACGGCTCTCGCCGACCCTGCGCGGGTTCCTGGATACGTTGAAGGCGGTGCATTCGTCTGCGAAGATGATTGCGCATACCCGGTTGACGGGTGGTCTTGTGCGCAAAGATCCGGTTGATAGTGTCCATCCGCTTGTTCGGGTTCATCCTGTTACCGGGGAGAAGTGTTTGTTCCTCAATCAGGAGTTTATTACCAAAATTCAGGGCATGAAGGAGCCTGAGACGAAGTGGATGCTTGATTTCCTTATGAATCATATAATTACCGGCCATGATTTCCAGGCTCGTGTGCGCTGGCAGCCGAGGACTATTGTTATGTTTGATAATCGGTCTACTACCCGTGAGTTGCCCTTAACTTTCGCACTTTTGAGTGCTTTTGCTAATTTGTACTGTGATATCAGACTCGGCTATCGTCGACTACCTCGATGACGAGTACGGCGCCAAGGCCCGGCATATCTTCCGCCTGATTGCGCTGGGCGAGAAGCCGATTCCGGTGTATGACGAGTTCGAGTAAAAGTAATTTTTTTCTCTAATAGTGTGATAGACGGTTTCTTTTGTGGTGTTGGGTTATGTTAGAATGCGCTGTTTCGGTATACTTAATTCATAGTCTCTTATCATCTCTATCCACTCAATCTCATTCTGCGTAATTAGTGATGATACCTAATCCTACCCGAGGGTAGAAGCACAAAAGTGTATGCTCAATGTCATTGTGCAATGCCTATTATCAAACGCCCAGCGGGCCACTAGAAGTACAAACATGCGATCCGTCATACATCCAGAGTCCAAACCCAAACCCCATCATATTCGCCGAACCAAACTGCAATGAATTCACCATTCATACCAACCTACTACAGGCAAAACTGAAATGCCCTGTAGGAAGGCTAACGCAGGAGACTCGAAATCTGCGCACGCAACCTGTCACCCGCTTCCCGGACCTCGGGAGCGTTCTGCGGGTTCTGTTGCAGCAATAACAAGGTTTCCGAGACCCGCTCTGCCGCCGCCTCAGACCCAAATACCATCCCGCCCAGCTGCGCGCTCTCATGGAACCACCCCTGAAGCAGATACACTAGGTCCGCCGCAATGTACCGGCGGTTTGCGCCCTGAAAGGGGGCTTCGTCGGTGTAATACATTGCTTCCAGTACGGCGTACAGGGATTCGTAGGCGACGCCCAGTTCCAGGAACAGGTCGACGACCCAGTAGGTGGTTCCCTCGGTGCGCTGGTGCTCGAGATTGTAGCGCTCCAGGATGGGGAGGAGCTCACGCACCGGGAAGACGGTGTCGGACATACGGAGGCGAGAGCCGAGACTGCGGAGTTTTTCGATGACGGCCTCGTACGGCTTCGGCGTGCCGCGGGCGAGGGTTTCCTCGTGGAGATCTTGGATCAGATGTTGCCAGGTGGCCTTGATGTCGGCTGCGTTGCGGTAGTCTGCCAAGTAGAAGATCTGCAGGCAGATGTCATAGTAGCTGGCCGAGTCGGCGTATTGGTTGAAGAGCTAGTTTTTGTTAGGACATGAAAATAAGGGGTCGGAATCGGAATCGGACGTACCGTGCTGATATCCATCACCGGTCCATCTACGTCCTGCAGGACCTCACCCTTGCGCTCTGGCGCAATGCGCTTATCTTCCTTCAGGCGGTGCAGGAGGTCATCCTGAATGTTGGCAACGTCAATGAGGTTTCCGATCTCCTGCAGCAATCGCTGTCGGGACTGTCGGCCGACATCGGGGGTAAAGGTTGATGCGTTGGCGCGAGCACGGCCCAGGTACTCAATACGTTTGCTCAACGGCAGCGTGAAGGCGCTCTGGGCCAGCTGGAATTGCACCTTGGCGGCCTCGAAGAACCGTTGTGACTGGGCGTAATAACGCCACAGCAGATCGGCATGAGCGATATCGTCGGCGGACTTGCGTTCGAGATACGTGACCACGAACGGGGACTGAGTCTGCAGGAGACGGTCGCTCCAGCCCTGTTCCAAATACCAGTCGTACAGACTGGTCAAGAACACCTCGTCTTGCGAACCGGAAATCACGCAATAAGCCTCGTTCTGTCGTTTGGCAATCTGGGTGGGTTGCCCATCAATGAAACCAGGGTCCGAAGCGGTGAGATTGTCCACAGCGACAATTACCTTCGACACCAGGTCGTAACATTGCTTGCGGAAGTAGAAGTGTTCCTTGCGAGAGTCCTGTAGAGTGATGAGCGGGGGACTTTCGCCGTGGGCATGGGAAGGCATAGGCACCTGTTCGGGACGACCATCCATGATCCAGGACAGGGCAAGGTTGGCTTTGTCGGAAACGCCGGCGACGTTGAGACATAATTGAATGGCTCCTGTTTTTTGTCGGTTAGCATGTACATTAGATCTAGATTCGTTAGTGAACGACATACCAGCAAAGAATTGTGTGTTAATGTACGTATCCACGGCAGAAACCAGGTAGTCCATCGGGAGGTTCTCAGCCACCTCCAGGAAAAGCTTGAGGCTTTCGTTCAGGAGGTTCCGGCCCAAGTCAGAGTTAGCACCAGCCTCAGAAGCACGCTTGAGCAGCTCCTGGGCCTTGAAAATCACCACATCCTCCGGGCTGCAGAAGCTGCCGCATCGACGGCGGAGAGCATCCGCAATCGTCTCCACATTTGAGCCCTTAGCAATGTTGCGGTTGACGATACCCTTCACCAGCTCCTTGGCAATCTCATGACCCTTGCTGGTGCTGAAGAGCTCCTCGAAGGTAAGCTTCAAAAACCGGTGCTTCGACTCGTCAGGAAGTGTGTTCACAATCTCATCCACCCGCTCATCAAAGAGAACGAGGACAAAGGAAATGCCCTCGATAGTGTGGGATACCAGCTGCACCAGCGAATGGACAGCACGGTGTTCGGCCTGCAGTTCAATGACCGCGGCCTTGGACTCGGCCCGGGCAAGAGCATCGGGACCGCTCAGACCTTCAATGAAGCTGCGGTTGACCTTGAAGAACTCTTGGAGAGACGAGAGACTCTGTTGGATGCTCTGCAGTTTGGCAGTGGCGACCGAGGCAGCAACAGTCATTCCACCATCCGACGCCTTGCCAATTGTACTGACCTCCTTCTTCCAAATCGATCGGAGAAGACGCGAAATGTACAGTGCAATACCTTGGTGTCGGGGTGAAGGAGTCACATCATCGATGGTGAGAGCAGTACCGTCACTAATATCTTGGTTTGGTGTGGGCTTGCCACCGAACCCGACAAAGATCTTGCGCGCGAACTCAAGCACGTCGGGATCACTGATCTGGGTCATACGCTGGTCATGGGCGATCTCCTCTCCTTGGCCACAGGCCACGGCGAGGGCCGTCGCCAGAGTCTCCGCTCGCCCAAATCCAAGACTGAATGCCTTGAGCACCTCATCCAAGCCGTCATGACTCAGACTTCCGCTACGCGCCAGGGACGCAAAGATATCCACGGGGCGTCGGCGACGGATGATGTGGATTCCAGTGTTGGTCAGAATTGCCACCTGCGCAGCAGGTTGATCAAACTGAACCGCCATCTCATTACCGAACCCGCCGGCAGTAGCTGGCAGAGGCGCCGAGCATAGCCCAATGTCCTCAGCCTTGCCGCCGAGGTTCAACCAGATAGCCGATTCCGGAGCCTGAGCGGCAGTCGAGCTCTCATGTGGGCGCGCAAGTCGACCAGAGTCAGGAGCGGAGATGAACAGGGTATCCTCGCGTTGTGTGGGATCCCGGCAGGTGAAACAGAAGAAGTAGCCGGGAGGGAAGCGTGCCGCCAAACGAGTCGGTGAAAGGGACTGGAGCGGACCTCTTGCGGCAAGCGATTGAATCCGGTTTCCGTTAACATCTCTGGCATCCAGAGCGATATCAACCGGCGGAGTCTTGATATGTTGCGCCTGCATGCTAGTCGGGGCATCCGCTCCAACCTGCTGGGGGTCCCAGCTGTAAGAACCAGTGGCACTGAGGTAAACTCGGTATCCAGTGGCGGTGGTTGCAACCAAATGATACCGTTTGGCCTCTGCCTCGGGGACAGGGCTGATGGAGACGATCTTCACTTTCGGGTTCAGCGTCTCGTGGGACGCAATGGTATGTCCGATGTTGGCGTAAATGTCTACGGCCCGCTTAGTGATGGCCACAGAGACGCTACCATCATTCTTAAAGTGAAGCACTCGAATTGTGGACTCATTAGACAGGGTGTACAGCAGTCTTCGGCTGTCATCAATCACCATCTGCTCGACGTGTTCCACACCAGCTCTCTGCGCAAGGGCAAGGTTGGGCATGCTCATCGATGGCTTGAATGCTGCAAGCCTAGACCGAGTGTGGTTCACTTTGGCGCAACGGTTGTAGAACCACCGCTCCTCTTGCTGATAGGTGAGCTCCCACACATGGTTGTCAGTCGATCCTCCAAAGAAAATGCGACCGGTCTGGTCCGAAGCGGCAATCACATGGATGTCCAGTCCCCGAACAGGCACTGCCATTTTCGTTTCGAACAAAGACACCTTGAAACGCTCATTGTCCATCTCGCAGCTCATAGCCAGTATGATCACCTCCGCTGTCGTAGCCACCACGAGCAGGTGCGAAATGTTGGGCAAAAATACACCGGGGCGCGGCTTGACCAGCTTCACCGCGTTGATGCTGTTCGGCTGTTCCTCGAATCCAACCAGCTCGGGGTTGTTGGCTTTAAAGTCCCACAGGTACAGTGCGTTGTCAATGGCCACCCACGCGTGGTTGATCTCGGCGAACAAACCCATACTTGTCGACACCTGGGCACGATTGTATTGATCGAAGATTTGATCGGGGATGTTGTACATTTTGACTTTCTGGAACGGCGCCCATGACGGGCTCGTGGGGATATCATAGTCGGATGAGAATCCCTCTGTTCGGGTCTAGTTAGCTTTCATCTTTCCTGTTAACTAGAGCTGGGGAAAATTTACGCGACAGATAGCTGTCCAGGTCCGGAAAGCGAGCTTCTTGCGCCAGGGTATTGTTGATGGTGTGCGCCCCACGCTCTTCCACGCTCAAGGCTCGGTTGGATGTCTGGACGATCGCCGGGGCCATATTGGGCAATGGCGTCTGCACCGGGAGGGGCTGTGGCGGAGATCGGGGGGCGTCATTTCGGGGCACTGCTGGAGTCTGTAGGAACGCTCCAGGCAGGGGTCGCTGCGGTGTCCCCGGAGGGAGGTTCGTGGGCAGAGTCGGATACGCCATTCTGCAGCTGGAGAGCTGGGCAGAGGAGGAGGGAGGACTCCCCGCTGGATGGAGACGGAATAAATGGAGCTTCAGCTATTAAGTGAATCAAAAACCAGAGCTCCCTCGGGCTAGGATGGAAGATGGGGAGGGGATGTTGCAGTGCGGAGGAGTTGGCCTGCCGTCTTTTGCGAAAAGCGCGAGTCAACAATTGAAGGCGCACGGACCACCGATATTCCGCCTTTCGCATTCACAGCTTCCGCGTCGACTTTCTTCAGTGACTGCCATTGAAGCCGCCACCAACTTCTGCCGTATTTATTTGTTTCGGAATTTTATCATGTTCCATTCACTTCGTCTGTCTACACGGGCGCCGTTGCGCTCCATGCGCATGGTGCGCTGGAATTCTACCGCCAGCCCTACTACGCCTCCGCTGATGGCTACGCTTCGGACAGACTTGAAAACAGCTATGAGAGCTAAGGATACTTCTAGGTAGGTCGTTTTAATGCTTTGTGAATTGATAATGAGTGACTAATTCATTATTTCCTGTCGCTCCAGGCTCAATGTCCTACGTGCCGTCATCTCCGAGTTCAATAACAGCCAAAAGACCGCCTCCCCCATTCAAACAGATATCCAGCTCTTATCGCTTCTGCGCAAGCGGGCTAGTGCTGCCAGGGATGCTGCCAAGGAGTTCGCCGAGGCCGAACGACCCGATCTGAAGGAGAAGGAGGAAGCGCAGGTGGCCGTCCTCGAGGAGTATGCCAGCCAGGTCAAGACCCTCGCCGTTGAGGAAGTCGAGACCATCATTGCAAACGAGATTACCGCCATTAAAGAGGCCGGGAAGAAGCTCGATGTCGGTCAGGTGCTCAAGTCTCTCTTTGCGCCCGGTGGTGCCCTGGACGGCAAGCCCGCCGACCGCAAGGAAGTCGCTGGTCTGGTCAAGAAGGCTGTCTCTGCGTGAGTCTGGACTCCGCGGAACTGATGTGTACACTAGATTTACAATACGTTCAATATATCCCCTCTCAGAATTAATGATGAAAAACACTGTTGAATCGAATGCGGGACCAAGAAATTCCGGATATTAAGTCTATTACACATTAAGAAAAGAAGAACGCCGCTCCACCGAGTGAGGTTGCCAGCACGCCAAACCACCACCAACGATCTGGGTTGATTAGTTCCTCCTTGATGACGACATGAAGGCCTGATGACAGTTCTCGCTTCTTCTTGGATGTTGGGATGGGGTTGAGGGTGTTTGTGGGCAGCATCTTGGGCGGGCGATATGCCAGGTACATGGGGTGCATGATCTCGCCGGTGGATTGCTGCAGGTCCAGTCGTTGGACGTGGTTATATGCGTCGACCGAGACTGAGAATCCCTGTAGTTGGCCTGTGTTAGATCCTGCCACTGTAACAGCATGGTTCACTGGTCATGGCTTACCTTGAACTTCTCCGTGTTGTTGTATCGGGTATAGAAAGCCGTGTCCTGCACGCATGGCTGGGAGAGCAGCTGTCGACCATCACTGGCGATGGGATGCAAGACCATCGATCCATCGGCAGAGACGGTATAGGTTCCGTGTTGCCACTGCATGATTCCTGAGGGACACGATGGATCCGTGGCTGCGCTGGTTAGCCCGATGGTTCTCTGCAAAGGATATAGATCGGGATCCACCGGCACTCACGATTTGCTATAGCGCGATAAAAGGCCTCTTCATAGTGACCCTCGCCATCAAACGAGTATGAAATACCCGTCAAATTAGGCTCAAAGAACCGATCATTCAGCGGGTCGTAGAAATCCTAGTCTCGTCAGCATCGTCTCGCGTCGTTGTTATGGTGTACATACCGGACCGGTAAAGACTTGCTTCGATTTTGTCGTCCACGTTCCCACCAGCTCTTCCACATTCACGGCCGCCGCCGTGGCCAAGAAAGCCCATAGAAAGATCATCGTTGTTGAATTGAGGACACGAGGAGAGAAGAGAGAAGAGAAGGTCGTCCCTGGGCTCCCTTCATTCGGGTGGGGACCAACAAGGACGCCGCACTGGCATGCCGGTCCACTCTTATCGATTATCGGCTGGAATGATCGTTGCATCTCCTCCCTCCTATTCTCCCGCGGGGCTGCACCGAACAATGGCGTTTCAGCTGGCCAAGCGTGACTTGCGCAAGCGGATGCGTGGGGTCTTCGAGGGCCTTTCGTCAGCTGCAATCGTTCAGCAATGTAAGTTCACCGTTCCCCCGCGTTGTTGGCCGTCAATGAGTTTCCCGTCGGGCTTTGACTCACACGCAATGGTTGCGACCTTGTCTAGCTGTCGTCGCCACGAACAAGTTCCTGTCGCTGGCCGAATACCAGAACGCGAAGAGCATCGCCGTCTACTTGTCGATGCCGACGGGCGAGCTGTCTACGCGGAGTATCGTCCAGGATGCTTTGCAAAGCGGGAAATGCGTATACATTCCGTACATTCACAAGCCTGACAAGGTCTCAGTGATGGACATGCTCGCTCTCGAATCGATGGCCGAGTTCGAGTCGCTACAGCCGGATAAATGGGGGATTCCGTCTCTTCAACCTACACAGATTCCTGGTCGTCGAAACTGCTTCGAGGCCAGTGGATTGGATCTCATCGTCATGCCGGGTATGGCGTTTGACGAGGGATTTCGCAGGTTGGGCCATGGTAAAGGGTATTACGATCATTTTCTGACACGATATGGTAAATGGAGTGAGAAAATGCCATTTCTCGGTAAGCAATCCTAAAAACCCCAGGCCAAAAACAAGAAACCCCAGGCAAAGAAAACAATGAAGAAATCAAAACCCCCATTTTTGGCCCGAAAACTAACAAAAAAACGCCTTGTGCCAGTCGCCCTATCCCTCCATGAACAGTTGCTTGCCGAGGAGATCCCCGTGGTGGAGCATGACTGGGTGATTGATGCGATCGTAGTAGGTGACGGAAGGTATTTGGTTCGCCGGACGTAAACGAAAAAAAAATGTCGTGAGATGTCGAAACCAGTTTAGGGCAGCTTAGTTACCAAACGCAATAAGGGAAACATTGTCACCCTTGAGGACAATTTCGCCTGTTATCATAATAGATAGGGTCAGGAGCTATCTCAGAAGCTATCCCACAGGCAGCACCGCGCGATAAACGCACAGCGTCCCCGTAGTGGCAGGGGCACTTACCTAGGTTGCGACGCTTCTCCTCTCGACCGCGAGCAGAGACGCGAACCTCCACAGCGTCTTCCAGAGTCATGTTCATGAACTCGTCGAAGGCCTAGAAATTCCCGCATCAGTATATGTGCATAATTTGATGGTCGGTGGGGTCAAACTGAAGCTTGCGCAATGGGTACATACCTGGATGCGGCCCTCGATACGGTCACGGGGCGCATCGACGAGCCAGATCTTCACAATGCTCTTGCTCTGCATCCCACCGAAGATCATGTTGATGGGAACGACCAGCTGCTGCTGCTTCTGCTTGTTGCGCGGGAAAGAGTTAGGAGCAGGCATGGTGACGGTTGGGTTGGAGAAATTGGAGAAATGTGGCAGAGCAAAGCTGAGCAGGCGGAATGCGGGAAGAAGTTAGGAGCGGCAAGCTCTGCGTCCCGTGATCGGTAATACCGTTACACATCACGGGCACCACATCCCACCTTCCTCCTCACATTTGACTCTTTGCGACCACCCCCTCGTCCTGTGACTTCTTTCTTCCCACCCGTTCATTCTTTTTCGTGGTCGTCGGATTCAGTGATTGAGTCTTGACCTGATCAACGCGCCACCCATCATGGCCAGCAAGGAAACTGGGCAGGCATTTGCCCCGGTCCTGGCGGCCGTCGCGACTATGCAAGGGAATGTGTCTAGGTCCGAGAAGACGCAAGCCCACGAATTCCTAGAGAAGTTTCAGAAATCGGTACGCCCCCCTCTTCGTCGCCCTCCCGGTCGCTTCGACCGTGACTCTCTATTGGCAATCCCTTCTAACCCCAGAAAAACGGTGTTACAGATCGAAGCGTGGCAAACGACCCACGCTCTATTACAGTCGCCCGATGTCCCCGTCGAGGCGAAATTGTTCGCGGCGACCACATTGAAGGGAAAGGTATAGTCTCTTTTTGGAAGATTCCGGCTGGTTTAGATGCGGGATGCCCGCGGAACGTGGAGGACGAGAAACGCGGGGCTAACTTTGACCTTTCAAAAACAGATCGTGTTCGACTTGGACCAACTCCCTCCCGACGCCGTAATTGCTCTGCGTGACTCCGTTCTCAACCTCCTGGTGGCTTTTGCGTCCGGGCCGCGACCAATTCAGACTCAGTTATGTGTGTGTTTGGCAAGTTTGGCGATCCAGATGCTCGCCTGGAAGGATGTCCTGGCGACCGTGGGCTCGGTATTGGGCAGCAGTGCGGGGGACTGCGTGCTGGAATTCCTGAAGATCTTACCGGAAGAAGTGACGGAGGGACGCAAGATCAATCTCAGCGAAGATGAATTGCTCCAGCGCACCAAGGAACTTCTGGAAGATAATGCCGAGCAGGTCATGCAACTGATGATCGGATATGCCCAGTCGTCGCCCACAGCTGCTACGAACCCGCGTCTTCTGGACTGCATTACTTCATGGCTGCGCGAGATCCCGGCTGCCCAGATTGTCGAGTCGCCTTTGATGGATGTCATTGTGAAAGCACTGGATAATGACGTGTCTTTCGATGCCGGCGTCGACTGCATGTGCACTCTCTACCGCGATACCCGGGATGTCAACGAGTCCCTCCCCATTATTCAGGCCCTCTACCCCCGCCTGATGGCCCTTCGACCTAAGATCGCCGAGAATGCCGAGGCGGAGGATCTGGAAGCGTTCAAGGGTATTACACGAATGTTTGCTGAGGCCGGAGAGGCATGGGCCGTCCTGATTGCGCGTCTTCCGGGTGAATTTCGTGGCCTCGTTGAGGCAGTCCTCGAGTGCTGTGCACGCGACTGGGAACGTGATGCGGTTTCGTTAACATTCATCTTCTGGTACGAACTGAAGCAATACATTACGCTCGAACGCTATCCGGAGGCCCGAGTCAGTCTGCAGGATATCTTCTCGCAACTGGTCGACATCATGGTGAAGCACCTCGAATACCCCAAGCCCGAGGATGACGAGACCGATCTGTTCGCCGGTGATCGTGAGCAAGAGGAAAAGTTCCGTCAATTCCGTCACCAGATGGGCGATGTACTGAAGGACTGTTGCGCCGTGGTGGGCGTACCTGACTGTCTCGGCAAGATCTACCAGCTGATCCAGCAATGGGTAGGCAAGTACGCGTCGCAGGCCAGTGACAATCATGTCCCCCACTGGCAAGAGCTCGAGGCACCTCTCTTCGGCCTTCGTGCCATGGGTCGTATGGTGGACCCTGAAGAGGACACCGTTTTGAACCAGCTCGTCCCCTTAATCGTGCAGATTCCCAACCAGGAGAAGATCCGCTTCCAGGCCATCATGGCTCTTGCTCGATACACCGAGTGGACTGCACTGCATCCCGAGACCCTCGAGGCCCAGCTCAACTACGTTATCTCCGGTTTCAACCACAGCTCCCAGGAGGTCATTCAGGCATCGGCGTTGGCGTTCAAGTTCCTGGGCACGGATTGTCAGAAGCTCCTGGGTGGTCACATCAACCAACTGCACTCGTTCTTCGAGTCAGTGTTGGATAAGCTCAAACCCGCTAGCCAGGAAGAAGTTGCCGAGGGTGTTGCGGCCGTTGTGTCCGTACAGCCCCGCGAGAAGATCTTCGAGTCTTTCCGGATGTTCTGTGATCCCATCATCATGCGTATCATGAACCTCGCCGACAACGCTCAAGATGAAGAGGGACAGCGCGCGGTGGCCGATCACCTGCAGTTGATCACCATCTTCGTGCAGGTGGTGACCCCCATTGTTCCTCACGGTGAGGAGAACCCAGCCGTGAAGTACTGCGGCGAGATCCTCCCTATCATGACCACGATCGTTATGAACTTTACGTCCTCTACTCCTATTTTGGAACGAGTGTGCCGCTGCTGGCGCTACATGATTATCTCCTACCGCACTGCTATGACCCCCTTGCTGCCCACTCTCGCTCAGAGCATTGCCAATGGTTTCGAGGCTTCTCGTGAGGGATGCTTCCTGTGGGCTACTGATGCCGTGGTGCGCGAGTTCTCTGATGGTGCCGAGAATGTGGATCAAGCGACTAGCGATGCCGTCTATCAATTCTACGAGCAGCAGACAATTGCATTCCTCCGCATCATGAATGACCTACCGCCAGAGAACCTCCCTGATGGTAAGTCCTGTCATTTCTGGTCGTCGGGAAATCCCCCGGTTACTAACCTATGTTATTTGTGTTCAGTCATCGAAGACTTCTTCCGACTATCATCTGATGCTGTCCGGTACTACCCCAAGATGTACATCGGCTCTCACCTCGCGGTTCCCACCTTCTCCGCGGCTCTGAGCGCCCTTACTCTCCAACAGACGGACCCCCTCATCGCCACCCTTCACTACTACCGAGACCTCTTTGGCTTCGCCTTTGAAAAGCCACTCGTCTCTGAATTCACCAGCCCTGAAGGAGAACCATACACTACCCCACCGGAGGTCCGTGAGGCCGTCAAGAACCTTATCCTTTCCCACGGCGAGCTCTTGTCTCAACGAGTTGTGACTGGCATGATGTTTACGTTCCCCGGTGACTGCTTCCCCGACGCATCGGGTATCATGATGACCATGTTCGAACTCCTCCCTCAAGAGACCGGGGCCTGGTTGCAGAGCACCTTACAGATGCTACCTTCTGGCTCTATGAAGGGCGGAGAGGCCGAGCGACTCCTCAAGAGCATTGCCGACAAGATCGAGTCCGGCGAGACCCGCAAGATCCGCGTTCTCCTCCAAGGTATGTCTTTTCACTCTTTCCCATCATTCCCCTGCTAACCTTTTCCCTTTCCTGCTAGACTTCACCAACTCCTACCGCCGCCGGAATGTCGCCCCCCGCGACGGACTGGGCCGGCTCGAAGCCACCCGGTTCCGATTCAGCGGATGAACCCCTTCTGTACATTTCTTTATCCCATCAGTGTTTTCAGGGTCTTGCCCGGGGACAAAAACCAGAAAAGGATCCTCCCCCTTTCTCCGAGCATTTGCACATCAGGTGTTATTCCCATTTACCCCCTTTTTTACTTCTCTTACGCGCCATGTGGTATGTATGATGGCAAACGAAATCCGGTGGTCAAGTGATGATTTATGATCCGCCGCGCCTGCGCCGGCTTGCCAGATTCGGGTTCTGGCTGTGACTGCGAGGGATCTTATAGGTAGTATCCCAGCTAGTTGCGCACCGTGATGACGGCAGAGAATTTAGAGACATGTTAATGTCTTATTGTGGATCGTTCGGGGTTCTTGTAGATACCTTCATGTTGGATAAGATGCTAGATGTGACGACACGTGATCTTATATCGTATGATAGAATGTATTGGGTGCAATCTCATACGGTAGTACGCCACCCATGTTCTCATGACTTCTCCAGACCGTTAACATTTGTACTTGATGCATACAGCGTAAATGATGGCAGTTTCGTATCAAATATGGTTAATTGCGTTAGATTTCATTACATGTGAATATCTCTCATATCAAGTATCCATGCCTAATGACCGCAGCCTAGGAGCAAAATATATATCTCCAAGCATGAAAAGTTCATACAGAATTAAGGCGAATTCCTCAAAAGCTAAGACGAAATATATTCACCCAAAAATATCCTGCAGTATCAAATCACTGTGAGCTCATCAAACCAATCAATACTCTACCGAAGTTGGCCCCTCCAAATTACATCTTGAAGTGCACTTCAACCTTACTAATCATAGAGGGGTATGTACAGAGCACGCTAACCGCATCAGGCAAGTGCCGAGCGCAACAACTGGGTCATAAAACCAATTGTGGTGCCACATTCCAAGGAGGCCCCGTAACTCAATTGGTAGAGTGTCAGATTCCAGTCCTGAAAGTTAAGCGTTCGAGTCGCTTCGGGGTCAACCAAACTCCTTATTTTTGACCAGATGGTGATAATTTTTTTGTTTTACTTCTGTTTGCGAGTACATGGTTTGGCTTTACTCTTTTTTTTTCTTTCCTGAAAAATTTTTTCCGATCTCCCCTGGGTAGATTGGATCGATTTAACACCCGTTCGTTGCATCCCATGTCGACCGATGTCAGGTGAAGTGCAGAAATTTTTCTAGATGCACATTGGAAAATTCATTTGAAACATTTGGGTAATCAACGCTGACATAAATCATCCATAAACCAAGTCCACTCTAGACCAAGAACACATATACAGATACCACTTAAAAGATAGGCATCGTCGCCCGGTTCTCATAATCCACGTTAGCATCAACACTCTCAATGCGATCCCCACAAGTCCCAAAAACCCGATCCCAAATCCGAGTCTGCTTGCCATAATTATGACTCTTCCTCCACCCCTTCCGATGATGCAAATCATGATCCTCAATCACAAGCTCCATATCGAACTTGCGCATCAACCACGCCATCGGATTCGGCACCGTCGCATGAAGTCGCAACCCACTGTGTCCCGCGACCTCTGCAAAAAGCACGTACAACTGGCAGATGTGCCACTCGTAAAATCCCATTGGGAATCCGAGCAGTTTCATCGTCCCGTAGGCCATTAGTGGGATACCTGCGATGTCGAAGAATTCTTGCTCCGAGTCCGCGTAGATTGTTAGGAGCGGGTTTGGATGTTTGGTTAGGTGGTGCGTTCGGTGGTATTTCCAGAGGCCGTTGACGTCGTGCATGAAGCGGTGGTACCAGTAGAACCAGAAGTCTACGGCGATGCTGTAGAGGGAAATTTCGAAGAAGAGGACGCCCCAGTTTATTGAGAACGGGCCTTCTTCTTTGCTGTAGGTGAGGTACGTTGTGAAGAGTGGGCGGACGAACCCGGCTAGGAAGACGGAGAGGAGCGTTTTGCCTACTCCGACATCTGGGACTCCGTCACGTTCGTGCTTGTCGCCGTCTAGGAAGCCATGTCTGTGGCCTAGTTCGCGCATTGCGCGCAGCTGTCGGAAGGCGAAGAAGCGCGAGGCCTGGTAGTAGAAGATGAAGGCGATGACCGGGTGGAAATTGTAGCCAGTGAAGTGGATCCAGGCTTGGTGGGCGATGAGAGGGATCGAGGCGTGCACAATGATCCAACGGTGCGATTGCCAGTCCGGGAGGTAGGGCAGTTTGTCTGTTTTGGGGTGCACGGGGACTTCACGATCTAGGTCGACGTGGAAGACGTTGGCTGAGTTGAGGATTTTGTGTGGGATTCCCCATTGTTCTTGATCGTTACGCCACGTGGACTTCATCGAGTCCTTGGGGTTGCTCATTGTGGCGGTTGTGGTGTATGTGGATGTGGTAGTGGGCCATGTGCCCGTGGGGTATGGGGAGATATCATTTTTATAGTTGCTGTGTCAGTCTGGAGGCAAGGTGATGATCATGGTCTTGTGTCATGGCTTGACCGAGGTTCATGTGTAGATCAGCGTCTTTTTGGGATGCCCCTTTTTTAAGACTCTGTTGTTCGGCGTTCGTTAAGCTTCCAGAAACGCGTGGTGGGCAACACCGAATGGTTCAGGCTGGGCCGGGCCTCTCATTGGTTATTCGCAGTGGTTACCGTTCAGGGAATAGTCGAAACACTCTAAATCTGGTGATGATTTGCCTCGGTGGTCATCCTGGGCCAGTCCACTCGTATGAGGGTTGCAGGGAAGAGATGATGGAAGACGTTAGGTTGAGTCAGACGTTGAAGCAGCAACGGCTTTACGTCAATTTATGCTCGGTAGCTGCCGGCGAGCAACCTTTGATGTGTTCAGAGGAGGCTCGGTTTGCTCGGAGTATATCGTCCCAATGAGGAAGGGATCACCACTTCGGTAGTTAGCAGCCGCTTTGGCCTGAATCATCGGGCATTAAGATCGGCTGCAGCTGGCGCAAGTACCTGCCACCTTAATTTAATGGCAACCTAGTTCGCAGGATACAAGTATAAAAAATAAATGCTCTTGAAACTATGATTGCAATTTGGATATAGCACTCATTAACCCAGATAGTGCGCGACTAATATGAATTCAACAAGTACTTCAGTTGTACGCCAAGAATTGCATGCATGATGGTGGAGGACTTATGATTATCGTATTTGAGATGTGGTACGTCTAAACAACATGATACTGCACAAAGACATCAACATGCCTTTAAAACTGTGTATTTTTAGTACTTGCCTAAGTTATCTTGTTAAATTTCTCTTGAGTCTCGTGACCTAGTCAGACTAGTGTTGGACGAATGCCAAGCATTAGTCTGAAAATACCATTGGAAGATCCAGCTACAACTTGGTCATACTTGTGAGGTCATATGAATAAGGAATAGCAATCAAGATCGCGTTCATCCACTCACATGGTTATTGCCAAGGTGACACTTGCTCTCCCTGCCGTATATTGAGGTATATCTGCCGAATGCTGGTTGGCTCCGGGCGAGTCTGCACCTCCGCCTTCGCACCCCACCGCGTCTCCGCACTCCCCGGGAGAACTTTGTCTCGACTCGACTCGTCGACTACTGTGTTCACCTTTTGCGTGCTTTCTACTTATCCCTCTGCTGCATACCTGCCCTGCGTCGCCGATCCACGTGGGCTGTGGATCGACATTCCAAACGTGCCTGCAGCGATCGTCCGGGCTATGGCACCCAATGGTGCTGTCCGCGGTTAAACCAGACACCATGGCCGACACGGACGAACAGCCCTCCAAGCGGCGCCGTCGCAGCCGCCGGGCCCCGTCCGACCGCAAGTTCGAATGTACCCACGAGGGCTGCGGCAAGAGCTACTCGCGCGCCGAACACCTCTACCGGCACCAGTTGAACCGTACGCTCGCCGCCTGGAGATAGTCTGCGAAACCCCCGAGCTAACTGCCCCCAGACACGCCAAAGCAGATTTTCCGCTGTGATTTCCCCAACTGCTATCGCTCGTTCGTCCGCCAGGACCTCTGTATTCGCCATCGCGAGCGCCATACCACCCGCGGCTCCCAGCTGCAGAAGCGCGACTCGTTCGCAACCGACGGCCACGATGAACCCTCGAAAGCGCTTATACCAACCTCGTCGCCGTCGTCCCCCTCGATGACCCCCGCCGATTACCCCTTCATGACCGAACCCCCGACCACAAGTTCCAAATCCCCGCCCAGTACCCATTACCCGCTCTCGACCGGCATCGAGACCGCCGGCGTCCCGGTCTCGGGATACACAGACTTCTCCGGCGTGATCAGCCAACCAGACACCATGCTCGATTTCGACTCCATGTCCAATGCATATCCAATCTTCGGCGGCGAGACCTACAACCGCTCACCGTTTGCGATGGCGGACGATTTTGCGGCATGGCTGTTCAGCGAGCCTCTCGCACCGTTGGGCTACGGCATGATGCCCTTTGTCCAAAACCAGTTTTATGTCAATGAGCCAAACTATAATAATTTCTGCACGGTTATCCCGCAGCATCCTATGAGCGTGACGAGCATTCTAGACTCCGGCTCTCTGCCAGCAATTATCTCGGAGCAAAAGCGAAAGGAATTACTGCGGTTAATGGCGACACGGTTTAACGAGGCGGCATACTCGACCGATACGAAGCGCAAGGATGCGCTCATGGATGGCGATCTGGACAATGATCGTCATGTACTGAGTCTGCGCATGATGCAGACCTATATCGGGTCCTACTGGTATCATTTTCATAACCAGCTACCTATCCTGCACCAGCCGACTTTTTCAGCGGATCGAACCCCGAACCTATTGTTGCTGGCCATCATGGCGATTGGGGCGGCGACGTTGGATAAGATCCATGGACAGGCGGCCACCGAGACGGCCGCGGAATTGGCGAGCTTCATTGCGTGGCATCTGCGCTGGGAAATTTTTATGGATGCGGATTTCAGACCCCCGGCCAGACTGTGGGTGTTCCAGGCTTTGCTATTGCTCGAGGTTTACGAGAAGACTTTCTCTACACGAGCACTGCATGAGCGCGCTCACATTCATCACGATACGACTTTGACTCTGATGCGCCGCGGTAGTTCACTCATCGGCCGATCGTCTTTTGACTCACCAGATACGAAGGAGGAGGATGAATCGTGGTCTCATTGGATCAAGGCGGAGGCAACTCGGCGCGTGGCTTTTGGAGCATTCGTGCTGGACTCGACACATGCTACGATGTTCGGACATTCGGCGAAGATGGTAGCACATGAATTGCGGTTACCACTCCCCTGCGACGAGGCGCTGTGGGCTGCTACCAGCGCCGCTGAGGTCGCGCGAGTCCAGTCCAGTCTGCAGTCTCACGGAGTCCGCCCCGTCATGTTCCTGGATGGATTGAAACGCACACTGAACGGCCAGCCCGTCCGCACGAACTCGTTCGGCCGGATTATCCTGATGGCAGGTCTGCTGAGCGTTAGCTGGCATCTGAACCAGCGAGATCTGCAAGTCAGCTCGCTCGGAGTTGGACAGACCCTTGGTGGACGAGATAAATGGCGGACCTCCCTACTACGCGCCTTCGACAACTGGCGCCGGGACTTCGACGAGGCCTTGGGGTCGGCCACAACAACGGAGTCAGAGTCCCGCGATGTGCTGCATGGACTGGCGCACATGGTCTCACATGTCGACATCGTGGATCTCCAGATCTTCGCCGGCGCCGGCCGCCTCATGGGTCGGTCTATTACGGCGCGAGACTATTGCACCGCACGCGAGAAGACAGAACGCTGGGCCACCAAGGCCTCGGCGCGCGACGCGACCTTTTATGCGCTGAAGTTCCTCAACGCGTGCTTTTCGGACCCCGATCTGCATTCTAGCGACTACACTGCCCGTGACGACTACCTGCTGAACCGGCCCTGGGTTATGTACTTCGCGGCGCTAGTTGTCTGGACATACGGCTTTGCCCTGGACGGCCCCCTGCGCCCCTCGCCTGCACTCCTGACACATGCCGAACGGCGTCAAGACATGCAGCAGTTCTTGATGCGAGTGGATGGACTGCGCGAGCCGAATGAATTGGAGGCGATGAAGGGGCGGAACAAGTGCTTGGGGCTGCTGATGATTTTGCGGGATTCTTTCGGGAATTCGCGCTGGGAGTTACTGGGCGAGGCGGCGGCGCTGCTGGACAGCTGCATTGTGAAGCTGCGGTCGTGATGGTATCATTGTTTGATGGTGTATGGCATAGTGTAGGGTATTCTTGAGCTTGCTCTTATAATTATCATGACTGTATACACAACTGCATGTACGTAGGCCCCAGGGTCATCGCATCGTGAACCACGATCGTAGGGGTATCAGGATCATGATGTGGCATTCTAGGGTATGGAACGACTTGCAGTGCTTCTATCATTTCACTAGTCTGTGTATATATGCTCCTGCCCCGTGTGGGCAGTGTTGTCGCATATCCACAGCGCATCATCACACGCTAGCAGTTGCCCGCGCAACGGCCGATCCACCAACTTCGATCCCACCCGTGGCCTTCTCCTCATTCCAATCCCTCCCTAGTTCAAGTCCTCGAACCTCCTCAGCAATTGCATCCTATTTCCATCATGGTGAGTCCGAGTCCGATGTTGCCGTGCCCTTTCCGCGGGATTGGCTTCCCGCCCCCATCCCTTCTTTCCCCCTCTTTCCCACAACACCACAACACTCTCCGCGATCATCTCTGCCCCCGTCACACCACGCGCCTGCGACCAGCTTGACACAATGGCTAACAAACACGAGGCCTCTACCGATTACAAAGAAGCATTCTCGCTCTTTGACCGCCGCGGCAATGGTCGCGTCGCTCTTGAGCAGCTGGGCGATCTGCTCCGCGCTTGCGGCCAGAATCCCACTCTGCAGACCATCTCAGACCTTCAGAGCCACATGGGCGGCGACTGTATGTTTTCTGTTTCCCCTCTCTGATGTTACAACGGTGCACAGGTGCTAACTCGTGTAGTCGACTACGATTCGTTCGTCAAGGTTCTCAACCGCCCCGACGGTTGGCGAGCACCCCAAGGCCCGGAGATATACACTCTTGGGTTCAAGACGTTTGACAAGGAAAATACGGGCAAGATCGGCTCTGGACAATTGAAATATGGTGAGCACCCACTGGAGAGTTCCTCTTGCTGGCCGTGCGGCATACGAAAAGGCGAAGTTCCCTGGCTAACAACTGTTCAGTCCTGACCAACTTCGGCGAGAAGTTTACCGAAGCCGAGGTCGATGATCTCTTCAAGGTTATTGATGTCGACGAAAACGACGAGATCGACTACAATGACATGGTCCTGAAGATTCTGGAACAATGAGCGATTTCGATACCCCCGTTCCTCGACTCGACTCTGATTGTGACCTCGAGTCTGCGTTGCATACTCAACTACCCTTCTTGTGCCTTTACAACCTTACCCTTACGTCGCGCTCTTATTACAATACGCCTACTACGCTGTTCTTATGATTTACGTTATGCACATGGATGATTTTCGCGGAGGAACCCCCAGGCGTGCCGGGTTGCTGCTTTTCTGGGTTTCCTGCTGGGGCCCCGATTTACCCTGTACTTCATTGAATGAAATTCAGATGTTTTATTATCTCCTTTAATGCCAGGGTTCGTTCGATATGCGTGTTGCGTTGCTTGCTTCTCTGCATCAACGTTGCCCTGCTTTATCACTCGCTTAATATGGCCAGGGTATCCCGTCCCCTGTAATAATGTATCAAATGTAGCTTCAAGCTGACTGCTCTTGAGCCTTAATTAGTCTCCGCCCATTTCTTCCACTCCATTTCTCCCACACCACCGTCCTCTTCCCCCATATTTTCCGTCTGAACCACCGCCCCGGGAAGAAGGTACACAGCCGGTGGTCTGTCCCCTTCAGCTCCATCTCCATTCTGCGGATACTGATTCTCCCAATGTACGCGATCGAGATAGTACCCCGCGACAGCCCGACAGCGGCCGCATCGGAGGAGAATGCGCTTCTCGATTCCGTCTGCCCGTCGGATGAGGGTTGAGCGCTTATCGGGGATCGTTGTAGAGAGGAGGACGGTCGCGTGTTTTCCTGAAGCATCGGGAGTCGTGTCTGAGTCGGGATCTTGTGATTGCGATGAGAGGGGGAGGATTATGGCTGTGTCTTTTGAGCCGTTTGTTCGCCGTGGGAGCTGCTTTATGTCGCGGGTTGTGGCTAGCAGGAGGTGGTTGCAGAAGCTGCAGTGTTGGGTGCGGATTTGGAGGCGGGTTGCGCCGTTCATTTTGCGTGTTTTTGGTCTTGCGCTCGAGCTTGAACTGTGGCGGCTTGGGTTGTCGCGTAGAGAGATTTTGAGGCCGAGGGCTTGGAACGGGGTGATCGAGTAGTCAAAGTGGGATAGAGGAGCTCTGGTAGCTTTGCTAGCTTCGCGAGTGAGTGCGAGACTGGTCAGCGACACAAACAGGAAGTCTCGATCAGCTTGTTGATGTTTGCTGAATGGATTGGAGAATGGCTGAGATGCCGTTGAGATATGTCCGGGCGGTGTACCGCGGATGACAGAATGGATATGCCGTCCTTCGCATGAGCTTACGAAGATGGTCTTAATGGGAATCCTCAGGAGTAATCAATCACTATTCCGGGGCTCCTCGTTTTAATTGTTCTGTCCAAATAAGCTTATCTGCGTAAGGTCTAAGTTCATTGTTATCCTTGAGTTTGAATAGTTGTTGATGCCTCAAAAGGCATCTAAGACACTCACGCCTCGAGTACCCTAATGATATTTGCACTACATTCTCCCTCCTTTCTTAGATAGCAGTCTATGAATTCGTCTCATCTTGCATTTCAATTCAACGTGCCTAGACAGAGACAATAAGTACAGTTCAATTTATTAGACTGGGCCACGCTTAATTTCAGTAGAGTTTTCTGGGGGATCATTGTTATGGCAATCAATCTGTTCACTGTGAAAGGTTGAGTATGACCCACCTACCTAGGTATCCAATTTCTGTTGTGTTACTTATATACTATTTCCGGGATTCATATGCTTATGTTGTTCAGATGTATCTGGTCCCATGGCCTGGTGGAATAGTGCAATGCCTGAGTGCAGATACCAGTAATGTTAGGGCTCGTTCCATTTTCGCGGAGAGCTGACAGGTGTAGATCTGATCGCTGAACTCAGCATTCTTCGGTCATGGGTGACCCTGTCCCTGGGGGCAACGATATTCTACACTAGACAAGTCCTGGCTAAGCAAGAGGCTAGATGAAGGCGGTTATTCAAAGACCCTAGACAGATGGGCATTGTCCGGGTAAGACCTGGCTACGCAGAAGCGAACAGGCGCGTGTTTTGAGTAAGGCCTGGTTACGTAGAGGCGAGCAGTGGCTACGCACAGAGCGACCAGGCGTCGTATTGAAGGTGACGGACGCAGGTACCGAGAATTGAGTTAGGTTCTCGGCTACGCAAAAGGTGCGGTGCCAGAGCGATGGGGCGAGAAAAAGGAAATGTGTAGCAAGGGTGCCCCGTTCTTCCCATTCTCACTTGGTCAGTCCTCTCTACCCTGTCTATTTGCATAGAGCTAACATTATCCACAGGACCCTATATCTGCCCTGGAAAGGGATTTTGATTCTTGAGTCTTCGAATCGCAATCTCCGTCTTGGCCCAGAAATACAACATCACTTTAGAGCTGGCGAAAGTAGAGAGGACTCTGTGATGAGGGCCCAGGGTACGTTTACCACTCTCCTGCCTCCTCTACAAATCCAAATCCATCGACGGACTGGAAAATGAGATTCCTCTTATTTGAAGTGTCTTATCAGACTGCTGTATATCTTTGTTGACGCTCATATCGAACGGAGGTAAACTGACCAGATGATACCATGAGGACTGGGTTCTTCTGCACAACTGATGCAAATCTAAAGCTGCTAGACAAATAGAGGCTGCCACCGAGGAGATAGATGTGGCAAGTGTGGGTTGTGTGACCATTTTGAGAAGACAACTCGCGTGGTTCAATTCAGCACTCCCGAAAATTGATGTAAGAGGCCTGGAAACGAGGTACCCTCGCACTTCTTCTTCTCGGTGCGTCCTCGAATACGTGATATTCAAATAAGTATCATGATGAGCTCCACTCTGAATAGAACGCTGAATGCCAATACTAATGTTCAGCCAATCGGACACGACAACCTTGTTTCATCTACGCTAGAGCTTAAAAGGGGCCACGCGGAAGTGGCGCTTGCAAAGGGTGATATGGACGTGCTTGAGGCTTTAGTGCGCCCCAGAATATCTTCTTGGCAACAAAGGCCAACCACTACTGTTAGGAACACTTGACAGGTCAGACTGACGAGACAGATCGCGGACGAGTTTCTTCGTTCATTAAGTTTGGAGGAATGACGGTCCCTTTCGTATCTTTGATTTGACCGATATAAATTTTGCAGTTGTATTCCGACAAGAGTTTGGATGCTCGCTCTGAGCATCTTTTCGCTAATTTCTATAGGTTTCCAGGTACTGCTGAAAGAAAATCATGTGTGCTCATACTGGGCATCCGAGATCATAGTGTGTAGACAAAATCATGGTTCTCAATATCAGTGAGATCGAGAAACCTGCGGACGGGTTAGCATAATTCCGACAAAGGCCAAAAACAATAACGGAGAGGTTGCTTGATTAACTTACTCTTGGTTTTCCAGCCTCACATACCCGGGCGCTGACCGTATATCAGCCTTGCGTCGGTTCTCCTTGTTGTACCACCACCAGATGAACAGAAGAATAAACAAGCATACTCCCCAGCATGCAATAATTGTTATCTCTGCAGACACATAGCGAGGAGCATCTTCAGGGCGGAAGGTAAGAGGGCCTATCTATTATTAGCACACAATTCACGCTCTCTTGGAGCTACCACATACCAATAATATTGCCCACGCAGTAACCGATCAGGTAAAGGGCTGCGACCGTGGTTTTCTTCGTGTAGCCAGCAACGTTGGATGAGATCAATGACAGCAGAGCCACGAAAGAAGTCGGGAACGCTTGTGTCAAGTAATATCCCACAAGTCGACCGACGTTGTTGTCAAGTGGCAATGCCACAATAAGGATGATTCCGAGGGTAGCAGTGAGGAGACCACCAAGACTCGTCAGAATACGTTGGCCGGTTCTATCTCCAATAATGCCGTTTACGACAAGGGCGACGACCTCAACCGCGCCGGCGGGTGTGCCGTAGAGCAGACTTTGTTCGGGGGAATAACCAAAGCTGGTAATCTGAATTATGAGTTAGAGCTGTTAGCCTGATCCACATAAGTCGTGATAGATGAGATATACCAGCTGGCTGAAGAAGTTGGTGATGCCGCCATTCGGGATATCTGCGATAAGGGCGAAGAAGAAGAAAGCCCATGTCATTGGATCCAACAGTGCTTCCTTGACTTGATACCATTTGAAGTGCTTATTACCGATACCCTGCTGGTTGATGCGCACACGTGCAATGGCCAGAACGCGATCTTCCTTCTTGAGCCAGCGTGCATTCAGTTGGCTGTCAGGGACGATCCACAAGAAGAAAAGCCCCAGGCTGACAGTCAGTAGTCCGGTGAACAGGAAAACGATCTTCCAGGGCTCAATTAGCGAGCCATTTTTTTGAGATCCAACTGCGATTCCATAAGCCACGAGCCCTCCGAGGATCTGACCCCAGCCATTGAAGCTGTACCAGATGTTGACCCGTCTTCCTTGCTCGTTGCGAGTGTACCACTATAGAAATTTTAGTTTTGCAAAGAATGCCTCACCGGGAAATGACGAGGCCTTTTGGTGAGGTAGATATACCTGGGATGTCAATAGAGCAAAGCCTGGAGTCACTGCAGCCTCGAATACACCCAGGAAAAAGCGAATTGCTATCGCCCCGGGGTAATTCTTTACAGCTGCGAAACAACTTAGGATCATACCCCAGATCACGACGCAGGAACCGGTGTATTTTCCAAGTGGTAAGCGCTGAAGCAGTCGACTAGTTGGGTACTCCCACGCGATATAGCCTATTAAGGGTCAGCACTGCCTCCGTCGCCAAAGCGATATTACTCACCGAAATAGAAAAGGCTTCCGAGCCAGGAATATTGATCTCCGATCAAGCTAAGATCTTCTTTCAGACCCATGATGCTGGCGTATGAAAGTGTGGTCTCTGATATTTATTAGTCAAGTTCTTTCGGTTGCGGGTCGTCTCGACGAACTGTCAAGGAAATTCATTCCGTAGACGCAGCACATTACAGGCATGATATGCCAATCGATTGTCCGCAATAGACGCCGGTTTGTCGCATCATCAAGCTCAATTGCTTCGCCATGTAGGTCTTCAAAGGCTTTCATAGCCTCATCGGCGTCATTTGCATGTTTGATGAGTTTGGGATCGACATTTTTCACGGACAACTCAATGTCCACGGCGGTGGAGTCGCCCCGAGTCTCATCATCAGGTGACATGCTGAATTGCGACAGCCGATTGCGTTGAGCATGAAAAAAGAAAGTCTCAAAAAAAGACTCCGATTGTTGGAATTTGGAAGATGCGGCGGTGGGGAGCTGTTTAAATGGCCCCGGGGTGCAAATGGACGCTCAAGGGTCAGGTGAAAGGCCGAGAAAAGCAATACGAGAAAAAGAGGTGTGAGAGGATATGAGAATCCGAGTGCCGGCGAGGAGACGAGAACAGTGCGGGGTGTAGTTGAAGTATCACATCGAAGCCTCGGTAGGGATTCCGTGGTTCATCGAGAGCTTGTTGGGGATGCTACTGGAACCAAGCATAGTGGATTCATGGTTGGCAGCACTATGACATGGCGGGCTCAAACGGGAGGCTTTCATGCAGCCAGCGCGCTGCTGATATTTCACTTTTCATAGCCTGGCTAACCGCTTCGAGGTACTTGTGAAATTCAATTCACCTGTATGTGGTGGTTACCCCGAAAGCGCCACTGAGACTAAGAGCAACTGTGGGTTAATTAGGCTTATTTCCCCGCCCCTGCCATTTGTGGAGGTCCCCAGGCTTTCTGGCATTCACCCCGTGACCTCTATTTTTCGAATTCTTTCACCTGAGTCTTCCAGGACAGGCAAAAATGGACTCGATAATGAGAATAGTACGTATTCTAATTTGAGCCGAGTTGCTTGGAGATTCTACATTCAGTCTCGCTAAGTCGAGCTGCACCGGAATGTCTCCGAACCAAGCAAAGGGTTCATTGGAACGATTTGCCGAGAGGATAAACGGGATCGCTTTCAACCCAATTGCTGCAGGTCCTCCACGGAATAACATAGCGTGACCAATTAGCATTTGTTCACGAGAAAGCCAAGCTTGAGAAAGGCGGGGAATGAGCTTGCGCTACCCTGCCAAGGGAAGAGATAAAGATTCTCCGCAGCTTAGCTACAGCTTAACCAAATTCAGCCTTGAATAATGCTCATCTGGAAGGATTTGGCTTTCCTCGTAGCTTCCGGTTCGCCACGGGAAACTTTGGTCGGCGACAATGTCCATCCAGGATCAGTTATTCCCGTGTGTCACACACTTTGCCTATATGTCGGTCGGCTTTATCGAAATTGGAAATCCGATGTCAAAGCGAATTTTTCAGAATCATTGGAGAGGAAGAAGCCACGCTTTGCTGCTTAATTTTATTTCACCGGTTTCACATTCCACATCCTTGTCCGCCTTGGAGTTTCCTGTCGAACCAGGTAGTTTCCTTCAGCTTCCACCTGCTCTGTGTTTCTACTTTCTCTCTGAAGACAGGGTGCCATTCCGAAGGAACGCAAAATTCTAGTCTTTTACAATCTCGAACTTGAGCAATTCTTTCCAGTAGTCCCAAAATCTCGTCTATCTTGCCCTGGTCCACGGAATGCTTCACCAATTCGAATTCCGGCATCTTAACAGTAATACGGAACGAATGAACATTGCACAAGCATTGCTCAAGAAGACCGATGAAAGCAGGGTATACCGGTGTCCATCGGTGAGCGTCCGTTCTTTCCCCAAGCCCTGGCCAAAACCAAATGAGATATATACATATGCTGAATGAGTCCTGCACAAGCGGGCGACAAAAGTCTCGATATGATGAACGAGTGGTCGAATCCATCTCGTGGGACGAAGACATTTGTTCCATACAAACCTGGTAATGCTTCTTCGTAGCTGAAACCGAGCAAATTAGCCATTATATGAGTCATCGGTATCAAAACAATTGCCCAATTCGACAACATTTCAGCCACTCCACGGCTGTGAGTTTGTTACGGCCGGCGCACTTGTTCGTCCTTTGGTGCGGCACCAATAACCCTCATCCCCTCGATTCCCACATCGGCCATCAATTACATTACAGATGAAGAATTCAGATGCCTGACAGACACCATGCAACCAGTCCCAGCTCTTCCCCGCTTGCTTTCGCTTTGGCTAAACAGGCGGCTGCAACATAGGCTTCTGATCCCGATGTTGTATTTGATTGCACCATGAGCAAAGCATTGCTGGCGCTGGCATCATCGAAGAAGGGTTTTGAAAAGCCTTCGTACAAATTTCTTTGAGCAGAGTCCCATACCGCTTGTAATCTAACTAGGATCTCGTTTGGGCTCTCAGCAAACTTTCCTTGTCCTTTAAAAATTTTATATTGAGCGACAAGAAGCTTTTCCTGGCCCACGACGAGCGAATCCTACCTCGAATCGAGTTCTGGATACCTACCGTCGATATCCTTAACGTAATATATTTGAACATGTCCCAAAACAGGATTGTCTTGGATTGCACTTCCATCCCTAGGGTCGTGTTGAGGTCCATATGAAGTCCATCTAGGTGCTTCGAAAGCTCAGACAACTCCTCTTTCTTGAGGGGATAGCTCACGCTTTTCCGAGCTGCGAGAACCTTCAAGTGTATCGTGGTGCGACTGAACAGGTGTGAGGTTGTCCGCCTTTAATGTTGAGATTCTGCACAATCGATCCTTTAACAATCTATTCCTGAACAAATGAGTTTTTGAACTTGGTAGAATCTTGTGGCGGGTTTCGCACGATCGATCGCCTACCTTCTTGGTGGGTATTCTTCACGAGCGATCGACCCTCGTTAGCTTCCGCCCCATGCTCAACATATCGCATAATCTCGGCGTATCTCCAGTCGTCCTTTTGACACTGGTTAGTTTTCATGACTTTCACCAACTTGTAGGCTGTGCTTCTCCAGATGGTGCTCGTGTCGAGGTCCCTTGCTGGGCAAAACGCCAAGCAGACCACCTATTTTGCAGCCAGATTCCACCAGGCCTTGATTCCATAATGCCAGCAAGAGACCTAGGCGCGTTGAAGAAACGATTGGACGCGAAAGCAAGATGCGACGAATGGATGGTGCGGTGGCTTATCCTGACACACGTGCCGCAAGCCAAAGCTAGCGTCACGGGGCGAACCCAAATAGTTCCCGCGCACCATGTGGAATAAACTTAGATGGATATCGTTTCATGGAGCTCCCCGCTCAAAATCTGGTTTCGGGCGTTTTAATGATACCCTAAGGTAGCAATAGCCACTGGCAGTTTTTCCAAATTGTTGGCAGAAGACCCCCCCCCCCCCCCCCCCCCAGCCGGACATATTTCGCAAAGTAAACGATCTTCACTGCCGTGTAGTTTACCTAAAAAATTCACAAATTTCGTGTCTAAATAGTTATGCAGTCAATCTATCTCGTCCGTAGAGTTCAACATCCCCTTTCCTTATCCAAACCCTACGGCCGACTAGCAAACTTTCCCGTCAATTCATCAGCCACCGAGTAACTGGCGAGGTCATTCCTGTATTTACCACAAAGTCCGCTTCGTTTCGAATCGCGCACCAAGTCGATCTCCTCGAGCCTGAACCATGCTAAAATAGAATCGGCGAGTCATGAGCAAATCCTTTGGATTCGAATATATCTATTTAGATAGTCTACCAACTGCCTTCAATGTCATCGAATGTGATCACATTAAATCAACAATAGATCAAGCAAGACCAAGCTCCTTATAGAAAGCCGTAGTCTGCGGCTCCCGACCAAGGAACTGAGTCAAAGTAGTCATCTCATCCTGGCTACCGCCCTTCTCAAGTACCTGGTACCGGTACCGACGACCAGCAGCCTTGTTCATGGGGTCGTCCTTGAAGACAGTGTAGAACATATCTGTTGAGTAGACTTGGGAGCTGTAACAAAAAAAGAATTAATATGGCTCTATCAAGGAGGGTAGGGGTGGGGAAACATACCTCAGATATCCGTAGTACCCCGCATCATAACCACCGATCAAATGGCCGAAGGTCGCCTCGCCGTGGCCCCATTCGTCACCGGTGCCCAGGGCCTCGGGTCCGTCCATTTGGGTAATCTCCTTTCGGAGACGGTTGTAGGTAGCCGACAGCGGGAGGGCTTCGATGTCGGCGTGGCTGGCTGGTTCGTGGACGGTCATGTCGAAGATGCCGAAGTGCAGTTGGCGGAGGTTGAAGAGGGCGTCGTTGACGTGCTTGGTGCGGATAAGGTTGTCGATGACATCGTCTGGGATCCGCTCGGAGGGAGGCGATGTCGCGGTTTTTCCGGCCTTGCTCTGTGCCTCTTGCCAGCCGCTCAGGTATTCTTGCGAGAGGGTTGCGTAGTGTCGGCTCAGCGAGCGGAGTTGCGAGGGCGTCCAGCACCAGTTCTCCAACATTTGGGAGGGGGCTTCGACGAAGTCGCGGACTGTGTTTGTGCCATGGAAACGGGAGTAAATTGTCTTTGAGACCAGATCGTGGATGCCGTGGCCGAGCTCGTGGAAGAGGGTTACGACTTCGTCGTGCTTGAGGAGGGAGGGTTTCTTGGGGGTTGGCTTGGTGAAGTTGCACACCAGTGCGGTGGCGGGGTACCGGCGGCTGCCGCTGGCGTCGATGAAGCCCGGCTGCAAATTGAAGTTGGCGGCATGGCCGTACTTGCCTTCGCGGGGGAACAGGTCCAGGTAGAGGTAGCCGACGAAGCCACTGCCTTCGCCCTCATCGTTCCAGACACTGAAGACTTGCACGTCTTCGTGCCAGACGATGTCGTTGCCCTGGCCGGTGGGTGCGACGGCTGCGCGGTCTTCGCCGAGGATCTCGACGAATTCAAGACCGAAGAGTTCCTCGAAGATCTTCAGCATGCCCTCGATGGTGGTAGACAGAGGGAAGTACTCGGCGATCTGCTGTTGGTCCAGCGAGAAGTCGCGCTCCAGCATGAGACGGTCGTAGAAGCGGTGGTCCCACAGGTAGTACTTGCCGTCGGACTTGGGGTCCAGAGTCTTCTTCAGCTCCATCAGAGTCTGGATTTCACGCTTTCCACCGTCGGTGAGACGGGTGCGGAGGTCACCCAAGAACTTATCAACGGTCTCCGGGGTCTTGGCCATCTTGTCTTCGATGCGGAAGGCCGCGTGGTTGGGGTAGCCCAGCAGACGGGCAGCCTCGTCACGGAGGATAATGGCTTCTCGGAAAAGAGGCACGTTCTGGTTGCACTTGTTCTCATTGGCAATCATAACCTGACGACGGGTCTCGGCGTTGGCGGCGTACTTCATGGTGGGGAAGAGGTCGGGGTATTTGAAGGTGAGCCAGAGCTTGCCGGAATTTTCACCTTCGCCCTTCTTCAGACCCGAGAGCACATCCTCAGGAACACCCTCCAGCTCTTCGGGAGTGAACCATATACCGCCATTCTCTTCGTTCAGGTTCTTCTGGAACTCGATGCTTAGCTGGCTGAGACGCTTCTTGATCTCCTTGAAGCGGGCACGCTGCGGGCCGGCGGGCAGACCCAGTCCATTGCGAACGAAGTCCTTGTGCTCCTTCTCCAGCAAACGACGAGATTCAGGGTCGAGTTTCTCGTTCTTCTTCAGGGCCGCGTCGACGAGCTGGAAAATGTCCTCGCGCATGGCGGATTCGATGAAGAACTCGTCCATCAGCTCCTCGGCCTTGGAGGAGGCATCCCGCAGCTTCTGATCCATTGAGACAGCCTGGTAGAAGCCGAGGATGTGAGCCTCCAGGGCCATCACATTCTCATCCTGGGCGAGGGGACCGATGACGTTGGCGAACGTGGCGGTCTCGGCCTTGACCTCGCCGACGACCTTGTCCTGGATACCGCGGGAGGTCTTGATAATGCGCTCCGCGTCGGCGACGATGGACTGCGGGGTCGCCGTGAAGGTCGGCGGGGCCTGCGGCGGGCGCCGGAGGTGAGCGGGGGCCATGGCGGACGTGGTCAAATATCGAGGATAGCTATTGATTCGGAGATGACCCAACACGGAGGAGAGGCGGGCGGGGAGACGGAAGAAGGGCGCCACGATGACGGCGAGGAGGAGGATGAGGAGGTGGTGGCGGGCGGTGAATGCAATGGCGAAAGATAGCGGTGTACGTGTTTGTGCAGCACAACAGGTTGCAATGCAGCGAAATGCAGGCCCGACGTCGATGGCGATGGGGTCAGGTGACGGACCCGCTCACTACACTAAACACCTTACCATCCTAAGCTACCCCGCATACACATGGGGCCAAATACCATAATTAGGATAAAATTTACATTTCATTTGATAAATTATGAAAAACTTCAGATGATAGGATCATATAGACTAATAAATATTAACTACCTTGGGTACTCCGGATGAAACCGATGAAGATAATGATAGTTCTTCTCTACCCCGTCTTCAACTACAAGACATGACATGGGATACTAAAATTGAGGCAAAAGCTACAATTGAGGTAGCAGACAACAGACAAATATTGACTTCCTTAGTGTACTACTGTGGATGGAAAATGTTGATGATAATGATAGTTCGTTTCTAGTTCATGACAAATTATCTATGTGACAGTCGCTTTTGGAACCAAAGTCAATAAAAAAAAATGATAAAAGGAAAACGCCGAAAACACCGTCCCAACCCAGATGCAAAGACATATAATCGATATACTTGAGCAAAGTCAAACACAATTAAGCGGCATCCGCGGTCGGGACTGGCTCAGGGATCTTGGTGACCTGCGCACCAGCGCGGATAATACGCTGGCCGCTCTCGTCACGCACGTACTCGGAGTTCTCCTTGTGGGAGCGCTTCCAGATCTCGACCTCACAGCCGCCGCGAATCACACCCACACGCATGGTGGAGAGTAGGTTGTGCGCGGCGTTGGAGTGGTAGTAGATACCGCCGTTGAACATGGCGGTGGCGTCCTTGCCAATGCCGGAGTTGATCATGGCCTTGCCACCCGGGTGGTCCTTGATGAAGTCGGTCACGTCGTGGACGACACCGGCGATGGCAACCAGGCCACGGCCGTTCTTAGCCTGCTCGACGTAGTCGTCCCACTCCATGACAGGCAGCTGCTCCAGAGGGGTACCCCAGTCCAGCTTGGAGCGCTTCTGGTCGATCTTCTTCTGGAGCTGCTGGACGCGGCCCTTCTCGATCTCGTTGGCGCGGAACTGCTTGAGGTCGTAGGCGAGACCCATCTGCTTCCAGGACCAGATGGTCCACTTGGTGGGGTCATACTGGTGCCACTCGATGGCGTTGCGGTAGTCCGAGGGAAACTCGTGGTGGAAATTGTGGTATCCCTCACCGAGGGTGACCAGGGCAGTGATGACGTGGTCACGGGGGGAGTTGCGGTCGTCGAAGGGCTGGTCACCAAGCCAGTGAGCCAGAGAGTTAACACAGAAGGTGGCCTGCTGGACGAAGAAGATGCGGAGAATACCGGCGTAGACAAAACCACCGAGCCAGTCACCCCAGCCGAGACCGGCCACCAGCATGGGGACAATGAGACCCATGCCGAAGACGACCTTGAGATAGTGACGGTGCTGCCAGATAACGACGGGGTCCTCGTTCAGGTCGGAGATGTCGGTACGGCCGATCCGCTTGGGGTTCTGCTTCATGACCATCCAGCCCAGGTGAGAGTACCAGAAACCCTTGCGGACAGAGTAAGGGTCCTTCTCGGTGTCGGTGTAACGGTGGTGAGCGCGGTGGCCGCGAGCCCACCAGCGGATGGAGCCCTCAACGGCACCACCGCCAACAAGGGCGAGCCAGATGCGCAGGGGGAGTGTGGCGGAGTAGGAGCAGTGAGCCCAGAGACGGTGGTATCCAGCGGTGATACCCAGACCAGTAAAGAAGTAGTAGACGACGGCCCAGACGGCAGTCTTCATTTGCAAGGGAGTCCAGAAAGCCTGGACACAGCCCATGGCGGGAATGCCGAGAATCAAAAAGACATTAAGCCAGTTGACGTGCTTGTGCCAGTTGTTGCGAGTCAACGCAGTGTCGGCTATGTGCACCTTCTTGGTGTCAGGCGCCCGGGAGCCCGGGCGAGAGGACTCGGCCTTGGTGGACATGGTGTACACTAGACACGTTCTTCGTCGACCTTAGGAAGATGAAGAAGTGAGGTGCAGTGATGGAAGGGGATGTAGGAGGAGTGGCGGGTGCGAGGAGCCGGGGCGAGAGCTTTTTTATATGGGGGGCCCACTTGGGACCAACGTTGGGGAAAAGGCAGGGTTTGGTCGCCAACGGATATGGGGAAGCTCGGTGCAAAACGAATCAACAGGCACGGCGACAAGCAAAACAAGCAGAAATCACAAGATTCCTCGGCAGGGCCAGGCGGAAAAATCAGCAGATTCCAGAGCGAGACGATCGGCAGTGGTTTGGGCGGATTGTGAGATGCTCAATGGCTCGCGATGTTCCTGAGTGGCGTTGCTCCTTCCGGACCTGTTGGGTCACCCCAACAGTTTGAGGCCTGAGGCAGAGACCGTACCACCAGCGATCATGCCATGCCCACCACAGTATGGGCTGCTTTCAGGCCATTAAATAATACAGGATGGCGAATACAAAGCAGCATAATACTAATATCTAATGATTTTCTCGACTAGCGTGCTCTAAAGTCCCCCTGCTAGTCACGGCGTGGTTGAGTTGGGATGCATGAACGGCACGTGATGTACGTATGCGGCTTATCGGCATAAATAGGGTGGATGCCACACCACAGTGGAGCACGATTGCATTCAATCAATCCGATTTTTTTTTTTTGTATGCACAATTGGCAGTGTAGAAGATTCGATCGAAATCGGCAGGACACGGCTCTCAATTCTATGATGTTCACTTTTGCTGAATGTATTTCAAGGAACAACAACTCACATGTCTCGGCTGCGGCTGTCCCTGCGTCACCAGCCCTACAATGACGAACTATACGAAAATTCCCAAACTCAACATCCCTTATCGCTCCGACCGGGACACCGTCATTGGCACGTTGAGCGACGATAAAGCAGGAATCTTTCAAAACCGTTGAATGAGATCATGCCATGCGATCATTACAGCTGATCCCTTTTGGTCGGGTGAAGCGATCAATTTAGAGTAGGGATAATTAAGAGTACGGGATGGGGACATGGAGGTAAACCCTATGGAGGAAATGTTTGGTCCGCCTAGGTATCAGGCGACGATCTAGATCCGTCACGTGAGACTCGGATGGTGGGAATGGGAATGCGTATGTAATCAGATCACGTGAGGGTGATTGACTCGACACACCATAATTGGGATAATAAATATACGACTTGCCATGAAACTCGAGATTTGATGATTTTCAGATGATTATGAAAGTAATGGGCCATTCATCCCCTATTATCTTTTTTTTTTATCAAGCGAATAGATGATTTCTCGAAGATGACACTGTGAACTACATGCAAATGCTACAAATATATAACGGCAAACATAATTTCTCTCTTGTACACTAGTGTATGATCGCATGTGATAGTGTAGACATCACAGGAAGCCATATCAACCAATAAGTTATTAACCGAATTATGCAATTCTTGTGTCGATTTTAATCTAATACAAAGACAGGATCTGCCCACGATTTACATAACTCCGCTACCCCAGATCGCGCGGAGGTCACTGACCCACAACGGCCCCGCGCGTGGCTGCCCTGTCCGGATGCACGCCTCCTCGTCACCATCTCACCCAAATCCAATGCCACCCTAAACACCGAGTCATCGAGTGTCCCATCAATCCGCCCACCATGGGCTCCCACATAGACCCTACCCGTCAAGGCAGAGGCATCCTCTGGACCCTTCCCATCGAAGTCGTCATCCAGATCCTCTCCTACACCGACGACTTCTACGGCCTCCATAGCCTCATCTCAGTCTCCCCATACGCAGCCTCCGTCCTGACGACCTACCCAGCCCTAATTCTGGACCAAATCACCCGATCGCACCCACTCTTCCGTCTAGACCTGAGCGTCTCGGGATCCGGCCTCTTCCCACACATCGACTGGATCTTCTGGACCATCGCCCTGGCAATTAGCGGACCGTCCTTTGACTACGAGTCTCTTTCTCAGCATGTCAATATTTCAACTGATTCCACGCCTATATCTCTCAAGGATTTGTTGTCTGGAGAAAATGCCCCCTCGATAGCCCTAGCTCTGATCGACATGGCGGCGAGCATCCAACGGCTCGCCTGCGCTTGTTTGTCGCGGATGGTGGAGAATCTCCAGCCCGCCGTGTCCAACTCGAGTATCCTTTCTGAATGTGTAGATCGTGACTTTCCACCCCCGAATTCAATACCCTTCAGCTGGGTCGAGGAGTACCGTGTTTACCGCGCCCTCTGGCATCTGCAGCGCTATTCGCTTCTCCGGGAGTTGGCCCGCAAGTGGAACTGGAGCGAAGAAAATCTCGCCCAGCTGGATCGGTATGCGAAATTTAGTGAGGGTGTCAAGGGGGGATTCATGGAAGAAATTCTCTCTGTCTCAGAAGCCTTGCAAGATCTGGGGATAGTGCCAGATCCAAAACCCCCTCCCACACCGCGCCATCACCCCAATTCAGCACTGGACTCCCTAATGCGCCTTGACCCCGTCGCCATCGACCTGGGCGAGACCATCCCACTATTCAACTTCCGTGAGATGAACCTAGACTCTCCCGGAATATGTCAGAAACGCCTGCAGCAAAGTCAATCCCAGTCGATGGTAGCATGGAGGGTATGGACGCCCCCGCCCGTCCCGGCGAACAACGACATCAATTACGCCTGGGAACGCGAAGCGAGACACGCACTGTCCATGTCCGCGCCCAGCATCAGCAGCTGGATGGAAATGAGTTTCGACTTCGCGTATGGCACGCCCTCGCGCTTCCTGCTCCCGGGGTACGGGGGCGAGATCCAGTCGTTTCGACGCCTGGGTGTTTTTCTCTGGGACCATTGGCGCATGTATGTATCTGGGCTCGTGACGCCGTGGTTGTATTTGCGCACTGAGACGCCGAACGGAAGTCCGATTGGGCCGAGTCGGCATGGGAGGAACGAGAGTCTTGATGCGATGCGGTTGAAGTGGTGGTCGTTGGTTGGGAGGTATCCCGCTCGTGAAAGCGATGTCCAAGCGGTGGTGGAAGGAAGTCACAGCGAATTCGGTAGTGTAGCGTAGCTTGGCGGGCGTGCGCTTAGGTCTCGAATACTTGATCTCTTAGGAACAGGGGCGTGACTGCTTGGTTTGGGCAGGTACAGCCTTGCCACAGCGCACCGCCAACCATTCTCAGTGTTATGGACATGTGGCTGAAGCCACGATAAGCCGTCGGCGCCTTCCACGTCCTGACGGGGTCCTCCGCTTTTTCTATACCTGGAGTACCCTACGGTATTCTGCCGATGTGAGATATGAGAGATAAAGCTTAGATATGCATGATAGCCGATGTCGAATCGGCCGCGTCGTCGCGGCTCTTTCGGTTTCCACCGCTGCCCCCCGCGGACTGTGCACACGTGGAATTGAGTTGACAGAGCGCATCTAGACCCACTGCTCGTTTAGATTTGGTTTTGGAATACAGCGTGCATAGAGGAGTATAGACAGAGTAGAGTATGCTACAGTCGAGTACACCGGCTAAACATACCTTATCTCTTCGGAACAAATTCTTCCAGAATGGGATTAGGGTGGTTCCCGTGGCTGTGATTGGCGGCTCGCTAGAGACGAGCCCCACAAAGATAAGCCAGTTCTGGCAGAGGGCATTCCCATAGGACGATTTGAATACCCTAATAAGGAATTTGGTATAGTCAATGTGTCCGAAAAGGGGTGGACAAACACAGCAAACACTGACTGTATGACTGGTTATGCGATGCGCTCACTAATGCAGCCGCCGCTTTGCATCTTATCACGCCGAGACGCCCTTCTCCACATTCCGTTTAGACTTTGCGACGCATGAATCCTCCGTGTTTTTTTCTCTCTTTTTCTTGTCTTTTGTCGTCGTCGACATCAGCTCGTCTAGCCGATCGAGTCGTCCGGGGTGTCTTGACACGCAATATAAGGGCGCTGTCCCACCCACCTCGTCTCCATCAGATCAGATCAGCACTGGATCATTAAAGCTACCATGGATGGACCCGATCAAATTGGTCCGGATCGCTCGCCGAAACGATCGGTCGCGGACAAGGCGAGGCGCATTGTGAAGTCCTTCACCACGAGGTACACTCTCTCAGAAGGTGCTGTTCGAGCTATGCTGATACGTGAATTGTAGGGAAGGCCTCCTCGGCGACTATGACTACGCCTACCTATTTACCCCGCGCATCCCCTTCACCAAACAAGTCCGCAAATCGGCGCCCTTCTTCGGCCTCGATGATCGTGTGCCGGTTGTGTTGGCACTGATTTTGGGATTGCAGCATGCGCTTGCTATGTTGGCTGGTGGTGAGTCATGATTGCATCGATAGTGTGGAGTACTGGACAGGACTGATGCGTTATCTCCGAAGTCATTTCGCCGCCGATTATGCTGGGTGGTTCAGACGGTGTCAATTTCGGCGATGACCTATATCAGTACCTCGTTTCGACCTCGTTGATTGTTTCGGGCATTCTGTCTGCTGTGCAGATGACCCGCTTCCACGTCTACGGGACGAAATACTATGTCGGAACGGGATTGTTGTCTGTCGTTGGTATGTTCTACGTCCTTCACCATACCAACATGAACATAGCTAATCGCCGGTACAGGAACGTCATTCTCAACCATAACCGTCGCCCAAGGTGCCTTCAAACAAATGTACGCATCAGGCTACTGTCCCACAGACGTAAATGGGAACAAACTCCCCTGCCCCCAAGGCTACGGTGCTCTCCTCGGCACATCCTGCCTGTGCTCACTTCTCGAAATCGGCCTCTCATTCATGAGCAGCCGCATCCTCGCCCGCGTCTTCCCGCCCCTCGTCACGGGCCCTACCGTCCTCCTTATCGGCGCCTCGCTCATAAAATCTGCCATGCAAGACTGGGGCGGCGGCTCCTCGTGTGGTCCCTCGCCCCGAGCAATGTGTCCCAGCGCCGACGCCCCGCATGCCCTCCTCTGGGGAAGTCCGCAGTTCATCGGGCTCGGCTTCTTGGTCTTTATGACCATCATCCTGTGCGAGCGGTTCGGTCCGCCTATTCTGAAATCTTGCTCCGTTGTCGTCGGTCTGTTGGTTGGATCAATCGTCGCGGCCGCTTGTAATTATTTCGAGAATTCTGGAATCGCCGCTGCGCCTGTTGCGTCTTTTGCTTGGGTACATACCTTCCCGCTCTCCATCTACCCGCCTCTCATCCTCCCGCTGCTGGCGCTGTATGTCGTTATTATGATGGAGTCTATCGGCGATATCACGGCTACCTGCGACGTTTCCAGACTGCAGGTTGAAGGCGCGACCTTCGATTCCAGGATTCAGGGCGGCGTCCTCGGAAATGGATTAACCTGTCTTCTCGCCGGGCTGATGACCATCTCGCCGATGTCGGTCTTTGCGCAGAACAACGGCGTCATCGCCCTGACCAAATGCGCGAATCGCACCGCCGGCTTCTGCTGCTGCTTCTTCCTCGTCATTATGGGTATCTTCTCCAAGTTTGCTGCTGCGCTTGTGGCGATTCCCAGTGCTGTCCTCGGTGGTATGACGACATTCTTGTTTAGTTCTGTTGCTATCTCGGGTATAAGGATTATTTCTACGATTGAGTTTACCCGTCGTAATCGGTTTATTCTTACTGCCAGCTTTGCGCTGGGTATGGGCATTACCCTTGTGCCGGATTGGTGGTCTTATTTCTTTTCTTACGAGGGGAATAATCATGCGCTGGAGGGTCTGTTGAATGCTGTGAACCTGGTTATGGAGAACGGTTTTGCGGTTGCTGCTATCCTGGGCGTGTTGTTGAATCTTTTTATTCCCGAGGAGGCGGATGATGACGCGCCGGATGTGTTTACTGCGAATGAGTCGGAAGATGGACAGGTTGAGTCTGGCCCTGCCCATGGTGTAAGCAAGGTGGAACCTGGTCTTTGATCTACCGTGTGGTTGGAATTGGCGTTTGCTTTTGGTAAATGAGGCTCATGCGGATATAACAGATTGGAAATATTTCCTTAATGATTACACTTCTCTACCCATCCTTCTACACACAGTGTTCAAATCAGACCAGGCCATCTCCCATAAGCATCTACAAGCTCAGACTATCCTCACAAGAGACCACTGCATCCTCAAGGGACTCAACAACATCCCGCTTGTCATTCGAACCGCACCGGGCATAGGAGTTATCGCAGAGGATGCAGCAGCGTTTACTGGGCCACTGCGCCAGCGTCTCGTCACGCTTGTATCGCACGTTCGGATTGTCACAGTTGAGGCAACAGCGCTTGGTGGGTCCGAAGAGGGCTTCTTCTTCGGTTTCGACGGCTTCGCGCTTGTCGTTGGAGCCGCAGCGGGCGTAGAGATTGTCACAGAGGATGCAGCAGCGTTTGGAGATTGAGGCGAGCTGATTTGTATGAGTTATTTGCTTGCTGCGAGAAACTTGATTTGGTAAAGTTCTTACGTCGTTGGAGGACGAAACGGGGCTGGCGAGTGTCGCCGCGAATGTGCAGAAGAGGATGGCGAGGGCGGAGATGCGCATTTTGGATGGTTTCTCGAGGTAAGTCTTGAAATTGAAATGAATGTGGTCTGGAGGAAGTGGCTTCATTTATTCTGCAGCAATGTAGACATTTATTCTGCAGCAATGTAGAAAAATGTCCTCGTGGATTCCGAGGTCCTGCCGATCTGTCTCCAAGATGGTGCTGCCAAGGCTCTACTACGGCTGTTTCCCGGCGTGGAAGGGGGGTCCGTCGAGGGCGATGAGGAGACATGGCCAGTCCCAGCGGGTCTCCCGAAAGATAACAACAATTGTGTTGTGTGGAACAGCTCTGTTAATTCCATCTGAATGTGAATATTTGAATCGACATGAAAAGTATGCATCCAAAATTAAGGTAAAAGTTTCTGCTGATTATCGATCAGATAAGAAACAGGTTCCCGTCTAAATGCAGATCGGCAGCCGTTGCTACACCGTCTCCACGCCGTCCCCACTTAATAAGATGCCGACTGGCAACCTAATAAGTTGCCTGTGAGACATTTTTTCAATGATGCTGTTAGCGCTGCGGTATTCCTTCAATCAAAAATTCTTTTGATGGTGGGATGGTTTGGTTCCGATTTTTGTCCGAGGACGCAGCTTTCATTGAGATGGGTTTTTTTAGTGACACAGGGAGCTGAGAGATGCCATTGTGGCCTTAAGTATTTGAAAATGTCTTTGAAGATGTCGAGGAATGAATCCTCACGTAGCTCTGCGGCTGTCGCTCTCTCCTCCGGGTCCCAGGTTAGCATCCTCTTGACGAATGGGAGGAGTTCGGCCCGTTAAACGAGATCTTCTGCAGCCATTCGATGAGAAGTGTCTCGTGAGATTAGGAGACGAATTCTGCTGGGGGTGGTCCTAGCAGTGCGATCATTTCTGCTAGGTGGTGTGTTGCATGATAGGTGCCGTTGGCATCTTGGGCTTGCGTGAAGAGTTCTGTGTTTTGGGTCATGTCCGACAACTACATTTCCAAGAGCACCGTGTTAGCATCTGCCGTTTCATGGAAAATTTTAATCCTTAGGTGAAGGGTCTGACGTATCAATGTCCCCAAACTCCAAATATCCGCATTCCGATTCCACGGAAATCCCAACGTCATCTCTGGTGCACGGTAATGATTAGCCTGGATGATATATACACCCCGTCCGCCCTTACCATGAAGTCGGAGGCCGTTCCCAAAATCCACGATCCCCTGGTATATCCTGGCCCATTTCTCTTTCGGGGGATGAAGTCATTGCCGCGATGGATAACCGGGTGCCCTTTGTTGAGTTTGTAGTCTACTGGATTGTCCAGATGCCATTCTAGGAAGTCGGCGACGACTTGGCCGTCTTCGAAGGGGAGCATTTTGCTTTCGAGCTTAGGTCTGGATTTGAATTGTCTTAGCGGAAGCAAGGGAGTGGAACACATGATTTATGTACCTGAGTGCACAACATTGCAGGTTGAATGTAGACAGTCTAGCGCCTGTAAGAGGAAGAAAATGTGGGAACTTCAAAGTGTCGAATGGGATTACTTTGTCTCGGAAGCGGCGTTGAAAAAGCCACATTGGTTCGCGCATTGGTCCGTAGGAAAGACAGACATGTTTACTGTTTGGACCGCCGATTTCGAATGATTCAGTGTGCGTTCGTACTTGTGATACGAAGGGATGCTCTGCGCCCACTTCTTTGATGTGTTGCTCGAGTTCTACGTCGCGGTGAGCATTTTCGTCTGTGACGATTTTTAGGGCAGCTAGCAATTCGCCTTCGCCTTCCCTGATATCAATTAGTATACTTTGAGCCTGCAGGTCCTATATGCAGAATCTGAGTGGGAGGGGTTAGCATACTGTCGCAAGTCCCGAGCAAACCAAACCGTCGGCGTGTGCCCCAACCAACCTTGACAAGCAGCTGGTACCGATCGCCAAGGACATTCCCCCGCTTCGCGGGGTAAAAATGGACCAGGAGTTTACGATTTAGCCGCTCCTCATCAATTGGATCTGTGACTGTGGTGAGGTTTGGAGTCGGGCATGGCTCCTTGGGTAGCGAGGATACAGAACGCCGGGGAATCTGGAGACATGGTCGGCATGCTCCGATGCGGATTTTGCGAGACGCTAAACTTAAGCGAAGAGATACGCAGCAGAGGCGTGGTAGGGAATTCATCCCAAATCAATTGTCTTTATGTGTAAGTGTTGAGGCAGTGAGTGTGGTGGAATTTCGTGTATCGGAGTGAGGCTGAAAACACGATCGACAGTCACGAGGTTTTGGATTGAATGAGTCATCGAAAAAGGAGAATGAGCAATCAATCTGGCATATGATTTTTGGAATTGTTTTTGTGTGGAGATCAGAGTACTTAGTACTTTAAATTGTATCATTTCAAGCATCTCTTCGGACGAATAAAGAGTTCGCGGAAGTGTACCGAACTTTGAACCGTCGATTCTCCACTTTACGCCTCTAGTGTTAATCGGATACCCGCAGGTCACGAAATCGCAACACATCAAAGTGTCCATTTCTATCATCCTAAGCTAAACCAAACAATATTAAAACCAAATCGAAACCTCTATTCTATTTAACCGTCCGCACAACATCATCCACCCCCATCGCAACATACCGCACATTACTTTCATTCACTCGAAAATCGTCAGCATCAGTAAAAACCAGCCGTAAAAGCCACTGGCGGGAACACTCACATCCAGAAATAGAAATTCGCCCCGACTTGAGCATATAAATATGCCACCTCTCCCGAATAGCAAGAGCCTGCTCCTCCGAGAGACCGAGGTAGGTAAACATTCCAATCTAAAGCAATAGCAAGGTATCAGCTAACAATATCACGTAGAATGAGAGCAGAACAAACCTGATCCAAAACATGCTCCCAGCTCCCTGGCGTCCCCAACCTAACCAACTCCCCATACAACGCCCTCCGCATATCCTGAATCCGAGTACTCATAACCCCCAAATCCTCATACCACCTTCCCCGCAACTCCGCATCACCGAGAACAGTCCGAACAATCTCGGCTCCGCCCCTTGGAGCCATGGAATACTCACCCCGAACGAGATGGCATAGATTCGCAAGGATGTCACCCCCAACCCCACCAGCAGCGGTATTTTTGTCCAGGGAAGGGAAGGAAACGACATGCAAAGCACCAACCCGCTGCCCATAAAGCCCAAAATTCTTCGAAAAAGACTGCGCAACGCAGAATTCCAGCTCAAGCCCGAAAAAATGCCGGATGGCCCATGCGTCCTGCGCCGCGTCCCCGGATGCAAAGCCTTGATACGCGAGGTCGAAGAAGGGAATCAACCCCCTCTCGGCGCAGAGTCTGGCGATGGATTCCCATTGTGTCGGGGTGGGATCTGCGCCGGTGGGGTTATGTGCGCAAGCGTGGAGAATGACGACGTCGTTTTTCTGGGCCTTTGAGAGGGATTCCATTGTGCCTATGTAGTTGAATTTCTTCTTTTGCGCGTCGTAGTATGGGTAGCTCTTTTCGGGGACCCCTGCTAGGTCCCAGATTGTGTGGTGGTTTGCCCAGGTTGGGTTTGGGATCCAGACTGTTTTGGGGCGAATGTGTCGGGATAGGAGTTCCGCGCCTAGTCGGTTGGCGCCTGTTCCTGAGACCGTTTGGACTGAGGTTACTCTGTCCCGTATCTGGGGTGAGGTGGTGGAGTCGAAGCCGAAGACGAGGTCTGAGGCTAGATTGAGGAATTCCCGGTCGCCTTGGATCGAGAGGTACTCGTGTCTATCTTTGTTGCGGGCATCATAGATCCGTGATTCGGCTTCTTCGACGACGTTGAGCGGCCACGGGTTTCCAGTGCTGGTGCGGTAGACGCCGATTCCGAGGTTTACTTTTTGTGGGTGGGTGTCGGATAGGTAGGCGCCGTTGACGGAGAAGGGTTCGTCTGCTGGGATTGGGGGGAGGGTGGAGAAGAGGGAGAGCCGCGGGTTGGGTTTGAGTTTTGAAGGATCGGAGATTGAGCCCATTTTTGCTGAGGTCGAGTGAAATCAAGTCGATTCAGTTGCAAAGGGGTTATTTGCGAGGTTTATAGATTGGTTGTTTGGGCAAATAACCGGCAGAAGCCGTTGGCAGCCGGTGAGTGCCGCGGGAGAGAATAGCCGGAGATGCAGAATGATGAATCGGAGGGGGAAAGAAAATTGGGCGGTTTGAGGATTGAATTGTTTACTGAGTTGAGAATTCACAACTGTTATGGATGAATGGTAGTCATGTCCAGGTTCGTGGTGTTGTACAAGTATGACTGTGGCAATTTATACCCAGCCACTGTAACTCTTTCCAATGTCATGTACGAATCAGCTTAAAGCCTCTCTAGTCTAATGCAGTCATGTATCTTATCTTACAACAATGAAAAACAAAACAATAGTACAAATCAGCTCAAACCCCCTCAACCTTCTCCCCAGGCGCCAACATTTTAATATACCGATGCTCCCCCGTCTCCAAAACCCCCACCTCATCCCCAACCCTCAGCACAAACTCCTTCAGTGCAGGAACGAGCTGCATCCCAAGACAAGCATTGGTCCGATCCCCATCATCAATCCGCCGAGAAGCCTTCAACGTCCGATCCGGCTCCGCCTTATGCCGCTCGCCAGTCGCAGGGTCCACATTCGGCAACCGACACCGAACAGTCCGACAAGCAGCATAGATCTCCACGCCCGCGATATCAATTCGCTTCCAGTGATCTTCAGCGAACGCCTCCGGGCCCTGGATGATGATGTTGGCGCGGAAGCGCGTGATGCTTAGTTTGGGGATTGCGTAGGCGCAGCGGGATGCTACGTCCCGGTGGCTGGCTAGATTTAGGAGGTGGATGGGATAGGCGTCTGCGAAGGACGTGTGGGGTTGGAAGCCGATTTCTTCCTTTCTAGGTGCGTTGCGAAAGATTTCACGGACGTGCGAGTCGCTGGCGCGGAAGAGTGTTACGGGTGAGGTTTTTGGGTCGAAGCCCAGGTATTTATGTAGTGAGGCTGGAATGTGTTTGCCGTAGTCGTGCGCTAGTGGTTTGTCTTTCCAGATTTTGACTGGGATGAGAGGGTAGGCCGATGCACCTGCGCTCTCGGGAGGATGGAGTGGGATGTGGAATATCTCTCGTGCAGAGACGATGCCGACTGCCATTCCAATCCAAATGAATAGGCCGACCAACCCCTGCGGCGTGAAGCGCGGGTATGAAATAATCATCACGCCCCGCGACTTCACCTCGGGGAGCGAGGGATTATAGTCCGGCGTCGAAGGGTCCGGAATCCAGATCTCCGGATGAATGAGGGCTAGTCGTTGAAACCCTGCATTTCGCAGCGTCCGAATGGTAAATCCGTCGGCGTCTTTTTCAGCAAAGACGAACTGCCGGTCGAATTTGAGACCTGTCGGCACGACGTCGGCTTCTTGCAGTTCGATGCCCCCGCATGATTTGATCGGGTATGTGAAGAGCGCTTTTACGCGCCAGGAGGGCTCTCCGCCGTCTCGTTGGATTCGTGGGACGCCCTTGCTGTATTTTGGGTCGAATTCATCGTGCAGATTGCTTTGCCCTTTTCCGAAGCCGATGCGATGACAGCCGCGGGGTGGAATTTGCTGTGGGCGCAGGTATAGCAGGAGAGGCAGACAGCAGAGGACGGCTAGTGCTGGTGCCAGGAGGTGGCTGAGATCGTGAGGACCTCCCTGCGGTCCATCGGGGGACATGGACACAGCTATCTTGCTATGTGTATAATTGAATATAGTGGAAGGTATAGTTGATGAGGAAAGTGCGCTCGATTTCTGCAGCCGCGCGATGTTGGGGGACCCACAACCCGCTCATCTTAACATCGCAACACCCTGAGACATCTTAGGGGACAAGGAAAGTCTGGACGAAAGACGGAAAGAGGGCAGAAGAGAGAAGAGTGAACATGACAGCCAGCCTCACGCCCACGCCATGAGCATCAACAATGACCTGCTCGGCCTGGACAGCCAGGACACGCGTGAGTCCCTCCCACCTCCTGCAGAATCCATACTGACCAGCCAGTGCCGGTCATATCCATCTCGGCCTCGCAGTCTCTGAATGCATCGGCAACAGCTGCCCCGCCCATCTCAACTGGATTGACGCGTCTGGACGAGGCGCTGGACGACTCGCTCGAGCGTGGCGGGATCCTGCGCGGCCAGGTCACCGAGGTATTCGGGCCGCCGGGAGCTGGCAAGACCTCGCTTGCGTGAGTATATGTTTAAAAAGGGCTGATCAGCAAATAATTAACAATATGACAGGTTAAATATTGCATCAAATTCATTACGCGAAGGCGGGAAGGTGGTTTGGATCGGTACGTCCACCTTTCATCCGTTTCATCCGACTGATAGAGCACTGACAACAACAGATACGGGCTCGCCTCTACCACCACATCGTCTCGCATCATTAACCACTGATGAAAACTTGGGGAATGTAATCTACTTCCGAGCCCCAACACTCCCTCACCTCCTCGCTCTCATCCTCCGCCCACCAAAAGTCTTCCCACCAGAAGAAACTTCCCTCATTGTAATCGACTCCGTCTCATCCCATTTCCCCGCCTACTTCCCCAACGCCGCAGAGCTAAAAGAGCAGCTGGCGAAAGGGAAAATCAGCGACAAACAGCAGCTGCAGTGGCTGCTCAATCGCAAATGGAACGTTGCCAGCGACCTCGCCACCCATCTCTCCCGTCTCACAGCGCGGAATCTCGCCGTCCTCGCGATTAACCAGACGCATACGAAGATTAAGAACCAGCCGCGTGCTACACTCCATCCTATTCTATCTGGTGGTGCGTGGGAAAGTAGTGTGCAGACGAGATTGGTTGTGTATCGCGATTTGCCGGATACGCGATTTGTGGAGGTTGTCAAGAGGGGTGGGAGGACGGTTACGGTTAGGGTGCCCGAGTTGATTGTTTCGTTTTTGATTGAGGATGTATGTCTCCCGAGGCTCTTGGTGGTCGTTATGTTGGACTTTGCTAATATTTATATCAGGATGGATTGAAAGAGGTCAAATCCGATGGGGATTCGTATGATCCTCGGGTCTTTGCTGAGCCGGAGACTCAGCCTGAGACTCAGCCTGATAATACACCCAGTCGTAAACGGAAGGCTGAGGATGAAATCGCCGATAGTCAGGATGAGGACTCGGAGGCTGAGATTCAGTGGGAAGAGTCTCTGCTCGAGGCTGAGGGGGAGCAGAGCCAGAAGCTGAAGCCCGGGATGCTGAAGCCCAGGATGCTCCCTCCCAACCATGAATACGAAATTATCTTGCATTTAGTATCAAATGGGTTTGTTTCATAACACAATACATCAAGAAGGTCTCCCAGTCTCCACAAACGTCCTCCCCTCCACCATCCGCGTATTACTAGGGGTCGCAAGAAACTCTTTCGGCTCCGACTCGCCAGTCGGCCCCTCATCCCTCGCATCCTGATCCCGATCCGGCGTCTCGGGCTGCCGATTAAACGAGCAAAGAGGCAATGTATCCGCAATCGCAATAGAAATAGGATGTCTCGAACCCTGAATCAGATCCACCAGTTTCCCCAACACCGCAAACTCAAGCTTGAGTTTCAGCGAGTATACAAACCCCTTCAACGTAATCTGCACCGCGTACAGATTTGCATATTCCAGACTCAATAAGAGCAAATCCATCGCCATGATCGCGCAGTTTATCCCGATCAGTTGATACATTATTGAGCGGGAGTCGGGTCGAGTTGCGGACTCGGCGCCTAGTCGGAGGAGTTTGACCGTTTCGATCACGTATAATGTCGAGAGGATTCCTTCTTGAATCGTGAAGCCGGTTAACTGGACCTTCTCCATGATGTTGTAACCGGTAACCCAGGCCTTGTTTTGCGTGTGCACGATATTCGCCCCGTACGTCAGGACCGTTGTCGGGACGTGCAGGAGGAAGAAGTTCGCGACGATGAGTCGAAGTACGCGCTTAAGAATTCGCTCATCGCGCAATACCAGGTGTAGTCGGGAGTATAGCACGACTGATTGGCCCGTTACCATCGTCCACCAGCCGATCGTGAGCACTGTCACGGAGAGGATGCTGTCGGTTTGCGTGAAGAATTTCATCAGGAAACCGATTGAGTACGGGACTACCCCGATGCACCCGCATGTTAGCAGGGACCAGAAGTAGAGGCCTCGCCAGCGTCGGAAAGTCGAGGGGACGAGCACGACTAGCTCGGCGACATTGTAGCAGCTCAGCCCGATGAAGGTGACTAGTGTCATCTGCAGTATGTCGCCTTCTGCGGCGAGGGCGCCGGATATTCCGTCCAGGAGGTCCTGGGGTGGGGACATGGTGTGGGCGATGGGCGCATGGACTTCGAGTCATGTACAGATGGTGTGCCATCACCCGGTTTGGTAGGCGTACATTTTTGGGAGAGAATGTGTGAGAGAAACGGAGGAGAGAGGGAGAAGAAAGAGGCGAATGTTGTAGTACAGACTGGCCTGACCACGATGCGCAGTCTCTGTGCGCCGACGGGGAATCAACCGAGTCGTCCTGCTTGGCGAATCCCTGATTATTTCGGAAGGGAGGGTACCTCACACGTAGTGCTGTAGGTAGTATGTGCTGGGGGGGCACAAGATTGGTGATTGGGGCCAAAACCCGGGGAAGAGACGCCGATCCAGCGCCATTATCAATAGCGCCGGGGCCAGCTGGTGAACTGCTAAGCTATCGAGCGTTCCTTGAGTTAGCCAAGTTAGTGGAGAGGGCACTACGCCGCATGGGGATTTGGATGAAACAGGGGCATTGTTCGTGCCGAAGACGTTTAGCGTCGAGGCTGGCGAGGCAAGAGTCAAGAGGACGTGGTGATAGCCGGCTGCCGGTGGAAGTATTACGCTGGCGGCCGCTGTGGTTGTCCTTGTGATGTTCCGGCGGTCTGCAGTCTCTCCCCTCAGATAGGATACGACTAGTTCATAGTACCAAAGAAATTATGAGAAAGGGCTGAGATATTTATACGCTGTAGTGGTGCATGAAATGAATCCATTCGAGTCTAGTCATCCTATCATGTCCACTCGCTTATAGGTTGGTCAGGTAGTCCTCGATTTGCTCCTTGGTCAGCTTTCGGAACCGAGGTCCTTGTGCGCCCTCCACGCCCTCGTAGCCCAGAAGGTGATCCGCAGGCGGGCCAACAATTCCTGGAAGATATTAGTACTGGCTGGTCTCGCTTTCCACTGCCGGTGCTGAACCTACCAATCTCTATTGTGTCTCCGTTCATCTCTCCCTCAATAGTCTCCTTAAGCGTCAACAGTGCAATATGGATGGCATCCTCCAGCTCCAATCCCTCTGTGTACCGCTTCTCCAGGAACGTTTTGGCACTGGTCGCGTGTTTACCGATGGCAGTCGCCTTCCACGGGTAATAGCTGCCGCTGGGATCAACCTGGTACAGCGAAGGGCCGCCCTTCAAGATACCACCAGTCTTGCCAGACGGCTTCTCCTTGTCGTCGGACTCAACCTCGGGCTCGACGCCCTCATCCCAGCCCGCAACAAGCAGACTGACACCGTACGGCCGCACACCTCCGGACTGCGTGGCTTCTTGCACCACGCGCGCCACATCCTGCACCAGGATACGCGTCGGCGGGTATTCGTTGTAGATGCGCTTGTAGCCTGTGTGCGAGACCTTGCGGGCCTTGTCCACCAGAACGCGGTAGTCGGGGCCCATGCCGGCGTAGACCATGCCGATGTCCGGGGTAATCAAAGAAATCTTGGAGAGCGAGGGGGGATCGATGAGAGGGGAGGAGGATTTCTTTTCGGTCGCGAGGACAATTCCGTTGGTGGCTATGATGGATTAGCAGATGATCAAGCTGGAGGGAAGCTCGAGCTGCACACACCTTTGATGCCCAGAGCTGTCACACCCTGGTTGACGGCGTTCAATGCATATTCTAGAAGCGAATCAGTATGGTTTAGTCGAGAGTAATTGTCAAGCAAAGACGCGGCGATCGATGTCGCTTCGTCGCTCGTGGCCTCCACTCTCGAGGGTCTTACCGATCTGGACCAGCTTGCCGCTGTTGATGGTGGTTAGCATCCGGAACTGCTGCAGAAACTCAAGGGTCAGACACACCTGGGCGAGAAGGTCGTCAGGGAGAAAGAGTATCGGTCCGCCATGATATCTGTTCGATTGAATAACAGGAAACAGACAGTCGATGTGGATGGAGAGAAGAGGAGCTGTAGGCAGAACGGGTGACGTTAAGCTTGGGAGCTGCGGTCTGCCAAGGCGGTGAGCCCACCACACCTTTTCTTTTCTCGCTTTCTTCCTCTCTTCTTTTTCTCTCTCCTACCACTCCCTCCCACCCCAACCATGCCAGCTGCCCTCCATGCAGTCCAGCAATGAGTCGGATGGTCCGGAGACCGGGTCACCCCCTCCCCCTCCCCAACCTACAGCAAGCTATCCACCCCGGGTCTGTCGTATTTGCCTGGAAACCGTCCTGCCAACTCTCCAGCCGTCGGAATTTTTACAAAAGCCACGCGTGGTGTATTCCTCTGAGGACCCAGAGCTCGGTCGGTTGCTTCGCCCATGCCAATGCAAAGGCTCCTCTCGTTACGTACACGAAGGCTGCCTGCAGACATGGCGACACGCGGACCCCCGGTATGGTCGACGGAACTACTGGCAGTGCCCGACGTGTGGGTTTCAGTATCGGCTGCAGCGTCTGACCTGGGCCCGGTGGATCAGTAGTTCAGCCACGCAGATCTTTATCACTCTTGCAATTTTGTTTTTCACCATTTTCATCCTAGGATTTGTTGCTGACCCCATCATCGATTTCTACCTCGGCCCCATCGATGAGATCCCCATTGACATTGACATTGACATCGATGACGCCAAGGCTTCGTGGCTCGAACACATCTTCAAGGGAATGGCGTCACTGGGCCTTCTTTCGTTCTTCCGTGTGATCTTCACCATGTCGCCTTGGTGGGGCGCCAGGAGTCTCGCTGGTGGCCGGACTGGTACTAATGGTCGAGATCGAGTACGGTCATTGAATTGGATAGTAATTATTGCAGGAATCCTCACTTTCCTATGGGTAAGTCAATCAATTATATATCTAATGCGGTGCATCGGTACTCATCTTTTCCTATAGACGGTCTATGGAACCGTTCGTTCTTGGACTAAACGTTCCCTCGAACGTGCCGGCGAGCATGTCATGGATGTGCCCCTACCAGATGACGACAATGACGATCCTGGACCCGTGCCTGAGCCTTCACCTACATCCGAGCCAGAGCCAAAGCCAGAGACCCCGAGTCACCAGTCGACGACCACTTCGTCTTTCGTATCCGATCGCACTACTTTGAGTTGCCGTGCTCCTGCCAATGACGCGTCAATCAGTCAATGTGCGAAGAACGACCCTCGCCCTTCTTAACCCATGGCGTCTTGTCTGAGAAGCCGCCGGACGACGTCTGGAGCGTTTTGTTCCTGTTGTCTGGCAGTTTCATTCACCAGGCGGACGCTGTGGGGAAGGCAGGATCCCTCTTCGATTCTATCAGAGGCGATGCGATGTCCCTCACGGGATAATCATTTCCTTCTCGCGTCTGGGATTGAGGAGTGGTACACTTTCGACATTAGCCTAGTCCCTTTTTAGATGGGTGCCTTCCTGGTTAGGCGGCCACCTCGCACCTGCCGCAAGTGAATGAATCTGCCTACTATTTCATATTCCTTCTCCCGCCTTTGATTTTCCACCTCTCCAACTCCCATCGTTTCTCTCGTACGCTGTTCCCAGCTTCACAGACACCCAGGAACCCTTTCTTCATCAAAAAGAAAAACTCTCTGGAACCGTTCTCGAGATGGCCTCCAACCGTCACAGCACCGCCCGTACCCGCCCTGCTCGCGCCTTTCGCACCATGGCAGCTCTACAAACCCGGGACCGTCTTGACACCCCGCGCATGCCTCGTACCGCCCACTTCAGGCCTGGAAGCCGCTTCAACGGTGACAAAGATGACCCTGTTGATGATGAGGTCGAGCTAGAGCTCGACCTGACAAACTGCGACGGCGCGTTCGAAATCATGGCGGCCTCCTCCAACACCGGGCTGTTTGGCCGAGCCCCCAGCCCTCAACCCCAGGTGCACCCCCCACGCATTTTCACCGACCCTTCATCGACCCGGTCGTTCGACCAGCTCAGGCAGGATCTTGCCGAGCCCATGCTGCGCGACTCGACCCGCAGACTGTTCGAAGAGCTAACTGACATGATTCTACGGGTAGAGAGGAAGCTATTCAGCGGCCCGGGCGAATTCCTTGACAATGAGAGTACCCTTGATGTACTGGAATTCGCCCAGCGTATGCAGGCATTCTTCTCTTCGGCGGCCTCGTTGACGGAAGAGCTGGTGAATGTTAGCGAGCGTGTCAGCTGCATGATGGCCGTGATCACGCGTGACTGCCCCGATGCCATGTGGCGTTTTCAGTGGATGACGATCCTCTTGTGGGAGTGTGTCGCCCCAGGTAAGTACCCCAACAGACAACAGACTAACGTTTAACAGGCACCAGCCAAAGCCCCGTCTCCCTGAATTCAATGTCATCAAGGCGATGGGAGAATTCTGGACCGAGGCGGTGTATGACAAGTACACCGTCCTGTACCATGACATTTGCCAGGGTACCGGAGGCACCTTAAACACCGATAACGCTCACTTTGTAGCCGGCAGTGTCGGCATGATTATGTCGACCTTGTCACGCCTGTATCGGGCATATGGTGAGTATGTCAACCGCCTCCGGGCCATCCAGGTCCGACACTTCGACCCGCTGACACGTGGGCTCAACAATGAGGATCTAATCAAGTTCCGGAGGGAGATGGAGCACCTTCCGTTCCCGACCTGGAATTAGGCGTGTGGAGGATGACGGCAGTGTGTATTTTTCGAGTACCTACCACTACCACAAGGTGGTGGAAGCCCGGCTGTTAGTAGCATTCACAATGCTAATTTCCAAGCTTTCACTTGCCGCTCATTTCCAGTAGGATCTTCGAAATTTCCCATCCATTCTAGCATGTAAACAAACCTCTAGGTTCACTTTTGCTTTAACTCATATGTAAAATTTTCTTTGGGGGGGGAGAGAATCACTTGCTGCTCATTTCCAAGTCAAATCTCAGAATTACCATTTTCCACTTCCAGTGTGCAGATTGTAGATTGGCTCTTCAAATTGTTGCTTTGGCCGGGGTATTAAACTCACTTATATTTAGTGAATGAATGATATCCCATAGCCTAGATCACATTCTCACTCATGATGAACTCAAACCTAAGAGAAATGTGATATCTCCCAGATTCAGGTTCACAAACACAATCGTAGGAGTCGTACGAAGATGAAGCGTCGAATCGTGAAATCATGAAGCTCTCGTAAGTGTGTCTTCCCGTCATCGATGGGGCTAATGAAGGTCTCCTTGGACGACCACCCGGCCATCGAAGACATTATAGAGTCGGCAAGTTCCCCAAATATACGAGGAGCAGAATTGGGTCCGGTAGATCATGCCTCTCGCCAAACCCAAGTAAAACTGGACCTGTGAGCTGCACATCGATGCCTCTGAAACGTTTCTCTGGTTCCCGGGGCGGACCGAAAATAGCTCATCGGGCCGCCCCTCTCCTTCGCACAGAGGAAGTGAGACTCGGATTAAAGAGACGGTCATGATGCGTGAATGTCAAGAGGGGAGGAAGTGAGGCGAATGGGGAGTCTTAAATACTAATGCAGGACATCCCATTGTCAGAGCCTCGACGATCCGCACCTGCGTGTTTGACAAAGACTCTGAATATATTCACCTGTTCGTCACGCCGAGGACGAATGAATACTCCGGAAATGTCCTGGTGGCCGTTAAAAACCCCGTAACATACGAAAGAACGATGCTTGCAAGCCACTTTCACAAAGAACAGAAAACACTGATATTCACACCTATAATACATTAAGCAGTACTATCCTTATAAGCCCCCAGCTTAAACAACCTCTTCGCATTTTCCCGTCCAATCTTATACCGATCTACCTCATTCAGCTCACAGTTATCAAACCACTCACACCCATCCTCAAACGTCTCAAACGGATAGTCAATACTGAACAAAATCCGATCAGCCCCAACTTCCGCCATACAAAAGTTCAGCGTGGTAGTCGAGAAATGTCCAGAAGTCGTAATCCACAAGTTCTGAGCAAAGTACTCCCGAATCGTCTTCTTGCATGTCTCCGCCAGACCCAGCTGCTTCTTCCGATCCTCGAACCAGTGGTTAATGCGCCACATGTCGAAGGGGATATGTTCGCCCAGATGGCCGAGGATGATCTGGAGCTTGGGATGGCGGTCGAAGACGCCGTTCGTTACCATGCCCAGGGCGTGCAGGGACACGCCTTGCGCGAAGGAGAGGGGTGGCCCGATGAGCCATTTTCGGTCCGCCCAGAGCTTGTCGAAGATTGTGCCGGTGGGGTTGCGGGGATGGAGGTACAGGGGGACGTCGAGTTCTTCGCAGGTGGACCAGAAGATGTCCCACTTTGTGTTGTCATAGAAGATCATGTCGTCGCCGTCTGGGCCAGCGCGCTGTGTGTCGTTGACGAGGGCGCCGAGGAAGCCATATTCTTTTACGCAGCGGCGGAGCTCTGTGGCGGCTTCTTGGGGGTCGTGCATTGACAATGTACTATGTGATCGAGTTAGTATGGGATCTATTCAGGTAGGCTGTAAGATGACGTACGCGAAAGCAGCAAAACGATCCGGATGCGCCTTTACGCGCTCGGCGATATAGTCGTTAATTTCCACGGCGAGAGCCTGCGCATCCTTTGGATCCCAGATATCTTGTACACCCGGCGCAGTGTAGGAGAGAATCTGCAGACCGACACCGTGCTTCTCGGCGAAGTTGAGGCGGATCGAGTCGACGTCGTTGATCTCGGCGACGTGCTTCTCAACGTCTGTCGCGAACATGCCCGCCCACCAGCGGGTCTTTTCTTTGAAGCGCGGGAGCGCGAAGGCTTCTTCGAGAGCGATTTTGCCTAGCATGTTGACAAAGGTGGTATTAGAGTTGAGTTGGAGGGTTGGCTGGGTATTGTTTGGTTGCGGAGGGCTGGAACTATATAGTCGGTCCCCCGCGGGGCTGCCCCGCAGTCGGAAAGAGCATCAACTGGTGCAGGATAGCTCAGGTTGCTTGGGACACTCGGTAGAAGAGCAGAGGAGATGCAAGCTATGTATCGTTCCGAAGAATCGGCTCGCTTCCGACGGTCGCCGGTCCGCTGGTTTCCGCGCCAATTGCTGGTCGGGTCGCGACTGCCGAGCCGCGTGCTCGATCCGACGGCGGCGGGTATTTACTAACCTTAGTGGTGTACGTCGATGAGTAAGTGAAATGTGGAGGTAGAGGGGATATGGAGAATGCTCCATTTATTTCTACATGCTAATGCCACGCTATATAGTCTGAGTATCATGAGAATGTCGACGTGGTACAATCCGCTTGGAACAACTGCTCCGACCCGCGCGAATGCACAATCGACACCAGCATGCCCAACACGGCGAATTCAAGCTTCAGCTTGATGCTATACACGGTCGCCTTGAGGATAATCTGTGTGAAATAGAACCCCACATACTCGAGAATCACGAGCGTCAGATCCATCATGATCGCAACAATGTTTATCGCCAATAACTCATACAGTATCTTGTGTCGCCGCTTGTCGCTGTCTGGACTCAGTCGGATCATTCGAATCGTGTCGATGATGTAGATGCTCGAGATGAAGGACTCCTGTGCTGCGAACCAGGTCAATTGCATGCGCTCAATGACTTCGAAGCCCACCGTCCATGGTCGCGAATTTGGCAGGTAGCTTGCGCCGACGTTGAGGGTGGTGGTTGGGATGACGACCGCGAAGACGCTGAAGACGATTAACCACCGCACGCAGCGGAGGAGGTTGGTGTTTTGGGAGACTAGGTGCAGGCGCGAGTATAGCACGACCGATTGATTCGGGATCATCATGATGAACCCGACGTTCGAGAGGACCATGGCGAGCCATAGCGGGGCAATGCTGAAGTATTGCAGGGTTGGTCCGATGGTCGAAGGAATCACTCCAATTGAGGCGGAGGTCAAGAGAGACCAGAAGTAGAGGCTGCGATAGCGGTGGAAGCTGACCGGAATGAGAATCATCAGCTCGATCGAATTGTATAACGCGATAGTCACGAAGACGACGATGCTAATTCCCAATGCGATATTCCCGCTGCCCGGCGTGAACAACGATGGCGGGGCCTCCTCAGCATCCGCCATGGCCAGTGATACATCTGTGTTTGCGGGGAGAATGCAGCGTCCGGTCGAGAGGCAGGCGCATTGTGGTTGTCCTCGTGGCTGTGGGCGCTCCGCGGAGGGAGACGGCAGTTCCCCTGCGGTTTATAGGAGGCGCGCGACGACGGGGAAAGTAGGAGACCTTAGAGTTGGAGCGTTTTCGCGTCAAGTCTCGGCAACAAAGACTAATTGCGCCTGTCCAGTCGAACTCTTAGGCGTTGACATAGAGAGACTTGCTCGGTGGAATTCCGATCGACGACCGCCATGATGCCGCCACCGCCATTCCCCACGTCATGGCGGGTGGTGGCCAATGACCAGAGGAGGTATGTGCAATTTTGGTACGAATTTTGCTTTGGGGATCAGTGGTTTGGTAAATTACCCCAGTTTCGAGCCGTGTACGACTCGCGCTGGTTGGAAGGGGAGAAGGTTCCGGACTGCGGGGAAAGAGAAGCTCCACTCGTGATCGCGTGAGGGTGTTTAGGTTAGGCTCGACTCGTGGTTCCGCGCGTGCCTCAAATGGCCCGGGTACAGCAGTCAAGGCCTCAATGCGACTAGCCACTCTGATCTTTCAATAACCGCGACAATGTCCATGATGGCTCGTCCTGCCTTTGATTGAGCTTGATCAAACACCCCGATTATCTCACTCCTTCGCCGAGTCGAAGCAACTGCTCTTTCTTCTTAGCTGGGGATTTCCTCCTAATCCGTGACTTCGCTATTCGCACTTTACTTTCTAGGCAACTATGTGTGTCGCGCCCGGACTCCTCTGGGCCTTCTCGGCCGAATTCTGATCAATCTAAGAGTCTTAACGGATCTCACAACTCTTTTCGTCACCGAAGACTGTATGATAACCACTCCTCTTGGGGCGTCGTGTCCAGGAACAAGATGGAAACGAATGGGTACAAAAAACGAGAACATATTTCGAACTGGAGCAAGGAAGAAGAAGAAGAGAGAGGGTTAGCGAGCTGTCTAGGAAGCGGAAGCTATTACGGGCTTGACATAGGTCATGTGACTACACTCCGTACTTAGAAGTCACATGACCGAAAATATATACTGTAGTATATATCGTGTCGGTATCAGTGGAGAATCAGTATTGTAACTAAGGGATGGTCAAATTATATCATTGTAACTTCGCCAAGAGTCTTAGTCATGCTCGGTCGCATACAAATTCGTGTGTGAGAACGAACATAACCAATGCAGATGACAAGGTATCTATGATTCGTCCAGGTGATTGGGTCTTAAGCGGTACCGACATATTTCGTTTCTTAAGGCCAAAAATATAGTCTTGTGATAACTCAACAGAAGGGATTGTCTGGTTCTGAAAACTATCTGGGGCATACGGTCTTATATACACTAGCGCACTGAATCGGAGATTCAGTATTCCGAATGGAACTTAGTAAGCCTGTTCCACACTGTACTGACTGACCTAACCAGGGTTGTCAGTACCAGACCATACCGCGTATTCTGTGCCAAATATCACAGTCTAAGCACCCAGGCTGCCTGTCGATCCTTCATTTGGGCTATCAAACTAACATGGGCTGAGCCCTGCAGAAAAGGCCTGACCTCCAAATCTCGCCAAATGAGCTCCGGGCAATTCTGTGGGGGCGGTTTCAAATGTGCAAGCCAACTTCCAAAAGGTTGTTTCTATAATCTAACCCTCAGGGGTGTAGCGTAGTTGCACAAGCTGAAGATATTGGAGCGCAGCGTCTCTATCAGGATGCTTGTGAGGACGCTTTGGATTCCAAAAAACCGTGTGATTGGCTCATGAAAGGCACACGGAAGTAAGGGCGCTAAAGAGGCTCGGCGATCGCCCGGGCGATTACAGCACTTTATTATTACAGAAATTTCCCTGTACTTGATTTCCTTCTTCTGCACCCCCTTTTTCCTTATCTTGACCCAAAACAGGCGGTGATTGGAATTACTGGCATTAATTGGCTGGGGAATGCGATCTCGCCGATTCACTCTTTCAATAAACCGTGACGCAGAAACAACCAGCCGCCGACATGTGCAACGAATCTAATCCACTGACAGAGACAAAAGTGTCCTCAGAAACCGTCACAGGAATAACAAGCCATCGCGCAGGGATAGAATGGAGCTGATCTTCGGCAACCATTCCCATCACGGTATTGACCATAGCCTTCTTGGTCATGGTGTTCAACTACCACGTCCACCACAGCGATGCACTCTTCGACCACTCCCGCCTCGCATCCACCAGAAGTGAGAAAAACGTCGTCGACGTCGATTTGAACCCCATTTTCATCCTCTTCGTCCCCAATTTTGCGATGCGATTGCAGGGGGTCGAGAGAAGGGAGCCGTTGGCGGTGCAGGCGAGCAATACTTAGCTTGTTGCGAATGTCCTGTTGCACGATTGGTAATAATGGAGGTGTTTTGCTAGTTTCTTGTTGTTGCTGGTGCTGTCCTGGCGATCCTCCCGATGTGGGCGGTAAGGATTGAAGATGTTCCTGATATACAGGCTAGGTTAGGCATTTCTGGGCTTGTTGCTCATCGATTTGAGCATTCGGCATTGCAGTGGAGTGCGGAGGGTGTTGAAGGGGCTCTTTGGGGTGAATATTGGCAAGGCAGATTGGACAGTTGCCATTGAGATGGAAGAGAAGACTGACCTCACTTGGTAGAGAGCCATCGGAGCCTCAGCGGCATTGAAGACTGCTGAAACTCAACAATAGGTGCCGAAGGCGATGAGCCAACTGACTGATCCTCACATCATGTATGTAATGTTAGCTCAAGCGAGACATTCAAATTTGTACATGGCAGAGAGGCTATGGAATATGTCTTCAAATACGAAGTTTGGCATCTTGCCATCCCCCCTGAGACGCACTAAGCCTTATATGGTAACGCGGACAATTGGGAAGCGTGTAAAGCACGCTTCCTTCAGGGGTTACTTTAGATATCTTCAATCTTTAATATCACTCAATTGCTGGCATGCACACATCGCTCCTCCTAGATCCTATCCCTCATCTCAACACCTATATCTACGCCGTCAATAGGACTCGGCATATTTGAAGGCGGCATTCGGTATGGCATCCAGTATGCCCACCGATGTTCCAGTGCACCCACGTCCCCAGAGTTTCTTACGAGTCACCCTATGGCGTAGCATCCAGACCGTTCTAAGCTCTCTCGGCCAGAGTATCTTGTTGAAGTCTGAGCTTTTCGAATATTTCCAGTGTCGCACGCCAATGCCTCGATATTGCGCTAGCCAGTGTAGCCACCGCATATGCCTACAGCCACGTCCTAAAGTGCGGGCTCCTTTACCCCCACTACACTATTTGCCTCTAGTTGCATCCTCGATTAGCGCTCCTGATGTATTTTTTGTTTGGTGTCAAAACAAGCCACGTTGCCCCTTTTCACCAGAGGATGGGGCCGAAACTGATTCTGACTCTCGGCGTGCGCCCCCTGACGAGCGACATCGGCGACTCATGATCAGAAGCTTTAGAGCCTTGCCATGGAACTTTGCAACTGAAATGATCACTACAACTGCAACTATGTAGATGCCCGAAATTCCCCATTATTATATTTAAAAAATCTATCACAGGTATGTAAGCTATTATCTAACAGTATATCAGCAGTGGTATCTGGTATGATGCTCCCGCATCCAGTTTATAGCCTATGCCGTCAGTCATGAGAGACTTCTAATCTATCTCAATTCGTATCATCAATCCTCAATTATAGCAGGGTCACATCTCCCCACCAGATCATGCGCTCCGTCAGTCCTGCCACAGTTACTAAAAACTCCATTTCCAGCCTGTTGGAGTGCTTGATATAAATCGCGTCGAAGTCTGGCGAAATCAACAGTGTCGGCTTGAGATGTTTCGTGCCTGCTTTCAAGCCATTTTCGTGTAAGGATAGTTGTAGTGTTTCGCCAATATCCAGCGGCTCGCTCTTTTCTCCCATCGGTATTTCCAGTTTAAACCCCTGGGGATCATTGCTTTCCATCGCCCAATCTAGGCCCAGGTCGTGGCTGCTTTCTCTTGAGCCGTGAGGTAGGTCGGGCGGGCTGTCGTCTCGGTAGACATCGGTCTTGGATCGAATGGACATTTTGGCTGCAGTGAGCCAGATTTTCGGGGTAAAGTCCTTTTGGTCGGTTGTATCCGCGTCCTCCAGTCGAAAGCATTTTAACTTTATCGGGATGGGGGTTGTATTGTTCAGTTGAATCCGTTCAGGGGCTGTGATCTCCAGTTTATAATCGAATTGGGGGACTTTCGAGGATCCAAAGAACGCTCGTTTTTTTTGTAAAAGAGATAATCCGCTGTTCTCCTTGCCGGGAAGTAAATGGAAGCTGCGCACGCTTGACTCGATGTTCGATACTTGGGTGCCGAAACTGGAGAATTTGCGAAATGCTGGTGGTCGTATTTTGATTGTGTGCGTCGATGTGCATGATTCCCGCTTGCCGCCGTATGTGTAATGAAGCGTTGCCTCGAGGTAATATTCGATCCAGCAAGATGCGAATGCCCCGTATCCCGTCGTAATAAAGCTTGCTGGCAGAGGTCCTCGTATCAGCGCTTCGTGGTAGGGTGACAATGCCATTTCTTTGCTATGGGTTGGTTCGTCCGGCATGGAGGGGATCTCGATCTCAAAGGGCCAAGACAGAGGTTCGCTCGGCTCGGCCAGATCCAGCGATCCCTGGAACAGCTCGATAGGCTTGGGAATCAGCAATTGCCGATTAACGGCGCAAAAGCCGGCTGGTCGTGGTCCATCGCTCGAGACCAGTCGCGTTGAGGACTGGTTGGCCAGCATAATCTTCAACCCCCCGCGAAGGGCCAGGGTGACGATCGCCTCTGGCGAGACAATGGGTGCCCGACGCACGACCGTACCGATAAGCCGATCTCCCGCGGCGAAGGTCCAGCCTTGCGGTGCGGCGGGGGCGACGGTCAAGTCGTCGGTGCCGAGAGTGAGAGCCAGCATCGTCGGCAATCCGAATATCAAGTCCGTGCGGTAGAGGGTTCAGATCTTTCCAAGGTTGCGCGTCGAAAAAGCGTGATTGCGACCGTCGTGGGGGGAGAGCTGGCCCCCACTACGCGATTCATGCAGATAATCTCGACGATCCTGCCATCCATTGCGCCGAAAAGGGGCCGAGGAGCATGCGGGACACCAAGCAGCAGGTACCCGCGCAGCCAGCGTTGGTAGTAGCCATGGAGGAATCATATCGTTGCGGATTGGCCTTGGTAATTATGCTGTAAATAGCATTTGGAATCTGGGATGGACATGGCGCTGATAACAGTTCATGTGTAGTTGTGGAGTGGGCGAGTGAGCGTGAGCATACATATCTGCGGTAAACAACTCCGTCCGCGTCGCGAGAACGTATCAGCACCGATGATTCAGCATCACAACACAAGAACAACTCACTACCCTGTAGCAACGACTGTCACAAGAAAAGGAAAAACCCAGTGTGATGATCTCTCGTAAAAGAGGTGTAATGTTGTTCATAGTGAGAATTAGTAGTAAACAGTGCTCTCCAAAGAATAGTGCCAAGGTGTCTGGGCATTAGGTAACTGTCAGTTATCCGGTTCGCAGAAGATAGTTGAAGAGCGAACAGAGTCCAAGCAAAAATCTAAGGCGGTATTTCGACTGGAGATGTCAGCTAGGCTGACTCTTACAGACTCGGGACTTTGGGGTACCTGAGCTGGGCAACATCACCAGACCCGCCCAGAATCATCAAGGCCAAACAGGCCACCATTCAGACTTCGGCCCCATCTGCTCTTCTCGTGGAGAACCCTGACATCCCCGCAGTGCTTCCGCGACACTTCGTCAACGCGGGATTAAACATCAATTAACTGGTTGGCTCAGTGCGCATTAACCCCGTCGAGTGAATCTTTCTCCACATTTTCCACTTTTTCATCGTTGCCATTCCCAGGCACGTCCCGAGTCCAAGGAACTCCTGACACCAGGATACTTGCTCCTCGACAACCTGACCGAGTAGTCGAGTTGAGTCCAGGCCAGTTGGTGTGCGTCTGACGCATCTGACGCATCGCCATGCACGTCCAGCCACTGCCAACCCAGCATCCCTTGCCCCATCCAGAAATACGAGCAGGCGATCCCAATGACTTGATGCTCACCGTCGCATCCTGGTCTTGTCGCCCCGCGTCCTTCGCCTCTACCAATCACCCCGGTCCTCAAATTTGGCCCCGGCTTGTCCTGGGCTCCAAGCCTCATCGACATGTCTTTTCAAAGAATTACATGACAGACCCACCAAGGTAGTTCGTTGTTTGCTTGATGCTTGCTTCTTCGCTTCTTCACATCCTTTGGTTTCTTCCAAGTCTTGATATCTATGTCTGTTTCCCCTGAATCTGATTTCTGTTTTCCATCATGTTCAAGCACGGCGGAGGCATGATCGAACAAGACGAGAATATCGATGACAAACCCCGCGAAAAGTTCGTGCCTCAGCGCACCTTCGGAACGGCCGCAGAACGAGCGCGACGAAACCTAAATGCGAAACTCTCGAATCCGCTCGCGGGGTTCAGCCACTCTGAACTGCGCAAGCAAGGTCGCGCTTTTGCGATGATGCATGAGATGGGCGATGAGTCGGATATTCGGGCTTTCGAACTCGGTGCTGTTCTTGCGCAATCGCCAGAACGATTCGAAAATGTCGCTGGCCTGATGCCTCAGGAGAAGGAGGTTCTGCGACATGAGTTTGAGCATCGCTGGTCCCAGCCGTGGAGCATGTACGCCGTGATTGCTCTGTGCTCGCTTTCGGCGGCTGTCCAGGGAATGGGTATGAGCTGATTTCCGAAAATAAACATCAGTGTGAGCTGACGCTAATTTTTACGTTCTCACAGATGAAACGGTCGTCAACGGCGCTCAGATCTGGTATAAGCATCAGTTCGGCATTGCCGGCAAGGAGCCTCGAGATACATGGCTGGTCGGACTGATCAACGCAGCCCCATACCTCTGCTGCGCATTCGTAGGTTGTTGGCTCACCGTTCCGTTTAATCACTGGTTCGGTCGACGGGGTACAATCTTCATCACCTGCTGTTTCAGTGCCATCGCCTGTCTCTGGCAAGGGTTCGTGAATACTTGGTGGTCGATGTTTGTCGCGCGATTCGCACTGGGCTTCGGTATTGGCCCCAAGTCTGCCACTGTCCCCATATATGCAGCCGAGACTGCGCCGCCAGCTGTTCGTGGTGCATTGGTGATGCAATGGCAGATGTGGACGGCCTTCGGAATTATGCTCGGGTACGCTGCAGACTTGATCTTCTACCAGGTTGGCGATCCAGCAGGTATCGTTGGCATGAACTGGCGGCTCATGATGGCTTCAGCTATGTTTCCCGCGGTCATGGTCTGCTGCTTTGTCTTTGCTTGTCCTGAGTCGCCGCGCTGGTATATGAGCAAGAAGCAGTATTATCGTGCTTACCAGTCGATTTGCACCTTGCGCCACCATAAGATCCAGGCGGCCCGCGATATGTACTACATGCATACTCTACTAGAGGCGGAGAATAGTATGAAACTTGGGCAAAATAAGCTGCTGGAGCTCATCACGGTTCCGCGGAATCGCAGAGCTATGTTGGCTTCGGAGATTGTGATGTTTATGCAGCAGGTAAGTTGCGGCCCGCCATATTTGAGTGCAGCGTGGGAATAACTTTATAACCTTATTTCAAGTTCTGCGGTGTCAATGTTATTGCCTACTACTCCTCGGAGATCTTCTTGGTGAGTCGATTGAAATATGAACAAAATCATCAACAATGGACTAATGAAATCAGGAGGCAAACTTCTCCCCGGCCGCCGCCCTAGCAGCCTCCTTCGGCTGGGGCGTGATAAACTGGATTTTCGCCATACCCGCAGTCTACGCAATCGATACATTTGGCAGGAGAAACCTACTACTAACCACATTCCCACTAATGGCACTTGCGATGTTCTTCACCGGATTCAGCTTCTGGATCCCAGAGGAAAACCACTCCGCGCGGACCGGATGCATCGCTCTCGGCACGTACATCTTCGGAATCGTTTACTCGCCCGGCGAGGGACCAGTTCCTTTTACCTACTCCGCTGAGGCATATCCTCTCTACGTCCGATCCTATGGAATGGCACTGGCGACTGCTACGACCTGGTTCTTCAATTTCGTGCTAGGCGTTACCTGGCCATCCCTGCGAAATGCGTTTACTCCACAGGGTGCTTTTGCGTGGTATGCGGGCTGGTGTATTGTCGGTTGGTGGTTGGTGTTGCTTTTCATGCCCGAGACGAAAAACAAGACGCTCGAAGAGCTGGATCAGGTCTTCAGTGTGCCGACTAGGTTTCATGCGAAATATGGTCTCAGGCAGATACCGTACTTTGTTAAGAGGTATGCCCTGCGCAAAGATGTGAGGCCAGAAATTCTATATGAGAGGGAGGACACGGCGCCGACGCAGGATCTTGGGTTTAATGCTTGACAAGAAATGATTTTATATACGAAAGGAGGATGGCGAAAAGTATGACTCGAGTTAACAAATTATACCCCCCAGGATATATGATATACGATAACAGAATTTTATCCCGTGTTCATTTTGAGAATTGTTAGAGGATCAGACCTGCACGTCTGAACATTTCAAAGCTTTCGATCCAGCCATCCACAGGATCTACATCGCCACCAATACCGGTACTTCTCATTTTATCAATGCTCATTTGCCGATCAAACGTCAACCAATATCCCACACTATCCAGCTGTCGATTTCCCGCCCCAACTCCAGCACGTACGGCATTCTCGCAACCGTGTTGAGAGAAGATTCCCCGGTACTTTGAAACGTATTCACCAGGCCGCAGGGATGAAGTCGACTCTGGAAGCTCACCTACTTTTAGCTTGTTCTTGTCATGGCCCGTCGAACCCTCGGTCGGTACCACTCCCTCGAGCCCGAACCATTTTGCTAATTGCGGCCAGAGTTCGCCATATGTACATGGCCTCTGATTGTCGGCAATATTAAATAGTCGGCCAATACCGCACTTGTCAGGCTGGAGGGACGCCTCGATCATGAAGCGCGCGATGGTTTTGCTTGAGGCTGGAGTGAATAGAGAGTTCGCGCCTGCGGTGTTTCCAGGAAATGGGACCTTCACACGTTCGTGGATTTTGCCCTCCGCACGAGGTCCGATACCGTGGTTGTATGCGTATAGGGAGAGGTACTGCGCCCAGTGGAGGGCGAGACTGAATTGCGAGCCATTGGGTGTGAATCCGATCTGGGAAGATGAAGGGTTAGTCAGTCGGCAGAAGCAAGGAATTCCCACAGCATACGATCGCATCCGGGCAAACTTCACACCATGTCCAGCTTTTTCCCGTACTCGCTTCGCTGAGTAGTTCCCGGTAGGCTGGATATACGACTGTCTTTGCGTAGTCGGGTGGGAGGTTTGAGACCATTTCCTCTTCGAGAGGTGGGGTGAATGTACCACCGGGTGCGTAAATCCCGTAGCCCTGGCGGATGTTAAAATGCGATGCTGCGAATGATGCCTACCGAAATTCTCTTACCCGGGTACCTCCGACAAATGCCACGAACTTGAGACTCGGACTCAGTAGTGTGTGTGCATCGATGACATTCTGGAGCATGCGCCGATTTGTCTCGACTTCTTCGATATCGTCGTCGATTGCGGTGAAGACTGGCGCTGTCAGTGTGTGTTCGCCTCATGACTGTTTCCTTCTATCTACCGTAGGACACTAACCAAGATAGTAGATATGTGTCACGGTCTCGACATCCGATACTTTCTCTTTCAGCGACTCTGCAAACGGCCCATCAACCTGACTGAGATCAATCCCGGAAATAAGCTGTAGCTCTGGGTGTACCGAATTTGGCTTGGGCTGAGGCCAACATGAACTTGATAGATCGAGTGGGCGGTTGGTAGTGGCTGTGACCTTTGAGAACATGCCATTTGTGGGGTAATTGCTGAGGATCTGGTGAATGATGGACCAGCCAACTAGACCAGAGGCGCCGTAGACCATCGCATGATTTGCGGGTGGTGCCATTATCGCTCAAATGTTTGATATTTAAGTGCTAAGTTGCAAGGACAGACGCCCCTATCTTATATGCTGTGTTGTCTTCGCCGCTCTCAGCCTGAGCACCTTATTGATTCGGTGGTGCATCATGACTCATGATGGGTCATCCAATCGGCCTCCCGAATGAGGCTTTGGGTGAGATAAGTGGGTCCGCGTGAGGTGCGGATGCCTGTTGCAGTATTGAACATATCATAAGTATGCATAATTAGACTCGTCTTCTCTCAAAGTTTCTAAGCGCTAACTTGCTGGCAGAATTAAAGCATTTCTTGACTTATCTGCGGACATCTTAGTGCACATACTGAGGAGAATACAAAAGGAGAAGTATTTCGAAGTCTATCAATTCATTCTTTGGAGTATTGAGTTCAGAAGAATGGATTGGGATTTATTCCTAGTCAGTATTTTCAGGTTCGAGAATCGAGAAATATTCTAGTCAGGAGAAATGAAGGCTAGCTCACAAGTGCTGCTATCCAAAGATAAATCAACCAAGACCGAAGAAGAATAATCACTGATTTCCAAACTCGTGTACCCCTCTCAGAACTAACCGTTGAGAAAAGGCCCCCTGTGCGACTAGTAGAAATTGAGAGAACTAGTGAGAGTATATGAGGAAACATTCACTATTCTGTTCATAGGAAAGGATTCTTACTGGAGCGTGCGTGAATGGGTATAATTTACCTCGTGGACTCGTGGGTTGCAAGAACGGTCTTCATGTCGCCATTGAGCGGATCCCAGAATATGACGTAGCTATCTACCGAGTCACTTAAGATCCATCTGTAATCACCAGTCATACACACACTAGTCACAGGTCCCTAGCTCTAGTGTTGGTTGCGACTTCGAAAATTCCTTCTGGAGGCCGAGAAAAAGAAACGAACCTATGACCACGAAGCTTCCAGACGCATTTCGTAGCATCTTCAGAATATCTACCACCCAAATGACCCATCTTCCAATATTTGGCACTAAAATAATTGCTGCCGGTGACAAGATGTTGGCCATATTTAGGAAAGGTAACTGACCATACAGCGTCAGGATGCCCATCTGGCCATTGCAACTGGTAGCGACCCACGCACTTTCAACTTCCCACAGGCAAATACTCCCTTTATTCAGAATGGGATCCCCTGCGGCAAGCATAATGTATTTGCTACCTGGAAAAAAATCACTGAGGTGAAACAAGATGGTTCTCTGAGACTATGGATGAGTTCTTTGATCAAAATCCACGCAAATAGACATCTCGGTCTGCACTGATCGAGTCAATGAAGCGATTATCTGGTGCGAATTCCAACGACGAAATCGCAGCCGCATGGGGTTATGTGTTGAGCTTCATTCTTTGTGTTCTAATTTTCCAAACCAGATTCGGAGTATTTTCAACGTTAGCCACTGTCTGTAAAATGAATCGAATGTCGGGATGAAACGTCATAGCTCACCCTGACTTTTCCATCCTTACCACCTGTCACCAGATACTTGCTGTCTGGGCTAAATGCAACGCTGTGAAAGTTACCAAATACAGAACTATTTCTCCTTCTGGGTCAATATGTCCTTCAAAAAAGACTTATATGACATTTCGCCTATGTTCTCGAGTGTGGCTTCCTGGAAGCCTGCTTCACACTGACCGGTGATCACATCCACAATCCTAGCGAAATTAGTACAGCCAATGGCTAGGTAACCACAATGGGAGCTGAAGCGAGCGCAGCAAGATTCGCTGTCGGGGGAAAATGTGTGTAGCAATCGGATATCAAGCACATAAGTAATTGAACCTGCGATGGCGTATCAATGTCCCTCGTCTCATTTCTGTGATGCAGGAATGTCTTCCAGCAAAGTCTTGGCCCATTTTCCTTTCAATATGTACGATGTAGCCGAGAGCGCGGGGATATAATAGGCGCCTTTTAACTTGGCAAAGGAATCGTGATCTAGTAGAATTTAAAACGGCTGATCTTCCTCTGCAGCTGCCGCGATGCAAATCGCAGACCCAAAATAGTCTCCTTTAGTACCGGGGGCAAGTTCATGGACGAGCAGTGTCTGTACCGCATTTTACGACCGCTATTGCATGTATGGCTAAGAGATGTTTCTGTAGTATTGACGTTCGTTGCTGAGCATAAATGGGTCATATCCATGAAAGTGGACCAATCCGTTTTTGGTGTATCCTCTCAGTGAATCTCTCACGAGATTCGGTATTTTAGCTGAGGAAGTCACATCAGCGTCCCTTTCTAGAAGAGTCTGAAAACTAGTTCCTCGTGGCCAAAGCCTGATGCTATTTGAAGCGGAGATGATCCCTCCGCCCCCCACCCCAAGTTGAAATACCGTCGTAATACCGTCCATTGATGGAAGCTCCACGGTCCAGAAGAATTTCCACCACATTTTCATGGCCACCTCGAGATGCAGCACAGAGTGCTTCGCTGCAGAGCTCGGTATGCCATGATAAATTGATATTAGCGCCCTTATCAGGCAGCACCTTCACAATTTTTTGAAGACCGTTTGATGATGCAACGGCGAGTGCGGTAGGTGTACTTGTAAATGAGGAATCAATTGGCACATATATATCAGCGTGGGTTTCTAGAAGCAGTTGCACACAGCCTTATGTCCCTGGATGCAGGCAGCTATGAGTGCAGTAGAGACGGGTGTACATCATGAGTAGAGAAGCAGGACGTTTGTTTGGATCAGCACCGTAGTCGATAGAATCCGAGCTATTTTCATGGCCATAGGTTGCTGCTACCTGGAGTAGCGTGTGCCCGAATTATTGAACATCATCCACCGCTTCTTCGATGCTCATGGAGGGCTGGAGGACTGACCTTTGAATTTATGATATCGCATATGATGGAGTGCAGCCCTTTCCTCGAGGCCTCTATTAAGGCGAGCTTGTTCTGGAAACTATCTCTGACCAAACTGGGAACTTGGAGTGAGTGGCGAAGAGCTTCAGCAGGAGATCGTTGCTGAAAGGGTCGCCAGTAAATGCTTGAAGTAATGTTTCAGGCACTCGTAGACAGCAAATGGACCAAGATGAAACAAATGAAAGAGTCCAGTTCTTGCACTTATAACATGTTCATCTAAGAGAAAGATAAGGCACGCTTGAGCAATTTCTTGGATAGAATATTCCAAATTCAAGGCAAACATTGCAGCTTTTCGGTTTTGATGCGATCTGACTCCAGGTAAGCTCGCGACCACATGGTCGTTAGTGCTATGTGCTTCACACCAAGCACCGCGCGACACTTTACTGACCTGCAGTATAGCATTCTGATCGTAAATTTCAGATTAATGCAGAAATAGCGATTAGGAGATATTCCCAAGTTTCGTTTCTTTTTGATTTCTGCCCGGCATGTGTTGCCCAGGTGCCCAGAATCATCCCGAATATACTATCTAGTCGTGCCGCCGGGTGACCTGAAACAGGGTCAAACTGCCTCTTCGACACTAAGCAGGTGATAACCCACTGCCTAATCTTTGAATCTGCCTACGATGCTTCTGCGAGAAATTCAGCTGAGAATTAGAGTGATACCTAACCTTGGAACACTCTCCGCATGACCCAACTGCATAACGTTGTAACGCCAAGTGACCTATTTATACGGTCACATGCAGAACTGAAATCTTCAAGAGACTTATAAACGCAGAAATTCCACGGCTGAAACCTTTATACTTGGCCATACGCATCAATGACTTCCAGCGACTGTTGAGCCACTTCGAACGCAAGTTAGAACGAACGCCGAGTCCACGTCTGCTCCCAGCTCCAATTTCGCCTCAACCTCCCTCCACGCCGCCACCTCCAGAATATGTCCAGGAAGCGCTGTTGACAGACCTGAAAGGTCTTTCCATCTCAGAGAGCTTCAGTCCCACACTTTCTCATCCGCGTTCGCTAAGTAACGCAAGTTCTCAGAATCCGTTTCTCCTTCGTCCGTTCGCAATACAAGCTCTCTCTTTGGTCGCTGGCAGCTACGGGTTCCATTGCTTGCACCTCCTGTATCATCCCATCTGTATCCCCGACTATGGCGTCTCTTTCTAGCACACAAGGCACCGATATCTCGACAAGACATCATCCAAGCAATCCATGAAGGCATCAACCAGGCTGTTCAGGCTGTTTCTGACCGAATGGGCCAAGGTCCACACGGCCCTTCTGGCCCGCTAAGTCCTGCTGCTCCGCAGGGCGACACCATCACTGCATCAGCTCCGCGCTTTGATTCCGCTTAAAACCGAAGATGTCGTTCGAGTCCACATCGCCCCCTGCCTTCGAGACGTAGCCCAACGCTGGTACAATAGAGCTCTCAGACGTCGAGCGCACTGAAATGGCCACTGCTCCATTGGAAACGGGCTGGTTCCGATCATTAGAACGACGTTTTAACTACGCGCAGCCTCAGCTCAAGAGAAGCTTCTGCCGGCAGTGTATACTTGGGATGATGCCTAAGCTGGCCGTTCCGTGGTCGAATGGGCATATGGTATGCTGCGTGATACCTATGCTGCAGACCTAGTCAGTGGAGTCTCGATTTCTATGATCGCACATCTCCGAACGATCTGGCTACGCCTGGAACCGTCTTTACAGAAGGACGTGCCCGAACCAACTCACTCCACAATTACTTCTACTTTCATAATTCCCAGCGGTGGTCCGACATTGCCGCTTGCCGTATGGGACCCCAGAGTTTGCTACAGAACCTAAGACTTCCAGCTAACGTTTTAGGTCAGCCCTTTGGGCATATGTCAAGTCAGCATCAGACACAGACTAGCGGTCGACCGATGTATAAACTTCCAGCTGTACCAAGTGCTTATTCACGTCCGCTCCTACCTGCCACCCAGTGGTGTTCCCCTCGAGAGGCCAGGCCAACAATGTCAGTACCAGCACATGGTTAGAAGTGTTAGAATCTGGCATCAGCAACCCAAAGGCCAGTGAGACCCATGGGTTCAGAATCAGGCGCAGGCGCAGTATACGACATCTTCTCAGTCATCTATAAGTTCGTCGCCTATGTCACCGCGTTCAACGTCTGGATGTTACGGGCCGTTCGAAAGAAACACATTCATTCGGTGCCTACGGACGAGAATCTCGAAGATGAAGAAGGAAAAAGAAAGAAAGAAAGTCCGCCAAAAAAAGAGGGGTTAAGTCCCCAGCAAACGCGTTGTGCAAACGACCCAATTTATGCCTCAGGCATCCTTCCACGAGACGAGGCTATTCCCAGGGTCATCCGTCACACTGGATACACAAACTAACAAGCCCAGAAACAGCTAACATCTAAGCTTTGGAATGGTCCTACAGCAATAATCAGTCATAAGGAATAGTCAGCGCGCTACAGCGTCCCAAGCAGACCAGGACTTCGTGCCGCCGTCAGAACAGTCACCATGCAGCCCGGTCTCCCTGGCCAGTACACAGACTTCACCCCAGGAGTCGCCAGCATTTATCGCAGACACATATTCCCCCGGCGATGAGTACGACTGTGCTCAAGCAGAGTACTACATCGATGACCAAGGTCAGTACTATGAGTCGCCAGCGTACTAGGAGGACTGTGAGCCCGAGACAGACCCAAATCAAGAATGCCATGTCGCGACGGCATTGTGTGGTTGCACAGTGGCTCACGCTTTTTACCTAATAACAAGCTATCAAAAGAGACAGGTCCAGCGCTGAAATCTCCCCTGGAGATGTCAACAGATCAGGGAGATATGTATTAGCTGTAGTCGAAGTTAACATGCAGACTAACCTCTCAGTTATGTGTCTCGCCTCGGGTGGCTCTGACCCTGATCGATCAAGAACTCGCTACCTCGCTGCGCCTACCAAATAAGGAAGTCAAGAGGCCGACCCAAGTCAAAAAGCATCGGATCTACGCACTCCTCTACTAAGTACATTGACCTACCAATCTCTTTCCGCGGCGGTTAGGCCACTGTCCGCATCATAACGGAAGCACATCTGGTCAAGAACCCGAAAGCTCAAATGCTGATAGGTATGGATATTATGGGTACGAAGGTTTTCGAGTGGGTACCAATGAGCGTAAATTCGAATTGCGACCTGCAGAATTTTGACGTTCCCGATCGCTGGCCTTGCCAAACCAAAGCGTCATACAGATCGACCAGTCTACGCTTCACGCCGAGTGGTGATCCCACCCAATCTTATGTCACGGTCGCAGCACCCAATTGAGGAGACCTACCGGAGGGTCAGGATTTCCTTTTTTCAATGAACATCCAACAGTCGCGTTTCAGTCGTCCTTAGTTGACGCAGGCCCTGACCGGGTCCAACGAGTGAACGACACGAAGAAGCCCATTATCATTGAACGCAAGGCCAGGATTGGCTCCTTGCCCGCCCCGGATCTTCCCTCAGCCTGTTTCATCTACTCGGAGACTTAAAGCCCGGTCGGCAAAAGCGCCGAGTGACACCGGGATACGTCGCTCATCGAGATGGCCCCCGATCCCTGCCGGAAACAAGGTTGGGAATGCAGCGGTAAAGTAATGGGGATCTGTCCAATGATTCACAAGGGTGGCTTCTCCACGGACTGTAAGAATAGCAAAACATCCAATACCCAGAGGTTGAAAAAGTTGGGATGAACGTGCTGGCATGCAGAGTGGGATAATTGAGAATTAAGCACAAATTCGGTCGAACTGAAGCGTGAGATGGCTACCATGACCGTCAAGAATCAGAAGGCGATACTTTCCTTTCATCCTTGTTGAGGTGGATGGGATGAATAGGTTTTGAAGCCATCTGATACTAATTTCATCCGAAGTTCCAGCCATTAGGTGAGACTTCAATTCGCCAGTCTTTTGGAAGCCCATCAAGCCAACTAGCTTTGTGGTTTTTGGCTTTAAAGATGATGGTTGGTGGTAGTGCAAAACCAGCCGCACTGATTGATCATATTCTTGCGAGATGCATGAATCCATACCTCCAGGAAAGTATTGCATATCGGGCTCAAATCCTGAGGCATACGCTGGAGACGATAAGTCCAAGAGTTCTTCAAAGCACTCTATGGGATAGAAGCCTGTCGCAATATTTCATCCTCAGATAAAGAAATGATAAAGTATTGAATCAGAATATTTACCTGAGGGGAATTCGCTCCATTGTTTCCCATCAGCCACTGTAATTCGATAGTCACCAGGCCAAGTACTATTTTCGCAATGATGAAGCTGACATTTTGCTCCTCTGCGGGATTCCGGCGCCTCCTGAAGCTGGAAGGCGGCATAGAGACGCCTTGAGTATGGTCCAAAATACGCTTTTACAAGTTTCTCGAGCACTTGAGCTGCAGACTGAATGTCTTCTCGACGCCTTTCTGCAGGCGAAAGACCCTGTCGGCGCTTTTCCTCCGCATCAATATCTTCGAAGATTCTGTTGACCCACTTCCGTTCTTCGTCAGAGTCGATGGAGGCAACATCGCGGTCAAGCTCTCGAGCAATATTCTCTCGGAGATCTTGCTTGTGTTTCTTTAGCTGAAGGTCCATTCTTTTCTGTTTCTGAATTTTCTTTCGAGCGTCTCGTTCGGATGTGTCCGTGTCGCCAACTCGGGGGGAATTTGTTGTGGGTAGGGGGCCTTGTTCCCAACATATTACTCGACGGCGATGGGAAGAGCTGTCCATTAGAAGGCAGCTCTACCAGGCTGTGTTCATTGGAACTTTGAGTGCTTCCTTCAGGTTCGCATCGGTTTTCCCCCGGCGTTGAGGTTTGCGTTTCTGAGAGTGGTGTCCGACAGTTCGTTGACAATATGGCTTGCCTGGTTTCGGTCGCATTCCTGTTTCTTTCGATAGTTTGTGAAGGCTCGGAGACGCCCGGCGCGCCATCAGGGCGACACTCCATTTTGTTTGGGAGCGGAAAGCTAGCAGATAAGACAAAGTGTTCCAAAGTTGCTGCGAATTGAGGCTACCCATTTAAGGATTCCGAGTCATCTAACACCAGTTCATTTGGCCACCAAAAGAAGGCAAAAAGGGGAAGGTGCTGGACAAGATATGACATGTTTAGGGAGCGCGGGGAGCGGGGCCTCTCACCCTCGATGCTCCCAACCTCAACGTGCTGTCCTCGCCGTTCCTTCTCCACTGCCTCACTTTTCCATTCTTCCTACCTCTCTATATTGGAATCATCCTTGCCCCCTGCAATTTCGTCCGCCCAATCGGACTCGCCGACCGTCCCATCGACGCTCTGTTTCTTTTCGGTCGCAATCTGCGGCTGAGCCATCCAGGCCTCCACTTTCAACTCTTGGAATCCGGATTATTCTACGCTAGTGTTGCCATGGTTTTCTTTTGATGGGGGAAGACGTTCTGAGAAATGCCAAATCAATTTCTTTCTCGACGAGTCCTTTCTCAATGCTGTCCGCTCCTGCTACAAGTGCCCGAATTGCTCTCTGTCGACAGCCTTCCTTCCATCCTCGATTCAATGATTTCCTACCTCGTGATCTAAGACCTGCCAATGTGCTACTTAATCAGAATATGCAAATTATCAGTGTGGTAGATTGGAGTTCACATACGCAGCGCAGAACCTACTGAATTTTCTGATTGATCTGTAACTGTAACCATTACGTCTGTTTAAGCAGGAGGGATTCGGTAATTCCAAGGGCTATCGGACACCAGGGATCTACACTGGCATTCCTGTGAGCGTCTCACGTATACAGAGAGCCTGTCAAACAAAAAGAGCTCCTGGGAGCGCTGGAATCATTCCCAGCAATGCCCCAAATGCTCCTAGAGACTTGAGTCGTAGGCCCTGGGAGAACTTCTGGTGCCCCCTAGGATCGCAGTTTGGCTTCCTGGAGGCTAGAGCATTTACTCCCCAGGCAGATCAAAGGGCCAGATATCTCGCAAGTTCCTTTCGTCTCTGATTGGTTCGTCGTCATCCGGATCTTGGTTTTCCAGTACGGCTTGCAACATCCCCTTGAACATTGCCATATTCTGTGTTTTTGCCGCTTCCCAGTTCTCTGGAGGGACCCATCCATCAGACGCACAGTCAAGGAGGCTCGACAAATCATGTTTCAGGTTCTGTGCCGCCTCAAAAAGTTGGTATTCCTTGCGATGAAGAGCCAACTCTGGTGTTGGTAAGGCAAATGGACACGACTCGACAAACCCAAGCGCTCTCCAGTCTTTGGAGGTTTCAATGAGCTCGTGTCGAAAAGCAACGACGCCATCTTTCCATGTTCTGTAGCAGTACCAAAAAGGTCGAAACATCCTTTCGTCCATTAACCTAGGGAGAGCAAGCTTTGGAACGAGAAATTGAGTACAAGCTTCGTAGGCCTTTTTGCACAGCTCACCGTCATGTACGTTTAGCGCACAAGCGGCGAAGTCAGGAACCTCATCTGCGTACCAGAACGCCGGCTCTATGCTGGATGATTGCCAATCAATAATAGCCGTTATTATCGAAGGATCATCATCCGAAACGAATATGTTCCTTTTATGTAGGTCCGGATGAAATAAGGTCGGCGAAGCCGCGTCTTGAACGCGACTATCAGCGGACATTGCATGTAGTACTGCACGACCTTGTTTGAGAAGGTCTAAATGCGTCTGTACTGAGCCATGATAGGACGGCCGATTTGGAAGTTGAGAACCTCTCGGTGGAATCCTTGAAAGGCCTGCATCAACGAGGCCATCGGAAAATTCACCTATCGTCGGCCCTGTATCCCCAAGTCTTAGCTATGATCTTCTCAATGATAGTCAGAAAGGACTCACAGGGGCCATGGTTGGGAACTGCATGTTGGTAGTACCTGTGGTCGCCACAACTCCAGTATCTTGTTCCACAATGAGGCCCGACGCAGAAGCCCCCATCTAGCGGTAGCCTGGATGCAGGTGCCAATGGTGCGGTTGAAAAATATAAGCTTCCATATGCCCGAAAGTCGATGTCGGCCATCTCCCTGAGCTTTCTGTAGATGGCGTCTATGCATCTAACTTTCTGATCACCCGACATATAGGGCCATTTCTGATGTAACTGAATGCCAGCCGCATGATCCATGATTATGTATTCGCTTCCAATACTGTTTGCCGCATCGTCGCTCCAGTCAAGAATTTTCGGGATCGGAATGCTCGTTTTCCGTTGCACTGTATTGCAGAAAGCATTAGCGAGAGTTAATCTTCACCTCGGATTGTCGTGCCACACACAATATTGAATCGTCGCCACTTCGGAAGCCGTTGCTAATTTTGTGGGCCCAGCTAATGGAAAGGGTAGTCGCGCCACGACACGGGAGTTGTCGTCCATGGTGAAAACGAACACCCTGTTGAAACCGCCCTCCTTTTTCTCACAATCCTTGATAGATTTTGCCCCGTTGGATAAGTCCACTATCTTCTGGCAGAGTTTATCAAAGTTCAGGTCAATCTGGCGTATCTGGCGTTGACGTTTGTCGTTTCGGAGCCATCGACCGCTTGTATATAGGTGAGGATCAAACCCTAGAATTTCATTGTTATCAACGCACAGCACATTATGATTAATCGGTCTTACCATATCTCGTTGTCTGGTCCATTGCATGCCTCGAGAATGACTGCTCGCGATCGAGCTTCGAAAAGGAGGGTCCGGAAGTAACGCCACGAACGAGGAAAGGTCGGATGTAGTGAGACTGCTGAGAGTAATGAGTCAAGGAAAAAGGTACTGCCAACATCTGGAGTACCCTTGCGCGGCTCATTGTGCGAATAGTTTAGAGAGGGGGGATCGGGGGCCTTCCCTTAACGTGATTCCTAAACGAGTGGGCCACCGAAACGAGTGGGCCACGCGTCCACGCGTATCTCCAATTTTGATCTCTGGCAATTTCCAACCATCCAAAATGCCACCAAATCGCGTTCAAATTGGCCAAAAATCTACAGAACAAGAGGGCAGGATCCTATTAGCTATCAAAGCCATCAAAAATCAGGAGATCAACTCTGTTCGTGAAGCTGCGACCGTCTTTTCCGTCCCGCGTACGACTCTACAGAGACGCCTACAAGGCCAACAATTTCGGACTGAAATGCGTGCCAACAACCACAAATTGACTGCCAATGAGGAGGAATCGCTTGTGAAATGGATACTCTCTTTGGACCTACGTGGAAATCCTCCTAGGGTCAATATGGTGAGAGAAATGGCCAATTTACTACTTACAAGCCGTCAAACCAACCCTCCACTTACGGTCGGACGAGATTGGGTCAATAACTTTGTTCGAAGGCACTCAGATGTGCTAAAAAGTCGCTTCACGCGCCGATACGACTATCGAAGGGCTAAATGCGAGGATCCTGAGGTTATTCGCGATTGGTTCGACCGGATTCGACAGGTTATTATCCAATACGGCATCGCACCTAACGATATCTTCAATTTTGATGAGACGGGCTTCGCAATGGGCCTAACTGCGACCGCAAAAGTCATCACTAGGGCTGAATACTACGGTCGGAGGGCATCTTTACAACCTGGAAATCGCGAGTGGGTGACAGTTATTGAAGCTATCAACGCCACTGGTTGGGCGCTCCCGCCATATATCATCTTTAAGGGCAAGGTTTTTATCGAATCCTGGTTTGATGAGCTTCCAGACCAGTGGCAATTAATGATTAGCCCAAATGGTTGGACAACAGACGAGATCGGACTCGAATGGCTTCAAAAAAGCTTTATACCAGCTATTCAAGGTCGGTTAACAGGCAAATACTGTCTCCTAGTCCTTGATGGGCATGGTAGCCACTTAACACCTCAATTTGACCAAATATGCGACCAAAACAACATCATACCAATATGCATGCCAGCACATTCATCGCATTTACTCCAGCCACTAGATGTGGCCTGTTTTGCCACCCTCAAACGTGGCTACGGCGATTTAGTTAAACGGCAAATCCACAACGGGATCAATCATATTGACAAGCTTGATTTCCTATCTACATATCCAATAGCACGGCAAAAGGCACTTATTACTGCATCAATCCAAAGCGGTTTTAATGCTACAGGATTAGTACCATATAATCCTGATCGCGTGCTATCTAAATTGACTATTCGTCTAAACACGCCCACCCCTCCTCCCAGCCGAGGGAGCACTTCTTCAATTGCAAAAACACCTCAAAATACCCGTCAGCTACAGCGACGGGCATTATTGATGAAAGGCCTCCTCAAAGTAGGGTCTCAAAGCCCTCCTTTAGCTGTGCAAACCACGTTAAACCAGCTCGTTAAATGTTCAGAGTTACATATGCACAGAACAGCGCTTTTGACCGAAGAAGTTCGAGGCCTACGTGCAACTGTGGCAAATTTAACCCAAAAGCGCACTCGATCTAAACGTCGGATATCTCATAATAGCAGTATAGCTGCTCATGAGACCTCTACGTTGGTAGAGAGCCCTCAACATGCAATTCCGACCGAAGCAGCGGGCACAGCGGAGGTGACAAATCAGGCCAATACACAACCAAAAAGGGCACAAGCACGGTGCAGTGGGTGTCGAGAGACAGGCCATGATATCAGGACATGTCAAAAGCAGTAATTAATTCAATATCAGTACGTTGTGGTTGATATATATATATGTATAGTAAGTGTACTGTTGATGTGTGGCCCACTCGTTTCGGTGGCCCACTCGTTTAGGAATCACGTTATAACATGATTTTCTTGTATCCTATTCTAACAACCACCTTTTCTAGATTCGAACTTTCGCTGTTTTTATCAATGCCAGTTCATAGCGCGAAGAAGGGTTTCTGAATCTTCAAACAAAAGAGCCTAAGCTAGTTTCTATCTAAGATGTTCGCACACGCTGGAACTCTACCTTCCTGATGCTTGACCGTTCTCGGAAGTTACAGCCTATAATCGATGATTACTGCACGACAAATGCATATATGCAGTTCAAGCTTAATGAGGATGAGTGGCGCCAGGTTGAGTATCTTCTTCTTCTCACAAAGCCATTCTTTGACTTTACCAGTGTTTTATCAAAAAAAAAGAAATGTGACAGTCCATGAAGTTTTCAGTATCTACAATCGACTCTTTAGTCACCTCGACAATGCCGAACACAGACTGAAACAAAAAGCTGTCCCCTGGAGGAAGAGAATGCTTCACGCACTTAGAGAAGCAAAGAAAAAGCTCAGCAAGTACTACACTATGACAGACACTGAGTCATATGGTGCAATCTACGCAATTGCGACTATTCTTCATCCATCAAAGAAGCTCCGATATTTTGATACTGCAGATTGGAAAGGGGACAAAGTTGACTGGATGAAGCACTACCAGGAAATTCTTCAAAAGGAGTTTAAACGGTACCAACAAAAGATCATTTCGGCAACAGAAACCAACAATATCCAAGTGTCTACAGATTCTGCTGCAGATGAAGAGCTTGCAGAACTTGTGATGTTATGCGACTCCCAAACCCCTCTACAAGCTGAGGTTGATCAGCCAGAGGATGAGATCACGCGGTATCTCTCGAAGCGTCAGTGTTTCTTAGTCAGACTATTCTCTTATTTTACCTAGTACTGACTAGAACAATAGCGCTCATAAGAGGAAACCCCCGTGTCTTTTGGAAAGAACATGAGCATGAGTATCCAGTACTTGCAAAAATGGCACGCGACATCCTCTCAATTCCTGCCAGTGGTGCTGGTGTTGAACGGCTCTTTAATTGTGCTCGTGACATCTGCCATTACCGTCGAGGACAACTAAAGCCAGACACAATTAAAGAACTTATGCTTCACCTGTTCTCATCGAAGTTTGAGCTTGAGCAAAGCCAGCTAGAGATGATAAAGGAATATCTCTCTGCTGGAGAAGCTGTGATGCTTGAACAGACAAGGACACCTGTTCTATCACTGGATAACCTTGATCCAATTAGTGATAATGAGGAGGAGGGCTGCGAACAGGAGGATATGTCTGATGAGGATTCAGAGGATAAATCTGAAGATGAATCAGAGGATGAGGTTGCTGTTAAACAAGCAGCTACTCGAGCAAAGCAAGTGTATCGAAAGCGGCAGCGACATCAGAGTAAGGTCTTTGAGGAACAGGACTATACAGATAATAGTCTCCCACTTACAGCAATGCCCCTTGAAGAGAATACGCAGGCACGGTCGGGACGGATTCGGAAGAAACCATGGATGCCAGATGGGTTTGAGATTGACAGGCTGTGATATCACTCTATCTTTCTACAAACAAAATCCCATCACCTCATCACTTCTTTCATCATCCTACACCTGGGACATCACCCTCACTCAGTCTCCACCATCATCTATATATACCTCTACTTCACTAACGTTCTCCTTCTCCTCTCTCTCTCTACTACATTCACTCCTACATTAAATATGTCTGAACCATCATCTCCTGCGGCAGCCACCCAGAGGCTCAACGACCTTACACAGCAGCGTGATGTGTACCGGAGCGCCCTGCACACTATCTCGAGCTCCCTGATGGAGCATTTCAATGGCCATGAGACTGCGAAGAGCACTGCCCAACTCTCAGAATGGGTACGCTCTTCCAAGTTCCACCCTCTCTACCTGATCTCTCTGCTCACTCATGTTCTCTTAACTAGGTTACCCTACGTACCCTTCTCGAAAACCGGATCCGAGACCTAAGCCGCCAGATTCTGGCTCTCACACCAATTGAGGTGGGTGAAATATGAGGCCCGGCCGCCCAACATACTGTTTTTATCCAGCTCTCAAGCGTCAGCAGCCAGTGTAGGAGGGACCTGGGGGAGCAGTGTGACCCTGTGCTATCTGGGATTCTGAAGCATCGATGTAAATATTTCTAAGTCTTACATTGTTTTTTTTTACCACTTCATGAAAGTTTAATATGAACCGCATGACGGCGGCACCAGTGTGAAAGTGCTTCAAAACCTGTATCTTCAAGAAAGTAATTACCTAGTAAATACTCAAAAATACTCGAAAATACAGTCTAAAACTGCACAATTTATGTAGTCACGGAGAGGTCACGGGTTTAACTCCATTTGGCCAAGTTTGCAGTATTTGCAGCCCCGATGGTTAACCGCGGCTCTCGTGCGGTTAGCACTTTGCTAACCACAGCCGCAGTCTAAGCAGAGGTAACGGTGTACCAACAAAGACGAGCAGCGGAAGTGCTGATAGGGTGGAAAGATCTTTTCGAGCGAGTGGAGTGACTTGGACAGTGAGATAATCGGGTCAGGCGATGATTAGGCCGGGGACTCATACCTTGGTGAATTGTGGAGGCAGTCTCGAGACGCAGGCTGTTGGCAGAAATGACGTATTAAGTGGCTGCCTTTTTCAGTCCGTATAAAGGCCGACATCAGCAGTGGCTGGGCAGACCTACTCATCCTGGCATTCCAAAAAAAATCTTATACTTCGGCAAGGCCAAGATCTTCGTGCCCCGATTGTCCAAATCACTAGAATTTATGATCCTCTTCTTCTATGATCTCGAAAAAAGAGTGACCTGGGACTGTTGTGGCTAGGGCAATTGATTCCGGGTTTTGTGATATTCGCGAAGATGACATTCAACAAGCCAGATCTAAAACTGCGAAGAATACTTCGATTTTTCTACCAGATGTCAAAGCATTGTCGAGACATGCTTGACAATTACTCGCACTTAACGAACCAGCCTATCGCAGATATACTACCCGATTTCACGCAGCCATCCAGCCAACAAATTCAAGGTCAAAAATGCCACTTCCCTCTCCAATCCACTAGTACATCCACCACGTGAATACGTCCGGATTGCAACTTTCCGAAACTGAAAGTGTATGTGGATGATAAGTTATCAAAAGAGATCGGGGTGGAAGAACTTGTGTCTTGTGTAATTCACCGCATCACGAAACAGAGGAACCTATCCGCCGGGGTGACCGCGCTAGAACACGAGTGGTGTCTTTTTGAATAGCGATCTTCGGGGGGTAGAAATAATTCTTAATTCATTTCGCTGATAGCAGTCCTTCACCGCTACTTTCCACACTGGGGCAGTGATGTTGTTCCTGAGTACTAGATAAATAACTCTGCGGTGGGCTCCATCCTACCCACCTGAGTGCCAAAGGATTTCGATCCTATTGGATGAACTAACTGGAACACAGGTTAATTTACGCAACACGGACAGCAAAGCGCCCTTTCTGGCCGCCTACTCCTACCGAGACTCCTGGTTGTTGCGGTATTCCGTATACACGTAATTAGTTTTTCCCGGGCGGGTTGTGGATCATTTCAGTTTGTTCTAGGGGATGACCTATTTTCGTAGAAGGTCGAATTTACTAGTAGGGGTGCCTGGATGAGTGATGCGTCATTTGCACGTAAATGGTAGAGACATAAAAGTCACTCGGGAACTGCTGGTGGAGGAATGTCAATCCACGTGTATTCTCTTCAATCAAAGCAACAGAAGAATTTGTAATATTAGTATAGTTCAATCTATTTACTACTGTGCTTCATAAAATGCCACTGTGCTCAACTTTGGACATGTCACTCGAGTCATTTCGGTGGCCATGCTCCTCGTCATCCAGAAGATTCTGGCTTGATCCGTTTCGTGTTTGCGATCTCTGAAGCCCTACCGTGGTTAATTTCTAGTTCCAATATCTAAAAAAGAGGTGCAGGATGTTGTTCGGTGACGAAGGCGCTAGGCTCTAACACCAATTTACGTGGACAAGGGGACGAAAATTCAGCTTGTAGATAATATATTCCAGATATATTCTAATATTATTCGAGATAGAATGATTCGAGTAAAAAATAAACCTGTGAATCTTAAATAGGTCAGCGATATGCCACCACAACACAGCACAAGAAATAAATGCAGAAGAAAGCTCTATCAGATAGCAGTTGGACAATTTTTTATCCTCAAAGAAATTCAGAACAGGTCTGTGTGAAATAGTTGCTTCATCATAAGAGCGCGGGCGCAAAAAATGACTCGAACTTACCCTTTAGATTAGTAGCAGTCGAGGGAGCGAAAGACAGAACTGCACTTGAGGTTCTGTCTCTGGTTACCTCGACTGCGGTTGCATAATATTGCCAGGGCGACCGGACTGACCGCGACATGGACGGTTGGGTTTGAGTCGTTGTGAATGGACCTGGAGTAGTCTTGGACGCGTTAGCGACATGCTATCGCAGAAAACCTTTTGAGGAATGAAGTATCGCAAAGCTCTATCAGAGATAGTGCAAAATTTCTTATCCGCAATGGAGTTCAGAACAGGTCTGTGTGGAAATGTTGCTTCATCATATGAGCGAGGGGATAGCCATTGGCACTTACCAATTGAGGCTGGGCCGGGACATCCTGATTCAAAATGGATATCAGAAATGCCCCGGCAGTGGACAGTCCAGCAGAGAGTGCTGGGCAAAGCTGTCCGGAAGCTGTTTGATGAGGAAGGAAAATTTGCGGCGACCGGCGAGACTAAATAGGTGCGGTGGAGTCGTGGTTTGCATTGTTTGCACCCGCAAATAGAGAAAATGGTTCGAGTCATGTACTTTGCCAATTGCTAGACTGATTTCGTAGCAGCCTCGAAGCAGTGAACGACGCTGAAAATTCAGTGAGTTTTGTTATTGCCACTCATTTTGGGTCATTGGTACTGACGTGCCCAGATATGGCAGAGGTCGTCAGCCCGAAACGTGAGGAACAAGGCGCGTCTACATGCGAATACCACTGCGAGAGAGACGAGAAAGTGCTAACACTCTGTCTGCAGCACCTCAATCGCCCTTCCAGAACGTCCGCACAACCGGTCGCGCCTTAGATTCCCCGAACTGGCGTATGAAAGCCGAGAAAAGCCCCGACGCAGTCCCGACCTCTCCCTCGCCTCAGACCAATACCTCACGCACGGCATTTGCTCGACCAGGACCACATGCGCCGCAGGCCATCTCCGAGGGCCGCCGGTTGTATGTGGGCAATATGCCGTACACAGCTAAGTCGGCGGATGTGGAGGCGCTGTTCAGGGCGGCCGAGTTTCCCATGTACGCTCTCTACACTATTTCCACTTGACCTTGATCTTTGCGAGGCAATGATCTTTGTTTTGGAGATTCCCCGTGATGATATGCCATGAGATCAGGTCCCGACTGAACACTTTGACCCTTGATAGCGAGCGCATCGATATCGCCATTGATCCCTTTACCGGCCGGAATCCGTCCTACTGCTTTGTTGACGTGCAGACGAAAGAGCAGGCTGCGCGTGCGATGTTCGAGCTCGACGGCCGCGACTTAATGGGTCGACCCGTGAAGATTAAGCCGGGTGTGCAGAAGTCGGCGTCCTCGACGGTCTCGGGGTCCCTTGAGCCCCGGTTGGACCAGTGGCGACGTCAGACGCAGCCTAGCTTCGCAAAGACACACAGTGACTCGAGTCGGAGGGTATATGTGGGTGGCTTGCCTCGATTGACGGATCAGGATGCTGTTAAGAGCAATATTCGGACTTTCTTTGAAGGGTTTCAAGTGTATGTCTCCACTTCCAGGTGTCTGTTGCGCCACACTCCGGTTCCTTTGTTCTGAACCATTGTGATGTCTGACTGCTTTGTTCCAGTGAGGAGATTAGCAAGCTGTTTACCCCCCACCCGGCCAAGCGCTTTGAGCCCGGCGAGCACTATTATCTGTTTGTGGATCTGGTGAGTGTGGAGGCGGCCGAGCGGGCGATGGACAGTCTGCATGAGAAGATGGGGCCGTGGGGAGGAGCTCTACGGGTGCGGCGGTGCAATCGTCGGGAGGAGAAGTAGAATAACCAGGCAGACTGAGACACGATCTTTGTATCTTATCAAGTTGTAAAGAATGAAATCAAGATGCGTTGAGGATGGGGTTGTCTGGCGGGATGACGTGAAGTGGAGCCGTGCACACCGCATTGCCACGGCCAACTTGCGCTCCTGCGAATCATCCTACCTGTCTGTCCTGCTTGACTATTCCTGCGAGGTACGACTACAGGAGCAGCACATTCCCTCAGGCTCCTACTGTACGGTCTTGCAGCCCCCACGTGCCTGCCTTGTGAGGGTCTTCTATGCTGGCGTGATCTGCCTCTTTCTCTCGGGATTGTCGTTCCTACTTCTCCCGCGATTCTCTCCACGTCGCCAGCATGTCGAGCAGTGTCATTCGGAGCCAGGAGCAGCACAAGGTCTTTGTCGCGAGTGTGAGTTTCTCCTTCATTCTGTCTGGTCTTCTCGGCATGGCACAATTCATGGGCGATCGATCGCGGGGATCCCTACCCCTCCTTGGAGCCTCGGTCCCGCGCTCCCTGCGGGGTGACGAGGTGGGACTGCCTTGGGGCGGCGAGCAGCGAACAACGACCGGGCGAAGGATAGATGGGCGACAGGGCACTTCTCGTATCTGCATTGACGCAACGAGTCGTCCTATTCCCGTCGACTTCGTGGCGCCGAGGGCGTGTGACCGCGCTCCTAGTTGAGCCGAGCCGATCGCGTCTCTTCATGTTTTGCTCCATGCCGGAACGATCTGAACCCCATTGTCTCCCAAGATGCTATCTCCATCGCTGCATCAAAATGCATATTTTTAACCTCGATGCTGTACAGTCCGATGATTCCAAAATCTGCGTTGTGATGGTGGGCCTGCCGGCCCGCGGCAAGAGTCTCATTGCCGGGAAGGGTAAGTCAAGCTCACTTCTGATTGAGGTGTGATGTGATAAGGTACTGACGATGTCTCGCCAGCAATGCGGTACCTCGCCTGGGTCGGCATCCCCGCCAAAGTCTTCAATGTAGGCACCTACCGTCGCAGCAACACCCCCCAGCCCCAGGCGACCTTCTTCGACCCGCATAATGAGGAGGGCGAGCGGATGCGCCGAGCAGCGGCGGAGTCGGCTGTGAGTGATATGATCAATTGGTTCCATGATCCGACGAAAAAGGGCGTCGTGGCTATCCTCGATGCGACCAATTCTACCAGGGAGCGCCGGAAGTGGATCTACGAGAAGTGCCGGGACGCCGATATCGAGACCCTCTTTGTCGAGTCGATCTGTGACGATGAGGATCTCATCATGACCAACATTCTCGAGGTCAAGACTACCTCCCCAGACTACAAGGGTCAGGACCCGGAGCTCGCTGCTCTCGACTTCCGCAAGCGTATCCGCAACTACGAGAAGGCGTACGAGACCATCGACGACAATGAAAAGAACTATCCCTACGTCAAGCTCATCAACGTGGGCTCGACGGTCATTATCAACCAGATCAAGGATTATCTGTCCAGTCGCTTGGTGTACTACATCCAGAACCTGCACATCAAGCCCCGCTCCATCTGGCTGTCACGAGTAAGTCGCAGATAATAATTGAATATGCGCAAACCATACTGACCACCCCAGCACGGTGAATCCGAGTACAACCTAACCGGAAAGATCGGCGGAGACTCCAACATCTCCGAGCGCGGCGAGGCCTACGCCCGCGCCCTCCCCGATCTAATGCGCAAATCCGGAATTCCCCCAAACACAAAGATCGTCATCTGGACCTCGACCCTGAAACGCACTATCCAGACAGCCCGCCACCTGAAATCTGAAACAGGCTTTGAAAAGCTAGAATGGAAAGCCCTCGATGAACTCGACTCTGGCGTCTGCGACGGCCTCACCTACGAACAAATCGCAGAGAAATACCCTGACGACTTCAAAGCCCGCGACGACGACAAATACAACTACCGCTACCGCGGTGGCGAGTCCTACCGCGACGTCGTCATCCGTCTGGAACCGATCATCATGGAGCTGGAGCGCAGCGAGAACGTGATCATCGTCACCCACCAAGCTGTCCTACGCTGTATCTATGCATATTTCATGAACGTGCCGCAGGAACAGAGTCCCTGGATGGAAGTGCCTCTTCACACGCTAATCAAGCTTACCCCCGCGCGTATGGAACGGAGGAGAAGCGCTTCAAGGCGGATATTCCGGCTGTTTCGACGTGGAGGGGGAAGGGTACTTCGGCTAAGCATCAGGAGTTCCCGGCTGATGGGAAGGAGAAGGAGGCGCATTGATGCATCATTTGGCGTTAGGGTTGTTTGAGATTATACCAAAATTCAGGTCTTGTATATTCGGTAGAGGTAGATAACTCGAGTGTCAGTAGGAATGTTTACTACTTCCGCTGGGTGCGAATTTTGTGTATTGTCAGTAATATAGAAATTCTTGTGGAGACTTCAATTTGTGTAGGGGTGTGGGCAGCATTCAACGCTGTCTAAGTGGTGCAGCTTTGACTGCGTCTGACGATTCTAGGCCTACCATTGTGCAGGAGGCCATATAGATCAACAGTGGTTTATGATAAAGCTGGTTCATTTGCATAAAAAATATACCCTAACATAGGATCTGAAAAGACAGAGTCTATATGAAATACCGAGTGCTGAAGCAAGTCGCCTTTATCGGGCTATTTCATTCTCGGGCCCAGGGTCCCACGGCCGAGGAAACGAAGGAAGCCGTGGTGAGATCGGAGGAGAGAACCCTTGAATCATACAAATACTCAAACCTCTCAGCCACATCTCATCTCGAATTTTGGAAGAAAATCAAAGCAAGCACAGCTACCATAAACATCGCCTGAAAAAAGATAAACCGAGGCCGCCCTCCTGCACTTCTACTACAGTAGTACTCCGTACCAGTGATTGGCCAGTCGGGTGTCCACTCGACACTCGAGCATACTAAGCTGCATGACTCAGCAAACGTCACCAGAGCTCCAGCTCACGCGGAGACGAACAACAGCATCGCCGCAGAGCAGCGGATTGCACCAGGCGCGCGATGTTGTCCGCCTTCACCGCGCGACCACTAGTCGAGCTCAAAGCGCGCGACAAATCGCGCATCGACTCCGTCCTCGCCTACGGCGACCGACTCCTCGCTGGCCTGAACAACGGCACCCTCCGCATCTACCGCATCACCGACGACAGCAAGACCGAGCTCCTCCGCGAGCTGGACAAATTCGCCCGGTACAAGATCGAGCAGCTGGCCCTCGTGAAGGAGGCCAAGGTGCTTGTTTCGTTGTCTGGTGGATATGTCTGCCTTCATGATTCGCAATCGTATGAGCTGCTTCAGCAGCTGAGCCAGACGAAGGGGGCGTCGGTTTTTGCCATTACGTCGAATGTTGTTAATGACCCCGACACCAATGTTCCGGCTATTGTGTCGAGATTGGCTGTTGCCGTTAAGAGGAAGGTGCTTATGTGGGTTTGGAGGGATATGGAGCTTGAGGAGGAAGTTACGGAGTTGAGTCTTGTGAGTGCTGTTAAGACGATTGCTTGGGTGAATGCGACGAGAATGGTTGTTGGGTTGAGCTCGGCGTTTGTTATGATTGATGTTGAGTCGGGCGGGATCTCTGAGTTGCCGGGCCCCGGGAGTATGGAGGAGACGGGCAGGTTTACTGGTGTTGGTGCGGCAAGTATGAGTTATATTGGGATGGGTGGGATGGTGCCGAAGCCTCTGGCAACAAGGTTGGCTGAAGGGGAGATTCTGCTTGCGAAGGATATCAATACGCATTTTATTGATGTTGAGGGACAGCCGCTGGGCCGCAGACAGATTCCTTGGAGCCATGCGCCGGTGGAAATTGGGTATTCGTACCCGTTCTTGTTGGCGTTGCATGATACCTCGAAGGGGGTGCTGGAAGTGCGCAATCCTGAGACGCTCTCGCTGCTTCAGTCTATTCCGTTACCGGCTGCGAGTATTCTGCACATCCCCCAGCCGAATATCAGTCTTGCCCATGCGGGCAAGGGGTTCCTTGTTGCGAGTGATCGGACGATCTGGCGGATGGAGGCGCTCAGTTATGATACGCAGATTGACTCGCTGGTGGAAAAGGGGTATCTGGACGAGGCGATTAGTTTGCTTGGTATGCTGGAGGATGCGCTGCTGAAAGACAAGCCGAACAGGCTTCGTTCTGCACAACTCGAAAAAGCGCAGAGCTTGTTCGCCTTGCATAAATATCGCAATTCGCTCGATCTGTTCACGGAGGTTGCTGCGCCGCCTGAGACTGTCATTCGTCTCTATCCTCGACTAATCGCTGGTGACCTTTCTGCTGTCCCAGTTCCCGACCCGCAAGCTGAGCACCCCGATCAGAATGGGAATGGGTCCGACACGAAAGCCAATGGATCAGATGGCTCGTTTGAGCGCCCAGCTGGGCAGTCATTATACGCCCCCTCGGTGCGATCTCTTCTTCGCAGGACCGAGGACGGCAGTGATACAAGCAGTATCCGCGGCGATGACAAGGACAACGATAAAGAGCTCAAAATGGCCGTCCGCGAGCTGCAGGGATATCTGGCCGATGTTCGCCGACGATTCCAGCGGTACCTGGGACCGGACGGCACTCTCAAGCTTCCTGCTCCTACGGAGGCGACGGATGAAGCTAGTGACTCCGTGCTGAAGCTTCTGGACTTCCCGTCCCCGGCGGAATTCCTCGATGCAATCCGTGAGAAAGCACGACTGGTCGACACGACTCTATTCCGGGCACACATGTTCGCCACGCCTTCGCTGGCAGGATCCCTCTTTCGAATCGCCAATTTCTGTGACCCGGAAGTGGTCATGGAACGACTGGAGGAAACAGGTCGATACAATGATCTCATCGACTTCCTCTATGGCAAGAAGCTACATCGACAGGCGCTGGAGCTACTGCACCGGTTCGGCCAGGAGGAGTCTGGACTACTGAGCGGTCCTGCGCGTACGGTGGGGTACCTGCAAAATCTACCCCCGGATGAAATCGATCTGGTACTCGAATTCGCAGACTGGCCTTTTCGCACCCAGCCCGAGATGGGCATGGAGATATTCCTAGCGGAGACGGAGAATGCAGAGACTCTGCCGCGACCACGGGTACTTTCGTTCTTGGAGGGTGTCGATTCGAATCTGGCCATTCGATATCTGGAGCATGTCATTCAGGAGTGGAACGATCTGACGCCCGATCTGCATCAGCGTCTTGTCATGCTGTACCTTAGCCATATCATCGCCGACAAGAATAGCCCGTACAAGGAGAAGTTCCTGGCTATTCTGAAAGACAGCGAGCAGTACTCGCCCGCAAAGACGTTGGACCGACTGGACCGCGATGATCCTGATTTCTACGAGGCGAGGGCCATTCTCTTCGGCAAGATGGGACAGCACCGTCAAGTATTGGAGATCTACGTCTTCAAGCTGAAAGACCATGAGAAGGCGGAAGAGTGAGTTGACCTTCCGGTCCATCGTATCTGTTCCATTGTGAAATGCTGACTCGACTAGGTACTCCAACTACATCCACCTCTCCGAAGGCCAAGACGAAGAAGACTCCATCTACCTCACCCTGCTCTCCCTCTACCTGACCCCTCCGCACGGCTACGAGCCCCAACATGGTCCTGCTCTCGCTGTCCTCGCCAAACACGGGTCGCGACTCCCCGCCGACTCCGCCCTGTCACTGATTCCCACCGCCCTGCCGGTACAGGAACTGGAGTTCTATTTCAAGGGCCGCATGCGCGCCGCCAACTCGGTGTTCAACGAGGCCCGCATCGTGGCTAACCTCCGCAAGTCCCGCGACATGCAGACGCAGGCCCAGCTTGCACTCGGCGACGGCGTCCGTGGTGGCGGGACGCGTGCGCGCCATGTCACTGTCACCGAGGAGCGGATTTGTGGTGTTTGTCACAAGCGGTTGGGTGGTAGTGTGATCAATGTATTCCCCGAGTGCGTACCCCTCTCCCACTATCTCTCCAAGTACAGCTCTAACAACCTCCAGCAACACCGTCGTCCATCTCGGCTGCGCCAATCGTGTCGCCAGCGCTCGGGCGTAGATTCAGCATTCCTGGGGTTGTTGGTTTTTGATTTTTGATACCCAGTCGCATTTGTAGATTCATTATGAAATTCATCATGCATCTTCCTCCACCACTTCTTCACCGTAGTTCTCTTCTTCCGCGGCTTCCTTTTCGGAAATGGCACCTTGTGCCTTCTTGTCTTCTTCCATGCGCGCGGTCAGGTAGACGTTGATCTGCTCCTGCAGTTTTGGGACGAGCGTTTGCAGGGCTGCCAGATGGGCTTGCTTTGCGGCGAGGCTGGTGTTGGTTGCGACGGGCAGCTCGTGCTGGAAGGAGGTGCCCGCGTCGGGGGCGGCGTAGACGGCCTGGAGGGGGTGGGCATGTTGACAGTCTGGTGTAGCTGGTGACTGCGCGGATCTGAGAGAGTGGAATGTGGAAGGAAGATTCGGTGGGGAAGCGAAGATGCGATCGGCCGTGACTAAACCCGAAGGGGGCAGCTTGTTTGGCCTCTCGATCTCATCCTCTCTACTCAACTCTACTTCTTCAGATACTATACTGCTATATTGTTGTATACCCCAAGTACATTCTGCTTAAGAGTATCGAACGACATGGACTCGCCATGAACAACGTCCGCCAGTCCTCCTCGCCCGGGCGTGCTCCGCCCTCGCGCCCTCCTCAAGCCCGGCCGCCCTCCGACGACGAAGACGACGATTCTGACGAGGAATTGCACCGCCCCGACTCGTCCGGTAGCGATGCCTCGTCAAACGTGACGACTGTGTCGGCGGCACCCATTACGCCCATCGACCGCCAGCCGCCCGCCGGCTACTTCTCCCCCCATCCGCGCTCCGCCTCGACCACGACTTCGCCTCAACATCCTCGCCCAATGCCCGACGCGGGCGCTCGCCGGCCATCTGGCCGAGGCCCATCTTCTGAAATGCAGCGACATCGCTCGAGACATCACTCCCAGGGCTTCTTTGAGCCCTCCTTGCCCACTGCCTCGTCCGAGCAGATGCCCCCGGTATCTGCGTCCAGGATCGCCGCCCAGGCAGCCATGCAACAGCAGAGCAGACGTCCCACGCCTCTCAGCACGCCGGATGATGGGACCGCCTCGCGACGCAGTGGAAGTGCCTCGCCGCCGCTTGTGCCTGCGCCGTTGAGAATCAATCAGCCGCCCTCGTTGCCCCCGCCGAATGCCGGCAATGTCGCGACCACCGCTGCCAACGTGGTGTTTCCACGCGCTGGCTCACAGCCCTCAGAACCGCAGCCCGAGAAGCAAAAGAAGAAGAATAAACTGTTCTCTAAGCCGAAACATATTGGAATCAGTCGGGATAAGGATGTGTTCAAGGATCGGGGTCTGCCCTCGCCGTCTAAGCTCCCGGGCTTATCGCGGATGGTCAGCGCCTCGACGACCAACCTCGCCGATTTGCCGTCTAACAACTCGTCCATGTATAACCTCTCCAATGCGTCGGTCAGTACGGTCGTCCCGGCCGATCGTCCGGCTGCCGCGCCGGATAAAGAAAAGGAAAAGGACAAGGACAAACATAAGCATCATTTCTTGTCCCGTCAGAAGCTCAAGTTGAAGGACCGCGGGGATGATCACTATAACCTGCCTCTGTCATCGGCGTCGAGTAACTCTCAACCGACGGACCCCAATGCTCCGCAATCGCTCTATTCATTTACCAATACAGCCTCGCCGACCCCTAGTGCTACGTTCGGGAAATCGGTCAGCGGGCTGGATCTACTTCACGCCGGACGGAAGAAGAAAGAGAAGGAGAAAGAGAAAGAGGCCATTCTCGAGTCCGAGCAGGCAGAATGGCTGGCCAATTCGACCGGGAGTACCACGCCTGGCGCTGCTCCTTCCTCACTGAATAGCACCTCGGGCATGCTGGGCGAGGCAGTTCTCCGCCAGACCCTGCAGGGCTTCGGATTGAACAACATGTCCCCCGAAGACGCCTGGGAATTCCTCAAAGCAAAGCTGCTCGTTATTTTCGACGGCGAAGACGTCCGCATCGCCATCGAGGACCTGAACAAACTCGTCCTCGTCCACCTCCAGCACTGCGTCCACAAACGAGCCCCCACAACAATCATCACAGACCTCCAAGCAATGCTCGAGACTGGCTTCAACACCCTCAACTACAGCTCCCTCTTTGGCGTCCCAGACGAAAAACTCGTCCCCCACCTCGTCCAGATCTGGATGCTCGTTTTCGGCACCATACTCCCTTTCATCCAAGCCGTTTTCCTCCCCCTTGACCTCGAATTCAAAGGGTCCGGCTCCCTCATGACCGGCCGCGAAGCCCGCGAATTCTGGGGCGACCTTCCAGACGGAAGTAGCCTCGACGTCCGCAATCTCGTTCTCATGGCCTTTCGCGACCGCATCATCCTCAACCGCTACGAATCCCTCAAAGCAATCTTCTCCCGCCTTAGCCTGGATAGCATCAACGCCGGCTTCCCCACGCTCAGCGTCACGGCGAAAAGTACCGGCACAGGCGGCCGTCCGGGTACAGCCGCCTCCCTTGACGCAGGTTTCGGAAGCTGCAATTCCCAATCCTCAACCCTCCTCAGCACAGTTGCGGACAGCTATTCCTCTGATTCGGTCAGCGCTCTTGCTTCTACAAATGCAAACCCCAACCTCCCCGTCCTTCAAGTAGCGACTCCCGCTCCCGCGCAGCCTCAAATACATCCTCCAACCCCGACCCCATGATCTTCTCCGCCATCTCACCCCCAACTAGACCCACAATCGTCCACCACGCCAATTCGGCAGATACATCGCACGTCATCACCGAGACAGTCGGCCGCATGCTACAGTGCGTCAGTGTCCTCGCCAGCGTGCAAACGGACGACGCTTCGCAAGGACGCATCGAGATCCTCAGTAAAGCGCTCAAGCATAACTGGCTCGGTCGTGGACGGACAGGCCGTGATCGTCGTGGTTTTGTCGGGGCTAAGATTCGACCGGTTATGGTGGGCGGTACGCCATCGCTTGATGATACCGAGTCCCTTACTACTGCTGGTATTAGTATTGGGGCTAGTACGAGTACGAGTGGTTCCCGTGCTAGGGGTGATTCTTCTTCGTCGGAGTGGAGTGGGCAGGGGACTGGGACGGGTACGGGCATGAGTATGCGGAGTGCTGGGAGGAGGGAGTTGAGTGTGCTTTAGTTGGGGCTGCTTTTTCTGGTTACATTTTCCCTCGCTTTGCTAGGGTAGCTTTACGATTTATGATGGGTGGCGTTAGTATACCTAAGTTGATTCAATGGATGGATTTCGGTTTACTCTGCCGTAGCTGGCACTTGCCTCAGACCCGTATCCTCGGTTTCCTCTTCGTAAGGCGTAATTATTGCACGTCTTCCTGTTCTTACTGTCTAGTCTGGTGCTTTGCTATACCCGCATGTTCTCTTGTATATCTGTGGTACTCATCTACCACGTATACCACGTGACCTGACACTAACCTTGGACTACGTTACCTGCATAAGTACGGGGCAGTAAACAATGTCTTATCTACAGGTCACTACGCAACAAAACAAGAAGAAGGCCCCGCGACGAGCCAGGTTTGAGGGAGGGAAGCTGGGTGCGGATGGTTGTATCTACGCAGGGTCAAATAAAATGGTGATGAATTTTGACGTGGACGACTTCAGTGTAGACGGGTGACTGTATAAGTTTGTACATCAGCTGAATTGCTGCCACGAAGGATGTGGCTAGAGCTCAGTTGACTCGTTGGTGGGGAAGGGAATGAATGTAAATTCTTTCATTATACTACTAATAGCCCTGATGTTTTTAGTGATGTCAGAGACTAAATCAAATGTCTTTCGACCGAGGATTGAAAACATGAGTGCTCGGCTCAATTACCTCACTTATGTCGTTCTTCAACCAGTATTTAGGTGACCAAATGTTCACACTGATCTGAGGAAGAGTTGGGGGTAGCGGGGACAATCTCACACTCACTCGTCGGCCAACAGGGAGGGATGTCGAAATCCGCAAAATCACATGTGTAGTGAGAGTCAGCTGCTGGACTTCAGTGTCTGCGTCAAGAATGGGCTTCAATTTGAAGTAAGTCCAAATCGGAAGGGGGTGGGGGAAGTTGCTTTGGCGTCTCCTTAGTCGAATCTGCCTGATGGCCTAGCTGGAGAGAATCAGGACCCGTCTTTCACTCCTCACCTCCAATCTCTCACTTTCAGCAATAGTAAACCCGCCCCGGGAGAAGTGCCCGGAAAAGGCCGCAGGAAGGATCTCGGCGTCCCTCTTTTCGACTCACTTTCTCCGTCCACTGGAAAATTTCCCTTCCACACCCCTTCAACGCCCGGCCGCGATAGCCCATTGTTTTCTTGGATCTGCGATTTCTCACAATGGACTCCTCTCCTGCACGCGAGAAGGACAGGGAGAAAATATCCGCCTCATCGCCAAAGTCTCCTAAGCAGAAGCGCTCCGGCGCGCGTGAAAGCACCGCCAACCCACCTCCGCCTCTTGACTGGCCAGAAATAGACTGGCCGGAAATATTCTGGCTGGGTAAGGAAGCCCAATCCAAAAGCGCCACCGAGAGAGCGCACATTGCCAGACAATTTCATAGTGAACCCATTCACTGGACGTTTAACCTGGACAAGCCTCAACAAGAGCATAGTCAGGACGCCCAAACCACGGACCCCTCTCCTTCAGACAAAAATGACAAGGAGAAGAATTCCCTCTACCTGGCTAAGACTCCTAAGAGAAAGCGATCCGGCGCGCGTGAGAGCACTGCCGACCTTAATCCGCCTATTCTTTGGAAGTCCTACGAGCAAATGCTCGAAGAAGGGCAGAATCACGACGCTCAACTCCACACTCACGACGCCCAGGCCAATACTCGCGACGCCCAACCCGACACTGACGATCTCAGCCTCTCCTCTGGCGAGGATCTCGACAAGGTCGATATCTTCGTGACTCAATACCCGCCTGTGCTTCCTATCGCTGGTGCTCCGGTAAGTACGACTCGTTTAGATGTCGACACTTACCTCCTGATCCTGTTGGTCACCACTCACGAGTACCTTCAGAACGGCCCTCCCTTCCCCCTGACCCAGATCCAGCAGAACCTGATCTTCCTCAGACTCCCCTTCCGCAGTCTGCCATTTCCCAGGGACGAACCACTCCGTCGACAACACCGCAGCGTTCGCCGACCCGCAGCTTGACCATGAACCTCAGACCCCGAAGTTCCAGTCCGGCCCCGACAAACGCGCGTACGCGATCTATGCGACTGCCAGACAGCTGGGCTGAAGCTTCTGACGAGGACAGGCTGCTCTTCAATCTCCGAGACTCGGGTATGACGTTTTCTCAGCTCGCACCCATCTGGCGCGCGCACACCGGTTTGCGCCATAGCGATGGGAGTATTGCGACCCGTCACTACAAGATTCAGCGGAAGCTTGGTGATCCTCCCAAGCAGAATTAGGTTGGTTTGTTTCCTGGTTCGTTGTAAATGATGAACTCTTACGCAACGATGGTGGATGTGTGGAGACAAAACCGACAAACGGGGGTGAGGATTATTTCAGATTTTATGAGAGATTATGGCAGGGTTCGTTGATCTATCATGCTGCTGACCCTAGGTTTGCGCGGTTTGATTTAGCTCCGGGCAGTTTGATGCCGTTCAGGATTTAAGCTTCAACTACACCGACCCACAACTTACCTTAGCTTTGATTGATAATCACAGCTCTAATCTTCGACGTTTTCGACAATACCAAGCACTTCGCAACGTCCACTTAATGCGCTCCAAAACATACCATTTTCTCCCAGCTCAGTGAAAGTAGCGCAAACTATAGGCAAGTATATGGATGAGCCTTCGTCGGTCTTTTCCATAGATCACCCCTGCGATCAAGCAGCCATCGCTGAAATAGACTAAAATCACTAGACTCCAGGCTGAGGCGTCTGACTGTATAAGTCGTAAGTATGCTTCTACTCTTGATGAGCTGGTAGATGACCTGGTAGGTGGTCGGATATGTGAGCAAAGCGCAACATGTCCTTCGACCTATGTATCGACGTACTCTAATCAGGATGTTTAACTACCACCCTGCCAGTGTACTGTCTACAGAAAAATTCAAGATCCGCTTGCAAATACCAATTGCAAGGGCTGGATCTTACTTTTTGAGTTATCGCCGAGCAAAAGCTGGCCTCACAGTAAATGAGTTCTGCATATGAGAATTCATTATAAGTGGAAAAAAAGTAGTATTTAAAGTCCCCATAAAAGAATTGAGCTTTTTTTCAATATCACATTTAATTATAAATGATCTAGAATCGTTATACGAGCAAGGATGCTATCAACCTAGGCCTCATTCTGAGATGGTCGCGGGTTTGACCTGCCAGTATGTGATATAGGAATGAGAATGGCAATTATCGATTTCCCATAATGGCGCCGAGCATGGCACCTGGACTTCTTATGTTCCCAGGTTTGGGCTATTACCTGATGATTTAATGATGCTACTAAATTTCTTTTATGGCACGCAGGGCTGCGACCCTTGAGAATGATCTCGGGAAATTCGTCCGCTTTCACTTCCACCGAGTAAGGCCGCTACAAGAGCACTGAAGGGGAAAGAAAGACCAGGTTTATTCTCTCATAAAGTAAGGTATCCATAAAATAGAGGTAGGCGATAAAATGCTGCTCATAAAGTAACGAGTGAAAGGAAAATTTGAATGAACTGTACGTACAGAAGGCTGCCGCCACTCCACGACGTCCTTTCTCTCGGGCACCCTGGACATCCTACTACTCCAGGTGCGCCAATTCTTCCCTCTTAACTACTTCCACGTTCCTGGGCACCCCTCGTTCTTCTCTTTTCTATTTCGCTCGTTTTCCTGGAACTTTCCTCCCCGGCGCTCTATTCTTTCAGCGAGCAGCCCTCACCACACGCCTGTCTTCTTTGCTTCGCTGCATCCATTCCTCCACACAAGGATTGAAATTAACGTCAGAATGAATCGAAATAATACGATCTTGGACTTCGGTCCCCAGGGGGGTGCCAGTCAACCCGGCCATGCCGAAGGCCAGAACCGGGCTACGTCCTTCCCAGACACCGAGTTACACTATGACTACCCTCCTGTGAAGCCCATCGCAGGACCGATAGTAAGTTTGACAACCCCCCCCCCCCCCCCCCAACAATATTTTCGCCCTTCATTGCCGTTGCCAACATATTGTGGCCAATATTTAGCTTCCACCTGTCTCCCCCGAGGATCCTCGAGGCCCTCGCCCAAACGCTCAGGCTGGACATCCTCGATTCGAGACCTCGGCTTCCTCGACCCAACCCTCCCAACCTCAAGGATTAACTATGAGCCAGCACACACGCCCCAAGTACTCCGAGTACCTAGTTTATCCCGACTGGACCGAATATCCCGAGCAGCCTCGATACCTCGAACAGCCTCTGCGGCCTCTGCAGCCAGTGGGCCAGCCTGCTGTAGCCTCCAACAACCGAAACTCCCGGCCGAGACCTCACCCTCGAAACTGGGATGAGGCAGAATGGGAAGACCATCTGCTCTTCCAACTGAGAGACCAAGGGCTGTCGTGGACGCAGGTTGGAAACATCTGGCGCGAACGGACCGGATATGCCCACTCGGATGCCACCATGAGGTCTCGCGTGGCCAGGATTCGAGCGAGAATCGGACCTCCTCCTTCTCCGCCTCGGGCAATTCAAGGGTTAGTATTCCTCACACTTACGAAAGGATATAAGAATGGAACAGAATCTCACCTCACTGCAGAAACGCAGGAACCCTTCCTTTGGGCAATTGATCACTCACTGCTCCTGCTGCACGAGTCCTTGGCAAAAGGCTTCTTTCCAGCATTGTCGGAAGGTATTGGAAGCTAGGTGTCTAAGATCTCAGTCAATGCATTGGGCGCTCGCTCCGCCACTATTTGGAATGTCTAGAGGCCTGGTAGTAAGTATCTGCTTATGTTCAGTTTGATTTCACTTGTCATATCCCGGTCTAAGGCTTCACTGATTACTATTTAAATCTTCTTTGGTATTATAGGATCCCTCTACGACTAATTTCTCTTAGGTGCAGCCCCCCTATATGGCTTGACCGAGTAGACCGAACCTTTGACATGGGCGTCCATTTCCCAATAACCTGTGGATGTGAAAGACTCTCAACACAGTCTTCTATCATTTTATTCTACACCGGAGACCTCGACCATAATCACAAATCATCTGCCTTATGCCATATGACCCAGCAGTCATATAGTGATAGCAGAGCTCCTCATTTGCTCAACAACCATCATCAGCTCCATCCACCCTGGTCTCCATCCGCTGCCAATACCCATCTCACACCTTTGAACAGCTCTCAAATGGAAATCATTGGTTTCCGAGTACGAGATATTGTAAAACCTATGCTCGACTCTCATATCAAATATTGCATTCGATCATCAGCTTTGCATACGATAAAGCTCTCAGGAAATTTGTCGGTTTTTCGCAATTCCTAACTAGTATATCTCCGGGTCGTGTACTCAATACCCATCCATGCATCGTTGTCGAGGATAACAGTAAGTCTAGTAATCCAAATGGACTGAGTATTGCCTGTCTTGAAAGACCGTTCAGGAAAGAGAATGTCCTACAGTGACAGGTTATGTTCTCGATGATCGCATTTTTACGGAAAGTTACAATGAGAGGGAATATAGTAGTATGACAATAATCACATATCATTAAACGCATTAATTCATATTCATATCGAATCATAATTCACGACATGATATAATCATCACCAAAAAGGAAAATCATCTAACCGACTACAACGAGTTCAACAGTCCCTCAAGCAGAGGAAGGAACTCCGAAACATCGCTGATGATATCGGTAGTATTCTGCACAAACTGCTTGCTCAGTAGAGTGGCACCGTTGCTCAGGAGAGACTCAATAGACTTGATGCTCTCGGGCTTGAGCAGGGACTGGATCTCCGGCATCGAGTCCTCGAGGTTACCCAGCAGACCCTTCAGAGACTTGACCATCTCGGGGGTGAGGAGTTCACCGGCCTCGCTGATGAGGTCACCCGTCTCCTCGACGAATGAGGGAGTCAGCAGAGTGGTGCCGTTGCCCAGGAGGTAGGTCAGGTTGTTCAGGGTCGTGTCGTTCAGGAAGTCCTTCTTGATGGTGGGGACGACGGGAACGAGGCCGTTGAGCAGCTCATGGAGACCACCCAGGACGTACGGCGAGAGCAGGTCGTCGGCACCGTCGATCAGGTGGCGGGTCTCATTGACGAAGGTGGCATCCAACAAATCGTTGGCGTTGGTCAGCAGGCTGGAGATGGAAGAAATCACAGAGGGCTTGAGCAGCTTCTTGATCTCGGGCAGGAGAGGAGTAACCTCGCCCAAGATTTCCTTGAGGCTGCTGACCAGATCCGGAGTAAGAAGCTCGTCGGCGTTGCCAACAAGCGACTTGGTCTCGTTGACGAAGCTGGCAGTAAGCAAATCGTTGCCGTTGGAGAGCAGAGTGTTGAGCTCGTCGAAGGTCGACTTGGTCAGGAAGCCCTTGAGCGTCGGGACCAGCGGGACGATGGCGTCCAGCAGAGTGGTCAGAGCGTCGGTGGTCTTCTTGGTGAGGAGACCTGAGGCACCGGCGATCAGGCTCTTGGTCTCGTCGACGAAGCTGTCGGTCAGCAGGTCGTTGCCATGGGTCAGCAAGGACTGCAGCTCGTTCAGGGTCTTCTCGGTGAGCAGCTTCTTCAGCTCGGGCAGCAGGGGCGTAACCTGGTTGAGGAGGTCCTTGAGAGCCTTGCTGGTGGCCGGGGTGAGAAGGTCAGAGGCAGCATCGATGAGCGAGTTGGTCTTGCTGATGAACGAATCGGTGAGCAGCTTGTTGCCGTGAGACAGAAGGTTCTGGATCTCGGTGAGGGTCGACTTGGTGAGTAGCTGCTTGAGCTGGGGCAGGAGATCGGTGACCGAGGACAGCAGGGTCTCGAGCGAGTTGACGTTGTCCTTGGTGAGCAGACCGGAAGCGCCGTCGATGAGGTTGGAAGTCTCGGTGACGAACTTGTCTGTCAGCAGCTTGCCGCCGTTGGTCAATAGGACGTTGAGTTTGTTGAAGGTGGCCGGGGTCAGGAAGCTCTTGAGCTGGGGCAGGATGTCGTTGACGCCATTAAGCAGGGTCACCAGAGTGTTGACGGTGTTGTCGGTCAGCAGCTTGCCGGCCTTGCTGAGCAGGGACTCGATGCTGTTGACGTTCTGCTTGGTGAGCAAGCTGTCGGCATTGACCACGAGCTCGTTGACCTTGTCGATGTTGTTGAGCAGCTTCTGCAGGTTGTTCAGGTTGTTCTCTGATAGCAGGTTGTCGGCCTTGCTCAGGATGTTGGACAGAGACTGGGTGTTCTTGTCGTTAAGCAGCTTGCCGGCGTTGTTGATCAGCGTACCCAGGGCCTTAGTGTTGGAGTCAGAGAGCAGCACCCGGATGTTGGTATCAACAGGGGGAGCCAAAGAAGTCGAGAGATACTTGAAGGTGTTCTCGATCTCAGACAGCAGGTTAGGGTTGAGCAGACCCGTGATGCCCTTCAGCAGGCCCTCGAGGTCATCACCCAGGGAGGTCAGGCCGGACAGAGCACCACCGTTGCCGGTCAGACCGCTCAGCAGGCCGGAGATATCAGCACCCGCACCGGAGTCGGAGCTGGACGATCCAGAGGTCGACTTGGTGCTGGAACCGGTCGACGAGGGAGTCTCAGCAGGCGAGGCCGAGGACGCAGCAGTGTTGGCAGTGTTGCCAGCAGCCTTGGTGGCTGAGGCACCGCTGTTGGCAGTCGCAGTATCAGCCGCAGTGTTACTGTCCGAGTTGCCGCCACCGAGGATGGTGTTCAGGATGTTGTCACCACTAGCGGTGTTGGCATTGGCCGTGTTGGCGTTGGCCGTGTTCGCATTGACCGTGTTGGCATTGGCGGTGTCGGCCGAGGCATTGTCGTTCTCCTCCTCCGAGTTGGTGTTGGCGCTGGGAGCCGCCGCGGCGGGAGTAGTCGCAGCAGCCTCGGCGGCATTCACGCGGGCCGTCGACCCTGCATTGTTGTTGGCCGTATCAGGCGCGGCCGCCACGGAGGTTTCCGCAGCACCACCGCTGCTGGCGGCGGGCGATGCGCCGGCATTAGAGACGGCGAGCAGGGCCGTCGCGAGGACGGGAATGAAACGCATGGTGTTTGTCGTAGCTCTAGCTTCGTTCTAGCTGGAATTCCCACAATCGCTTCAATCGCGAGTCGGCAGAGGGTTAAAAAGGAGCCGCGCGAGAAGGAGGAGAGCCTGGAAAAGGGGCACATCTTTCCCCGGGTCGCGGCCAGGTCTTTATTTTGGGATGCGGCGACGATCGACCGTGGTGACACTCATTTTAGGAAACAATCCTCCACCGGTCCATCGCGCTAGGCGTTGGCCTCGGAGATGGAGATCGGGACGGGTGGATCGTCACCGAGGCAGGAGAAGCTGTCATGTGATGGGCAAGAAAAGGTCCGATCTGATCGCTAGTGGACATGCCGTGAGCCGATTGTCGTGGAGTATGACAAGCTGGGAGGAGAGGTCGGCTTTCCTGCACGACCGGGAGTACAGCACGTCCCTTAGGCTAGGCTTTTGCGGCGCTGAGACCTGGCGCAGGTCAAGCAGAACCTGGCGGGGGACCCGAGGCTGTCTGCAAGGTCAGGGCCACTTTGGTGGACGAACAACCCCCAGCAGAGCCGTTCACATGTCTAGATCGGAGGCGTACTGGGAGTAAATTGCAGTTCTGGCCGGGTGCCCATGGGGTTCCGACCGCGATGCGAGATTTGGCTAGCCGCATTGAGGCGCGAGACCTCCACTCTGAAGTATGCTCTGTTGCGCAGAACCTGGCAAGGCGAGTGGAAGAGATGGAGAAGCAAATGAGGGGTTCGGCCCACGAGCTCAAACAGGCAAGGGCGGCTTCCCCGGACCACCGCGTCGGGTGGGGCAACATTGTTAATCCGGCGGTGTGAGTGGGCAATTGGATACGCCGCTATACGGCCTAATGTAACTCCCGCTGATCCTTTCCCCGCGAACGCGCCTCGACCGGGGGAGGCACTAGCCGACTAGTGCCTGTAGAGTCTCTAGTGGGACCCAGTGGTGCGCAGAATTCCCAGGCCAGGAACACGACTCTGAGCTGACCTCGCTAACAAAGAATCTCGGAGCAGACGATGTCATCGCATCGTCTCCATCCTCCCACATGAAGTTAATCTATTCTCGCGATTCCCCGGAACTTCACAATGGATCGGCCGCCGCTTAGACTCCGCCTCCGCCCATCAATTCAAGACATTTTGGTTCTTCTCCGCTGTTCGTTGACGCAGTGATTGGACAACGCGCTCCCCGGCCGATGGGGATGTCCAACCAGGCAGCCCACGCGCATCCTTATTTCCTCCGCCGCCCAGAATGGCGTCATGGGGAGGATTCGGCCGTTGATGCTCGCTCTTAGAACTGACGCTCGACAGTGTTGCACCGCCCATGCGGCAGTAGCCAACGCCACTGACTCGAGAAAGGGGCCGTCTCAAGGGGCCGTCTCGAGGCGAGCTCGGCACCACCTCGTCACTGCAAGTGCCTACGTGCTAACCTTTATTGCTGTAGTAATTGGACTGGTGAGTCAAATGACGACAGGATTTTCACCTGCAGCCAACGAGCCACGACAGCTCCATCGTGCTTGAACTCAGCTCCCCAACAAATGAGCTATTCACTCACTACATAGTATTGCTCGTCGATCGTGAAACGACCTTAACTTTTCAATTCGCCCCAGAGAGCCCTTAATCTCGCCAATTTCACGATATCGAATGTAGGAATTCCCTCGTGATCGCGGATGTCAGCAAACTCCGAGGGAGACTCGCACGATCTAAGCGATCGCTTTCGCCCCCAGTCCTTCGGCCTCGGCGCGGGCCTGTGTGTGCTCACGGCTGCAGCTATCCACCCCATCGAATCGACCGGCATCTGCCCAACACGATCACATCGCCCAACCTCACCACTCAGTGAGCGCAGTCACCGACGACCAGATAAGAGGCACGCCGTATCGTTGATGGGCACGCCTGCCCACTATTTTATTTCGTGTCCACACAGAGCGGTCTCCACATGCCTGCCTGGGACATTGGTGAGGCTCGAGAATAGAAACATAGAAAAAGGGGAACCCTCCGTCCTCGCTGGGACCAGGTGCTCCTGCAATTGTAACTTGCGACGAACGCTGCATTTCGGGCGACTCCGTTGTTCGCACAATTAACGCGAACACATCGGCGTTTCACGCGTATACTCTTTTTTTTTGGACTCAAAAAAAAATAGAAAAAATAAAAAAACATCTCCCAATCCTTTCACCAGGGCAGTGTGGGGCCGAGGCGCAATTATTATCCAGCTGAAACCATGCTCTTTCGATTATTGCCTGTGTAATGATTGCATCGTACAACACTTCAGGAGAAGAGAGGTAAACGTGAAAATGAAAATCTGAATTGCTATCGGTCATGTCACGCGAAAAAAGCATCGTGCTGAACTGCAGGAACTGGTCCACGAGTGTCTCGGCCAAGAACCGATGATGCCAGGGACGGAGGACGGCTGGGTCCGCCACGCCACCGTGCTCCTACCATACATCGCACATCACATTCATTAAACGCCTCAATAAATCTATCTTACATATTCATATTATTAGTTTTCTACTCCACCCTCGTAGAACATAAGACACATCCAATTTCTTCACGAGTAACTTAATTGTTGACATTGAAATTTTCGCTGTGGGCTGCCGTTGGTGGGTCGGAATGTGGGGCCGAGCGAGGGTCCGGTCAAAGTCTTGGTGAGCTTCGATGCGCGTCGGTGGGAGTAAAAATTGGGTAATCAACAATTTACTTTGCATTGTGTTGTGGAGGATATTGGTATATACACTGTGGTGGCGGGTAGAAATTGGACCTAGGTCAATACTTTAATACACTAGTTTAGGATGAAGTATGATGCATCAAAGTTAGGTCGTGTCACGTGGGGGATGAGCTTCTGGGCTGGGAAATATATAGTTGCAATTTTAACACTGTATCAAGAGGCTGGCAAGTACATGAGCACCGTTCATCAAATCACCCATCTCCAGGCCTTTTCATTAAATCCTGGCAGATGACCATGTTCGCATCTGGCCACACGGTCTTCGTCAAGTATCACCCATACCTTCGCTGTCAGATCGACTACAAACTGTAGGGGTGTCGTCGTGTTTGTGATGAGGAAGTCCTGGTCAAGGAAGCCATTCGTCGGGACGGTGCCGAGTCGTACCGTTGTGATATGTTGATGGACACAGACGACACAATTACAGTAGCCCATGGTAGCTACCTTGAAAACTTCCTGACCACGATGGGATATGCCCAGGTGACGGCCATGCGTGGATGGCCATCCGGATGGATGAGCCACTGGTAAAAGCACTTGGATGCATCCATGGTAGACCTGTAGCGATTCCCTTTGGCCATGTTCAGGATTTCCTGTTGGTATAAAATTGGGTAGTATGGCAATGTCATGATGCCCCAGACCAAGAACAAGCTGTGGGTGTAATTCAGTCTGTACTTTTTACCCGTGATTAACATTCCACGAGAAGCATAGTTTCGAGACCTAGCGTGCACTTCGAGTTGGTCGTTGGTGTCATCAAAATTGGGAAACCAGCGGGTGTCGACCTTAGGTTGGTTGGCTTCACTTGTTGAGACAAGGTCCTTCCCCAGTGAACATGGTCGGCTTTAGCACAGGCTACCAAGCCAAACACCTATCTCCATAACCGCATGAGCTCTGCGTCTTGACCAAGGCAATTCTTTTTTGCCATAGCGAGGTCGGAAGGACTCAGGATCGCGAGCGCGATGTGACGGAACAACTGATGCCCCTTCAACCGGTCCTTCGTCCGTCTTGGCTTCTCCCGCTGCATAGCGATAATTTGGGAGGAGGATGCACTGCATTGTCAGGAGTTCAAATAAGAGCCTCAGCTATGTCGCGAGATTATTCACGGTGATTGAACGGTGATCGTAAATGTATATCGGAATGGAATAAGGGTACAGGTTCATAGTCAAAGATTGCGAAATCGTGCTCTGGACTCTGCGTGAAGCTCTTCTGGGCGTTTCGGGATTCCGGGATTCTCGTCGATCGTCGCTTTGATATCTTACTCATCATCGGGGTTCGAATGAACTCCCAGTAAGCGACCCTTGAGCAGGCGAGAGGGCAGAGGGACGGAGCGAAAGTAGAGGTCAAGAGGGACAAACAAAGAAGACATAGGACCAGAGGAAAGAATATGTTTACCACCCACCGCCATCATTGCCGTGGGATGTACAGAACCATGAGGACTGATGTGGGAATACTAGGCCTTAAGGCGGGGAGGGGATTGGTACATGAGGGTTGCTGTTTCTGTAGTCAAGAAAATTGTCGAAGTAAATTCAAGTTGCACATACCTCGACCACCAAGTGGTAAGCCTTTTTGCTGGGCCTAACCTCGTTCATTTTCAAGCAAACAATGGGAAAGTTGCTTCTCTTGCATGCTCATTAATTTCACCGTGGCCGATGGCGATGTCTGTGTTCTCGATGTCTGTAGTCATGGCCAAATACTCGCGCCACAGCATGTCCAATAAGGACTGCAGTTGCGAATCGTGCGGGTCTCGATTTGTCGCCGCGAAAAGGCATGGCTGGTTCTTCATGACGTAAAGGAAGTTCGAATTTTGCGGTTTAAACAAGGCCCAAGCTTGGAAAACTTGGAAAAGGAAGATAGAAAAGGCGAGATGGGAAAGTTGTGTGATGATAATGTGATTGCTGAGAGACGAAAAGGGAAATGTAAGAGATAGAAAAGTGATTGGCGAAAAATGTCACTGCAAAAGAATAAACAACATATTGTTCTTCATTTTCCCAGGTCTTGCTGAACTTTTCGGTGTGCAACACAAGTCTCTGTTCGCCTTCGGTCGGTTCACCGTTGGATCCGTTTAGAGGATTTGCCCCTTTCCGGAACTCCAGGTTATACTGTTTCGGGGAAGGGAAATTGGTCTTCTTCAGCAAGCTGATCCCTGCCACGCAGAATAAATGCAGTCGGACAGAGCCAGCTTAATCTTGATCCGTAGCTGGACTCGGATGGGACCTACGATGCGGCGCATAATGAGAGAGGTTTGTTCCAATTTTCACCGAGGGCGCCATATCCCTGAACAATCGGCGGTATAATGGGCACAGAAAGCACTTAGTAAATGAGTCCACGCCAGATATTTGGTCATGGATCCCGATGGTCCGTGAAAGGTGCTTCGGGGAACAACTGCGGGTCGCTCGCGTTGTTGTTGAAGGCCGAAGCTTGCAGCACTAAGGAACTACGATCAAAGATTGAGATTATGCAGTTGCAAGAGAGACTCTGAAGGCCAAGCTTCCTTTGAAGAAGAAAGTGCGCGTGGGAGAAGAAAAGGAAGAAGGGAAGGAGGAAGGCAACTACACCATCTGCCAGGTCACCAGACATCACAACAATTCAATCGTAGGTAAAAACTGGCAATCAGGCAAACGCTGAAAGGCTGGTTTCACGCCAGGTCTATTTCTCACTAAAAATATCACCCTCGTGAGGCTGAACATTTTTCTGAATGACAGGCACGTCCAGAAAATACGATAGGGATAGTTCTAGATGCGACGCTGCCTTTTCTCATACTTCATCTCCGAGTGGGGTCTGTCCACCATGTCCGATTCCACACTCCTCCCATCCCCGGCGCTCCGATATCGAACTTGACTGATCTGAGTGAAAGAAAAGATAGCAGACGATCTCGATCGACCTTTCTTTTTTTGCTGCCCTGCCCCGAGGTAGCGGGCTCATCTACGACCACCGCAGACGCAACACTCAGTGCTCGGCAGGTGGGCGATCCTTTACCTCGAATGTGGGGGAGTACCCCAGATTCTGACAAAGCAAAGCGATGGGCCCGAAGACTCACCATACAAAGTTCATAGTATAAAAGGGGGGCTCATTTACCGCGCCTCTCACCAGAATTTTCCCGAGATTTGCATCTCTCATCCTTCAGCTCTATCTATAGTACCACCATGGATAAGAATGATGTATCCCACGTCGAAATCGCAGATAACCTGACGAGGACTCCGACAGGGCATATAGAACTCCTGAGAAACAATGAAGTCATCCTAGTACCGACTCCCTCCGCCGATCCTCGAGGTACGTTCCACCGCCACAAGACTGCCCGTGTTATCTGACATGACAAGATCCTCTGAATCTCCCTGCCTGGCGTAAATGGGTCCTCTTGGTACTTGTATCGGCATACAGCTGTACATCGGTAGTGCTAGCATCGGGAATGGGATCGATCTCGTCAGTCGTCAAGGCCTCATACCCAGGCCAAGAAGATCGCGCGAATGACCTTCTCACACACCCGACCCTGTTCATGGGCGTCGGTAACTTGGTTAGCATGCCGCTGGCATACACAATCGGTCGAAGACCTGTCTTCCTCGCTTCGATTATACTCCTCATCGCAGGTGGTATCTGGTGTCAATGTTCAACTAGCTTGTCGAGTCACATCGCTGGACGAGATATCATGAGTCTTGCAGCTGGCCAAAGCGAGGCGTTGAGCCCCATGATTATCCAAGAGATTCATTTCCTGCATGAGCGCGGTCGCAAGCTTTCCTGGTTTATTACGATCCAGAACCTTGTCGCGGGTGTCTTCTTTGTTGTCTCGACATACATGGTCTCGGCATGGGGTGGATGGCGCTGGTGGTATGGCTTCTTCACTATCATGAACGCAGTCATACTAGTCTTCAGCTGGATATTTGTCTCGGAGTCACGATTTGAAAGACCCGAGGAAGCCATGAGGGGAGAGGCATATCCAAGCAACAAGTTCGGCGATGATAATGTGGAGCAGGCACAAGGACAAGAGTACGGGCCTCGTTGCTGGCGTGATGATCTCAAACTACTCGCCACTCGTCCGAATTGGAGCGAGATTCCTACATTATACAAACAAGTCTTCCAAGGTCTCCTGATACCAACAATCTTATGGCTTCTCCTACTCAATGGAGCTCATCTGGGCGTGTACGTCTTCCAAGCCTCGACATTTTCGAGTATCCTCATGGCATCGCCGTACAGCTTTTCCTTCACATCTCTCGGATACGTGCAAGCAGGTCAAATTGTCTGCTGTCTGATTTTCCTTCCTCTTCTGGGCTACGGAAGCGACTTTATCATTCGACTATTCACAAAACGAAATAACGGCCTCTTCAAGCCAGAATACCGTCTCCCCGTCATCGCGATTCCTGCCATCGTTGGCGTCATCTGCGGAATTATTTATGGTCAAGCAGGTACAAACCCAGGCAAATGGAGTGCCGCGGCTGTGGTGATCGGATACAACGCTTCATTCTTCGCGTTCTTAGGTGCAAATATCGTTGGTATCACCTACGCTGTTGATAGTTTCCCTCTACGCGCAGCGCCGTTCCTCGTCGTGATATGTGCTGGACGGGGTATCATCAGTTTCGGACTTAGCTATGCTACATTGCCAGCCGTGAAGACTATCGGGTATAGCGGGACGATGATTGCTGAGGAGGTTATCTGCGGCGTCTTGTCTTTAATTGCGATTCCGATGTTCTTCCTGGGTCCTCGTATCCGCAGCTTTGTTGGGCGCTGGTGTGGCAGCAAGGACATCTCTTGAGGGTCGAGTTTTGTGCTAGGGTTTTACCATTGAGTACGATCGAGTCCAGCATTGTAAATGCATACAGATAAGCACCGATATCAAAATCGGCGAATGGAGAGCCAATGTTCCGTCGATATTCGAAGGTTACAGAATTATTGGAGAAAGATCAGCTTGAATTTTGTCTGCTCTATATTTCTTGACCAGGGGATGCATCCTAAGTTGAGCAGTGGTCATCGTTTTCAAAGGAAAATTCACAAAAGCATTAAGTAGCCGATTGGGAAATACTTCGATTGCAATTTCCACTACTTACACATCAAATTCATCCAGAAAACCACCCCGAAGACTAGAAAAAAGACAATGAAATCCGCTCCAAAAAACGCCATCAGACTTGAAAGAAGACTGCAAGTTAGCCGACCAGGGGGTTATGGCATTACTTACCTGACTCCTCGGTCTTGATTGTGTGTGAATCTTCTACCATAATCCACGGATTAACCCATTGAAACTTTTGCAGGTACTTTGTGGAATGCTCGTTGAACCTCTGTTCTCTTTCGATAAAAGAATCATCGCAGATGGTGTCGGCTCTGATGAATTCGTCCACGCCCTTTTGGTGCTTAGCGCAAGCATGCGCCCATGCTTGATCGAAGGTAGTGGTCACTTTGTTGATCAGAAAAGCCCTGGCGTACAGTGTGAAGTTGCGAAAACTTACCCTGTACGATTCCTCGACCTTCGTCTTATCCTCCGAAGTAAGATTGTCGAAGGCAGCGACCAGTCTTGTGTGCGCCTTGTCCAAAACCTGGCGTTTTTTCCGAAGATTCGAGACGACGACCTTCAGCTTGCACTCCTGCTCGTTATGGAAATTCCAGGCGGGGATAGCTTCATCGCTAACATCGTCCGCACAAGCGTCGAAAGCTTGCTTGAGCCAGCCAGGAATGGTGGGTGGGAGCTCGGCGGTGGAGGTCTTGGGGAATGCGCTAAATGAGGGCGTAGCTCTGGCGCTGTCGTCATGTTCGTCGAAGAGACAAGGACGGAGAGAACGAAGCGGGAGTTTGAGCTTCGGGACCGTGTCATCGGGCTTGTCATCGGACTCATTGCGTCCGGCAGCAAATAGAGCCAGCTGTGCTTCCACTCTTATGATACGCTCCTCGAGCACCTCGAGATCGTCTTCACGGGGTCTCTTGCGTTTAAGATGTCCCGACATCTCGTTATCCGGTTCCTGGTGGTAAGTATTGGATGAGTGCTGATTGTTAGCCGGGAGCCTGTGGCTACGCTGCAGGGAATAAAATGTGACGCGATCAGAATGCGAGGCTTGACTCTGTTGACGCGGTCTGGAAATGCTCTGAAGTGGACAAACGGGAAGAGAGGAAAGGCGGCGTTGTATACTATGGAACACGTGATCACCGTGCCTAAAGAGGCAGGCACGGTGGTCGCACCTGCCTCAGCATCTCTCAAGACGGGAATGTGCCTATGAGAAGATTACTAAGCTCACCGGCCTCAAACAAGGTTCTGCCTAGCTCAAGTCTGTATTGATTTTCGTACAGGCAGTAACAGGCTATATAGCGCAAATCTGCCCAGTGCCACAAAATAGGAATCAAATTCGTTAAGTCTGCAGTGCGCATTTCGGCATGGACGCTGATTCGGGTTACTTCAATAGTATTGACACAGTCAATTCTTGGAGACAAGGAGCGTCACTATTGTTACTACTGTTCACGGAATCCATGGAGATGGTAATATGGTACTCATCATAGCACATCATCTAGAAAGGAAAATCTAGCAAATTAAATTCAGATATTAGCTACGCTCAACAAAGCTTTTTTTATGTCACATAGGACAGCCCAGGTCTATCTTTGAACTCAATCACAACAAGTCGATCGTCCAGGTGTTGAGCATCGGAGCTGCGTCCTCCAAGACATCGCGACACATCTTCTGGTCCTTGAAGAACCCGCGAGTCGGCCTTCCAGATCAGCATCCAGAACCTCCATTCTTTCCTTGAAAGAATAGCCCCATTGTATGCGGCGTGTATTTGAACACTGAATTTTCATCGAAGTCGATTAACCTGTTCGGCATTGCATGCTGGGACAGATTTATTTGTCTTCCGCGAGGCATTTGGCGGCTCTGACCAGCTTTGTGTGGGCCCTATCGCATCTATGGCTTTTTGATTGGAGGTCACCTAGTCGCATTCTGAGCTCAGCGGCGAAGGTGTGGTGGATTGAAAACGTAACGGCGAAATTGAGGTCATTCGTGGAGCGCCGGTGGAGTCCCCGTCTTGAGCCATCGCGGGGTGAGACGTGGGGCGGGAGGGGCGCGGGACTTCGAGTCTGCCAGCGTTGTCTGAGTACTGGTGGCCTCGGGAGCCAGACCCAAGGCCCCGGGCGCCAGATCCAAGAAGTTTCAATTGGACCGATGAGTGGTGGTTCCGACTGGTGCGCTTCATTGTGACAGGTGACTTGTCTGAAGGATGTGGTCGAGTTGGCATGGGTGTTTCACTTCAGCGAGATTGACAAGAGGAGGCGACTTATTATTTTTGAAAAAGGCTGAAATTCCTTGGGTTTATACCCGAGCTAGCGAATGAAGGCTGTCCAGAACAGCGTTGCTCGCTAAGGATGGAGGTTGAAGTGGACGAATTGGAAGTTTGCAAGAGAGGAACGCCACTGAGTCAGTGGGTATTTATAAACGAGATGAGGTTTGAACTAACTGATGTAGTTTTCTACCACCAATGAGCTCTAATACCTACCAACAAAACATGATGGGTCCAAATATCTACTGACTATCATCAAACCGATATGAAAATATGTCATCGTGTGGAAATCAAGGTCTAGATTTCCTACGAGAAAGAATATGTCCTCTCTCTAAACATGGCTTGTTTGCATCGCTGTCATGCAAAAGGAATTTTACATTAATACGTCAAGGCACGGGCCAGGCATTTGAAAAGGGAAGGAGTCGAGCTCTCGAGAGCCTTGTAGTCAATGTGGTGTAATGGTGTGCTGATTCCGTACTGTTGAGCCCAACCTGGATCTATGTAATTCCGTACATCAGGCTTGTAACTTTTTCTCATAGACATGAAAAGCCTTTCGGTAAAGAGTCTTCTTGGATGATAAGTCTTGGACTTTCGAAGCCAAAATCCAACCAAATCACCCAAGTAAGCATCTTATCAAGGAAGAACAATGCTCGAACTTCTAGAAAATGTGCGCGCAGCGCAATGTATGGCAGAAATTTCTATGAACACCCAAATCCCACATCTAAAATAAGATCTATCTATGATATAACTTGCAAAGCCTTCAAGATCCCCCATGAATCAGACCTCCTTCCTCGCCCTCTCCTCAATTTTGACCCTCGGCATCTCCGGCATCCGAAACTTCGCCGAAAAAGGATTCGGATCCGTCTGATCCAGATTCCCGAGCGTATGATTGACATCCCGATGTTTGGCCTCATCCGCTCTCACATAAAGCAAAAGCGACCGCATACACCTCCGTTCCTCCGGCATCTGCCAATACTTGATCGCCATCTTCGGCGCTTGCAGATTCTCCCACTTCGGCAGGTGCCCGTCGTCTAGATCCTTGATTGCCTTGCTGTAGGTTATCACGGCCTCTTCTTCGAGGTATCCGACGAAGCGGTGGCAGATTGCTGGGGATATGAGGTATGCTAGACTGAATCCGCTAAAGAAAACGCATTGTGCGCCAAGAACCATGAAACGCATGCCCCAGCCTGGATGGGCGAGTTTTAGGAAGGTTAGAAGGTGCATGCGTTCGTTGTAGGCTTCTTCGAGGAGAGTTTCGATCCTGATTATCAGTGTCAGTGGGCGTCTTGGTTTCTCGATTGGGGTGGATGTATTTACCAGCCGTAGTCTCGTCGCATCATCCGTATAGATTTCAAGTGCCGGAGCATACCTGCTACCATGCCCGGGACTCCGGCGACGCTCTCGAGGAAGATGAAGCGTGTGATCCACTTCTCTTCTGTCATTACGTTCGATTTCGAGATGGATGTCACGGTCGGGGTCGAGGATTTGTAGCCTGTGACGAAGTCCATGCCCCAGCGGAGGACCTTGACTGTTGCAAGGGCGACTTTGTCTTGCCAGATGGATGCTTTGCGGTGGGCGGTTTGGACGGCGAGGATTTGTTCTTGTGTGTATCTTCGATGGATGTCAGTGTGAACAAAGGAATGATTGAGTGTTATGGCTTACACTGGATGTGTCCAGTTGGACTTTTGTGTGCTTGTAGCATGTCGTCGGTGGCCGATGGCGGTGTTGATTGGCGTCAAGCAAGTACGACTTAATAAATCATTTCGTCGTGTGCGAATCGAGAAGAAAAGGGGCCTTGCTATTTGACTCATGATGAAGAAAGATGCGACGAATGAAATGTTGAGACGAATCAAAATACAAATTGAACAACTTCGAGGCCCGGTTGTTCTCAACTTGCTTAATTTCTAACTTGACGGTTCCAAAACCTCGCACAAGATGATCTCTTATACTACTCAAATTCTCCTTTCTACGACGCAGAACGAAGTCTGTTGTGACTCGATTCCCGATTTACGTGTCGAAAAGTCGTGTTCTATGATGTGCACTGTAGATACCGTAATAGCCTCAACAAAATAGCCGTGATCGCGCCTGGGAACCTTAATTACCCGATATCTCCCGAAATGATGGCAGATATGAGAATGGATGCACGCAAGAAGAAGAACAAATCTAGAATTGCGAATAGGAACGACGGATGGACTCGCTGAACCCGACAACTACCGACATACTATACCCTAGGTATGGAGTGGTGGGTGAAGGATTAGTCATGAGAGTACTTATCGTCAATTTGAGAAAGCATCTGCGTCTAGAGGTATTACGTAGCTGTTAATTATATACACGAATGTAAGAACGACCCTACCTTGGGTACTAACAACACTGTCAGAGGTTCGAATTAATCCAAATGAGGTCTCGACACATTCCCTTTCTTAACGAAAAGTTTCCCCTCATAAATGTGACACATTTCTTCCCACCCAATCCAATTCAACTCATCATCCAGCGCGCCCGCAGCCCGCGCGCCCGTCACGGAAGAATTCGGAAGAACATGCGCATGCGTCCAGCGCCGCCCATCCGCGATCCCGATCGTGTGGTTGGCGTTCAACCGCTTCACGGCTGCTTCGAAGAGTTCCCGGCCGTACGGGTAGAACCACATTTGTCCCCAGACATCGTCCATATGGTCCTTCTCGCCGGTGTAGTGGAAAAGGCCGTGGACGTTTTTCGTGACGATGTTGGTCTGCAGTGGCAGTTCGGTTATGTGAGGGATCCTATCAACAACGTGCGCGATTCCCCGGAAGAGTCGCATTATGGATTGGGCGAGGTTTCGGGGGAGGAAGATTTGATATGGTTTGAAGTTGTGCGCGCCGCTGCTTACGTCGCGGGTGACCCATGTTGAGGGGCGGGTGTTTGTGCTGTTGGTCATTGAGGTGTTGGTGTTGATGTTGGAGGTTGCGTTGTAGGTGAGGAATTCCACATAGTGTTCTGAGCCGGCGTTTGTTTGGAATAGTGCGGAGCGGTAGTCGATGCCGATGTGGAATTCGGTGTGTTGGTCGGGTTGTAATTCGGGGATGACTTTGCCCGAGTCCGGATCCGGAACGACATCCGGTGGGTAGACGTCGCCGTGGAAGTACATCTCCAACTCTTTGATGGAGCGCGCATATTCTTGAACGCCCCAGACATCGCTCATGTATTTTTGGTCGGAGTCGCTGAATTCGTGTCCCGGATCGTAGTACTTTTCGATTCGCTCCAGCGTGGCCGCGAACATTCGGCGCATGTCGTGTACCGGCCCGATGATGGTGCCGGAGTTTAGCCAGAGGGGGATATTGTGTGCCCAGTCGCCGTCGGATGGTCCGAATGCGCCGTCGGGAATGTCGACGTCATGTGGGATTGCCCAGCATCCGACGCGGTTTATGTCCACGGGGTAGCAGACCTTCTCCGGTCCGAAGAGGATGGTTTGTCGGGGGGTGTCGTCGCCTGACAGAGATTCGATCGTTTCAATGCCGAATCGCGCGGCCAGCTTGGCGTTCGCTGCCTTGTTGACGGTGAAGTAGCGCTCGATCAGAACATCCAATGGGATCTGAAATGTGACATCGTACCCATCGATCATCAGGACGAGATCGTCGTCGGCATCTTCGGGGAGGCCTTCGAGGTAGTTCATTGTCGTGCGCACTTTTGCGAGATGACTTTGTGAGGCGTCCAAATCGCCTTCTTGCATCCAGCCGTTTAGGACCGGTACTGGATAGCCCATCATGGTGGCAGATGCGATGGCGCGACATACGCGGAAATGCGGACCGCTGGCCGGGATCAAAAGGTGGAATTTCGAGGCCTGCTGCGAGTCGGTCGCTTCATTGGAAGTGTCGGCCGATCCATTTGTGGTAAGGAAGACGGAGATGGGATCTTGCTGGGCGATGGACGATGAGCGCAACAGTGTTATGAGCGCAATCACCACGACAGCCGCCAGGCCAGCCCATTGCCAGCGGGTCAGCCGGTCTGAGAGCTGCATTTCGACAACTGTACCCAGCTACTAGCCTACTAGCAGTGAAATGCGAGCCTCTTCTTGTGTACCCTGACCATCAGATCATCAGATTAGTAGGTGTAAGATGCAAGACGGGGGAACTTCGGTCAAGCTGGCGTGGGAGTGTACCTAGTTTCGGCGATGCCCATGCCCGATAATATTAATGACGGTGCCTGTGCCTGCTGGACCCTGACACCCAAGCCCACTTGGCACGTTACGCTGGCCCGATCCGGTTTGACTGAGAGAAGATGCGACCTGGGGATTGTGCTGGTTATCTGGTTCCAGTCTTCCAGTGCCCCTTTGGCGGGGGTTGCCAGGATGCTGTCCGGATCGATTCTGCGCCCCCAGACGCCACGGCCGGCAATCCAAGGACGAGATACGGCGAGATGGCGTGATGGAAAATTACTGACCCGCCATCAGCCAGCTTGAAAGAGACCAAAAGCGTTGTCGATGGTGTCTCACTGCATTTGCTGGTGGGTCTGATTACGACGCCCCACAACGCACCCTAGCCCTTTGTATAGTAGTATGTATAGTAATACTAAGGAAGTAATTAATCGTGTAATTTACCCTATACCTAAGGAACCTCAGGCGTGTAATTTGGACAGGACAAGGCGGCCTGGCGGTCAACAGGTCTTTCTTGTCGGCGCTATCTCGCGTGCATCTTCTTCACTCACACACCTCGCTGTCGACGAGAGGCAGCACTACAGATATTCCAGATGCTGCAAAAACAAGAAGAAGAGGCCGAGCTGGCCCTGCTCTCACACGACGACTCCGAATCCACACTCACCGATCTCGACGATCACGATCACCACGATCTCGAGGCCAACCGCAAAGATGCCCTGCCCGAGAAGACCCCCGAGCCCGAATACCAGACGCCTACTACGCTGAAATTTCTCTGGCTGACGGCCTACTTCGGATTCAGCATGGGCATTACTATCTATAACAAAGTTATTCTGGGATCGGTAAGTCGCAGCATTTACTCGCGGATGCTCTAGCGCAGCTGCTCATCGGGTCAACAGTTCAAAGCACCATGGCTCCTCACCTGCCTCCATACCTCCTTCAGTGCGCTGGGTACATTCATCATGTTGAAGCGGGGATATTTTAAACTGTCCAAGCTGGGCAGGAAGGAACATTTAATCCTGGTCGCATTCTCGGTGCTATTTACGTCCAACATTGCTATGTCGAATCTATCATTGTATGTCCCACCAAACCCTGCCGCATGCTCTCTCTAACTTATATTTTCTAGATCGCTCGTCTCGCTCGCCTTCTTCCAAATCATCCGCAACACCGTTCCCCTCTTCACGGTCCTGATCTACCGAATCTGGTTCTCGCGCTCCTACGCGACCGCCACCTATTTGTCGCTCATTCCGATCGTTGCGGGTGCGGGAATGTGCACGGCGGGCGACTACCATTACTCGGTGATTGGACTGGCGGTAACGATTGGCGGTGTTGTCCTTGCTGCTGTCAAGGTAATTTTCTTGAAATATCTTGAAACATGTTCAATACTAAATTTGTGCAGACCGTGACGACAAACCGCCTCATGACCGGCTCCCTCGCCCTCCCCTCGATGGAACTGCTCTTCCGCATGTCCCCCCTTGCAGCCGTACAGTCGCTGATCTTCGGCATCATCGCCGGCGAAATTCCGATCTTTATCGACGCCATGACCGAGCGCACGCAGAACGGCGCGCTATTCCCGACGCTTCTTACTGCCGCTTTGCTTCTTGGCAACGGCTTGCTCGCGTTCTTCCTCAACGTCGCGTCGTTCAATACGAATAAGATTGCGGGCGCGCTGACGATTACGGTGTGTGGCAATCTCAAGCAGGCGATTACCCTTGCGCTGGGTATTGTGCTGTTTGGTGACTTCTCGGTCAATGTCTTGAATGGCCTCGGCATCTTTTTGGTGTTGGCTGGTTGTGCTTTCTTCAGCAAGTCGGAGCTGGATTCGAAGCGGCGAGCTGCGAAATGATCGCTAGGATGCTGTACATAGAATGTAATACTAACGACATGACCTTTATTGCGCATTGCATTGATTGCGTATCCCACGACGCTAGCGTTTCCCTGTGCAGTACGCTTGTGTTGTTACACGATCGCCATCCCGCGCCGCAAACGCGCCATGATCGTCGTAGATCAACAGATTTTCCTCTCCTCAACTTCAAAACGGTACTCTACGATCCCCTCGCACCCGGGTCAAAGTACTAATACATTGTAATTCACATTTTATGAACTGCCAAGCCAGCGATAACGTATCGCCTCCGCCATCTCGGAGCCTTGCGAGGGATGTATACGAATGCGGCGTATTTCGTATTTCATGACACCTCCACTTGCACTGCTGCTGATCGAATGATATGATCGTCTCGTACCGAAAGGGATATACCGGCCGACCCACATGGGGTAAATCACCCGGATGCTCCGCGAGAACTAGTGCTCCTCTCCCTGTCGCCAAGAGCCCGCCAGGCTGCTACGTTCTGGTCCTGCTTTACTAGGGTGTCAGCACACTAGAGCACTCCGAAGGTGCTGAACTCCGCATCGGCAAAGCGAGCGGAGCTGGTAGCACCCTCCATTAGGGTCGGTGTTTCGTCATTACTAGCACATCGGTTCGATGGCAGTCGATGGCAGTGAAGTGGCTGAGAGGCTGAGACATTCGCACTGCCGTCTCTGAATTATTTACGGGGTGCACTGCGATCCAATCAACCGGGTAATCTGCCGTGCCACGAAGTATACCACGATTCGGATCAAAGAAACACATCCCGCGACACGAGCGTTCCACGTTTTGTGTCGAGTCTGTCCAAAAGGAGGTACCTTAAACGAAGTTGAAAATGTGCGTTGCTTTTGCGAGGCAAGAATAATGTAAACACACTGCACTAGTAGCATCATGTGGCATGCCCGATACCGCAATGTCCCTTCCTGCTCGTGTCGCATCCACGAGTCCATTGTAATCCACGATGGATCGAGGCTCCAATTCGGGGCCACCCAAATTTCAGGGTCCGAGGCTGAGCGTGGCCAAATGGCGTCTCTTGGCTCGTCTGTTTTCTAATCTCGTGGCTATCCCCGTCTAACCCCGAGAGAGCCGAATAGGGCTGACGGGCTTGGCGGGTCCTCTGCTCGTTTGTACTTTTCCTGCGGTGTAAGTAAAGGCGGGCTATTCCGGCTGTGGCATTGATAGTCCTTCCGGCTCCCAAACCGGCACCCTAAGCCCTCCCACGATCGATAAGCAGCCAATTAGCGCCCCACCTCGTCCCATGTGTGCGATCGCGAGGCTATCACTTTTCCTCTACTTACCTGTATGCCTAAGTTAGTAGGTTTGGAGGGATAGGGGTTGGCGGGATGGGGTATAGGAATACCTGGGTATGGAATGGATTCAACTTCGGTCACACTGCATACCACTAGTCCCTTAGGCACCCTACGGGCCAACTAGTAGGCACAGGAGTGAGGCGTTCGGCAGTCGAGATGTCATTCTGGGTCTGCGCCAAGCCCCCGGTGCAGTTGGGCGATGCGAAAACGAACAAGTGGGCCGTCGTGACAGATGCACCACGTTGTAGCAGGGCAAACTGTCAGTAGCAATCGGTGGGTGGACAGGGTATTTCAAAGGTGCCTGAGAGAGTCGCAGGGCAAAGGTGGTGATGTCGACTTTGACGCATCCCAGCGAAGATCCGGCAAAAATTACCCACGCTCCACCCGTATCGTACATACGAGTACGAACGCCGTTTTCGGATGTGTACGGCGACTCCCAAATGTACTCATGTCCCCATTTTCTGTATGTACTAGGCGACGAGGCTAATGATCGGTCGCGTTTGACTCGTAGCCTTGGCTGCGTCCCGGCAGCAAGGCTGAGCACGAGTTTATCATGCGAAATGGCGAGGAGACCATCTCATACACTTGCACTTCTAAGTGTACCTACGAGACTACTCTACACAAAGGTACCAAAGAATACTGTCGATATCACAAAGGGGGTCTGTAAAGAGTAGGTGTACATTCCCAAGTGCTTAAGTGTCCCGCCGAATACGACGCGATTACAGGGGGTCCAGGTACGGCCCTGGTATATTTGCCTCCACTTGGCTTGGGGTTGCATCTTAAAAATAGTCGTCCGTGATATCAACCGATGCTGACTGGTGGAGTCTCCAGACAGTGGAGGTAGGCACTGAATCAGATTGCCAGAATCCGATCCAAGCGTGAGTGTGGTGCCTTGGTCCTGATCCTGAGGGTTGGCCAAGATTGCCCCAATATATACATTGCATTGTGACCCTGCGCCTGCGGAAGTTCTTTGCTGATTCTGCCTTTCAAATGCCAGGCCACTGAAGTATTGCGCGGCGAACACAGAGTTGGCCATCACAATGACTTCCACACACTCTACTGGCGACTCAGAGCCGAATCAAGACCACTCAGTCATAAACGTCTCGACCGTCCCGACGACTCCAACCAGAAGCAGATCATGCAGTCCCTCCCTCGACGCGAGTACCGACCCCGACAGCGTCCTGAGTAACAGCAAGCTGGAAGACAGTGACAACGAATCGATTCGACCCAAACCCGTCCGCAATGTCTGCTTCGTCGGCGCGGGATATGTCGGTGGACCTACGGCCGCGGTCATCGCGCATCAGAATCCCTCCATCAACGTGACAGTCGTCGATAAGGATCAACGACGCATTCGACGGTGGAACTCGCGCCATCTCCCGATTTACGAGCCCGGTTTGGCGGATATTGTGCGCGTCGCCAGAGATGGGCTGCTGCCCTTCGGGAAGGAGGATGAGCAGCTATCTGCGCGCAAGCCGAATTTGTTCTTTTCTTCGGATGTCTCGAAGTCGATCGCTGAGTCCGATATTGTTCTGATTGCGGTCAATACGCCGACGAAGACTCGTGGTGCTGGCTCGGGTCGCGCTACTGATATGACGAGCTTTGAGGCCGTGGCTGCTGAGGTCGTGCGCCATGCGAAGCCGGGGACGATCATTGTTGAAAAGAGTACTGTTCCCTGCCGGACGGCGGAGATGATCCAAGAAATGGTGAGTGTCGCCTCTGCTACATTGGCGACTGCAGTCACCTAACCCACATCGCAGATCCGAATCCAAAGACCAGGCACGCACTTTGAGATCTTGTCGAACCCCGAATTCCTCGCTGCAGGAACAGCCGTGCAGGATCTGCTGAATCCCGATCGTATCATCATTGGATCCGCGCCTACTCCCGAGGGACGCACGGCTGGCGAAACCCTGGCTGGCGTGTATGCCTCGTGGATCGACCGCTCGCGCATCCTCACCACCAACGTCTGGTCTTCGGAGTTGGCGAAGCTGGTCGCGAACTCCATGCTTGCGCAGCGACTGAGCAGTATTAACAGTATTTCGGCGATTTGTGAGGCGACTGGCGCCGAAGTGAAGGAGGTTTCGGCTGCTATTGGACGTGATGCCCGACTGGGTGATAAGTTCCTGAGGGCTGGTATTGGTTTTGGTGGATCTTGTTTTGCCAAGGTGTGTTCTGAAGCTCCTCACTCCATTGAACATTTTTTAAATCATGCCAGGATATAAACTCGCTCGCCTACATTGCCGAGTCCCTTGGTCTGCATGAAGTCGCAGAGTACTGGAGACAAGTCCTCAAGATCAACAACTACCAGCGAGACCGCTTTGCTGCGCGGGTTATTCAGCGATTGAGAAATACCCTCGTCACAAAGAAAGTCACGGTAGGTGTACTTCACTTCTGAAAAGAATGCCAGCAGGAACTCATAATCCTCAGGTCCTCGGCTATGCCTTCAAGAAAAACACCTCCGACACCCGGGAAGCACCCGCTCTTGAAATTATCAAAACACTCCTGGACGAGAATCCGCGAGAAATCGCCGTCTACGATCCCTGCTGCAACCCCTATGTCATCGAGAACGAGATCCGCTCTCTGCAAAACCACGGCTCACCCGCCCTGAATGAGGACGGCGGTCCGGTAATGGTGTACTCAGACGCCTACGAAGCGTGCGCCGGCGCAAATGCCATCATTATTGTGACTGACTTCGACGAGTTTCGGAACGAGCCTATTGTCCTCTCCCCGCGCGAAAGGCTGCAGTGGTGAAGGGGTCTGCAGAAACTCAAACATCGGAAATCCAAAATCGCTTCAACGTCGAGCCTGAATGCGCCGCTGACTGTCCTGACTGCCATACCACTTACGGTGAGAGTACCGACCATACATACACGGCTAAGGAACAGCTTGATTGGAGCAGGATTTCTACAGATATGACGTCCCCCAAGTGGCTGTTTGATGGGCGGTGCATTATCGATGCGTCTAAGATGTCGAAGTTGGGTATTCGGGTTGAGAGTATTGGTTCCGCTGGGCTTGGCGTTTAGTGGCTGCTTACATACATAATTTTTTGTATTTTTTGATCTTGGTTTCTTCATCTGTCAGTTGCTCACGCTTCAGGGTTCTGCTTGGGTGTACTTTTAATGCAAATATTGGGATCGCAACCGCTTAATACTATCTTTTGGAAACGAGCTGAATGCATACGTTCTCTATCTGCTACAATCACCCCCTAAGAATAACTGATTCACGAAGTCATATTTTCCTCCACATATAATCGCGTGATGAGCACCAGTCTGTGATCAAAGCCCTCGCACTCTCGTGCAGCGGTAAATCATTCCCTTTCCGTGCTATCTGGACGACCTCCACTTTTGCGGGACGGTGGAGCATAAGATAGCAGCCACGGCCCGTGGGGTGTGGGATGGAGGGGCAAAACGATTAGGCGATGAAAAATTGTTCCTGTAAATCCCACAAGGTCCGCGCAGCTTCTTCCTTTTTCAAATATCTCTCGACGGCCCGGAAGACGCTCGACGTTATTTCTCGCGCATCTTCTAGAGTTGCGGCTGCAGCAAAGTTCGGCGGGTCGCTGAAAACCTCTATTTTCCGTCTTGGCACTGCCTACTAGCAGGTACAACTGCAAGTGCAAGTGACGGTCAACATTAGTCGCAATGGGACTGTCTCCTTACCTCACGAAACCGCCGCCGTATATTTTGGCGTGCGTACTTTGCTCTGCGAATGGATTACTCTTTGGCATGGACACGGGCGTTATCGGTCCGGTGACTGATATGAAGGATTTCAAGGCGCAGTTTGGAGGGAGTCAGAATGCGACGATCCATGGGTTGATTGTTTCGTCGATTTTGATTCCTGCTGCACTGTCTTCGTTCTTTGCTGGGTATCTTGCTGATAAACTCGGTCGGCCGAAGGGGATCAGTATTGGTGTTTTTATTTTCGGTGTTGGGGCCGCGATTGAGGCCGGCGCTACTTCTCTCGGCATGTTTGTTGGAGGCCGGGTTGTTGAGGGTCTTGGTGAGGGGTTATTTTTGGGAAACCTGGTTGTTCTCATTTGTGAGATCTCGCCGACGAGTACGAGGGGTCCTCTTACCACAGGTCCGCAGTTGCTGATTACTATGGGCTTGGTGGTTGGGTATTTTACCTGCTATGGAACGTCGAATATTCCCTCCTCATTTTCTTGGAGAGCTCCATGGATTATCATTGCGTCGTTATCCATGATTCTTTCTGTCTCGTCGTTCTTGTTTCTTCCCCAGTCGCCTCGGTGGTTAACTCTTCACGGCCGTCAGGCGGAAGCGGATGAGGTGTGGGATAAGCTTGGTGTATCTCGTGCTGAGCGTGAGAAAATTGAGCTGCAAGTGGATGTCCAAGAAGTTGCACCTGATGATGGCGGACTAAACGAAAACGAAACGCACAAGCTCTTCGAGATCTTCCAAAAGGACGTCCGCGGTCGCACTGCTCTCGCTGTCTTCCTGATGGGTGTCCAGCAACTCAGTGGGATTGATGGTGTTCTATACGTAAGTGATGCTGCATTGAGTTTACCGCTGGAAGTTTTCACTAACTTCGATATAGTATGCCCCACTTCTGTTTCAGCAAGCTGGTCTCAAATCTTCCGAGGCAAGTTTCCTGGCATCTGGCGTCTCGGCTCTGGTCATTTTCGCCGTCACCATCCCCGGACTGTTGTATTGCGACAAATGGGGCCGTCGACACAGCATCATCTACGGTGGTGTCGGACTCGCAATCATCATGTTCCTGATTGGCGGCCTGTATGCAGGAAATGCGGTACATGCGAGCTTCGGTGCGGGTCGCTGGGTGGTTATCGTTGCCATCTACATCTTCGCTGTCATTTACTCGCTCAGCTGGGCGATTTCCGTCAAGGTTTACAGTGCGGAGATCCAGCCTCAGCGGACTCGTGCCTCAGCTACAACCCTTGCGCACTCCAGCAATTGGATTTTTAACTTCCTGGTTGCGCTGGTTACTCCCGTTCTTTTGGCGAAGAGTAACTGCGGCGCGTACTTTCTTTTTGGTGGGTGCTCGGTTATCGGTGCTGCGGTTGCAGCGTTTTATATGGTTGAGACGAAGGGAAGATCATTTAATGAGATTGAGAAGGCTTTCAGGCACAGAGAGCTGAGAAAGAAGGGTATTTTCAACGTGTTTCGGCGACCGAGTGAAAAGCATTCGCTTTAAGAGGACATGACTTATGGTATTTATGACATCGAATTGGTACATGCGTGGGAATAGGTATAATTAGATTAGAGCTAGGCTACCCAATGTAGAGTTGCATATAATTATTTGAATATGATTAGCTCTGATATTTGGGAACGCTCAGTCGAGGCTCGTTCGTATCCAGCCTCAATGTTGAGGTCACGTGATATGGTGATGTCTTGTGTCGGAATCCAGGTGCTGGAGGACCTAATTGGGTTTAGATTGATGCCTTATTGCCTTGTTTTGTAGTTAGTCAGCTTGCCCCCATAAATTGCCAGAACAGGGGCTTCACAGCAATTCAGACCTCTACCACCCCATTGGTTGTGGGATATATCCACTTCTTCGTTGTTTGCGACAGTTATGAGCCCGGTTCGCCCATGAATCAATCGTCATTTTGAAGCTATTCACAGCCGGCGTGTGTGGTAGCGAGTGTGTTAGACGATTACCCCTGAGCGACAGCCCCCCTTGAACGAAACGAAGTGGACGTAGCAAACAACCATGGAATCGAGTACTGTCTCCGCCATGAAGGGCGATAAACTGAAGGACCCTCCTCAATGGAGGAATTGGCTGGCAAGAGTGAAGCTTTTGGCTCGCCAGAAGAAGGTGTGGGACCTCGTAAACCCACAGATTGAGGAAGATAGGCTCGAGCAGCCGATGCGCAAGCCGAGAAGGCCTCAATATCCAGAGGGCGGAAGCGAGAGTGTAAAGCGCGAATGGAGAGATCGGCTTGATATCTATAAGCTTGATCTTGCAGAATGGGAGCAGCAAGCAAAGGGACTAGATGCTGTGAACGAGTGGATTATCATCAACCTTGATCCGATTCACCATGCCTCCCTGCTTGATTATGAGACTCCGTATGAGCGCTTAGTGTATCTCGAGACTCGATTTGCCCGATCGAATGCGTACGAGGAGGATATTCGTGCTCAGTGGAAACAGTTCTCGTCGATGCCGCCAAGGAAGGGCGTGGATATCGACCGCTGGCTAGCCGACTGGAATACCCTAAGGGAACAAGCAGTTACCTTGAATTTGCCAGAAGTGAAGAGTGCGAACAAGGATTTCCTTCGTGCGGTGAAAAACGTCTTGCCTATCTGGTGGCAGGCGAAGTACGAGTCTATCATCATGAATCATGAGGATTGGGAGACTCGAGACTTGATTGAGAACTTCCGAGGATTCTACCACGAGGTGATACCTCAGGAACCAGACAATACGATCTCGGAAGCTTCTTTCTCGACATTTCAGGACTTCGAAGAAGCGGAGTCAGAAGCAAAAGTGATGGAAGAAGATGACCAGCACATACTACAGAAGCAGGAAGATAAGCCTTTTGCTAAGCGAAGGTGCCCCTGCGGAAACCCTGGTCATAAAGCATGGCTATGCTACACCATCAACGAGGCCGTACGCCCACAAGACTGGGTGGTACAGAAGGCCAAGATACAGAGGGTACAGAAGGCTTTAAAAGAAGACCCTCAGTGGAAGGACTGGATCGAGGCAAAGATCAAGGTGTATAATGAGAAGCAGCAGAAAGGGCAGGATAAGGAACCGGTTGCCAACAATGCCCTATTCCCACCACCTCAGGTCTCACTCTCCGCGATCTCGACAGATAATCTCTCACCAGTCGACATTTAGAAGGCTGTCATAGCTTACGGCTAAGCGAGTCAGCGACCTAATCGACTAGCTGAAAGAGGAAACAAAGGCCAGCCAATGGAAAGGTCAGAAATGAAGGATTCCAGGCCGTCCAGCTTTCCTACTGCAGCAGGAAAGCTGAGGGGGTGTGTCGGAATCCAGGTGCTGGAGGACCTAATTGGGTTTAGATTGATGCCTTATTGCCTTGTTTTGTAGTTAGTCAGCTTGCCCCCATAAATTGCCAGAACAGGGGCTTCACAGCAATTCAGACCTCTACCACCCCATTGGTTGTGGGATATATCCACTTCTTCGTTGTTTGCGACATCTTGTAGCCGCGCTCTCTCAGGTTAGGCCAAGGTTCGGGTATTCCTTTGGTTGTCCAACGCATAAGAAGGCTGTTAATGGAGCCTTGTCCAAGGTAGCCTACCTGCAAGGATAAACGTTTGAGAGCATGAAGGATGACGAGCGACAAATCGCGACGTATTGTAGGGGACCACGTGATACGTTTTAGTCAGCATTTTCCTGCCGCATTTCGACCTTCTCGTTATCGCGCCCTTCCCACATTATCCGAGAGCTGGACATCAAGGATCCCAGGATGGTTTCCACGCCGCTTTTAGGGCCTTTCAAAGTCGCTGTGCTCGGAGATGCAGGAGTCGGAAAAAGAAGCCTTATCTCCCAGAAGAGAGAAGGCAAATTCAACCTTGAATATATGCCGACGATCGGCTATGAAATCTGTCCACTTCCATGGACTACGAACCATGGCACTATAATCCTGGATCTGTGTGATATCTCCGGGAGCTACTGCGACATCGGAATGCGGACCGACTGTCTACGAGATGCCCACGCTGCAGTCATTGTGGTCGATCGATCGGAGCAACAAACCGTCGATAACGCCCTTTACTGGTATCGTGAATTCGTTTCGGTCACCGGGCCTGATACCCCATTCCTGGTGTGTTCGACTAAGCGTTGTCTGGCCCAGTATGCTTCCGATGCCCACCCGGACGTGATAGACTGGCCGGCGGAAATGGGCAACGTGACATATTTTCACATCTCCTCCGATGAAGAGGGCATGGAGTTCCCATTAGACGATAGACCATTTTCTAATCTATTTACTGCACTAACGAATCTTCCCGACATCGTCCTTGCTACCGTCTGTGGCATTCCTTACCAAGTTCCCGAGCTGCTCGAAAAGTATCGGCGAGAGATGGAGGAAGCCGCGAGTAGGCCTATTCCGGATCCGAGCGATGACGAGAACCTGTGAACCTATTGTGGATAGTCGGCGGCCCTTTGTTGTTGATGGCGTCAGTACAAACGACGACTTATGGACTGGCGAATCAGGAATGCGATGATGCGAAACTACAGATTCAACAGCAAGCCACGGGATGGCTTCACATTCCGATCAATAAGTACAGTCTTCTGTTCACTCCGAAAGGATATCGATCCCACAGCTACTGATGCTCATCTGACAGACAGCCATTGCTTGTCTGCTCCTACTTGCCCCCATAAACGGGACCTTTCGTGTAGTCATACGACGGCTTGGGCTGCTTTTGCATCTCCTTGATGGTGCGCTGTTCTGTTCTGGCTTAAGGCCCACTTCGTTGAATAGTCGGTCAAAGTTAATAGTCGGCCAAATCCATCTTCGCAAGCTCTGCGGCATGGGTCATGAAATAGGGCTTCTTGCCCTCCTGCTTGGGGATCTCGGTTGATCGGCGGGCGTTAAAGTGCAACTTATGATAGAAGGAATCGCCAACAAAAGCCACGCGAAGCTGCTTGAACATTATCAGTCCGGTGTAGGATTCGTTGCTCGGGAGTTTGTCAAAGTTTTTTGGAGCCGGGCTTCGCTAGTCACTTCTTAGCGGCCTCCCATGAATATAACCAGTCGACAGGGAAACTAAGATAGGCAATACATGGTAGAGCGGTCTTCTGGGAGTGGACTGCGTTTCGTAGTTCATAATGTAAATAATCCGAGGCAATACCACTCTAGATACTGGTCTAATATATCTACGTCCATGTATAAGTGACCAGTTGCACTCCTTGCCCGGAATGCGCGAAGGGCTCATGTCACACAGCGAAGCAGGGTCGCAGTAAAGAGAACGGATCGGTGAGATACGTGCCTGGGCAGGCTCTTATCCAAAGTCATAGAATCTAAATCATATTTTAGTGTTACCATGTTTCATTTACCTGAACCCTGGTTATGAGAGTACAATTTAGGTGCGGCTGCCCCACACACTTCCACACGATCTTTAAAATATGGTTAAGGTTCGGCCTGTTAATTCTAAATTTTTCCAAGTGGGCTTGTTTATCCTGAGTCACTGAAAATGGTATGGGAGCTTGTTACAGGCTATTGTCCGGTTAAAGCGAGGTTGTTTGTTTCTTCGTAATTGTTGTCCTCGAGCCCATTTAGCGCTACGGGTTTGCTAGGAGAGATTGTTGTAGATACACCAGTCATGATGTCATTACGAGACTTTGGATGTACGTTGCCAAGACCGCTTTCTTATCTCAAATGCTATCAAGTAAGTACCGTGCCGAACCGAAAGCATCGAAATGGTGGAAGATCACTACGCTGTTGTTACAGTTAAATGTCTGATCTTTTGATGTAATATCTATACTGTCCAATCGATTTCAGGTGGATGGTATCATGCTAGAGTGAAAGTAAGCTTGGATTTAGTTCATGACAGCTGAAAGAATGATCGACGGTTCCCGGGTGAATCTATCAATGACATCGGTAGTTGTCTTGTACCATCGCCAGTACGGTGATGTACGGCTGAATCCACACATCGCCCTTAATTAATGCTTCGGATGTAACCTTGCTCAATATCTTGGCTTTTCGCAGGATTTCATGTTTGGGCAGCGAAGCAGATACGCGATGTCAGATAGGGCCTCAGTGGCTTTCATCTCAAGGAGACACAGCACGTGACCTCCGTATTTCTTCTTACGAGTTTCTCATTTCCTCAGGCTCGCTAATTTTTTTTTTAGGACAACAATCATAGCTAGTCGCTTGACGATTGTCAGGCTCATGTTACTTGAATGTTTCATCAGTCGTAGCGGGTTGACTGCTGCCACGTCCAAAAGTGAAACTAGAAATCGCTTTGAGATTTACTGGATACAGTAAAGGATGGTGAACGATATAATACAGGCTAAATCTGATAAAGTCACATATCTGGATCCATGAACTGCCACTCAGGCTCCCACAATTGTACTGAAAGCCTCAACAGCAGATTCCGTGATACCCTTATTTAAACTGATTGCTGTTATCCCGGACAACAGCACCAATTCAACGAAATAAGGGTCACCAGGAATCACTTCTAATGTCTTCTCTCCCATCTTTCCTTTGCCGAAAGTGGCCATACGCCTCCCGGATTCATCGCGTAGCTCCATCTTGCTGCTCGAAAACATATCGGCTTTCCACCTCATATGACCCATTGTCGGGTGGTCGAATTTGAAATCACCGGATCCGGATTGGCTCGTCCGCATTTCTACGGGCTGGCCACGCATTGTCAAGTGGCATGTAGAGTGCAAGCCCTTGGGGTATTTTCCATCGCCGATGGCGTCATGAGGACCGACTCCCCAGCCGCAGAATACCAACACGTTTGGCTTGCCGTGCTTTGATGCGGTGATGGAATAGAGTGGAGGTGCTTCGACTGGATACCCTGCTGGGTGTACCAGGTTCTTGCTGGGGTCCCAAGGGGCCGGGCGAATCGTGAATATATTGAAGCCGGTCATTTCTGCTTGGGAGGGGAAGATGGCTTGACGATCTCCGAATAGTAAATCTGGAGACGCGTGCTTTTAGCTATCTTTTCTCCGGACCCTTCGCGAGACTATTCCCGACGTATATAAGCTGCAGAAATCGGCTTATGTTTGGGGGCCACGATAGAGTCTAAACTGCGCCTGGCTTGACTTTTTCTTCGAGCCCTGGAATGCTTAGGCTTACAATGTCCCTTTTTGGGTGTATGCTGCGCCGGGTGGGTCGCAGCGGGCCATGACGCGGAGGAGCTGATTGGAGACTGCGTCGCAGATGTCAATCGTAGAGCGTGATTGGGGCGTTGTATGGGGCCGTTTTTGCTGCCAAGCTTCAGCTCTCCAGAATCCCTCACTCAGACGATTCATCGTCCATCTCGACTTGGCTTATACGCTGTCAAGTCTGCCTCATGGCATCATATTAATAGCGCGCTACCGTCACATTTAACCTCTTCAGGGTCTCATATTGCGCTGCTTGCACGCTGCTTGCACGCTGCCAGCAAGTTTCAGTGAGCTTTTGGTGCGGTTCTCCACCGTCGGCCCCGTTCACCATATCCCGACTACCACTTCCATATCGCGTATAACGCTGCGCCGGGGCGCTCAACACGAATGCCTGGTGTTCCATCGAGCAAGGGCTGTGACGCCTGTCGCAAAGTCAAGAAGAAGGTGACATAACATCTGACGAGCTTATTATTGGAGGCTGAGACTGATGCACAGACCAGTGCGACGAGCTTCAGCCCTGTACACGATGTCGCAGGCTGCAGGTTAGCTGTATTGGCAGTGGTCAGCAAAGGTTTAAGTTCAAAAATGCCGAGTCGAATCCGATAAGTGGTCAAAAAGCCGTCAAGAGAAGTCGAGCCATCGTACCGTCGGCGAGGGCAATGGCCAGCATCGAAATCGCGGTTCAGATACCCAATAATGAACTGGCATCGTCCTTGATCGGCACCTTAAACATTACGGACATTCGGTATGCCTTGGAATATTACGGTTATTTCTTAAAGGACATCCCAAGGAGACTCGGAAGCAGTGTGGCTCTAGATGCAGCCGTCAAGGCACTGGTCACTGCCTACCCGTACTTTCACGCACGAGACTTCCCTCCAGATGCGCTACTGCATTATGGACGATCTTTGCGAGCGTTGCGTGAGTCCCTGAACGATCCAAGTGAGGCACGATCGGCGAATACGCTCTGCGCGGTCTATATCATCACTATTTGTCAGGTACTTTTTCTCCACCCGTTCGTCCTCGTTGAATTTATCCTGAAAGGTCCTGCAGAGCTGGCTCGGAAAGTACGATGATCAGTTATCCAGCCATGGAGAGGCTATTGCTCACCTGCTGAAGATGGCCGATCTCAGCCAGATAAGGTCAAATTTCGAGCGAGACATCATAATTACCTTGACTGTGCCAGTCGTATGTACCCTCAAGTTCCCAATTGTGGCCAGTGACTAATTCTTGCAGATCCTGGAGGCCATAGTCAACCCTCGAATCAAAATGGACGCAAAGTTCTTCCAGCTAGTTTCGGACCTCACGCAGAGCACTCAGCTGCCGCCAAACAACAGGATCCCTCGATCGACCACCAAGCTGCCCACCATTGCGAAATTCCCCCAGTGGATTCGAAATCTGACCTCGGAGGACATACCGGAGATTGCGTCCGCTTATCTCCGGATTCGAAACGACGCCCATCAAATGCGTGAATACCTGGATCAGTGGCCTGTGACGGAACGATGCGTATTTTCTTCACTGTTTGTGATGCAACGCTCCCGATACCAAGCCGGATATACCATCTTGATAACTTTGGGACTAATGCTGAACTCTCTTCTCCGGGCCTTTGACCCCGGTAATGATGTTTTGCTCATGGAGGCGACTTTCTACTGCGACGAAATCGTGCTCGAGGCTGAGCTTGCGTCTTGCTACCGGCCTCTCGGTGCAGCTTATATTGCCTTGTGTCTTGTCGTTGCATGGGCAGCTGCAGAATATCCACAACAAATTACACGCATTGACACTATCTTGGCAGACTACCAAACGGACTTCAAGGAGATTAGGTGGATCGGGCGTGCCGTATGGCTTAGAAAAACGTTCGCCAATCACCGAAGAAACGCACAGCCTAATCCAGTTGAGGGAGCATCCGGGAGCTCGCAGAAACTTGTTGCGAACAGATGCAACAATGCAGCTCACCCGGAGTCGTGTTGTGTTATGTAAAGAAATCCGTATCCGAGGTTGTCGTCGGGTTAAGCGCATTTGTACAATTCTGCTCTTCAATATTGTTGATTCAGCGAGCTTGAGATTAGCGGGTATTACCGAACCATATTAATTCCCATCATTCCGCCGACAACTATTCACAGTGAAACTAATATGTTCGGTAAAAATATAGTAAAGCATGTAGCAGCGAAGGTACTGGAAGACTATCACTCGGTATCTCTCTCGTCTTCGGAATACTTCTTTTCGCGTCGCATTGATTTCCACTCCACGAAGCCCGCACCGAGAAATGACATGGCAGCCGTAGCTACCGAGACGTAGAATGTCTGTGTAACGGCAATGTTGTACCCGTGGAGCACGCCAGGGAGAATGTCTTTCGGGAATCTTTGCGCGAGGTTCGCTGCTCCACTTTGAATGACAGCCGTTGGATTGACGGTTGGGGCTTTTTGAGTCAAATTGGCGACCAGCCTGTTCTGAAAGACGTTTTGAGCGATCGAGATGAAAAGTGCTCCACTCAAGCTTTGTGCAAATGTAATGATCGCGATGCCGATAGGTATATCCTCTAATGGTAGAACCGTCTGCAGCGCATTGATGCATTGCTGAAATCCAACCCCGGCCCCGACGCCTATAATCACCTGGTATCCAATCCATTCAGCGTGTGATGTGTCGAGTTGGAATGTCGTACACAGCCCCGATCCGATCGTGAGAAGTGCGCTGCCGACGTACATGAGGGGAGTGTAGTATCCGAGCAGGTTGACCAGTAATCCCCCGAATGCCGAACAAACGATCATCGATACCAACATGGGTAGGTTATTGATTCCAGAATCTGCTGCTGATTCACCTCGGATGGCTTGAAACCATATCGGGAGCTATTTCTTGATGTATTAGCATTTGTAAGGTTGGTTGATCAGAGAAAGACCCACGTAGTACCCGAAGACGAAGAATGAGCCTCCAAGAAACATCGCGTGAAGAACAGCACCGAATACATTGCGATTCTTGAGTAACCGGGGCGGGACGGTAGCTTCATCTTGCTTCCAAAACTGAATCACACACCAGATTGAGCCGAACACCCCGAAAAGCACGAAGAGGATGATTATTCGCGGGTCTCCCCACGGATACTTGGTTCCTCCCCATTGAAGACCCAGTAGGATCGAGATGATGGCAGGCATGAAAACGGCCACTCCCCACGGATCCATTCGCTTGATCTTGCGCCATCGGTCGGGCTCGCGTTTCTTGTCGCTTTTCGCATCTTTGAAGAAGAGGATGATGAAGAGTCCAGTGATTGCGCCCAGCGGTATGTTGATGTAGAAACACCATCGCCAACTAACTCGATCGGTGAGCAACCCGCCCAGACTAAAATGTGTCAGTTTATGTGTCATTTTTTTAATGAGGTGATGCTCTCACAGAGGTCCAGTCACAGTCGCGATGCCGCTCGTACTACCGATTATACCAAAATAGAGCGCGCGGCGATGAAGCGGTAGACTGTTGGCGAGAACTAAGAGCGCGCCCGGGGAAAGACCGCCGGACCCGATTCCCGCGATTGCTCTCCCGAGTATCAGGCCTTTCGAGGTGGGTGTCACGGCACACGTTAAAGAGCCGATTTCAAAAAGTGCCAGCGCGATGATATATGTCCATTTCGTTGAGTAGTAGGTGTAAATCTTGCCGAAGGGGGAGGGTTACCGCGCATGTTGTCACGAGATATGCGCTTGCGTACCAGGACAGGTCCTCGAGTGAGTTGAACTGTTCTGTGATTTTGGGAACGGCGGTCGCTAAGATCGTGTTGTCCTACACGTCGAGTGTGTTAATATTCTCACATGACCCGCTGCGGTGTTCTTCTCAGTGCTTACCAAGGCAATACAAAATGACTGGAAACACAGTCCCACAAGAATAGGGACCAGTTTTGCTGGTGATGGGTATTCCTTCCTCTCATAATTGAGAATATCGTCGGTTCCAGACTCTTTCAAAGGGATATCATCCCGAGCCTCCAGAAATCCATCATGACAGTCTTTCATCCCTGAACTGTCTGTCGTAAAGTGGATAGGAGATCCCCACAGTCGCAAGTTCGACCGTGAAAATTTCTTCCCCTCAGGATTCTTGAAACATTCGGATTAAATTGTAGTTGTTGATGGGTATAGGTAGAATCTACCCGTCTCGACTAGGGCCAGGGTCCATAGCTACCCTTGTAGTAGAGCTAATTGTGACCTTAGCATTGCACCCAGCCTTTAGCTACCATGCAAGGGGTGGCCCAAATCTCCGTCTCGTATGTTGCCGCTTCGTACGCGTTGACCCTCAAGAGCTCCCTTTCCCACACATTCTTTGTAGCATGCCATCGCCCAAGCTCGGTAGACACGGAGCTTATCTAGAGTTTTCTGTCTTTCTCAACCCTTCTCATTATGCAACAAACCACGCTCTTGATTATTCTTTGGTTACGAAACAGATTTAAAAAAAAATTCTATTCCACTCGCATTGTTTGGATGATAAACCATGTCACCTTCCGGGGAACACGACCTCCCAAGAATAACATTCCAGAGGCGCTTTATCCCTGTTTGACGATTTGTGCAGAACCTTCGATACCCCTGGCGGAAATTTATTCAATAAGACTGGAGTTTCCTACCCGTCATATGATCATATTGCATAATAACAGTATCATAGGCTTCTGTCACATTCACAGCGGGATACTACGTCTATGGCTGAATCGAGACTGTCAGGCCTTGTTCAAGCAACTGCAGTGTAAAGCTCCCCATTATTTTGGCATTCAATAATTCTGCTTTTCTGGCTGCTGAGCAAGTATTACGTATTCCGGCTAGACTATTTACCTTTGAGTGCATGATATGGTTTTGTCAAAGTCGGACAGTGTGACCTTTTTCCTTTCTAAATACAGTCGGATGCGTTCCCGCTCCTCGTACTCGTTTGTCTTACGCGGCTACCCGGAACTAGAGCCCTTATGCTTTCAAGTGTTGAGTTAGAATCGTTAGAATCTCGGCACATTAAGCGAAGAGCTCCATCTTCCACTCTAGATATGCTGGTAGGTCTCCACATTCGAATCTGCTCAATCCTCGGTAAGTGGTACGTACAATTACTACAAAATATGTCAACTACGGCTGACGGTACTTTTTAACTTTCAAAGTCCACAAGTGCCCAACATTCGCCAGTCGCAATGACAGGGATACGGAAGAAGGGGGCAGGATCCGCGAAGCTTCGTGCATGTGCTCGGATAGCTGATCATGAAGGGGTCCCGAGTCCCGATCGTGTGGATGGCCACAAGTTTCCGGAATGCTGCTGGGAATTCGGACCCGGAGCTTTCTTTGTGTCCACAGCTTGGCTGACACCATCTGATCTCCGTTCAAAAGCTCCGGGGAGTAGCTGTTGGGTCTTTTTGTTTGATACTGGTGACGCATTGAGTGTGTGGTAACTTCGTGTTGCTTGCTTCCAAGGTTCGATACACAATGGATGTTGATGCGCGAGAGGCTCGTCGTCCCTTTCTAGAATCTACCACAAGTCACCATGAGCTTCCACGTCGCAAATTGGAAGTGTTCAAAGAGTATAATCAAATGCATGATCATCGCACGCGTATCCAAGTAGTCGGTAAGCTGCTTGCCAAGTGCCGAGACCCGTACTGAATTGTCGGTAATTTCGGGCCTTCGATTTCTACCACGCCTCGGATGGACGCTCAACAGCACCCCAGCCCTGGAGTTACGCGGTTCAGTTTTTGTAAAACCAGAATTATTTTCAATTTGGAACGACCGTGTTCGGTCATAAGATCTAATTGAACGTCAAACAAAAAACATCAAATTAGATTTTCCAGTTGGATGGAAATACTTCTCTGCATTAGTGCGAATATATTGTGGCTGAAATTGATCCGACGGATCCGACACCAGACGACAATACAATCACACTTCAGTCCGCGCATTCTTCGCAACAAAATTTCAAAGGGCATTCGATAGGTGCACCTGCCGTGATCCATGGATGTGACTCTTCTCAGGTTTCGATTTTTAGACGAGAGTAAGGTGTTTGTTTTGCAGGTTTCCAAGGATCCAAAACGTTTGCCAAGCCCGCGCCCCCTGACCCTCTTCCAAGGTTCCGAAATTTGCAACGTTTGGCAACTTCGAAAACAAACATCGACATGGACAGGACAGTACGGAGAATTCATTTTCCAAGGTCTCTCTCGTAGGGCACACTGGACCCATCTTCAGCTTCTAGAAATGCTGATCTTTCGGTGAACTCCTGGAGAAGTCCACAGTGGGGTGTGCGCACGCCCTTGCAGAAGGCGATTCTAACGGCCCAACGATCGCGTGGCGCCGCCTCGTTCATCTTACTATTGAATCCTGCGATCCTTCCATATTCTGGGGTTGTATAGACACTCTTCTTGATATTACGTGCTGAAGCAAACATACAGCCAACATGGGAAGACCAATATAGGCACATCTACGCAGTCACAGGCAAAGTCATGATGCGTCGTCGATCTGAGAATCAGAGCCGCATTTTCCAGAAAGCAGGCCTGATCAGTTGAGGCCACCCATCGCCAATGGAGTCATCTCCCGGGCTGGACTGCAGACTTCGTGGCGACTGACAGAGCATTGCAGCAGGGCACCTTGACTCCACTGAGGATGCAGCTGAGGCGAACACGTTGACAGGTTGCAGACACATGGACCAACATGTGGCTCTGCGCGATGTGAAACAGAAGATAGATCACAGATCTGCGGGACGCAGAAGTCTGTTGCATACAGAAAAAGAAATGCATTAGATTCGTAAACACAGCCGTGTGTAGCCTAACGATATCGCGGAGTGCCTACGGAGTTCCGGACAGCCCCTTTTTGTCATAGGTATTCTATTTCTGTGTATCCCCGTGACTTATTTGTACACATCATGTGTTAAGCCGTGCTTATGCCTACTCGAAGTAGCTTCCGCCCGGGCAGAATTCCGCGACGGAGGAAATGCGCCCTGCACACTTGAGTCAAACGCAGCACAGACCGAGACGCCCGGGGCCAATTTTGAGGATCCGCACGCCATAGCTGATCCGGTAAACCTTCGCGATGTTTTGCGGCGCGGTGACCTCAGTGGCGGCGGAAGGCGCCTCGTGGTACCGTCGGCGTCCTGAACTCGCGATCAGGCGACGCAGATTGTGCCGTTCTAGAAGATGAATCGAGGGGCGCTGAGGGGCGCTGAGGGGTATGGGCAAAAGCATGGGAGAGATAGGGGAAGTATACTCCGTCCGTATGGGGAAAGGGGTCGCCCAACGACTGTCAATGTATCGCATGCATCAGGCCATGCGAGTAAAAAAGCAAATGAAACCAGCCTCAGCTGGAAAGAGGCGGGATGGAGAGTGGGCATTGTGCAATGGGACAGCGCCAACCCGGAACTGCCTTGTTGAGTAAGTCACATTGTGCATCCCCCAGGATTCGGTCGCAACCGCAGTGGAGAGACGAAATGGACGGAACCACTTGCGGATTGATTCGGCTGCTAGCGATAGCTAGCGCGGTCTTTTGAAGGTATTTTTTTTTCCCGGCAAACGCAGGCTATGCTGCTGCATTGGATAACCCTTGCCTACACACGCCCTCTGCCACAGTGCCCACCTCTGCTGGCCATTGACCGAGCGGGAAATGCGGTAGTCGTAGTCGAATTTGTGCCTTTCTCCTGAGAGTCTTGGCGATCGGCCAGTCTTGAGGCCCGATCCGCGAATCGCATGGCGAGGGGGGTGAATGTCACCACCCATCAGGCCAGCAAGCAGGTTTGGGAGCCGACAGCATCCTCGGGTATCCGAACATCGTCACCAGCATTATTGTCAGAAGATTTGGTGAGGTGGTGTGTAGTGATATTGCAGAGAGAAGCCAAGACGGGAGGTCGAGCGAAGCCTTCTGGGCAGTAGCTTATCGAGGGCTTGTCGTATTCAAGAGAAGGCGAAGCTTGCGAGGCGTTCTAGGCGCCAAGGGCTCGGCTTGGGGGCGGTTGACTGAGCACGACAAGTACCTGAAATATGCCCTATACACCAAGGCCACACACTAAGGTCGTAGAATGATTAAATGTAGTCAAGGTAGGCTACGGCAGCCACGAGTCTCGCTGGGCGGCGAGCAATGCGGTCGCGAAAATCGGGCTTTATTCTGCGGCGTTACTTCCCCTTTTGTACCTTCCTCATTATAGAGACATCTACTTACGACAGGTGTACATCCACCAAGGTACAGCTTTCCTCGCCCTGGCATCTTGATGCTCTGGCATGCTCAATCGAGATCTCTCGCGTGTTCGATCCTGGGGCAGGAATTCCCCCCGCAGACCCAGTTTTCTTTGACCCGGGGAGGTGAACCAACAGGAGCAGCTCCACTCTGCCTCATGACGCGCCATCCTGACAGGCTGACGAGATCGGCGGGCGCACTGGTCCGAGGGGTCGCCTACCATGCCCAGCAGGGACGGCCAAAAGCCTCAGACTGGGCTAACCGTACCTGGTGAACCCGAAGGCCGTCACCCGTCACCCGGCATCGCAGCCCGGCCGCACGCCCTCCTATTGGCGGTGCGGCCTTTCGCATGGCCCGGATGCTCTTACGAGTCTCGCAATTCCCGCGAGCCCAAGTCGGCACGCTGGGGGCCGTTGACACGCCCGTCTGTGCAAAACCTGGAGTTTGCCCGGGACGAACCAACCACAGCCCGCGCCGCGTGCCAGTATGGGGACGCCGCTGCCGTGGAGGTGGACCCTGTCCCCTGGCTCGTTCGAATCAATGACCCCGGACAGACGAGAACAGGAAGCCCTGACTGTCCCAGAAACGACCCCTGGTCCTCCGGGCGTGCTCACGGCCCCCGAATGGCTCGTTGGATGCGGACGCGCAGCGGGCTTTTAAATCCGGCCAGACCCCCAGGCTCGTCGATTGTTGCTCGACTTTTCTCTTGTCCTGTCTTGTGCCGTGTTGGGGTATTCCTTTGTATTACATAGGCGCTCCTTTTTGTTTGTCTCTTATATACCTTCGAGACCCCAGCTGGATCGGTAGTCCACCGAGTGTATATGACTGCAGCCCATCGATAAGCGAGAGATTTTGACCAAAGTCGCCCGCGAGTGCACAACTCCGCGATACTTCCTCGCCATGCCAACAAAGCGCTTTTTGGGCCTCAATGGCACCCAGCTCCAGATCGCTATCGGTGTTCTGGCGGGTATGGATTTCCTACTCTTCGGATACGACCAAGGTGTGACAGGTGGTCTGCTCACCCTCGACTCGTTCCGCAAATACTTCCCCACAATTGATACAACGGATGCCCACACTCAGGGTTGGTCTTCCGCAGAAAAGTCCAACCAGTCTACGCGCCAGGGTATCACCGTCGCTGCGTACAACCTGGGCTGCTTCGCCGGTTCCATCCCCACTATCTGGATCGGCAACATGCTGGGTCGCCGCAAGGCCATTTTCCTCGGTTCTTTCATCATGTGCATCGGTGCTATTCTGCAATGTACCTCTTATGAGCTCGCTCAGCTGGTCGTCGGCCGTCTGGTTACTGGCTTCGGAAACGGCATCAACACCTCTACAGTCCCAACCTGGCAGTCCGAGTGCTGCAAATCTCATCGCCGTGGCCAATTGGTCATGATTGAAGGCGCCATGATTACCTGCGGTATTACCATTAGTTACTGGATCGATTTCGGCCTGATGTTTGCGGATCCCAACGAAGTCGCCTGGCGCTTCCCCCTCGCCTTCCAGATTTTCTTCGCTGCCATCATTCTAGCTTTCGTCATGTTCCTGCCCGAGTCCCCCCGCTGGCTCATCTTGAAGGGTCGCGAGGAGGAGGCCCGCGAGGTTCTGTCCTGCCTGATGGGCGAGGAGACGGACGAGGTCTTCATCGACACCGAGTTCACTGCTATCAAGGCTACCGTCTTGGAGATGGCTAAGGGTTCGTTCCGCGATATGTTCACCATGGGTCCGGATCGCCACTTCCACCGTACCATGCTCGCCTACGTCAACCAGATGTTCCAGCAGATCTCCGGTATCAATCTGATCACCTACTACATTCCGACTATCATCGAGGACCAGATCGGTCTGAGCGGCACACTCTCCCGTTTGATCTCTGCCTGCAACGGTACCGAGTACTTCGCCGCCTCCTGGGTGGCCGTCTTCACGATTGAGAAGTTCGGTCGTCGTACTCTGATGCTCTTCGGTGCCGTCGGCATGTCGCTTTCCATGGTCGTTCTCGCCATCACCGACTCCATCTCCGCAGCCAACAAGGGCAACCCCACTGGTGTGGCTGCCGGTATCGCGCAAACCGTGTTTTTGTTTGTATTCAACACCTTCTTCGCCATCGGCTGGCTCGGTATGACCTGGCTGTACCCTGCCGAGATCGTGCCTCTGAAGATTCGTGCCCCGGCCAACGCCCTGTCGACCTCATCCAACTGGATCTGGAACTTCATGGTCGTCATGATTACCCCCGTTGCCTTTACCAACATCGGCTACAAGACCTACGTCATCTTTGCTGTCATGTAAGTCTGAAATCACCAGCGTAACCAGTATTCATTCTAACTTGTGTCTAGCAACGCCGCCATCGTGCCCGTCGTTTACTTCTTCTTCCCAGAAACCACCATGCGTTCCCTGGAGGAGATGGACCGCATCTTCCACAAGACCACCAGCGTGTTCGATGTCGTCCACCTGGCCCGTACCGAGCCTCACATGTACGGTCCTAACGGTGAACTCCTCCGCACACTCGACGACGTAGAAGACGAGGCTGTCCGCCGCGCCAGCGTGCTCACCAATCCAACCAAGCACGCCCAAAAACACCGCGAGCATGCCGAGAAGGATAGCGATGGGAATACGGCCACCAGCGATGAGAAATGAGCGCGCCCAATACTTGTCAGAATTTGCTGGCAGTAAGCCAAGGAGCTGCGCTTCGCTCTCGCTTCCCGCGTATGGGAAAGGTATGCCGTGATGATTCACGACTTACCAACTACCCTCGGTTCGCCGAGGTTCACTTTCTTTTCTGTTGCATCTGTTTGCCTTCGACAGTCTCCAATACCCATATTAGACTGATGTCACTTGCATAATTAATTTGGTCTCTGATCTATTTGATCTGCTCTTAGTAGGACGTAGATATCGGCTGCGGCCGATTGTGTCTGTAGGGCTGTCTGTAGATACAAGGTCGTTGACTGATTAGGTTGTATTCTGCTGTTGATATGCTCCGCTGTGGCCACATCGTAGATGCGGGCTAGTGATTAGTGTCGGTCCACCGAGTCGTTCTGATAAGTCTCTGTCCTCACCGAAGAGGAAGGCCACGATGACTGAGACATAGAATGGATGACATCTGGTAATTTTCATGCGTATTCTGTCCGTTACAGTATCATGGTCCCCCATTGTAATATCGTCCTTGAGCAGAAATGAGCACCTCACAGTGTTACAAATGGATCACGAGACCGGAGCCCGGAACTCGACCCCATATCTGGCCAGTGGAAAATCCACGCCAAGTCTAGAATAAAATGATTTCATTTACAAATATTTACAGGTCCGGGGTGGATTGCATCAGTGGGGTTGGGTGTTGTTTTCTTCATTTTGCATTTCGGTAAGCGTTTGGATGGGTTGTCAAGCGGTTGATCAGGCGTGAGGGAGGTGTCAGTCGAAATTAGGATCTCCTCCGGAGGTTCGACTTGGAGGGCCATGGGGATGTACTCCCCCGCTTGCACATGTATATGCTCTGGCTTCCTCTTCGACAACTCTCCAAAATTCAGGCCATGTCAGCGGAGAAATACAAGAGATTCTCATATGGTTTTCCGGTACATGCGGGATAAAAAGGTTTAGGTTGGCTCGTATACAAATGGATGATAGCGATGGTGGTGGCTTTGAGCTCGTGGCTGATATTCGCTGTCGGTTATCGTTGCTCGATCTTACTGGATTATTACCAGTTTTATACCGGCAACGCAAAATATTCGTGAAACACTAGTACAATTCAATAATACCGATTGGAGAAAAGAGAGCGAAGAAGAGAGCGTCGGGAACTGTCTATGGGAGCTGTCACGTGAGCCCAACAACGGTTATCATGCATCTCGTCGTCCCGAGAGCGCCATCACGTGAGAAGATGAAAGGCCAGGTTGAATGGACAGGAGAAGAGCGATAAGACGATCAGCAGGAACTTAGGAATACTTCGGGGCGGGCCTTGTAGTATGTAGTCGCTGAATTGTGATGTGATAGGCATAAACTCGTGGAATCTCAACAGAAAGAGAGTTCATGTTTGTCCTCAATTCTCCCTTTCGTCTGTTCATGCAGACTCGGCTACTAGATATGCAAATGACAGAGCGATTTTACTTTCAGAAAGGGATTAATCACAGCACTTTCGTCTCTGATTCGTCATTTTGAAGCAGGGGGCATCAGGAATATAACTAGAAGCACTATACACAAAGCATTATGGGCAGCTCAAACCACTTCCTCATGGGTAGCGCCCTCAGCATCCTTTCCAGCCATAGCATTTACCTCTTTCTGCTTCTCGACTTGTTCGCCGAACTTGTCATGGACCTTGTTGCTTTGCCACGCCTTGAAGTCCGAGTCGAAAACCATGTCGATCTCCTCGAGAGTCCGACCGGCGGTCTCGGGGTACATGAAGAAGACGTGAAAGGTCATGACGCAACAGAAGACACCGAAGATTATGTATGTCTTCCATTGGATGTTGTGGAAGGCCGGAGCGACAAAGTATGCTAGGGCGAAGTTGAAGATCCAGTTGGCGGAGGCGGAGAGTCCAACACCCTTGGCTCGGTATTTCAGGGGGAAGACTTCGGATGCGTAGACCCAGGCGGCTGGAGCCTAGTAGGAGGTTAGTCAGATATTGAAGAAAGGCATAGAGCGAATGACATACCCATGTGAAACCGTAGATTCCGGTGAATATGTAGGAAAAGGCAATGACTGCCATGCCGGAGCTGCCCTTGATTTCCCAGGTCAGGTTGTAGTTTCCATCAATGTTGGTTACTGGGTTGCCCCGGCTGGCCATGACACCGGCGATGATAAAGTGGACGACCATGCAGGCAACGGCACCCGTCAGGAGCAAGACGCGACGACCGATCCGGTCAATATAGGGTAGCATGACACCGGTCGTGACCAGGAAGATGACGTATTGAATAGCCGATGACCAAAGAGTGGTGTTTCCAGTCTAGACATGTCAGTTCCCGGGCCCTCTTCCTTTCCAAGAACGGAACTCACCATTCCGGCCATCTCAAAGATGTACACAACGTAGTACATCGCAACATTGCCTCCCAGGAGCTGCTGCCACATCTGCACACTCATACCACAGACAGTGCGCTTCCAGATTCTCGGTCCGAACAGAGCAAGGAAAGAAACATCCTTCGATTGGTGAGCCAATCGTGCAGCTTCCTGAACCTCATCAAACTCAACCTGCACAACAGGGTCATTGCGGTTACCCTTGCCATGGATCAAAGCCAGGGTATCCAGCGCTTCCTCCCAGCGCTCCTTTCCGGCCAACCATCGCGGCGACTCGGGGAAGAAGAAAAGCGCAATGAACAAGATCAGACCTGGAACAGCCTGAATGCCCCAGCAGATCCGGAAAGCAGCCGGACCAGACACGCCCACCGCGCAGCCATATGCAATCAGATACATAATCAGGATGCCCCATTCAATAGCCCATTGTTGAATACCCACGACACGACCACGAATTCGTGCAGGTGCCAGCTCGGACAAGTAGACGCAGGTTTGTGAGGAGGTCACACCAACAGCGAGGCCGCTGACCACGCGACCAGCGACGAGGTGGGTGACGTTTTGTGCGCTGCATTGGACCATCGCTCCGACGATCCAGACGAGTGATGCGACCATGAGTGAGCCGCGACGGCCGAGGTAATCGGAGAGCCACCCGGCAGCAATCGATCCGGCGAAGGAGCCGGCGGACATGGATGCTGTGATCTAAATTGGTCGAGATTAATATGTTGAGCTGATTTGGTGGGGCGAGGTCGTTGCATACTCCGCCTTGCAGGTTGGAATCGGGGTTCCCAAAGTAATCGGTATAGGTGTCCACGCCAATCCATGCGCTCATGGAGCTGTTGCATGTTAGCCGTGCACGATTGCTGACGGGCGGTGTGGTCTACATACCTGACATCGAAGCCGAAGAGCGCTCCGCCGATGGTGCCGAATGCGGCGAGGACTATCGCATGTTAGCAAGCTGTTCAAGCCTCGGGTAGACGGTGAGAACACATACCGTAGATATTCGAGATCCGATACATGATGTTGGCGAGCCTCGAAAAGGTTGGAGTCCAGCACATATGCGGCCCGGGGCTTTATAAGACGGGATCCAAGACCCCGGTCCATGCGCCTCGTTCGGGAAGGGCGTCGACCGCAGGAGCTAGGAGGGCATAGCGTAACGAAGTGGCATTGCACCACATCCTGCCGGACGATGCCCCATCGCGGAAGGGATCAACCGGGGAAATGTGGAGAGGTCGTCTGGAGAGGGACGAGTCCGGGGCACCGGGGAAGCACCCATCGTCATTGGAGGAGCCCCGGCAGCACGCGGCCAGTCGGGGCATTTCGAGCGGTTCGGCTTCGGTTGCGGGCGCTTTTTAACCGATCGAATTTAGCCGGGAATCCGGTTGAGAAGTTATGGTGTTTTGCCGAATGTTTTAGCAGAGGTCTGTGGTCTTGTGAGTCAGCTATTTTTTTATTGAAGCGCGATTTTACTTTGCATTCATTTTCTATTCTTTCTTGTGAGATCCCACGCTCATTCTGAGAGGCAATAGTATATATATTCAATGTGAAACACTCCGCTGGCGAGGACTACCGATCGGCATGCCGACGTCATGGCACCGAGAACACCCTGAGTATTCTACCGCCATGCAGCCTCCCGGGATCGTCATCTGGCTCTGGATAAGGTGAGTTGGGGAGGAGATTGATTCGATGCCGACAATTACCGGTAAGATCGATCATTTTCGATGAGTTCTCGTTCAACCAACCAGAGTCAACTGAGACACGTCTCTTTTGCGGTCCCTCTCCCACCCTCAAAAAAACAAAAAGAAAATTCTGAGCTGGAATTGAAGTTACTCAAAAGCTGGATTTATCTCAATCGTTGGAATTGAGACCTTCGTGGGCAGCTGCGTTTACGGGGGTGGAGCTCTGGTTATCGCGTGAGTGACGGAACGTGCTGTATCTGGGGATGGGAATTACCCGAGCAACCCACCCATAGAGCTCGACCCAGACAGTGTTTCAGCTAACATGATTTGGGTCCATTTGCCTACTGAGCTTCTTTTACCAGACCAAGCACTCCACCAGAGACCTACTATGAAGCCTGCAATTGACTAACCAAGCTCCACGGACAAGATCACTCACACTCCAAGAACGACTCGAAATGGACACAATTTCTCGCGTCGGCATTTTATAACCACTCATTTCCTACAAGATTGCTGGAACTTCGTAATCCGACTCTTAATCTAACACTATCGCTCCAAATAGAGAAGCGACTTAGAGCTAGTCGTGCCGACGAAGCATTATTCACAAATCGGCCCGTTGTCTTCTCAGCGCCACGGCGCCGCCACTGAGGGGCTCTGGCTTGGAACGCGCGGCTTTGTGCCGAGCAGTCCGGGGGTGATCCTACCCCTGTTCATCGTGAGGTTGTGGCGTCTTCAAGAGGTCAGGGCACTACGCCACGGGCGTGGTCATAGCTTCAGGCGACGTATATATGCATGATCGTAGAAGTCTGGTATAAACCATGACTTGGGCACAGGATGCCGGGTAATCGTTATCAGGCTCGTGTTGGGGCCAGCTCTCGGGTAATAATTGGATTGGATGTTACATTCGCGCCGCCGGGATGTTGCCTATTTGATAGAGCCTTGTCCGTCTCTTGAATCACAGCTGTCAGGACCGTTCTCCAAGGTCGCTCCGTCTGTCTTTCTGTTTGAACATTTTCTGCTTGAATCGTGTGAAAACATCCATTGGACACATTAAGCATGATTTTGGAGGTCGTTCATTCAATTGGCTCGCTTATTTCGTTGGCCATGTACAGGGACTTTGGTTCACCTGTGGGAGTTGACAAGACTCCTTCCTGAAGTACTCCGCGCATTGTGACGTCCTTCGGTGTTTGGATGGAGCTTCTGTCCGTAGCTGGCCGTCTAGGGTGCTCGAATAATGACTCCCGGTAGAACCAATATTGAAGGTACCGGAGATCGATTGCAGTGTACCCTTCAGGATCAACAGAGCGGAAGCAAAATGGAAATCCACAGCTATGATACTTCCGGATAGCCAAAAAGGCTCCGAGTGGTATCAATGTTTGCAAATAGTTTTGATCTTCAAGTTGGCAGCCGTTGAATGAATCGCTGATTCGAGCCTGAGGTGACGGAGTTGCAAGGGCTAGAGTCTGCATCTGATTGGCTATCGGCCATATCGGCTGTTACACGGCATTTTGCTTACGACCGACAGCTCGCGGCCGACTCCTTTCCACTCTCTACTTCTCACTACGAAACAGTTTGACCCCAGCAGTTTCTCATGGAGACTCAACCCCGCCGACGTCGAAGGCCAGCTCGGTCTTGTATTGAGTGCCGCCGTCGCAAAATCCGCTGCGACCGCATCGACCCCTGCAACCACTGCGTCTCCGCTCAGACGCAATGCACCTACATGGTGTTCAAGGATCGACTCGATTCTGCCATTCGGTCTCAGGAGGCTAACTTAAGAGGCTCTTCAATTAACACTCTAGCTCCTTCCCTTTTGTCGCATACTGGACAGGCAGGAAGCAGACCCGCCAAGGAATCCCAGAGTGCTGCCATTAGGTCACCATCACCAACCACAACAGCACAGAGTTATCATGAAAACGTGGCTGGTCAAATAATTGTGGGGCTTCCAGGGTCTACAATAAATGAAGAACCAGACGTCCGAGACCTCCTCCGGCGCATCCAGAATCTTGAAGACTCATCCACGAAGAAATACACGCACGGATTATCGGAGACTAGTCCTGGCATATTTGAACGCCCATCCCGTATGGAAAAATCCCCCTGGGTGTTCACGAAGACAAGGGTCATGCGATGGAGTTTGTGGATGGGCACAGCAAAAGAGGTATCTGGTGCCCTGACATCCCCGGGACTCCCGCTAATGATATCACTAGTTGGAACCCTTCATAGCCTGCTACGCCGAAACTACTGGCAAAGGTCAGGGCGACTCATTCCAAGGCGAAGAATCAAAAGTCGTCCTTTCCGAGGCTCGAATACTTCTCCAAAGATGCAAAGCTGTAGCCAGAAGTATCAAGACTTGGCGACCTAGCCGAACGTTATCGAACCCCCAGGTCGACCTTGTCCCACCCTCCCGCGAGATATCGGATGCGATGTCAAATACATACCTAAACTACTTCGAGTCAACGAATCGAATCCTTCATATACCAACTTACTGGGCCGAGTACAAGAAATATTGGAATGATCCGCAAAGCGCTTCGACTGAGCTGCGTCTCAAACTTCTTTTGGTGATTGGGATAGGGTCAAGTATCTACTGGTCAACTACCTACCGGTTAGCTATCTCCCGAGAGGATGAAGCATGTGAATTTCACAAAAGGGTTCACCGCTGGGTATATGCTGCTCAGGCGTGGCTTGCGGGGCCACTTGAAAAAGACCGACTGAGTGTCTCTGCCCTACAAATTGACTGCCTGACAGTTTTGGCGCGCCAAATATTCTCCATCGGTGCCGACCTTGTCTGGACTTCCATGGGATCACTTATCCATAAGGCTATGCAGATCAATCTGCATCGTGACCCCAAGCATCTCTCGGGTATCTCGGTCCTACAAGCCGAGGTACGTAGAAGGCTATGGGCAACTATTGTTGAAATGACGGTGCAGGCGTCTTTGGATTCAGCAATGCAACCTGGAATTCCTGAGTCTGACACTGAACCTCCTTCGAACCTTGACGACGCAGAAATGGACGAGACCAGCAAGAGTCTGCCATTTCACCCGCGAAGCACTCATACTCTTACCTCGATGCAACTTCTTCTGCTTGACTCGCTTCCGGTTCGACTCCGTATAGTAAAGCTATTGACCAATTTGAAATCAGAGATCTCATACTTGGACGTCATCGAATTAAGCTCAAAGCTCACTGACGCCTGCTGCGCATGCAGTACATACTTGAAAGAGAATTCCGAGCTCAGCATCCCAAGATTCAATCGAAACCTCATTGACTATCTTGTGCGTCGGTTCATGATACCCCTGCACTGCTTGTTCACCACTACAGCTCGAGAAAATCCATTTTTCTCCTTCTCATTGAAGGCCAGCATGGAAGCAGCCACGACCATCCTATCACCAGAGCCTGATATGTGCTTCGATATTCTCATGGCAATGGGCGGGGGTCTATTCAGAGAGGGAATATGGTGTGCTATGACGGTTATCAGCATCGAGTTGCTGGCACAAGCAGAATCCCAGCGACTAGACGGCACTCTACTCCGAAATCGGGGATACATCGGGTTTCTCAAACAGAATGTCAGCAAAATGCTCCCATTCGCCACTGAGAGAATTCGACAAGGCGAGACAAATATCAAATGCCATATGTTTTTGGAGATGATTCTCGCTCATGTTAATGCGATAGAGACGGGGGGTGACCATGAATTGAGCATAGCGGAGGGTGCGAAGGCTAGCCTTGAATTCTGCCTCGGGATTTTGCAGAAGCGCGCTGAACAAGGTTCCTTAGCGAGCCCCATGGACATAAGTCTTCCATCTGGAGGTCCTGATGACGGTTTGGGAGAATCGGGATCTTTGTTTGACTTGGGCTTGGACTGGGATTTCCTTTTGCCAGATGCGGGTCTCGCTTGAATTGTTTCCTCTATCAGCATGCTGTAATTAACATAACTCGACGAATGAACTCTAGGACCGAACCTTATGTTCAAAACGTGGAGAGCCTTGAACAAGCTACTAGGAATAGGTTAGAGTTGGATGCATAGTTGTCTAGAGTAAGCTTAGATAAGACGTCGTTATGGCCGCTTACGACCGAACAGGCGGAGATAGTCGGTCGAAGCAATTTGCCGACGCGTTCGAAAGGGTAGTATTTAAACCGGAATTTTTCTCTTCATTGCAAATCAAACGAACAGCTTGAGTTTAGTTTATGTCAACTTCTATGCGCCTGTCATCTCACACGCTCCTGAAGCAATGAAGATCCTCATCAGCGGCGCCGGTATCACAGGCAACGCCCTTGCCTTCTGGCTCTCAAAGCTAGGCCACGCGGTCACCATCATCGAGCGATTCCCCGAGCTTCGAGTCTCAGGCCTCCAAGTCGACCTCCGCAGCCACGGTGTCGCGGTCATGAAGCGGATGGGTCTCGAGGAGGCATTTCGTGCGCATTCGATTCCAGAACAAGGCATGCAAATGGTCGACAAAAAGGGCCGACGACGCGCGTACTTTCCCGCTAGCAACTCCTCGAACGTCAAACTTGGATTCAGCTCCGACTTTGAGATTATGAGGGGGGATTTGTGTCAGATTATATACGATGTCGCCAAGGCGCGGGCAAGCTATGTTTTTGGGACGTCGATTGCGAGCTTCGAGCAGAAAAGTGATGTTGTTGATGTGAGGTTTGTGGATGGCACGTCGAACCAGTTTGATCTGGTTGTTGGTGCGGATGGCCTTGGATCGCGTACTCGAAAATTGATGCTTGGAGATGAGGCTGCCGATGCATTCCGACCACTCAATGGAATGTATGTTGGGTACTTCACCTTCCCAAAGCCCATTGAAGATGACGAGGAATATGTCGCTACAAACTATATGGCGACTGGGAAGCGAGGCATCATGGTTCGAAGACACAATGCGCGCGAGGTCCAGGCCTATGTTGGTGGACAAACCAACTCCGAACGGCTCAAGAAGGCATTGGCAGGAAGTGTCACGGAGCAAAAGGGGGCATTAACTGAGATGCTGCAAGGCGCCGGATGGAAGGCTGATGAAATTTTGGAGTCGCTCAAGGGTTCCGACAATTTTTACTGCGAGCGAATGGGCCAGGTTAGATTGGAGCATTGGTCTCGTGGTCGTGTTACACTTGTTGGAGATGCTGCCTACTGTCCAACAGCAATGACGGGAATGGGTACCACTTCTGGTATTGTCGGGGCTTACATCTTGGCTGGCGAGATTGGGAGGCACTGCAGGAATTCTTCGTCTTCGCATTCTAAGGAAACACAAGGTACACCTGACCAACTGCTGGGGGCCCTGGAAGCCTACGAACAGAAGTTCCAGCCTTTTATGAGTCAGGTTCAAAAAGGAGTATCTTTTGAGAATGGCGGCATTTGGGAGAGAGTCTCGGCAACAGCATTTGGAATCGCTGTCATGAACCATCTGATGGGGGTGGCCTCTTTCTTGAGGTTGGATCTTTTGAGCCGGTTTCAATCCGATGTCGTCACAAACTGGGAACTGCCAGTATACGAGGAGCTGCTACGTGACTAGGCCTGTGGTCGAGGGTATTTTGATTCTTGTTCATACTCTACTCGTTTCTATAGAAATACAATCTTCAGAAAATCGGCCCCACATCATGCGATTATCAGCCACCATGTTTGCTCTTCCGAGAATCATTGCCGGGTCGGTAGGCATTTCTTCAACGAGTAGACATCACTGAGCTTTCCACCAATAGAATAAATTTACCAAGACATTAATCATGCGCTTAATGCATTCATGCATAAGCTGTAGCGTGCCTGGAGCGTTGAACGCAGCGGGGTCACTTGAAGTATCCGGTGTATCCTCAACTTGTATCAGAGGACATGGTGGAGTATGATGCAATCGTTGATGAAAGGCGGGAATGTCGTGATACAGCTTTGGATGAGCTGGAGAGCAGTGTTCGAAGGAGCATTGCCAATTATGTCGAAGTTATGTTATGGTTCTAAACTCGTACCGGCCTCGCACCCTTCGATAGTAGCCCTCATTCAATTTTTTTCGAGGTCGTTTCCTTTTCATTTCTCACTTGGGGCCAGCAGCAGGTAGTGCGACCTACAAGGAATCCTCACGCAGACCCCACACTTTGCGGAGAAGTGGGGAAGCGGGCGAGACCGCCCTTTACGACCGTAAACAAGACGATGCTACCCCGGGGATCTGTGCTTTAAGATCGACCTCGCCCATTACCTGATTCTCCAAAGTGCACCTCTGACTGGCACGTTATCATGCTACACATGGCACGATCCGATCACACCGATCGGCATGCGGATTGCTCTAACAAGTCAATCCCTCGTGGAATGTACGACAGACGCGACATGTTTGCCGCGTCTGTCCCCTGAAAGTTCACATCCGCTAATATCAGCTTGTTCTTCAACAATGTTCTCCGCATTCGAGTCGGATGGGAATTGACCCGGCGACAACCCACGGCCTCCCCTGCCTGCGTGAACCTGGTTCTTCTCGAATACCCGATATTATCCCGGATCAATACCGCCCGAGCTTGAGGCATAGACTAAAAAAGGCTACTAGAGAGCTTTTGTTCACTTCGTCGTGGACACGTTCGGCCTCGGGGCTATCCGAGTGTTCGAGTCTATAAATTGGAAGGTGATGGCACATGCGAGTTACAGCAACCACGCGCAACCATGGGTCTCAAGACTTACTCGTTTGGGCTGTTTCTCAGCCTCTCACTGAGCTTGGTTACTCAGGCTGAGAATATCACAAGTGACACCTACTTCTACGGCCAATCTCCACCCGTCTATCCGTCCCGTACGCTGCCCTTCCTCCCGCGCTTGTGCTCAATCGCTAACTTTCTAATTCCCAGCCGAGGGAACCGGGTCTGGCGAGTGGGCCGCTGCGTATCAGAAGGCAAAGGAATTCGTTGGCAAGCTCTCGGACAAGGAGAAATTGAACTTGACTGCAGGTACCTCAGTCAGCAATGGATGCTCGGGGAACATCTCGCCTATTGAGCGCCTGGGCTTCCCTGGATTCTGCGTCTCGGATGCTGGAAATGGGCTGGTATGTCTCCGAGTACATTCATTGTGGTATACTTCTGACTGCTAGCGCAGAGAGGAACCGACTATGTCAACAGCTGGCCGAGTGGACTACATGTGGGAGCCAGGTATGAGTGAAGCAAGCACCCCTAGTTAAGTCAAATACTAACTCGCGACAAGTTGGAACAAGGGCCTCGCCAAGCAACGCGGAGCCCACATGGGTGCCGAGTTCCGTCGGAAGGGTGTCAATCTCCTCCTTGGCCCCGTTGTCGGCCCTCTTGGCCGCATCGCCGAGGGTGGGCGCAACTGGGAAGGCTTCGCCGATGACCCATACCTTTCTGGCAAACTAGTATACGAGACTGTTCACGGAATCCAATCATCAGGGGTCGGGGCTTCTACCAAGGTACTCCATCTTCTATCCAAACTCAGAACCCGGCTAATGACAATAGCACTACATTGCCAACGAACAAGAGACCAACCGAAACCCCGGCAATAATGAACAGGGCGAGTACACCGAGGCCGTCTCGTCGAACATCGATGACAAATCCATGCACGAACTATACCTTTGGCCTTTTCAGGATGCGGTTCTCGCTGGGAGTGCTTCGATCATGTGCTCGTATCAGCGCATCAACAACTCCTATGGGTGCCAGAACAGCAAGACTCTCAATGGACTTCTCAAGACCGAGTTGGGTTTTCAGGGTGAGTTTGGACTCGCAAATCGCTTTTACATATGCAAGCCTAACCGGAAACAGGCTATGTGATCACCGACTGGGGCGCGCAACATGCTGGAATTGCAGGCGCCAATGCAGGCCTGGACATGGTAATGCCTTCTTCTGATACTTGGGGTGACAACCTCACGACTGCAATCAAGAACGGCTCGATGGAGGCATCCAGATTGGACGATATGGTCACCCGGTAAATAACAAGCCAGACCTCACTCCTTGGCCAAAGAACTGCTGCTAATCATGATTTTAGTATCATGGCAACATGGTACCAACTCAACCAAGAAGAAGGCATCCCGAACCCCGGTATCGGAATGCCAGCAGACATCACAGCACCACACCAAAAGGTCGTCGGTAAATCCGCAGACTCCAAGTCCGTCCTGCTGCAAAGCGCAGTTGAAGGCCACGTTTTGCTGAAGAACATCAACAACGCCCTTCCTCTCAAGTCTCCTAAGATGATCTCGGTCTTCGGCTACGACGCTAACGGTCCCGATTTCCTGGAAGTATCTCTAGCGCAACAGGATCAAAGTCCTCTTTACCAGAACAATACTCTCTACACTGCTGGTGGCTCCGGTGCCAATTCTGCCGCGTACGTCGATAGCCCTATTGATGCTATCCTGCGCCAGGCCTATGAGGATGACACCTCCGTCATGTACAACTTCTACGATCAGAATCCTGAGGTTGATACTATCTCTGATGTTTGTCTTGTTTTTGTGAACAGCTATGCCAACGAGGGATATGATCGTCCCGATTTGAGCGATGAGTACAGTGACACGCTCATCAAAAACGTGGCGAGCAACTGCCCCAACACGATGGTCATCTCTCACAATGCCGGTATCCGGATCGTGGACGACTGGATCGAGAATGACAATGTTACGGCTGCTATCTTTGCCCACCTCCCTGGTCAGGATACAGGTCGCTCGCTTGTGGAAATTCTCTACGGTCGCGCTAACCCCTCTGGTCGTCTCCCCTACACTGTGGCTAAGAAGGCTTCGGATTACGGTGCCCTCATCTCGCCTGCTCAACCGGAGGGCGAGTACTGGCTTTTCCCACAGGATGACTTTACCGAAGGTCAATTCATTGATTATCGCGCCTTCGATAAGAAGGGGATTACGCCGCGCTTTGAGTTCGGATTTGGATTGTCCTATACCACTTTCAAGTACTCTAGTCTATAGATGCAGAAGTCTGATAAGGATACATCGCAGTATCCTCCTAATGCGACTATTGTCGAGGGTGGAAACCCGCGTCTGTGGGATGAGCTGATTACGGTCACCGCGGAGATCCAGAATACCGGGAGTGTGGATGGTGATGAGGTTGCTCAGCTTTATCTGGGAATCCCTGGGGGTCCAGTTCGTCAGCTGCGTGGATTTGAGAAGATTTCTATTGCGTCTGGGCAGAGCAAGACCGTCTCTTTCTCCCTGAAGAGACGCGACTTGAGTAGCTGGGATGTCAATGCTCAGCAGTGGGCTTTGCAGGATGGAGAGTATAAGCTCTATGTTGGGCACTCGAGCAGGAACCTCCCTCTCACCTCCTCTTTTTCGATCTGAGACTGATCCTGAACACTGAGGCCATTTTCGGTCCTTTTCTCCGTTGGCTCCCTTTTTTAACTCTCTGGAAGGCACTCTTCTAAATTCAAATGTTCATACATCAGGCTCTACAAAGCTTTCAGAGAGACTTCTAATCATTCTATGAGATCTATTTCTTATCTCTAGTCTAGCCATCCAACACATATACAGGAAACTTAAAAAGAATACATCATCGGGAATCGAAAAACATCAAAGGATATCTAGAGCTTGCTCTTCGGGGGCTCGTTCTTGAGAACAGCCGCGTTCCAGGGATAGGGGTCGAACACCAAGTCATTGACTGGGTTCTCCTGGCTAGCCCGACGGAACAGATCCTCGTAGACGTTTCCGTCAGAGCGACCCAGACTGCTGTCGAGCTGCCAGTCAGGGATGGCCCAAGCATCCACTAGGCGGATCGCGTGGGGACGGACCTCGTCAAGCAGCTTCATCACTGCGGAGGTGCGGGTCAGGCTGATCTGGCGGACGGTGACGGCGCCCGATGAGAAGAACTCGGCGGCTTCGCGCTCGAGGGTGTGGAGGGAGTAGAGTCGGAAGAGAGCGTGCATGAGAGTCTTGGTCTCATTATCAAGGGATTGGGAGAGTTTGGGGGAGGAGACGGCTTCGTAGAAGTTCTTCACGACCAGGTACTGCGAGTGGGCAGTGGACAGGCGCCAGAAGTCGACCAGGAGGCTGTTCCATGAGCGCTTCTCAGCGTCACGGTGCTTCAGGGCCTCGAAGGTCAGGTGGGCGGTGCGCCAGGCAAAGGCGTCGACGATATCGGCGTCGTTCTCGAGAATGTCGAAGGAGGCACCCTTCTCCCGGCGGTCCAGATAGGTGCGAAGGATGCGGCTGGTGTCGTTGTCGGCGGCCTTGCCGGACAGAACAGCACGGGCAGACTTCAGTAGATAGCGGGCCACCTGCTGGGTCAACATGTAGTTGTCACCCTCCCAGGTCAGTGTAGGGAGGTAGTCAGAGTAGTACGATCCAATACCGCTGTAGCTGCTGTAACCGTGGCCACCGCAAGCACGACGGCAGACCTCCAGACCTTCACCGGCAGTAGTACTGGCAAGGGCCTTCAGACCGCAGGAAGTGGCATGCAGGTCGGCCAGCAGGTCAGCACCAGCACGAAGCTCCTCAGGACCAGCGCCCCGGTTGTCCTGGCCGGGGGAAGCAGCGGCCTTCATACGCTGCTGATTCTGCTCGTACAGGTTCATCATGCCACGGCCAGTGAAGTGCAAGGCGTACATGGAGGCTAGGAGAGGAAGCAGGCGGACCTGCACCATCTTATAGTTCAGGACCTGCATCTCGCCGGAGCTGGAATCTGCATCACGGTCCTGGAACTGACGGCGGACGGCAGCGTAGCGGGTGGCGATGGTCACACCACGAGCCAGGACACCACCGGACTGCAGGACAATGTTGGAGCGCACCCAGGTGAGGGTACCGAAGACGAGAGAGGGGAGGGCGGGGCGGATGTACTTGTTGGTGTCCTTGTCGATGCGGGAGAACCGGGCCAGCATGTTCACGTGGGGGACCTTGACGTTATTGAACAGCAGGAAACCATTGTCCATGGTGCTGCAGAGATCATTAGTCGCTGTCACCTAACTATTCAAGGTAGAGGTCACTTACTTGTAGCCGAACTTGGGGCCAATGTCACCAACGTAGACATTCTCCAGCGGCTGGTGACTCTCAAGATCACGGACCTGCACCACGAAGGGGTGAGGGCCAAAGTTCTTTCCACCGATAAACAGCTGGGCCATAACAACGGCGTGGTTGGCGGTGCGACCGAGGGATCCGATCCACCATTTGGAGGAGGTCAGAGTGGGGGAGTTGATGGTGAAGGTCTTGTCCTCGGGGTTCCAGGTGGCGGTGGTCTCCAGGCCACGGACGTTGGAGCCGTGGCCCAGCTCGGTTTGAGCGTAGCAACCGATGATCTGGTACTTGGCGGCACGCTCGAGGAACAGCTTGTGTTGTTCGGGGGTACCTTGTTCGCGGAGAGTCACCTATAAAATCGGCTGTCAGCTCCGGTTGTCCAGACTTGTTTTTACGGAATCAAAGGAGTTGAACTTACCAGGAACATACTGGCGTGCAGGCCATATGGAGTAGGCTCACCGATCAGCTCATTGGCAGCATGGAGCTCCTCCATGGACCACTGGTGCTGCTCGGCCAGCTGTTGCAGGCGCTTGGCCTTGGCCAGCGACCGCTGGAGACGCTCGACACGGCCCAGGGTGTGGTTCTGGGACTTGTCAAAGACCTTCTCCGGCTGGAGAAGCTTCACCAGTTGCTCCTGGCGCTGCAGGAACTCCCTGGTGTGCAGCAGCTCGGACAGCTTGTCGACATTGATCTTGGATTGAGCGCGCTCTTGAGCGAGCAGCTCAGAACCTTGCGGGCCTGACGGCTTGAGAGCCTTGACCCAGTCTGGAGGAGGAGAAGGCATGATGTATGGCAGAGGAGAATTATGGAGAGGAAACCCGGGGGAGGCGACCAGATATTAAGGGCCCATGGGGAAGTGCGGACGGCGGAAGGCGCGACTGACGTCCAGGCCGAGGGCCGCGCACGAAAAGGGAAAGTGCCGAGGCTGACCCAATCGGGTAAGGCGCCGAAGAACACCGAATCGCACTGGGAGGAAAATCACACTCTTACGTCCAGACGGTCATTTTTACAGCCGGTTGAGATCTAATTACATTCTCGCATGTCCTGCTGAATACACTCCGTCTCAATTGATTCCCCCAGAATCTCCCGCCAAGGGGTGGTTTGCGGGGTTGTCGGTTGGGGCAGTCCCGGGGTCATCCAACCCGAAGTCGGCCACCGGCTGAACTGGGAATAGCGCGGCGCTGTGAGATTTGGTTAAACAAAGTAGTGTGCTGGCGTTGATCGTCTGACCTGCCGATCGGCTGTTCCACGGCGAGACCCGAACGCCATCCGGCGTCGAGGGGTGCCTGGAATTTGACCTCGGCTGATGTATTTTGACCGCCGAGCTGAGCCACATACATGGAGAATTCCATAGGGGTTGCATTTGCCATGTTTACGATCGCAGAGGTAAGTGCCGCCTGTCGAATAGATATGCCGACGGCCTGAGGCTCTTGCTCCGGTCTTCGGGGCAGGCCGATGACGTCGGAAAGGAGGGAAAGGAGACAACACTCTCTTTCAGGCAAGATAGCAAAATCAGAATGCAGTTCATTATTCTTCATAACGCTTTTCAGACACAAAACATATATCATGGTCTCGCAAAAGGAGCAAAAACAAAAAGCGCATCGGAGCAGAGCGGCTCGGGAGGCTTAAGGACTCGGATCAGATAAGAAGATCCCGACTTTCACATGTTCACATGCTTGCAGGACGCGACGCTTGTGAAAGACGGCCATGTTAGGGCTCGTGGCTGCTCACGAACTCGTCATTGTGTAGGGCCAGCGAACTTGCCACATGTCAGGCGACCGCATCATTTCATTATTATCCCATATTTACTCGCTCCGCACCTTCGACACCCGCGGCAAAGCGACCCACGCCAAAAAGATGGCCCCCGACAAACCGATGATGAATGGCTGTAGCACTCTCACACCCTTTGCCTGTGCCAGCGCACCCACGGCGAATGGCAAGATCGCTGCGCCCGATCCTCCGAACGCGGCAGCGAATCCAATGGAGCTGACGTGAAGGTGCCGTGGCAACAGTTTGGTGATCATCACCACAACTCCTGGAAAGAGCGGGCCTAGGAAAAAGCCCTGGAACGAGACGGCAATGGCGGAGGCATAGAATTGCGGAACGAGCCAGAGGATAAGACCAAAGGCTATCGAGAATACAATGTATGTCTGCGGTCGCAGTTCGTTAGTTCTGTCAGCCACGGGGTAAGTAGGGGTATCTACCGCAACTGCCAGTTTCTCTCCAATCCTCGATGTCACGAATCCTAGCACGACCCGTCCCACTGTGATCCCCAGCCAGAATCCAGTGGCTGTCAAGCCACTTGCAAAGGCTTCGCCATGGCGCACGCGAATCATGAACGTGACGATCCATCCGCCCAGTGCGACTTCGACCCCGACATATCCTAGCAAGAAGAGGGAACATAACCAGGTAACACGCGCAGAGGGATAGCTGAATAGCGCCTTTCGCAAACCACCGTTGTTCTCTTCGCCAGCTGGCTCAATCGTCGCCCTGCGGAATACCGCGCCTGTGCTCTTCCAGAAGCACGCGCCGCAGGTAATGAGCTCGATGAAGGCACCTCCAATCTGGGGGGATTTGTTATTGACATTCGCAGTGAGAGCGAGAGATAATACCCACCATGACGTAGTAGAAGTAATACCAGGGCATCTCAGCGCGGGCAATCATCGAAGTTGCGATCAGTGGGCTCAACACCGCGCCCACTCCGTAGACGCCATGGAGCACGCCCAGCAACTCATTCGAGTGAGCCATGTTGCCGATCCAAGCATTCCATGCCGCATCTTCTAGTCCGTTCCCAAAGCCAGCGAAGATGAAGGAAATCACCAGGACTGGATAGGGCGGGTGGACGCAATTGATTACGTAGGCGAGCAGATGGCAAACTGGTCCGATCAGGGCTGGCCCTCGCTGACCCAGCTTTGTATGGATGCGGTGGTTGAGTACGGCAGCGAGTGTGTAGCCCACTAACGGTGACAGAAAGACGAGCGAGACAATAGTATAGGAGAGGTGGTAATAGGATTCGAGCTGGGCCTGTTAGTTCATGTCGAGGGGCATGTCTGAGGGTCGGTCATACGTATGGGATCAAGGCCTGTTGATGCAGTAAATCAGTATGATTTCAACCAGGTCGTTTCCAATTTTCACAGAAGTAGTAGTTTCTTGTTGACTTACACCGTATGCAGCATCATTTGCGCCCATCACCAGAAAGCTCCAGAACGTCGAGAACGAGCGATAGGTATTGATGCGCGGCTCATTCCACTTCTCCAGCGCTGGAAAGGTATCTCCAGTCGAGTCAGTCGCATCGCTAACGGCTCCTAAACGCTCACTCGGAGGCAACACCTCGAGCGTGATTCTGTTTGCTTCGCGCGACTGGTCCTCAATCACACAGGTCGACGTCATGGTTAACCCTGGATGGTACTCCGCGACCAGCAGCGAAAGGCAGGCGAAGAAGTAGGTTGAGATTGGGCAGATGTCTTTCGCGACTGGATATTTCAAATGTTACGAGAAGCAGACTAGACAGTCATTGTTGACTTAATGCGATCACACTGACTCATAAAATCCGAATGTGGTTGCTTGGCGGCACGGAGTTTTGGCCGCATGCGGTGCGTGCGGGGATGTGGGGTGGAGGCGACACTATCAACACCTGGTGAATGGCGTGGGAGCTGCCCTACAGAAACCCAAGGGCCAGGTTGGTCGATTTACACAGCTGTCGACATGGAGCTATGTAGGAACTGCAGGGTTGATCGTGACACTCTGTTAATCCTCGATCGTTGCTCCATTGAGATATATTTTCCAGGAGGCGGCGGAGGATGACAAAAAGCAACAAATAAACAACACCCGATCCCAAAAACACGAACCCACGCCTCAAGCGTACTATCATGTAGTCCAATTCAAGAAGTACGGTACTCTTGTGATTCAAACCCTGGTCACAATGTGGTCCTGGTACCGCCGATCGGTTGAGGTACCATGCGTTGCTGTCGGTGCTTTCCTATTCAAGCTTGCCGCCTGCCCACATCCGTTGATATATCTACAGGGTTGTGACGACTTTAGCCGCAAAATCTGTCAATCAATACAATCAATACTCGACGATTAAACTTTGCTGTTCCCGCGTTAGCCACCTTCGCCACTGGCGCTCCCAAGTGTTCCTGCAAGAGTCATGCAACCCACGCTGGTGCAGTTCTAGCCATTACAGCGAACGGGCCTGACTTCCAGGTGACGCACACAGAACATCCATGGGATGGATTATTATTGAAACTCGCAAACAGTACTTTTTATTGATGATCGATTATTCTCGCCGCTATTGGCTGAAGTTTGCATGCTTATGCAACGTGCCGAGCACGTGGAGTTGCAGCTTCCCTACTCTGCTCTGGGTAGCTGATCGTCTCCTCTGCGAGAACGGTTTGATTACATACTTAACAAAATGGTTTCATCCTCACTCGAGTTCATGTAAATTGAGAGCACGTGGCAATTATGTTTTCCCCGCGATGGGATCAAGCTTACCTAGGTATTTATCCACCAATCAGCAACCAGCCCCCAGTTTCTCCGCAATAAAAACAATGCAGTGCACCACTTCGACTACAGATCGCAGATCAGTCCAAAATGAGCTTCACAAATCCCATTATACCAGGCGCAAATCCTGACCCCTCCATCATTCGAGTCGGCTCTGATTTCTTTTTGGTAACATCCAGCTTCGAGTACTTCCCCGGAGCACCGATCTACCACAGCAACGATTTAATCAAATGGGATTTAATCGGTCATGCCTTGACAAGAACTAGCCAGCTTCAAATCCACACGCCGGAACCTGGGGGCGGCGTGTGGGCTACTACACTCCGATATCATCGCGGATTGTATTATATCGTCGCTGCGAGCTTCCAGCGGTATCGACCACAGGAAGATGATCGGGTCTGGCCCCAGGGATTTTATGTCTGTACGAATAACATTTGGGATGATGATTCTTGGTCGGATCCGGTTTATTTTGATCAAGTTGGATTTGATCAGGATGTGAGTTCTCATTGACTAGATGGGTTATTCTCTGAGAGGTTTACTGAGATGATCAGCTTTTCTGGGATGACGATGGGACGGTTTATCTTTCCTCGACTTATCGAAAGGTCAAGCGCACCCCCAGAGCTAAGCTGAAGGACTTCGCTATCCATATATGCACAGTTGATTTGAAAACCGGGCACTCCACATCCGAGCCAAAGTTGATTCGTGAGTCCTCTTCTGGGGTCGCGGAGGGATCTCACATTTTCAAGAGAGGCCTGTATTGGTATCTATTTACGGCTGAAGGGGGAACCGAAAGTGGTCATTGTGAGTGGGTAAGTCGAAGTGAACATGGACCCTTTGGGCCGTGGGTACTTGGTCCAAACAATCCTCTTTGGCGCAATGGACTTGAAGACGAAGTGCAGAATACGGGTCACGCGGATCTAGTCGAGGATGCAGATGGGAAATGGTGGGCTGTTTTTCTTGGCGTCAGGCCGTGGCGACGATGGGATAAATGGGAGGAGTCCGTCCTGGGTACGTTGGATGAGTGAACTCACAACATCATCGTTTCAACTTGACTGACGTTTCCAGGACGAGAGACATTCCTGGCTCCGGTTTCCTGGGTGAATGACTGGCCTGTAGTCAACGGGGGAAACAAGATTACTCTTCAATCCACTGGACCTGGTCTCTATCAGCACGAGGTCCCGGTCATGTGGAAAGATGACTTTTCTAGTCCGAAGCTTCAGATTGGTTGGTATAGGAAGAGTAAGTCCCTCGTTCATATATGCTGAACATTTCTGACTTTGTCGCAGACACACCATTCACGGTTGACTTCTCTTTGACGGAGCGACCAAACTTTCTCCGGCTCTACGGTGGGCCGTACAATCTTTCCGTCCCAGCCTCTCCGACTATGTTTCTACGCAAGCAGATTCATCGATACTCCACCTGGGAAACAAAGCTCTCATTCCATCCAACCTCTGAACACAGCGAAGCTGGCACTGTTTTGTGGTGGAACTATTTCACATACACCACTCTCGGGATTCGAAAAAGAGGAAAGAAGCGGGTAATTCTTTTTCATGAACCGGGAGTCGACAGCTTGGAGCATGAGCTGGATTTGACATCCGACGTGACACTCTACATAGTCTGCGGTGATAGTTATCAGTTTGGATACCGGGAGTCAACATCTCCAGACCTAGTGCAAATCGGAACCACCTCCAATGAAGCCGCGACGAAGGCTCCACCAGTCGGAGCTCCTTTCTTTGGCATGATGCTTGGTCTATACGCATTTGGTGAGCGTCAGAGATGTCTGACGCCGGCTGACTTTGAGTATGCACGGTTCAGCACGAATTATAATTGATTCATAATGCATTTCACACTCGCTGTTTTGTCTAGTGGAAATAGCTGGGCACCACGCCCTTCACCCTTAGCCAAGCCGCGTCCAAAGCCTCCACCATCTCTTGCGGGAGCGGCTCTTTCTCCATATCAAGCAGATTTTGCTCCAGCTGCTTGGCACTGCTGGCACCGATGATAATTGCATCTCCATAGTCCTTCTTCATCCCGCTGTGATGAGACAGCCAGCGCAGCGCACTCTCCACTTCCGTAAGCCCATACTGCTTCGCGACAGGCCGGATGATATCCAACGCATCAAAATAAAAGTCATTCCAGTAGCGACCCCGATGCAGATTCCCCTGCCAGCGCTTGGGATCGAATCGCGAGCCCGGCTCATGGTCGCTCTCGCTCATGTCGCGACGATACCGGGATGTGAGGAAGCCTCCCGCCAGGGGCTGAAAGCAGTAGAGTGCGATTTTGTAGTGGCGTAGGCAGGTCAGGAGCTCGGGCTCTATCGCGCGATGAAGAGCGTTGTAGATGCCCTGGTAGACAGTCGGCTTGATCCATCCGTTCTTTTCGCAGATCTCGCAGATCTGGGCAACTTCCCAGGACATATAGTTGCTGATACCGAGGCGGGCGAAGTAGCCTTGTTGGTGGAGGTTGTTGACTTCGCGAAGGGTTTCTTCGAAGGGGATCTTGCGGTCTGGGCCGTGTAGATACCACATGTCGATTTTAGTTGTCCCCAGTGCTTCCAGACTATCCTTCAGGCCTTGGCGGAGATCTTCCGGGGTGTGGTTGTAGGAGAGGACGCTCATGTTGCCCATGGGTTTACCCGCACTGGGGTACAGCTTGGTTTCCATCACAAGACCTCGTTCCTTCCAGCGAGCGTCAGCAAGCAGGGATTCCGAAGAGCCGGCGCCGTACAACCGGGCAGTGTCGATTTCCTTGTGGCCGTGGGCCTGGAAGACGTCGAGAATGGCTTCCGCATCTTCGACCGATGTCACCCTCACGCCTTCGATGCCCGGCTTGCCCAGGGTCATGGCGCCGAACACAACGGGGAGTTCACTCTTTGAGGCCATTTTCGCTGTCACTAGAGTTGATGAATTGGCATATTGAGAGCGATCAGGCACGTTGATATACCAGAGATTAGTGGATGCCGTGGAGATACCTGTTTTTAACGCCGGCATGTTGATGACAGCGGGGTTAAACCGCTTCGAGGATGAGAAAGTCGGTCATGACTGACATTATTACCCTCGCACGTGTGGCCAGGTGAAGGGCATCCACACTTCTGGCCAGTCTTGCTCTGTTTGAAGAGCACAAGGCAAAGATATGCTACCCGATGGAGAGTATATACTCCTTCAGGGCTCTATTGGCGTTCTCGAGCTTCTCCTCTTGGCAATCCTTCTTTTCGCTGCAGCCTAGCCTCTCACCCGGATATAGATCGAGTCTATCCTCAGTTGGTTAGCGCCTTCAGGGACTCCAAGGGGAAGAAGGCTTGGCAGGAGGGTAAAAACAGGATCGGCAGTCATCCTCCTTAACTCCGATGGAGCCCCACCTGCCCCTTCCTGATTGGGCTGCGGCTGCCCTACTGGCGTCAGCGATCCGCATAAATCGAGACGGCCGTCCATCTTCTTTTTTTCAACGAACTGCTGACTCCTTTAGCGCTGACGCTGACCATGCCCGATACCCCACAATTGACACAAGCAACCCCGATCGGCGACAAGGCCTCCGACGACTGGGCCGGCCTGACTGATCCGGCTGAGCGCCGCCGCCGCCAGAATCGAATCAACCAGCGAGCCCACCGTGCGTGCCCTGTCTCGGAATGATCTACGGCCAATGACCTGAGCTGACGGTGTTTCTGCTATAGGAAGGCGGCAGCGATTGCAAGCGAATAACAATGTACATCCTAAAAGCGTGGTCGCCTCGTCCTCGCCGTCATCCACAGGATCCGCTTCCTCGTCCTCATCCTCATCTGCCCTCGTTCGCTCGAAGGAAATCGTCGCTCTGGAAAATGGGCTGAAAGGAGACAGTCGGTGTATCAACGCCAAGTTTCTCAGAGATCTGATGGAGCGGTTCGCGCGTACCGCATACGAAAGCTACATGAAAGGCTCGCCGACCTCCGACCACCTTTTAACACTAACCAAAGTTAACGTGTTTCGGGCATTCGGGCATAATCTGTTATTGGCGGGGGGATCGCTGGATGATATGGACGATGACTCAATATCGCACTTCAATAAGCTGTTACCGGGGACAGAATTGCCCGAGGATAGCAAGATGCCGGTCAGTTTGCGACCCACACGATTACAGAAGATGGTACCGCATCACCCATGGCTGGACTTCTTTCCTCTGCCAAAGATGCGAGACAATTTGATCCAAGCGGGTGATGAGTGGGATGATGAGCAGCTGTGTCTGGATATAATGGGGTTCTGGGATAAGACTACCGAAGATGCGGGACTGTTGGTCTGGGGCGAGCCGTGGGATATCAAGAATTGGGAACTGACAGAGGCTTTCTTGAAGAAGTGGCAATGGGTTGTAAGAGGGTGTCCAGAGCTGATGAACTCTACCAACACCTGGCGAGCGAAACGAGGCGAGAGACTTATATTCCGCTATATCTGAGGATCGGCAAAATAAACGAAATGATGATACACGCGATATACACTAGACGAACCGGTGCAGAATTACGAATCCACACTAAATCTCCTGGAAGAACGCTCGAAACTCCCCAATATATTATTCACTATACTGCCATACTACAGAAGGAAAACTACTGAGTTCGTCTCCTCATGGAATCCGATTGGGAAACCGCATCCCAGGAACAAGTTAAAGAAGCGTGGTGCTCTCCGCCAGGACGCGTTACGTAGGACAGTTTGTCTCGAGGCGCAGCCATGTCATCAAGCATTCACGATAAAAACAGTGTCCACAACAAGAACCCATACCTTGAGATCCTTCTCAACATCCTCTTGACGGATGGCACAAGCCGGATCCCCATCCCTGTGGTCGACTTCCCCAACGGTCTTCATGGTCTTTTCAAGTGTCAGAATCATTGCCATCGGCATTACGCACACCCCTCTGAGTTGGAATCGACTGTTGATTGATCTCTCTCTCGCGGTGACTTCTATAATCCGAGCTTCTACTGCTCAGGGACGTCTCGGCCCTCGTCTGACATCACCTTAAGCTCGCCGCCTTCCAGAAAACATACTAGGTGGTTGGGGTAAGGTCCAAGGGCGTACTCTGCCACATTCTGGATAGTTTTTTCTACCATGTGGAGTGCGATGTTAGTCGGGCCAGTTCCCTGTCGTCCACCTCTTGAAGGGATGCAATTATTTAGTGGATATTGAGAGCGCACAGCGTTGCCTGGCTTAGAATCCCCATAAGTCCGGGATTAGTCGTCATCCTGAATGTTAGTCGAACTTTATTCTTTGTTAGAGACCTGAGTCCTGTTTATGTGATGTCGGTGAGCGGATTGCTTTACTCGGTGCGTCTGCCGAGTCTCGTCAGCTTCCTGTTTATATGTAATTTGCCATGTACGGACGTGTTAGAAATCATGGTCCTTCTTTTCTGATACTTGAGTCGAACATTGAGCATTGCTCGTAGACTCTTCATTTGAAAATGAAGAGTCTACACGAGGACAAGGGCAACCCAGACACAAATAAACGCAGCCGAACATGTTTGATGGATTCAGCATTTCTCAACAACGACTCAGGCGATCAATTCATTCATCAGGGTATCTCAAAAAATAGAAAAAAAGTAAAAGTGAGACAAACGACAACCAAAAATAGCCGAAACATCGAAGAGGTCGCAAGGAAATCCCACACAAGCAGCTCACATATCCAAAACCATACACGCAACTACCATGGACGTCGTGTTTCCTCCCGTGGCAGTGTATGTATCCCGAAGCCGATTTTCATCGCCCCGCCCTCGTGGCTCGAGCTCGCAACTCCTTCCCCACAGTTCGTGCAGCTCCACAGCTGATTGCAAGTTCGTGGCCAGGTACTCTTGCAGCTCTGGAACCGGTTGAAGACAGTATGGAGCTTCTTTAAATCGCTGTAGATCTTGGATTGTTGATGCCAGCATTGTGTATTTGTGGAAGTTTATCAGTCCGTCTGATGTCAAGGATTGGTTTCCGTCTTCGATGAAGGTCAAGTCTTTTAGGAAGAGGCCTGCTGATGATTAATCGCTAACTACGTCAGAGAATGGTGGATTAGGACTGACCAAGGAAAGGTATGCATGGCGGCACGGCTGCGCGTACAGCCTCCCGATAGAATTGGTAGTTCGAAGTACTCGATATCATGGCTTGCAATGGTGCCAGTGTATTGCAGCTACGTTCGGTGACATTGGCCCATGTGCGGCTTAGTCGGTAGATGGGGGCGCTTTCTAGGCCTGATAGAATTGAAACTACGGCCGAATACCCCTTCAGACTGTGACACACCTGCGATATTGATTAGCTTTGAACGATAGTCGAGCATGACACTGGAGACTGGCTTACGCTCGCTACATTGATGAGGTGTCCTATCACCTGCGTGCGCTTCTTGAGATCAGACTCTGCAAGCACAAGAGCAACAACCCAATTCGAGAGCTGATTGGAGAACCGAATGGAAGCCCTCACATTCGGCGCAGGCCCTGGTACGGAAACAACATTCTTCTTTTGCCACGCCTTATTCAAAAGTTCGGCTGGCTGGATTTTGCGGAACATGGATGCCTCCAGAATCGTCAACTGACGTGCAAGTTCCTTGGCATCCACTTTCATGAATTGGATTTTGTTCAACTTTCGCGGGAGAATCGGTTTTGGCGCATTCGACAGAGATGCTTGGAACGTCTTTATGTCGACGACGCCTTCGAGTCGGCACTGAATGATTGAGAGCAGTTGTCGGGCTGCGGCTGCCTCTGACGCATCGGTTATGCGGTAGACAAATGATTTAATTTTGAGCAGTTCTTGGGTCGTCGTCGCATCTGAGCCGATGGGCTCAATCCAGAAACTCTCTAGCCACTGTCGGAAGACATTCAACACGCGTATTCGTACGAGTGGCTTGATTCGGCTTGACCATTCTGCAATCTGGACCGGGTTGAATATGACGGGTGGCGTACACTCGAAGCGATCAATGAGCAGATTGACCAACTCAGTTGTCGTCAAGAAGTATTTGTATGTTGTCAGAAACGTCCGATTAAATGCTGCATCCAGCTTATCGTGACGGGTGAGATGCTCCACCAAAGCTGCAACTGTCCCCGCCTTGACCAGTTCGCTATCCTCATCGTACACAATCGCGTCCGAGAACTCGCAATGCTGCGAGATCGACAACTTCCTCTGCGAGACAGAGAGCTTCCTCTCCGTTCTACCTGGCTTGTTCATCGCAATGACGGAACACTGGATGATGTGAATCTGCGGAATTCGACTATCCGCTTTGAAGTCGCTGTTCATCCGTTCGGCTGCGCCGTGGCCGCTGTCATACGACACGGTGCTAAACAGGTCGCCGGAAGACTGGCGGAAATGGGCTCGTTACCAGCAAGATATACCAGAGCTACTAAACGTCATATGGAAGAAGCAACTTGAACGGGAAGGAAGAAAATGACGTTCGGTGGTGGGGTCTTCCACGTAAGGCCAGCGCCGAGGCCGTTCACGCTCACGCATGGAAAGTCTAGCCCTACACGCGCTTCCAGCGGTATCCGATTTCGGCTTGTCTGCCCCACCGCCATGTGGTATACGCACGCTCAGTCGCGGGGCCTTGCTGCTTTGGGGAGGTTGTCTAGAGACACTTGTGTCTGTAGTCATTGTCCCTATCCACGAGGTACTCATGATTTTACATACAATTTCATCTACGAGAAGATTAATAATGTCTATCTAAAAGCCATTAGTTCGTGTCAAGAGATTGCTATCCCATTTGAATTAGAATTCACATTCTAGAAAACAGTGCCTCTGACTTGCACCTTCCTCTTCAGGTTGATATCCTTGATGAGGATAGTCCAAGGAATCGCCAGAACCATGATTCCACAACCAACTGCCAGCAGACGGAGCTCAGTGTAGGCATATGCATTCTGGATAGCCAGTCTTGTAGCACTGCCAACAGGATAGCTGGTCTGAGTCACCAGGTCCTCATAGATATTATTCAGGTTCGACATTGCCGATTCTGGAAGATCACGGAGAAGAGCCTTCATATAGGTATTCTGCCAGATGACCGTGCTGATGGTCAAGCCGGTAGAGTCACCAATTGTTCCAACCACATTTAGCAGTGCCAATGCGGTAGCAACGTGCTGGTGGTCGACTGCTGCGAGAATAGACAATTGCTCGACGAGGATGAAGATCGAACCTCCGACTGCTAAGAAAATCTGGCACATCACTTGGTAGCCCACGTTCATGTTTGGCTTGCGGAAATGAATGAGTAGCCCTTGGGCCAGGGTGTAAAGGGGAATCGCGATGTAGAGGGTCCATTTGTAATGGCCGACTCGACGGATGGCCCAACCAATGAAGAGCAAGAGCACACCAGAAACCACGTCGAAAATGTTGTTTACCATGTTGGCTGTGGAAATTGTCAGATCGTTATTGACTTGCAGCCAAGATGTGAGGTAGTAGCTCCAGCAGTAGTTTGAGAGTTGGTATGTCGCATCCAAGAGGACAGCACCAATGATCGTGCGGTTTGTCAATAGGCGCCATTCGAAAAGAGGGATTGGGGCGAGCCATTTCTCCCATGTTGCAAAGAAGAAGAGCATCGAAAATCCGACGACCAGCATGGCGACGATGTAGTCGGTTGCCCAGCCATGAGGGGCATAGCCGGCAATATCGAAGGGAAGCTCGAACAGGATGAGACCAGCGGTGAAGACCAGCACACCGAAAACTAAACCACACGATTGGTATTTCATTGCTTTCAACTAAATTATGGAATCACTCACGATCAAATTGAACTGTCCAGTGCCAAATGCTTTCGATAAACGTGCGACCACTCGGCCTCTTGATCCGATAGCCTTCTTTCTGGGCTTTGTGCAGATTGTACTTCAGCATGATGTAGAGAGGCGCGGCGAAGGTCGGTGTGATGATTGCCCAGGCACCAAAGCCCCACCTCCACGAGACTTGATAATAGAAAATGTCGGCGACCTTCGGCCCGGCGAACGCTGTGATGATGTATGGCGACGAAGTAAAGGCGTAGGCGAAGGCACGGTTCCGCAAACTCGAGGCGTCGGCTGTCACCACATCGATCGCATACTCCATACCGTAGAACCCAATATAGTAGAAGGCCTAATTTTAATCAAACATTAGCCGACATCCTCTCTTCGATATTTAATCCAGACTTACATTCGCTGCGCAGTAAATTTCAAAAGAGTGGCAGGCGGCCATGAGGATCAAGCCAATGGTGAGCGAAATCACCATCAAGAGGAACCCCTCTGCACGACCCCACACATCCATCATTTTCGCCATGGGCAGGTATGTCGCTGCGGCGAATGCATCGCCAATGGCCGTCGGGACTGCCGTTAGGGAATGCGCTTTGAAGGAACTCGTCACGTACGGGTTCAAGCTGACGGAAATCGTGGCTTGGAACGCGTTGACGAAATAAAGGAACCAGATGCTATAAAAATCACACGATCAGTTGCCATTCTCAAAATACCAAGCTCTACGCCAGGACCCTTACTTAATGAAAACCGCAATCAAAGTCTTCTTAGACCAGGTCATAGTCACAGCCTCCACATCCTGCACACCAAGCTGCGCATTCTGATCGGGTTTCTCATTCCACGATCCGAGCATCGAATCGTCCGTCGATCGGTTCTCTATAATCCGCTGCTCAACAGTCTCCTCGTCCGAGTCATCGCCATCTCTCGGCAGATGCTGAAAGACCGTCCGGGCCCTTCGAACCAAGGGGCGTACCCCCATATCGGCCAAATTGAGTTTGTCCTGATGAGATGGAGAGATGCGACGACCACGAGGGCGGCAATCGGTGGATAAAGTCATGGGAACGTGTCCGATCTTTACCCACATGGGTCACAAGCACCGAAACACCGAAGTCGGACGGTGCCTCGAACCACGCGCGCATTGCGGCTGGGGTTTTTTGCTCTGCAGCGATAATTCGGCGGGCTGTGTGTTCCTGACGAGTGTTAAACACTCCACCGGGGGCCAGTTCCCGCAGTAGTCCGGCTCAGCTCACCCCTGCCGCGGGCTGTGATTGCTCGATGCCAGGATCGTTTGAGTCTAGTGGGGACACGCTAGACATGCGTCCAACATCCGCGGGCCCGCGTGGTTGGACTGTTTATTGGGCGCTAGGGCCGCGCCAAGCCAAGTTATCAATCTGATAAAATCTCATCAGTCAATCTCCGACCGAAATTATCGGCAATCGCGGGAACCTCGCTGCTAGACCTTTTCAGCATCGAGGTAGCGTGAGGTTGTGGCCGACACCAGTGAGCGATCTGCCATGTCAAATCGTTCCAATGAACCCTCCATCGTTGCTTGCGGTGTGCGCCAAGCGGCCGACGATAGTGTCACGAGATTAAGAAACGGTACATCGCGAGGCGACTGCAGACGATCGGAGAAGAACAGCCAATTAGGTAATGGCGCAGTACGTTGAGAGGCGTTCATCATGCAGAGAAACCTGATTGTTGAATCTGAAATGCCAAGCGTGAGTCAGGTTCGCACATTCAACATGGCCGCGGGTAGCGAACAAATCTGTCTTGCAGATTCGCCAGAATGCCGCGGTATGGACGTTGTGATCCTCACAGGCACTTCTACAGTTCAACACGGTAAATTAACCTCCCCGACGAGTGCTGATGTACGTCTAGAGATAGGCAGGGTGCTGCATTTGAGTGTGGTATGTATCTAGGTACACTATGGTAGTGCAAGAGTTTCAATCGCCGTTGTACATGGAACAGATCAGATTACGAACAGATGAAGCCCACTCGAGTTGCATAAAAACATATAGAATTCACTTATATAAATTGTAACGTACATCTTCCCACACCTCGTTACCCCGGGACTCAATTTGGCGAAGATGCCGGGCCCCGGGACAGTCTGTATGTTAGGAGGGTGCCGCAGGGATCGGGGGGCGGTAGATTCCATAGCCCCGAAACCAAACATACTGAGCTTCGTGGTGGCCTCCGCCAATTTTAGCAGTGCCGAAGGACTATTCGATTCGATTCTTCTCCGGAATGAATCCTGAATTTGCTTTTTCTCGTCTTGGGAGAAATCGTATCATCGGACGCTGATACAGCACCCACACTCCACGGTACAGTGTCCGATTCCCTGAGAAACCATGTTGAATTTTCTCGGACGTTTTATGTTTGTATTAGAGGCCGCTCCGGAAGCCCACGCCCCTGGTCATTCAGAATTTGCTCGAGAACCCCCATATTTCTTTGAATCCCTTCCGACTTTCTTTCATAAAGACGGAGCTGAGTCATTTCATCGGATGTTCCTTCTGAAGACGCGACTTTTTGCAGGGTCCGAGTTTTCGTATTTAGTACATCCTCCCGTTAGACGTTTTTCCGAAGGCCAGTTTCATTGATAATGATCTGCCAGGACATCCGCGAGATATGTCAGGCCCTTACTATACTGAAGGCTTGAAGTGCAACTTCTCAGGTTTCATTCAATACCTGTTTTGGAGTTTTTTTACGTCGCCCAGAATCGAGACCGAATCCATGGTTGAAATCTCAGGTCTCAGTCTGGAGTCGAGTGGAGCCGACGCCGATTAAATAGATTACATGCGCATCAGAATCAAATCAGGACAAGGAAGCCGACGCACAACATGTCATCGACTAAACATAATGCCTCCCGCTAGAAGTATATCACCCATCCGCCGCGGCTTCTTTTGGTCTAAACTTGAATTCAGTCCAACCTTCCGAACCGGCAGTCAGATTCGGTGGCCAACTTCGCCATTCAGGTAAACTGTACAGGTGGCATTTCTTTGACACTCGGCAAGTTGAAATCATTTGGAGTGTGTTTTGATAGGGTCCGGTTATGTTGCTGTGATCGCCAGTGGGCTCGGCTGTGGCTCGAAACTAAGTAACGTGCCTTCCCCGTCTGGCTTTTTGCGAGTTCGTGCCAGTCCCCAAACACAGGCATGAAAGGTATGAGACATTGTGCCCTTCACAGCAACCTTAGGAGGAAACTAATTAGCTGGCGGAGTTTCGTGGTTGAACTCTTGTTGCCTGAGACAAGTTCCCACGATTATCTTTGCCCGGCCACCTGCATTCTCATCTCCTGTGTCAGATACTCTGTACAAGGAGAATTTATGGAATGATTTATATTTGCTCTTGACTATTTCAGGAGCTCTCCCTTAATACGCACTATTTCTAGGCAGTCGGATTATGATTTCTTCGCAACAGTCGCTTTGACAACGGCACTGATACTGTCAGCCGTGTACTCAATGTTGAAATCATTTAGTCCACTATTTTGCGTTGTCTGTTAGCTTCATTGATTTTCTTTCAGGTATAAGAACGACGCACGCAATAGAGATCCTCCCGGTATCTTGGAGATAAACATGGTAGTTGTCCCGGAGGAGCGTGACTTGTTCCACAGAAAGTCCGACATATCTAAAATCGAGTCAGTCATCTGAACAAGACAGACATTGTTTCAGAGACTTACGAAAACATCCCATTCTGCTCAGTGATATGTCGCCAATCACCTGGAGTTCCCAACTCCTCCAGTCGGTTCCTGAGGGCGACTCGACGATCCTTCAGTCGGCTGGCCATGTCGCGGACTTCTCCACGCCATTGCCGCTCCAAAGACTCGTCCGAAAGAACCGTTTCAACAATCTTGGCTCCAAAATCGGGCGGTGCACCAGACTCTGCTCGGGCAAGCAGCTTCAATTGAATTTCGATTCTCTTTCCTACTTCCTCGTCTGGAGCGAGGATAGAAAGGAATCCGACACGCTCACTGTAGAGCCCAAAGCACTTCCCATAGGTCGATACGAAGATAAGCGGGATCTCTCGCTCGGCGAAGAGACGAACACCCTCGAGGTCTCTGTCAATGTCTCCTGAGGCGAATCCGGGATAGGCGGCGTCGAAGAATGCGAAATGGCCACGCTCAGAAAACATTGATGCCAGCTCCTGCCATTGATCTGGTGATGGGTCGCATCCAGTTGGGTTTTGAGCTCCGGACTGTAGGAGAATTACAGATTGAGCTGGTAGAGATCTGATGGCCGATGTAAAGCCTGCAAAGTCGAAAGCATTGGTCTTGTTGTTGAAATACGGGATAAAAGCTGGTTTTATTCCCGCCGTTTTGAACACGAAGGAGTGGTTCACTGCGAGAAAGTCAGTATTACACGACATATGTGATGGGAAGCTCACTCACACCACGTCTCGCTCGGGAGGAAAATCTCGAGGTTTCCGGACAGTTTCCACGGTCCGTAGTGATTTTTCAATATCACAGCACCCACATGGCATCCTCCGCTGGCGCCTAGTGTCTGGGTTGAAATTATCCTGCTGCTGTCAGCTCGTTGTGCGCACTGGAATTCAGTTTGACTTGCCATACCTCTTTTGCTTGAGAAGACGATTCTCGGCCCCGAAGAATAGCTTGGCGCTAAGATCCCTGTAGTTCTGGGGACCCAGAGCACTCGGCCGGTACTCATGATGCCAGCTGTCGTCTCTGAAGATTCTCTCCTTTGCCTATAAATGAAGTTTGCGAGTGTTAATTTGGGCCCTCAGGTTTGTGTTGGGTCTGTTCCAGATACTGTACCGCGTTGACACTTGGTAACACGTATGCCTTCCCTTCGTCCGTCTTGTATACGCCAACAAGAAGATCGATTTTCTTGCTATGGGTATCAGCGCGGAACTGCACAACGAGACTTTCGAGAGCGTCTAGAAATCATTTTGTCAATTGAAGACCGAGAATCGGCGAAAATTGCGCCACTTACCGGTATGATCCGCTGAGACATCGAAAGGACTTGCTGCTATGCTACCCATTGTAACTTGAGGAAATATAGCTTCTCTTTCTCATATATTCTGGTTCATTGTAATTTATATAATCTGGCGTGAAGGGAGACTTCGGATGATATGGTCGGGGTAGCACGTAATTGACATGGCGCCATAGCTGGCGCAATTTGAGTAAGCCAAATGCCAACAATCTCGGACCTTTTTTGTCGCAGCGCATTATTAATCGCCTTCTTGTCAAATGACAGTGTTCGGTTATAGCTGCCTTCTGCTGACGACGATTTGCTTCAATGGGGATCGAGACGGTGGTCTTGGCCTCGGGAGACTTGCAGAGGGCAGGGTTTGGTCCGGTGCGAATATACACTAATGACGGCGTCACTCTGGCAAATGGTCTCGATTGAACATTGAGTTCCTCGTAATAACTCTAGAATCACCACGATCCTTTGTCAAGCGAACCCCAATAAGTATCAATGGTATGATTTGAGATCATTTCGATGGTCAATTTTAGTTGTGACGACCGACTTGCGATTGGCAACTTCCGCATAAGCTCTCATCGTCAGTTCAATCTACGAGCATAAAGAGAGAGCAAGTATCAATGGTGAAAGCTCCAGGAAAGAAAACTTGGATCGTGGTGGAGTGGAGCCGTCTGAAGTTGATTGCTGAACATTATATGTCTCACGATGCTGGCCATGAGTTCGGCGTATTGTGGATGGGATAGGAAAGATAAGCCGGGTATCAGTGTAGGCACGCGCGGGAGTCTCTTATTTCCGTCTTCTCGGGAAAATACCAGGAACCTACCGATACTTCGACATAAGCATTGCCTTCACGATACCCTTATAGGAACCTCCAATACTCTCAGGGCCGCCCAGTCCATTCCACCGCCACACACCTGATCACCTCTTCCCATCAACGCGCATCCGATTGAGCGACCATCACTCACTCGACATTTGGATGGAGGTTGAGAAAGGAAAATTATTTCGTTCGTGGTCGCGGAGGCTCTCTCATCGGGCCTGCGTACTATATTATTTATAGTCGTGGCCAACCCGCATTATCGCGAACATGGTTCATTCGGAGAAGGACACACGGAATAGCCTCGTTTAATTTACCATCGGCGCGAAGCTATCAACCACGGGTACGAATTAGGCAATAATTGTAGGCCGGTGGGGCGAGAGTGGATGCATCTTGGACATTCGGGATAGGAACCCGATCCCGAACCGAGATGTGGGTTCCGGGGAAGCAGGCCTTATGAGCTCCCCCCACAAAAAGACGCCGCAGAGACATGTATTATGCAAGGGTGATCGGAGCTTCCCCGAGACGAGGCCGGATATATTTCCATACTTCTGAGATAGACCATGTGTTTGCCGGAAGGGCAGTAGGCTCCTGGCATATCAGGACTGGTCTAGTATTGCGACCGCGAATAGTCAGACTTACCGTGATATCGTCAACGGGGCTGTGGGAAGCGTATAGTCAGACTCAATGGAAATTCAATCTCCCCATCTTGTATCACCTTCTAAATAGTTGTTAGCTTAGGAACGCTTTAGATCGCCTTCTGGAAAAGGCTGTAATTTCTGCGACATCGTACTGGCATTATTCTCGGACAGGCTTGATTGTAACACTGTGAATGAACCGAAAAGCCTGATGGAACAATGCAGCAGAATGTAAGAAGCAAGATCCAAGGTGAACTGCAGTGCACATTCATTGTATCTATGAACTACGTGAGCCCTTGCCTTTACGCGTGTTCTTATGAGGACAGCCGTTTCGACGTGGAATGATCTTGAAGAACACATCTGGCGGCACTACACTGAAGCCAGGTGGTGATCACAGAGGTGGGTGGCATAAAACAAGGTCATAGGATTACCTAGGCCATAAACAATCATATTTCTTTAAAATCACAAATATCGTCCAAAATATTTGTATCATAACTCCGTACAACATCAATCTTGCTTTTCTCCTCGTCCCTTTTCAACTTTCACAGGCTTGAGTGCACGGTGTTGATGTCACCAGTCACGATCGTTTTGATGTTAATGTAGTCATCAATGCCGTACTTGCTGCCCTCACGTCCCATGCCAGAGTGCTTGAAGCTGCCAAATCTAAGAAAGTGATTAGTATCATGATATCCCGGCACAGGGAAGGAGATTTATTCACGGTGCAGCAGAGTCAGAGATAACGCCAGTATTGATACCAACCATGCCAAATTCAAGTCTCTCAGAGACACGGTGTGCCTTTCCGAGGTCCGAGGTCATGAGGTATGACGCCAGGCCAACTTCGGCATTGTTCGCGCCACGAACCACCTCGTCTTCAGTCTTGAATTTTGAGATGGCAGCGACGGATCCAAATGACTCCTCCGAGTTGCTCTTAGTGGAATCGTCCACGTTACCCAGGATAGTGAGCTCGTGGAAATTCTTTCCGAGAGATGTCAAGGCCTTGCCGCCTAGGAGAATAGTGACTCCCTTGTTTACGGCGTCGTGGATGTGCCCCCCGGCTTTTTCGATGCCGTTGGTCAGAGGGCCATGTGTCACGGAGTTTTTCTGCCCGTCTCCGACGGAGCACTTCTTCATGTTCTCGACGAAGCGCTTGGTGAATTTCTCGTAGATCCCCTCCTGCACGAAGAATCGGTTGGCGCACACGCAGGTCTGGTCGGTTACCTTGGACTTGCTAATGACGGCGGCAGTGACGGTGTTCTCAAGGTTGGCGTCGTCGAATACGATGAAGGGGGCGTTACCGCCGAGCTCGAGGCTGAGTTTCTTCAGGGTGTTACTCGACTGCTGCATCAGGATCTTGCCGACGCGGGTAGAGCCTGTGAAAGAGATCTTCTTCACGACATCCGACTCGCAGAGAGTCAATCCCAAGAAGGAGTGTTATCGAGCGCCGTCACGACGTTGACCACGCCCTTAGGCACACCCGCGCGCTGTGCGAGGGCAGCCAGCGCATTAGAGGAGAAGGGGTGAGGCCATCCGACTTCATAACGACTGTGCAGCCCGCGGCCAGGGCAGCGGCCACCTTGCGCGCTCCCATGGCCATGGGGAAGTTCCACGGGGTGGTAAGGCCGCACACGCCGATGGGCTCCTTGATGACCTGTGTGCGGCTGGAGGGGTTGCTGTGGGGGATCACATCGCCATAGATCCGGGGTGCCTCTTCGGAGAACCATTCGAAGAATCCAGCTGATAAGAGCGCTTCTCCCTCAGCATCGCCCTTGGCCTTGGCGTTCTCAGCTGTAATGATATTGCCAATGTCCTCCTTGTTCTCGACGATGAGCTCGAAGAAACGGCGCAGAATGCGACCGCGCTGCCGGCCGGATTGCGATCGCCATGTGGGGAAAGCCTTCGCGGCCGCCTGAATGGCAGCGTTGATGTCTTCGGTGGTGGATTCGGGGCATTGGCCGACCAGCGCCTCGTTGGCGGGATTGTAGACGTTGAAGGTCTTGCCGGTCTGTGACGCAACCCATTGGCCGTTGATGTAGGAGCCTTCGACGAAGAGGCCGGGGTCCTTCAGACTGGCGGAGAATGCGGGGGCCATCTGGATGATAGTGATCAGTGGGGAGTAGAAAGATCGTAGAGTGACGGCAAGGTTAGAAGCAAGATGGCCACTTAAGTCTCTCTTGCTTCTCCATGGAATCACACAGTCGACTCGTACTTGAACCGCCATCCGAGGGGTTTCGGGTTATGATGTTCCCACGGCGATAGTCCCTCGGATGAGAACCCGATCGACCCGACCAGCTGTTAAGCGCTGGCTCCAACCAGTGGGTCAATAATCGGGGTTGCTGTCATTATTCCTGTCACCGAGGTCACTTTCGCATTGGTCTGGCTCTGCGCCCCGCCATGTCGTGTACAAGTACCAGATCGGAGAGCCATATCGCTTCATTGCCGAGGGAGGACGGCATATCACCTTCCTCCGCGGGCTAGCGATCCCGATGCCTAGAGTGGGCGAGGGTGGGATCCGCTTTTCCTGAGTGCGGAGCATGGGCAAGATCGATGGTCATCAACTGTGATATGATGGTTGGAGTTTGCCTTGGAGTGAAGCTTTCCAGGTGCTGTCGCCATGTGGTTAAGTCTCGCCTCCTGCCGCTCACCGCCCTTGGAATGCATATTGGCAATACATTGCATTCAGAAGTGTCAACGACATCGTTTATTACTCCTGATTCACGTGTCCCTTATTCTCGCAATCGCCAGAAAGTCATTGACGCAACGACGTATATCCTCCATGAATTTCTGGTCATCGGTCTAGTGAGTGTCAGTCAGGTCCACCGCACGACAGTGGTTATGGGATTGTTTGTCAAATAAGCTCGTTCGGTGCAACGAGAATAATATGAAACATTATGTATAAATAACTATATAACTAACTAGTTAGTTATCGCAAAACGTATTTGTCACACTCACGGTGCTATCTTTATTGTGAAATTTATCGCGCTAATTTTACACATAGAGAAATTTTTAAATATTTATAGATGGTACTGACCGAGAAAACCTTGTCTATTAGTATTCTCGTCCATGTTATAGTTCTTCGCAGTGTTTTCCCGGATGTTTTCGGTGGGCCCCGAAAAGACGACGAACCCGATAATGCACCAGGCACTACTTGGGGTAAGTGGAGACCATGGCCAGGGGAGAAGGTTATTCTAAGCCAGGTAAGCCATTGAGCCATTTACCCATATGATGAATATGATTTTGCATCAAGAATGACACGGGCTTCATTGATAGGAACGCCAAAAACAACAATGGCGCGGAAGGAAATTATCTGGAGGCGATACATACCGCCTTTCCATCCGCCTTTCTTCTGCCGGCATAATGAAATGTTCTCGTGTCGGTCTTGTCGTTACTGTGATACTATTGTGTGGGGGAAATTATGAATACAGTATGAGGATAGAAAGAGGGCAAGTATTAAATCCATTATGAGCCAAAATTTCCCATAGAAGCCCCTATGGCGTAGTGGTAGCGCGTCCCACTTGTAATGGGAAGGTCCGTTGTTCAATCCAGCGTGGGGGCATTCTCTTTTTTTCTTCCCTTTTTTTTTTACCCCTTTTTTTTTTCTCTTTTCTCTTTTCTCGTATGTTTTTGATCGATTTGAGGCGGATGAAAGAGGAAACCTGAGCAAATTGTATGCAGCAAATCAAGCCATCGACCATCAACCGCCCCCCATCAAGCACCTAGCTCTTCAAGTCTCCGCGTCATACATCATGGAAGTGCCGTATTTCATCACGACGATGGCTGAGTTGTCCAGATTCTGCTGCTAGCTGGAGCATTTCGTCTTGCAGGTCTACAAGGTCCAAGACCCGAAATTCTTCATTGAGAAAGGGGCAAAAATTGGCATCGCTCGACGTTTCGTCGAAGACATTAGAAAGTGCGCCGAGGAAGTCAAGATAGCGATTCCAATATATGAAAATACTTTAGACTCGACAGGGCTGTTTCATGCGTTACGACGATTTCTGGGCGAACATGTTGAACCACTGATCAAATTGGATGGTGTAGCACCTGTTATCATAACAAAGATTTCACTGCACTGTAGAGTTGCTGTTAATTTGCACGTTCAGAATTAGCGTTTAATACAATAATGTCGCTTTTAAGCCATTCTATGTGACATGAGCCAGCCTAGTGGGTCCAGAGTCTCAACTTTGAATTTCGCCCAACTGGTCTGTTTGTCGAAAATCTCCTTTTCTTGGCCTTTCATGCGCTTGAGGCCTACTTTCCGGAGGTCAGAGAAGAAATTAAAGGCAGCATCGAATGTTTCGGGATGGGTCCAGCCATCCCTTTTCACAAGGCCCTGAATGCCATCGAAAAAATCATGAACCTCATTCCAAGCCTCCGCATCTACAGCATGGCTTTTTAACTCTTCCTCGGTGAAGTGATAAGGACAATTAACCTGGATCCCCATCTCTTGCCAGTGCCTATGTGTATGGTCAGCCCTCGTCGGTGTTATGTGATTGGCAGAGCCCTACTTTCCGACGTTGATGAGGGCCTCGCGGAAGGGCATAATTTCGTCGTCCCAATTATTCCCAGCCATTTCGACGGCAAGACGCCGTGTTTTCCTGTGGTTCAGATCGAATGCTCTTGCAAGCAAAGGATTCCTTCTCTCTGTCTCCATCAAGTAAAGCTGGAAAAGAGTCGATTAAAGATCTGTCGCTTGATTTGAACTTGTTTCTCGGAATCAAGGTCGTCGAAATTTGTCTGGACGGTTAAGTAGGATGTTACCTTGATAATCGACTAGCGGACATGGTTTTGCTTGAAGTAGAAGTGGACCGGTCCACGAGCCTTGCCAATCAATGACTGCAGTAATACGATTGTCATCAATGAAAATGTTGGACGAGTGAAGGTCGCCGTGCCGTAGAGTGGGACAACTCAAGAGGGGATTAATGTCCATGAAACCGGGGCCAGTGCTTAGGTATTTCTCCAGCAGATTGAGATGTGCCACCATTAGGGGACTGTTTTAATAGCCGCAATGTCCCATTTGGGCAGAGATCTGATGGTATTCAGCACACCGTCTCTAGGACCCAGTCCTGGATACAAGGTACAGCTTTCTTTTATAAAAAGACCCTGTGGATCATTCCAATGAGCGGGACATTCATACATTGTTTATTAAGTAACTGACTTTCCCATAGTTTAACGAACTAGACTAAACACTCTCGTTCCTCTGCGCGTACAATACAAGGTGACGAGAAGACGCCTATGCTGAACACAATTGTTCTATATCTTATACTTTTCCAACTCTTTCTGGGTCCACTCCCAGAGTTGATTCCGCGCTGCCTCATCCTGAGAAATTTCCGTCATGTTTCCAGGCCAGCCAACTGGCTCATAGTAAGCGCCATTTGTGAGGTTTTCACGCTTAGTAGTGGCAACCCAGCACATATTGTACGCCCCTTCGTCGGGGGTGAGAGTTTTTCCCCGCGTGTTGATTGCTATAAAAACCTTGTCCAGCATACCTAGGTGGGTGCCACCTATGTCAGTAGCAACGGCACCTGGCTGGATGGAGCACGACATGATGTCCGGGTAGAGCTCGGCTATTTTTTGCGAGTACAGGGTGTTGGCCAGCTTGCTCTGCATGTAACGCCGCCAATGACCAAAAAACCCATTTTGCGGTGTCTTTATAGTGTCATATGCAATCCCGGAGGCGCCCTGGAAGGCGCTTGAGGATGTAGTTACGAGACGCACATCGCGGCCAATGTCAGCCGTCTTGGCCATGAGTGGCAGCAAGTATTTCAGCAACAGGGCGTGGCCCATGTGGTTGGTGCCAAACTGCACCTCGTAGCCGTCCTTGGTGAGGCCTGGAGGGACTGCCATGATGCCGGCATTGGCAAAAAGGATGTCGAGTATATCGAAGTGGGCCAGAAATCTTTTGGCGGCGGATTCGACAGATTGAAACGAAGATAAATCGCACTCGAGAAATGTTACAAGCACCCCTGGAGAGGTCTTGCGAGCTTCGTTAATCACTTCGTCAGCCCTTCTGGCATTGCGGCCAGTAAAGACAATGTGACCGGGTTTGTGCTTTGCAAGGCTGAGTATCGTAGCCTTTCCAATACCCCCTGTACCTAGTACTGTCAGATGTAGTTTAGCCGGTCGGCAAAATTAACATACCTCCAGTAACGAAAATGGTCTTGCCGCCAAGGTTAGGAATGTCTGTATCAGGTTTGAACTGCACGCCCCGGGGATTGATTGCGAGGCCAGACATTATGATGATGTCGAATTCAGATACTACACTAATTCCCAATGATGGATCACGCACGCTTTATAAGTCGGCGTTGGGGAGCTCAGACGGAATAGATAGTAAACTTGTTACCCACTAAGAAAAATGATTACGTCAACTAGTGGTTAAGCTAGTTAACTAACTAGCCGAAAAAGGTTAGCAAATTGTCATCATGTAATGTCAGCCTGGCCTGGAGAAATCTGCCTCCTACATTAATTGGCTGGAATTTTTGAATCTCATAAGGGATACCAGTCTCCACCCTGCGGCCGCACAACTATATGCACCCGCGGCCAAAGAGGTTATCCTGACTTTGCACCAGTCTCCAACTGCGGCCGCATAAGTGAGCACTCGCTGGCAAAGCCGTTACGATGACTTCGCAGCTTCCGCCACGCAGCGGCCGAGGGACGCCACCACTGTTCGGCTTTGTCCGCTTCTCATGCATCGCTACTTTCATGGTAGACCAAGTTGCGCGATTTTTCCATACGCTTGAAATCCAAACGATATGGGAGATGATGACACAGATGGTCTGGGCACTGGTGCTGCTCCCCATGTATGTGCTTCGTGCAAAAGAAATAAGCGACGTTGTGATAAATCCATCCCCAGTTGCAGCTTGTGTCTGAAGTTGGTCTTTACCCTGGACGCCTCCCGGGCAAAATACATACAGTTATGCATCACTGACATTTCACTCGTAACTAGAACGGCTAGACTCTGCGATTACTCAGATCACACACCTCCCAGCCATGCAGACGAGATCAGCAGCTTGCAAAGCCGGGTTCGCGAACTGGAGCATGTCCTGCATGGATCGACCGAAACACGATGCGCAATTTCTATAGCTGATCTGTCTAGCTTCCAGCATCCATCTTGGCATCATTTGCACCTGCCTCTGCTATTTGTTCAAGCTTCGTACCTTGATTCAGACATTTTGTCCTTATGCAGTCCGTCGGCGCGGAGCAACTATGAGCTCATTCCACAGGATATTGCGACAGTACTGGGTAGCCGTTCTGAGACTGACGAATGTTCGGAAAGGAAAGGCTTGGGTTTCTAGTCTCGATGTCGTCCAAGGTGGTCAGCCTTGTCCCCTTTTTTTGCGGCCGGTTGACTACATTCAGAACATGAAAGGCCGAAAACGCATCATTTCAAAGCTATTGTACTAGCCTCCCGACCGTCCACTAATCTCGATGATTCTATTGGCGTGTAGATTGTCGCTTATTCGTTTTGCAGCACGTCAGTCCAAGAAAGGCTTAGCGGTGTGGCCTTCGAGCTGACTAGGGCGATTGAATCATGCGCGATATTCTGACGGTGAAAACCTGACTCTTGGAGAGATGAAGTTTCGCATAACTTGACTGGGCTTTCCCCTGCGATGTTCGATCTCCCAATCGCCAATATGGCTGTCATCTCCCCCATATGGACTTCTGTTGCTGTGGGCCTTCTAACCGTACTTTATGTGGGGATGAGGAAGGAGACCCCGAGGGGAACCAAGTCGCTCCTGAAAATTCCCCTCATCGGCGACCTTCATAAATCGCCCGTTGGAAAACCGTTAGAAAATTGGGATGCCTGGGTCGAGGCAAATGGCCCCATCGCAGTGCCCAAATTATTCGGCATTATCCCAATCGTCGTTTTGAACTCGCTTGAGGCTGTAACAGAGCTATTCAGTCGGCGCAGCCAGTGGTACAGCAACCGCCCGCCCTCGGTAAGCATGGAAATGATCACAGATGCGAAACCGGGACAGTCCAAGTTTACCTTGATGCACGACTATGATGATCACCTCAAATTGCATCACCGAGTCCTTGCTCCCAGTCTTGGAGCAACCGCGGCTCCAAATTATCAGCCCTTGATGGAGCTCGAATCAACGCAATTGCTGTTTGATTTGTGCAACGTCGTAGCAGAGTTTCCAGAAGGAATCAGCACTGCGGCAGTCTATTCACTGCTAGAACGCGCACAGTCTAGTGTAATTCTGGCCTTGCATTATGGGCTCCGGATCCCACGCTTCGAGGAGAAGATCTTGCACGAAGTCATCGATGTCCAGACTCAAATAACACATATGGCTGCGAACCCAGGACTCCCAGATATGTTTCCGCCCCTTCGGCATCTCCCTCTATTTCTTTCTCCGTGGAAACGATCAGCGGACAAGTTCTACGCGACACAGGTAGACCTGTACATGCGTCTCTTTGAGCACGGGAAGGAATCTGCGGGCTGGAATGCGACCAAGCAAGCGATCGAGACTTCCAGGAGGCATACCACGGACAGGGTTCCGGACATCGACCTTGCGTTCACACTTGCGACCTCTATCCAAGGCGGCATGGAGACGTCTCCCCGTCAGTTGATGTGGCTCTTCATCGCGGCTTTGCACAGACCATCATTTATGAAGAAAGCCCATACAATTCTTGATGGTGTTGTTGGTCGCGACCGGCTCCCTCGATTCTCGGATAGACCAAAGCTGATGTTCGTCGATGCTATTACGCATGAGCTGCTTCGGTGGAGACCTATCTCACCCGGCTCTATTCCTCGTCGAGCGGATAAGGACGACGAGTTTGGGGGGTGAAGATTCGCAAGGGCTGGACTATCATTGCAAACGCGTGGGCAATTGGTCGTGATAAGAAGGTGTTCGATCCTGCACTGGGTGATCTCCAGGATTTCGTGCCGGAGAGGTGGCTGCGTCAGGACGAGGGTGGAGAAGAAAAGCTGCGGACGGATCTGCCTCTTCCGGTTTTCGGACAGGGTCGGCGTATTTGTCAGGGAAAGAGGGTTGCCACGGATGGAGCTTTTATGCAGGTTGCGTGTCTGCTGTGGGCGTTTGATGTCGAGTTTGTTGAGGGGGAAGTGGTGGATCCGTGGGCAATGGTAGTCGCGGGCTTCATGACGATGCCGAGGAACGTGAAGTTCAAGCTCCGGCCAAGAGGACGCTGGGCGGTAGATGTCATCCGAAGAAACTGGGAATTAGTGGATAAAGGCGTAGTAGATGTGATAGGGCAAGAAATTGATGTGGAGAAGTAGGCGCGAATGGCAAATATGTGACGGCGCCTACTGAACAGAAAAGGGGATTCCCAACTCAGGTTGAACTATGGCGACAATACTAGCAGTACTCTGTCTATAGTGGTGTCAGGAAGAGTATTATACTCAACGCCCAGATGGGCACTGTTATCTACAGGTAATCAGAAATGATATTCTGTGTTCCCGAGTGTCTTCGCCTTCAATTCTTGGACTGGAGGGTTTCGTTTCATCTTTGCGTACCTCCGTCATGCAAGGAACGGCCGAAGACTCCAAAATTTGATTGCAAAAGCATTGTCATCTCTTGTGTGACCGAATAATGTGCTATATTTACTCTATTGTACTCATGCGCGTGAAGAAAATCACATCTCGTCTCTTCATACCTTCCAGGCTGCCAACGCCTATGGCCCGAATCGTTCCATTGGGCTCTTCAGAAAACTTGATAGGCCCTGGGGGCAGCGATATCTCAGGAGATGTCCACTGGAAAAAGGCTCGAAGGTTGTCATCCAGGGAAGGCAGCATTCCGTGTTTGAAATCGTGCTCTCCACCCAAGGCAGTAGGGATATTTACACTGTCGATGTGGTTCTCAAGAGTAGACATGACCTCAGCGCTGGTCAATACAACCACCTTCTCTGCAGTGTTTGGGTCTACCCATGTCTTCAGGTATTTCCAAATGGTGGTGAAGTATGATGGAGCATTGCAAACCTGCTCGTGTCAATACGTGACGAGATAGCTCGGGATTTAGAGAGCACATACAAACACCCGTGTGATGGTTTCGGGATAGCAAGTTGACAGCAACCAACTAATTTCCTGGACAAACATCTTGAGACTCCATCCTTGTTTGAGTCCCAGACTCGACGCATCGACAAGGTATACCGAGCTTGTTATGGCAGTTGACGGGTTCGGCCGATCGGTCATCATCGTGCAGAGAGGGAGGACAAAGCGGACAAAGCCATCATGGAAGACAGAGGCCATCTGCAACATGTCGGGTTTGCCAGACTCGGCATCGCTCCAACCTACACTGATGCGGGTGGTTTCCCAGCTTGCCAAACCGGCTTTATCCAGCTTTGCCAGGTCAAACATGCAGATAGGGAACCCTTGTTTATCTCTGCGTCCTGTCCAGTGAGGATACTAGATATGCGCATTAATTGACAGCCCAACCGAAATAGGAAAGATGTGATCTCACGAATTGTCGCGCCTGTTCAAAATCGGAAATCTCAATGGCATCATAAAGTCCTAGGACCTGCTTTTCTTGTCGGAATTTCATGGCCTGCTGGAGCTGGTCGAACGCTGCATTGGGATTATATTGGCGCGCCGTTAAAAATCGCCTGTCGAAATTAGATCGGACGCAGACATTGACCAGGGCGAGGCATACAACAGTGTCGCTGTGTCTGAGAGACCGTGGGCGCAATCATCTTCTCCAAGGCCGTCCGGTCGGCCCAGAATCCCCTTTTCAGCACATATCTGGGTGAATGCAATGAAATTTGAATCTTGCTCGGGCAACAGTCCAGAGTCCAGGTCCGTACGACTAGGCATGGTGGTAAAGAGTGCAAGAACTTTGGCAGCTGACTGATGTGGGAAGTGAATTGACTTCTAGCTAAAGGCAACCGAGGCATTACATAGTCCATGAGATCATACGAAAAGCAAAGCCTTCGATAGCTGAACAGTGCGGGGCCCTGCGATCGCATCAGGTAGAGCACTCTGCAAGAGATAGACTTATGATTAAACAGGTTTCGCGGCATTGCCGATGTGATCACACATGCAGCTGCATACCCAGCCGAATGGTTGCGAGGCTCGTCGGTTGTCCGAAAATAGTTGGGGCATGTGGTTTATCTGGGTTGTGCCGCAAGGAGAGTTTTGAGCTACCACAGACGACGAACCGGTGGGTCGTGCGGGCTGGGCGGCTCCCCCTGACGTGCCGCAAGTAGTATCCCACTGGCACTTCAGCTTGGGGGGGGAAGCTCCTCCGTCGAGACGCCACAGCCAGTTGTGATGTCAGTTGGTAAGCACGTTTCCTGATTGTTTACTGTGGTAAACTCTGAAGATGTACTGCCAGCAAGATCTAGCTTGGCTAGCATAGAGATGCGGACCCACCGAACCCTGCCGATGAAGTCATATCTTTTGTGAGACCCATTGCCCCGGGACGACTGCGGTTCATTATTTACTTTAATGTTGTGCGACCCAAAAAGGCTCTCCCTCGTATCTTACATCTTTGAATGTGAGAGCTCCCAAAATTTGCATTGAATGTAGAAGACGCTAACACATCTGCTTTCTAGATGCTTTCCTCTACGACAATGTCCTCGAATCAGTATCAAAAGCGCTGGTGAGTACCGGATTCGCGACGAACTATTGTTTACGATTCTAATTCGACGAAGCTCGACGCCGGCACCGATCATCTTGTGCTGGATGAGATAGATTATCGCACTGTGCGATCGGTGACCGGTACAAAGCAAATCCAGTCCAAAATCCTATTGGAGCTTTTGTCAATTGACAAGCCTTGTGCCGAGGTAGTCATCGATGCGTGGAAAGTGATGGTCGGCACAACCGCTGCGTGCGACAAGTCCTGCATTTTCTATGGACTCGACGACTTTGTGGAATATCGAATCATTGATACGGGTGCCCCTTTTTGTGGACACTGTCATGCGATTTGGCATGGGGTTGCTTTTGACTAAGGAGGAAGAGGAACTGGTTGCGCCCATCGCGCGACCTTGCTTCGCGGCCCTCGGGTTGGCCAACGACTACTTTTCTCTCGATATTGAATGGGAAGAATTTCAAAAAACTCAGAAGAGCCAAAACAAATGCTACAATGACGAATCTCATGTGGCTTTATACCCAGTGGGAGGGTCTTTCGGTCGACCAAGCAAAGGAGAAGACGAGAGAGACTGTTCGCAGTTTCGAGAGGGAGTATCATGAAAGAACAAATGCCTTCTGTCCGACAAACAGCTTTTCACACCCAACTCGGCCAAATACCTGAAGGCATTGGCATTCCAGATGCCAGGAAATGTTGCTTGGAGTCTACGCTGCCCTCGCTATCACCCTGAACGTTGCTCGGAGGCAGAAGGTCTGCTTCATCCTGAACGACCAAGCCAAGAGAACTATATGGACAAGGATATCCGTTCCGATAATGTATCCGACACGAAGAAGTTGAGAGTCCCTAGCATGGCCCGCTCAAATTCTGAGTCCGGCGACTCGTGTTCATCCTCCGAAGACCCGTCGAATTCGACACCTTCCAGCAGGACCTCTGTCCACTCCGAAGAGGATATCGAAAGCTCTCCAGGGCCTAAAGGTCAAGTGGAGCTAGGTGACAAGGTATGACACCCGAAAGGATGTCTGATCGTAACATTTGCTGTATACTCACGATAGCAGATTCTCATCGCACCCTTCGAGTACAACAGCTCTCTCCCCTCGAAAGGAGTTCGCGAGGCCCTGATTGACGCGCTAAACGTCTGGCTTACGCTTCCAGACTCCACAGTCAAGACTATCAAGCTGATTGCACAAAAACTGCACAGCTCTTCGTTGATGCTGGATGATATCGAGGGCTATTTCGATCTTCGACGGGGCAATCCCGCAAGTCACACCATATTTGGCTCGTCGTCCACAATCAACTGTGCGAACTTTTTGCTCATCGATGTGTTGAATGACGTTCATAAATTGGGTGATCCCAATTGCATGGCGATTGTCCTTGAGGAATTGAAGAATTTGTTTATTGGTCAAAGTTTTGATTTGTATTGGACTCGACAGGGAGAGTGCCCGTCGGAAGACGAGTACATGGAAATGGTTAACCAGAGTGAGTCGATGTTCATCATTTCTCTAGGAATCCCTGTCGTGATGCTAACCCCTCTTTCCAGAGACTGGAGGCCTGTTCAGATTGCTTGGTCGCCTCATGTGCGAATGTGCGCAATCTCTGCACAAGAAGTATGTCTATCTCGGACATTTCTTTGCACAGTTACTAATCTCTTGATCAGAACTATTCCGCTCGATCTAATGCTTCCTCTTGGTCAATATTTCCAAATACGAGATGATTACAAGAATTTGATAGATGATGTGGTCAGAAAAACATACCCTCACATTCGCTCGAGACATTCTAACATATTGATCTCCAGTATACGAGTGAAAAGGGCCTTGCCGAAGATCTCGTAAGTCAAAATCGATCAACAAAACATACAGCTACATCTACTAACACCTTTCTTTAGGACGAGGGCAAATTTTCTTTCCCAATTATTGCTGCCATGAACACCGATACCCCCAACCTTGTTCTTCAGGGGATCCTGAGAGAGAGCAGGAATGCGAACTCTTTGTCTGTCCCGCATAAGAAAATCGTTCTGGATAAATTGCACAAGGAAGGAAGTATGAAGCACACCGTGCAAACATTGAAGTGGTTAGAGGCCGATATACAAAAAGAGCTTAAACACGTGGAAAAGGAGTCCGGGTGCGAGAATTGGGTGATGAGGCTGCTTATCCAGAAGCTTGTTGTGTAATTTTTACTTCTGTGGATTAGCTATTGCTTTGAACACCATTCACTTATAGATATAGAACCATTTCCACTGTTGTCCCTTGCAATTTTCCGATTTTGAAAATCATATTGGTCGACTCTCGGCGATCGTTGAAATTCCTGCTCATGGTACGTTCTGCAAGCCGACGATCACATGTGATGAGGCATCGGAGACTAACTCAAATCAACTGCCGAGCGTTCATAAGCGACAACATTCTTGTTGTGAAAAGTAAAAAGTAAAAAAAAATAAGGGGGCCGAACCCAGAATCGAACCCGGGCCTTTTTACCCCCAGGTACAGCGGCATCGACCTGCAATGGGCGTCAACGCCTCCGAAAAATCTCACTTTTTTAAACACGAATAGCACCACCATTCAAAATAGTAAAAGAATGTAAATAAGTGAAGCAGATAGACAGATGCCTAAATTACCAAGATCACCTTTCGTAAGAAGCAAAAATTCACCCGCCGCCCTACGTTTTGCGGTGGGTGGCTGGACTATAAAACCGGGAAGCCAGGTTTGTCTATGAGAGCTAAGTACTGAGCAACCAACTCACTAGGCACCGAATATGAGGACTCGTGTGCGCGCGGTTTTCCGCTGCATTACTCACTCTTACTGGTGGCAGGCTATCTGGTATTTTCCTTATAACCCCGAAACACTTCGTTCCTTACCCGATTTCGGATTACGTCGACTCACTGAGGATATCTTGAAAATGTATTATTATTCAGATACTCGGTAGAAACAGATCATTTTCGAAGCCGATGTGAGACAGTCTAAAAGCACGTACCTGTCGATCAGCTCCCATAAAAGTAGTGCGGCGCCGTGGGCGTCCCGCTTAATAGACGGTTGAAACAATCCCAAAATTGAGACCACCCTTTCATATAGCCAGCCATTAGCTGTCACGGAGCCAAATTCTTCAAGTATACTAATTGTCTAGAAGTCACGGTTACATTTCGCACATCATCTCCTACTAGACAACATGCGCCTAACCATCGCGCTCTACCTCGTGAAAGCAAGTATATCCCTCGCAACACCCACCAGCGGAGGCTCAGAAACTGCGACCGTGGAAATACCCTTCGCGACAATCCTCGGCAGCATCAGCAACAACGTCGAGACATTCGCTGGCATCCCCTACGCAGAACCGCCGACCGGATCGAACAGACTGAGACCACCAACGCGCCTAACCAAGTCGCTCGGCATCTTCGATGCAACCGGTACCGCCGCGGCGTGTCCGCAATTCCTCGCCTCGCCCGACAGTACCGATTTTCTGCAGAAGATTCTGGGATCTGTTGCGAACATACCCTTTGTAAATAATGCAACAGATCAGTCGGAGGATTGTTTGACTATTACCGTGGCTCGGCCTGAGGGAACCACCGCGGATTCGCGGCTGCCGGTTCTGTTTTGGATCTATGGTGGTGCGTTCGAGGTAAGTTTCACCCTACCCAACCTCTTGTGCTTTTGCTTATTGAGTCTAGATCGGGTGGTCTTCAATGTACGACGGAACAAACCTCATCAACTACGGCGTGAATATCGGTAAACCCTTCATCTTCGTCGCGGTGAACTACCGCATCGGCGGCTTCGGGTTCCTTGCCGGAAAGGAGATTCTGAAAGACGGCGCAGCAAATCTGGGTCTTCTTGATCAGCGGATGGGACTTGAATGGGTTGCAGATAACATCGCAACCTTCGGAGGCGATCCGGACAAAGTGACGATCTGGGGAGAGTCGGCTGGAGCGATTTCCGTTCTGGACCACATGGTTTTGTACGAGGGCAATAATACCTACAACGGGAAGAGCCTTTTCCACGGTGGTATTATGGACTCTGGGAGTATTACCCCTACTGAACCTGTGGACAGTCAGCGGGCCCAGGATGTTTATGACATCGTTGTCGAGGCTGGTGGATGTCGGAATGCGTCGAGTACGTTGGATTGTTTGCGAGGTCTTGAGTATGAGGATTATCTTAATGCTGCCTGCTCCCCTCCCGGCTTGCTGTCTTACTCTGGTGTTGCGCTTTCCTATTTGCCGCGGCCGGACGGGAGGATTCTTGCTAAGAGTCCCGATGTGCTCGTTCAGCAAGGGAAGTATGCGCCTGTTCCGTTTATTATCGGTGACCAAGAAGATGAAGGTACACTGTTTAGTCTTTTTCAGTCAAATGTCAGCAACAGCAAGGACCTCGTTGGATACTTGAAAAACGTCATGTTTCCACGCGCCACCGAGGAGCAACTTACTACGCTGGTCAGCACATATGGCTCCGGTATCTCGGCTGTGACGAAAGGAAGTCCTTTCGGTAGCGGGATGTTTAATGAGGTATTCCCGGGCTTCAAACAGCGGGCCGCAGTCATCGGTGATATACTCTTTACCTTGGCCCGACGCACATTCCTCCAACTGTCGAGCCAGCTTCGCCCAGAAGTTCCTTCTTGGTCATATCTCGCAACATATGACAAGGGAACCCCAATTCTGGGAACATTCCATACATCCGATATCATACAGGTGTTCTTTGGCACCTACGACAACTATGCCGCTCACAGTGTCCGCACCTACTACCTCAACTTTCTCTACTTTCTGGACCCGAACGCCGATCTCAACGGGACGTATCCTACTTGGCCGAGGTGGGGGAAGTCCAAGGATCTTCTTAGCTTGGCTGCGGATAAGGCGACGGTTGTGAAAGATGACTTCCGGGAGAGCAGTTATGAGGTGATCCGAAAGGTTGGAAATGTGCTACGACTATGATTGGCAAGGATAGTGTTGCATTCTACTCCTGTACATTGATTTCCTCGTGTTAATATTCCTGAATAAGGAGTGAGAATGCTATTGTATACATAAATTCATGCACGTCATTAACCCAGCCCCAACCTATTTACCTTAGGGTGCTATAATGATATAACTGCGTTGTATCAAGTAACATGCTCCTTCTCCTCCTCCTTGGGAATCCGTACCCAAAGCAATGTAATCCCGGCAGCAACAATTTCACAGGCAAGGGCAAACCACCAAATAGCTCTCAATCCTTCCAACCCAATATCCCCATCAGGCCCCTTATCGACCCTCGTCCCAATCGCATCCGCCACAGCCGTCATAACCGCCGAGCTTAAGTTCTGCATCGTCACCAACAAACTCCCCGCACTACCTTGGTACGAGCGGCGCACATTACTAGTGATGTAAATCGAGGCCGCTGCGAAAGATAAGTCTGGTCCAAAGGTGACGAGCGCGATACCTGGGAATGATAGCGCCCAGTATATTGTTCCTGATGTTTGAGGGAGGAAAAATACCGGTCCCAGGGCGAAGGCGATCATTGCTGTTAGGTAGATGTAGTGCCCCGGGATGATGTGCAGGGTTTTGCTGACGACCCAAGTGGCCAGGACGCCGACTATGGCGTTGGGGAGGAGGTAGAGGGCGACGGTAATGGGTTCGTGCTGTTGGATGCGGAGCCAGAATTGCACGGCGAAGAATTGCCATGCCCCGGAAAAGGCGCCGTAGCCTAAGAAGTAGGCTACCATTAACGGGGTGAAGCCTTTTGTTCGCCAGAGTCGGTTGGGTATTAGAGGACGTGGGACCCAGCGTTCGACGAAGAAGAAGGCGACGAGAAGGAGGATGCCGACTATCACGAGGATGTAAGTGTATGGGCTCCACTCGACGACGGGACCCTGGGTTAGGCCGAAGAGAACGCAGATGGAGCCGATGACTGCGAAGCTTGCGCCGATGTAGTCGAAGTCACGAATTGTTGGTGCATCTGTTCCGGCTATATCTGCGACTGGTCGGAGCGGGGGGATGGTTGTGTATGCTGCGATAAGACAAATCCCTGAGATGATGGCGTTTGAGCCGAAGACCCAATATAGATATGACTTGAGCGCACCACCCTGTATACCACCTAGCCAAAATCCGAACGGCGCGGTGGCGGACATGGCGGAAAACACTTGGTTCTTGCGACGGCCTGGCTTGTATACCCGGCCGAGGATACTCATAGAGCCGGAGACGAGGACTCCGATTGCGAGGCCCTGCATTGCTCGGACGATGTAGAAGAGGATTGCCTTTCTGGTTGCGAAGACCCCGACCACGTTCCAGATTGTTAGCCAGGCGAAGGCGCCAACCATTATCATCCTGGGTGGAGCGAGATCACTTAGTGAACCGGATATAATCACGGAGAGACTGAGGGGGTTGAGTAGGCGCCTAGTAGCCATGGCAGTTCGCTGTTACTGATTCCGAGGGTCTTTTTGAATTCTTCCTGGTTCACAGTGATATCTCCCAAAAGGAACGAAAATAAAAGTAAACCGGCAGAGCACACGAAGACGAAGATGACTTCGGCTGTGAAACTACCGATTTCGGGTGGGATTCCCTGATATTTGGGCTCGGCCGGTGAACCCGCCTCTTCGGCGAGGTCGGACATACGTTCTGGAGAAGGATGTCTGAATGAACGACGGGCACTCCGCTCACTGCGTCGTGAGGGCACTGCGCCCAGCTCGTGAGGACCTTCATGCTGGTGCTGGTGCGGGTGACTGAGAGAACTAGCCAGGTTCTCAAGAGCTTCGCCCATGTGCGAGTCCCGACGTGTTCGCGTCGTCGGGACTTTGTGAAGACCCGCAACATCTTGCGAGCCGTGGAATTCTGCTGGCTCGCGCGAGTTGCGTCGGGTGCTGTCTATTGTCTTTGACAGTGATAGTGTAGAGGTGGCTGTTGATTCCATCTCATAGATTGTATGAGTTTGGCCGCCTTTGGAGTCGTCGACGGGTGTTGGTGCCATTTTACGGCAGGTTTCGCGAATCTGGGTTTTTCATAGATTAATTGTTTTTGAGAATAAAACAGCGAGACTTAGATTTATTGTATGTCGACAGACCGCATTACTCGCCGGCTAAATGCTTGGGTGGCGATGTGGGTCGCCCGTCACATCGAAGAGATTTTTCTATCGCGGAAAACAATCTCCGCACGCAAATCACGATGAAGTAGAGCTCTTCATGGATGGTGGATCTGTGGAGAGCTCACTCTCGCGATTCCGATTCATTTTCTTGTTCGCACAGATTGTTCTCAGCTGCTGCAGATAGCTACAGTGCTGGATAAGAGTCGGGCTAGCCGTATCAACACTCTTTATTTGTATCTATCACTTGGTAAATAAGCCAAACACTAGCAACGGTTAAATCCACTCAAACGAGTCTCCGAGATACTGATGCGCCCGAGCATCGCCAGACCGGGCGTGTCCTTCGAAATTCTCCGCGCGCGCTGCTCGTCCACAGAGACGGCCGAGTTCGCCGCTTTCCTGTGCAGAAGTCACCTCTTGATAAGTGACAGTTTTGAGGAACTTGCCCACCCACACTAGAATCAGTATCGTGTTAGTTGGATTGTGACTGTATGAGTGAGTGAGTGGTGGTGAGAGGTGACCTACATCCACCGGTATACCGTGCAGCACCGCGAGTCGGGAGAACATGGTTCGTTCCGATGCACTTGTCGCCATATGAGACGCATGTTTTCTCACCGAGGAAGAGAGCGCCGTAGTTGGACATTTTCTCAAGGGCTTCGCGGGGCTTTTGTGTGAGGATCTGGACGTGCTCGTAGGCGTATTTGTCTGCGAGGGCATATGCCTCGTCGAGGTTGTCCACGATGTTGACTTCGCCCAGTCGGGCCCAAGAGACCCCGGCGATATCGGCTGTAGGGAGGATTTTGAGTAGACGGTCGACTTCTGCGATGGTCCTCTCGCCGACAGACTTGGAGTTGGTGATGAGGACCGCGGGGGAGTCAGGACCGTGCTCGGCTTGCGAAAGGAGGTCGGTGGCCAGCGTGAATGGGTCTGCGTGCTCGTCGGCGACGATGAGGATCTCAGTTGGGCCAGCTGGAAGGTCGATGCCGATTTCCTCGCCGAAGAGCTGTCGTTTCGCTTCGGCTACGAAGGCATTGCCTGGTCCGGCGATGAAGTCGACCTTTTTCATGGTCTCGGTGCCGATCGCCATGGCTGCGACGGCCTGGACACCTCCCAGAATGTAGATGTCGTCTGCACCGGCCAGGTACATGGCGGCGACGGTGTTGGCAGGGATCTTGCCTGCAATGGGCGGGGTGCATGCCGTGACGTGAGGGACGCCTGTCTTGTCAGTGTGCATTCTGGTGTTTTTGATTCGCAGGTGGTATCCTACCAGCGCACTTTGCTGTCAGAATTGTCATATGGCTCGAGGCGAGGAGGGGGTAACGACCGCCGGGGATGTATCTATATGAAGTAGGCGGATGAGTAGAGAAACCGCAGGCAGTGCAATGGTATACTCACGCGCCAACCGAGTTGATGGGAACATTCTTTTGTCCCAAATGCACACCCGGTCGAATTTCCACCTCAAAGTCCTTCAACGAGCCTCTTTGTGCCAGGGCAAAGGTACGCACATTGTCCTGCACCTGCTTGATATCCTCGATGATCTGCTTCGGGACCGCCAAGATAATCTCTTGGATCTCTTCCTGGCTGAGCTTGAAGCTCGTTGGGCTCCATTGGTCGAATTTCTCCGAATACTCCCTCACGGCCTGGTCTCCATTTGCGCGAATGTCGTTGATCACGCCGCGCACGATTGCGGGGGTGTCGACGGTGGACGCGAGGTCCGCGTTCGAGGGACTCGGTTGTTTTAGTTCCAGAACCATTTTGTTGTAGGTATGACAATGTCAGGATTGCTGCTTCTCTCGCCGTGGCTACTCAATGGCCGCTTCTATATACACCATCAACTCGCGCAATGGACGCGTCAACGCATCGTGTTGATATTCGGCATCGGCGCCGAGTCCGATCCCCGCATTTTCGCCGGCTGCGTGGAGAGCTCAACCTCGGGATGTGGAGAGCTGCCAGGGTGGTTCGCCAGTGCGGAGTAGCAAGCACCAGCTGAGTTGTGGATCGGCTCCGACATCTGCCGAGTCCTGGCTCGCCTGGGCTTGCTTTGCGAGTGGTGGGTGCATCCTCACTGCAACGATGGCAGGAGCGATGGGTCAAGGGAGATGACCTCGGGCAAAAGAACAAAGTAGTTGGTGAGTTGTAGGGAAATTGCGCTCCGGGGAACCTCCCAGGTGACGAGGGCGAGCGGCGCAGGGGTAAAGCGGCTCTCGCAATAAGGCAAGTCCTTATACTCCCGGCGTCTAGTGTACCAGCTGTTACTTGGTCCCTGAGTACAGAGAATCTTCTCAAGTCCTTTTATACCCTGCCTACCACAAAAGGCACGCCGGCAGTTGAGCACTTTGCTGCGGAAAAAAATAAAAAAGCATTGTGGAAGCCTGGCTATCCATTTGGTTTCCCTTTGCTCTGTTCTGAAGACTAACTATGGTGCTAACTGTGTGGGTAAATAAAAAACAAAAAAGATTTCTTGATGGCGTCGACATCAATGGCGGGTCGATGTACTTATACCTACCCGTCAAATTAATCTGCAAGGCCCGATTTCGATTCCAGGCTCAGCCATTTTATCTTAAATGCTGTTTCTACGTACCACAGTGATATAATAGAATAATCATAAGGATGCCGTATCATAATCATGGGTATCATAACAAAATACTAATAGTATACAAAACACCTACGGCGCCACCTGCGCCAAATCCCCCATCAACTGCGCGAGACTCTGCACAAGTGGGGGCGTTCGCTCCGACGAGTCTGGTCGCAGCAGCGTCTGCACCAACCGCATCGTCATCCCAGAATCAGCGAGGTAAATCGGGCCACTATGGCTCTGCAAAGCTGGAAGACCGCAACCCAGGGTCACAAACTTGGACACGTCAGGCACTTCCTCAGCGTCCAGAAAGACGGTGGGTCCTAGTGCAGAGACTGGCGACGAGGGTCTTCCGATCAGTCGAACGTTTTTGGCTTTGGAGACGACGCCGTAGGACCAGAATGCGAGACTTGCGTAGTAGACGCCGATTGCAAGGAAGCCGGTTAGCGAGCCGGGCGCCATTTGTCGTGCGGCGCGGACGATTTGCCCAGCGTGCCAGATGGCGCGGCGGGAGTCGGAGCTTGTGATCCATTCCAGGGCGGAGTGGTAGACTCGTCGAGCTTCTTGTTTGTCTTCCTTTCCAGCGAAAAGTTGAAGTTCTTCGAGGGACATGTGGAGGAGCATGGAGACGACTTCGCAGACGAGGATTATCTCAGGTCGGCATTGGTGGCGCAGTTCGGAGCAGACCATGCGGAAGTGTTGAAGGGCTTGGTCTAGCTCTTGTTGGCGGGAGTTGGTGACGAGGGCGTGCCAGTGTTTGGAGTTGCTGCTGGAGATGAATTTCAGTCGGTGGTATTCGTTGATTAACCCCGCCAGCCCGTGTAGAAGGGAGAGAGCGGCCATTTGCGTGCCAATTCGGTCCTGCGCGAGTGACAGTTGGGACATGTCGCGGAGTAGATCGGCCAGGGAGGGAACACGCTCGGGAGTGATTGCGTGGTAGAGCTCCTTCCATTCAACGGCGGACTTGGCTTCCCACAGATGGCGGGCCGCGGGCAGTGGGAGTTCCAAATCAGCGTAGGATATCAAAGGATTGACGTTCAAGGTCACCGCAGACTGGGCGTCGTGAAGGAAAACATGATAGACAAGCCTGCTGGTCAGCATTCATTCGAAAAGCATGATGGAGTGACCAACCTCTTGAAAGACTCCTGCTCAATCCAGTCATACCACTTGCGCTCCAGCGCATCTCCTACATCTTCCGCCATCAGGACGATGGTCGGGTAAACAGATCGGCGGAATCGCAGGGCCCGTCGCAGCATCGTTATGAGAGGTTGCGAGAAACTCTCAGCGATTTCAGTCTTGCGTCGATTGCCACTCCAAATCCCAATGTCGATGTTGAGGGCGTATGTTTGCGACGTGCGCAGGTCGCGGGTGGTGCTATTGTCGCTCTCGTACTGGATTGATCAGTCATGGTCATCGACTCTGTCGGTGGATCACCCACTTTAATAGGCATATACAGTCGCACAATTTCGAGGAGTGCAAACCCCAGTTTCCTGATGGTCGGAATGGGTGACCGCACTGCCCCGGCCGCGGCCATCGCTGCGAGAATACTAGCGTGTTCGTTATTCGGTCGGAAGGTCGGGGCATGAATGAAGGAGTCTACGCTGTTGATCTGGATTTCAAAAAATCGCTGAATCAGACCATCGAGCAGCTCCGTGCTGGGAAAGGACTTCATGATCCGAGTCAGGTTGGCTTCACGGCTGATCTCCAGGACCAGGCCGAAGATCAGGTCCCGGCTGCTGGAGGATAGCCGCTCACATAGGATCTGTCGATCGGGTATGGCACTCATCTCGGGGCTATCGATAGTCTGTGGGACCGACAGATTCTCGTGGTCCGCCCCGGCCCTGTCCTCCTGCATGGGTTTCCACGCAGACAGGGAAGACCGATGGTAGGCCTCTGCACCGATGCCAATTCCGCTGTCGGCGTCGAAGCGATCTTGATGGTCATTTTCATGGGCTCCTGGGGCCAGACTGCGAGAATTGTACATATCGATAAGTCCAAAGTCTCCGTCGGTCAAATTAAAGTCAAACGGTGGGCTCTCCAGTGCGCCATAGTGGGTGAACTCGGGGATCAAGCTAGAGGGGTCGAACGGATCATTGTATCGACTCAGCGAGGAGATCAAGGAGTCTGGAATGAAATTGGGGAAGAATTGGCCGTCGACGCTGAAGATGCCGCTCTCTTGGTCCGTAGGTGAGACGGCGGTACTGTTGGAGCCATTTGCCTGGTACAGCGACTGATACTGCGGCGTGTGCCCACTGTATTCCATCGGCAGCGGCTCAGGGCGTGTCGGGAGCTCCGGTGAGAGAATCGGATCAGGCGGGGGACCCTGGGGTGTCATGAGGATGCTGGTGGTGGACGGGAATTCGTCCATAGGGGTCGGCATGGGCGAGAACGCCACTGAGGCCGACAGGTCGACAGACGGGGCGAGCGGATTGGAATGTTCTGCGGGCTGCTGCAATGGTTCGGGTGAAGAGTCTTGCACGACGTCTTGCCAATCGCACTGCAGGTTCCGCTCGCGACAACGCCGACAGGGCTTCTCCTCGTCGCATTTCAGCTTGGAGGCGGCGCAGGTCTTGCAGGCCTGGGACACGCGGCTCTGCTTGGCGATGGAGGAGGTTCTCTTGCGCTTGCGGTCGCGGTCATTGGCATGGCCGGTCGCATGGCGCTTGAGGAGGTCACTATACAGTTCAGCAAGACCGTTTCTACGTCGTAGGTAAAAGGGAGCACTAACGGGCGGGCGAAACCCTTGTCGCAGACATCGCAGACATAGGGCTTTTCGCGAGTGTGGGATCGGACATGGCGGATCAAATGGTCAGCGCGATTATAGTGACGCTTGCAGAAGCCGCATTGAAAATAACCGCCGTCCTTAGACTTGATGGGCGGGGCGTTGAGTTCCATGGAGGCATCAGAGATAGAGTGAGGTTGAGGGGAAGTTGGGGAAAGCCCAGGAAGAGGGGAAGTCCGGGGTAGAACAATAAGTCAGGCGGACACACACACACGCACTAACTAGTACTATTTTACTAGTACCACATTTACACGGTGACCTAAAAGAAGAGAGTACCTGGGAGGCGAAAAAGAAAAGACTACCGACTGCACGAGCTAAAATAGCCAGCAATGCCGATCCACTCGATGATCTGCTGTGTCTCCACTGCGTGTCTTCTTCACTTCCCCCGGATTCCCACGACTAGCACCAGAGGGGCTAGCCAGAGGCGGGGTACGTACGTATGCATCAAGTGGAAGAAGTTTTTAATTGTGTACTTCTATTAACTTCTCATCCTTGCCAATTTTCTTTAATTTTTTATCCGGCAGTTGTATCTCCAGCCTTTTTATGACACTGCCTCGGGATGTGGGGGACCACTTCCGAGGGAGGCGCCGAGGGGACCATCTCGCCAGCAGGTTATAATAATAATTGTAGAAGATAATCTGGCATTTCTAACAAAGTGAAACTCATCTTTTGGTTCCTCGAATACTCGTCAATTTTTTATTGTTGTGTCGAGTCATCATGATGGGTAGGCCTCCAACGGTCGTACTATACATCAACATCAGTATGAACTAACACTGTCAACAGCAGGCCTCACCCCCGTCCACTTCTTCTCGCACGGCTCAACCATGATGCTGGGCGAGGAGTCCGAGAGTGCCGACTACTGGAAAAAATGCGGCGACGAGGCTCTCGCCCGCAACATCAAAGGCGTGGTCATCATGGTACTCTCAAGCCAACCTCTGTCACCACAAATCCTCCCTCAACTAACATCATCAAGGGCGCCCACTGGGACTGTCTCAACGACCGAATCGAACTCGCCACAAACCCCAGCCCCGGCAAAAGTCCCGTCGCCTACGTCCACCCGGACAAATACGTCAACTACACCCTAAACCCCGACCTCCCGACAACAACCCGCTGCATCTCCCTCCTCGCCAAGGAAGGCTTCAACGTCAGCGGAAACGACACCTTCGACTGGATCCACGACGTCTACCTTATCCTCATCCGCATGTTCCCCAACGCCTGCCCACCGACCACCCTCATCTCCGCCAACGCCCGCTACGACCCACATTTCCACATGAAGATCGGGGCGACCCTGCGCCCGCTGCGGAAGGAGAATTACCTCTTTATTGGAACCGGTGGTGCCGTTCATAATCTGTATCGGAATCGGTGGGCGCCTATGTTGCGCTTCCGTGATAATTTCGCGATGGAGACACCGCCTGAAGACTGGGCGTTGGAGTTTCGTCAGGCGGTTGAGGATGTTCTTACCAAGACTTCGGGTATGCAGTTAAGGAGGGCTATGACAAGGTTGATGAAACATCCCCGGTTTCGGGATGCTCATGCCACCGATGATCATTTTATGGCGGCGATGTTTGTGGCGGGTGCCGCCGGGGATGTTGAGGATGAGAAGACGCCTGGTGTGATGGGGGCGGAGAGTTGGGAGTTGACGAATATGTGTAATTCGCAATTTACGCTGGGGCGATGGCAGGATGCTGCTGCGTAGACACATGTCGAGGTGTATCGCAGTCATTTAGTAGTTGAAATTTCGTATCCAATTCTCCAGTAATTTTGACTTTGTACTCGAGGCAACGAGAATTATTTAGAGCTAGTTGAATGAGCACGAAGTGAGAAATTATGAAGAATACATTGAGTCGGTGCCTACCCTAGATGATAAGGCAGACGGGTAAAAGCAAGAGATCTCTGCTCTTCTTCATATCTACACCTATGAGGACGGCATTCACTTTTGGTATCATCATTACGCGGCCGTGCCACGATCATATCCATGGGATTCGACTATGTACAAGCCCCACGGCCGCCAGAATAAGAACAGGAGGAAAGGAGCAAGAACCAGGCCAAGGTCCGGATTCCGCACGCCGATTAAATGCTTATCGAAAGATCAGGGGAATCTGTCTCGACGAGTTCCCATGCTCGTGTCTCGTCGCTTCGTGCAGAAGTATGTGTCCACAACGCCGTTCGCCCACAAAGGAAAACCACAAAGGAAATACAAAAGAAACGAAAATTCTCACACAGGGATATCCCAACTCCGACAGGAAGCAAAAGCAAGAAAGCGCACAGCACAGGACAGAACTAGATCACAACCACGTCGCCTTCGGCGTCGGCGGGATCCGAGGCCATCATGTCGTTGTATTTACCCACCGCGATCATCATCGGGTCGTCCTCGAGGTCGATGGCGCTATCATCGTTGTTTGCGGGGAGGACGAGCTCTTTCTCGGGGACATGCTTGGACTCGGTCTCGTTCGAGGCGGGGCTCTCAGTGGCGGCCTCATGGCTCATGGACTGGCGTGAGTGTGTCTTCGAAGGCACTCCATTGGCAGTGCCAGACTGGCGCTGGTAGTTTACCATGCCGGTGTGCTCGTGACCGAAAACGGCACTCTGCAAGGATGCAGGCGTGCTGTGCATGAAGCCACCCTTCTCAGCCTGCCAGACCATCATCTCGTGGAAGAAGACCTTGGTCATCCACCAGGCACTGAAGCTGGGAGCACCGCCGAGGGTCAGGCGGTGCAGGACGCTGTCCCACAGGGCATCAACCTTGTCAATGATGCACGCGGCGTGGTGTTGGGCGAAGATGACAGGGAGGTTGAGAATGAAAGAGACCCAGTTATCGGGAAAGTTGTAGTCGTCTCCACTGGAGTTGTCAACAGGGAACTGGTGGGCCTCCGCATCCTCGGGTTGATCGGGCTTGTGGAAAAAAGGCAGGCCGGTCGACGGGCTGGCATCCTGAAGAGGGGTGAGGAGCGCCCGCACATCATGCTTAAGGATCTGTTGGGTAGCCTTTTCGGCACAGCTCGGAATGTTCGCCTTGGTGATCATCTCAGTCGGGTTCACCAAGGTCTTAAAGTCATACCACATCTGATTGCGATTGTCGGGGTGGCATAGCCAGGCCGCAGCAGCATTCGCCGCCTGGTTGACATCCAGCATGTGCTTGAGAAGGTTGCAGAAGATGTGCGCAGGGACGAGTCGCGCCACCGAGACATGGGCAGGCTGTGCCTTGAAGGTCTCGGCGATGTGGCCGCAGAGCCGCTGCGAGATGGAACCAAAGGCGTCCATTACGACTTTGGGAACCACCTGCGTGGTGAGCGGTGCCACAAAGGCAATCATTTTTTGGTACATCAGCCAATCGCACTCCTTGATCCAAGGAGCCACATTCGGGTGCGTCAGCAACTTCTGGACTGGAACGGTCAGCGTGCCGTGGAAGGCCGAGAAGTATTTGAGGAGGTTGCGTTCCTTGCAGAAGCGGAAGCTGTCAATGACCGATATACAGTGGGACCGGTAAAGGGCCGCCAGTGCATCAGCCACCTTGAGATCAGTGTTTTGAGGAAGGTACGGGCGAATATCGGGCAGGGTGAGGGAGTCATTGTCCACCGAAGGGGTTTCATCGTTGGGGAACTGCAGCATCTGATGGATCATCTTGCCGGCTTGCTGCGCGACGTTGTCGGTGGTGATGGTGGCATCTGAGCCAAACGGAGGCTGGCCCTGACAGCTGCAACTGCCCATGGGAGAGGTATTGGACGTGGTGGAATTGCGGGGTGCGAACGAGGTGGTTGGCGAAGGGAAGACGGCCGTGTCAGCGGTGGGAGGGGGGATGCTAACACTGATGCGTCCGGTGGAATTGACGGTAGGTGCCGGAGACTCGCCATCAAACTGTCGCGAACGCATCGCGCTAGCGGGTCGATCAGGCATCCCAGAAGGGCCGTGAGGGTGGGAAGGAACCTGGGCCACAGGCTTCACTTGCTTCTCCTCAATGACTGACAGATCCACATAATGATACTTGGATTCACCACGCACGCCGAGGCGTCGCGTCTGGACGTTGGGAAAAATAATGCGGACCAGCTTGCCAAAGGATGCGGGGTTCAACACCGACACTCGTTCCGTGCCACACTTCTCTGCGTAGCAGCAGTACACTCGATCACGTCGGACGGAGCCATTGCTCTTGCGACAGTTCTCACGCAGCCTCAATCTACAGTTAGCTTTGACGAACGACACCATGACAATGGCACAAAACTTACCAGATCATGGCGAATACCTGCTTCACCTTCTCTGCCTTGCCTCCGGCACCCTCGTGCTTCATGACCTCGGTGGCCATCTGCTTCAAGGTATATCCCTCATATTGACGCAACAGCTTACGCAGTTCATTGTCATTCGCCAGAGTTGAGCTGGATCCACGCTTCTTCTTCCCACCAGCCTCAGACGCCTCCTGTTCATCCAATGTCTGGTCGGGCAGATGGTTCTCGATACCGCTGTCGTACAGGGGCTGGTACTGGGAGACGGGGACTTGTTGCAGCCCATTGTGGTTCATCTCGGGCGGCATGGAGTGGTGCGAGAGGTTGTGACCGTGCATGGCATGGCTAGCAAAATCGTCGGGGCGAGGGCCTACCGAATGGACGTCACGATGGCCTTGGTCCAAGGACGGGCCATGGGTTTGGTGTGCGAGCTGGTGTCCAAACCGCATGATCATATCTTCTGGGTTCCCGCCGAAGACATGCTGGGCACCGGCGACCTGGGAGGGCATAAATTGCGGGAATGCATCGAGTTGATCCTGGGTTTGTTGTGTGGTGCTCGAATGAATACTGGCTGTCGAGCCTCGGGAGCGTGGGCGGCGACCAGTACGGGAAATGGTCTCGGAGCGGCCTCGTAGGGGGTCAGCAGTCCCTGGACGGCTCATGGGTCCCATCTGTTGGGTGGTTTGGGAGACGATGCTTCCTTGCGACGGGGCGCGCACTACACAGGTACATTATTAGACGGGACGGGCCACCTGGAAGAGCACCATGGGGCCGGCCAAGGGAGCTTACCTAGTTCGGGAGGCATAATGGCACAGGGTGGATGAGTGGTCGGGGTGCTGGGCGAGTGGAGGAACCCCGTCACCTGGGAGATGGACCGGTGCAAGACCTGGTCGGGGTGTGTTTGGGGCGGGCACCGACAGCGACGGTGACCATTCGGGGGCGAACGGGTTGGCGGATGATCGTCAGGCGGTTGAATCGAGCGTTGTACAGGCGCAGACCAGCACACAAGCCGCACAAGAAACCCAAAGCCGGCTAACAACCGCGTGGTGAAGTCGAGACGAAGGAGGATAAACAGAGACGGCGTTCCTCAGACAACGTTGTTTGGGCAGTCACGTGGCTGAGTCAGCATGCCAAACAAACATGCGGCATGCATTCGCGCAGGGATTCCAGATTGCCCGCCCGCGCGTTAATTATAGAGGCAGGCTAGTGGTTGGGGAGAATAAATCCATCGTCTGGTACATTCTGATCGGAGGAATGCGGTTATCGTGCAGCGAGGGGCTACAATAGCGCTGAACAGTGTCATTACAGTATACGCGACGGAAGGTTCTGCGTGGTACTGATCTGAACTCGAGATTAGACTATTAAATAATCTTTATACTTCCAAAAAACTAGCTATTTATTTGTCATGTCAAATAATCCAGGCAGTTCTGCCATTTCTCTGTATTTGTTCTTGCACTTATTTATTGTTATTGTTGTGTTGCATCGGCTACGTCACTCCCCAAAGCAGGAACAACCACACGTGACTGAACAGTGTTTAGGTTGTATACTTTTTCGGAAGTACCGGTTCGCTCAGCAGCACTATCAGAAGAAAAGTTCATATTCGTATGATCGTGATGAGAAGCTCTACCCGCATTGTAACCTCATAACACAATATTCTCCAACATGCCAACTGTGTTGACACACTGCAGTGATATATATGTGCAACTCCACCGCTGATCCAGCTGCACCCCACTGCGCCCCGGATCTCGCATGGTTGCTTTTGATTCTTCTATTTTTATTCTGACAGGCATATCAGACCCAGGGACTCGATCTATCAATCCAGCACCGATATCAATATGATGCTTTTTTTCTGTTGTTCTGCCATGACGCGGCTGGTGGGACTGGCCCTCGCTGTGAAACAGGTGTCAATCAGGGTTCGTCGTACACAGTAGATAATCTCCGACCTCCGAAAGTACAGGAGCAATTGGACCGGTCTCTGTCTCCCCTCCCTGGAATTGGTTAATAGGTAAGAGAACGCTGGCGATCGCTCGCTTTGGGCACGATCAACGCCAAGCGGTGCCATGCAAGCCTTAGGGCGTAGGGCTGTGATGTCAGTGACACCGGCCTGGATGGGTTCTTCTTCGTCGCCGCCCCTCTCTCTTCCCCACCTCCACTGCCGCCGCCATGCACAAATTCAAGGAAAGGGTTGAGAAGCAATTCGACCAGCTCGAAGAGAGCTTCAAAGGTACTCCCTACACTATTACCCAGGTACACTAGGGGTAGTACCTACGAGTATAAGGTGTGTGCTAATGCTTGTAGACCACTCCCTACACGATACCAAAGCCCAGGCCACGCACCTAAAGCACAAGGTCGGCAAGTTCTTCAACATCGTCAACCCCAACCACCGTCACGATGAAGAGCACGAGCGGGCCACCGACCGCAAGCGCTCCGAGATCGCCGCCTCGCATCGCTTCGGCTCCTTCGCCCCCATCCACGACGGCAATCGCCTGAAGTGGTACGTCGATGCGCTCGACTACCTCTGGGCCGTCTCCGAGGCCCTCGAGAAGGCCACCGAGACCATCTACATCGCCGATTGGTGGTTGTCTCCGGAATTGTTCCTCCGCCGCCCGCCCGTCCAGCATCGAGAATGGCGCCTGGACCAGGTGCTGAAGCGTCGCGCCGAGGCCGGCGTCCAGATCTACGTGATCGTCTACAAGGAGGTCAACCAGGCCTTGACCTGCAACTCGGCTCATACCAAGCATGCCTTGCGCAATCTCTGCCCCGAGGGTACTCCTGGTCATGGCAACATCCATGTCCTGCGCCATCCGGATCACAATGTCTTTGAGAATGCCGCTGATATGACTCTCTACTGGGTAGGTACAGCTAAATACATCAACAATTGATATTTATAAAGGTCTCTGCTAATGCTCATACAGGCCCACCACGAAAAATTTATCGTGATTGACTACGCCGTTGCCTTCATCGGCGGCATCGACCTCTGCTTTGGCCGCTGGGACTCGAACCAGCACCCGCTGGCCGACGTGCACCCGGCCGGTCTGCGCGACGACATCTTCCCCGGCCAGGACTTCAACAACAACCGCATCATGGACTTCCAGAGCGTACAGGACTGGCAGAGCAATGAGCTGAGCAAGGCCGACTACGGTCGCATGCCGTGGCACGATGTGGCCATGGGTCTAATCGGTGACTGCGTCTACGACATCGCCGAGCACTTTGTGTTGCGCTGGAACTTCATCAAGCGCGACAAGTACAAGCGCAGTGATGATGTCGACTGGATGCTGATGGAAGGCCGCACCGGCGAGGATGAGGATATCATCGCGGTCCAGCGACCCAAGTACCCCTGCGGACAGTATATCCAGCATCCCCTGAGTCCGTTGTCCAGTAAGCCGCGCGGCAACCAGGGTACCGTCCGCGCGCAGATTGTGCGCAGCAGTGACGACTGGAGCAGCGGTATTTTGAACGAACATAGTATCCAGAATGCCTACTGCGAGATCATCCGCAATGCCGAGCACTTTGTCTATATCGAGAACCAATTCTTCATCACGGCCACCGGCGACGAGCAGTACCCGATCTACAACCAGATCGGCCGGGCGATTGTCGATGCCTGCGTGCGCGCTGGCAAGGAAGGCCGCAAGTTCCGTGTGATCATCGTCATCCCCGCTATCCCCGGCTTTGCTGGAGATTTGCGTGATTCCGCAGCGACGGGCACGCGGGCCATCATGGACTATCAGTACAAGTCGATCTGTCGGGGCGAGAACTCGATTATGGGGCAGATTAAGAAGGCGGGTGTTGACCCTACTCGTAAGTGACCTTCCCTCTGCCTCTGTTTCGGAGGGCAAGTATCTGCACAGATATGCAGATATGAGATACTGACCTGACCAGAACAAATCTTCGTCTTTGCCTTGCGCGCCTATGACCGCATCAACAAGACGCCCGCTCTGATCGATCTCGAGAACAAGGCCGACGTGACCTACCAAGATATCCAGCGCGGTATCGCCGAATCGATCATGAGCGAGAGTGTGCATCCGTCCGTCGGCAAGGACGGCGACAAGGGAGAGAAGAGCTACGACGACGACCCGCAGCAGAAGGAGGAAAAGGTGCGGAAACTCGAAAAATTCGAGCAGCAGGTTGAAAATGCCAAGGTGTTGGATGGCGATGCGAGCCGCGACTCGGTGGCCCACTGTACGATGTTGAACGGGGGCAAGATGTCCGAGGAGAAGTGGGAAGGCGATCCCGAGGCAGAGAAGGACAATATCGTCCAGGAAGAGCTGTATGTGCACGGCAAGGTGTGCATCGTCGATGATCGGATTGTCATTTGCGGCAGTGCCAATATCAATGATCGAGTAAGGATATCCCCAGTTCGGGGAAGTACTTCCACTTCCGCCTCCCACTTCCCTGCCCATTTCGTTTATTTTTCTGCAATTGTACCCACGGTATACGAACGCTAACCCGCGACAGTCCCAACTCGGATCCCACGACAGCGAATTGGCGATTGTGATGGAGGACCAGGACTTCATCGAGAGCCAGATGGACGGCAGGCCGTATAAGGCGGCGCGGCACGCCGCGACGCTGCGCCGGCATCTGTGGCGCGAACACCTGGGCCTTCTGCCGGCGCAGGATTATGATGCGAGCCAGCATCCGAACGCGCGCAGCCCGGACGTCTGTCTGAATCAGAGTGAGGACGGCCCCGAGGATGCCTTCGTGACCGATCCGCTCAGCGACACGGTCTGGAGCACCTGGACCGAGCAGGCTAGTGTCAACACCGAGACGTATCGGATGCTGTTCCGCGCCGACCCGGATGACCATATCAAGACCTTTGATGACTATGACCAGTTCGTACCGCGTGGGGTTCGCCAGGGTCATCTCTTTGACCCGTATATGCCGGCGGCGGAGGTGCGCCAGAAGCTGGATCGGATCAAGGGCCACTTGGTGTGGCTGCCGCTGGACTTTTTGTGTGATGCGGAGATGGCCGAGCCGGGGTTGGCTGTGAATCAGATTACGGAGGTGAGTACTTTCCTTAATAACAAAGGCAATGTTTCACAAAAGGCACCGCGGTCTTTGTCTTTGTCCTTGTTACTGTCCCACATGTTCATGCCCAGTGTGGGGTGGGCCGGTGGACACCAACTAACTCCTCGGCAGAGCATCTACACGTAGTCGCGAACAAGCCCGAGATCCCGCGATCTCTGCGATCGATCGCGCACCCCCCTGTCGCGGCGTTTCTTTGCTTTTGCTTTTGCTTTATTGTGTACAATGCGGAGATATCCGACGATCCGACTTTTGTCGTGGCAACTCGTGCATGTAGCCGGTAGCCTCATCGAAGGACACGAAAGTACCGCCTCAAAGCATGTACTTCTGCCTCAGCCCAGCCCAGCCCAGCCCAGCCCTAGTCCATGTCCCAGCCAGCTGGTACCTCCCACACTACGACTAGTGTACATACTACGTAGGTTCTTAGTGTACTTGGTAGTACCTCCACACCGCTGGTCCTTGCGCGGTGGAGCCGTGAATAGAGTTAGCGGACCCAAACCCCTGGAAATCCTTATTACGATTTGCTCTCCGCGCCCCCCAACCCGCCTAGCCCGCGTAGCGCTTCGCTAAGACACCGCGTAATTTCGGGTTTTCCTACCCTAGCACTCTCGTCCGATGGAGTATTTCGTGGGCTGGTTGGAGGGGTTGACACCTGGCAGTAGACTCCCCCTCTTCCAAAGCCACTACCGTGTACGTGTAAACAGACCAAAGTGCAGTGGACTCCTCCTCCGCACCCCCGATTGGCGACACCTCGCATCTTGGCGTCGTTGGTTGCTTTTTCGGCGAGACAATGCTTTTCAAGTAGCAGGTCGAGACGAGCGGCTCGCGGAAAATAATAAAATAATGGGCAGGGTCAACCGAGTGGAATGTGGAGGGGCGAGGGGCGATATTCATCGATCTATCCCTTTTTCGATCATTCTGTCGTCGGCTGCTGCTAAGGCAGGGAGTCCCTGCATAGAATCGATGGCGAAATTGCTTACCTTGCACTCAGTGTGCGAGGGATCGTCGGTGCCACACTTTTCACTGAGTTTGCATCCAAATTTGAAATTAAGTTAGAACACTCGGTGAAATGAATTGAATTTGAATTTGGGGAACAGAAGAGTTTGATTTTGTGGAGTGAATTAATTTTCCCGAATTTGATCCCATCCTATATTAAATTTATGCAATACATTCCATACCATTGAACCCAATTCCAAATCCATCATATCCATGATACCCTTTTTTTTTGTGTAGCAACACTTGAAATAAAATAAAATAAAAACAAGCATCAACGACCGATCTACCCAACGCCAAAGCAAAAGCAGACGCGCAAGAAAACTCCGTCGCATGCAAGGCCGAACGCGTCGACGAAATAAAAAACTTTTAGACGTTTATCCGAATGTTGCCAAACCCAACAATTCCAAATTTCCCGCAAGAGGCGAAGATATTCACAAGCTGTGATGACACCGTGTGCGATTGTTCCTTCGCTGGAAAGCAGTGGGAGACACGGCAGCCCCCAGCCGAGGCATGGGGCGACTGCAAGATGGGATGCCCTTGCTCGCGGCGAGGCCAATGCGTTCTGTGCTTTTCGTTAGGTCCAGTTGTACCACCAGGAGCTATCGCAAGCAGTGGATAGGTGTATACCCCCACATATGGGGATATTCTGAGCGAGATACGGCTCGGGGGGCTTTTGGACTTACCATGCTTTGGCGTTGTGGCAGGCATTGCAGCGACAATGGCCGCAGATCTTGCAGCGCCAGATGGCCACAAAGGGGCCCGAGTTGCAGTCGGAGCAGCGCCACGTCAGGATGTTGCCGTTTGTCGCCTGGACGATGGCGAAGACGTGCCCGGAACACTGGTTGGCCATTGTAGCAGAGTGTTGAGGAGTGAAGTGAAGATGAAACTGTATAGACTCGCAATTAGCGGATGCCCGATGCGCTGGTTGCAAAGTCCCGAGACTCTGTTACCTACCGAACTAGGAGAACGATCAAGGCCCGACGGATTGGACGGCGTAGATCCCGGAGATAGAAACCCAAGAGATGGGATTGGGGGAGGAAGGTAGGAGGATGTCAGCAAACAATCTCCGTCGAGACTGGGAATGGCAAGAGCGAGCGAAGACAGCGGTACTGAGACAGCGAGCGAAACAATGACAATGACAATGCGAGGTTCTGGTGGTGTAGAAGAGGAAGAAGTGGACGAGCAGCCATTATATAGCCTGCTGGCGCTCTTCTCTATCGCATCGGTTCGACGAGATCGGGGCGATGCCAGATCCAACCAGTCCTCGTTCAGACGAACCGGAGTCGCTGCACAATGCCGCGATGACGCACCTACCCGGTTGATTGACGACGGTTCGAAAAAAAATCGAGACTTGGATGCGAAGGGGCGTGGGCCAGGGACGAAAAAGAAAGCATATGGGCTAAAATCAAGTCCCGGACTGGCAGGGCCGATCTACGCATCTTGCATGACGCATGGAAATTAAGGCGAAGGCGGCGGGCGACGCAGCCGGCGATCGCGATCGCAGGCATCGGGGGATGGCCATTGGCAGGGGGACGATAGGCAGCCAGTCGCGGGGATGTATTTGGTCTGGGATGCAGATCGACTCGTGTTGCAAAAGGACGGTGGGGCGCCCCAGCGGGCAGGTTAGACAGGGGTGGAGATGGATACCATGGAGAATGGACAGGTATACTCGGGGCGAGTCGAGGATGGAGTCTAGACGCGGTTTGACGAGGAGTGGAGTATCCATATTACTGTACATAGTATGTATTATACTAGAGTACGAGAGTACGAAAGTATACTACCCGAGTCAACGGGAGCATACCTGGGTATCCTATGCAATCTATAGAAAGGACAACTAAGCTGTACAGTAGTGTACCAGTAGGCGTCCTCCCAATCTGCGAGGAACATCCCCGACAAGCGCCGATCGGATCGCCATCCCAGCAGGCCGGGTTGGGTCCGATCACTTGGATTTTGTCGGAGTGGATGCGCTAGTGTCCCGAGTCCCCTGAGGTATCAGGGTCAACTGGGCCAATTGGGGAACATGAGTGGCCGCAGAAGTACCACACTAAGGCCCTAGCCGTCCTCTGCCATGGGGTACTTTGTGCCCTTCGTAGTTTCGACTGAGGTACCCTACTAGGGTACCTAGGTATAGAAGGACAGAAGTACGGCGATACATCATCTACGCTAGGCTCCACATGGGTTGGCAATTACATTAATCCCCTACAAGCCGCGGGTGCGCCCATCCTAAAATAGAACGTCGCGGCAGTAATAACGATCGACTGCAAAAGGACTCCTGGGTATCTACTAGTGGTATGTATCACCCTAAGATACTCAGGGACATCTACTGTAGGTAGTACTGTAGGGATAGACACGTCGACAACAAACTTGAGACTACCGAACAATACCGGACCCGTGGGAAGGGACACGCTTTGCGCTTCCGATTGGCGCAGGCGATTTGTATTGTTGCGATCCACCGTCGACTGGTTACTCTGTCGGGTCTAGTGTCGAAGTAGGAATAGCCATTAGGAAGCACTGAGTACCCTAAGGAACTTACTTCGTCCTCGTCACATCACGACGGACCCGGAGCCGCTGCATGTCTTGGATCTGAGCGAACCATGATATTCCACGAGCTTCTGCGCAATCCGATCTAGATCTGTACCTCACTTGAGGAAGTACTAAGCTTACTTCAGCCATACTAGGTAGGTACCCAGGATATTGGGTGCAAAAGGTACCCAGCGACTAATTTAAATATAGTATGCCCAGATCGAAGCAAACAATCATACACGGCAACACACAGTCCGTCATACTCCGAGCAAAGTCGAAGTGGCGGTATGCTTAAACAGCGTTATCCGCTCCCGCGTCGCACGAAAGTAAAGTCACACAAGGGATATCAACCATCAACAAAGTCCCAATGTGGATCGCCAGATCGGCCAGGGTAAAGACCAGGGCGTCGAACGGTACGTGGGAGTCCTCACAAGCCCGCCTGATTCGAAACCTGCCCAGCCACCCATTCGAGCCGCCATGCCGACCGCGACCAGGGCGTGGCTGTTCTCGAAACAGACCGCTGCATCGGGGAAGTGCCCAAGTGACAGCTTGCACGTCAGCTTCAGCTTCAGCTGCCAGCTGTCAGCTTGCTCAGCTCGCTTGTTATGTCTAGGTTAGGTAGTGCTTGTAGCCAGGAGATCGAGACCCTGTCTTTCCATTGCAGAATGGTTCACCGTTGATGTCAGACCGCAATTCAAGGCTCGCCCGGCGTGCCAACCGGTTGGGACGGCGAGCCGCAGCCGTTGGAGGATGGCAAGCAAAGCTCCCGATGGAGTTGACGTACGTAGGAAAGGAGAGGAGGAAGGTGAAGAAGAATTGATAAATTGACTAGTTTGTGTTTGCCGTGTCCACCGAGACACACGATGATCTACGAGACGACCCGTTCCAGTCGCAACTGCATGTTCGAGATGTTCTCTTGCACCGATTCCACGGCCAAAGGCATGGGACGAGCCCACAGAAGCCGGTGCCTTCATAAATCGTCGAGCCGATCCGTGGCTCCTGCGCACCAGCATGAAAAAAAAATTCATGCCGATGCAAACAAAAACCACAAAACCGGCTCGGTGTCTGTTCTGCCAACGCTCCGTTAAGAACATCTCGTGGGGCACGAGATGCTCCTGCAGTACCCAGAGTGGACTGCATCGCTGGGTAAGGAAACAAAAAAAAAAAGAAAATAAAAAATAAAAATAAAAATAAAACTACGAGGGGAAAGGGAAAAGAAGAATCACCATCTTCGTCGTTAGGTATCATATGTAGAATCGCATGCAGATATCGGAGTCTGCCAACGCCGCCCATTTTCAGATATTCGTCACAGCCATCAACACAGCTCATCAGTCGTTAAGGTGGAAGAGGGCCGAGACACTGCCACAAGTTAGCGGGGGTCATGAGAAAGAGAAAGCAAACAACAGAAAACCTACCTCTCACCATAGTGGTGTCGCCGGATGCTCTCCGCAAGCAGGCTCGACACGTCAATGACAATCAACTTCTTCGATCGTCGAACCATAGACGGCGAGATAGGGAAGGTATTGGTCACCACGATGTGGTCAATCGACGGACATGCCTCCATCTGGTCCAGCGACTCAGCGCCAAAGAGGCCGTGGGTCGCAATGCAGTACACCTTGGCCGCGCCGCCGCGTTTCACCACGGTCTCGGCGGCCGCAATCCACGACCCGCTCTTATCAATCATGTCGTCCACAATGAAGACTGGCCGGTCGCGGACCTCGCCAACCAACGTGATGGTCCGCTCATGCTCGCCTCCAGCATCGCTGGCCTCGTCATCCGACTCCGCAGCATCAAAAGAGCCACCCAATGCGTGGTCGGGCGGGAGCGAAGAGGTGTTGGACATCATCGAGTTCGTCATGGTTTCCGGAACCACCTCCGTGTTCTCCAGGTTCGCACTCGATGCACCCGGGGTGGTGCCCCCAGACAGCGACTCGGACTTAGGGTGATAGTCGTCGTCGACCAACTGGCCCTGCACCAACCGGCCCGTGATGACGTCCCGCACCCGCACGTCGGTATAGTCATTTGCGGCCTCCAGCTCCGACGGGCGTCGGGCAGCCGGGGAGTCTCCGGGCGGAGGAGGGTAGAGGGAGGAGACTCGACGGGCTCGGCCTCTTCAAGGATAGGCGGCGTGGCCACGGCGCTCTGGAGGTGCAGCTCAAATGGCTGCTGGTCCCGAGGGAGTCGGTCAGCTTCTACAGCATCGAAAAAGACGGTGCTGTCTGACATGGCGTTGGTGGAGACCTTGGGCCGCCTGCGGTCGGTCGTCACAATTCCAAAGTTCAACTTCAGTGTGTCGGCCAGCGAAGTGACCCGTTTAGTACCGCCAGCATTCTTGCTGACTACGACAGCATCGCGCCAGCCGGCCACGTTTATGCGGATCCAGCGAGCAATGAATGGCTCAGCGAAGAGGTTGTCGACCGGTTTCCCGAAGAAACCTTGCATCTGGGATGCCTGCAAACCGTGAGCCTGTCAGTCCAACCACTTTGTCCAGCAAAAGAAAACAGCCAATGCAGAAGGGACGTTAGACGTACGTGCAGGTCCATGGTGATGACATGGTCGACGCCGGCGATCGAGAGCAGGTTGGCCAGCATCCGAGCTGTGATGGCGCCGCGATGGCTCTTCTTTTTGGATTGACGCGAGTAGGGGAAATATCTCGTCGATGTCAGCATCACTCAAGTAGACACGAGACGGGCAGCAGAGGCAGCATACGGCATGACCGCTGGGCGATGTTAGTTCTGGTCTCCACATGCATAGATTTTTTGCTTTTTCTTCAGCGGTCAACATACCGGTAATAGACTTGGCCGAGCCACCCTTGCAGGCGGAGATCATGATGAGCAGCTCCATGACGCTGTCATTGATCTTGCTACTCCCGCTCTGCACAATATAGACATCCTGGTTGCGGACCGAGGTGCAGATGTTGACGCTGGTCTCACCATTGGCGAACTTGCCCAAGTCAGCTTTGGCGGGCGAGGTGCCCAGGCGCTCGCAGACAGTGTCTGCGAGGCCGGGATGCGACGTGCCCGAGAAGATCTGCACACCCCGCATGGCCTCAAAGCTCGAAGGGCGAATTGGTTGGGGAAGAAGAAGAAGAGAAAGAAGTAAAAGCGCGGTGGGAAGAAAAAGTCGAAAAGTGCCGACGCGGCGACTGCGCCCCGCCGTAGCCCCACCATCTTCTCGTCTGTTCGATCACTCTTCCGAACTACTTGTGACGGACGAGCACCACGGGATCAGTACCACGGCGAAATGTCTTTCCCTCCAGTCCAGGGCGGTGGCTCGCTGATCGTCGCCTGGCAGGTCAAGGCCAAGCACGTGCTGGTCGTGGGTGGCGGCGAGGTGAGCTCTCCAGCTGCAGCGGACATACGGGACGCAGCAAGCTAACCACCGACATGAACGCATGGACAGGTCGCCGCCGGCCGCATCCTACACGCCCTCAATGCCGATGCCCACGTTACCGTCGTCAGTCCGGCCAGCGGATTGAACCCCGAAGTCGCCTTCCGCGTCGCCGAGAAGCAAGTCGCCCATATCGACCGGACCTTCCAGCCGAGTGACCTGGACACCGCGGACATGGTGATGTGCGCCATTGATGACCCGGAAGCCTCCACTCAGGTCTGGAAGCTGTGCAAGGAGCGTCGCATCCCGGCCAACATCGCTGATGTTCCGCCCGAGTGCGACTTCTACTTTGGTAGCATGCATCGTGACGGGCCCTTGCAAGTCATGGTGAGTACCAATGGCAATGGGCCGAAACTGGCCAACATCGTGCGCAGAAAGATTGCCGATGCCCTGCCGGAGAATATGGGTGCTGCTATTGAGAATGTGGGCAAGCTCAGGAAGAAGCTGCGCGAGGTTGCGCCCAACCCGGAAGAGGGTCCCAAGAGAATGAAATGGATGTCTGCCGTGTGCGAACAGTGGAGCCTGGACGACTTAGTCCAGATGGGCGAGCAGGACATGGACAGGCTACTGACACACTATGCATCCGGAAAAGTCCCGCTCCTCCAGGAAGTACGACAAATATGACATACCCTACCTAGCATGATTGAACAAATAGCAATAAAAGATACCTCTGGCGATGAAAAAAAAAAGTATAGTAGAAAGATGTTTTGTCTTATCGGTACAGCTATGCATCTCTAAAAACCAACAGTAGGGATGCTAATCGAATATGGAGAGCCGGCCCAAGGGGTGCGGGCTCGAAACGCCTGGATCACCCGTAAATCACAAAACCGGGCGAGTATATCCCATGAAACAAAACAGCAGAAAAGAACGGAAACCAATGTGTAAGAGATAGTCCATCACTGACTATCCCGACGCACCTTTTGCGACACGGAGCTCCGCGGACTGATCGGCGCGTCCAGCGGGTTCGGCGGCGCGACTCCGAGTCGGACCTCGCCGATACGCCGCAGCAGGCCTTGCAGTGACACGCGGATCTCCGGGCTCAGATCGCGGCTCAGCAGTTCCACGGCCAATGGGTAGAAGGTTTCAATGTGCTTGTCAAAGTCCTCCTGCGGGAAACTGTTGTACCCGTCGATCACATCGACCACCACTGGTCGCCAGGCCACAATGTTGCGGTTTTGCGTCTCTTCGTCGAGACGTACAAAGCTGCGGATAATGTCGGCACAGAGACTGGTCAATTGTTAGTATAGACAGAAAAAAAATTGGCGTGAGAGGGAACTTACGGAATAAGCGCGGCCTCGGTCTCAGTACGACTGCTCCGGCGCTCGTCGCGCTCATCATGATACATCCGGAAGAGGATATGTACGTAGGTGGCGGCACTGCCGCTCTCTTGCTTCAGCAGGTTCGGCGGCTGCTTCATGAAGCCTTGTCGCCAGAGCTGCATGCGAAGGTCCTTATCCTCGTTGAACTTCTTCGCGAACTGATAACTCTTCTTCAGAAGGCCCATCAGTCGCAGCAGTTCAGGGCTTGGAATCTGCGCGTAGACGGTATCGTTGGAGAAGAGCTCGTGGACCGTTTCGATCATCAGCAGTTGCAGGACACAGTTGGTGATTATGCGGTTGAAGAAGCGCCGGCGGGCAACCGTCACAGCAGCAGGTTGCTGCTGCGAGTCGGAGGGCGGGCGATAGTCCTCGAGTTCAGCGCGAGCCTGACTCTGCACGGGCGGATCTCCCGTTTCTTGGAGAGATGCAGTGCTCTGGTTTCCATTGGGATGCAGAGGCTCGGGCAGCTCCTCGGAGGGTGCGGATGCATCTGCAGCCTGAGTGATATCTCCATTGGAGGCAGTTTCGGTGATCTTGGACATGGATGCAGCCGCAGTGAACAATTCATATGCGGTTGTCTTGCTGAAGAGCTCGACAAATGCACCAACAATCTGGGACCAGTGCTCCTCACGGAACTTGGCCACATTCTGCAGAATCAACTGCTGCAGACAGTTGCTACCAATTCGGGCGATGGTATCGTTTTCTTGGCAGATGCACAGTGTCAACAACTCCAAGAATCGGCTCAGCATGTACTCCAATGAGTCGAAGTAGTGAGTGAAGAGGGTGATCATGTTCCGCAGTGCCTGAATCATGGTGGTTGACAGCCACACGGAGAGGTCCTCGTGGTTAGGCACCTTGGACATTTCTGACTTGGACTGCAGGACCACGAAGATCGGGCACAGCAATTGTCGCCAGAGGACATCCCAGAAGTCCCGAGGGAAATCTCCACCGTGCCGGATTAAGGTCTCGAACAGGTAAGTGAGAGCTCGCGAGCGAACTTCGAGATCATCACCAGTCATCAACACATCCTGGAACGCGATCAAAATCGGATACCAGAATTGCTCTTCCTTCGACTGGCGAGTGAGCTGCTTCGCAAGGTTGGTTCCCTCCTCCTGGAAGTGGCGGGTGTCGGCGCCACGGTGCGAGAGCGGGCATTCGGGAGTGCGCAGCATCTTGGTGACCGTAGACTTGAGTGTCTCAATGGCCTGGAGCGACTTCTTTTGGAACTTGGAGTTCTTGGAGAATTCGGTCAAACAGACAATCAGGTCTGGGAAGGCGCCCTGAGTGATCACGACACCAAAACGAGTGTTGTAGATTTGGGTGACATGGTCGAACGCCATGTTGACGATGCCCTCTGTATGAAAGTATTAGCATATGTAAACCACCGCTAAATATAAAAGACTCACCATATGGTTCCCGGGCTGCTACTGTAAAGACTCCAAACATGGTCTTCCATCCCGAACGGATATTGTCACCACGGGCTTGGATCATCTGGATCAGACATCGCAGGATCATATCCTTGACAGCGGCGGCAGTGCTGTTGGCCATAACATGCTCAAACGGCTTGAGGAAGTCCTTCTGGAACTTGAAACCGGGCAATTCACCAATCTCCATGAAGCGCATCGACAATTGGCGCAGTGAGTCCAGAGCAAAGAAGACAACTGTAGTGTTGGTGTGGCAGCCAACCTGGTTGAAATGCTGGCCCAGAACCTCCCAGATCTTGGACCACTCGATCCTGACACGGGTCATGTTGTAGTAACTGATCTCCACCAATTTCTGCAGGCTGTATGTGCGCGGAGAGTCGCTGTGTCCCGAAGACTGGATCTCCTGCCAGCTGACTTCGCTCAGAGCGCGCACGAAGTCGATGATGGCTTCATGCGAGAGATTCGCCGTGTTGGTGAAGATGCGATCCACCCCACGGACCATGTCCGCTGATCGACTCTCCATGGCAATATCCATGCGGAACCCTGTGGGCCCATTCACCGAGCGTGGGCGAGGCCGACGGGTGCTCTGCATGGACTTGCGCGAAGCGGCATCGCCGGTAGGTGCACGCGATACATCGGGCAGAGAACCTTCATCAACACCATCACTCAGCAACTGCAAACGATCCAGTTGACTGACGCAGGTCAGAATTTCGCGCCAAGAGCCACGCAGGTGGTTACCTTCCGTCAGAGCAACGTCAAGTAGCACCTTCAAAGCCTCGAAGTTCTTGCCAACCATCTCTCGAACGTTACCGAGGTTGGTGAACTTGGCCAGAGCAGTGACGAATGCCACTCGGGGAGTCTCCAGGTCAAAAGCACAGCTGATCCGAATAGAAAGCTTCAGGCCCTCCATACAAAGGCGAATGACTTCGATGTTCTGGTTTTCTTGCATTGGGGCCGAAAGGCCAGACAAGAAGGACATCCATGTGACATTGAACATCGAACCAACGTGGCGCTCCGAAGTGGCAGGAATAAATCGCGACAGCGCGTCCCGGACGGCGGTCTTGCGCTGAGCCCGAATGAGGGAGCGGTACAATTGCTCGGTTTTGTTGGCCATTTCCTCAGAAGCCTGGGCGTACTTCTCTCCCTGAAGGTCACGGCCTACGGTGGCAAACACTTGGCCTGCTCGAGTCGCCAAACCAGCTGGAGTGGAGGATGTCTGAATACCAACATTGGCAGCATGTTGCCGCTCTGTGTCAAGAACAATCTCATTGTTCGCAATTTCCTCGTAGATGGAGACGAGGTACTCGGAAGGCAGATCCTGATTGTCATTAATGCCGCGGTTATTCTTGATAAAGTCCTCCTTGGTCATACGGGGGCCTTTCATCTTGGAGCTGTGCTGATCGGTGTTGAGCATGATCACGGAGTACGACAGCACGTAAGCGGTGTCTGCGTTGGCGAATGCGTTGGGGTTCTGCGTCGTATACCGCTCGGCGAACTTGAGCATGAAACGATCAATTTTCTGGGCCTCGCCAGGCAATCGGAAGTGCTGCAGGAAGCCACGAAGAGCATCCACGAAGCGTCGCTTAGTGAAATCCATTAGGTCGACAAAGGCATGCATGATAGCGATATTCTCGGCATCACCTTCACCCAGATACTCTCCCAGCATAGCCTTGTCAAGGCGATCATTGCGCAGCAAGAAGCCAGCAATGTCGTCAGGGGAATCGGAGCGGATGAAGCCTTCCGAGAGCAGGAGCTTGATGCCACGCTTAGGCTTGAAGTTGAACTGCTGGATGGCGTTCATCATGGCAATCTTTCGCTGCTTGACCTTTTCGATTTGATTTGGGTCATCCTCAGGCAAAGGTGTAGACCGACCAGTTCCCGGGTCAACAGTCTCGGGCCGTGGGGAAAAGAGGACATTGGTATCCAAAGACTCCCGCGAATTGTCCATCGACTTCGACGGCACAGTAGTTTGGGGTGTCAGGTCGTCCGGACGCTGAGAAGCCCAGTTGTCCAACGAACGCAGCATCTCTACCAGGCTCTCCAGAGCTTGGTGCTTCAGGGTATAATCAGCCGGGATAGTCGGCATAGGGGGTTGAGGGCTTGGTGTGATGTTGGCTGATGTCAATGACGGAGGGAGAGTGCCCCGTTGATGCCAATCCGCTCCAACGCTGGACATCTTGACGTGATGCTCTTGGAACGCCTGCTGCTGAGCAGCCGATGTAGCGACCGGCACACTGCAGTATCGCGACAGCTGCTCAACAACATTCTGGAAAATGTTCTCCAGAGCTGTGCGGTCACAATCGTAGTTGAGATAGATCTCGACCAGAGCACGGGGATCACCACCCAGTCTCTCCAGAAGTTCCATGAAGTACTGCTTCTGGAATGACGGGGCAGCTCGCCTTTCGAGGATCGCGAGGTAAATTTCCTTCAAGAAGACCTCCAGTTCCTTCTTCATCATCACTCGCATATGCTTGATCATCAACCAGAAAATCTCACAGCAGACCTTGAACACATGCGGCACGGCGCTGGCACCATTGCGGCTGAGACTCAGACAAAGATGGGGGCGCACGGCCTGAAGAAGAGTCATGGCTTCTGAGCTGCCCGAGCTGTTCTTGATCGCTGCGAGAGGAGAGGTGAAAGTGTTGGTATGGTTGTTGATGAGGTAGTGGATGAGGTGCAGTGAGAGTAGCTTTGATCGCATGTTTTGTGACTTAAGGTCTTGCTGCTGATCGTGGCCCAGAACCTTGTGGCTCAGCTTGCACAGAGCTCGGAAGACCAGGAAGGCGTCCTTGACGTAGATCTCGTCCACTTCATCCTCGGCCGAACCGTCGTCGTCCTTCTCTTCGGGAATGCCTGACAATGAACGAGTGTTTGACCGCTTGGCACGGGTGACCATCGTAGGCGCGTTGTCATTGACTCCGGCGACTTCCTTGGGCGACTCAAAGCTTTGGAGGGTCAGCTTCTCACTGGTCGGCTCCTTGGTGACCGGTTGATCCGTCACAGATTGATCTGCGACAGATACAGACGCGGTCTCCGAGATCTGGCCCTGATCGCTGGCTGGTGCATCCAGGCTAGTGGAAGCAGTTTTCTCAACCTCGCGCGTCCGCAATTCCTTCAGGTCCAATCGAATGCGAACTCGATCAAAGACCGTACTGACCATTTGGGTCAGCGAGCCCTGAGCAATCTGCTGGTTTTGTGTAGATTTGGAGTATATAAAGATGTTGTAGATCTGGCGAACGGCTTTCAGGAGACCAGCTCCGTGAACCACAATCTTGTCGTTCAACACTGCCGCCAGCAACGACTTGATGATCTGCTGTTGGATCTCATTAGGAGTGGCCTCGTTCTCAAAGCAATCACAGATCGCATCAATTGCACGCTCGATCAGGGGCGGTTGTTCGGGGGTAGACTCGTTTTCGGACTCGGCGGAGGGGAAGGCGAAATAGGAGTAGGTAATGAGCTTGCCGATGCAATCAAGCGCGGTCACTTGTAGCGGAACACTGAGCGTTTTGCTGGCCATGTGCAACGGGCGGAAAATGAGCTCGGGGTCAATGGCTTGCTGGCCTTCTTGCTTGACGTTGGCCAGGGCCACCTGCACGGCGTCATCCAGCTCCTTGCTCTTCCGGGCCTCCCGCGACGCGGCAATACCATCAAGCGCATTCACAATGAATACAGTGGAGCTGACCGCACCACCTCGCAATGTCGCAAATGTGGCGGTCGTCGAGCGAGAGTCGGACCGCATGCGGGATTCTGGCGGCGGCGCATTGTCCTCGGGCTCTGGCTCTTGGATTTCAGGCATTGGCTCGGTCTTTTGTTCAGGGGCGTTTTCAGTGTCTTTGGGAGGCACTTCAGGCTTCTCCTCTGCGTCTGTCGGACCTTCCGCCTCATCTCTAGACTCCTGCTCCGCAACACTGGTGCCTGGAGCATCTGGTTCCGGTTGTTTGTTTTGTTCCTCTGATTGTTCTTCGGGGGCTTCGGTGCCCTCCTCGGCTTGTTCCTCCTGGGCCGCTTCCAATGCGGTTCCTTCCGGAAGAGCTGGCTTGTCATCCGTCACCACTGAGGGTGAGTGAGCTTCGGTGCTCTCGATGGGGGCCTTCTCATCGGGGGACTCGGAGGCGTGGGGATTCGGCTCGGAGCCGGGGTCGACGTCCGCCATGGTCGAGGGCGGGCGGTGGACGGGCTCAGAACATTCGAAGGCAACAGGGTGCGAGTGGAGAGACGTGGGACCCAACGTATGCAGCAATGCGGCGGGTGAACTGAACTATGCAACTCGACGGGCTGCGTGTCTTCTCCGAATCGGGCCTGGCATGAGTAAGCACGTTATTGGTGCCTGGATTCTGAGGCATCTTTTGCTGCCACGAACTGCTGCCACAAAAGCCAGGCACCCTCAAGAGCTCTACTTCAGGCAGCCAGGCACCAACTCCCTTTTGTCACATGACCCGGAAGAAGCCGCTCACCGGGAACCTTAGGGAGCCTTAGGTAAGGAAAACGGCACCTCAACAGAAAAGTTCCTGTCTTGTAGACGCCATCTTCCTCCCCCAACTACCTGTCTCCGGCCCTCCACGTCTTCATCCGTGCCGGCTTCTGTCTTTCTTGCATCTCCGCGTCGAGGGCCTTTTAATCTCGCATTTTATTTTCCTCCGGCAATAAACCAACATGGTCGCTGCCGCTGTCCGGATGCGCACCCCGGCGCTCATGGCCCGGGGCGCTGCTTCGATGCGCCGCCCCCAGGTCTCCTACAAGTTCCAGGAGGTTATCCAGTACGCGCATCTGATCCTCTAGTATTATCCCATGATTCGAGACTGATGTATTCACTCCGCGCAGGAACCAATTGCCCAGCCTCTCCGCGCTTTCCCGCTACTATGCCTCTAAGTGTATGCATCCCAACGATCCACGTCACCCCCCAAACTTCCAATGTTTCTTCCAATGCCTGTGATCTAACAGCGATTTCCGACCTACAGCTTTCCCCTCGCACACCATCATCAGCATGCCCGCCCTGTCGCCGACAATGACCGCGGGAAACATCGGCGCATGGCAGAAGAAGGCCGGTGACGGCCTTCAGCCCGGTGATGTCCTCGTGGAGATCGAGACCGATAAGGCTCAGATGGACTTTGAGTTCCAGGATGAGGGTGTCCTTGCCAAGGTTCTGAAGGAGTCCGGCGAGAAGGATGTCGCCGTCGGTTCGGTAAGAATTTTCCCGAGCTTCCCCGCGGACTAGGGAGCTTTCCCTACCCTTTAGACTAAACAATTGCTGACCTTTTCCCTTTTTGGCTTGCAGCCCATTGCAGTCCTGGTTGAGGAGGGCACTGATGTCGCTGCTTTCGAGGAATTCACCCTGGCCGATGCCGGTGGTGACAAGGCCGCCCCGGCCGCTGAGAAGAAGGAGGAGCCCAAGAGCGCTGAGCCGGCGACCCCTGCCCCGGCTGCGGAGCCTGCCGCCGTCGAGCCCGAGACTTCGGGTGACAAGCTCCAGCCTAGCTTGGACCGTGAGCCCTCCATCAGCCCCGCCGCCAAGGCCCTGGCTCTGGAGAAGGGTGTCCCCATCAAGTCTCTGAAGGGTACCGGCCGCGGTGGCCAGATCACCAAGGAGGATGTTGAGAAGTTCAAGGGCACCGCTGCCGCTACCACCGCTGCCGCCAGCTACGAGGACATCCCCATCACCTCGATGCGCAAGACCATCGCCAACCGCCTCAAGCAGTCCATGGCCGAGAACCCCCACTACTTCGTCTCCACCACCCTGTCAGTCTCCAAGCTTCTGAAGCTGCGCCAGGCCCTGAACGCCTCCGCCGAGGGCAAGTACAAGCTTTCTGTCAACGACTTCCTGGTCAAGGCCTGCGCTGCTGCTCTGATGAAGGTTCCCCAGGTCAACTCCAGCTGGATTGAAGTTGATGGCCAGCCCGTCATCCGTCAGCACAACACCGCCGACATCAGCGTTGCTGTGTCCACTCCCTCCGGCCTGATCACTCCCGTCGTCAAGAACGTCCAGGGTCTGGGTCTCTCCGGCATCTCCAACCAGGTCCGTGACCTTGGCAAGCGCGCCCGCGACAACAAGCTCAAGCCCGAGGAGTACCAGGGTGGTACCTTCACCATCAGCAACATGGGCATGAACGCCGCCGTCGAGCGCTTCACTGCTGTCATCAACCCCCCGCAGGCCGGTATCCTGGCCGTCGGCACCATCCGCAAGGTCGCTGTGCCCGTCGAGACTGAGGAGGGCACCGTCACCGAGTGGGATGACCAGATCATCGTGACCGGCAGCTTCGACCACAAGGTTGTGGATGGTGCTGTTGGTGGCGAGTGGATCAAGGAGCTGAAGAAGGTTGTCGAGAACCCTCTGGAGCTGCTGCTGTAGAGATCTGGGGGCCTGCCGACTACATCTGTAATCTGTATTAAAACTTTTCTCCCCTATAGACCACCATAGGTCCTTTTCTGTCTGATTTTAGCAACGTCAATCCATTTCTTCTGTCTTGATAGACTGTCTAGGCGCTCTGATAATTTGTTATGTATCAGCAATGGGTTCAACATGTTCAACACTAAGCTAGCCAAACAATTGTAGTCAGTTCACCATGTGGACACCAGACTTTTTTACGATTTTTCAGTTCTCACATATCGTTGCATTATGCACCGGTGTCAAGTTCGTAATTCTAGATGCAAAATGGTTCAGGTGCAATTGCGGCGACACTGGAGTTCACAATGGGTCATGCTAAGGTTGGTTGTCATAGTCGATATATATTCGTCCAGTGTTGTGACATGAAAAAATGCCCGCCCCCGCCCCAACGCTTATCAATTGAAAATCGAACATCGAAATAAGGAAATGCGCTCTAACAGTGCACTATGATTTCTTTTCTCCGAAGTGCAGCTTCCGAATTATACCAATGTTACAATTCTAACTTGACGTGATTACCTTAGTGCGACTACAATGTAGTGCTCGTTGCGAGCAGTTGAGTGTACCCGCAAACCTAAACATTAATTACTTAGGACGGTAGGGCGTGGGATGGCCGCTTAATCTTTCGCTAGCGAACACTGTAATAACGCCAAGGGTATAGTATCACCGAAGTTCACAATTAGAATGCGAGTCCAACTCCAAATACACTGGGAGTTAGTAGCTTGCTTTTGAAGGGCGCGCATGTGATGGCATCGCTGTTACCTGGCAGCCGGACGGGTCGGTGTGATAATCCCCCTTGGCGAACTTCAAGCTGCGCGTATCTCATTGCGCTATAAGAAGCGTCTTTCGAGTATTCCTATAGAAAATATAAGGACCCAGCAAAGTGCAAGTCGTGGTTTAGTACCTTGGGGGTAGCTTAGGATTGGGGTAGTGGTGTGAGGGCGGCGCAGTCTCCACCCTACATCCAATGCATGACGTGATGTCACCCGACTTCCTTGGTTCTTGCCCTTGACCTTCTTAAACGCCTTTCCCCTCCGACTTTTCTCCTGCTGTTCATCTCTTCCGGTACGCTCGTTGCTCCCTCGTGCAGCTCCGAATCCTCATTAACCCCCCTAGATCTCTTACATCCCTTCCAACTGAACCTATCCATTATGTCTTATGCCGACGCTGCTGCCAAGGGCCCCAAGCAGGCTCCCGAGGACGTAAGTTGCTCCTGCCCGTGTCGACACAGCTCTCACCATGTGAACCGATCAGCTAACACACTCTCTAGGCGTAAGTGATGCTTGACAAAAGCTATCCGCCACGGCAGATACTAATACCACGCAGTCGCGCCCCCGATGTTGGCGGCGTCTACAAGGATGAATCCGAAAGCACCGCCTCCCTCGTCGATGTCGACTCTCCCCACGTCCAGGCGGTCGACCCCAACTTTCTGCAGCAGGATGTCCAGACCTCCACTCAGGCCGAGCGGCTAGAGCGCGAGGCCGAGGAGAAGGACAAGGCCAAAGCCCGCGAACACGATGAAAAGAAGGCCAAGGCCCGTAAGGCGAAGTGCAGTGGCCTGCGCGCCAACGCCGGCAACCCCGTCTACATTGGCAATGCCTTCCTTCTGACCCTGGCCGGTGCGGGCTTGGGCTTCGGTGCGTACCGCAAGCATGTCGCCGGCAAGCTGTCGTGGGAGCTCATCGGGTTGTGGTCTGGTGCAGTCGGTGCCGTCGGTGCGGTGGATTACTTCGTGAGCAAGTGAGTATTCTATTATCCGAGGAGAGGGCATGCTATGCATAAATGTCTTGCTGCAGGTGTCTGCATCCGTGGTATAGTTGCATGGTTTCTAACGCTAGTCCAGGTGGTTCCTCCAGAACAAGTACCCCCCTAAATAAGCGCCCGACTGCTCGTTTCTTTTGCTTGATTGCTTTGTTTCCATATACCATCTCAGCTCTTCGAGATTCGATTTTGTCCCTAATTGCGACTGGTGCTGCACCACGCTTGGCACGGAGTCCGCTATCGCCTGATACCGATACCAATACCACTCTTATCATTCGATCGAGAAGCGTGTTTCGTTGAGATATATGTAGCTTTCAGGATTCTGTAGACCGGGGATAGCTTGCCAGCAGCTAACCCCAGGGTATAATACTAGTACTATATTTACAACTAGTTATGTATAGGATGTACCCTAATAGAGTAGTGGAGTGCATCCTGTGGGTGACGTAGCGAAGGCGGTGAGCCGCATCAACACCTGGCCTTCGCGTGTTGACAGCTCGGAGATTCGTGGCGACTCTCCAACCTGCGCTGGCTCGGCCCTGCTCGACTCGAGAATTGTTTGCCGAGTGCTGGACCCGACTCCTCAGACTCCTGCACCTCTCCTTGCCCTCCGCTGGCACCGCAGCCCTCGACCCTCACGCCATGGTATGCACGATCATTGATAGTACCTGCATCTTGGCCATGACGCGAGTGAGAACTGACAGCCGGCCAGAATTCCCTCTTCAACTCCGCCCTCAAGCAGTCGTCGGCGATCCGTCGGGATCTGGATACCTTTGCTCAGTCCCCGTCGACTTCCTCACCCGCGCTCCAAGGTAGGTCCCCTGAGCCACCGATCCCATCCCACCGGGCCATCACTGACCTCGGTCTGTGCAGGCCAGATTGCTGCTTCGCTGGCTTCGTTGACTCGGACCGTCGATGACTACTCTGCCCTCTCGAAGAAGGAATTGATCCCTGAAAAGCAACAAAAGGCCTTTGACCGGGTGAAGAACTTTCGCGACGAGCTGTCCGATTACCGGGGGCAGTTTGATCGACTCCGCAAAGAAAGAGAAGAAGCTGTATGTTGAACCTGATGAAGCTCGATATGGCCGTGATCTACGGTCTCCGATGGTATTTGGAGCCCTGCTTATCAATGAATTTGCAGCAATCGGTCTCGAACCGCAGTGAACTCTTCGGCCGCCGACCACATCATGCCGCTACGCCCGAGAACCCCTACGCGCAACCATCCCAATCGCATTCCACCTCTTCTTACGGTTCTTCGGGACTGAGCTTTGGCGCAGGCCCGGGAGATCACAATCGCGAGGCGCATGCGCTGCGGGAACAATCCTTTTTCGCCAGCACGCATACCCAGCTCGACGAGTTCCTGGACCGGGGTCGCGCCGTCCTGACCGACCTGGGCGAGCAGCGAGAGATCTTGAAGGGGACGCAACGCCGCCTATACAGTGTGGCCAATACGTTGGGCGTGAGCGGAGACACCATCCGCATGGTTGAGCGGCGGGCGAAGCAGGACAAGTGGATTTTCTGGGGCGGCGTCGTGGTATTCTTCCTCTTCTGCTGGCTGGTGCTGCACTTCCTGCGGTAATTGCGTGCGCAGCACCTTTGTAGCTATTTCTTATTCGTACCTCGGGTCTGCTTTCGTTTTGATCATCAGCGACGGCGTTTGTGGGCTGTATCACTTAATGGATATATTGAATGCGGAGCTGTCCTTGTATTTACAATCGAGCTGCCTTGCGCTGATGTACCGATACTTAATTTAAGGGTATCTCGTAGCCAGATAGTACTGCTCGTGTCATTGCGCAGTCCTTGCACATGCAAGTACCAGTACTTTGTACTTGTAGGGTGCTTACTAGACGTGGCTGGTCGGCCGAGCTCGGGAGGTCGGCAGGCGTCTCCACCCGCCTCGTCTTTTCTCCCGCCTTCTTCCTTCTCCCCTTCTTCTCCTCAACACACCTGTCCCAGTCAAGATGTTCGCTGCTCGTCAGACCTTCAACCTCTTCCAGAAGCGTGCCTTCTCGGCCTCCGCCAGCCAGGTAATCCCATCCAATTCCTTTCTATCACCTCGAATGGATGCTAATCCCTAACCCAGGCCTCCAAGGTCGCCGTCCTCGGCGCTGGCGGTGGTATCGGCCAGCCTCTGTCGCTGCTGCTGAAGCTCAACCCCCGTGTCTCCGACCTCGCCCTCTACGATATCCGTGGTGGACCCGGTATGTGACTATCGGCTGATGACAATTGGACTCGCGCATGGCTAACAATCCCTAGGTGTCGCCGCTGACCTGAGCCACATCAACACCAACAGCACCGTCACCGGCTACAACCCCGACGCTGCTGGTCTCAATGACTGCCTCAAGGACGCTGAGATCGTCCTCATCCCCGCCGGTGTCCCCCGCAAGCCCGGTATGACCCGTGACGATCTGTTCAACACCAACGCCTCCATCGTCCGTGACCTGGCCAAGGCTGCTGCTAAGTCTGCCCCCAACGCCAACATCCTGGTCATCTCCAACCCGGTATGTTCATCCCCGTCCTGCGTATCAGATGTCAATGTTAATGGCTAACGTACGCAGGTCAACTCCACCGTCCCCATCGTCTCCGAGGTCTACAAGGCCGCCGGCGTCTACAACCCCAAGCGTCTGTTCGGTGTCACCACCCTTGACGTCGTCCGTGCCTCGCGCTTCATTTCGCAGGTCCAGGGCACCAACCCCGCCGACGAGAAGGTCACCGTCATCGGTGGTCACTCCGGTGTCACCATCGTCCCCCTGCTGTCGCAGTCCAACCACGCCTCCATCGCCGGTGAGGCCCGCGACGCTCTCGTCAACCGCATCCAGTTCGGTGGTGACGAGGTCGTCAAGGCCAAGGACGGTGCTGGCTCCGCCACCCTCTCCATGGCCATGGCCGGTGCCCGCTTCGCCGAGTCCCTCCTCCGCGCCGCCCAGGGCGAGAAGGGCGTTGTCGAGCCCACCTTCGTCGAGTCCCCTCTCTTCAAGGGCCAGGGCATCGACTTCTTCGCCTCCAAGGTCGAACTTGGCCCCAACGGTGCCGAGAAGATCCACGACATCGGTCCCGTCAACGAGTACGAGCAGAAGCTCATCGATGCCTGCCTCGTTGACCTCAAGAAGAACATCCAGAAGGGTGTTGACTTCGTCAAGGCCAACCCCGGCAACTAAAATCCCTGTATAACATCCGTGTGTCCGCCGGCGTGCCGACGGTTCCCTATGTATTCTTGATCGACAGCGAGAGCGTGAATCTACATCGGTCTAATCTCATCTGTTACTCAGTAAATGTGTAGATGCAGTTAATTCTTAGATTCATGATCATAGCTAAATCAAGTCATGCCTGCTGATGAGACTGATCCCGGCGAGTCTACCTCGTGAAAACCTCGAAAGAACCTTGCATTCTCCCTTCTTCCGTAGCGCGCAACTCCGAGAGGCAAACAGCAAGGAATCCGAGAAGAGAAAAACAAAGAAAAATGAGGAGTAGAAACGTAAGAGGAGGAACAGATGAAGAGACCGGTAGATGTGGCCAAGGGAAAATGAACATATCAAAAGAAAAATAGTGAATGAGGGGCGTGTGAGAGGACTAGGTGTAGCTGCGCATCGCATCGAGATATCCCGTTCCACCGCGAAGGTCCTGGTCAAATGTCTCGGCGACTTCGAGCACTCGCTTGATGTGATCCATCGAGAGAGGCGAGCTTTCGTTGACAGCGAGGGCCTGGGCGGTGCGGACGGAGTTTTTGATCTGATTGCACTACAGTGAATATTTTGCTTTGATTTCGGAGAAGATATGGAATGTCATAGGACTCACCTGTCGTCCGTTCAATGTATGCCGCGACAACATATCATAATCATCCTCTGTGAATGTCGCCACCTTGACTCCCTCAATGGCCCGCACACGCTCCAGGAACATCTTCCAGATACTGCGCTTAGCCTTGGAGGCGAGATCGCCGTAGCGCAGGGCAACGTGGATACGCGACTGGAACGCGTCGTCGAAGGTTTCCACGCGGTTCGTTGTGAGGAAGAGAATGCCTTGGAAGTATTCTAGCAGGCGCAGGAAGATGCTGACTAGTGCATTGCGGTGGATGTCGTGAATGGTGCGCTTCTCCAGGAAAATATCGGCTTCGTCGAGAAGGAGCACAGCGCCCCAGGAGTGGGCGATGTCCAGGATCTTGTTGAGCTCTCCTTCCAGCGTGCGGGAATCGGTTCCTAACTCGCCGGCGCTCACCATATAGAGAGGTCGACGAAGAAGCTCGGCAATGCCCTCGGCTGTGAGCGTCTTTCCTGTGCCTGGTGGACCATGAAGTACGGCCACCAAGCCCTTGCCCTTGCCTTGAATAACATCGTCAATGTTCTCGGCAGCGTGGAAAGTGTGTGATTCGACAAGGGCCTTAACGATGGACTTTTGGTTGCTCGGCAGGACGAGCGAGTCGAAGGCGTCGACATCCCATTCAATATCACTGATGCCCGAGATGGTAAACTCTAGCCACAGCTTTTCACTGAAAGCAAAGCCCAGGACGACGGGACTGGCGATGAGTAGCTCCTCCTCGGTAAACTCTCGCTCCTGGGGGTTTGCGGCGTCTCCTTCAATGCGGTCCATTTTCTCCTTGGTGATCTCCTGTCCGTTCTCATCCACTTCCACCTCCACGACGCGCGGATTGCCGTCATCCCCCTCGACTACCTTGTACACGGTTCGTGGAGTATCCGAGCAGCCTCCATTCTCCGAATCTGACTCGGAGCCTCCGCAGCAGCAACCGTCGCTTGCTTCCTCTTCCACATCACTCATCCCTGCTTCTGATGGGTCGAGCAGATCCGGATCCTTAGGCCGGACGGTGCTGATGGGATAGTTAGGATTGATGCGACGGTGAATGGCCGGGTCGATCATGACACGACCATTGATGTTGACCTTGATCACAAAGGATCGTTTCTTCTTGTAAAACGCCATGCCCTTGTGGAAGCGGTAGTTCATGCCACGCAGCGCGACGAACCGCTTGCCACGCTCGATCAACCGGGCTCGGAGGGCCTCGGAGTCCCGGTGATATTGCAGGGGGTAGCAGGCCAGGCTGGTGATCTTGCGGGCGCCCTTGAACGATTCCACCTCGGCCGACATGGTGCCAAACCCAAAGTCCTTGCCGTCGTACTCGAGGTATCGGCCCTCAACGCTGTACCACTGACCCTTCATGAAGGACGACTCCTTGATGGCGTATTCGATCTTGAACGCACGGGGCTCATCAGCGTTGCCATAGGTGGGACAATAAGCGATGGTGTTGGGCTTGAATAGCGCCCACAGCAGGTCAAATGTGATGGTGTTGGCTTCGAGCAAAGGGTACAGCGTCTTTTTGGTGTCCGCATAGTCCGTGTCCAGATACTTGATCAGGACTTTGAGATGAGCGGCTTTGGTTGCTGCACTCTTGCGGGCCTTCTTTTTCTTCTCCCGGCGAGACTGTCGCTTCAGATCCTTCATGTATTGTCGAGTTTCCTCGAGATAGAGGAAGAGCATGTTGGGATCCACCACGGCATTCTCCTGGACCAGACTGACGCCCTTGACCCCATCCATGACCTTGGCCAGGGCATCCCGCAGGTGCTTGCTCTTGATATCGACGACGGTTTCCAGGTATTTGTTTTCCCAGTTGAACTTGCGGCGTACGGTGAAGATGTACTGGTCCCACTCGTCGGCATCGGGGTCGTCCACCGTCTCGGTCAGTTTGTACTTGTGGATTGTGGTGTCCCACACTGGATTGAGGCATTGGTATCAGCAAAAGACCCCATCTTACTCTACATTTCAAGCCGAACTACAGTACGAGAAAAGGAAGTGAACTCACGTTGATCGACTCTCTTAAAGGCAACCTTGGATGCGGGTTTCTTCTTCTTGGATCGCTTTGTCCGGCTGCCATCCCCCAGTGAGTCGTTGATACCGAGATCATCGTTGGTCTGGTCCCGGAGTTTCTTGGCCTGACGCTTCAGCTTGAGGCGCGTCACCAACTTGCGGAGGGCCTTTTCATCAAGCGAGTCGTCGGAGGCACCTGAAGAATCGTCGTCGGTCTCCGAATCATCAGATGTCTCCGACTCGGAGTCGGTCGAGCCCTTTCGAGCAGAGCGAGCATTGCGCTTCTTCTTCTTACGCTTCTTGTCCTTCAATGCTCGTTTGGCGCGAGCCTTGGCGCGCACTCGATTGCGTTTACGCCGATCGATCTCGCCGGACGAGCTAGCGTCCGATTCAGAGTCGGCACCCTCGGAGTCCGAATTGTCGGAGGAGCTGGAGGATGAGCTGGTGGCAGATGAGGAGGACGACGAGGAGGACTCGGTCTCTTCCTGCTTCTTCTTGGTGCGTTTCTTCCGTTTTTGGGTGTCTGATTTGGTGTCCGGGTGCTTCTTACAGGCTGCTTTGGCGGCATCGGCGGGGGTCGTGGTGGTCGCCGCGTCCTTCACGGCGACCTCGACGGTCTGAGCAGAGCCATTTGCATGGTCGGTGGGCTCGACCTCGTGCTGGACCTGGTCGACAGCGGGCTCGGCCATGGTGGAGCTGTGTGGTGGAGCTGACAGGACAGCTCAAGTGGGGGGATTTGCGGAGTACAAAAACGGCGGGAGGGCAGTAAACAATGTCAGCACGACTCAGCAACTTCAGATTGGACTTCAACTCCTGCCCGAAAACCGCAGAACCACGAACAAAGCAACGCACAGGAGAATGAGGAGAAGGGGAGAATGGAATATTGGGTGAGACGGGTTTTAAGTCGGCATCAACCTGCAGCCTGCAACCTGCAGCGCCAAACCCAATCATCGCCGCCCACGCAGGCGCGGATGCGCTGGCGCTGCCTCACCCAGGCACGGCCTATCACCGGCTCTAGAGATCATGACTGGCGAGATTCAGTGTCGGCAGCCTCTCGCGGCCCTCGAAAAGCACTCGGCGCCGCCCATCGATCGGCTAGGCGCCCTGCCATTCGACCAAGCGCCGCGGCTCTGCCTTGTTTGCGGTCGCACCGGGCAGAGGGGCGCGTACGGCAGCCTGCACGTTACGTGGAGGACAAGGATTTGAAACAGGCGGGCTCGTTTGACTGGTGTCGGCCCGGCTGCATCTCGGTGATTGATTGATTGATTGATTGATTGTTTGTGCGGTTGGGTTGGTGATGCACTCTCCCCGTCGCCATCCAGGTAGTCGGTATCGATCTCTTGGAGGAGACGGAATAACCACAACAGAGCGAGTGGACACATGCCCAATCTTGAAAGTACATTAGGTGGGTCATCGACCGGGTCTGGGCTAGCATGGCGAAGGATTCGCGTCTCCGCAAAGCGATGCTATAGCACAGGCCCGTATAGCCGATCATTTGCTCACCGCTAGACGACACAAAGTACAGAAGCCGAGGCAGCACATTTTTGAGCCTTCTAGTCTTTGGAGATCATTTTCTAGGTACATACGATGGTGCGTAATAAAGGCATGCACGGCTAACCGCTTTGCATTTGGAAAACCGGGGACTGGTATTACAGGGTGTGGGTACTTGCAAGCTGCGTGGATAGCGAGCATCCATGTACGGACTGCCAAAAATTTTCAACATGAAGCTCGAGGCTTTGCCCAGTATAGCCCAGCATCGAACTGGTATAGACAGGGGTACGATGTATATGACTTTTCGCCTACACATTCATGCTGTCTCCAGCTACCACGAAAGCAGCTTAATAGGACCAGACACGGAATAATTGAACCGACACTGTGCTCGCTTAGGTTGAGGTAAAAGAAGTGCATATGGAGTCAAGATGGGAATTACTCCAAGTGTGTCTGAAATATGAAACTGCAGTCATCAATGGCCATAATGCTGACAAGCAGTGGAGATGACAATACTCAGTATGTCACACATAACCAATGAGAGCCCGACTAAAACTAACACAGCATGAAATCAGGAACCAAAGTCCAACATCACCTTATTCATCGAGGAGAAAAGAATGCATCAAATTATTATCCCACCTTACACTGTTGCAGTGCCATCACGACTTCATATTCGCAGAAACCACACTCCGCTTCCGCACTTCAGCCGCAGTCTCCTCCGTAGCAACCCGATCGAACTTGTAAAGTGGCTCAAGCTCCACATGTCGGCGGAAGATGTATCGGTTGATCCACCACGGAAGCACCTTGAACACTTGATAGTGCATGTGGACTCGGGTTGGAACGGCAAAGATGTAATCGAGTTCCTCCAGCGTGCGCTGCTTCGTTTCGGGGACCCATAGGTAGATCATGACCAGGGCGGTGACGTTGAGACCGCTGTAATTTGTTAGTATATCCATATACTCAAAAATGAGACGTTTCAGGCACATACGCGTAGAAGCCAAAAGCACCCGTTGCGGTCATTGCGATTAGCATACGAGGGAACGTGATCGAGAGGACCGCGGCGAATCCTAGACAGATGGCGACAGCCCAGGCCATGCCGACCTCTAAAAGGAAATAAATATTAGCGCTATTTCATCATGATATTCAGTGGCGAATGACTTACCGCGATGCGACAGCGGGAAAACCTCGGCAGAGTACGTAAACGGCACAGGGCCCTCGCCGGGCGAGTAAAACGCCTCGAACAAGAACACGAAAAAAGCGATAATCCCCAGGTGAGCAGGCGAGCTTTCTGGAATGTAGAAGCAGAAGCCCGCCGCTAGAAGCGTCCACGCCATTTGCGGGAAGGTAAAGAGCAGCAGCGTCCGACGCCCCCACGTATCAATCGTCCACACGGCGGGGAAGGCGAAGACGAAATTCACCAAGCCCGTACCCCAAGAGGCGAGAAGGGCGTCTCGATTGCTTGCGCCTGCATTGGAGAAGATGGTGGATGAGTAGAAAGACACGATGTTGATACCACACATTTGCTGCGCGAGCATGACGGTAAACGAGGCCAGGGTCGCGCGTCGCACTCGTGGAATTGTGAAGAGCTCTGTGAATCGCTGGAGGTAGTTGCTGGTTCCGATTAATTCCTGCTCGACCTTGATCTGCGCATAGATGTAGTAAAGATCGCGGGCTGCTTGGAGCGGGCTATTGCGGAGCCGTTGCAGTGACTTGTATGCTTTGTTGATCTCGCCTTTCTTTATATACCAGCGTGGCGACTCGGGACAAAAGTAGACGCCGAACAATAGTGGGACAGCCGGGATAAAGGCTGAACCGAATTGGAGGCGCCATGCAATATCTCCCGTATACATCACTGCCAGGTTCGCACTATACCCGAGGAAAATCCCGAAGGCTGTCCACAATTGCCAACACATCACGAGGCCACCGCGAATATTGGCGGGAACATTCTCGGCGCAGAAAATTGGGACCACCGACGCCTTGAGGCCCATTCCAATGCCCAACAGGAGACGAGTGATGAAGAGCTGCGGCCAATTCTGGGTGCATGCCGAGCCAATCGGTGACAAGACACAGAAGATTGCGGCAACGAAAATAGTACCTCGACGGCCGAAGTATCTGTTCATGGGATCGGATAACCAGCAGCTGAAGAATGCGCTCGAAAGGTAGGGACCGGCATTGATGACACCGACGAGCCATTGGTTGCGAATGGCGTCGGGGACGCCTGACTCGGGGATTCCAAAAGCGTCAGGGAAGGACAGATTTGCACCGTTGGAGCCGGTTTGATCCCAGCCCCTATGTCATGTTAGCCGTGAACTTGTGTATAACAGACACCAAAATATGTCAGCGGCAAGAGAAAAAAAACGTACTGAACTGCTGCCCCAATCGAGCAGAGAATGATGGTAAAGTAGAGAGCCCGCGGCTGGCGCCATTTGTGCAGAACCTCATCCTGGAGCACTTTGATCTCATCATCGGTCAAGCCCGGGACAGATTCAAATTCGCCCGGATCCCGAGCCACCAGCGCTCCCTTCTTTAGCTCTGGCAAGATTTCCTGGAGTTGATGCTCTTGCGCAAACCGTTCCACGTCGTCCAGCACTCGTTCTTTCGTCAGATCGGCGAGGGGGTTCTTGATTCTATATCCCATGAGGCGTTTGCTGAGCTATGTATAGGGCTAGACCGCGACATACCGTGCTGACACATTATTCTGCAGGCTAACCTGCTCCACATGTCCCTTCTCCTCGCCATACTGCGTCGGATCATGGATTGGACTTGAATCTGATTAGCGATGTGAAGGCGGTGGTTATGGGGAAACACACCTTCGGTCGCTGTCCACCTGCGTCACCGTCTCTTTATCCATCTTGACGACTAGAAAGTAGGAGAGGCAAGAGATCACTCGTAAGAATTTCAATGCGGAGAGTTTTATGTATATCTGAGGCCTAGACAGCCTCTGGAGCCGCTCAGAATAAAGGAAAAAGAGCAGCAGCAAGCAGCAAGAATGTGCACTTCTTACGGCACTTGGGAGAACTCCGGCTCACAAAGAGGCTTGCCAGTGGGCTACGCCACTATTTAACATCTACGCCAGCGGCTGAACAGGCTGACGGGATGAGCAAATCTCTGACGCCGGACTGTCCAACCATTGCCTCCGAGCGAGCGTGGACGCCCTTGCGAGTCATGCAGCCATTGGTTTGAAGAGTGAGCGATAGTCACCGCTAGACCCGAGCTGTGCTAGTCGAGCAGCCCTTCCGGGCCCCGAATTCACTGTTCCAGTTAGACCGGCTGCGACCTGAGGGAAAGCAATCCTGGGGCTCCGATCAGAGCGCGGGGAGGTCTGGTTGCCCATGGGAGTTTGCCTATACACGGCCAAGCGCGAGATGCCACCAAGCTTTGCTGCCCAGGCTGATTGGCCCCCGTCCAGTCCGTCGGCGGCGCGTCTTGGGCAAAGCTTGCCAGAGCTTAGCGTCCGGCAAGCCACCGGCGGTGCGTGCGGCGTGTGCCGTCTTGGGCGAGACGGGGGCGGTGCCCAGCGCCCGTTGACGAGTCTGGGCTGGTAGATGTAGAGAACCGGTGCTGATTGAGCGTTGCGATATCTGGGGCGTGGAGAGTCGAGGATGGGGAGGAATTGCGATGGCATCTTGTACCTTGCCCCATTCTCGCTGCCGACAGAGCCGATCTGCGATGATCGGTGCCCGTTTGTGGACTGGGGGTCGGGTTGAGGAAGAGAAAGTGTCCGATGTGACCTGACAGGGCATCGAGTACCCCAAGAAGCGAGTCCAAGCGGGTTTCTTCGCAGGATCGAATCGCGCTAGCGACGCAAGGCGTAGGGGCTGTTCAGTTTGCGAGTGGGAAGTCGCATGGCGCCACATGGCGTGGCTGTCAGATGCATCATCCTGATAGTCTCTGGTTTTTGCCATCATCAACGGGCCTCTGTTGGAGTGAATGTGGTGGCCGTGGAACGTGCATGGTAGACGAAGAGTGTTGGGAGAGTTGGACGGTCGCGCGGAGAGCAAAGGTTTCCCTCGCCCGTCAAGCTCATAGTTAGTTACTGGATACCTGGATTACCTAAGTAGGCAAGGGCTAGTTACGAGTAGCTGTACTGATTCCCATGAGAATACACTGTATTGGACATGTACGCAAATCTTGCCTTATTTGAACCTGGATTTGATCCGATCCCCTCATAATAAATCACATGGGATAGCCCCTGCGCTCTGATACAGGTAGGACCGTGGTTCACCTTGAGCCACCTGCATTGTACCAGAGTAGTAGGTACTATGCAGGGCTGTAGAAAACATGCGAGATCCACTGTGGGCATGGAGGTTTAGTGTCCTACACTGGAGCAGCATCGATTATCGATCAAAAATTGTAATCTGATTCCACCCTCAAATATGTAGTTCACGAGTGTTTCAGTCAAATGCTTAAAATCATATACTTCTGTTGCCGCTTCACCAAGTTTGCCCTCCTGATAGCTCTGAACCGAAGGTGACATCGAATGGTCCGGCATATCACAGCCAGCTCGCAAACAGCCTCGACTCGAAAAATCCGTTAAATACCCCGCGGGGTCGTCGGATCTATCGCGGAATCGGCTCGGATGGGCACGATGTGCTTCAGGTGCAAGTAAAGGCCTCCCCTAACTCGGCCAGACCCAACTTCCCGATCGCGATAAAGCGAACGGTACTGATATTTTTTATTTTATTTTAGCAGACTTTCCCAATGTCATTGGATATGTACTGACCGGCTAGAAATCCGAAGGCATCGCAATCAAGCTTGTCCCCCCGCGCAGCCGGTTATGCGGGTGGGGCTCCGGCTAAGCTCTGCACGCTGTTTTCGGTCAATTCCGCAACGCAGCAGCGATCTTCTTGCACGGGTTTTTTCCCGCGACAAAATCCTCAAAAAATTCCAACGATGAGAGTCTCACACGGAGAATAGGATTTATCAATTCCCAGGCCGAGGTTCAGGAGGATGTTTCAGTCGAATGACCAGACACATCCGGATCCAGACACGTCTGATCAGTCCCACCCGGAAAAAGATGACAGGGAGGAATCCAGTGCGATTTCCACCATTTTCCAGGATGGCAATACCCCGGAAAATACCCATGACAATGCAACTGGACCAAGTGGCAAGACTGATGGACATAAATTCTGGCGCCGTGTCGTCAATTTATTATTATGGACACCACCGTGGTGTCGATGGAATCCGGAAAATCCTCTTAAGTTCGGACTCCCATTGAATTTCTTATTCGCCTTCGCAGGGACTTTTACGGTGCGAGAGAAAACAGTTTCCCCTCAATGATGAGATTATCATGGTTCTCGAAGTCATCGCTGACTGTGTATGGAACAGGTTGCCAACCTATATTACTCGCATCCGATCCTGGATGACCTTGCACATTTCTTTAATGTATCTCAGGAAAGAGCTTCCTTGATACCCACCTGCAGCCAGGCGGGGTATGTAACGGGAATCATTTTCATTTGCCCGCTCGGCGATATTGTTCGGAGAAGACCGTTCATTCTTTTTTTGACATTCTTCACCGCAACATTATGGATCGGGCTCTGTATAACGAGCTCCTTTGAGGTCTTTCTCTCTCTGAATTGTCTGTCATCGGTCACGACAGTGACACCAGTGAGTTTTGCTCGCAACAATCTACTTGGATAATTCAGTGACCTAATTATCTCGCAGCAAATCATGCTTCCACTTGTGGGAGACCTTGTCCCCCCTGCTCGACGGGCAACGGCCCTTTCCATCGTGTCTTCGGGAATTGTACTTGGGCTGCTATTCGCTCGACTCCTAGCCGGCATCATTGCCGCGTATATTTCGTGGCGGAACATCTATTGGCTGGCTCTTGGCCTGCAGTACCTCATTGTTCTCTTGATATGGGCATTCTTGCCGGATTATCCGCCAGTCAACACGGATGTTTCCTATTTCAAGATCTTGGTATCCATTGCGACCTATCTTATCACCTCCCCCGTTCTCGTGCAAGCGACGCTGATGGGGTTCTTTCTCTCTGCGACATTCACCAGCTTCTGGACAACCTTGACATTCCTTCTGTCGGGCAGCCCATACTACTTCTCAACCATCCAGATCAGTTTGCTCTCCTTGGCAGGGCTCACCCCGATTCTCTTGGGACCTTTTTACTCCCGCTTCGTGATTGACAAGTACTCGCAACATTTTTCGATCGCTATCAGCCTCACCATTATTTTCACTGGTATTTGTATCGGTGCCTATACCGGGACATTCCTTCTCGCCGGCCCGATCCTTCAAGCGGCCTTCCAGGACTTTGGCTTGCAGATGACGCAGATTGCGAACCGTACGGCGATTTTTCACGTCGCTCCGAAAGCTCGCAGTCGAGTCAATACAGCATACATGATTGGGGTGTTCTGTGGTCAGCTGATGGGAACCGCAGTGGGCAACCGTGTCTATGGCGAGAGCGGCTGGGTTCTGGCGGGAACGGTGAGTATCGTTTTTGTCGGTGTATCATATGTGATTTGTTTTGTCAAAGGCCCGCTGGAGACCGGATGGTTCGGATGGAGTGGCGGGTTTCCGATTCGAAGGAGAGATTTATGATCTCGAGCCGTTCCGGAACGAATGATGGATAATGAATGGAAATGATCAAGTGCCTTTAGTCGACCCGACATCGATTTCCCTGGAAAAGACTACCAATAGATCTCAGTAAAATACGCAGTGGACAAAGTCAGTCTGGATGCAACACGCTTTGTGAATACTGACAAAATGCCAATTGATGCGAATTCGGATGCAAAATTTCGAGATGCTAGCTTATGGAGGCCCACTCTCGGGAATAGGAGTGGGGGTCCCCAGGCTGAAGAACCCCCGTCTGACAGGGTGAAAAACAACCCACTATGAAAATATTAGCTCTGATGTGCGGCATGCTCGCAAGCTGAGCGATCGTACTATCAGCTCCAGAAAAAAGAAATCGCATCTCGAGAGGGCAGGTTTCAAGCTGTCAGCTTAGACCCCCTAAATCAAACCTTCTTGCTGGCCGAAAAGAGACATTGCACTTATGTTAACAGGGTAAATCGGGCCCGAGTCGGCTAAGCCGGCGCTCCAGCCTTGAATGTTTCAGATGGCGATGGTTTATAAGCGTCGCTCCTCGCACCAAGAATCATACCCCAAAGCTAAGCAATAGCCAAGTCTGCACTACCGTCATGGCTCTCTCCGCGTGTAACGCCGTGTTGAACCCGTCGTTCGAGACTGGGACTTTGAAACCCTGGTTCTCATCCGCTGTTAATGTGGCCAAGGTCACCAGCGGTACCAGCGCCTATAGTGGTGAATACTATCTGTGAGAAACAATAACTCGTCATCGCATCTCCACTAGCAACGAGTACTGACGAAGCTGGTCATAGGAACCTGCAAACCGCAGTAGGAAACCGCGGCAACACCATCTCTCAGCACTTGAAGCACCTCAAGCCACACGAAAAGTACGACTTTAGCGTGCAGGTGCAGGTTCCATCGCCGTCGGGCTCCGAGTATTGTTCAGTTTATGTCTACATGGGCCGCAATGCTACGATCGGCGCAATCGCTTCGACGCAGCTGTTTGATCTCGAAGAATGGACCGCTCTCACTGGAACATACACGGCAAAGAGATCCGATGATATCCTGAATATTGTCGTTGCGTGTGATTCTGAGGATTCTTCAGTTACGGGGAATGTTTTGATTGATGATGTGAACTTCACTGGACGCGGTCACTAAAATTCGAATTAAGCAATGGGGCATATCTTCTACCCGAAGAGCCTGACACACTGTAATTAGAAATAGAAGAGAAGATCGCAAATGATATGAGGCTCATGGTGTACTTTGCGATTGCTAAACTGTACTACAAGATAATAGCGTTGGTCAAAATTGAACGAATTATTGTTGTTCATCGAAAATCACTCCCAGTAGTATGTCTAGTGCTGCCAAATCGAAATTCTCTATCAAACAACTAGCTCCAAAGCAAAACGCCAATGCCATCCTTAATCACAATCAGTTGATGTTCAGCCCATTCCCTGGACATCCTAGTAGCCAGGTGAGATGCCCCGCTAGGCCCCCTCGTTTAGGCTGTCGATCGGAAAATCCTTGCACCTCGATCAGAAAATAATTGTTTCCGTATTTCACCCGCCATAATAGTCGAACGTCCAAAGCGGCACTGCTGGGAATGCCTACGACAACGCTTGGTATGCGATTTCGAGACCCCAGGGTGTAAACGATGCGCAAAGTCCGGGGTCGACTGCCCAGGATATGGCGACGCTCCTCTGCTGCGAGTGAAAGTGGCTGGCGCCGGGCAAGGTCAAGCCTCGACAGCGCAAACCCGTGGGCACGAAGAGTCCGAAGAACACCAAGTGGAATGTAGAAAGCGTCCGCTGTGAACCATCAAGAGGCAGCTCCGTATCGTCGGAGGGTTGCGGGAACTGGCTGTGCCTGGCTTCGAGTTGAAGACCGAAGTTCACCCTTTGGTTGAGTCGTTAGAATACTGTGCGTCACATGACCTTTGAACAGACTGTACACAAAGCGCTGATCGATCACACAGTCAATAATTGCATGTACCCCAGACTCTCCCAGATCCTGCTGCTGAGTTCCAATATCAATATCTACAGGATTCCCGCGGAACTCTTCAAGAAGGCCCTACATGCACCGGATTATGCCAAACTCGGCCTGGTCTGTATAACCCTCAGCCATCGAATGAACCAATCTGGCCATAATCCCGACTCCAAGTCACTGGAAAAGAATTTCTACAATTATCGAGGGCATGTGATTCGGTCATTGAATAATGACCTTCATATGATTAAGAAGCGGGACAGTCATCGAGTACTCACTGGGATCTTGACACTGCTACTGCTAGACGTGAGTTGTTGTTTTCTTCCAGTGTCGTCATGCCATCACTGGACTAGTAGAAGTAATGGCACACCAGGCCCAGCAGGGGATCTCGCAACACTGGCGTTATCATATGGAGGGAGTTCGTGGACTCATCACGCTTCGCGGTGGCATGCACAAAGTAGCGGTTCAATTTGCAGCGATGCCCATTGTTCTGTGCTACGTTTTGTAAGTTCCGGCCCGGAACCTGCTACAAAGACATGCCTATTACCTGTGCTGACTATTGTTTAGCCTGGCGGTAAATGGAGACACCGCATCTCCTGCCTCCGATATGCTCATCACTTCCATCCCTGCCGACGAAATATACCTGGTCATAAAGCAATTTGGAGGTAACGGATTCGCGTTCCAGATGTGCCCTATGTCGCTATTTGTGGAAATAATGAATATTAACCGCATTCGTGCGCGCGCATCAATAGCGGGCCTGATGGAAGAAGGATTCGTGGAGGACGATTAATTTCGACAAGATGCTTGCGACGTCCGTCGTGTTTATGATTTCTCGGCAGAGTGGGCCGAGGAAAACGAGCGGTTTGATGAGTATAATAAGCTCTTGAATACTTTCCAAAGTGCGGTGGCCCTCTACTGTCTTTCGTCACTCCAAAGCCTCGGTGTCCTGCCACACGGCCCCTTGTTGAAAAATAATTGTTACATGGAGACACGAATCTTACATGGGCTCATTCGCAGCGCCCTTGGCCTAAATCTGAGAAGTAATGGCAATCTGCTCTGGTCACTGATGGTGCGGGGTGTCCAAGCAGCAGGGGTGGCCTAGGCATTAGGAGCTTTGTCACGGAGTGTTTGACAGATTTGAGTGCTGCCACGGGGACGCATGGCCCTCTGGCGGCAAAGGAAGTGCTGGAGCGGTTTTGGGTTTCCGGGAAGCTCGGATGGGACGCCTGCTTTTGACAAGCCATACCTTTTTACATCCATGCTTACAGTCAATCGAGGCTGCTTGAACCAGTGACTTATAAAGCAATATAGACAAGATCATTATTAAGAAATCGATATTGACATGCTTATAATTTGTTCATTAAATTATTCCTCTGATCAGCCAGATAATATGACATCCTACCAAGTCCACCATCTTCCACTAGCAAGTGCCTGAGCAGAGAGTAAGAGTGATATCGGAGTTGGCACTGCAGACCTTCGTTTGACTGGCTCCACTCGTAGCCACGCCATTGGGCCAGCAGATCTTTGGACAGTTGAGTGAGGGCTTGACGCCGATGGCATGACCGGAGAATGGGTCACCGAAGACATCCGACAGATCGTACCAGACCTGCTGGCCGTCCAAAGTATAGGCAAAATTGGTCTGGGGGCTTCCGTTGTAAATGCCATTCGGCACAGTGGTGATTTTTATGGCGATGCCTCCGGAAGCTGGGTCGTGGTGCAGGACCTCAGAGTATGTGCCACCGGACTTCACAGTCTTTGCTGGGCCAACCGAGCCTCCAACGGACCACAGGTAAACAGGGAAGCCGCATTTGTTGACGACTTTGGCATTGCCTACAGCGCTGACAAGAGGCGTCAGGGCGGCCACGGCGGCGACGAGAGTGGTGGTGAAGTGCATTGCGATTGTATTTGCGATAGCTAGATGAATGGAGGGGGAACGGAGTTTGTTGCTGAAAGGACTTCTAGGGGCGACCCTAGGCGTGCTTTATATACCTTCTTTCCCGGGTGTAGGAGCAAGCATGGCAGGAGCGAGACGGATCTGGTGACCTTCGGTTTTCATTAGATATAGCTCCAGAGACTTCTCACCATTCTTGCCTAGTCCGGAATTGCTAGTCGAATTAGAAGGGCGCAGAAATGTCCTTGGTGGAAGCACTGGCTAACCGAAGGCCAGTACAACACCTGCCTCGGATAGCGATGCAGAACCTGCATGAGAGTATCCGTGGATCTTAGAGGCCGAGTACTGGTAAAAATAGCATGGCCCGTCGCGGTCGACCGTGCCATCTGGAGTATGTCTCACCTGTGCTCAGGCCTGGCTGCTCGCTGTAGAAATCAGGAATCGAGAGAAGTTCAGCGGTCTGCACGACAAGCAAGCGCGGTGGGTCTTCGTACCCGATGGACCCTGCCGGTTGTGCCATGCCTCTTTTTGCGGGGAACGATTTGAGACATAGTTACATCTCGGACAGGCCACTCGCATTCTTCAGCAGGTTGACTTGTCAAGAAGTTACAAATCTCAAAATAGGTTCGTTTATGGCGCCGCCAACATTATCCACCAAATTCTCGTTCGTGGGGTCTCACCCGTCGCATCCAACTAGCTGACGGGCAGGTGACGGTCTCCGTATACGAGGTTGGCGCTCGCCTTCTGAGTTAGCTTCGAATCGCCCGCAAACCGCATGTGTAGGGGATTCCACTAGATGGAAAGAGACATGGGATTTTTATTTCACCGTTCCAGATAGTGAGACATGGTGGTCGGGGGTGCAGATATTAAGTCGGTCAGCTTACCAGTAGATGTGGATTTGAGGGAATTGTTGACAGCGGCTCCAAGAAAGCCCTGAAGAGCCTGTGTTTGAGATTGAGATAGAAGACTCACCAAGTAGAAGTGTGAAATGCGGTTTCCATGGTGCTAATACTGATTCCACTTTTACTTAGTTAGTTCGCCGAGTCGCTAGTTGAACCGCCACGAAAATCAGGCGCAGCTTAAAAAGTATCAAATCGATAAAAGTTCTTGCATATCAGAAAGAAAATCCCTTTGACACTACATCTATACGAACGGTAGTTGCAATGGCTGGTCAGGAAAAGCCCGCTTCGATGTAGTAAGAGCCTTGGCGTGATTCCGCATGAATTTTAGCTCAAAAGACGAAAGTTGATTGTGAGTCATATGATCGATCGAAACCAACTTGCTAAAATCTCGGACGTTAACTCTGGGCTATCCTCGGATCCAAAATTCAATCCAGGAATTTTGCTACTGGTGTCTACTGGGAGGCTGCCGATTGTGCCAGCGGAAATGGACCAATCTGGTTGGACACACTTGACGTATTTTGTGAGTGGTATTGTTAACTACCTGATATTGTTGGGCTCAGAGGAAAACAGGATCAGAGGAAAACAGGATCAGAGGAAAAGAAAATAGCAAAAATATAAAAAACATACAACAGCAGGGATTCGCATGTGGTCACCCACCATACTACTAACCTGCCGGCGTGTGGCTTAAGTACGGCTGAGCGGACGGGAAGCCCTGTTCTCCACACCCTATGGTCGTATGTACTTGATATCAGATGAAAGGGGTTTATAACACACTGAAAACTGCAGATGGTAAATATTTGAATTCAGAATTCAATTCAGTTAGAAGTTCAAGGGGCGACTCGCAAACTACAAAACATATTTAAACAACGGTGATCGATCTCCCAAGTCAAAGAGCTCTTCCTCAGTATACCGAACTCTCGCATCGTCAGCAAGCTTCGCCTTCTTTGCGTTGCCAATCTTGTAGCTCCACTCGAGGAATAGGGCAACAAAAAGCCCAAAGCCAGCAAGGGCGAGGCTAAGGCCGAACCCCGTGTAATACTTTGGCTTCTCCTTCTCCAGGTACATGAAGCTGCCCAGAATTCCACCAACATTGCCAACGCAGTTCATGAGTGCAATGCCCACGGCTCGTCGGGAGGACGGGGCGATATTATTTGCATTCCAAGAGGCTGCTGCGGCTTGGATAGGATAGATGCCGATGACGGCAAGGACAACAGCGAAATAGGCAACTCCTTTCTTTTCTGAGAGGGCCCCATGCAGCGACATGATGACCGCGTATGCGACAACGCAAATCATCATCGGGATTGCCACGAATGGCATTCGCCAGAAGAAGCGATCCGAGAGCCGTGCAAACATGATAGCTGATACCGCGGCCGCCACATAGGGAGGTGCCGACGTGAGCTGAGCATTGGTGTCGCTGAAACCCATTGCCTTGGTGATGGTGGGGAGAGTAAATTTGGTTCCTGTTTCAGGGGTAAGTCTATGGCAATAGTGAAGATGTAGGCTGGGATCATACCATATGACAAAGCCGACTGGCAAAGTAAAAAGTACGCCTGCACATAGACCCGCCAGTTCGTAAGGACCATCTTGAGATCCCGGAATTTGAAGCTGGTCTCCTCTACACTCGTGCCTCCTTGTTTGATGAACATGGAGAGATTCAAGTACCGTATCTCATCTTCAGAAAGCCAGCGTCCGGACAGGGCGGGAGTGTCAATAAGACAGAAAAAGCATGCAACCGCTAGAACGACGCTAGCAAGACCTTCGAGAATGAAGATCCATCTCCAGCCCTCGAGGCCGCCGACGCCATCCATCTGCGCAATCGCGGCAGCTAGGAGACCAGAGAATGCACCCGAAAGCGCACTAGCGCAGTAAAAGTAGGAAATGCGCAGAGCCAAGTCCTTTGGCATATACCAGTAGGAACAAAGGTAGATAGCACCAGGAAAGAATCCCGCCCTGAAATTCATTTTGTTAGTGCAGTCAACCCGATATGCTAGTGAGCCTCACTCGAAGACACCGAGTAAAACCCGGGTGACCATCAGACCACTGAAGTTCTGGACCAGACCGGTGCATGTCATGACAATGCCCCAAGACAGGACAAGAATCCCAAGATATGTTGATGGCCTCTTGAACTTTTTCAGAAGAATGTTGCTTGGAACTTCAAGCAAAACGTAAGGAACGAAAACTATAGTCGTGGAGGTTAGTCATTGCCAGGAATGCCGCAGTATGAAGGATGAGCTTGATGGGGCCTTTCGAGGAAGACGTACAGATAGAAAGAACCGTATTATACTGCACCCCGGTCATGCCTAGGTCTTCAACCATGCCCTCGATTTTTGCATTGCCAATGTTGGCCCGATCAATATGGCTGATTAGATACAACACCGCCAACATGGGAATCAGACGCGAGTCGACTTTGCGGAAGACCTTCTTCCGGGCCTCCTCGGGATAATTGGTATAGAAGTCTGCATCATCAGATGTCAAGCCCACAACACGGAAAGTGCCGATCTCGGTGACTTGTGAGGGTTTTGGAAGAGTCTCAATGTGGGAGGGTCGGTCGGCATACTCGACATCTCCCTTGACGATATCTGTGGAGGCCATGGTGAAGAAACTGTTCAAATCGAGATATTGTCCCGCCTAGAAGATCGTCCAGAGAAAGAGTTAGCACAGACAGGGAAGCTATGAGCTTAAGCATCGTTAAATGGTACGGGCGGGGAATATATAGACTGTCGGATATGTCATCTTGGCACATACACAGCTCTAGCGTACCTCTATGTGAGTGGCAGCGGAGCCACGAGGTGACCGGGGCCCGCATTGCTTCCCCAGTTCCCCAGACTTGGCAGCTAGGCTATAGGTGGGCCTCTCCACTGTTGATGCGGGGGTAGGATGCCAACTAAGTCATGGAGTGCAGTAGACGGGTGAAGAACCCAGCTGTCAACTCCATATTTTCGCCGTGCGTACCATCGCAGCCCGGAAAACCACGCGAGACCAGCCTCCTGGATACGACTCAGGTCCTCATCCATACGGATAAACCTGAAAAGGCTCTGCCCGTGCTCCACACTGATCCTCGAGCTTTCGGGGCCCACCAGTCATATCGACGTGCCAAGAAGATAGACACTCGTTTATCCGGGGATACAAGGATCTTTCTCCGAGAACGTATGCCGGAAAACGTCTAACAGGGGTCACTTCTTTCCACACTCAACTGCAGACTCTCTGCATGACCGCTCCAGTAAGAATTGCGACTGCTTGAACTGATGCTAATTGTCGACAGCGCTACCCAGCGAGGTCCTGCTCCTTTCGTTCCTCATTAGCGGCTCCTCCGACCCACTCTGATGGCCCCGCAGAATGTTGATGGCCGTAACATCCAGCTTACGACTCGAGTTTTTCCTGGTCGCACTACAACACAATCAGCTCGAAGATTTGAGACTCGATTTCGAATCAAGTATATCCTCTAGTTCTACCGCTCAAGCTGCCAGCGTTGAACACAACACGCCGGTCACAACAGATAACAAGAAGGCTACATGAGCTACATGAGCAACCAGCGAGGCTATAGGTATCCAGCAAACCCTCAACTGGGTCAGCTATACTCGGTGCGGATGCCGTTCCCTGATCAGGGTCACCGGATGTTGACTGCACTACAGTTGGAGCTCTTTGTTGTGCCTCGCTAGTGGATTGGAAGCATTGCTTGGCGAATTTTCGAGATCCGTAACGCACTGATCTAGAAATCATATTCTATACACTTGATAGCCGTGCACATATCCAGGAGCAACTGTGAGAGTATTAGGAATTGATTCCGATGTGCACTAGCGTCTGCGGCGATGCCCAAATGTGCAACAGAAAGCGGAGTGAGGGGTACCTTTTCATGAGAAACCCCCGCTCTTTCATCTGTCCACTTCGACCACCGGCTTCCTCCCAAAAAGCACAACCTCTCTCATCTCCTCGCCATTTCAGCAGCCAAGTGCCCTATCCTTTGGAATTTACAGCCCTCGAACCTGTTCTGGTCAGCGACAACTCGGAGGCTCGCTGAGAGATCCGCTTCCACGTCCCTCATTTGCAAGCAGCGAGACCCATACTACCGGAATGTCCTCAAAGCTGGAATTTGGCAGTGCGCTGGGCACTTCGGCCACGTCCTTCCCACGCGCACACGACAAAATCGCCGAACCGAGAGACACGCTCTACTTTGTTGACAATGAATTTCGACACTCGGCCACCAAGGACTTTATCGATGTCCACGATCCCGCGACTAACGAGCTTGTCTCGAGAGTCCCGAAAATGACGACCTCTGAGCTCGATGATGCATTAGTGTCGGCCCAGAAAGCGTTTCCTCCGTGGAGGGCCATGTCGGCCATTGCGAGGCAGCAGATCATGTTCCGCTTCGTTGCCTTGATCAGAGAGCATTGGGACCGACTTGCTGCTGTCATCACTCTGGAACAAGGCAAGACTCTGGCTGACTCCAAGGGCGACGTTCTACGGGGTCTACAGGTAGCGGAGGCTGCGTGTGCCGGTCCTGAATATATGAAGGGCGAGGTTCTGGAAGTCGCCAAAGATATGGAAACAAGGACTTATCGGGAGCCGCTCGGTGTCGTGGGTGTTATATGCCCATTCAGTGAGTCTTGCGTCTGAATAATTCTGAGCGACGATACTGACGACGGACAAGATTTCCCTGCCATGATTCCTCTATGGTGCATACCGATAGCGACAATTACCGGTAACACCGTTGTTTTAAAACCATCGGAACGAGCACCAGGTGCAGCCATGATACTTATGGAGCTGGCAGCCAAAGCTGGTTTTCCCAAGGGTGTGATCAATGTGGTCCATGGGGCTCACGACACAGTGAACCATCTGCTCGATACCCCAGTCATCAAGGCCATTAGCTTTGTCGGGAGCAATGCAGCGGGAGAATATATTTACGAAAGAGGCTCTGCTAATGGCAAACGGGTGCAAGCAAACCTCGGGGCAAAGAACCATGCCGTTGTCTTGCCTGATGCTGATAAGGATTCGACCCTGGAGGCTATTTCCGCCGCAGCATTTGGTGCAGCCGGCCAGCGATGCATGGCTTTGTCTGCTGTTATCTTTGTCGGCGAAACAAAATCCTGGATCTCAGACTTGGTTAAACAAGCAAAGTCTCTTCGTGTGGATGGCGGCTTTGAAGACAAGGCAGACCTTGGCCCTGTCGTGACCCCCCAAAGTAAAACCAGAATCCAAGACTTGATCACTAGTGCTGAAAGCGAGGGGTCCGACATTCTTCTCGATGGACGTAACTTCAAACACCCAAAATACCCTAGGGGGAACTGGGTCGCTCCAACAATTATCAGCAATGTCACTCCTTCAATGCGGTGCTACAAGGAAGAAATCTTCGGCCCGGTTCTCGTTTGCCTTCACGTGGACACGCTCGATAGCGCAATTGAATTGATCAATGCGAACCCCTACGGAAATGGCACAGCAATCTTTACATCTTCGGGGATTTCCGCGGAGAGGTTCCGCAAGAATATCGAGGCTGGCCAGGTGGGAGTCAATGTTCCGATTCCCGTACCACTTCCGATGTTCTCGTTCACTGGCAACAAGAAGAGCGTTGCCGGAGGTGGTGCCAATACTTTCTATGGCCGGCCTGGTGTCAATTTCTATACCCAGCTGAAGACAGTCACCTCGAAGTGGGCTGGTCGGGATGACGTGTCGAAAATGACACTGTCAATGCCTACTGATACTTAATTTACCTGCAGAACATCAGAATTGATATGTGATATTGCATATTTTACAGCATAAATTTGATTAGCCTTTTGACACGGAAAGTTTTATTACTTGATAGAGAGTTACTCCAGTGTCGATTAAAATCACGATATAATATTGAAATAGGCACTCATTGACCCGAGTTCTATTAGAGATCTAACAGCTACCCGGAAGACTGGAGGAAGACGAGGAAGACGAGACCACAACATCTTCTAGTAGTATACTCCTAGAATAAGGTACCGTCCCCTTGAATCACGATAGGGCTGGACTTGGTTTGAGGACGGTACTTCGCAGCCAACTCCCGGCCACCTTTCCAAGTCCCGGCTTCCAGCATCTGGGCCATGCTCAGACAAATTCCTTGCTGTGTGAACTGAGCGGAGATAATTTCATGGAGCTTATCGAGCAATGCAACAGTCATTGCGCGCCATTCCACGATCACATCGCTGGTCGCATTGAAGCTCGGGGTCTCCTGCTGAGAGTTCTGCTGTCCTTGCTTTAAAACCTGGTCTTTGAGTAGGAGGACACCCAGATCCACGAACAGGCCACCATTTCGGTATTCGGGCAGCCCTGTTCCTCGGTCGATCTTTTCCCACTGGAGTTTCAGAACACGGATGAAGGGCACCGACAGCGAGTATGCAAGCCATTGGGTCAACTTGTGGAAAGGCTGGATGGAAAGAGTGTCGTTTTCGCTTTTTTGGCCCTCGCTTTGCCGTTTCAGTGTTTCTAGAGGCCAGGCATCTCCAATCGGGACACCTGCGACGTGTGTTCTGTTTTTGGGCCACGCAGGCAGGAGGACTTGCTGTAGCACAGACCACAAGACCTCGTAGTCGAGGTCTTCCTTTCCGATTCTCTGGGCTAGCAGGTAGTCTAGAATCCAAGGTCAACCACTGACTTTGAGCTTTAGAACGAAAGAGCTGATGTACCAACGAGATTTCCAGGTCGCCCACTTTCGCCGAAAATATCGGGCAGACTCAAAAGGGACGACCCCACACTGTTCAACAGATCGACGCGAGAGCTGTCACTGATGATTTCGTTATCCGGCGTGATTTGGAAGTGTTTCCTGAACGTCTCAATCTGAAGGGAAGCGAGGCCGTGGCCTGTAACTTGTTAGCCCTATATAAATTGCTCATCGTTGTATTGAGCTGCTTACCGTCAACGGCCTCATTCCTACCACTTGTCCCAGACCCGGCAAGTGTACCCGCTTTGAACATGTACAAAGCAGCTACTGCAATACCTTCACTGCGCCCGTAGACATTGCCTGTCCCCGGCTCGGTAAAGGTCCACACGTCGCCCGCTCCCGCGTCGAGAAGTACGGCCACAAAGAACAGGTCGATGAGACGCCGAGTGATTTCGAGATCATCGTATTGCGCAGCCTGCCAGCCCTTGATGAGCTGATCCACTCGTGGGATGCCACCGATGTCAAAGTGCTGCCACCGGCCGTGAGGAGGGATCTTATCGAAATTGGAAGGACCGAAGTCTCGCTAGATGCGATGCTGGCTTTAGTCGTCACGTACTTTCCCTCGCTGGACTTTCTTGGTGCGCACCTTGATGATGCCCGCCACATAGTCTGCAACCTCGGGCATTTTCTCGCCGTGATAGGTAAAGTGCGTCAGCTCATCTCTTTCGGCTGCCTTGAGCACGATATGAGCACGTTCTCGAACGGCTCGTAGTCCCTTGAGATACTCAATGTCTGCCATTTGGACCCCTCGCTTGAGCTTGCTTCCCGTCACTGCAAGACCTCGAACTCTCCAGATAAAGAATATCAACTTTTAACACAGGAAGAAATGTTGAATGTAAATCCAAGTGTGTAATTCAGCTCGGCGTCGTGGCGGGTGGGTTGTTGATGAGTTCCGGCCGCGGCCGAGTGGAGATGGCCAGCCCCGCACGCAAGCGGGGAACTGCCAGCGTTGTACTACTACAACATTGTTGTAGTAGCGCTGCGTCTGCGTTGACACAGTGCATATGATCCTAAGGTAAAGAGCAAAGTACCAGATACTTTATGTAACAGAAACTACACGCGAGGCCGAACCAAACAGTACGGAGAGCGAGGCTCTCTTATCTGCAATGTCAGCCTTATCTTCGGTAGCTACTAATAGTTTGAAGTTAGACTAAATTGGCCAGAAGCAGTTTAATTCCCTGAGCTATGCCAGCGGGCTATTCAACAAAACATCCACAAAGATAAGATATCGTTGGAGTGCGATAACCTATAGTTAACTAGGAGCGCAATGTGGTACCTTACTAAGCCGGCCATACATCGAAGCATGTGCAGCACTATCCAACGTGCATCTCCCCATCTCAATCACCCTCTCAACCCCTCTCGAGGACAGCGCCAGAGTCCAATTTTGAGACCTTGGCATTCAGATTGCGCCAACGCAAAGTACGACATAGATCGCTACTTGACCCTCGCCTACATAGCCGCGGACGGGGAGAGCTCTTGACAGGCCGAGCTAGCCGCCAGGTGGTTTATTGACGTATTATTTCACCACACTCACGCCAAACAGCCAGCATGTCAGGACCATACTACCCATGGGTCGATGGGAAGGAGCTTGGGCCTACTGGTGGGAGAGAGCCGTAAGATATTGATGCTCCACTGACATTGATAGAGAACGCAGCGCTGACCAACACCGAAGGCTCTTGATCGAGGATCCATCGACAGGAGAACTCATTGCCGAGTAAGTTGGCTGCTGCTCCAACAAAGACGGTGTCTGATGCGGCGGTAGATGCCATGTTCCCTCTGAAGATGATCTCGACACGGCCGTTCGTGTAGCGCATGCGGCGTTTCAATCGAGAGTCTGGTCGCGTATGGAGTGCTCGCAGCGCGCGGATGTGCTCGACAAATGTGCCCTCTTGCTTACAGACGCACTCCCAGAATTAATCAACCTCGAGTCGAGACAAACTGGCCGAGTCATCCGCGAGATGAAAACGCAACTGCCGTCCCTCGTGCGATGGTTCAAATACTACGCCGCCCTTCTCCGCGTTGACGAGCAATCGGTCCTCCCAACAACCGGAAAGCTGCACAATTTCACATCTCGAGTCCCACTAGGGGTCGTGGTGCTGATCACCTCCTTCAATCACCCCCTCTTGATCGCCACCAAGAAACTAGCGCCCGCTCTGGCAGCGGGGAATAGCGTCATTCTGAAGCCGAGCGAGCTGACCCCATTGACATCCATCTTACTGGGCAAGATCCTCCACCGGGCAGGTGTGCCGGCTGGCGTCTTCAACGTTCTACCAGGCACTGGTAGCAGTGTGGGACCAGCGTTGGTGTCACATCCCCTTGTACGCAAAGTCGATGTCACTGGGGGAACTGAAATGGGGAGAGCTATCGGAGCGATTGCCGGGGGCAAGCTCTGTCCATTTACAGCGGAACTGGGAGGCAAAGCACCACTTCTGGTTTTTGCGGACGCCAATGTCCAAGCAGCAGTGAATGGAATCGCGTTCGGAAGTTACATCGCCAGTGGACAAACCTGTGTGGCCAGTACAAGAATCATTGTCGACAACACAATCATGGACAATCTGTTGCAAGCCTTGAAGACCAAGGTCGACGGAATAACTGCCCGCATGGGGGCACCCATCCACCCGCAGTCCATGATGGGACCACTCATTTCTCGGAAACAGCTAGCCAAAGTGGATCGCTATGTTGCCGAAGCTCTTGAAAACTTTGCGGTGAGACCTCTCGTTGGGGGAAAGCGGCTGCAAGGAAGGTCTGCCCTCGATGGCTTTGATTTTTCAAGAGGATACTTTTACGAGCCCACTGTTCTTGTTTCGAGAGACGGACAGATTACGAACATGCCCATCTGGCGACGCGAATTATTTGGCCCGGTGATTGTGGTGGTTGGGTTTGACACCGAAGACGAGGCACTTGCTCTGGCCAACGATACAGAATTCGGTCTTGGGGCAGGAATTTGGACAACCGACCTCGCTCGTGCTTTCCGTGTGTCCGAGAAGATCGAGGCGGGAATTGTCTGGGTCAATACCCACCATCGAAACGATCCCAGCAGCCCTTGGGGTGGTGCAAAACCCGCGAGCGGGGTTGGAAGCGAGAATGGCATCGATGCATACCATGCATACACCACGACAAAAAGCACCGTCGTCAACTTCGCTCCTTACCAAGAATCATTGGACATGGATGATTGGTTCGGTGAAGCTTCTCAGAATGTCCGATATGGCTAAACCATCGGTCATTGTCGAGCGTTGGAGGTTAAGGACTCCTATCCTCTGTCTAATGATTTTGACACACGCTTTGGTTTCTCTAAATGCCTGCTCCCCCTGAGGATCTGAGCATGTTATATTTTACCATGTTCTCATGTTTTTACTGGGGACTCTTCCGATTGAGAAATTTAATGAATAATGGCTAACAAACAATCCCCAAATTCTATGAGATGTCTAGTCTAGTGACTCGCAATAAAATCTCTTTTTTGAAGTGTTGCTCCCAGGCTAATCGTCAAATATCAACGCACCCTTTCTGGCGCATGTCAGAATTAAAACCCATTTTTAACCGCAGACCATTCTACATCACCATGTCACACGCGACCGAGTCGGACTCGCAGAGTGCTACCTAGTAGCAAGTGTAACCACCATCAATGATGCAGTTGGCGCCGGTCATGAACTTGGACGAATCCGAGGCGAGGAAGACACAGAGACCATTGAGCTCATCAACATCCCCAAGTCGGTTCTGAGGCGTCAATGACTTCCAAATCTTCTTTTGGGCGTCGAGAGCGGGGACACGATTCAGCGCAGTGTCCATATAGCCAGGCGAAATGCAATTGACTCGAATCTGATTCTTAGCCCATTCGGCCGCTAGCGACTTTCCAAGCTGGATCACGCCGGCCTTGGATGCATTGTAGCAACTTTGTTCTTGTGGATAGTTGACCACAGATCCAGACATCGAAGCGACCAGAACAATACTGCCGGGCTTTTCAGCGGCCATCATCGCGCGCCCAACGGCCTGGGACATCAGGAAGGATCCGGTCAGGTTGATGTCAATCAGGCGTCGAAACATTTGAACGTCGTACGTCTCTGCTTTGATGTTGGAATCGGCAATCCCGGCCGCATTCACAAGAACATCAGGGGCACCATATCGCTCCACACAGGCATCGACGGCAGCATTGATCGCGGCGGCGTCACGAACATCAACTTTGAAGAAGGAAATTGGCAAGCCGGTTTTATCATGGAGCTCTGCCGCCGCTTCGTCTCCAAGTTCTTGGTTGGCATCAAATATGATGATGTTCTTCGCGCCAGCCTCCGCACACGCCCGAGTCATGGAGTTTCCGAGTCCTCGAGCACCGCCAGTAATTATGATTGTTTTCCCGTACACGCTCATACTGCGCATTGTATGTGGCATCTGGTCGTATAGCTTCCGTGTCAAGGGGTGGACAGCATCATAGTGTGGTGAGGAAGCCGATTCATTGCGGAGGCGCGAGGCTTGATCGATGTTGACTGTTCCTTTGTCTGCAGTACCCTCACCAGCAGAAAAAACAGTGACCGGAATCTGGTTATCTTCGATTGCATTTTGCGAAATCGCAGATCGGTGGAAACGAGAGCATTGTGTAGCGGTTGTGTTTGCTAAGGCCGAACGAGGGATCACAGATGACCTCACCACGCGTGATCCGAGGATACGACTCGAGGAGAACATCTTGGCGCAGACCGCAGAAATAAAAAGACACGAGAGAAATGCGGCAATTGAAGATTGATATAATTCTCAACGTCTGGCCCGTAAGAATGCTGCTGGACTTTCCTTTTGCTGGTGGCGATGAATTGGGAGAGAGACGGATGTAAATTGGTTTTATTTTTCTTAAAAAAAAATAAAAAAAAACCAACGCAAGGAGGCTGGCTGAATGGAGGACCACTCCCTCGATTTATACCTGATATGAAGGCGTCGCTCACATGAGCGGTCGGCTCGATCAAGAATCACAATCCAGGAATATTAAATCATGTTTGCTTTATTCCAGCGGTGTGAGGATACGATCCGACATGTCTATCTGCTCGCTACCGGCGGCTCATCATGCTAATGGCTGGCGGATCAGTTGTGGGGATAGTCTCTCATCCATACATCGAATAGAATGAGGTCAACATAGTCGCTATTTTCCAGGGGCTGTTTTCAAGGAGTCACGCGATTCAAAATAGAAACATTGAGGCTCGTTCCTGAAATCTCCCCCTGGAAGCGTTCTAGAGCTATTGGCTTTGTGGCGTGGGGTACTCCTTTTAATCGGTGGCAGATGATCAGGTGGACAGTTTGTGCAACAGCCCTAGATGCACAGGGAGTAAGTCTCACAATCCCCACTACCCCGGAGTTGACATAGCTGAATATTTAGTAGTGGTTGAATCAGGCCATGGAATGAATTGTGGACCCTCGGGCTGGAATTTCCTGCGGTGGAAACAAGTGGAGAATGCAACTCGGCCTGCGATTGCCCCTTTTTCACCCTTGAGGCGTGCCCGCATGACTCTCCAAATCGTCGGTGAGAACCGAAGCCCTGCAAAGAATGTGACCAGCTACGATGAGCTACGTACCCAGTCGCAAAAGGGGCTATGAAAGCGACGGCAAACGCGGAACGCGGAATATTGTTACCTATCTTCGCATTTAGAATAATCGGTAGTGTGGTGGCTTGTTTCGGCTACGCGTCAAACGAATCGGCTTTGCGATCTAGATTACGGTACTACCCGACTGCAACAACAGTTTAAGCTTCGAGTGTGATGATCAGCCTTGTCGTTTTCTGTATCTTAATCGATAAATGCTTCAGATGATTATTGTATTCGAACATTCGAGATTTCCACGGTCCAGCAAAGTGCTTGCTGCGATTTCTGCATGTTTTGTCACTCGGTGTGCTCGCGCTGGGTAGATTATTACTTGTCTACCAAGCATATTGAATCATAGACGACTATCAGATACTTCTGAAAGTCGAAGAAAATTTTATCAGAAACACTCCTGGGTCTTCTCAGGGCTAGAATCCGCCAAGCGTTGCACTTTGGGCTGGTAATGTTTCAAAAGGTTCACATCCGCCATCGCCCCCTTGTAGAGAGCGGAACAGTTCGTAGGAAAGAAAGAAATTTCGAACCACTGTGACAACGATCCTGAGTCATTTTACTCACACCGTCAAATCTGAGACTCCGCCGTGGAATGTCCTTTTTTTGTCAGATTTTCAATTCAAATATGCCTGGGGTCCCCGTCATGCTGCATCGAAAATTTTGATACAAATCGAATCCGTAAGGAGCCTCGACGGCGGTTCAGAACCAAAACAACATCGAGTTTTCCATCCACACACTAAGAAAAGCAAAATTTAATTGAATACTGAAGACCCCTTTACTTTTCACGATAGAAGTGGGATAATGGGTCGCTGCGACTGCCCATGTAAAATACCAAGCATCTCCGGTTAGTCACGTGACATCTCCTGGATGCTTGAGTCCAAAGATTGCCCAGGGGATCCTTGTTTCATGATTACCTCAAAGATGAGGGTGAATGATCACATCGCATGTAAAAATTCTTTTTTGAATCTATTCGATTTTGAATATCGATCTGGTACACCAGTGTGAAATCGCGTGACCGCGGGCCTTTATGAACGTCTCCAGTGCGCGACCGAGAATATCGCCAACCACAAAAGCAGCAAAAGTAGCAGCGAAGAGGACTGATTCTGAATCCCAAAGGCTCCCGATGTCTCCACCCGCTTACTTGTCAGTCCAGGCATATAGTGATCTTCGCCATAGGTCGAGTTTAGCGTAACTGCAGCCGAGACTGATCCATCTTCCAGCCGGATCCATGTGTAGATCTCCTTGTCTAAGGATTCTTGATTAAACAGTATTTGTCGTGCACCCCGTGATGCATTTCCATAGCCTCCGTATCCGGTATGGCGTCCATAGCACATGTTGAGGCCATTACCGGTTAAGTTTTGATCTTCGATATGGTTGTTCCATTTAAAGCACCTGTGTGGATTAGCGAGCGCGTGGGTAGATACTGAGCGCCAGGGAAAGTTACCAGTCATTATCGTGATCATGGCCACTGAACGTGGCTATCAGTCCCGTGGTATTGAGGAGGGATTGCATGAATGGACTGTCCTGGCCGGCGTAATCAGTGTCCCCTGAACCTTGTGAGACAACAGTTTCGCCATTGATTCCCGGCGTTGTGCTCTCGTTCACCCCTTCTTTTTGGTATGCGCGCATGGCGTGGACCGGGATATGATAAAATGCGAGAGACGGAATCGTGCGTCCAAAATGGCGCGTCAAATGAGAATTGGTCTCGATAAACCACCGGGTGACCTGTTCTTGAATTAGCCAGAATGTTTTCCATGCGAGCAGGGTAGAAATGTACCGATTTATCGACCCAGTCCCCCCGTGCACCCGTAGTGGTATTCGCATCGCAGTTGGAAAGACTTTTACCACCACGAGAGTCGAAAAACCAAAGCAAAAGCGCAGGCGGGCCACTTGACTCATCATAAGGATAAACCATTAGATAGTAGTTCGTCACTCCTGCTCCTGGTCCCGAGATATCACTCTTTGTCAAGCATGTCGGGTATTGGGTTTCATGCTTGAAGATATCCTTGTACGGATCCAAATTGGCATCACTGTCATGATTGCCATATGTTGACGCCCACGGCTGCTCGACTTCGACCAAAGGCGATACCAAATTGTGAAGATGGTCGCTGGAATTGGAGCTGTGCACAGCTTCACCAGATATCAAATCTCCATTGAGAACGACGAGTTGAACAACCTCTTCGGACAGAACCGATTTCATCACCTCTTTTGTCTTGTCATCGTCATCGTCATCTGCGACATGATTAGACCGATGCATCGCATCATGGCAAGGGAATCAGAATTATTACCTTCAGCAAAGTGCAAATCTTCGAAAACGGCGATTTGAAAAGTACCATCCTTTGACAGTCGGAGTATGCGATCATCCGATTGGCTTGATGATCTCGATCTGGCGGTCCGTTGGGATAACGCCCTGGCTCTCATGATAGTTCAGTTAGTCGTAGATGTAGGTACTTTATACATGGGGGCGCCACTGTCCTTTGTACCCTCGAGGGACGAAGTTGTCCCACGTGCAGCCACAGACATATAATGCATGTCTTGCCAGTCACCCACGTCATGGAAGCTAGGCGCCTAGCTCTTCCAAGTTGCATTTTACTATGCAAAGTGGGCTGGAAGGCCGGAAACAGGTCGACCGAAAGCGCCAAGACTGCGCCGCCAAGCCCCATCGGTCATCGACTTTGGAGATAGCGGAGATAACATAACACCCGCCGGTCAGCGAGCCAGCAGCAGACCGAAATGTGTGGCTTGCTTTGAAATGAACCCATCGTGGATCATCTGTTTCATTGGACTCCGTTTGATGGCGATCCATCAGACCCGCGAGGGATTGACGAAGGGCGAGGGCGAGATTTGGTGGGCAGCTGGCATTACTTCGGGACCCCGCGCCGGCGCTGGGCCCGATCTCTGAGGGCGACGAATCGGTACCCGACCTTGGCAGATCTTCGGAGCTATCGCTGTTGCCTCGCCGAGTTGCGACATCTCAAATTTGAAGCAAAAGCTGCATTCGATATCCGCGGCCGCGATGGGCGGGAGAAAGAAACTCCGCCGTCGAGATACGGCAAGGGTATGTCACATGACCTTTAAGCCTGAGGCGTCAACGGTTTCTTATTGAGTAGTTATTGCTACAAACAAAGAGCCTCAGGTTGGTTCTGGATGACGTAAGGGGAATAAGAATGAGCATATGAGATAAAGAGCAATTTGATTGATTAGACGTGGTGCGGATCACAGTACCTTCAGAAACCACTGCCCGGGGGAAAACTCGAAGTGTAACGGTGCACCAATGCGGACCTAAGACAACTCTACACTAGTATATGCGATTCCGCTCAAGAATTAGAATTTTTAAATGTTGCCACTCGTGCAGATATGCGAGGCTTGTGTCACCTGAGTAGCAACTGCGCGAAATATTAATATCCGCTTCGAACCCCCTGCAGCGCGATGACCTTCCACGACTCGAAATCTCCTTTCATACTGAATTGACCTAATCAGCCGTTGAAGGCAGACACAGGTATTATCCAATGGAAAACGCCCTAGCATGCAAGTCGCCGTATGGCCCTCCCCCTCACGAGACAACCCCTCGGTTCATATCCGTGGATGCATACATCAAAACCCATCTTCATTGTTCCGAGAAAGGATACTACGATGTGCTGGAGAATATTAATCATGATTCTCTAGCTGCAGGTGCGCCGGATATTGCCTGCTCGGCGACACAAGCCAAGTTCTTGATGCTCCTGGCTCGCGCGTGCAATGCAAAGAATATTCTGGAAGTTGGAACTATGGGCGGATACAGCGCTGCGTGGATGTCTACCGCGGACCCAGAGGTCAAAGTGACGACTATTGAGCGCAGACCGGAATTTGTGGAACTCGCAGCTAAAAACCTTGCAAAGGCAGGCTTGTCGTCGCGAGTTGAGATTTTGACGGGCCTAGCACTTGAAGTCATGCCGGCTCTGTTGACTGAGATGCGTCGAAAAGAACGGGCGCCGTTTGATTTCGTCTTTATCGATGCGAATAAGGAGGACGGCCTCGAGTATTTCACTCTCGCCGTGGAAATGGCCCGTCCCCGAGCAATTATCATTGTCGATAACGTGATCTGGAATGGGAAAATTGCTTCCGCTGATGAGGCCGAGAAGGATGCTCGCGTTAAGGGAATCCGCAAGCTCATCGAGGGTACTGGGGTGAACGACTTGGTAGACGCCACAGCAATCCAAACCGTAGGAGAAAAGAATTACGACGGGTTTCTGTTTGCTGTGAAGAATTGACGCCTGTTATATTTGCCAATTCAATATTAACTTTCTGGGCTACAAGCATATTAATGCCTGAGGCAGCAAGTCTTCCGTCTGTGTAGTTATTTAACTAGTGTAGTGGGGAGACACCCTCCCCCTACTACATGGGTGCCATCCAGACTATGTGACATAGCCGGCAGTACCGTGGCCGGATAGCTAGTTCTAGAATACACCTTCTTACACCTCCCCGACCTGACCCCTACATTTGGGTTTCTTGCTATTTCCTGATTGCTACGCGTGTGTTTTGTGGTGGTTTTTCTGCTGAATCGACCCGCACGTCTCAGCGCGTGCTGCCATCGAGCGTCCCCTCTTCACTAGTTAACTAGTTGGTTCGACGTTTCTCCGCTTCCCTCTTCTCTCCCTCATGCATCGATCATCGCCAGTCTCGGGCTGCTTCGAGCCCAAGCCACAAGATATTCCTTTGGTTCCAGAATACAAATCTAACAGGGGGATTCTCTACCCGGATGTCGCCATCGGCGCCATGCAATGCCGAGGGTGAGATATCTTGGCAACACACAACCTCCGCTCTATCACAAAGCGAAACGCAACAGAATTGAGCATTCGAAGCTCCGAGACATGCTAGGACGTCTTTCATGACATAGCTATCTCCAATGCCAGCTGAAAGAGCCAAGCTGTGTTGGATCTCGACCGTATCACACGCCTTGCCAAGTCTTCCAGGACAGAAAGGGACATCGCGCCGGTGAGGTCCTTCCAAGGCTCTTGGCCCGCCTCGCTATCACCTCTCAGCTCAATAATCAGGGAGTTGATTTGAGGAACCCTCTTCTGGGCACTTGGCATGGACTCATCTTGACAGAGGACGTGGCGTGAGCTCTGGGATGAGGAGGCCGACAAGCCCTTGGCCGTGGCAAAGATCCGGATTCATTTATAAGAGCGGCTCTCCCTTTCGCAGGGCTGACGTGTTTGCTAACTTGGCCTTGTTTCCAGACAAGAATTAGTGTGGTGCAAGCCGCATAATTGTTTTACCCCGAAACTCCCAGAGCTCCGCCGCTCGATCGATCGCATTATGGTACTTGACCGTCATGCGAGGAGGATCGTGGCATGGATCTCTTCTCTTAAGAATACGTCTTTTGGGAATATTGTTGCAATCCTCATCCAGTATCTAAAGAAGGTCGTGGGCTGGATCGCTCCGCAACCACAAAAGTCAGAGGACGGACGTGATCAATGGCCTTCCCGAGCAGCCTTCCTGCTGGCTGCCATGGGAGGATGTGCTGGTCAAGGAAATCTACTGCGATATCCGTCGGTGGTCTATAGTAATTATGGACTGCAGTGGTTTATTCCATATCTTTTGGCTGTGTTCCTTGTTGCCATCCCGGCCCTCATTCTTGAGATTTCAATCGGGCAAGCATATCGCGGCGGAACGGTGATCGCGTTCAACAATATTAACAAACGTTTGAAGGGTGTTGGGCTGGGTCCCGTTATTGTCAGCTTCGTTGTCGTGCAGTACTTCACAGTGAATCTGGCATGGATCATGAACTACTTTCGCAACTCATTCCGAAGCCCCCTGCCGTGAGAAGGAAGAATCGAGGACTTCTACATGGGTGATGTCGTGGCTAATGTGGATCCGATCGCGGGAAACCTCACTGCAAACAATGATGCTGTTGAAAACTATACGCAGTATCCTGGTGTTGCGTTGATCGGAGAGACAGTCGGCTGGAGTGCCTTTCTCTGGTTCCTCATTTGGATTTCCATCTTTCGCGGTGTAGGCCTCACAGGCCGTGTAGTCTACTGGACTATGGGCCTCCCGATTGTCACCACCATCATCATCGTCGCCCGATCCTGCTCGCTGGAAAATGCCCGCGAGGGAGTCCGGCTGCTCTGGGCGACATGGCGAAGTGATCAACTTGCCTCGGGGACTGTCTGGCAAACTGCTGTCGGGCAGGTCTTTTTCTCAACTGGCATTGGCTTCGGTTATTTTACATCATACGCATCCTACAACTCCAAACATTCCAATGCCGTCATGGATGCAGTTCTGATCTGCGGGAGCAATGTTTTGTTCGAAAATTTCGCGGCCTTCGCTGTCTTCGGCGTTGTTGGCTACCTCCGACGGTGGCCGCAAGATGGTGAAAGGTTGGGTGCCTTCGTGGTTGGCTTCCTGACACTCCCTGAGGCCGTGCTCCACATGCCGGGTGCGAATTGGTGGGCAGTGCTGCTGTTCTTTACCCTGGTGGTTCTCGGATTCAGCTCAGCCTTCGTGATGCTGGATGCAGTTGCCACGTTGGTCGTAGATGCCGGCGTGAAATTGTCGCGGCCGGTGATTGTAACGGGCCTCACGATCATATCGTTTCTGATGTGTCTCCCGTACTGTACCGAATTTGGCTTTTACCTGCTGGACGGGATTGACCGATGGACCAACAATGTTGCATTGATTTTCGTGGTCTGGTCTGAACTTGTCAGCTCAACAACAGCTTATCGATGGCATGATGTTGTTAGCCAAACCGGGCTGCCGGCCTTTGTCGTATACAACGTCGGATATTTAGGAGGTCAAATCGTGGGAGTCACAGTCGCGCACAGCGTTTCAAGCCCTACCATCGGCGCTGGTGCAGGGTTTGGAACGTATATTCTGTGCACGGCAGCCTCTGTCCTTGTTGCCACAACGCCGAGTATCAAACCAGTCCACGTCTGGGGACGCGCTTCGATTTTGAGTAGATTTTGGTACCTGGCCCTATATTCCGTACGTTCCACAGAAGACAATCTACATTTCCAGATAACTGAAAACAAGGTACAGGGTAATCAACTCAGGCGCGACCTTAATGGGGTGATTGGCGGCAACGGAAATTGGAACATTCCTAGTTTCTGGCCCATTTTGCTTCGATATGTCAGTGCGCCTGTTCTGGCCATTGTTTTCAGTTTCGCATACCCCGAATTCTATTCGTTGCGATATGACCCAATGATGATTGCAGGTTTTACCCTGGCTCACATTGGTCTACTTACCATTCTGCTTGCCGTGGTGCTACCTAGATACTACGCTGTCTTGATTCCATCCCACCGGAGAGCCGAAGGCACAGAAGTAACGGTTGCCAATCAAACTTTGCATCAAGGCATTTCGACAGGCCCCGGAGCTGTCGAGCTTGAGTCTGGGATACCCGAGCCAATCGCGGCGAAGAGAAGATCGAAAAAGGTCAATACCAACAATACGACGACGTTTCCCAAGTTTTAGAGTGAAAGGAGGGAGATTTGTGTTCAATGAAACAAATGCTAGCACATCCCACTCGAAGATGGAACTCCAAATATATCTGCTCGTCAAAGTAACTGCCTACGTGTACCGAGCCACAAGCCCTCCGCCTCGACAAGAGGATTGAATATGACACATTCTGTCAACATCCTTTTCCCTATGGAAAATCAAACTACAAGTCACTTCAAAGGATTGTGTAACATCCGAATTTAATGCTCATTTCCGTAATTCCGTGCAGATCCACAATGATCGCCAAGGCCTTACCGGATTCGGGATTATCCCCTTGGCTTCACAAATCAATTGATGCGTACTGTGATGATATGAAGCGAAGCAGACAATCCAATACATTCGATCCGACGCCGGGCAGAGCCTTCCTTAATAATAATGCCTACTTGTATTGCTTGGTGTTAGTACCAACTGACCATTCTTCAAGTCTACTTTACTCCTGGAAGATACTGCTTTGCGAAGACCCCACCCTGCCACGACTCGGTGAACCCATACCATGATGTAGGTCTCGGTGCCGTTTTAACCGGGACCCACTATTCTTCGCTCTTACTACTTGGGAGGGGATCCTCCTCCGACGTGGTCCCTTGTTGACAGTACATAAACCATCGACGATTCCGCCTCTTGCAATATGACACCACACAGCGAACCCCGGACAAACAATGGGTACAAGAACGAGAAAGGTTGCCTTCGTCACCGGTGCCAATGGCATCAGCGGTTTTAATATCATCGAGCATTTAGTTCGCCAGCCTAAGGAGGAATGGTATGAATCCCGACCACATTCCTATTCCATATCTCATGATTCCCAGGAGCAAAATCATCGTGACATCTAGACGCCCGCTTACTAGTGCCTGGATTGATCCTCGAGTCAAGTTTGTGCTAGTAGACTTCCTCGAGCCGGTGGAGAAGATCACTGCTACGATTAAGGATATTTGCAGCGACGTCACACACGCCTTCTTCACATCCTATGTTCACAGCGATGATTTCCAAGCATTGAAGGATAAAAACGTGCCGTTGTTTCGCAACTTTCTTGATTCCATAGATACTACATGTCCTGGATTGCAGCGAGTTTGCCTGCAGACTGGTGGGAAGGTGAGTGTGACTGCACCCTCACACAGTGTTATTCAACCATACTAATGTAGCAGTATTATGGTGTCCATCTCGGTCCAGTCAAGGTTCCTTTGGAGGAATCTTTTCCCCGCTACGATGATCATGGTTTCAACTTCTACTACGACCAGGAAGATTACCTCCGTGAGGCCCAAGCTCGTCGCAAGTCCTGGTCTTGGAATGTGATCCGTCCGAATGCGATCAACGGATACGCGCCTCATGGTGAGTTCTCTTTTTCAATTCATTTGAGAAAGTTATTGACATATAGATCCAGCCAATGGAATGTCTGAGGTTTTGACGATCGCGATTTATATGCTGATCTGCCGCGAACTGGGACAGCCAGCAGATTTCCCTGGCAATGAATATTTCTGGAACTCGATAGATGACAATTCCTATGCCCCAAGCCTTGCAGACCTGTCTGTTTGGAGTGCTTCCATGGAACACTGCAAGGATGAAGCATTCAATCATGTCAATGGAGATGTTTTCGTGTGGAAGTTCATCTGGCAGGAATTTGCTTCCTATCTTGGTGTCGAAGCCCCCGAACCCAAGTTCGAGAAGGCTGCGGGCCAGGCTGATACCCTGGCAAATGAGATTGATATGATCAAATGGGCCTCTGACAAGCGTGAGATCTGGGAACGCGTTATCAGCAAGTATGGTGGCAGGGCTGATGCCTTTGACTGGGGTACTTGGGGATTTTTCAATTGGGCCACTGGTAAGTCGTGGCTGACTATCTCGTCTATCAACAAGGCGAGAGAGTTTGGCTGGTATCGCAATCATAAAACATTGGATACCTGGATCGAGACATATCGGTCGTTTGAGAACGCGGGAGTCATGCCCTCGCTTGATCTGCTAGGGAAGAATGCCTAGGAAAGAGCTTTGCTATTGGATGACAGTTGAACATGATTCGGCGGAGGCATGAAAGGGGCTGAACTCCGCAAGATGGAAGTCAGGCTTGAAATATGAAATTGAAAAATCTCCTACGTAGCACTTGTGAAGGGTTCAAAATGAAAAATTTCCATTTCTGGTTTCTTGCCACAAACTGTTGTAACCAGTTCCCAATCCCACTTGCTAGCGTCGTGGTCGCTCCGACATCTCCAGGCATCTACAAGGCTGTGTTAGCAGAGACACGTTGGATCATAAGTCGCTTCGCAAATAATTCTAGCCAAGCTTGCATTCTCTGCCTCCACAGTCTGTACCTGTGTATTGATGTCATGATTTAATCACTCCTACCATGAGCCTCTGGACGGTTCGTCTGTGACGAGCATCTGTCAACTTTTTCACCTTCTAAATTACTTGCACTATAAGAAAGTCGGCTAGCCGCAGCTTCTCCGATTAGTGTTAGCACTGACAAAAGAGAAGCCACACTGCTGCCATGTAGTAATTTTGGCATGCCAGAGGAGTTTTCAGTGGAACTTCAAACCGCTCGTTTAACGACGCGCTTTGTCTCAAATTTTCATCGTGAGGCCTTAATTCACGTTCTCCTCGATGGCTGCCTGCAGTTCAGGGCCTAAGAACCGTGATGACTGATGAGAGACAAGATCGACAAATAAAAAGTTTGGCCGTCCTTTGACTGCCAACACGGACTGCCCAGAATAGGGGCAGCCGTCAGCTTCCAAGCCCAAAATCAAGTTATTACCTGCTTCTTACGAGTTTACCGAGATGCCTATCCTGGTTACGTTGATTTCGGACATGGTTATGGAGTTGATCCACATCAATGTCAATATACCACTCCAACAAAATCAGCCTACTCGGTTTCATTCACGATCCCCACCGGCTATTTCCGTGCACAGCTACCTCCAACGATTGACAACACATGTTAATCTTTTACCTGCAATCCTGCTTAGCATGTGTACTACATGGACTTGCTCGGTGAAATGTATCCCGCATTTACGGTCACAAGTTTGACAATATACCAGTTTTTGATTATCAGTGCAACGGTCGCCAGCAATGGTTTGAGTGACGCGTTCTGGACGAACAAGACATATACTAGGATAGGCGGGATTAGTCCAACAGAACTGGCCTTGCTGGAACTCAATTTTCTGTTTCGATCAAAATGGCAGGTTGTTCCCAGGCCGGAAACGTTAGCTGATTATTATCATCATCTGGTTGAAGGATGCGAAGGCTTCGAGATCGAAAGTCACACTTTACAGGGCTAAGGTACCCCGCTGCTGTTGTGCGATTGATTCAAATACTGACGGGCCACGGAATTTTATTTGCGTGACATGGAACTGCGATATTTAGAAACGGACCAATATCTCAACTCGCTTTTCGTACCCCCGAACTTGCCTATTCTAATCTAGTTCATAAATTGGTATCGCCTTCTTCACATTCTCACCCCAGTCACGAATGTCCTCTGAAATCTCCGACTTGTCTGACTTGGTGACGCTTTATGCGCCGCCTGCGTTAGGATATTAGAGGAACTCCTCTAAATTATCTTTCAGGCTATCGTCCAAACTTGTGAACTCCTTGTCCCACATCCCTTTCAAGAGATCGTTTGCCCTTGCAGCAGGCATTATAGAACTCTCGTTCATTGTCAGACCAGGTATATCTTCGGAGAGCTGACGGCCTGGGAATAGTTTGCGGATAGATCGAACGAGGTCATTTCGGTTGAAAGGACCCGCAAAGGCAAGAATGCGTTCCCCTTCAACATCAGGAAGCAACAATGCAGCGACATGTAGCTGGGCGACGTCCTCCACATTGACGAATAAAACTTCATTCGTTAACTTCTAGTCTTCAAAATGCCGGCTGATACTTACAGGGTGGGAATGTATCAATGAAGGCCGCCATTTCTTCACGATAATCGTTGTAGATCGCAATTGGCACCCGTGAGGAGGATGGATGTCCCTGGTGTACTAAATCAAGGGGTCTTCCGAAGACAAATGATGGTATCACTCAGGTAGGCGTGAGAATTCGTTCTGAGGTAGTCCCTTAAGAAGCCAAAAACCTATCTGAGTTTGCCTTGAAAGGATGATTGGTGGTTATCCATTCCCACATTGTCTGTTCACTCTGCACTTTGCTGGCTGCATATATACCGGATAATGTCCGCCAACTCTTGGCGCTCCCCTTCCGTTCTAGTGCTCACCCTCTCGCCGCTTTTGCTCACTGAGTAGAATTGAGCGCGCCCCTGATCGGCCTGAGCTGATCTGGGGTATTTGTCGGGGCACCTCACTTTTTTTGGGTAACGGCACCTCAAAACGTTGTGTAATCTTTCAAGCTTATATAATCTTCTTCCACCCCAACACCAATTTAGTTCAGTTCTACTAGTTATATGAAGTAATTAAACGGCCCTATTTGGCAACAGGGCATGTTTTATATGAATGATCAACTTCCCCGCAATTTGAACACTTCCCTGATGCCTTCTTCTTTCTCATTAGCCCAATCACCTCATTTTTAGCGACCTGATTAGATCTCTGTATCGTTGCTGTGACGATGCGAGGGTCTAAGTTAATAGCGGTAAATAAGGCGTATCAGACGAATCAAGGCCAATCCGCCAGAATGGTGGATATCGCCTAATGGTATTGGTTGTTTTGATGCAAGAAAACTAGCTAGCCGGTGCTTGCATGGAAGGCCATAGTACTAGTAAAGTAATTAGTGCATATACCAATTGGGGCTTGGGGGGTAGCTTTATTAGCGTATGACCGCTGTATATCAATACATCGAAGCGAATACCGTGACGTTCGCTTATGTATATAGATATTGAAGAGGGGAACACTCGATGGCAGCACGCGCTGAGACGTGCGGGTCGATTCAGCGGAAAAACCACCACAAAACACACACGTAGCAATCAGGAACCAGCGAGAAGCCCAAATGTAGGGGTCAGGTCGGGGAGGTGCAAGAAGGTGTATTCTAGAACTAGCTATCCGGCCACTGTATACTGCCGGCTATGTCACATAGTCTGGATGGCACCCATGTAGTAGGGGGAGGGGGTCTCCCCACTACAATATATAGCCAATCAGATGCTAGATTTAGCTGTTGAATCTTATCTTGCTCAGTTATCAGATCAATATGATTATACTGCGTTTTTAAAGCAATAACTATTAATAGATTTCCAAATAGTGAGCAAATCACTAGAGGAGCTATTTATAAAACGCTTTATTATAGAGTGGGAAAAATGCCGAGAAAATAATCACTCATGTCAGAAAAAGGCCTTCATTACCATCACTTTAAGCTTGTGTAGGTACCCCACGGGTTATATCCGCCCCATTAGATGCCTCATATTTTAATATTCATACCCTCAAATTTTTATTCCCACGAAAAATATGACTAATTTTTATCAAGAGGGACGGCGGGTAAATGTACTCGAATGCCTTACCCTTAAACACTATTTAGACCGCACTTTTCTCGCATTAAGGAAATATCAGCACGCATGCATAATATTCTGAACGGAGATATGTTTAATCAACAAGAGCCGCGGGGGGGGGGAACTCTAGATACACTGACAAGCGAAAAAGAAAAATTTATGCCTCGTGCGAACGAGCCAAGAAAGATGGAAGTCGTCGTATCACATCATAGCAAGACTTGAAAATATTGGGAGGAAAGGAAATGTTTCACAGCCTCGGAAAATGTTTATTCACCAGAAGCTGCACCATCCGATCCAATGCTGACAAATGTTCTCCACGTTGGTGGCTTGAGCAAGGAGCTTGTCCACCTGGTCGCTGATATTCAGTTCGTCACTATGCCTGAATTCGGCACCGGTCAGTTTCTCCTTGACACGGGCGAGAACCTGGAGAGCACGAGCATTTTGTGCCTCGCGAGCCTCGGTTCCACCTTCCTGGATGTCAAGGATGCCGCCTTCTAAGATGGATGGTCGGCGGGGGCGAGACACGCTGTTTGATTGCATGCCATGCTCGAAATTGATGCCCTCGATAATTGACTGGCGACGTTCCGCGGTAAGAGTCGTTCGATCAGGGGACTCCTGCGCGCCCAGGCGCCAATTGATCAAGGGATCGTGGATAAACTAGAATAGTCAAGTTAGAAAATTATCATGAAGTCGATGTGCAAAAAGAGACAACGAAAGATGGAGGCAGAACGAGAGAGGAACAAGCAGAAGAGAAAAACTTACGGCTTCTAAAACAGCCATGAGGGAATCCTTGTTCTCCCTAAGAACACGCATCACAGCCTCACACGTGATGCGGTAGCTTCCCTCGATGTTACTAACTTCCATAGCGAAGGTCAACATACGTGTTAGGCGGAATGGGACACGTTCGGGGTATTTCTCGCGGTGCATGGCCACTTCGAAACAGTCGCCAAAATCGATGTGGACCACGTGACCAGTCGTGCGATCAAGTAGCAAGTTGGAAGGATGACGATCACCCAGGCCAAGGATGTATCCGACCATGGACATGACACCGAGGGATCGGGTGTAGTTGGTGCGTCGTTCAAGCCAGGCTTCGGAGCTCTTGCTCTTGAGCCACAGCACCCGATACAGATCTTTTCCGGTAGTGTTGTCCATAGCGTAACCAAAGACCTCAACCTTCTGCATAACGGTAAGGCTGTCATAATCCGGAGCCATCTGAAGCATGATCCGACGCTCAATGTTGAGCAGAATACGGCGGCTCTCTCGGTATTCCTTGATAAGAGCATGCAGTGTATCACTATTACACACCCATCCGAGCAGGCCAGAGCTCTGCGACAACGGGATAGCGGGGAAGCGCTGAACAGACAGATGGCGTTTGAAGCTTTCACTATCGTTGTCGAGAAGAGTGTTGACTAGTCCGAAGAGTTGCATAACTCTCTCGTCTTGGCGAATATCTTCTTGACCCTTGAGTAAATACATGTAGGATTTACCATTGTTACCCTTAAGGGTCATCCGTCTTGGTCTCTTCTTAGTCTGCAAGACGTGTAAAATTGGGTCAAAGCTGACGATGCAAATAATCGGACGACCGCTCTGGTAGGTTCCAGGCACGGCCAGGTCCAGGCCATTGCAATCCTTCAAACGAGGGGAGACGTATTTGAGATCGAGAATCGACAATTGCGGGAGCTGTCGGCTAATCTTGCGGAACACAGTGTAGTAAAGGTCCCAAGCTTGATTCAAATCACCAATCTCCTCAGTCTGGCGGTAGAGCATGCAGTAATGTTTGGCTTCCGCCAGATCGCGTCCGAAAGCTTGGGCGAATGAGACTTCACGAAGAGTCTCGGGACCTTTGTCAAGCATGTCATGAAGAGTTGCAAGTGTTGCGAACATGCCCTCGACGTTATGATCGCCGAAGTAGAGACGAGAAGCCTCCTCCAAACCTTCATGCCACAGCTCATGCCACAGCACAGCAACTCTGATCAATTCGTGACTTACGAGATCGGCCTGTTCGACGAGTTTGGCGCTGTGCTGGCGCATGCTTTGCATGATATTGCTTGCAGATTGTGAGCGTCGGGCGACGTTGGATTTCATGGCAACTGTCAACGGATACACCAGGGCCTGAGGGTGGGCCTTGCAAACTTCCGCGAGGAGTCTGTGAACGGCACCACAAACTCTGATGTTAGGCTGATTGATCCGGGCGATAAGTTGCGGGGTGACAGAAAGCCAAGTGTCAATATTGACCGTTGTAAAGCCTTCAGTGACCACGGTGTTGACATGATGATCACCACCATGTGCGAACCACAAGGTCAGCAATCTCAGTGTGTCTTGTAACGAGGATGCGGAAGACAAGGCAATTGACCGCAGGAAACCACGAATGGCAGGAATGACATGGTCAATGACAAGGTGGGGGGTGGCGGCACAAGCGCCTTCTTGTCACCCTTGGCTTCCTTAACTTGGCTAACGATGGTCTGCACCATCTCGAAGTTTGCAAGAGCCCAAGCGTGCCAGGCTTTGTAGGAATCGTGATTGTATTGTGTGGCCGCTGAGTAGGCTCCAAGGACCTCGCGGCCGTTGTCTGATGTCCATTCCGCCTTTTGAAGGGCTCTTTGCCATTCTCCCTGTCTGAGATAACTCTTAGAGAGAAGTTTTCTAGCGTTCCCGACATCCACGACTCGTCCTCGCAGGCGCACGGCATCCGGGTGGTTGGGATCTGAGATACCGTTGACACCATTCATTCCGTGACTCTCATTTTGCGAAGCGAAAAGAGTATTAAACTTAGAAAGGTCCTCACTGAGTTCCATATTGAAGTCTTTCAACGCCTCGAGGGCTTCATGCTGGCTTCCATTGGCCCAGCTGAATTTTAATCGAGCATAGGTTACCTCTGGAGGCACGATAGTGCGCGTACAGTTGGCATCTTGGATGACCGTCTCCAGAGAGTTGAGGAACGGTCTGCAAGGCCCATGCGGTTGGACTTGCGGCAAAGATTGGCGAATTTGATGGACATGTCCAAATTCTCCCGGGGAGCAGTGACAAGTGCTCTGACCTTTAGCATGCGCTGCCACACTTCCACATTTTGCTGACATCCCCGCAAGCGCTGGTTCCAAGTCTGGCGCATGGCTTCCTGCTTCTCCGGGTCTCCAACATGTTGCTTGTAAGTGATGATCTCCTCCAGTTCGGCAAGCATCTGGACGCGGACAACCACATCGTATGCCCGGTTGTATGACTCTCCGAGCAAGGCTGAAAGTTCGGTGTTAAGGCCATTCCGTGCTTTCTCGATGTACATGTTCCCCTCGTCGAACTGGTTGCGATGAATGGCAAGGATAGCGCCGAAGAAAGACCGATCGGGAGACTGTTCTTTCATGACACTCAAGTACGAGTCCATCAGCTCCCACTGACCACGGCCCCATGCAGCAGCAGCAGCAAGGGGAGCAATGGCTCTGCGGTGCTCCAACGATGCCTGATTCCATTTCTCCTGCGCAAAATCGGAAAGAACCTTCCATTCACCGAGAGCGTGCAAGCAGCGCATCTTGCCCATAGTAATGCCGAAGGAATCCGGATCCGCTTTCTCGCGTCGTTTGTACGCAGCCAGAGCTTCGTCCCAGCGCTGCAGCTTCTCAAACCAAGTTTCCTTCAGCTCCACGTCGCGGTATGACAGTGCCTTCCGCAGGATACCAATCGCAGCATCTGATTGCTGTAGCTGGTTGTTGATGGTAATCAAAGCTTCGACAGCACCGGAGTTTTGATCCTGCTCAAATTCAAGTTCTTTGTAATGCAGAGCCTTGGCAAAAGCATGGCCCTTAGCAGCATACTTGCCCAGGATGCGAATATCAATGGGTAAAGCCTTATCGTCGTGTTCCATAAACTCGGCGAGGTTCAGAAGAATTTGCAGGATTTCCGGTGAGATGTTTGGTGAAGTGAGGGCCTTCTCAATGGAGCGAACTAGTTCTTCTTGATACTGGTCAAACAGTTCGGTCCAGCAAGATACGAAGGCGGCATTGAAAAGATCCCTTGCCAACGGCTGGTAGATACCAGCCAAGCTTGCGCATGCCCGCAATGCGGGCGAGGGCGATTCTTTGAGGAGCTCAACGCTGAACCGACGGATCCATTCTTGCCAATCTTCGCGAGTTGGCTTTTGTGAAAAATTCCAAGCATGCTTTAGATGCTGCTGGTTGACAACAATCTTCCTTTGGCCAATCTCCGCAAATTTCGTGTCATCAGAGGGGAAGGAGTAGTTTTTTTCGGGATTGAGGTCTTGCGGGAGCGGATCGCCCTTTTGAAGCTTCGTCACCAGGATCTGGTAATTGACATGATTGATATGGTGCTGCTTGAGAACTTTGCTCAAAAGATGGATGTAGTGTGTAAAGTCCTGGCCAAGCTGGAAGATCAGCGCACAGATGCAGTCCATTGCAGCTTGACGTAAGACACGGTCGCCACTGACCACGACTCGCGACAAAGAGTGGACTATGAGGGAAGCAAAGTCAGAGACATTGACTAGGCGCGACAGCTTCGTCAAGCTGTCAATAGCCGACTTGCGAATGCTCTGAGGATGCTGCGGTCGTTCAAAGAGGCGCACGATAGCGGGAATGATGAGGTGCATGTACTCTTCACCACTTGAGCCGAAGATCAGGGAAGCATGGAGAATTTTCTCCGACGGTTGCCGGCGAGGGGTAGTGTCCTTCTCGAGAGTATCCAACATTAGGGGAATCAAGCGAGCGAGGTACTTTCTGAACTCTCCCTCCAAGGACCTGGAAATAGCCTCCATCAGGGACAAAATTGTACCCTGTACCTGGTATGACGCATCCCAGAATTCACGGATCACGTCAATGATCTCAGGTAAGAAGGCACGAACGTGCTGACGCACAATGTTAACCAAGATAGCCATCTGATTGAAATACGACTCAAGTCGGCTAGCAGGGGAGCTTCTGATAACCGAAATGAATGCGGGAACAATCTGTCCAAGGAATGGGACACACTTCAAGCCCAAAGTCTTGAAAATGGTAACGATGGCGTCGATCACTGATGAGTGGTATTGCACCAGTGAGTTCTCTCTCAGAATGTTCTGCAGTAATGTATGGATCACCACCGTGGGGTAGTACTCCTCGTTCGACGGAGTAAGACTCTGCATGATCAAGGCAACGTCCGTCGGGTCTTGAACTTCGTTAATGTGGTGAACATCAGGCTCCACATCACTGATTTGTTGGTACTTGTAGGGGTCTAAAGCACCAAGCACACCCACCAGCTTGATTGTCTCTTTCCGCAAAGAGCCCGTTTGCTCTGTCTTGAGGATGTTGATCAAGACGTCAAGTAGATGAGGGTACTCGAGGTACGGGTCGATCACGTAGCCAGCGTTGGCAGCCAACTGACCAAGGGTCCGAAGGGCCGCCTCGCGCTTAGTATGGGAGGAAAGATCCTGGAGTGACTCCAAGATTATGGGCATGATCTGGGGCAGATAGCGTCTCATCTCGCCGCCGCCAATGTTGCCAAGCTCTCCGACAGCTTTGAGTGTGGTCGCGGCGACACCTGGATTGCTATCCGTTGATTTGGGCAGCAGTGCTGTAACCATTGGGTCAACATACGACCTGATCAACTTGGTTGCATTGGAGACAAATAAGCTGATGAGCTGAGCAGTCTCTTCCTTTTGTTGGGCAGTGTTCGCAAATCCGAGTCCAGTCAGAAGATTCACCAGTAGCTTCCGCAGTGGAGGGAAAACATATGCTGGATTCACGTTGGATAGACGGCCGATGATGCAAATAGCAGCTTCCTTGACTTCGAAGACCTCATCATTGACCGCTAGGAACAAGCTCCGAATATTCTCAGGGCGGCCCAAGTGACGGTCAAACTTCCGATCCAGTGACCACAGCACCGTGCGTCGGATTTCAGGGTCTGGATCACCGATACCAACCGTCAATAGTTTGTCAATGACTTCACTGACAACTTGAATTGAGTGACCACTAGTCTGGTTGATGATCGGGTCGTGGACAAACAGCTGGCAACATGTGAGAGCCGACGCTTTTCGGATATCGGGATTGTCATTCTCCACGTAGTTGATCGCAACGCCACGCACGAATTCGTTCAAGCTGTGACCGGAGAAGTCAAAGCTGCCTAGAGTGTGGAGAGCGAGCGCAATTTCCGCTTCGGAGTAGCTTTCTGGGGGACCGAAATCCCTTGCAAATGCTGGCATAGGGGGAAGTCGGTTTTCGGGACAACCGAGCGGACGGAATGAGGTACCGCTGAGTATAATGCTCAGCTCGTCGAGAAGTTTATCCTGAATTACGGGCTTAATAGGAGGGATGTAGTGGGCCATATCGACCAAAGCTTGCGTCAGTGATTTGCTGAGACCGCATGCAAAGATGGCATCAAGCAATTGCTCCATGTGACCGTTGAGAGTTTGTCCGACTGCCAGCGACAGCATGCTGATACACTCGAACATGGGAGCTTCATCGATACCTGCTCGGTTTCTCCTATTGCAAGTTAGCTAGAATCCATTTACAAAGGTTTGGTTTCAGCATGGTTCATCACTCACGCCTTCATTGCCAGTGCCTCGCGGATATAGACGATGATCCCATCAAGGTATCCGCTAATAGCAGGTCCCACTGCAGTGGCAATCTTGCCAATAGCCACAAGGCCGCGTTTCTTTCCTTCTCCCTCTTGAGTTGGGCTTGAAGGTAAATCATGGATTTGTGGAAATACGACCAGGCGCATAGGACGCAAGGATAGGGATGGTGAGGACGACCTGATTGCGAATCTTAGCATCTCGGTGATCCTTCAGACGTAGCACGATCTCGCAGGCATTTCGATAATGCTCCTTCATGAACATTGTGCCTTTAAGGAATAGCTCCTTGAGGATTAGGAGCGATCCGTGAGTCCAGTCCACATTATGGGACTTCAGTCCCAGTAACGCTTCTTCATAGATCCTTGCGAACCATGATTGACGGACGGACGAGTCTGGGGCCACGATGATTTCGAAGCACTCTCCCACAGCCTGTGCAGCTGTCTCTCGGATGAGCACTTTCTGGTCTCGAAGTGCGACCCAGACAAGCTCGAAGATCTGAGGCACGAAGCCGTACAATAGTGTTGCCGAGCCCTTGGCTAGCTCCCGAATCACCAGAACAGCAGCGAATCGACGGCTTTCCTGACGCTCTGACTGTAGCCATTCCAGAGCGGACTGAATCTCACTTTCTACCAACTCGGCTGTGAATGCCCCGCCAGGTTTAGCCAGCCGGCCAAGCGATCGGGCCGCGCACACCAACACCGCATTGTCGTTGCTTCGTAGGGCGCTTCGGAGATAGCTGGCAAATCGAGTGGTTTTCTGAGCTGCATCCACACCGTCGAAGTCAATCAGCCGGTCGAGTGCGAGGAGACCGCCGACTCGTTCATTGGCGTCATCTCCCGTCACCACCAGCTGCGCGATCCGCTGGCTGACAGCATTGTAGAACTCGTTGAATTTCTCGGATGGCCAATCTGTCGGAGAAGATAGGCAAAGTTCTTAGTGAGAGCTTCTGAGCTCACGGGGTACACAAAGGCGGCGATCTACCTCGAGAGACGGCAACCACATTGTCATGGAGCTCATAGGCAGCTCGGGCCTTAATATCATCGTTCTTCGACTTGAGGTCCGCAAATAATCGCTGGGTCACGTCTGTCATAGGACTCGCTGACGCCATGTTTGCGAGCGAGCCCGCAGAGTGGACATTGGACGCCAGCCTCTAAGATGTAAAGCAGAGGTCGCAAGGCGCATGAAGTTGGAGGAGGAAGAGGTGGAGGAGGGTCATGTGTCAGCCTCTGGTCAAGCCGGAGTGCACAGACCACGAGACCACGGGGCGGGCGCGGGTCCTGCCTGGTCGCGGCCGCGTGGCCTCGTCAACTGGTGCCAAACGACTTAAAGAGTATTGTATTTACCTGCATGTTCACAATTCGTTTTCAACCTCACATCGAGGCCTCCTAATGATTGTGTTTCAATCCAACCAGCAACAATGGTAAAAGTTCTTTTGACTGGTACGGGTAGGCTGCGGCAGCATCCGCAAAAATCCAAATCCGCTCCACATCCGCTCCGCAGATTGCGGATATGGATACGATTCTGACATCCAACTATCCGCGCGGATTGGATGCGGATTTAAGCCTTAAAAAGTTGGATATCCGCGGATATCCAGCGGATTCGAAAACAGTACAAACATGCCAAGTCTGGTGATCTGGTTTGGCATGCACATCTTATGCGGATTGCAAGGTAATATTATGTACTACTAGTGTTACATTTTGTCGAATTAATTACATGGTCACGATACAGAAATTATTTCTAATAACATATCAAACCAGTTCACTGTTCAACTGCTTCATTCAGTGCATTATATAGTTATACTATGGCTTGCCAATTTCGAATCCGTCTGGTAGCCGTGGCTTCTTCCGAATCCTTCCTGTCCGGGTCTGTATACCATCGAATACTGTTTCCTCCAGCAGGGTGCTATCATCTAGATCTAAACTTTCCACAGGCCGCTTTGAGGAGTGAGGGATCGCCAGTTCCGCGGATTTCGTTGTCGGCGTAATCGACTGGGCCCTCAGGGCAAAGATTTTGTCCAGTGACAATTTGCCAGAGGTGTTTGTCGTAATGCCTGCAAGCGAGTTCAAGAAACTCGCGCCAGCGAGGAAAGTTTTGTTTTCCTTTGAGCTTGGGCACGATGTTCGTGAGTTTGTCGATGTCCTTTTCTTTATGATCAGGCATCGTGGCGTTCTTGGTATGACCGAGTGTTGACCGTGGAATAACCGTGGGTTTTCCTTGGTTTTGAAGTGAGAGATAGCGTGCAAGATCTACGCGTAGCGTGTGCTTGCGTGCGTGTCGAGGATCGCAGTCGACTGGTTAGATCGAGTGCGAGCGAGCCAGAGGGCTCATAACCTGTTTGGATGGAGTGAGCTAAACAGAGTGCAGCTTGCCGAACGTTGTATTCGTAGCTATCTGACTAACTGAGGAAGAAGGAAAGGAAGAAGGTGTGTGTGACGGAGGTATGGTGTAGCCCGTCACCGCCCAGGTCTCGTGATTTCAAGTAGTATAGATGCTGTCGCAGCCTAAGTGTACAAGATGACCACCAGGAAGAGATAGGCAATACAACTACCATCATGCTATTCATGCTTTGACTATCCGCTGCCTACAGTACGCAGTGTTTGGATCCTGCGACGATAGCACCTTCCTCCCATGCTGTTGTTCCTTCCTTAGATGCCGTGCAGTATGTGTGTGTGGTTGCATGATCGTTTCGACCCGTCTGCACTGCCAGACTGCCTTGAGCATCTACCTCAATTCAATAGTTGATTGACTAACATAATAGTATAATGATATCATTGTAGTAAGATCTTCATCGAAAGGCCCAGCCAACCTCATTTTTTAAAGCTGTTGCTAGATGGGTCGGAACCGCCTAACCTCATCTCCTAATCCTCAGCTTCTATCTATACGTCACCTCTCTATCATTAGCACAAGAAGTCCCTACTACAATGATATCATTATACCATTATGTTTCAGTCAATGAACTATTTTTAGTATCACCTTTCGCCCATCAACAAGATTAATCTGAAGCATGCTTATCCTCGCTCTCGCCGCTGCTAGTAGCCATCTCAACCTTCTCGGACTCAGTGGCATGGTGGTCGGTGGTAGTCAAGCCAAGCTCGACCTGCATCTGGCCGATCTGCTCAATGGTGAGCTTAGGCAGCTGCTGAGCGACCTGGAAGGGCCACTTCTTCTCAATGTGAGCCTTGGCGAAGATAACGTCAACCTCTTCCAAATCACGACCGGCGGTCTCAACGTAGAAGAAGTAGGCAAAGGGAATGGCGACGAAGTTGACCAGGGCGAAGAACAGGTAGATACCCCAGGGGCTCTGATTGGCGAAAACGGGGGTGAACATAACAACAGCGAAGTTGTTGATCCAGTTGGTGCACGTGGAAGCGGAAGCGGCCATGGTACGGGTGCGAAGAGGATTAATCTCAGGAGGGTAGATCCAAGGCAGAGGCAGTGTAGTGAAAGCAAAGAAGCAGATAAACAGGAAGATACCAACAGCGGCACCCTTGGCATTCTCGGTGGACTCGTCGATCAGACAACCCATAGTGATAATAAAAGAAAGACCTTGACCGAGGAAACCAATTAGGAACAGGTTGCGACGACCAACCTTCTCAACCATCACGAAGGAAGGAATAGTGGCAAGGGCGTAGACAGTGGAGAAAACACCACCAATAATCATAGCCATCTTGTGCTCCATGTGAAGGTTGTTCTCGAAAAGGAGGGTAGAGTAGTAGATAGCTGCGTTACAACCAGTAAATTGTTGGAAGAACTGGCCAGAGCAACCTATCATCATACGCTGAAACTCTTGGGTCTTGCCGAAGGTAAAGAGGGTCTTCCAGCTACTAGTAGACTCCTGGGCCTCGGCAGCCTTCATATCAGCCTTCATCAGGTTGAAATCGCGAAGGACGTCCTCTTCATCCTCTGAACTGTCATTGAGCTGAGCCATGACTTGGAGAGCCTCCTTATCCTTGCCCTTCATAATGAACCAACGAGGAGACTCCGGTAGCATAAGAGCACCGACAATGACGAAGACGGCGAACAGGATCTGGAAGGCGACAGGGAATCGCCACTGGACAGAGGATTCGGTGTAGGAAAAACCGAAATCAATCCAGTAGGCAATGAAGGTACCAACAGCAATAATAGCACCCTCAAAGCAGACGAGGAAGCCACGGTTGTGGGCCTTAGAACACTCAGACTGCCAGACGGGGATGGTGGCAGTGTCCATACCGTTTCCGAGGCCAGAGATTACACGACCAATCACGAATTGACCCAGACCCCAGGACTCGCCAAAGGCAGTAGTAGAGAGAACAGTACCGATCACCATAAGAGTACCACCAGTGACCAGCAAAGGGGTACGGCCAGTGCGCTGACCAAAGCAGAGTGTGAAGATAGCACCGAAGAAACAGCCCAGTTCGTAGCAGGAGTTGACGGCACCCTGTAGGACGGAGACATGATCCTCACTGTTGCCAGGAAGGTTCTTATCGAGGACAGGGAACTCGTCGACGAAAGATGTACCTTGCAGAATACCGGACATCAGACCCTGATCATAACCGAACAGGGAGAAACCGACGACGGAGGTGAAGGTGATGGCCCAGTGGAGCTTCCTGCCCCGGAGGCCGGAGTTGGTTGTCCACATATTGAGATGCTGCTTGCCTCTACCTAACTAAATGAGAGCGGACAAGAATATACTGAAACGACGAAGAAAGAATAGGCATGGACTCCGGGGGTGGGCGACGCTTTTGTGCCCTTTTCAGATGTATGCGTCTGCTTCCTGCGTCTGCGGGCATCAGGGGCCCCGACCCCCACTGGGCTCCATCGGTTAGTCCGTTTAAAAATAACGGCGGCTTGGGCCGTAGGCAAGTTTCGCGACCTGCCGTGGGACCGAGGGCCTTGTGAGTGGACTAGCGGCATAGGGAGGGGCAAGTCTCGCGGGCTGCCGAGAGGGCCAAACGCCCCATTCATGCGAATGGAGTCATGGTAGCGGCTTAAAATTTATTCGGTTTCGGCCGCCGAGGATTGGCCCGTTGCCAAGGGCGAAGAAGCTCCCGCGCCCACCTTTCGCGAATGGTAGGGTTAGGGTTGGAAACCCGGGGGAGATTCGGGGTAGCCGATGGTAAGTTAGGTTTGTTCTGTTCTACATGGGCTGAAAGAAATCATCCTAATGGGATTAATCGAATTAACTAACGATTAGTCAAATGGATCAAATTAATCGAATAGAATACTAAAATGCAAAACGAAAATTGATTACTGCCTAGGATTACTGTCTAATCCTAGGCTGATTCCCTGGTAGGGGTGGATCACTTACTCGGCTGCCGCAAGATAAATCTCGCCCGAACCTCCACTTCCTCCATGGGGAAAAACGGGGAGAGGCCGGTGGGCCAAGGGTGCTAAAAAAGTCATTCCTGCCCTAGGTGAGCCACTGAGCGTGCCCATCCCCCATGGTAAAGCCTTCGTGAATGAAGCGACCTTGGGACCGGGGTCGAATATCACTCATGAAACTCGCCTCAGTTACCCCCTTCGTCCCCCGTCTTGGCCTCGGCCCTGTTGACGCTGGCCCCGATACCGACGGCCGGATAGGTTGCACTTCCACACACCGTGTCTCACCTCTTCGGGTGTCCGAGGGCAATCGCACTCCCCGGGGCGCTCCCCGCAGATAGGCCAGGTGCCTCTTAGCGGCCCTCTCAACCCTCGCCGGTATGTACCGACGCGGATCCTGCTTCTCTGGTCACTCCCGTCCTCCAGATAATCTCCGATGTTGGGGATGGGCTCCGCGCTAACGCTACGTCACCGATCACAATGGCCTTTTCGACTCCGCAAAGGACGCCTTGGCCCACCGGAATAGGTACGTCCTGACTTGCCCGGAGGCCAAAGGATCCCTTCCCACGTCCCGAGTGCAACGTGTTGTCGGTCAGGCGAAGCGAACTACACGAAGTACGCCAAGTCTTCAATTTCCATTTTCATCTGCCCAGTGGAACCAGCCGGGGCCGAGCGCAGCCCTACCCGAAGCTATTAGTCCTCTGATCCATTGATCGGATGTTTCAGATGCCTGGTGGGCTTAGTTCTTGCGCCGATGCGGGAGAACGAAATCTGACCGACGAGTAGAAAAAATATATTAACAATAAATAAATCTGGAATGGAAAAACAAAAACGTAAGAAAATAGACCAAAATGGGCCTAAAATTAACCAAAACAGAACTAGCCCGAAGCGGGTCAAGGGCAGCCTTTTTGGGCTGCATCTGAGTTGCCGCATTAGGCAAGGCCGGAAATGTTTTCCCCACTTTATGCTTGGTACCCGGGCTTAACCTGACTCAAACCTGACAGCAAAAATGTTGAGCTGTGGAAGATCTTTCTTTTGGGGCTTATGTGTGGTCCTGTAGGATTTCCCATCTTCCGGCCGCGGGTCTTCGGGTTCCCACAAGCTTAATAGCCCCTAAGCATGATATACACAAAACCAATATGCGGGCCGCAGGGCGGGATCAACACCTTGGGGCTGCATCTGAGTTGCCGCATTAGGCTGCCCTGCCCTCGGCCCCGGCCTCTCCACTTGCCTGCATCGCTAAGCCTGTCCCTTGGAGGGATTACGCCCGAAACAGTCGGTCTCAGCTGCTCACATGACTAAAAATTCTTCTTTGAATCCACCTCAAGTGCGTAACTCTCCGTACTGACATCATCAATATATCGGCCCTGGGGGGCGGGATCGACACCTTGGGGCTGCATCTGAGTTGCCGCATTAGGCAAGGCCGGAAATGTTTTCCCCACTTTATGCTTGGTACCCGGGCTTAACCTGACTCAAACCTGACAGCAAACATGTTGAGCTGAGGAAGATCTTTCTTTTGGGGCTTATGTGTGGTCCTGTAGGATTTCCCATCGTCCAGCCGCGGGTCTTCGGGTTCCCACGGGCTTAATAGCCACTAAGCTTGATATAGTTACATAGGATTAAGCCGTATTTACGCAAGGAATCTTGGACTCCAATAGTGAATGTCAAAGGCAGCTGAAATGAGGTGTCATGGATGGAACATGCCCGAGGATCCACAATGTACCTCGGAGCCTGAGGGTCAGTTGGAGGCTAGATACTACACGGCCCCCTTTGGTTTACGAACGGTCATCCCCATGCTCTACAGCCAGGCTGGTGACATTATATCTGATAGAAATAGTGGAAGGTGGTGGACTGAACATGAGGTCATGGATGAAGAAGCTATCTAGACTATTATTATTATTATTATTAATCCTCCGGCTGTGCGCAGCCTCAGGCTGCATGTAGCCTCCGTGCCAGTTATGCTGAGTCATCTATGTACATGTGGTTCCCTCTCACAAGGCCTTCTATGTCTCTCGATTCAGTCGGTTGGTTGCCATGGCGAATTGGATGACAGACTTGACAACCTCCATATTGGGAGTCCAGTTGTTTTTGGATTCAAGATCTTGTCCGGTTGGTCCATGGCTTGGTGACCTCCCATTCAGTGCGAAGGATGTATCTCTATATCCATTTCACATTGTCGCTCTCATCTCGCCCCGGTGTGGTTCCCATAGTTTACAATCAAATAGAAAGTGGTTAATGGTTTCTGATCCTTTTTGACATTCACAGGTGTCGTCTAGTATTTGTCCAGTTTGACACAAGTATCGATTTGGGCGAGTGTGACCCGTTCGGAGCTGTGCTAGCGTAGCGGCTTGTGCCCTGCGGAGTTGGTCGTACATATCTTTGGTGTGCTTTCCAGGAAGTGCTGCATCAATCGCTTGTTGTGCTTACCAAGTACAGGTCGTCCAATTCTACGAATTCCGCTGCTCGTAGGTGGTTCGCTTCAGTTCAGCTGGAATATGTAGCAGTAAATCAAAACAAAAATTCATAGAAAGCAAAGTAGCTAGGTAGCGTAAGCACTATATTGCCAAAAAAGAGGCATCAGAAGTGTATACAAGGATGATGAATGCAGAGGTTGGCATAGTCCAGGAGCAACGTAAGAGAGCAAGGAAGCCAAACCAAAACGGGAAGCCGTTTAAGGTCAATTGCAACGCTAAGAGCAGGAGAAAGAGGCCAATAAGATAACACAGTCTGCAACCAACGAGAAGCGAGAAACCGCCCTAGAATGGGCGAATCAGAGGCAAGCGAAGGTGCAAGTCTGGCAGGCCAGCTTTCGCAGCAGAAAGCCGCGTCCCTCACGTGTAGCCATGGCCGAAATACCACCTTTCACTCGTTCCTCGTTTCAGGGCATAAGGGCCGTTTTAGCATCTCGGCCAGTGCCGACTGACGAAGCTCCGCGGTTCTGGCGGCTGTATGGTGTCGGTGATGGCGGCAGAGATGAGTGTCGAATTGACGTGGCGAGGCGGTGTAACCGCAGTCGATGAAGATCCAGATCTGGTATGTTGCGTTGTATGTAAAAAGATCCATCTCGAGATACTGAACTGCCTGAGCCTCGCGCGGAGGATAGTAAGTGAATAATATCTGGGGCTGCAACAGAGACACATGGGGCATCGAAAGGACGCGAACGCGATCCCAGTCACGGTCACCGACGCGTCGTGCTAAAGGGCGCCGCCATTATGCCTACACGGGCCATGAAAAGAAGCAATAATGATATAGAAGGACGTATTCGCTCGAGTTCAAAGCTCGCGCCCAGGACTTCCGCACACGCACCTCAGGGGACGGGAGCACGCACGCGGACAAGCTGGTCAGTCAATCAAGGCCCAGTAATTCGAGCGAGGGCTATTTTGTTCATGTACTAGGGTATAAGAGGCCATCAAACACGACAAAGCCCATCGGAATCCCAATCCTCACTACCAACCCCCTTTCGAACGATGAATAAATCATGTGGATCTCTGGATGCTTTGATGGCCCGCAACCGAGGGTAATTGGTGCCCCAAAATTTTTGCTGGAAATCAGGTTCGTCGGCATCGGCCTCATTCAAGTACGCACCCATTTTACCCGACTCAAGGGATTCGAGCAGGGGTACTTCCTGGTCTGTAATGTTGGCGGCAATAGCCGCCTGCTCATCGAATGTCATATTTGGACTCATAAGGCGGGTGATCATGAGATGAACCATTGTGTCTCTCCATGCGGGGTTGAGTCCTGACTCGATATCACGGTTTTTGGCAACTTGGCCCCCGGCAACGATACACCCTATAACCGCGTCTCCTGGGCGGAATTTAAGGCTTGAGACGGCTTCAGTAAGTTGTGTAGAATTTGCCGACTCAAAGAAAGACCGTGATACCAGGCGAGAACCCATGCGCGCTTGCATGCCAGTTGTGTCATTTCCACGGAACAACGTTGTATACAAGCCAGATAAAGATGGAAATGACACGACGTTGAGTGATGGCTCATATCCTGTCGCTTTCCTCAAGTCCGACCTCAACGGCGACAAAAGCTTTCCAACCGCGTCTGTGCTTGTCTGATTGACGAACGCCAGAAAGAGCACAAAGGTCGACAGACTCTGGGAGTTAGGTACTAGAGTGATGGGTATCATTACATAGTACCCTGAGCCGCCATTATCATTTAGATAAACAATGTGTTTATGAAATGCATCTGAGCCTTTCCAGAAGGGTCCATTCACACTCGTGGTATAGTTTACGGTGGCGTATACCACGGGGTAGTTAGGGTATGCTTTCACAGTTACGCTCACCACTACCCCGAAGCTGCCGCCGCCACCACCGCGCAATGCGAAGAATATATCGGTATTTTGGTATGGGTTTGCAAAGATCAGCGAGCCCTGGCGGAATATCAGCAACCAAAAGCGACCGGTGAACGCTTTCCTCAAAGACTTACATTGGCCAGAACAACCTGGAACTCAAGGGCATTATCGCTTGCCATTCCATGAAGCCAACCCAGAAAAGAATGGCCTCCACCCTGAACATATCCACCAGCAACGCCAACGGTGTTTGCCGACCCTCCGACGACCATGACACCTTTAGAGGCCAGGAACGAGTACATTTCGTGCAGCTGAACACCAGCCCCAAGGGTTACAGCCTTAATACCCCCGGGCGCACTCATTCCAGATGGGACGGTGGGCACGAACTCATCGATGATGGAGATATTTTTGAAATTATGAGTAAAAATTTGCAAAGAGTTTGGCGCCGAAGAGCGTCCAAGAAAGTCGTGCCCTGTATTTCTGATGACAAGTTTGATGTTGTGGCGTGCCGCAAATTCGACAGCCTTTTGAACATGTTTTGCCGTCTGCACTTTGGCTGAGTAAAGTGATACACGGCCTTGTTTACACGGTATTGACATGGGAGACTCGATATAGCATTGTTCATCTTCTTTGGGCCACGCTTCCCAGTTTTCCCATTGGAGAGCACCTAAATGCATCAGTACATGGCTCTTGAGATAATAATTCTTTGGGCTTCTTGGGGCCTTACTTGGCTGGGATGATCTGTAAGAAGAATTGTACGCATTGTCTTTCACGATTGTGCATTTAGCAGCATTGAATTCAGTGTCATGGCAAGGATAAGCAAATGGTTTCACTGCAACTAGATTCCCTTCAATTGAAGAATTGAGAGCAGCCCAATTGGCTTCGGTTGGCCAGCATGGTTGATCCGGTTGGCAACGACAGAACGTGGCATTGACCAAACCACCACCGGTTATCAGCACACAAATGCTGAACGACCATACCTTCATGTTGCCTATAAAAGTCCGGTTGATGGGCGATCTGTATTTTCTTTGCTCAATTATCTCGGTTCGTAATATCAATAATAATAATAAGATAGAAGAGTGATCCGTTGTATTTTGTTGAGGTGATGCCGAGGATTATGTAACCTACAGGCAAGGGGCAACACGCCACGAAATGCTATCGAAGAATGTAAGATTCTTATATGGCAATGAAATGCACTATTCCCATTTTACATAACATTAAGCTTCGTAACATCAAAGCAATGTTGTTGTTTTGTCTATGTCAGAAATTTCACGTTCATCGCTACAGTTTTGTCGAGTAATTGCTCGTCACTCTGCGTGTGGCTAGCTAGGAAAACGACCTATGAGCATTAACTATACCTGGTAAGCGTCCAACGTTTTAAGCTCACAGAAAATTGCGGTGTCTCCCAACAATGTACGCCTGTGCACACTCCAGCCCCTTGCATAATTGGTCTATCGCATTCCGAAGATATCTCGCGGCGAGACAAGGCACCAGAAAGTCAAGTTGCTGATCTGTCATACCGACCACATTTATGCATGAGAAATATGTGTCTCATCCAATGGCTTTACGAGATACTTCAGAGAACCATGGAGATAACTGCAACCTCAAAAAGCTCCAACCCTCAATTATGGATATTTCATTTTGAATTATGCTCAATGACGTTGAATCAAAAGACCATAAAAACTCCGGGCCGCACGTCTGATTTGGTGTTGTAATTTCACTGGAATGATTAGTTGTTCTGTAACTTAGGAGGGAGTACAAGGAAAAAATCTTTCACATGATGAACAGACGCCTTACTTGGCGGATGCTGTCGGACTTTCGGATATCGGTATCGACTAGTACTCGTGAGGGGCCAATTGACCCATCTCAGCGATCGATTGATTGACTGAAGAACTATCTCTCGGCTCCCGTTCAGGATGCCATATATCCAGGGTTTTTTAGTGTGTTACAGCGCTGCTTTTCCGAGAATACCCGATTATCATACAAAACAGGTAGGAGATTGGGTATCTGCTGAATCATCCTGCTCCTGATTGTAATATCAGTCTCTCCGATCGACATTATCTGAGCCCAAGCCTTTCTCATAGCCCGCTAGTGCTCGCCGGGACATTTTCTCTGCGCCTTTCAGGATCAACACAATTGAGATATCTTGCAGGCTTATGACTTTGCGGGTGTTTAGACACCCTATCTGTGTGCTGATATCTTCACTGCCTCATTAGTACAGTTATTGGTACGATGATATTGACGTGCCGAAGAATATATGCATTTCATATCTATGGATATTGTCGAAATTCAAAGTACAACGCGGTTCGCAATAATGCCCGCAAATGAATTCGTTCCAGTCAGCCGGTGAGGTTAGTTCCGAACTTTGCAGCAGTAGCTACGCTACATCTCCTCTACGACGAGGCCAGCGTGCGGAAAGTGTCCCTCGGCGCTTATAACCCTCGCACTAACGACGTCAACACCATGGAGGAAATTATCGAATCCTTGATCCGGGTTTTCTTTGTAGGATTGCCAATTATGCCGAAGGGCCTTGCGCTCAGCAAAAGTCTCAGTAGGATTCAAATCAGGAGAATATAGAGGCAAAAACAGTAGCTTTACGCCAGGTTCAAAGCACATCTGATCAATTCGGCCTGAGTGATGAAATGATGCGTTGTCCATGACTAACACTGACTTTGGCTCGGGCCATTTCCTACAGTGCTGGAGAAGCTCCTCGATAAAGTCCTCAAAGACGGACGCGTCAGTTGAACCCTGAAACACTCGAGACAAAACAATGCCGTCTTGCGCAAAAGCAGGCAATATGTGATTCGTATGCTTCGATATCAACAAGTATTGATAGCCCTGTAGTGAGCTGTGTTACTATAATGTATTTGACACCTTCACAGCCACTCCACAATACTCATGCAAAACACCACGAACCGTTCAGGCTTGCAGCTGACGGAAAATAAAGAGGAGGTGCCGAAGGAAACAGACCAATATGTCATTTGGCACCCAGCGGCATCTGGCAGTTGTCGTTGGGAAAAGAACAAGAAAAAGCTCTCCAACGCAAGACCACTCGCCATCGCCAGGTGGGACCAGATAGAACTGTCATAGTCACACCGACATGAGACCCTCTCATGCGAGAATTGACTAAGTGGTTTGGCAATATGTGTATATTCCGGACCGCTCTCAAAATGCAGCTTCCAATATGGTCAGGCTTGCACATAGTACTTCTGGCGGGAAACGAGTGTTCTATTCTACTGTATAGATGAGGCTGTCTCGCTGACTTCATTGTGGTGTCTGCCTTGTGACTCCCTTTCTTCTCTCTCCACCAACACCTCCCCCTTATTCCCCGACATCTCATCAATCACCACCTCATGATCTTTCTTCCAGTCTTCATACGTCCGATACAAATGCTTTTGGGCCTCCGGATGGTTACGATAGTATGTCTCATGATTGATCTCACAGACGCCATCCTCCTTCCCCTTGTGGTCGACGCAGAAAGCCCGATCGCATAGAAGACATAGCTGGGTTGGGAGGGTGTCTTTAAGGTGTGGCTTCCTCAATCGCATTCTGTTATGGACGTGGCAGGATCCAGCATTAGATACATGGCTCTGGATGGTTCGTCAGCGTACAGAGTCAGTATAAAAGCGGGTGCGTGGTGGAGAAACGGACCATTGTATAATGTTCAATAGAGATTGTGTTGATGGGCTTTGAAGATAGGGTCTTAGGAAGAGCGAGCAGTGGAGGATAGAAAATAGAGGTCTAAATGGAGAGAGATTGCTTAATAGCTTCTTGAGGTTGCCAGATGGGCTAGACTCAAATTGGGCGCTGTTGCCCAATATGAGCTGGTTTTCGGTGCAAGTCTTGGCATAAGCAGCGCAAGTCCTTGTTCATGCGCAGGGGGGTACAGAGTGCAACGAATAAACACTGAGCCACGTCACACTTTTGGTCTGATCAGATTGCAAAGCGGACTATCCCACTACCGCAACCACCATTAACACCTCTCCAGGGCCAGACGAAAATACGTCATCCTTGTATTTTCCCCGCCACGGCACCGTACTGTACTATTCCTTCGAGAATGGGCGACCATTCGACACTTTTTGTCCGTGCACCCACAGCAAAGGGTCTATCGACCAAAGAGAGTGGAGTTTTATTTAGTGTGCTCAAGGAATATTCAGCATCCCCATATGCCTGGTTTCAAGCATACTCTTAAGGCTCGCAATGACCTTTTTACCGAGTCTCCCACCCCATCGAGCCGCTAACCAGACCATCATAGAAAATGCAAAATTTTACGACTTAGTAACTTATCACATGGGGGTTGGTGCGATGCACTGCCGTTTAAGGTTGACAAAATCCCGAGGTGTTGTTTCTCCGGTCTAATCGAAGCGACACCATTCCCATGCTCAAGTCACGTGACCCACTCGTTGTGTCAACTTCCGTATAGTATCCGACCAATTGGAGATATCCCTCACTCTGTATTTCCATTACCCCTATTCACGCTTTTTAACGTAATTCACCACCGAGCTGACCGCACCACCGAGCTGACCGCTTACCCACTTTTTCGCGTCCAGACGCGTCGTCCTATCTTTAACCATCCACCATGCCACCAAATCGCTCTCGATCAAGCCGAAATTCCATTGAACAAGAGGGTCGTATCCTCCTAGCTATTCAGGCTATTAAAAATGGAGATAAATCACCAATTCGTGTACTGGCACGGACTTATTCAGTCCCATACTCTACGCTTCGAACACGACTTCGCGGCACCCTAAATCGCGCCGAATCTCGCGCCAATGGCCATAAATTGACAGAAATCGAAGAGGGTTCGCTTCTTAAGTGGATTATCTCAATGGATACTCGCGGTGGAGCACCTAGACCGTCGACGGTGCGAGAAATGGCTGATTTACTACTCGCGAAGCGCGGTTCAACTAATATCGAAGTCGTTGGCCCAAATTGGGTTACAAAATTTATTAAACGGCATCCTGAGCAGCTAAAATCGCGCTTCTCACGACGATACGACTATCAATGCGCAACGCAAGAGGATCCAAGAGTTATCCAGCAGTGGTTCGACACCGTACAAGCTACAATTCAGCAATATGGTATCGTTGACGAAGATATCTATAATTTTGACGAGACTGGCTTCGCGATGGGCCTTACTGCGACCGCAAAAGTCATTACGCGGGCGGAATACTACGGTCGGCGCTCGCTTTTACAGCCCGGAAATCGCGAGTGGGTTACCGTAATCGAATCAATCAACGCAAGCGGGTGGACGCTTCCACCAACAATCATCTTTAAAGCTAAGCTATACCATTATGCTTGGTTCGACAATCTTCCAGGAGACTGGCGCTTTGAAGTAAGCGCAAATGGGTGGACGACAGATGAAATTGGGCTTCGATGGCTACAAAAATGCTTTATTCCAGCGACAAATAATCGCATAAAAGGCAGATATCGACTTCTTATCCTTGACGGTCACGGTAGTCATTTGACACCACAATTCGACGAAATCTGTGCTCAAAACAATATTATATCGATTTGTATGCCACCGCATTCATCACACCTACTTCAACCACTTGATATTGGTTGTTTTGCATCGCTTAAACGCGCGTACGGTAAGCTCGTCGAGCGTCAGATGCGTCTTGGTATCAACCATATCGACAAGCTTGATTTCCTCGAAGCATATCCACTCGCGCGCATTGAAACATTTAAATCAGTTACGATTCAAAATAGCTTTGCAGCAGCTGGTTTAGTGCCATTAGATGCCAACCGAGTGATATCAAAGCTAAATATTCGGCTTCGTACACCTACACCCCCTCGGAGCCGACCAAGCAGTCGATCTAGCGCTTTTAGCCCAAAAACCCCAAAAACAAGCATTCAAGCACGTCGTCAAGCTTCATCAATCAAAGCTTTTCTTCGTCGACGGTCGCAAAGCCCATTACTTCGAGCATATCAAGCAATTGACCAGCTAGAGAAAGGGTTCCATAACGTCCGTCAAGAGCTTATAATTCTCACGAAGGAAATCCAGGATTTACGCTCAGAGAACGAGAAAAAGAAGCAAAAAAGGGCACGTACGCAGAGACGAGAAGCACATCCCACAGGCCTATCAGTCCAAGAGGCCCAAGAGCTCTCACAACCTATTGAGCAGCCTATTCCTTTGGTTCAGCCCGTTCTGCCCAACCCAGTTCAACCGGTTCAAACTACAGCAGCACCCCCCTACAGAAGCGTCGATTTACCTGCTCTATATGTGGTGAGATAGGGCATAAGTCAAATAAATGTTCAGTTAGATAGTTTTATTAATATTACGGCGTTTTGGTTGATAAATACGCTATTAAATAGGAAGAGGGCGGGTGAGCGGTCAGCTCGGTGGTGCGGTCAGCTCGGTGGTGAATTACGTTATGGTCCAATTTAGTTACATAAGCAATGCCGTCGGATCATCCATAGACCCGGTTTCATGCAGTATTCGTAAGGTAATGCCGACACGTTGACAGCGAGTAGACCTCGCCAAACGTGGGTTTGGGTCGGGTTTTCAATTTCTTTACCCGCCCACGGGTAACCCATCGCGGGTTTTGACCTTGGTGAACCTGTTGATTTATAGTGATGCTTCAGTGTTCATGTTGTTTAGGGGAGTTGATTGTTTTAGATACAGGTAGACTGGTGAACAGGTATATAGGCATGCACGTGATCCCAGCCCACATGATTATCCCAGTAACCGTGATATTTCAACAGAACCCGCCCGTGGGTTCTTGGCGGGTACCCGCGGGCTGCCCAAAATACCCAAAAATATGCATAAATCGTGGATAAACTCGATGAGTCACCTAGTGTAATTTTGGTAATTTATTTCTGTCACGCCTTAAGGTGTGTGTTACGTCGAAACATTGTACGCTGACGGCATGGAAATATATATTTCCTGCAAAGGGACGACCTCCTTCATCCCACCACCTCTACATCCCAAGCGATCAGGGGCCACATCCATGAATTCACGAGAATTCAATGAGTTTGAGCTTTGTGAGCCACCTCGAAATGATTATTTGGAAATTAATAAATTAAATCGGCGACACACACTTTCTCAGCGTCTATACAAAGTCACTGTTGAAATATCACGGTTACTGGGATAATCATGGGGGCTGGGATCACGTGCATGCCTATATATCTGTTCACCAGTCTACCTGTATCTAACACAATCAACTCCCCTAAACAACATGAACACTGAAGCATCACTATAAATCAACACTAACAGCGAGTATATTCTCAGGTAGGCGGTGGTGGCCCCCTCTCAAGTATCTAACAGTAGTGCTGTCGAGGTCTTTCATGTCCTTTACTTTCAAAGAGACACTAGATTCGATAACGGTATCGGGCCACGGGCACCTAAAAGCGGGACCAATCATAGATCTACACGAATGGGCAGCAGCCACGCGTGTTTCCAAAATGGACTGGAGCCAAGTCAGCTTGCGTCTCTCCACTGAGGCTGAAGACGCAAACCCCGCACTGACAGCATCGGTCTTCTGGAAAATTGAGCGAGCTTTCTTAAGACTGTATCGTCCTAGTCACGTTGTCTATTGTAAGGAAATAATATTCTTAGCTCTAAATCCTCCCCAGTTCACCAAGACCTATCCTATCAACATGAATGACGCCATGGATGAAGAATACGAGACTATCATGAACTCGACCTCACAACAGTCTTACACAACCTGGGCAGTCATTCAGGGTGCTTTGATCGATCCACGTGAAACAGAAACCAAGGAACAGGCGATCGCCCATATCGATACACTCTACGAGTCCGGCATCCCCTTCTTTACCAAGCGGGCAATCCGCGCATTTTCGGAGCAACTTAAGACTCAAACCACCCCTGGAGATAAAATCATCACCAAGGACCTGACCGGTGCCAGAATCGAATGGAAAGTGAAAGTTGGAAAGTCTATCGACCTCATATTCGGCGAGGATCGGGAGAACAGGAAGGAGTGTGTCTAGTAAGATTTCCGCCCATAATTGATACTTCGAGTGGGTAGTCAATCGAATCGGCAGTTAACAGCATCCAGTAAAGAGCCTGGAGTGGGGTACAGTTCTAGATCGTCCCTTAAAAAGTCGTTGGACTGGTACGGTGTTGTGGACTCGGCTTACGAACCCCTGTGTTTGATGTACCGGATATGCCAGATTGACTCCGGCAGTAAGACCAAGGAGATCATTCCTTATAAGGACACAAGAGACTGTGACACGGTGGCCAGGGATTTCCGAGAGAAGATTCAGGCCTGGGAAGAAAGCGAAACTTGCCGGCGTTTCCAATCGATTTTGTCTTCAGAGGTCAGCAGCCACGATATCAAGAAGATCGTTGGGCTAGCTTGCGGTAGTCTGGCCTTACCAAATAACGAACATGCTGCATACCAAACCGCGTTGCTTGTCACTGTGAGAAAGTGGCTGAAAGAGCGAGACCAGAACGAAGATATCTTTTGTTATATGCAGGACCCAATGAACACCTCGGTTGACAGGGAGGTTCTCGCGGATATCGGGTTCGAGATGATTGACGATCCACGCGGCTGGCTTGAAATCGACGAGCGATCGGTCGTGCTTTCAGTGGCCCCAAATGTGCCTGTCAAGGAAATCATCGCGGACACCGCTAGGCCCGCCATTGTGATATGGAATCGGGTTAAGAATGATGACAAGGACTCGTGCGTGTACCGAGGTACAATATGGGGGACTTGAGATTTGGGTTCCGGGAACTAATCTGCTAGCTAGGACTGACCCTGACTCGCCCCGCGTTCGGAAAATGATGACAGGTTACAAGTTGCATGAATTTGGAGACGAAGAGACATGGTCCGACGTGGTAATCTATACCCGGGAATCCAAGGCTGCCCCAATTCCCAGAGAAAACGGTACGTTCCAGGACTCCCCCCTTGGCGATGAATAAGGACACCGGGTTATCAAGACTTTGAAATATCAAAATATCGTTCATATAAATTTTGATCCAGTCTCGACACCAAATCAAAGTGCTAAATATAGGGCGTAGGAAGGCAATATCAGTATTAACGACACCAGTGATAACCGCCACGCCTTCAGCACACTTTGACAATGCCACAGTGGACAGGAGTCATCCGACAGAGCTTCAACTTTCACAACTTCCTAAGCTTCATCAACTAGCTTTAAAAGCTCTCCAAGCCACCAGGAATGGAGGATTAGAACTGTAAAAAGGAGATTCCAGCACCACAGACTCTGGGGGAAGAGGCGATCAAGGCCACCGTAGCTGGTGAAGCTCGGGAAAAGAAGTCATGGCAACCAAGGGGACGCAAATTATTGACACATTCGGCCTGAGGAGGACATGCAAGTGGCCATGGGTCCCACGGATACGCTAAGGGCGGAGTCATGTTGATCAGGCTAAAGATCGGGATGTGCCAGCAAGCAACGACAGAGTCCCCAAGGAAACTCAGCCTGGGGACGGTGCTGGAGCAGGAAGGAGCTACATAGCCGACATGGCCATGTCCGAAACATTCCCCGGTAAGGACCAGCTGCCACGTCAAGTGCCCAGGAAAGGACTACGAGAAAGAATTCCGGGCTTCGGCCCTCAACAACCCTGTATGCCAGAAAAAATTCAAATTTGGCTATGCCTTTTTTTGGCCTAGGCCGGCATTGCTGGGTGCCACTAGATCTCTAGACCTGTTTGATATATTTACATTTGTTCGTCTGCAGATGTAGATTCACAAGGTCGACCAGGGGATGTATAGGTGGCTGCCTGGACCGCTGGTCTCTGATTAGCCATGCTCCATATTATAAAATCCATTGGCACTGGCAAGTACGCGGCGCTGACGTAGTTGTGACGCGTGCAAACGCGCTCGGGTATATGTAGGCGCGTAGGGTCCGTGGCCCTATATAGACAGGATAATTTCTGGCGGGTGGACCTTTCCTGTTTTGGCTGCCGCCGCTTTTACGAGGGGCGGCCAGGTTCCGTCAGCGAGTCATGTGATCGATCAGTGACTACTCAGGTAGACCTCGCCAAAATCGTGGGTTGGGTTTCGACCCTTGACCCAAAACCCGCCAAGAGATTTGAATACAGGTAATATATACCATATTACACGTATTTATATGCGTTACAGATAGTATTACAACTGTTATTCCGTAATATACGGGCTGATGGGTTCTTGGCGGGTTAGCTGGTACCCGTAGGGTACCCGTGCCTTAGTCAGTGCCCCCACTCGCTCCAGGTCGTCGCCAAGTGGGTGCACCACGCCACGCCGATAACCACGCCACCCCAATAAAAATTTCACCACATTGAAGCATTTCATCACCTTATTCACCAACCATGTCCTCCGACCGAGTCAAAATTGAGCAGCAGATAGCGAAGGCAGTAGAGTACACTGCCTCGCTTAAATCGAAGCCAAATTTGTCTAAAATTGCGCGCGAATATGGCGTTCCGTATCAGCGTTTTAGGGCGCGTCTTCAAGGTCGGCAGGCCTTACACGCTCCTAAACCCTACCAAGAGACCCTAGATCCCTGGCAAATTCAGGGCCTTGTTCACTGGTGGAAATTCTTTGATTCAGTAGGGTACAGACCCTCCCACCAAGAGGTTATTGCTGCTGCAAATCATATTCTCGCGCCTGAGTCAGTAGGCAAAATGTGGCTTTATCGCTTTGAGGAGAGGCATCTTAAACCACTTGGAACGCGTATTGCGCGTCACCGACCTGTGAATAAGAAGCGTCTTGAGACAGAGGATTTTGGAATGCTTGAAATCTGGTATGGCAAGCTTCGTGAGTATCTGCATTGCGATGGCAATAATATGATACTCACGCATAACATTTACAACTTTGATGAGACTGGATTTATGCTTGGAGTAGGCAAGACGACTCGAGGGCCCTCACAGTATAGTGATAAGCGCTTTGCCTCACTTGAGAAGGGTACACTTGTCTCTGTCATTGAGTGTGCCTGTGCCGATGGAACGATGGTAGAGCCGCCTTATATCATATTTCCAGGTGCACGTCATATGGAGTCGTGGTATGAAGGCAATGTGCCTAATTACCCTGTCAATGTTAGCGAAACTGGTTATTCGAACGGCGAGATTGCACTTGACTGGATCAAATTATTCGATAAGCAGACATATGCAAAGGCAGCAGGCAAGCAGAGGCTGCTATTATTTGACGGTCATCCATCACATATTACTGTCGAGTTTCTCCAATATTGCCAGGATAACAACATTATTGCCTGGAATTTTATGTCAAATTTGACACAATTATGCCAACCACTCGACCAGAAGCCCTTTCTTGTCTATAAGCAGGCATATAAGGCACAGACATCGCACCTACAGGCAGAGGGGAGATTCGATGATACTATACACAAAGGCGCGTTTCTACATCAACTACCAGATCTCCGCAAGCGCGTCTTCCAGCGCTCTACAATTCGTCATGCCTTCCGTGATACAGGTCTGGTTCCATATAATCCAGATCTAATATTAGATAAGGTTAACCTAGACCTTACCTCTAATATTACTGTTACTGTTGATGAAGGCTGGCTTGCCAATACACCTTCACCACCTCCACAGAGCAGTTCACCACTCCCCTCAAGTCCTATCAAGACCCCTCGCTCTGCTCGCCGTGTTGTTAAGAAGATTCTAAATAAAGATATCTCTAATAACCCACAAGTCGTGCGAGGTTTAGACCTACTATGTGATGGTCTATTAGCAAATGTGGAGCGGAACCGTCATCTTGAGCAGAGCTTCCAGAACCATTTCAGCGCTCCAAAACAGCGTACAAAACGGCAGGTCCAAGGCAAAGGCCTCAGTTCTATCACAGGTCGTCTATATCCTCATGATGCACAAAATTCAATTAGAGAGCGCAAGGCACGTGAGCAGAAGGCAGCAGAGGCTCGCGCAGCAAAGGATGCACGACCAAACTTAGGTGAAAAAACGCCGATTTCTCCTACAGAACCCCCTCCAATCGAGCCCAAATTGCCCTCACCGAGAACTATCAGACGTCGCGAGTTCAATGAGAGGATGAAAAAATATAGAGGCAAAGCGAAGGTCTACGGAGCGCCGTCGCCGTCGAGGGGGGGTGAAATTTTATTGGGGTGGCGTGGTTATCGGCGTGGCGTGGTGCACCCACTTGGCGACGACCTGGAGCGAGTGGGGGCACTGACTAAGGCACCGGTACCCAAAAAGCAATATGGCGAAGTCAGTGACAAGTCAGGGCCACCCAGTGATCGGGTCACTTAGCCCGACCCATCAACCCCCACTCACCTCCAGGACCAGGAGCACCATTGGCCGCTTCATTGCCAAGTTTGCGGCCGTTTGTCACTTCAGCTCCACTATTTCCTTGCCTGTCCAAAATGGCCATGGCAAGCGCACCAGAGATCGATGAGGCGCTTATTGTGACCCCCCATACGCCCAAGCCAGAGAAGTCACCTGGGACTAGCAAGAGAAAGGTCACCCCATCGTCTGAGTTGTCGTCCCCGAGCAAAAGCTTCATTTTATCTCCTTATGGGGCTTTCTCTTCAGAGAGGACGGTTCTCCGTCTGGGTGACTCTCCCCTCTTCGAGCCATCGATGCGTCTTTTCCCATCAGGCGAAGCTGTGATCAGTAAGTTTTCATCAAGCCTACTTTTGTACCATCTACTTATTAATATGTTTCAGACAAGAGAACTCCTCTTAAGACGACGCACGCCCACCCCGAGTCGCCAGAGTCGTCGTTACCGGGGATCCAAATTCCCCCATCTCGTCATCTCGTTCTTCCATTCAATCTCCGGCAGAATCGAGTCTTCACCGAGAATTCTGAGTTATTGTACCGCCTCTTTCCGGACACAAAAGCAGTGTGGTTTGATGGCTATTTCTTGGTGTTTTGGCTCGATACCTTGCCGCCGAAGCCCTGGCCGATTACTATTGCCGGTGTCCAGCCTTACTTCACGACTGATCCGAATGATGATGGTCCATTCCCGCCGATCAAACGCTCGAGCAAATCGCGCCTTCGTGTGTCCGCTGAAATCAGCGCTACCAACCTTCCACCCGCTAAAATTGACGATGCATTCGAGCTGGTCTTTGACTTTTTCGCTAAATCTGAAATTTCGATTACGGAGGTTCAGTACTGGAACAATTTCTTTGTCATTGTTCTAGAGAATGAGGACACCGATATCGCTGAAGTTCCTTGTGCCATAGGTCGCTGTAACTGTTTCTACATGTTCGAGAAGGAGATGGGACGTCCAAAACTCAACGAATTCCCGGCCTGCCGGATCCGTAATCCGACTGGCGATGTCGTCGACAACAGCGAGTATGATATATTGCGTCCTGGTGTCATGTTGAGCTCTGGTATACATCATACTACTCACACTGAGTATCGTACCACCTCCGGCGTCCTGGTTGAAGATGGTCGAGGCGAGAGGTACATGACTGCCGCCTCCCATGGTTTCCCAGATGGTGATAAAGTGTTTCATCCGTGCGGCGTGGGAAAGGAAGTTGGACAGATCAGCTTGAACATTTCCCATACCGACATCTCCCTGGTCAAACTGCACGACAACGTCCACTTTGTCAATGAAACTTTCGAGAGTCCACTTGACGGAGCAACACCTACACAATTGAAGGATTTCATCCCAGTCGACCAGGTACAGATCGGCTGCATGGTCTACATGAACAGTCCATTCCTTGGTTACTCCGAAGGTACGTGTGGTCCGCATGGGCGGATGCGCGTTCCGAATGATGACCCCAACGAGCCTGAACTGGAATGGGTCAAGACTCGCTGGCTCTATTTAGGTCAAGGATTCATCGATCACCTTGAAGACGGCGTTTGCGGATCCGTGATCTGGAATGACGATGGGAATGTCATTGGATTCTTCCGATATGCACCGAGATCAGGGCACTTCTTGAACTGGTGTCTTACTGTCACATCTGATAATGTCATCAAACGAGGTTTTAAGATTGCCAGATAGTTAGGTCGCTGAATTTTCGCTTTGCAAAAGCTTTACGCAATAGATCTTAGTCACATACGGAATATATGCGTGGGCGGCGATTGCTAGTCTACCGGACCTATTTGCTTTGGGGAATGGATTGTGGCGAATATTTGCTATGGCGGAATTGGGGTTTTTCGCATTTCTTATATGACTGGTGACTAGTTAGTGTTATTCTCTCAATAGTTTGATGAACTCGACCTTTTACAGAATTGACCACCCTTATATCGATCTCTATTTTGCTATACGGTACTAATTTCATCGAGTTGTTGCATCCCAGGGTTCCATTGAGATTAACTGAGAAGGATCGTCGCACTACCGGGCCGGAAACGATCGCCAGCCACTTCTGAGGTTTAGTCTTGCTTGGTATTTAGGATTTGACGACTGGAATCATATCAAGTGCGTGAAAGATGGCACTTTCCATCTCCCCTTGTCCGTGTTGTCAGTGGGGTTCCGGTTTGGGAATTCCGAGAGCTGCATCACGTGTGAGGGCGTCAGGTCAGGGTCCAGGCACAAGCGTAGTGAAAACGGGATGAGGGTGGAAGTAAACAGCATCGGCCCTGGGAAAGGGCATAAGTTTTACGATTGCTTCAGCCTGTTAGCAGAGGCCTCAAGACGGCCTTCAGTTCGGCCGTTTGCTCCTGGCCGCTAACTATCTCATCGTTAAATAAAGCATCTGTTACCACACTGTACTAACGAAACTTTTTTATCGCTAGACACTCGAAGATGCCTACTCCTTAGAGCTAGCGGAACACCCGATCCATGACCAAGCTAGACTGCAACAAACAACTTCCTGTGTCATGGACTGCTAGATTTGCCCGGTTATCTTTAGATGCGTGCGTGTCCTGAGAATTAAATCATTCGATGTTGAACCCCCACTGGCAGAAAAGAACGTGACGTATCATAGGATATCCAAACGTACAGTACTTATGCTAAGGGAACTAGTTGAGAGGATTGATTGAAGAGCCACAGTACTGTACGCCTGGGAATTTGTATCGCCTACACTTTTCGATCGTTTCCTGAAACCTGATTACTAATCCATGCTGGTGTGACGGTTGAACCTGGGAATAGTTTGTATCAGGAATGCCCTGTATAGCTAGGGAAATACACTGGATTTACTGGCCAGCGAAAGACAACGGAATCAAAAGGGGAAAATACCAAAAGATGCAAAAAAGTGTTTATTCTTCTTCCCTGAAACTGCTGGGGGTTGAGGGGGTTAATATACCCTCAAGAATACCTGTGACTCGGTGGTTACATATCCGAGGTTGCGAAAGGTGGCGAAAAGTACGCGTAATCCCAATACCGAATACCATATCTTCGGAAACCTCAAAGAGGTACCGTTTAAGTCAATACAGTGTCGATCACCATTTTCCTGACAGTTTGTTTCATCCCGAGGGAATGGTGCCGAAGGCATACATTATTAGTTGGAAGGCGGTGGACCGCGTATGTGATGGCTACCAGTGCAAGTAGATGAACAAGTCTGATTTCAATTACAACCCCTGAGCTAACAATTTATAAGGGGTAAAACTAATTAACGTAATCCACGGCCGAGTGACGCACACGGCCGTGTGACGCACCCCAAAACACCATAATAAATGCGATAAATTACACATCATATCTCAGCAACCATAGACTTACATGACTTCAGAATTTGTCTCAAGACTTTTCTAATCATCAAAGGCAACATAGGTTCATATCAATTATTTCAATTATCATTTTGGTATGATTACAAAAAGTTACAAGATAATCTCGACCTTGAGCATGTGTCGCAGCTAGCTGATACAGTATGGCATTGTATGCAAGAATGGGGCTAATCTACCAAGGGGAACCAATCCAAAAAGATAGGATGAATTGATTGAAGAAATGGAGAAAAGAGCGCATGCTGCGAGGACACGTTAGGGTGTCCTTGCTTACATGAGTAGGGTGAGGGGTTGAACCTCCCGATCTCGGAGTGTCGAGAATCCCCTAGTACAAATGAAGATATCACGACACAAACGGAACTAAACTATTTCGGGTGCTACCCCACTATCCTCGACATTTCCCCCGCCTCGGAGATTAACGTAATTCACCACCGAGTGAGCCCCACCGCCGAGTGAGCCACCCAACCAACTACTTTTCTAATATTTAGGGCATTTTATCAACCATAAAGCCAATATTTATTGAGCAATCTCTAACTGGACATGCATTTCTCTTATGGCCCATCTCCCCACATTTACCATATTTTGGTAGGCGTCGTTGCGATGTTGCTACAGCAGTTTGAATATGCTACGACGGTAGTGCTGGTACTGGTGGTGCTTGTGGTATAGGCTCAGGCGCTTGTACGAGCTCCTGAACTTCCTGCACTGATAATCCTCCATCGTGTGGTATTATTCTATTTGATCGACGTCGCTTTGCTTCTTTTTCTCTAGCTCAGCACGTAGACCCTGGTTTTCTTGCTTGGTAAAAATTAGCTCTGTCATGACTTGCCCAAGCGCTTTATATGCCTGGTCAACCACCTGTTTTGTAGGCGTTGGCGAGCTTTCCGATCGATATTTTAGTAAATTGTTAGCTGATATTGCGTGCTTTGCGAGCTGCGCAAAATTTACAGGTGTTGTAGGGTAGTAAATGCTTGGTCGGCTTGAAGGTCGCCCGGGTAATAATGTTGGCGTTTGAAGTTGAATCTTAAGCTTATTAAGCACTGGTTCTGGGTTTATTGGGTTTAAACCGGCTGCTTTAAAGCTATTTTTGATCTTATCCGATTTAAATGCGTCGGTACGAGCTTGTGGGTATGCTGCGAGGAAATCAAGCTTGTCGATATGGTTAATACCGAGCCGCAATTTCTGGTCAACTAAGCTTCCGTATGAGCGTTTAAGAACTGCAAAACACCCGATATCGAGCGGCTGTAAAAGATGAGAGCTATGAGCTGGCATACAGATCGGTGTGATCTTATTTTCTGAGCAAAGTTGATCGAATTGTGGTGTTAAATGACTGCCGTGGCCGTCGAGGACTACTAGTCGATATTGACCAATTGTACGGGGATTTGTCGATGGAATAACACTTTTTGAAGCCACCGAAGGCCTATTTCGTCGATTGTCCACCCGTTTGCGCTAACCTCGAAGCACCAGTCGGGTGGAAGATTTATCAAACCACGACTCTTTATAGACTTTGCCTTTAAAGATAATCGTTGGTGGAAGCGCCCACCCTGAAGCGCTGATTGACTCGATCACGGTTACCCAGGTGCGATTTCCTGGCTGTAGGACCGATCTTCGACCGTAATATTCTGCTCGCGTAATAACTCTCGCGGTTGCGGTAAGGCCCATCGCGAAGCCAGTCTCGTCAAAGTTATAGATATCCTCCGATAGGATACCGTATGTAGAGATCGCGGTTTGTACGGTAGTAAACCACTCGCGTAGGACCTTTGGATCTTCCTGTTGTGCGCGCTCGTAATTATATCGCCGTGAAAAGCGAGATTTAATCTCTGGGTGGCGTTTGACAAATTTTGTGACCCAGTTTTGGCCAATCGGTGTAGTGTTGCTTGTACCGCGATGTCGTAGTAAAAAATCAGCCATTTCTCGCACTGTAGAGGGTCTAGGTGCCCCACCACGATCGTCCATTGAGAGAATCCATTGTAGCAGTGAGTTCTCTTCGATTTCTGTCAATTTATGGCCATTTGGGCGCGTTTCAGCGCGACTTGTTGTACCGCGGAGCCGACGCGTGAGCGTACAACGGTTGACCTGGAATCGCTCTGCAGCCTGCCGAATCGAGCTAATTTCCTTGTTTTTTATAGCTTGTATGGCCAACGATATACGACCCTCTTGCTGTATAGCATTTTGGCTTGATCCAACGCGATTTAGAGACATGGTTGTTGGTGGAAGATAGAGGGACGCGTGGAGACGCGATTTTTTGGTTGGGCGGCTCACTCGGCGGTGGGGCTCACTCGGTGGTGAATTACGTTAAATCGCGTGTGTGCCTTGTTTACGAGGCATGATCGCCTTGGGGTCTCTCCCACCTCTTACGCCTCTTCCGTTTCCCTTTTCTCAGGAACTTCAAGATGTATACGGAGTCCACCTGCAGAACTCCGGGCACGGTTTTGCGGTCCGTCGCTGAGAACGTATGCCCACTTCTCCCGACCTCGTGGTATATACCCAAGATGGGCAGGTATCTGCCCCCTATTTCCAATTGCGATCAGCGGGCATCTGAGGGATAGCAAGCGTGTTCTTTTACGGGAGTGGCTGAGACGCGCTATGGCATATGTGACCGTGCGAGCGGAGCCTCAGGGACGTCGCCAAGGACCAAAAGGATCCCGTTTGGTGCCTTTATCCACCAGTTTGACGGGCCAGGTTCAGGAACACGAGGGTCTCCGCCAATTGCCGAGCAACGATCGACAGCAACCCGACGAATTGCTCATATACAGACATCTTGGCACGCCCAACGCGATTGGATTCCCCTGAATCGACCATGCGGCTGATCTGTGGTTTGTACGGAACACTCCGTATAGTTTTGACAATGGGCTACAGGGTCTTCGTATAAAAGCGGCTCCGTCGAGTCCTTGTGGACTTGCTTGGTTTTCAGACTCACAATCCCCTCTTGGGCGTGCTTTCACAGATTAGCCCGCAAAGTCCGACCCCTTGTCCCTCTTTTTTGAAGAATGGGCCCTTCGCGCCTTTCCTGGCTGGCTTATGGCCTTGCCTCTGCCCTCTTGGGCCAGGTCGCCTCGGCCACTCAAGCCACTCAACTAGAGCCTATTGATATCCTTGGGAACGCGCCAGGCCGTTTGGTCGTTCGTGACAATGACTACACTAAGTTGGATCTTCTCAGCACGGAGACCTTCCTGTGGGGCGGTACGTACGGATACAATTGATGTTCTATACAACACGTGAGACTAATGAGTCTGCACTGCGTGTAGGTTTGAGTGGAAAGGGCAAATACGCCCTCGGCAACTTCACGGCTTACATGCCAGGCAAGCACGAGAACATTATCGCCATGGAGAAGTTCTACCCTTGGCTCAAGTCAACCGAGTGCACTAAGGACAGCCTGACTATGCACTTTGAGGATGAGGAGGCTTACCGCTATGGTGCCAAAGCCTGGAAGTGGGTTAACGATGCAGAGGATCACACCTTCGTGCTTGTTGCCGGAAGGGGCCACTGCCAGTGGAATGAGGACCGTCTGCCTTTCACTATCACCGATGTCGAATTCGATGACTGCGCGAACACTATCAAGGCCATTGGTAAAGCTACTGACTGGCCTAAGGCAACTCATACATATGAGCTCTTTGTTGGCGGTCGTCCTGCCTCGAAAAAGCGCGATTATGATGATTCCTACTCATTCGATATCAGTCAGGAGTTACCGCTTAACAAAGCGGCATTCACTTACGACGGTGTCCAGCTTGAGTACACTTGCGATGGCTGTGGCACGAGCGGAGAGTTTGAATTCGCCTTCCATATGAAAACCGAGTACATGATCCCGGTTGACGTGGAACTTGCTGTTTCTCCTCGTGAAGTTGAAGCAAAGTTTGAGCCGCAGCTGAAACTAAGTGCCCAGATGGGCAAGGTCGAAATGGAGAGATCTCTCGGATCAATCCCTATTGCTGGTGTCTCTATTGCTGGAGGCATTCTCGACCTCGGCCCTAGAATTGAATTTAGTCTCGCGACCGAAATTGAGCTTAAGGGAAGTGCTGCAATTTCAGGAGGTGGCACTGCTAGTTTGGAAGATTCCGCCCAGTTGACACTCGACTTGCTGGATGCTGGCGTTGCTTCAAGTGGTTGGTCGCCGCAGTTCACTCCGAAGCCGTTGACCTTCGACGCGGCTCTGGAAGGCTCTTTGAAAGTTGGCCTCAAAACCAGCGTTGGGCTGGAAGTGTCAGCTCTTAGTAAGACTACTTTTGATATGGTCTCCTGATTCATCTGTTGACGCGCATTAGATGAGGGGTATGAGGCGAGTGTCGAGCTCTTCGCTTACCTGGGCATTGATGCCGCGTTGAAGGAGTGTAAGTGATACCTTGTCTTTCTCCGATTAAACAAATTTACTCACCTAAGGCAGCAACCGAGGACGCTTGTGAAGAGGCAAAGGGTTCGCACTACGCTCTGATCGCCGAACCACTTGTTGGTGTCGACCTTTCCGCGGGGGTCGAGGAAGCGGATGGAAAGGACATTGCGGTGGCGGAACTCGGGGTGAGTCTTCATTTTACTCCTATATCACGTCCTATACTAATCTGCCCATTCCTAGGTGGCATCCTGGAAGTTGGCCACCTGGTGTACCGGACTCGACAAGCCACCAAGCGCCCCTAGCACATCATACTCATCGAGCTTCCCCTCGATCCCTACCTACTCTTCGCCAGCCCCGTACCATCTTACCTCTGCTCCTTCGTCGTCGTTCCCGGCTCCCCTCACTCCAATTCCCGAGCCCTCTTCGTGGTGGTACCCCTCTGGATCGTCCCCAGCATCGTCCCCTTACACCCCGACCGGATCGCCGACAGGCGTCCCGCGGCCCTCAAGCTCGGCAACTTACTGGCCTCCTCCACCTTCGTCTGGCCCGGCTTCCCCTCTGCCTACCTCAAGTGGAGTGACTCCCATTCCTTTGCCTCGGCCTACTTCCATTAGCATTCCCCTGCCTCCGCCTCCGCCTCCTGCTAGCAGCAGCTCCAGCACTTTCGTTTCAGTTGTCTACAAGAGAGATTCTGGTCGCATCCAGTAGTCCAAATTCCTTCATTCCGAGCAGGCTGCTATTGTGACAGTCATTACCACACTTGCATATTTTTTCTCTTCTTTTTATACCTCTTTTCACTTCGACCAGACTCCTTCATTTACTTTCGTCCACACTTGCGGATTTTTTCTTCTTTATATTTCGCAAGCTCGCAAGCTTCTGTCGAGGTCTGCTGTCAGGCATCGATATCTTGATCCAAAAGACATCGGTGTCTTCAAGATCTCGATTGTGACTGCCGGCCAACAGTCCAAAACATCCAAACAGATATTTGTATATTAGGTACATCGACTCGGAAGCAGCGCGGAGGTCTACAGGATGCAAGAAGAGCAGGGATACGGGCCGATTCTATTGATTCTTCACTATATCAGCCTGACCGCTGCGTCAAGTTAAATTCCCTTGTATCTTCCCATTTTCTGCAGTTCTGTATCTTTTTTCAAATCATCATCAACCAATCGCATCCAAATCTCCAAGATATTCTTCACTACCTTCTCGTCAATCCCCTGTTGTATCTCAACAGATGGAAGGGTACACTATTGAGTACCACCCTTTTTTCCGTGGCTTCTTGAAGGAGATCGCCTTCTTCGTCGCGTTTTGTGTATTGCCAAGAGTCTTTGACAACGAGCGGAACCTCAGGGTCCTCTTCGCGACGCGCTTTCCAACACGTTGTTGCTCGACCCGCGATGCAAGGTGCTCGTTTCATCAATTTCTCGAGGACGACGCGCTCGGCATGCCCATTCTGCTCTATCTCGATGAATCGCCGGCCGTCTTTCGTGATGATTGTAGGGTCAAATCCACATTCCGCCTCGCTCATCCATAGAAAACCAAGAATGGTGGACACAAACTGGAGACCATCCTCGTTGATATCAAAACGCTCGGATGCGACTCCTCCCAGGCGGTCAAAGACCCATACCCTCACTAGAGATCCACAGAGAGTAAAGCCTAAGACAAAGCGACGGGTATCTTGGGCTGCAAGGACTTCCCTGGCGTACCTCCCCAAGTCAAGCCATGCCTTGGAAGTGGTATCGGCAGATGGATTGGTTTTCAGCTCTCCAGGCACGAGGATCTCTGACCACTGACATCGGGTATCCTTGCCCGCGTTAGTGTCACTCACGAAGCCAATATCCAGTTTGCGCTCTGCTGTAGAGCCTTGAATAGGCTTGTTGGGCTGTGCTAGTGGCCTTCGCATATGCGTCGAATTTGGATTGTAGTCTTTCGAGAGTTTGGCCAGCATTTCGCTCAGATCTGCAAACCAAGTCAAGAAATCCTCCTGATTTGCATCCTCTGGCCATCCTTTCCACCCATCAGCGTAAATAGCATCTCTGCCTTCTGTGCAACTTTTGAACACGGCATCGGATGCTGATTGAAGACCACTGACGTGTCCGAAAAATGTCGAATGGAAATGCGGGAGCCCACATCCTACTCGAATGCCGAAACTGCGCAGACGAGCGACATCGAATGTGGGCAGGCAAGGCTCTATGCATTGACATCAAGCGGATTCTCTGTAGCCCGTCAGTGGTAGTACAAGCAGCCAAGATGTTCTTGGCGACTGGACTGCTGGGACAATTCCGAGCAGTACCATCCACGGTGCTAAAATACACATAGCGAAGACGAGTGATTTTTGGTATATAGAAGAAGAGGAGGGCCAGGAAACGCCTAACAAGTACAGAGACACAGAACAACCATTACAGTTATGAGGAGGGGGGCGACCGGCCGGAGCGGATTGGGAAGTCATTCGGACAAGGAACGGCTTGTTTTCTGAAAGCGAGGGCGGGGACACCTGTTCTTATAGCTGGACGCTGCATAGCTGCCTTAGGGCGGCTGGGACAGTCTATGAATAAATCAATCAATCAATCGATTCTAGGATAGGCCACGCTGCTCCCAGGTCCTGACGAATCGTTCCCAGGAGACCTCTAGCTCCTGGGAGTACACAGACCAAATTCTGGGAGCTCTGGATGGTGGCCCAGGAGCACCAAGTCGGGCACTGGGAGATTGCACGAGCTTCCTGGGCAAGCCCTTCTGCACACTGGGAGCATTTTTGCTCCTGGAAACCTAGGCACAGTTCCAGAGGCAGCCGCAGGTCCTCTACAATGACGTTGCTCAATTCTTTGGAGGCACCAGCGGTGATGTGGCGAAGAGAGTTGGATTACCCAATCCAATATATACTGTATGCCCTCAAGAATAAAAGATAGTTAATATTGAAGAATGCATCTGCGCGGTCTACGGGTGACCACAAGTCTCACATTGACTACTCCACCAGACAGACAAAGGATTACTCGAACACGACTGGTTCGAAGTACCACCGCTGCGGCAAAGAGGAGCGTTGACGCCGACATATCAAAAAGATGACGGTAGCTAAGATACCCGCCCCTGATTTCAATTATAGGCGTATGCTAGTCAACGGTGGAACGAGATAGCCTTCGGTGAAATTTTTGAGGCATAAGCTGAGAAGCTTTTAAGCTCATCCTTGAGATTGACGAAGGATCGCGGGAGACAGATTGATCAATCAGATGAGACATCGTTTCAAAACACGCTCTAGACCGCACTTTATTGGCATAATGGAAATATCAGCTCTTGTACACAGTGGGAAAGATGGTGCATGCGAGTACATTTACAGGAAGATTGTTTTTGATGAGAGTATCTCACCTACCTTCCCTACCTTCTTGACATTTTTCTGCGGCCACGCCTGATTCTACGCATTCACTTTGCTATTTGCTCAAAACTGACGACTCAATCAGAGACTATCGGCATCAATCAATCTCTACGCCTATAAATACCTCGTCCGACGTCTCCTCCCGTGGCATTCTCCAGCAAACGACAGCAACAGGTCCTGTCAGCAAAGGCAGTTCGGTGCGTCTCGCCCATAGAGCTCCTTCCTCACAAGAGATTCAACTACCCAGCCAGGACAGGTACGTCTTTGTTGTCTATGATGTCCATCGGCGAATGACAGCGCGATGGCTAATCCTCATAGCATACAGAAGTGGGAGGGATGGAGAATGAGAGAGAGGTAAGCCTATTCTCTATGTGTTGTGATATGTCGTATCGTAACGGAATCAATTCCTAACCTCACGGAATTACCAGCTTTGATTGGAAATCAATCTGGAGGTCGCATGTGTATATAAACCCTCAAGTTTTCTGTCCAGAAGGAATACAAGCAATCTTCCTCTGAATTACAACAATCAGGAACACGTCGATCTGGGCATATCACATGAGCCCAATGCACCCGGCAAACTGGGGTTGACAGTGTAAAGATATATATTGTAGTGGGGAGACCCCCTCCCCCTACTACATGGGTGCCATCCAGACTATGTGACATAGCCGGCAGTATACAGTGGCCGGATAGCTAGTTCTAGAATACACCTTTTTACACCTCCCTGACCTGACCCCTACATTTGGGCTTCTCGCTGTTTGCTGATTGCTACGCGTGCGTTTTGTGGTGGTTTTTCCGCTGAATCGACCCGCACGTCTCAGAGCGTGCTGCCATCGAGCGTTCCCCTCTTCAATATCTAGCTCCTCCTACTCCGAGAGTGACTTCTGGGAGTCGACACTGGAGTCACGTATATTTCTCTTAAGAGATTAATAATTAGTGAATCCGATCAGGTGTGGCCTTAGAATTGTCAGGAATTAACGTATGGCCTCATGCACCTGGCAAACTTGGGTTGATATAGGTACCTGCGTGTGAATATATATACCTCAAAGACGGGGATACACATCTAACGTAATTCACTACCGAGTCGCCCACCCTACCGAGCCGCCCGCTTCGCTCGGCCCCTACCATTATTTTTGAATATTACTCGATCACCAGGAATTGTATGAAATTGATAAATATATCAAACTAAGCCGGGCAGTGTGTTCTCTTATGCCCAAGAGTATTGCAATTCGAACAACGCGGCGGCGCTCTCTGAAATGTCGTTTTTCCTGTCCCACTAGGACCTGCCGTAGTAGTATCATTGGCACGAACATATTCCTCCTCCCACTGTGCGCGCGTACAACCCTCCGATCGACCAATATTTGTGCCAGGAATTGCTTGTTTCTTCTGCTGCTTAGCATGGGTAGCGTGCATTCGGTTGATATCAGCTAAATATAGCGTTTTTTCATGCATACTAGCGCGCGCGCTCTTTGCTAATTGTTCGATTTGCACCAAAGCTCTCTCAATATTGGTATCCAGCGCTAATTGGCGAGCTTGCTGTAGTAATTTGCCAATTGATCGTGTTTGCCGCTGAATTTCAGTAGGCTTTTGTGGTGTACAGGGGATAAAACCACTGCTGCCGCTCTCTCCTGCCCTACTCCTGGGGGAGTAACATTGATATGGATATTCAATTTTTCTAATACCCTCTGCGCAGAGAGAGGTAGAAGACCAGCGCCAGCAAAAGCATTTCGAATAGTTGATTGTGTGTATGCCTTTGTGCGCGCATAGGGGTAATTGGACAAGAAATCAAGCTTGTCGATGTGGTGTATACCATCCACTATCATTGACTGAACCAATTGACCATATTCTTGCTTGATAATAGAGAAACAACCTACATCAAGTGGTTGAAGTAGGTGAGACGAATGTGGCGGCATATAGAGATGATATTATTATCTCTACATATTTGGTCAAATTGAGCAGTCATATGGCTTCCATGTCCATCCAAAATTAGGAGACGCCACTTGCCCTTTGTATAACCATTAGTCAATGGTATAAAGTGGTTTGTTAACCACCGAAGGCCAATTTCATTAGTCGTCCATCCATTATTGCTAACCTCAATATGCCAGTCGCGAGGGAGGTCAATTTCGGAGGAAAACCAGGCCGAATTGTAGGTTTTCGCTTTGAATATGAGCACCGGCGGAAGCGCCCATCCACTCATACAAATTGTTTCAACTGCCGTTACCCACTCACGATTCCCCGGTTGGATTTTAGTCCTTCGTCCATAGTAACCAGCGCGAGTTACTACTTTAGAAGTGCTACAGAGGCCCATTGCGAAGCCAGTTTCGTCAAAATTGTAGATATCGTCTTGGTGGATACCGTATTTGCAAATAACCTCTTGAATAAGGTCAAACCATTGCTGAATTAGCTTTGGGTCCTCACAGAGAGCACGCTGATAGTCCCTACAGCGTGTGTATCGTGTATCAAGCTCTGGCGTGCGCTTAATAAATTTGGTGACCCAATTCTTGCCGACCGTGACCGGAGGACCTTTGCCGCGCTGAGATAGTAGCAAATTTGCCATCTCTCGCACCAATTCATGCCTAGGAGCAATTCCACGGTCGTCCATAGAAAGAACCCAATTCTCTAGCGATTTCTCCTCCAATTCAGTCAATTTATGGCTGTTTGCGCGCGTGGCAGTGCGTTCAGTTGTGCCACTGCGGCGACCGCGGAGGGTAGTACGAGGAACATCATATAGGTCTGCAGCGCGTCGGACAGTCAATTTTTCGTCGTTTTTGAGAGCCTCTATAGCAAGTAATAACCTGCCCTCTTGGTTCTCACGCGTATGGACGGTAATATTGCGAATTGGTGGCATGGTTGCCGGATGAAGTGGTAGGAAGGGATAGAAATACGCGTTCGCGGGCGGAGCGGGCGGCTCGGTAGGGTGGGCGACTCGGTAGTGAATCACGTTATACTCTAAATGTGCTCATTCGGTGTGGTGAAGCTTAGGTCTGGTACGATCGTGCGACCGGAGTGTGGATGATTCTCCAACTGCATCATATAGCAATTCTTGTCCGAATGAATCGTGAATAGTCTATGACTGTGCCTGGCAGGGTCGCTGCGGTCGGCGGTTGCGGATTTCGCGAATTTGATGGGGTGTGGGTCTTCCGGGCACGCACTCTGAACCAATGGGAGCGCGGATAAATCAAGAGAGCCCTGTCTTTTTTATGGCATTATGGATTAACTGGTGACGCGCGCTGTCGCACGCTGTGGCCCTGAAACGAAACAAGCACGAAAGGTGAATCATAAGTTGAGGAATGATATATGGAAGTCGAACGATTAGTTTTGATAACCCACCGGAAAGGTACACACGTATGCCTGCTAGGACTAGCCAATTATATACAGACTGAGTGACGTAGCAAAGTTTTGCGTGGGGTGTGATGATTGGACGAGCACGCGAGCGAAAATATATCCATAAAGTCAAAATGAATTGAGAAGAGCGGGGCATGCATAAAAAGGAGATAGTTCACGCGATACATGAGCTCGTTATAAAAGTGAATCCATCTTCGAAAATTTACGACTTCTCTTGGGTCGACGGCCCGGAAGGATTGTGTCAGCAGACGAACCGTCTTCCAGGCGAGTCGGTTGGTCAGCAGTTGTTTCCTTACCGATGAGTTCTTCGCAGAGCTCAGATTCTATCAGAAGGCGAGGGTCACTAGAGTGACAAGTCTGGACATCGTCGTCTTGTGGTTGGGAATCAGAAGTCGAGGTCAGCGTGCGAGGTCTCTTTGTTGGAGTTGCTGGGTTGGCACGACTGTTCCATCTGTCTGCTTGTTTCTGCTTTCCCACCGATGAGGTACGAGTCACTGGAGCTGTAGTAATGAAGCTGAGATTTGGAATAAAAAAAACATCATCCACGCCAATTGCAAGCCGAGGCGTGTTAGTAGTGATACCGAAAATTCTCCCGTGATAAATATACGGGACTGTCTAGAAAGAACGGGAAATTTTGTCCAACGGTTTCCGTTCCTGAAGTAAATAGAAACTGTAAATGTCACCGACGCCTTGTTGGACGGGTCGTAGACATTAGTCTCGAGGTCGTAATGCAATAGATTAGACCCATTGTTCAACTGCCCCCCTCCGCCTCGGACTATTCCCAGTAAGCTAACTGTAGGGAGAGCGGCCTCTGGGCAGTGCATATTGTATGCATGAGGATCAGAATGGTCACCAGGATGGCTAAGGAAACCTTCAGCGGTGGGGAGGCAAGGGTGGCGTTATGATACGGGATCTCACCAGTCAACCTCATGGGCGTGTAAAATCAGACGTAGAGACTCTTCCGGGTCGACACAGGTTAAGAAGGAGCCCCAAGCGTAGATGAATTTGTTGGGTTTGTAAGATTGAGGGTTACGCGGCGAGGCAAAGAAAAGTATGGTAGTCGGAAGCTCATTCAATTCAACATCGTCTGAGTAGAGATCCGTTTGGAAAGGAAGATGTAAGGACGCCTCAATTTGTAGAGCAAGTCCCTGGCTGGGCCGAGATGGGTCGGGTCCCACGCTGTCTATGAAGTCCCTCAAGTGAAGAATAGCGGGCGAGTTAACCTGAGACGGCATAAGGGCAACGATCTGGGAGGAAATAAAGACCGAGATAGTGCAAGGCGGAAGGGTGATGGACAAGAAGAAGTGGCATTCAAGACTTTCACAGAGATATGAAATATATGTGTAAAAAACATCTAGTGTCTGGATATCAAATTGATACAAGATTGGCAATGCAATGAAACGGAAAACTTTACAGTATTATTTCCAAGCCACACGGAGAGATTTGATCGTATATAGCGAGCGAGAAGGCTTGGGAAAGTAAAAGTGCAGAGCGCATGATCACAACACCAATAATAATGCCAGAATATCTTCACTAAAAGAGAGTGATGATGTCGACAATGTTGGGCCAAGAACGTAGACAACGGTCCCCATCACAAGGATACGAGGTCCACGAGGAAAGGGGGCTGCATGGGTGCTAGCACGTGTTAAAGTTCCGGAAACGCGAAGCCGAACCCAATAAGAATACTTTCAGTGATTTTAGCGCGAACGCCATCCCCGAAACGAAAATAGCAGCAAAAACCCAATGGTGCGGATGGGGTCAGAGTGAGCAACAACACTGAAAAGCTACAAAAACGCCAGCAGGGGAGCGGATTGGACAAAGAACGGAAAACTAGAGTCGTTTCCGGTATAATTATTGTCCAATATCACTGGAAGCATGCGTCCAATATCACTGGAAGCATGCGTCCAATATCATTGGAAGCCTTTGTCCAATATCATTGGAAGCCTTTGTCCAATAGCACTCAAGCCTTCGTCCAATGATACCGAAGCACGGCGAGCCAATCATCGCGATTTCGGTCCATTTTCGCCACGATTTTGTATGGAATGGACCTTTGGCAGTCTGTTGAGTCGCGAAAATATATAGTTCGTGTCACGTGCATCCGTTTCCCCTTCCTCTCACTTCGTTCGTTTCAGGGCAATTTCAACCCATGGTCGCTTATTTTTAGCGTGAAACTAGCGTAGACTGATTATAAATACCAATTTAAACTACAATCCTATTGTTTACATATTTGCCAAAATATGTCTGTCTTCAATTGTCCAGACTTTGCAACACGCTTTGAGTCTACATTTAATGATCCATTGGTCGATTTTCAAGACCTTCCCCCTCAGTCTAACAATCCAGTAACTACATTTCGAGCATTAGCTTTTAATCCACCTGTGGTGAGTTATCTTAACACATGTTGGGCATATATTGATTATAGAATTATAAGGTTGAATCTGAAGATGATTCATCTTCAGAATCAGTTTATGAGGACTGCTCTGAGTTTCCGTTCACAGTGGGTACAGATCGCGATACCCAACACACTCCAACAATTCCACTTAGTATGGGATTAGGAAATGGGGATATTTCCGCAGATGGTGCTGTCATTAGTTCAAACGGGCGATCTTCTGTCAAGGCCTATGAATTACAGGAGCATACTGTTATTCCAGAATATCCAACCACCTCTGAAAAAGGAGTCTTACATCTTATTCACCTTTCGAAAAACCCTTTGGAAGGGCGTCCAGATGCTCGGTCGGCAGTCACTCCCATTTTTACCTCTCTGATGTCTGAGGTACGTTTGACATATACTTAACATGTAATATTTATGTTAACTATATACTAATTATCAATGCTATATTATTTAGATCCAATTTTCATATGGCCATACTGGAGGGCCATCTTCTCAAATCTTGAACTTCCTTTCACGGTCACCCAAGGACCCAGAGGCAAGTGTCTGGCATCGAACATATCGTTGTCATGGAGTCAAACATTGTGAACACTTTCATCCAGATATGATCACCCCATGTGAAGCATATGACAGGGTCAACCCTCAAATATTTCACGAAGTCCGGAGACGACGTGCTATGCCGTATCTTGGTGGTATTCCCCCAGAACTCCAGAAACGTACACAAGAGCTATATTTTGGCTTTATGCGGACATGGAACTTTGAAGGCCCCTGCAAATCCAGCGAAAACACCCGTACATGTGCGGGTCAGCATCCTTATCTTTGGGAGGATTCTAGAACCAACTATTTTCGGCTTGGATGTCCTTCATTTCATCCCAGAAATGGTAGATGGCATTATATTCAAACTATCACCGATCTACACCGGGTGGATATACGATATCTTCGTCTACTAGTCCAGAGACATGGCATCCAAGCAACAGGATATGATATCAAGAACTGCTTCTTTGTTTCACATCGAACGAAGCAATCTCCACACTGTGGTATGTAGAGATTGCATATGTAATGCATATGTTTTGCATATATTGAATTAACCTTGGATCTAGACTCTCTCCATCCGAAGGGGCATGGGGCAGTAGTGATAAGAGATTGTACAGTCAAGTTCGATGTCTTCATCCCAAAATGCTGGGATAAATTTCCATTTATGCTTCTAGTTTGCCGTGGAAGTCATTTACACTTCCCACCCCCACCAACAAAGCTGCCACAAGAGATTACAGCCCAGATTCGTGAGGCAATTGAACTGCACGATATCAATTCACTCACAGCTCGGTCCTTAATGGTTTCCCCACTCTTCGCTCAATTACGCAAAGCTTCACTGCGTGAACTTCATGCAGGGTTACATATTGAGGATCGGGTTACCGCACTTATCCGGAAGCAAAGGCTTCTTCACTACCCACTGGGCACTGATATTGCTGGAGTCTGGCGTGAATACCAATATGAGAGGACGAAGCCACCTGATCAGCAATGGATTCAGGATGTTTACTTCTTTGATGATGAGCGTCAGAAGTTTCTCATCATATGCTGTACATATGAACAGGCTAAGCTTTTTCAAACTGCACAGTATATTGAAATGGACCTTGCATTCAAGATGGTAGCGGGCAAAACCAATGTTTTCTCAATCGTTTCATGGAATACAGAAGCAAACAGTAAGTGAATCCTATTATCTATCTAGACGCTTTTAATACTGATTTCAGAATAGGAACCAATGTCTATGCGTATGTCTTTATGAATTTGGAAACAACAGTGGCCTACAAAGTGCTCTTTGAACGACTTTTCCGAACTCTAGGGAACGTTGGGCGTAAGCCAGTTTCGTTTGCATATATGCTTGGTGGAGAAGATGCAGCTGAGGGCATCCGGACAGTGACAGTTGATATGTGTAAGAAACAGGCGGCAGGTAGGTTCAATCGTGGTTTTACATGCTTTCGATATGTTCAACATATGCTGACCTTAAGCATTTCTAGGGCTTGGAACCTATCTTGTAGAAACATTTGGCTCAGGCCTTTCATGGAAGGAGCACCTCCAGCATATCTTGATCCTGTGTCGTGTTCATATTAAGCGCGCATTTCGGAAAAAGTTTGGATCCCACCCTGCCACATCTGTTATTGACTTAGCCTTTGCATCAAAGTCAAAGTCTGAGATTCTGAGATATTTCAGTGAGGTTTCAACAACATGGCCTGAAACGGCGAACTGGTTTAAAAATAAACAGCATGATTGGTTATTAGCTGGTCTCACTGGTGAAGCTTCCCGAATTCCGATTCAGTGGTGGACTATGGCGTCTCACCATACTGGGATTTGTGAGAGTAGTCATTTTGTTGATAATGAGGCGATTGGCCGGAAGAACTCTTTGCTTGGTGCAATTCTTAAGTAAGTTTTTGATATATGTTATTCATATGTTAGGCATATGTCTAATCTCACCCTAATAGGACAAAACGCCGTGTTTCCGAGATGCTTGAAAAAAATAAGCGCTATATTGATCAAGACACTGATTCAACATGGAAAGCGCGAGATAATGTTAATCGCATTGCGAAAGCAATGCGACAAACAGGTAAATCCACTTTTTCTCACATATATTAGACATAGCTCATATCTCTCCGACAGATCGGCGGAATCGTAAGAGTGCCGAAAAGCGACAGGAACGTCCAAGCCTCCCCTGGAAGCCAACCAACCCATACGATACCATTGAGGTTGAAGCGCCCCTAATGGGTCCGCCGTCAGCCCCTGCTTCTGATATTGATTCATTAGTGGAGACAGCTTCTGTTGCTGGGCCAGCAACTAGCTATACACCATCGTGCTCTCGTTCCCGCTCACGATCAAGACAACCAAGACAGTCACTAGCAGCCAAGCGAATCCAGCAACTAGAGCAGGAGGTTAAGGATCTTGAAGAGCAGGCAAGGATACAAGAACGCATGGAAAAACGGGCTACATTAATGGCAAAGCTAGCAAATAAACAGATATAGAGCAGAGATTCAAAATTGATTCCATATGTCAGACCTATCAGAAGCATATTAGGAAAAAGGGTCTCGCTTCCTCCCTATCCACGATCATCGCTTCACAGTGGCTCAAATGCGTCACTACTTGATGTCGAAGACCTAGCTAGGGAGTGGGAGATGCAGACTGAGTGTCATTGACACTATTATTACTAGAGACAGGGGGAGTTGTATTATTATCGCTTAGGGTCGCTTGCGTAAAGCCCGGGAAAACGACCGGGTTACCTGGAGGGTTTTGGCCGCGCTGGACCTGGTCAGCATATGGTAAATATATGGGTAAATAAACAAGAACTCACACGTCGAGAACGCCCTCCGCTGGTTGGAGTGACGGGGACCTAGGCGCGATGGAAGCGACGGCCATACTGCTGCCTCCATGATCTGTCATCGCGTGGAATCCGTTCCATATTGTCAGCCCAATGGCCGACTACACTCGCAGCCGGCCCACGGCCTGGCTCATTTACGAAGATATTAGCACACTAGAGCCCACCGCGTACGTAGCGAATCAGCTGGGGATTAGCCCACTGGCGCTCCTCACGCCTAATAGGCCGACGGTCTGGATTAATAACTACTAGGGTTAGCATACGCTAAATATATATCAAACGGGGACACTCACAGCAACCAGAGCGGACATTGCGAAGGTGGCGCCGGAAGTCAGGCTGGGATTCAAAGGTCATCCCACACTGGTGCGTGGGATTTATCTCAACAACAGGACACACGAGGATATTGATTTTAGACAGAACCAAGCGGGGGTTTGGTGGCTGGTTGGCAGCGCCCTCAAGACCAGAAGCCTTTATCTGGTGTCGATGGTTGTTGGCAGCAACTTCCGCGTGCCAGGCTGTTGGCTTCCAGCCCGGATTCGGGTCTGTAATTGTCCCTACTTAGATGATCTTACATTAGCATATACTTTGTATATGTTAGGCATAACACACCGTGGCAGTACCCCCAAAGAAGGTGGGGATTATTGATAATAACTGCATCATTAGGCTCAAAGAATACCCGTGGCAGGTGCTCACCATAAAAGGTGGCAAAGGTAGTGTGGTCTGCCATGATTGGTATGCAAAAAAAAAAAATCAATAAATAGGAAAAAAGTGTGCGGTTAATAAATGTAGAGAAGAGATGGGTGAAGGGGATGGTAGCTGGTGGGCATGTTGTCTGTTTATATATTTTGGATGCGCTTTGTTCATACACAGTGAAGTAAGGTGCTATTCTTTATTCACTAGCGAAACTTCTTTTGACAGCAGCAGCAAATAGCGCGTGCCTTATTTATTCAAACATTCACTACAGCATTAAAGCATATAGAAAAAAGAGGCTTTAAATATGATTACTATATGCACTGTATATGAAATATTGAGGTTACAGGTTAACTAGTTGTTCTGCTAGCGCGTACTTAATCAGCAGTGGTAGCCAATTAAAAACATGAAAAATTGTGGAGCGTGGGTAGAAATTCGGAAAAATGATTTTCCAACCGGGTGGGGCGGGTCACGTTACTTTTCTAACCACGATCAGCTGGAACCCGCTTCGGTCGTTTCAGGGCATAGCTTTTTGTCACGTGCGGGACGTTTCCCTTCCTCTCACTTCGTTCCTCGTTTCAGGGCATGGACTTTTGGCAGTCTGTTGAGTCGCGAGACTTTATAGTTTTTGTCACGTGCGGGACGTTTCCCTTCCTCTCACTTCGTTCGTTTCAGGGCACAGTGACGAACGCAGCGAAACTTTGCGGGCAGCTCGCGCAGGTTAGTAACCCCTTTTACTTCGTTCCTCGTTTCAGGGCAATGGCTTTAGAGTCTGGCGGATGCGGGCTTTCTAATCATGCTAAAATAATCTCCATCCGGGCGTTGTGGTGTAGTAATCACCTGCCACAATTTGCCTGTTGGATACATTATATATACTTCATCTACGAACACCCTTACCCGTTAGAATTACCCGTTAGATTGTTTGGACCCCTCCAAATGATTGGTTAGAAGTGGATCCAAGAAAAGCTTATTTACGAGCAAAACTGAATGAACACGTGTCCAGGGTTGAACCAAGCTCATCTTTTTGAAGCAAGACTGAGGCTCCGATTTTCCCAATTTCCTGACTTTTGAGAATTCCTGGTCAATGTTTCTTAACAATCAGCAAGAAAGCCAAGAATCATAATCCCAGGATACAGGAGCCAGACCGCGATGCATATACTTGCAAAAGTTGCTGGCGGCGAAGTTGACGAGCATTATGATGTTCTCCAGGCATTTTTTGCTGAAGGTGCCGACGGTTCGGGCTTAGTGATGACGTTCCAACGGCAACTCTCTGCAGAAGAGCCGTGGAATGGTGATCCTTCAACAGACGATTATTTCAACAACAGTTATTGCATCACCTTCGGATTGGAAGTGGTATATGGAGGGCTAGAGCAGGTCTCCTTTCTGGATTTCCAAGGATGCTTTTATTTCTCCGATCATGCGGCTGCCGATCTCGGTACAGGACGACTACTCGTCGTTGATTTTGAGGTGTCTGAGCAAGACCGACAGCAGTTTCAACAGTTTCTCAGGGAAGCAGTGACATGGGGAGTCCCTAGTCAGATCCCTCAATTCAACGGTTCAGCCTTCAAAAGTTCCATCATGGAAGCTGAAGCCCCAAACACTCAGCCAAACGAGCCACAAGAAGGAACTAAGGCCAGCAATCACAGGAGCGATCACCTCAAACTCAAATTCATTTCCCAAGAGCAACTGGATCGCGAGCGTGGGAACCCTCCTCCATCCCCTGGGCACATCGTCCACCGTCTTTCCGACTTGCTTTCCGACTTGTCTCACTCCGAACTCGAATTCGTCTCCCAAGAGCAACTGGATCGTGAACGCGGAAACCCACCTGATGATGTGGCGGGTTCCAACGAACCATCCCTCGAGGACATCGAATATCTTTCCAACTCGACTCCTTTCCAGCAGAAAATATGCGATAGCCTGCGCGGTCTGGGCTGGATTGATACCGACATTTGCAACTTTCTGATCCAGCTTGAGAACATGCGAGAGCACATACGGGCTGAACTGAGAATGAAGGGGCAGAGTGAGACCGACATTCAAAAGTTCGAGGACATCTGTAAGACAAACATGAAGGATTTCTCGTACCTCCGACGGTCTGGCGCCAACCGGGCCCTCGAGGAATACCAGACTGAGCTATACCTGCTGCATGAAAACAAGAGACAAAGAAGGGTTATGTTAAATGAAGAATAGTGACAAACTGAGGAGGTGGTCAAATACCACTAGGACCCTTCGGGATTGGCTTATTCATCGTTCACCCAATTTCCACCTAGTATGGTGTCATAACACGCCATAGTTCAACTATAAAGACCCCTGAGATCGCTCAACCGATCGGAGTACCTACAATCAATCATCTTATTCTGTTTGGACATCTTCAGTACTAGCCAGTATATCGATTCCTCATCCTGACAAATAGTTTCTTCTTCGTCCCTTTTTCGTTTAATTACGAGGCTCACTGGAAGGCACGTATACTGTATCTCGGCGGCAGCTCATCGTATCGCCACCTTCTTCCCATTCAGCAAATGGGAGAAACTGAAGCTGATCCGGCTGCAGCGGTCCGTGGCACAATCAGGGGCAGGGCTGAGAGAGTACGAGGTGAAGGGTGTGCGATCGAAGTTACCGTGAGTGGGGCCATATTGTCAATTTCCATCCCATGGGTCGCCCGTCTCGGGTTGATAATCATCGTCATCAAAATGGCTATTGGTCATCGTGAATTATCGTTTTGTGATGAGGGGTAGCCTAAGCAGAACTGTAAGAGGCGAGCCAGTCATCTCTAATATCCAATAAGATCCGATCCCGCGGCATGAATGATAAGCAACGTGGAGATTTCGAAAAGAAGCCTTACTGTTAGCCTTTCTACCAACTTGACCTGAGATGGACACCCAGGGAAGCGGTAGGCTCTCTGCACTGAAGCAACTGCAAGATGCAGAAGAGGATTGATTGATTGATTGATTGATTGATTTGTCATTCTCGGATCTGTCAGCCCATTGGCCGATTTGCCGGCAGGTCACGTTGGGGTAGCCGGGTCAACTACATCACTATCTACACTGGCTTGCCATCAATCTCAACCCTCCGCAATTTACACCTGCCGGGAAAGAGGTATATGCCTGAGGGTTCTCCCAAAATCATGGCGTATTGTCCAATGCTCCCGTACGGTCCTTATTTGCGGTTGATCCTCGACGGCCGAGGCCGTTTCGGCAGGTTGGCAGCTGCGAGTCTGAAGGCCCGAAGACAAGCGAATAGGTCACGAGTCCGCCACGTTGTGGTAAACTCGGTATGTGTCTACTATACTCCCGAACTGGCCGAGGAGTCTCGTCTGCAGCATGAAATTGGCCGCTCTTGCCACCAATTCTGGTTCTGTGAGCCACCGCTGCCACTGCAGGGCGGTGGTTCTGACGGTGTCTAGAATACGGGCTCGAGCATTGACATGTCGCGTACAGCTAAAGAGCACATGTCGTACGGTCTGCCTGCCGCGATCGCACGGGCAGAGCGTGGGGTCCCTGAAGGCTGCTTCTTGCGCTCCGGCAAATGTGCCCAAATAGCTAGCGAGTGCTATCTTGGCTGTCTGCATCTGGATGACGACGAAGCTTGCCGCTCGTCGGAGTTTCTCGTGAATGCGGAAGATAGCCTTCGTAGGTGCTGGAAAGAGAGACTTTGTAGCGGCGCCGCTTCGGCCGGTGGCCCATTCTCTTTCCCATTGTTGCTTCGCAATTGAGCGTAGCTTTGTGCGGCTGCTTGAGGTGAGTATGATGGGGGCCCCTTGATCGTCTGCCGTTGGTGCGTTAGCCACATCTCTTGCCAGTACGTCGGCCCTTTCGTTCCCATAGACTCCATTGTGTCCCGGGATCCATTGTAGTCGGATCTTCCATCCCTTGCGGTTTAGGTTATCGACGTATTTTACGATACTGCGCAGTATACCTTGCCCGGAGCCCCGCCGGGGTTCCGCGCACGCTCGAATAGCTGCTTGATTGTCCGTAAAGATCGTGGCTGTCCGCAACGCAGGTGGGATGTTAGGGATGCCGCTCTGGGCACGGTGGAACTCTCGGAGCACGAGAAAGGCAAGTGCGGCTTGGATCCCTTGAAGCTCAGCCGCGTAGACGGTGTGCGTATCGCGGGTGCCGACGCGCGCGACCGTCTTGCCGCCTGGGTAGATCGCGGCTACGCCAACCCCTTTGTCGGGAGCACTGCCGTCTGTATAGGCGATATATCCGTTTGGGCCGTGGCGTAAGACGTCGTGGTGGGCGTGGGTAGCTGCATCCTTAGTGGATGAGATGACCGTCTCGGGTCCCTTCCACCATGGAGCAACTGCAAATGGTTGGATTGGCTCGAGGCGGCTGCACTCCACCCCTTTCTGCCGGAGCCGGATCTCGAGCCGCTCTAGAGGGGATGTGAGCGGGTCCTGAAGAGGATCATCATACCTCCGCCGTGCGTAGGGGGTTCGTCCGATAAGGTTGTCAGAGTGGCGGCGTCTGCGGCGTCTGCGGCGTGATTGCGGTGCTCGGCCTCTGTAAATCTCAGGTCGTTTTCCAGACTCGCGGATATGGCGAAGTGTGCCCATGAACGGTGATGAGCAGAGACGGATACAGGCCTCTTCCGCGAGACGGGTAAGGCTGATCATTGGTGGCGGGATGTAGAGGCACACTTCGAGCGCGGCGCGTGCGGTTGTGCGGAATGCGCCTGCGATCCGGTAAAGTGCCTGGTGCTGGATAGATTCGAGTGTCCTGCGGAGCTCGTTCAAGGGGCCTGTGAAGCCCCAAGGGCCCCATGTGAACCAGCTAGAGCACGCGAAGCTGATCTGCGGCCATAAGACTGCTGTATACATACGGCGGAGATCGAGGAGGTTGACACCCCATGTCATCCCTGCTATCGATCGTAAGGCGGAAACGAGTTCGGACTCTTTCCCGTGGCATTTCCGGATCTGGGTTAGACCAGTGAGGTGCTCATCGAGATATACTCCGAGGTAGCGGAGAGTTTTTGTTGGCCGTATTGTCTCTCCGCGTAACTCAAGGTCGGCATCAAGATCCTCTGGAGGGACACTGCCTCGCGTGCGGTACATATGCATGAGACCGTATTTAGCGGGCGCGAACCTTGATGCATGCCGTTTCTCCCACGTCTCGGCGATCTGGTGTAGGTGTTGGAGGAGACGGCAGTTCTTCCTCGAGGACTTGCTCCAGACTAGGATGCAAATGTCGTCGATGTACCCCGTTACCAGGACCTGTCCCGGGGCCGCATGGTGGATCTCGTCTATAAGATCTGCATTATAAAAGAGGTATAGGATCGGTGAGATCGGTGACCCTTGCGGGATGCCCGTAGCCACGCCAAATCGTCCCATATCGCCTTCCTGCATGAGTAGTGAGGTCTGCCGGTCGCGCAGGAAACTCCCTACCCAGCGGATGATACACTGGGGGACCCGCCGTTTTCTAAGGTTATGGAGCAGCCGTCGGTGCGATGCATTATCGAAGGCCCCACTCACATCTAATGTGAGCAGAGATGCGACCCGATCATCGTTTCTCCATGACGCGTGGATCTGTTCAAGAAGTAGATGGATTGCATGGTCGCACGAGCGGCCCTTCCGGCCTCCGATGTGGGTTTCCGGAAGTAACTGGTATTCTTCAACGAGGAAGCTTAATCGAGCTGCGATGACTGCCTCCATGGCTTTCCCGAACGTATTAAGTAGTGCGATTGGGCGGTATGCTCTCGGCACTGTGTAGTCTGGCTTTCCAGGTTTCCGGAGAACGACAGTGGTCGACTCACGGAAGTGGCGTGGGCAGTAACCGTGGCGGAGGCATTCGTTAAAGAGGCTTGTCAGGAAGGCCGCGAAATGCGGGACTTCGAGCGCCTTCTTTAGCACAGCATTTGGGATGCCGTCTGGTCCGGGTGCTTTGTGCGATGCGGTCCTAAGGACTACCCTGGTCACTTCGTCCTGTGTGATTGCTGGCATGTCGATCGACGTGGGGTAGATGAACCCCTGTAAGTCTCCAAGCTCTGCGTCTGGCGCTGGGGGAAAGAGCGTCTCCTGGAGGATCTGCGCCTTTTCGACCGCCGTTTCATATGTGCGATCCCCTGCCTGGAGTGTTGGCGTGAAGGTGGCCCGAGGCGTCCCTCGGTTACGCGCCCATTTGGCGAGATTCCAGAACCCCTGGATATCTTGCGTGGCTTCTTCCACGCGTTCTCGATGAGCAGTTCGGGCGATTTTAGCGCTCTGGCGGCCAAGCTTATGCCTAAGCTGTCGAAACTCCTCCAAGGCCTCCGGGTCCTCCGTCTTCGCGCGCCTACGAGCGCGGCGGACCTCTGCCCTGAGTGGTGCGAGCTGCTGCGTGTATCCCGGTATAGACCATTCATTCACGCTGGTTCGGGGAACGTTGTCTTGGGCTGCTTGGAGAATGTCGGTAACCATAAGTTCCACGGCCGCGTCGATCTGTTCTGTTGTCTCGTACGGTCCCGCTTTCCAGGTCTAGCTTCGCGGCGTGAGAGCTGCCAGCCAGGCTTTCCAATCTGCGTTCTTCCATTGTAGCCGTTTGTGCCGTGGGCGTTGCTGTGTTTCAATGTTGACTTCTGTGAGGACCGGGACGTGGTCCGCAGCATGTAACCACTGGCGTTGGGCCTCACAGCGTATAAGACGGTTGGCCAGGGTGGATGATGCCCACGCTAGGTCGATCGTGGTCTTCCAGACCGCCCCTCTCTCGTGCTTTTCGCAGGTGGTTGTGCCTCTTGGAGTCAGCAATTCCAGGCCGTGATCTCCCATTAGACCGATGAGATCCTCGGCCTCTACGTCTGTACGATAATACCCTCGCCGGGACCACTGAGGGTGGTGGAGATTAAAATCCCCTACCACCATGTGCTGACCGCTTCTGCTGAGTGCGTGATGAAGTGGTATCAGTGTGCTCTGAGCGTCAGCTGGTCCTTCATTAGCCTCGCCTTCGCGGAGTACATCGTCCTGCGATAACCTGGGGCTCGGGTTGTAGACATTGTGTATGTGGATGGTTCCCGTGCTCGCGTTGATGCTGACTGTGCTGATGTCCCTTGTGATGTGTCTGACCGTCCATGTCCGCGGGTCAAGTCTCTTATTGATGAAAAAGCAGACCCGTGGTATGGGTTCGGTTGACGCCGTCGGGCGGAGTACGACGTGAAATCGGCCGCCAAGAGCCTGTGAGTACGTTGTCATTGGTTCTGTCAGCGTATTGATGCTAGGTTCCTGGATGGCCAAGATATCTAGCTTGTGCACCTCTTCCTCACCAAAGAGGTGCATAGCGACCTTGTCCCTCGATTTCCAATAGTTGGCCTGTAATATCCGGAGCGTGGGCGTATTTAACATTGTTGATCTCCTTTGGTAGCTTGAGACTGCGTTTGACGTTGATCTGTGCTTAACCCGTCCATGGGGTTGGTCGTGGTTTGCGTTCTCGTTGAATGTCTTGATCGTGTCCGCGATGCTGGCGGGTCTTGTCCAGGGTCTATGAGGTCAATATCGACATCGTTGAGTGAGGTGACCGGCTGAGCGCCGCTAGGGTGGTGAGCCCTGATGTCCTCCTCAATCTGGTCATCGTCTGCGTATGCTACCCTGGGCCTTTTCTGGGTGGTGGGCTTCCGGCATTTCGATCCACTTATGCTGGCGTGTATGCTCTCGTTGAGGTTGGTGCGGTCGTTGACCTGACGCGTCGTTGGTCGTAGCTGTGAGGCCTCGGATGGTGTTGGGTTGGCTGTCGTCGTTGATGATGATGACAGGGACTTCCATGGCGTCGGGTGATGCCATTGGGGCCCGTTAATGCGGTTTGCGCGAATGATGTCTAACCGCTCCGCCGTAATCGGGCAGCCTCTGTCGAAGGCAAAGTGGTTAAGATTCGATTTCTTCTCATGTTTGATATATGCTGCACACTTGGCCTGGGTGCGGTCCCTGGCTTGTGGGCAGTCTGGGGTATCATGGCTCTCTGCGCAGAATGCGCATTGAGCCTTTCGCTTGAAGTTTCGGGCTATATGTCCATACAGTTGACAATTAAAGCATTGCTCCAGACGTTGGCTACCATCAAAGAATCGGCAGTCATGATTTCTCCCAAAGAGCGCGAGGCCCATCAAAATAGCTTGGTTGGCTGCGTATGCGTCATCAAACTCAATGACGAGTTTCGAGGTCTCTGGTCTATCCTCTTCCATCTTACGGCGGTTGAGCAACCACCCAATGTGGTTGATCTCAGTTGGTGTATCAGCAAGGCGACCAGCATTCTCCATCTTAATCCTCGCTTTCGCTTCTGGTTGACATGGATCGAAGCTGCAGGGCACGCCGTGCATTACCACGGCGTATGCCGGCTTCTTGAGTCCTGCGTGTTCCCCGAAAATGCGGCACCATCGGCTATTCCTGGTTAGGCACTCGACGTCTTCTAGTCTATCTGCTTGGAGTAGTACATCGCCGCTCGGTAGGACCTTGCCTGCTGAGATCCGTCGACATGGCACTGTGCTGTCCGTCAGATCTTGGATTGCGCGGTTGACTCGTTTGACAAGTTCTTGCTCATCTCGTCTGAGCGGGTCGACGGCTGTCCGATCCGTGCTACGGACGATGATCTGCAGGTCCTCCCGGAGAGGCAGGACTGGCGTTGGCATGTTACTGCCGGTGCTGCTGGACCCAGAGCTGGGGTCTGTGCCGTTGGTCTGGGCCTTTGCGAGCCATCTTGATACCAAAGAAGATGGCGATGACACGTGACCCGCGAGTGCGGCGTCACGGTAGGAAGTAGGATGGCTATTGTGGCGGCCGCTCCCTGCGGCCGTGGCCCTAGAGGCCTGGTGCTCAATGTCGTGTTGCATCTTCTGCATCATTCGGGTGTACTTTCGGTCCTGCTCACCAAGCGTTGTAACTCTGTGAAGACCTCACTCCCACGTATCTTCGTTGCCAGGGAGATCACGGCGTCGAGGAAGCGTGAGAGTCTCTCAGGGGGAGGTAGGCCGCGTCCGTCTGCTGCATGCTTCCACTGCTGAGTTGTCTTAAGTAGGGAGGCGGGGTGCGCGCGTGGTTCTGGCGGTTCGTGGTCGGCGATATCGGGCCATGCGGAGGACCCCTTTTTCTTTTTCCCCGCCATTGCGGCCGGTGCGGGAAAAGAGTCACTTAATCCGGATATCGAACGATTCGTCTCAAAGTGTAGAACAGTTCTCCGGGGTCTATTTAAAGCGTAGACCCCTAGTTCGGCGATGCGCGGTTCGCAAAGAGCTTTTTATGCAGAAGAGGATTGTTGATAAGTTGCCAATTCAAAGGATACCTTGTTTGCTTTGTTTGCATGGAACCTTATGGAAATTACAAGCTTCTATTTCAGCGCTAGTTCATTACATACAGGTACATATCATAACATCTATCTGGAATTTTACGTGTTCTATACAGAACCTGTAACTTTACAGTGTCATGTGATTAGGGTTTGAAATAGCATCTCTATGTCTTCGACATGGAAGGCAATAACGGGCGGCGCTGTAATGAAAAGCCCCCAGTGAGCTCGCACTGGGCGACAGTCATCGCCAGGCTGTTGGGACAATGGATTCATACCTTCTCGTGGTGTCCGGTGTTAATTCCCGCTGGGGAGACCAAAGTGAATCCGTCGTGGTTGTGCGGTCCGGCCCGGCGCGGTGGGCGCGGGGCACGACCGCACAACCACACCAAAAATCAGGGGAAAACGGCATATGAAAACCATCCGACTTCTTCTTACCCGACTCGCACTCGGGCCCAGACGCTGGTCTTGCATTACCAGTCGAAGTGGTGTCGCCCTAGGAAGAAGATAGGACACCCCTGAGCTTGCATACGGTCTGGGATCGCATCGTGCGAGATGCGGCGAGGCGGTAGTGAACCAGTGACGCAGGCAGTCAAGCTAACATCGGACAGACCTCGTTCAAGGCTCAGAGGCCTCGTTAAGACTCGAACTCGTTAAGGCTCGCAGACTTCCGTCACTGGAGACCTCGTTAAGGCGAAGCCACGGGCAAGCTCTAGTGCGGCTGTTCTACGAGACACGGGCACCGCCGAGACACGGGCAACCCTCTTGGGAGACACACGGGCATCCTGGAAGATGTTAGTGGTTGGCTGATGGCAACTGATGAAGCTCGTTAAGGCTGTGCCACGGGTAAATCATCGGCCCTGTCCAGTTACTGGGGACCAAGCTTGGTTAGTAGAGAGCGACCAACATACACTGCCGGCTGGAGCGTATACGAGGGTTCTCTGCAAGACACGGTCGGCCTAGTGAGGGAGACCTCCCTAGGTAACGCGAAACGAGGGCGCAAGCTCTCGCGGGGCGTGGTGTACAATGGCAGCCACTGTGGCAGGGCTGGGTCCAGCCAAGAGACTGTCTGTATAGCCCGAGAGGACGGATGCGCGTGTCGGTGTACAAAGAGACGGGAGTCAACTACCTCACTCGCACTGGGGGCCTGATACTGACCTAGGTCGGTTGAAGCGGTGTCGTCCTAGTTGGCCTGCCCATGATGTATGCTTAAGGAGCAAACTGAGAGACACCCAGGGTGAGAGGCGTGGTGAACCTCAAGAGTCCAGAAGCCTCATTATCGGGTGAAAAACTGGGGTAGTGGTCTATGCAAGTAGGCCTGTCGAAGCTACTTAATGTCTTTTGGCCACCTCACCAGGAAGAGGGGAGAACACCTAGAAGGACAGGTTACCTTCAATGGAACCGACATCACGCCATCACCTACAGCCAAACTACTGGGGGTAACGTTTGACCAGGAACTCCGCTGGAAGGAACACGTTCAACAGACCGTCAAACGCGCTACCAAAACGACTATCGCCTTGAGTGGGCTACGACATTTGCGTCCAGAACAAATGCGACAGCTCTACGAAGCATGTGTCACGCCCATCGTAGACTATGCGTCGACAGTCTGGTATGACCCGCTTCGGGACAAGACTCACCTGCGACAGTTGAACACAATACAGAGGACCTCACTGATCCGAATCCTATCGGCATTCAGGACGGTAGCGACGACAACGCTAGAGGTGGAAGCTTACGTACTTCCCACACACCTCCGTCTCCGCCACCGAGCGCAGCGCACCATCGCAAGACTGCACACTTTACCTAGGGACCACCCTATTTGGAGTGCACTATCACGAGCCCAGAGACGCAGGGACAATATGAGATCACGCTACCGGTTTCCCCTCGCGGAAACTCTCAAGACCATGGACCTATCCAGACTGGTAGCACTAGAGACCATCGACCCGAGACCTCTACCACCATGGCGCACCGAGGTGTTCGCGGGGATAGAAGTCAAGTCGGACCGGGAGACAGCAAGAGAATGGGCCGAGGCCGTACGGGCCACATCCGACCTCGTCGTTTATTCAGACGCTTCAGGGCGTGAGGGCCACCTCGGGGCTGCCATAGTCACGCTTAACGAAAACGACGAAGTGATTGAATCTAAACAGGTCCAAGTGGGGCCGATGGACCGTTGGTCGGTTCACGCAGCGGAACTTATTGGCATCTTTTATGCGGTCAATATGGTGTTCAAATTGGTCCATCAACGCTCAAACACAGTAAACGGAGTTCCAGTAACAGCAACAATCTTATGCGACAGCAGATCGGCTCTGCAGGCGATCCAGAACGTGACGAATAAACCGGGACAACGCATAATCCATGCAATCCTCCAGGCTGCGGCCGAGGTTCAGGGGGAGAAAGTCGAACTCCGCCTCCAATGGATGCCAGGGCACTGTGAAAACCTAGGGAACGACACTGCAGATCGACTCGCCAAAGAGGCCGCACAACCGGGTAAAACCCACCCCTTTCGACCGCTACTATCGAGGGAAAACGCGTTTGTCCGCAGCAAAATTTATGCCCAATGGGAGCAAGAATGGAAGACAAGTACCAAAGGTGCTCACCTACGAAAGATAGACGGCGGCTTACCAGCGCGGTATACGAGAACGCTCTACGGGAATCTACCTAGGAATCGCGCCTATCTGCTGACGCAGCTACGCACGGGTCACAACTGGTTATCCACCTACGCGAAAAAATTCGGCTTTCGCGAGGATGATTTGTGTGAATGTGGTGTGCAGGAGACAGTCGCCCACGTGCTGATGGAATGCCCGAGGCTTCGAGAGCTGAGGGTAGAATTGAGGCGGAAAACTGGGGATACGCTGAACAGCGTAGCGAGCCTGCTGGGAGGCTCAAACGAAGGTGAGCAAGGTAAACCAGACATCGTCTCGAGGTCCAAGATGGTTCAGGCCGTCCTGGACTTCGCCGAGGCGTCACAGCGGTTTCGCAGTCGTGCGCCATAAGGGCAGCCTAACAATGGGAGCGGCAATGGGCCACGGGAGGCCGTGACGAGGCTCTAAGTTTATGTCAGGAAGTGGATCATTCTAAATGTACACACTCAGATATATAGTTGTTGTATACTGCATATCGCTTTGGCAGTTGAGACCCTGAATTGAGGTACCAGTGTGTTAATCCTTCTCTAGCTATGCGAGTAAGCGCAGCTATTTGTAGTCACAGTAGCTACCTTCTGCCTAGAGTGGTAGTGGCAGCCTGATAGGCTGCCACTCCAATATGATAATATTGCCAGCGTGCTGCATCCGAGGATCTTCCTCCGGCGTGGATCAACTATAGTCCGGGAGCCACGTGACCACCATCAGGGGGTCATATACTCCATTCTAGCTTAGATGACCAATAACAACACACATCTCCCTAATAGGTTATGAGACCCTTTTCTCTTCAATTTGAGCTAGAGGAGCTGTTCTATGATCGCTGTGCCTTCAAGAATGTCAGCTGCCTCTCCCTCATCCGGTGAAAAGCTCCCAATCCTTGACTATTCGAATTGGGTTGACTGGAGCGAATTCTGGAGAGACCATCTGATCCTCTTTGACCTCTGGCAATACATCGATCCATCCTCTACAGCAACCGTGCCACCTCCTACCTCCAATGTCAATCGAGATATCGCTAAAACGTTGACTGAGAACCTTGCAAAGCTACGCCAGCATGTTGCTCCTGAATGTCGAAAGCTCCTTGTTGGCCATACAAATCCTAGAGACCTCTGGTCTTCGCTCAAGGCTGGCTGTGATCGAGGAACAACTCTACCATTGCTCGCCCAATACGAATCGTTCCAGAGCATCAAATGGGAACCAAAAGACACCATTTCTACCTATACAAGCCGATTCCGCAATGTCTTTCTATCTCTCGAAAACACCCCCTACAAGATACATCGAGATATAGCAGTCCATATCCTTGTGAATCGACTTCCCGATTGCTACAAGACAGAAGGCCAAGCAGCCAAGCAACTGAACCTACCCTTTATCGAAACTGTTACCTACCTGCTTGCCAATATCAAAGACACCTCCTCTGCAGGTGACAACACCTCTGGCCAAGCTCTAGTAGCTCGAGGTCATCGACCAAACCGCAGATCAAGCGCTCAGCATCTCCGTGACCAAGGCCGCTCAGGAGTACCAAACCGCCGTGGTCGATCAAACCGAACCTCTCGAAACAAGCGTATCATCTGCAACTGGTGCAAACGAGAAGGCCATTTTGAACGTGACTGTCGAATTCGTCAACAACAACTAGATACTGGAGCTGCAAGATTAGATGGCAGCCGTGCCTATCTAGTCCAGCAGCCGAATATCCCACAGTATCCACCTCAATCTTCGCCTGCACCTCCGCAACCTCCACAGGCGAATATTGCCTATTCACAGCCTCAAGGCTCCGAATCAAATCCCTACAACTATCCGACACACCTCCTCCTCGCGAGAGCCTCCTATGTCAACAGTGAAACCCAGCAGAAGGATTATCTCAGCTGGATCCTTGACTCTGGTGCCACTCAGCACTTTTCGAACAGCAAATCAGACCTCAAGGACTACAAACACTTTCTTGACCCTAAGGAGATCTACCTTGGAGATAATACAAAGATCCACGCAGAAGGATCTGGGACCCAACTTCTACAGATTGGTCCTCATCTCCTTGTCCTGAATGTCTGGTTCGTACCAAAGCTGGCTGAGAATCTGCTATCCCTGCAGCTTCTTGACCGAGCTGGCTATTCAACTCTCATTGAAAATGGCAAAGTCTATATTCGACAGAGTCATGACTCTGCATGGTTCCAGCTCGCCGACTCCAAACGTGGAGATCTTTATCGAACGCATGTGAATCCTGCATCTCTATTGAACAGCCCACGAGCCCTCCGTGCAAGAGAATACAGCACACTTCGATCCTGGCACAATCGACTAGGCCACCGAAATTTCCGCTCAGTGGGAGCTATGATGAAGCTATCTGTACCACGCAAGCTTCCCACCTGTACTGCATGCCTCCAGGGTAAAATGAAGGCAAATCCTCACCCTCCTGTGCTTGAACGTTGCAGCAAGCCATTTGACCGAGTCCATTCTGACCTTGTTCCTCTGGATGGCATCTCCTTTGGTGGATCCAAATATATGTTGCTTCTTGTTGATGACTTCACGCGCTTTGCATGGTGCTTCTTTGCCTCAAGCAAGAATGTTTCAGCCATTGCACCTCTTCTTCAAGGCTTCATAAACATGATCCTGACCCAATTTGATACTATCATCAGGTCATGGCGGACTGATGGTGGTACTGGTGAATTCTCAAACAGCATGGTCAGCGAGATAAACCGCAGATTTGGAATTCTTCATCAGCTTTCTACCTCTGGTGTCAAGCAACAGAATGGTGTACTCGAACGAAGAGTCCAGACAATCAAGAACATGGAACGCTCCATGAGAGCTGGAGCTGGTGTTCTAGATGACTACCGACTACAAGCTGAGTCCCTTGCAACTTCGGTATTCCTATCTAATCTCCTTCCATCTTCTACTCTAGGTAATATCTCCCCACACCTTCTACTGTACAGCAAGCAGCCATCGCTCGCTTCCATGAAGCCCTGGGGATGTCTAGTCTGGATACACCTTCGAAAGGAGCATCGCAGCTCGAGTTCTGATCCTCGCTGCAGGCCAGCCATGATGGTAGGCTATGTACAAGACTCAAGTTCTATTTACAAATGTCTTGATCTCTACACGTTGCAAACAAGCAACCATTCCGAACTCAAGTTCGATGAGGACCTCTTTCCAGGTCCATGGCTTAAACGCCCAGCTGGTTTCAAACCATCGATTGCACATAAACGAAATCCGCCTGGTTCCGCGGTCGATACTGTACTTGGTCAGTCAGTATCGGGAGTGCTTCCCGCAGTATCAGGCATACCACCTTCCTCGATGAACCCCTTCTGGCTGCACCCACCCGCAGCTCCTGTGAACCCAAACGATCCTGCGAAGCCTGCGGATCCTATGGAACTAGCAGATGAATCGGACGTTCCCCCGTCCCTGGCACTCCTCACGGACAGCCAGACCGTCTACAACCAGCGAGGAGTTGTATTCGGCACCTGCGCCAAAATCCACGAGTACGATACTACTAGGGAGCTTGTGGAAGCCGCTTTGATCGTGCAAGGTATGGAGTCGCTCTCCTACCCACCCAGGCAAGCAGCAGAGAGGACAGTCCAAACAGACCACAATGGAGATCCTCTCTCCTATTCGGATGCCTTGCTCCAGGATCCGATTAGGTGGCCACCAGCAGTACAAGAAGAACTGAAATCTCATGAAGAAAATGGAACTTGGATAGTTCAAGAGATCAGTCAAATGCCTAATGGGTGCAAGCCGATCCCTGGCAAGTGGGTATTCAAGCGTAAATTGAGTCCTGATGGAAGTACGCGCTATAAGGCACGTTTGGTGATCAAGGGCTTTCTCCAACGCTTTGGAATTGATTTCATGGAGACCTATGCCCCAACTGCCTCTTTAGCTGCATTCCGACTCCTGGTGGCGATCGCTGTGTTCAATGGCTGGTCCTTACGCAATCTCGATATTATCACTGCCTTTCTTAATGGCAGCATAGACTCTGAAGTCTACATGGGGATACCAGAAGGCATGGATTTAGATCCAACCAGATATATTCTGAAGCTCCGCCGGTCACTGTATGGACTCAAACAGGCACCGCGCATTTGGTGGGATAGGATGACCGCATTCCTATCAAAAGCAGGCTTCTATCAGTGTGATGCTGAGCCAACAATATTCATTCGCAGCCACGAAAACAAATTCATGATACTTCTCCTCTTTGTTGACGACCTTTTGCTAACTGGTGATCAGGAAGCTATTGAGGAATTCGTCCAGGAATGCTGCAATGAATTCAACACTCGGGATATGGGAACACCCAGGCTGTTTCTAGGCATCCATATTGACTATCGAGATGGCAAAGCCATTTTGCATCAGAAAGCATACATCAAGCGAATCCTTGAACGCTTTAATGCACCCAGCAACCCTGTTGCAACTCCCCTAGACCCCAAGCATCCACTTGTTGAAGCAACTGATGCAGACCGTTTAAGTGAAGCAGATTCATCAGAATATCGCGCTGCAGTGGGAGCGCTGATATATTTAATGATCTGTACAAGACCTGATCTTGCATTCGCACTTTCACGCCTATCAAAATTCGTGCAGAAACCGGGTGTAAAGCATGCAGCAGCACTTAAACGATTGCTTCGGTACCTGGCTGGCACCCAGGACCTAGGCATCGTCTTCAGCAAACCATCTTCCACCGAACCAATCCTATATGGCTATAGCGATTCCGATTTCGCTGCAGATCTCAACAATCGACGCTCGACTTCCGGCTTTATATTCCTTCTGAACGGTGGCCCGATAGCCTGGAAATCGAAACAGCAATCCCTAGTCACAAGCTCGACTCATGATGCTGAATATGTTGGATTAGCAACTGCATCATTTGAAGTCATTTGGCTTCGTAAACTCATCCTTTTGATTCTGCCTCAGTATGCAGAACATTCAATGCCCTCCAACATCATTTATTGCGACAATCAAGGTGCTATTGCAACTGCAAATCGACCTAGCAATTCACCCTCTCCACGATCGAAACATATCGACATCCGTTTCCATGTTATTCGCGAGGCTATTGCTAATGGCCTTATTCGACTCGAATACGTTCGTACGGCAGATATGACTGCAGATATCCTGACAAAGGCCCTGCCTAAGGAATTGCATCAGCGTCATGTCAAGGGAATGGGAATGGAAGCGATATGATGGAATTGGGATCTATGTATCCGAACTGGCCTGGTTTCCTCCATGGTTTTGTCCCACAGGGTTTTGCATGGAGGTTTTCCCCCAGGACTGCCTGTATATAGCTATTTTGTCTTTCTTTTGACTCACCCGTGATCTAGTGGGAGGACCCTAGTCGTTTCTGACGCCTTCGGTAGAGATCTCGGATGAGTGGGAGTGCCAGCGTGCTGCATCCGAGGATCTTCCTCCGGCGTGGATCAACTATAGTCCGGGAGCCACGTGACCACCATCAGGGGGTCATATACTCCATTCTAGCTTAGATGACCAATAACAACACACATCTCCCTAATAAATATCTATATGTCACGTGACCTGACCTGGGATCCAACTCTCCCCCTGTGCCAAGGACCCGGAGGGGCCGAGGCACCTGAAAAGATCCCAGAATCCAAGTCATTCTTCACCTTTCCTTCTTTGGGTAAATCCGAAGAACCTCCCCCTGACTGGAGGTTCAGACGGTTAACCAGGTCCTCATGGGTAGCCCTGGGCAAAGCTTTGGTGAAGACATCCGCCAGATTGTCCTTTGTATTGACGCGCTGGGTGTTGATTAGCCCCTCCTCCACCTTTTCACGCACGAAGTGGTGTTTTACGTCGATGTGTTTGGACTTGTTGTGGAATTCCGGGTTTCTTGTAAGCTTCAAGGCCGAGTTGCAGTCGATGTACAGTGGGATTGCGTTGACATATACCCCGGGAATGCGAAGGTCATTAATGAAGTTGCGAATCCACACTGCTTCCTTCGCAGCTTCAGCGGACGCAATATATTCTGCATCCATAGTGGACGTGGCCACAGTCTTTTGTCTTTGAGACGACCAAGATATAGGGCCTCCGGCGAGCGTGAAAACCCACCCAGTCGTTGACTTACGCGAGTCCTCACACCCCGCAAAGTCGCTATCCACAAAACCCCTCACCCGAAGACCGTGTTTGTCCGAATAGACAATTCCCTTCGCCGGATCACCTTTCAGGTAGGCGAAGATGCGATCCACGGCGTCCATGTGAGCTTGATTTGGATTGGACGCGTACCGAGCTACGTAACCTGTAGCGAAGGCAATATCTGGCCGTGTCTGATTGCTGCCAAAATTGAGCGATCCGACCTTGGACTGATATCCTTTGCGAAATTTCGAGTCTGCGATGTAGCCGTCTTGCTTCGCGAGCTTGATATTTTTGTCCAGAGGCGTCTTAACTGGGGCAGCGTCTCCGAATCCATATTTTTTGACGATCTGGTCGATGTATTGCTTTTGATGGACGTGGATTTGCCCAGGCTTCTGCTCTATGTGCATGCCCAAATACCAGGAGCATTCGCCCTCGTCGGAAATCGGAAATTGCTTTGCGAATTGAACTTTGAAATCAAGAATTGCCTGAAGGCTTCTGCCCATGACGTTTATGTCGTCCACATGAACTTCCAGCAAGAGCCCGAACTTGTCGTTGATAAAAACACATGGGTCGTAAGCGGACATGCGCCAGCCCCAACCAATCAGAGTGTCCCGGAGCTTTTCGTACCACGCACGAGGTGATTGCTTCAGTCCATAAAGTGCCTTGATGAGAAGCAAGCAGTACCCACCGGGCAACTGTACATCTCTCGGGGCCTTCATGTAGACTGGTTTGTCCAAGGTGCTGTTCAGGAATGCTGTTTTGACATCTGCTTGGTGAATATGCCAATGAAGAATAGCCGCCAATGCAAGCAAGATGCGGGTTGAAGCGGGCTTGACCACGGACGCAAACGTTTCCTCAAAATCAAGACCCTCTTCCTGTTGAAAACCTCTGGCTACCAGCCGAGCCTTATGTCTTGTGACCGTACCGTCTGGTCCGTATTTGTCGGTGGTGACCCATCGTGAGGTAATCGGTTTGATCCCTTTCCTGAGAGGAACGATCTTCCATGTGCCTTTTTCTTCATGAGATTTCAGCTCTTCTATCTTAGCCTGATGATACTTTGCACTGGAAGTGTTGTGCGGTTTTAATTGGAGAGCATGTGGAGTACGTTCACTGTATGCAGACAGCCCGAACTTGAAACTTTTGTGGCTATTCTTGGCCACCTGTTGATCAGTATTGACGTTGTTGTCATCGAGGTCGGTGTCGATACTCTCTTGCGTTGCATATGGGGCAAGTTCATTCTTCTCCTGTTGGCCGGTCTCGGATGTTTCTCTCCTAGACTTCCTTCGACCGGTGTGCTTTTCGTAATCCTCCCGAAGCTTTGGCCCGCCCAGGGGTGTCAACTCAAATGGGCGAATCGCCCATGATTCGTATGTCCCGTCAGAGCGTCGGTAGTTGCAATTAGCGACGTGGGGACTAGGTTGTGCTTTGACACATGGGTAACAGGGTTGCTCTCCGTCACAATTCAATTTGCCCTTTCGGCAGCGTATGCATTCTTCGTCGGACGACTCTCCTTCTCCCAATGGGCCTATTGAAGAGAAGCCAATCGGGAGCGGTGAGTCGGGTACGTGGTAGAGTCTCGTCAGCAGACCGTTCTGGGCTCTGTAACTGCATGTTGACTTTCTGTTGATGCACGCCTTACAGGGTCGTCCACGGTCACACTTTTTCCCACTTCCAATCTGAGTTCGGTAACTGCATTGATCGCATGGAGGCAAATCGTCAACGCCCTGTGGTCGACACGATAGACGCTGGAGTAGAGTGTTGCACCTGTTGCACGGGATTTTTCCATCGCAAGCCATGATTTTCGCGGCGCATCTGGAGCATTTCTGGTCACGAGGCACTGGGACGAATCCAAGTTTTTCATATCTTGCCTGTCGCTCAGCTTCTCTCTTTTCTTGACGGGCGGTTGATCTCCTTGCACCGTCCAGGCTCCAGTTACACCGTAGGTTTGACTTTTGACATCCCTCACACTGTTGGATATTAGGGTCAAGAAGAAAACAGCTGCGGCTTGTCTGGAAGCACCTTCGGCATGGCTGCTCCTGCTGTAATCTTCCGATCCGTTTCTGTCTACGGCGGTTCTCAGGGAGTACTAGCCGTTTGGTTCTTTTTGACTGCGGTCTGCATGCTTGGTTGTCCTTTCTGCAGGTTGAACATGGCATCCCATTTTCGGCAGAGTCGCACTTTCGACCATTCCGAAAACAACGGTCGCATTTATCATTATCAGGAAAGAAATTCTTCATATGATTCCCGCCATGCTTTGCGACAAACCGCCAGTAAGCTTGAGAAATAGCTCCATCTTCTGAGTAGTACCATGAGTCATCATTCAAGTCCGACAGATCTGAGGAGGAATCATCCTTGTTGGTGCCACGTAGGTCGTGAGTGGCTCGACGGCTGTTTTTCGGTGCCACTAATGTGTCCTCATCAATCTTGCGTTTGGCCATGCCAGCATAACTGAATCGATTCCAATACTTAGACACCACTCTAGATCCTGACTTTGTTTCGCTGGCCTCATCTTCGTCGTCGGAGTCGTCGACCCCGTCCTCCGATTCGTGCGTCATTTCTGAAATGGGTTGTTCTCCGTCATTCGGAACGTTGCCCTTATTCCGGGCAGCCGTCTGGTTGGTCTGTTCGACAGGAATTTCAGGAGTGTTGATGTGGTGTTCGTCTTCAGAGTGATCACTGCCTGCGTCACTAGAATAGTCGTTTTCATCTTCCGAGGGGATGTTGCTTGAGACCGCAACATCTGGGGTGGAGATTCTATCCTCCAAGCAGGGCGCATTCTGAGGGTCATCCAAACCTTCACCATCTTCGACCCTGGCAACGCCAATTCGATAAACCCTGTGTTTTTCCGGAGAGTAAATGTGATACATCGCCTCACTCTCGCATCCAACAAAGTAGCCCAACCATCCACGAGGGCTGTGTAACTTTGTCATCTCTGCCGTGCTCCTCAGCTCTTGAGGATAGGTAACATATGCCCGGCTCCCCCATATCCGCTCTCTTGTGAGCGTGGGTTTGGTTCCCCTTAAAGCTTCGTATGGTGTTTTTGCGTCCTTTTTGCGCAGAGCACGTGCTGGAGTTCGATTCTTGAGCCACACTGCGTGTTGTATGGCTTCAGGCCAGAGATTCTCGGGGATTCTGGAGTTACGTAAGAGCTCGGTGCCCTTCTCCGCAATGATTTTGGAGACCTGCCCGGAAATGGATACCTCCTGAACCATAGGTGCAGCTTTTTCTCGGATTGTCCGGTTAGTCCTTTCCGCGACTCCATTTTGGTAATGAGCATAGGGCTCGATCGGTTCTCGGGCGATAGAATGAGATTCGCACCACCTGCCGATCGGCCCCCTTTCGAATTCATTGTCAAGGCGACAACACCGGATAGTGATATTGAAAGCGTTCTGGATCAGTTTCACTAGCGATTTGAAAACTTCGAAGAGCTGGTATTTCTTATCGAATCGTGCGCTCCACGTATACCGTGTACAGTCGTCCGTGATGAAGAGGAAATATCTAGTGCCATCAAATCCCTCGATTGGGTATGGTCCCCACACGTCAGCATGCACCATCCATCCCGGTGTTTGGGCATGACGTTTAGCGGGGTCACGGGGAATCTTTACCAGGGCCCTTGTAGTCGCACATATAGGGCAAACGGCCTTGAGCTTTGCCTTGATCTGTTTGGCAGTGATCTCCATTCCAGTGGAGGAATCCAACAAACTTAACATGTTTTGGAATCCAAGATGTCCCAGTCTCCGATGCCATTTCCAAACAGGGTCATCGAAATCCACTGTGGCAGCAATGCCGTCAATTGGGTCATGTCCCTTGGAGAGTCTTGTAGCATCAAGTTGATACAGGCCCTTGCCAAAGATGGCATGTCCGATAGTGTGTCCATGATCATTGATCCATGTCATATAACGATCGTTGTAGACACCAGTTACCTTTGCCTTCTGAACAAACAAGCCGCCCGAGAATAGGTTGCATTTTCCCTGAGGAGCGTAGGCGACCTCTGATAGCGACACTTTAACCGGGAACCCATCAGGGCTCTTAAGAATGAGCTGAACGACTCCTCCACCCTTTATTTCAAGGGTAGTAGATCCATCTGCGGTGCTGATATTTGAATTGAACGAACGGAAAGTATTATCCTTGAACCACTTGATGTCATTGACGATGTGCATATTTGCTCCAGTATCAGCTAGCCATGTGTCTGTGGTACAGAAGGTGCCTGTCAAGAATGCTCCCAAGACCCGCTCTGAGAAACTCAATTTCCTGATTCCTGACCCCCTAGTAGTAGCTCCCCCTAATTCTCGCAATTCGGTGCACAACACAGCACTACGCTTCTGTGGCGAAGAGTCAGCTGAGTTTACGTGAGTTGTGGAGAAGGGAGTCGTACCTAGGGAATCAGCCCGGATAGAGACATCTCTGTCGGGGACAGGATCCGTTTTAACGACACCTGCCATGCCGGCTTTCTCGCTCATGAGCTTGTTATCGATGTGGGCAGGCAGTCTGTCCTTGAGAGATCGTGGGATTTTCTCGGGGCTCTTGACCCAGCAGGTCTCCTCGGTGTGGCCGGTTTTACCGCAGTCGGGATAGGTGCATTTCAAGTGGCTTTTATCCGCGCGACTCGGCTTATATCGGCCGCTGTAGCCTCTGTTGCCAGCGTCGACGCTCGTGTCCTTTCTGGCCCTCTCGCGGGCCCTCCTCTCCTCCCTCAGTCGAAGTTGTTGAGCTTCTTCGACGTGTAGGCGCTCATAAAGGTAGTCTAGATCCGGAGGGTCGTCGGGCTTGGTCGAGCGGATCCAGTCATACTTTTCCTTGAAGGCGCGATAGCTGGGAGGAAGGCCATGAAGCAGAGCGGTAGCGAACATATCGTCGGTCATGTCATATTTGACGGTCTTGAGGTCAGCCTTGACCTGGCGAACTTTGTTCGTATAGTCGGTCACAGATAGACAGTCGTCAAGCTTGATCAGACTCAATTGGTTCAACAGGCTGTCACGCGCGCGTTCATGAGTGACTGCGTATCGTTTTTTGATGAAGTCGTAGGCTTCCTTGGCGTTGGTGCAATCCTCGATCTCAATCTTGATGCCGTCTGAGACCCAAGTGTCCAGCAATTTGGTAGCGAGCTTCATCTTCTCCCTGGCATTTTTATGTTCATTGTAGTCAATCTGCCATCGGAGGTTGTTGTTGGTAGTAACCAGAATAGCCTGGGCATCATCTGTTTCATCACCGTCGTCAACTGTTGGAGTTGAAATTTTCTTGGTCCGTGTAGAGCGACGAATTTCGGCTTCGCCAGTCTTCGTGAAGTATTCTTCCTTTCTAGGTTTGGGGGGAACAACTTCTTCACCTGTGAGATATTCAAAGGTATCATTCGCCTTGGCCGCACGCTCGAACTCGCGCTTCCAGCTGATGAAGTTGATTTTGCCCTTGAGCTTGCGGTCGGCCTTGACTTCGTCCATTTCGAAGTTTGTCATGTCTGGTGCTGAGAGCTAATGTCGCGGTCTGGGGTCTGGGTCTGGGTCTGGTTCTGGGTCTGGTTCTGGGTGTGGTCTGTGTCTGGGGTCAGGTGTCTGGGGTCTGGTCACCTGCTTCAATCCAAAGTCTAGAATGGAAAAAAGAGGCTCATAACCAGTTGAGACCCTGAATTGAGGTACCAGTGTGTTAATCCTTCTCTAGCTATGCGAGTAAGCGCAGCTATTTGTAGTCACAGTAGCTACCTTCTGCCTAGAGTGGTAGTGGCAGCCTGATAGGCTGCCACTCCAATATGATAATATCTATATGTCACGTGACCTGACCTGGGATCCAACTTAAGCGAGGGGTCAGCGTAAATGAAATCATCATCATCATCATCATCATCATCATCATCGACTGTATATACGAAAGTGATTCACAAGGCAGGAACCGGAGCACCCGAAGGGAAGAACCACTCCAACGTAGTGGTCAATATTACTCCGATATAAAACTGCTGTGTTGTGTACTGAGCGCCCTAACCGATGGCGGACCCGTCCTCGGGAGGGCCCGAGCCCCCACCCCCCACGAATGCCCAGGAAACCATCACCAGTCTCACGACAGAGGATTTCCAACCAAGAGTGGACGTTGACGCCCTCGGCCGGCTTCCTGATAGCCGGAAAAGAACGCGCAGCGGCGACGCCTTCTCGCCTTCTGAAAACACAGGCCGTGTCACCACCAGCGAAGTGTGGAAGCTCATCGACAGTCTCAAGTTGATCATTCACCGCCAAACCGCACTCATCGAATCTACCAAAGCCGAAGTCGAAGAGGTCAAGCACGACCAAAAAGTCCTCCGCGATCAGAATGAAAAGCTTCATGAGGAAATCAGAGATCTGCGAACTCAACTTGAAACTCACCTACCGACAGCCCCGACAAGAACATGGGCCGCGGTAGCTGCTGACGGCATCTCCGCCCATCCACAAGCGAATCACCACCGTCCTGATAAAGATGAGAACTGCGTGCGAATCAGCACCCAACGTTCCTTTGTGGACCCAAGGGACAGTGAAAATAGCAATGGAAATACGTTTGGCCGTTATCTCCCTACAGATACAGCTAACACTCATATCCGCACAGCGCTACTAAACACTCCATCAACGCAAGACGCCCAGGTAGCCGGGATTGACACCACTAAAACAGGCTATGTGATCCGATTCAAGGACCTAGAATCAGCGAAAGTGGCCCGCAACAATACCGAATGGTTAAACGAACTAGGAAACAGCACGAAACTGGTCAAACCACGGTTTGGCGTCGTGGTACACCGTACCTCGACAGATGACTTCGACTTGGAAAATGCAAACGCTCACGCAATGGAGAAAATCATGGAAGAAAACGAGCTGGTGGAGCAGGGCTTCCAGATTGAAGAGGTGGCATGGCTCAAAAGGAAGGACAAAGCGTTAGGCAAGTTCGCGTCGCTCGGGATATGGTTTGACTCCGCGGAAGGGGCCCAATATATCTTAAACAACGGCCTACTGGCCGGTCAAAGATATATTGGCAGCGTGGAACGCCGTGAGATCAAGAAGAAGAGATGTTTCCGGTGCCAACGGTTTGGACACTTGGCGTGGTCGTGCAAGGAAACACCGCGATGCGGCCATTGCGCAGGTCAACATGAACGGCAGCGGTGCCCTCCGGGTATCACAGCGAGATGTCTCGATTGTAGCGGCGAGCACCCAACAGGTGATCGACAGTGTCCAACACCTGCGACTTCCAACTCCTCGCAATGTTAGAGACCAACCTACGGGTACTACAGTTGAATATCATGAAATCGGGACCAAGAATGGAAGCTCTCATCAATGATCACCAAAGCCAAAAACTGGACGTCCTCCTAATCCAGGAACCGTCCATCACCAGTTATCGAACACATGTAAATCACAGCGCCTGGCGACTCTACCGACCAACGACTGAAACAGACGCAGCTCGGTTTCGTAGCCTGATCTACGTTAACCGAAATCTCTCAACCTCGTCACGCAGGCAGATTCAGTGCGACCACCCAGACATTACCGCCATTAAGATCTGGACTGCCGATTCCCAGATCCTACTTTTCTCTGTTTACATCCCTTCCACCCCGTTATTCAGCCCTGATAAAGGGTCGGAAGGGTCGGCAGAACCGGCCCTCACAGCAATCCAAAACACCATTACAGCCGCTCGACATGATATCCACAGATCCATAAGCATCATTCTCTCAGGAGATTTCAACCGCCATCACCCGATATGGGGCGGCAACCACGTTCAACCGAGATTTATTGAGGATGCAGGCGAACTGATCACTTTCTTCCAAGAACATAATCTCCTGGGTTGCCTGCCTCGGGGCACAGCAACCTTCTGGCCCCTCAACGACCCAGGAAGAAGCACAACCATCGACCAAACTGTGACGGACCAACCAGAACTGCTCATCAAGTGTCACCTCTATCATGAAAATTACGGGTCAGATCATCGAGCGACATACTCGGAGTGGAATCTGAGGCCCTACCCCAAGCCCTTAGCCAAGAGAAGAAAAGCATATGACCGAGCAGATTGGGACAAGATCGGGAATGAAGTCCTCCAGAGGATGGGCCTATGGAAAGAAATCAAAACAAGACCCGCTCTAGATGAGATAACTGAAAAACTCACAGAGGTAACCGCTGCGGCGGTGGAAAAACACATCCCAGATCAACGACCAACCCCCTACTCCAAGCACTGGTTTACACCAGACCTCAAGGTCCAACAGGCTGAGGTCAACCGCCTGCGTCGGCAATGGCAAGAGAGCTGTGCGGAGTATGGGCGAGACTATGCACGCTCAGCGACTCTCTTCCAAGCAATGCAGCAAAAACGTCGGACTTGGACCCGAACTATTGAGAAAGCCAAGAAGATACATTGGAAACAGTTCCTAGATGGAGCTGGGGAAGGAATGATCTGGAAGGCGGCCACCTACATGAAACCGCGAGAGGCCTGGGGGTCCGTCCCAGCCTTGCATGTCAACAACAAGGAACTGGTAGAGAATGAGGACAAGGCACAAGCTTTCCTAGACGCTTTCTTCCCCAAGATGGACGAACCTGACGAGGATCTCCCAACCCAGGCTCCCTTGGAGCTTCCATGGCCACCGTTCACAGAGCTAGAAATCCAGCGTTCTCTCAAAGCAGCCAGAAGCTCCACAGCCCCAGGAGAGGATGGTCTGCCGACCCTGGTGTGGAAACATCTATGGAAGCCTCTAAAGGAGCTTATCACTGGAATTTTCACGGCATCAGTCAAGCTCGGCCATCACCCCAGACAATGGCGGAAAGCAAAGATCGTGGTGTTGAGAAAGCCCGGGAAATCAGACTACTCGATCCCTGGTGCCTATCGCCCGATCTCACTCCTTAACACATTAGGCAAACTCCTTGAAGCGGTCATGGCTCGTCGACTGTCATATCTCGCCGAAAAACATGACCTGCTACCAGCCACACAATTTGGAGGGCGACCAGGCAGGACCACTGAACAAGCCTTACTACTCCTCTCTAACGCGATTGATCAAGCCTGGTACAAACTCGGAGTAGTGACACTTATTGCGTTTGATCTGAAAGGAGCCTTTAATGGGGTCAACAAAGTCAGCCTCGATGCCCGCCTCCGGGCAAAGAGAATTCCAACTGTCGCTAGAAAATGGATCGCGAGTTTTATGAGCGACCGCCACGCTAGCATGGGATTTGACGACTACCGTACTGAGACGGCGCCACTAGCCAACGCGGGCCTGGCGCAGGGATCGCCCCTGTCCCCTATTTTATTCGCATTCTTCAACTCTGACCTTGTCGACCAACCTGTCAACTTTCATGGCGGGGCGTCAGCCTTTATTGACGATTACTTCCGCTGGCGAGTAGGCCGCTCTGCTGAGGAAAATTTGGCCAAAATCCAATCCGAGGACATCCCCCGCATTGAAGCATGGGCGCGACGAACTGGGTCCTGCTTCGCAGCCGAGAAAACCGAGCTCATACACCTCACTAGGAAACGGAGTGAACAGCTACAAGGCCAAGTGGTCATGAGCGGGAAAACCGTCAAACCATCACGTACTGCCAAGTTGCTGGGTGTGATCTTTGACCAAGAGTTGCGGTGGAAGGAACATGTCCAACAAGCTATCAAACGCGCCACCAAGGTGGCCGTCGCATTGGCGGGGTTACGACATTTGCGCCCAGAACAGATGCGTCAGATCTACCGAGCATGCGTTACACCGGTGGTGGACTATGCATCAACGGTCTGGCACGACCCTCTGAGGGGTAAAACTCACCTACGCAACCTCAATTCAGTGCAAAGGGCCCCACTAATCCGTATCCTGTCGGCCTTCCGAACAGTTGCGACTAACACCCTAGAGGTAGAGGCACACATCATTCCAACATACCTCCGCCTCCGCCATCGAGCTCAAAGTACTATTGCAAGACTCCACACCCTGCCCCGTGAACACCCTATTTGGAGTGCATTAAGACGAGCCCAGAGACGGAGAAATAACATCGGAAATTATGCACGCTTTCCACTAGCAGAAGCTCTGAAGACCATGAACGTGCAAAGGCTGAATGAACTAGAGACAATTGACCCTAGCCCGCTACCCCCATGGCGGGCCGAACCTTTCGCGGAGATCGAGACTCAGTCAGACCGAGAAACAGCTATAGAGAGAGCCAAGACTGTTCTGTCTGCGTCGGACATTACTGTCTATTCAGACGCCTCAGGGCGTGAAGGCCACCTAGGTGCTGCTATTGTGGCACTCAACGACAACCAGGAGATCGCTGAATCCCAACAGATCCAGGTCGGACCAATGGACCGGTGGTCAGTTCATGTAGCAGAACTCATCGGCATCTTCTATGTGATCAGCATGGTGTTCAAAATCGCCCATCAATGCTGGAAAAGCGTGGACGGTAGACAAACCACAGCAGCAATTCTGTGTGACAGCAGATCAGCGCTGCAGGCAATTCAAAACACAAGGAGCAAACCTGGACAACGGATTGTTCACGCAATCCTCCAAGCCGCC